GGGGATATGCCAGCTAAACAGGACACAAGCGTTGGTGATTAGTTTCTACCAAATCAAGAGTTGTGCAACAGACGGAGGGAGCAGACGACACGAGAATAAGCATCTCATTTACAGCCACAGCCGCAGAAAACATTGTTTCCCTTTGAGAAATAAAGAGTTCCAGGAGTAGTGACGAGGCAGTAAGGGGAGAGGCCGGCCGAATCTCCCAATACATGTATCGAAGGAGGCGCAACCAGAATAGGCCTCGAAGATCCAGGGTTACAGCCATATCCCGAATAGCTCACGCAAATCTCGTTTGAATGCCATTCAAGGGATCGCCGCTAACGACTAGGCTTTAAAGGCTAAAGCCACAACGTCGTTCAACAATATGTTTCAGCTACGTCTATAATGTTTGGGCTTGTTAGCTCGAGTTCTCGGGGGCGTGATGACGGCGCAACTGGAGAATGCCTCTGTACACATACACTGCTGTCTGGTTCCATTCAACTCGGGCAAATCAACATCTTTGCCAATATCTGGCTATTCCTTTCAGCCTCGGCAGTGGCAGGAAGTTGGGTTCAATATTGGAGCCTATCTAACAACATGAACCAGAAAGTGGGCGTCGCGGAGAGAGGGGAAGGGGCGCTAAATTGCTACCCGGGATATTGCCGGCAACAATACTTTGGCTACGACTTCCTCTGCCTATTGTTCTGTTACGGCCTGACCATTAGTTTATACTGAGTGTACCGTTCCCGGGCTGTTTGTCAATAGCTCAAAGCACCAGCAAGGTGGGAGGATGAGCGGGGTTGAAATCTGCTGCCCTGCTAAAAAGATGACAAGGCCCTGAGTCCAGACACATGATGAAATCTCGAGCACATTTACGAAGTCGTCCTCGAGTAATCTTTAGGCATCATCTGAGAAACATGGCCGCAGCCGTGGGACAACAGCCAGGCCCGGCGGCACATGGCGTACACCAACAAGATGCGTCTGATACACCCGTGCCCAGTCTCTTCACGCTACCTCCTGTGATTCGCGATGCGCTGGAGACGGACTCATCTCACATCCAGGATGCAACCGTCGACGAGTGTCTGCCCTTCTTGACTGGCAGAGAACACCGCTACCTCAACTCCCATGGCATCCCTCGCCTGGACAAGGCACGGCATGCAAGGTTCCTAACAAAGCAGCTAGGAGTGCTGCCGAGCGCATACGTGGGAGCGGATCCAAGCCGGCCGTGGATATTCTACTGGTGCCTGAATGCCCTGTCTCTCCTTGGTGAGGACGTTGAGCCTTATCGCGCCAAGCTTGTTGAGACAGTGCGTCCGATACAGAACGAAACAGGTGGATTCGGAGGGGGTTTTGGCCAGGCCTCACACCTCGCCACCACGTATGCAGTTGTTCTTTCGCTGGCACTGGTCGGTGGGGACGAGACATTCGAGGTGGTTGACAGGAGAAGCATGTGGAAGTGGTTGTGCCAACTAAAGCAGCCGGATGGTGGGTTCCAGATGGCTGTCGGGGGCGAGGAGGATGTCAGGCAAGTCTTTGATCGGCACGCCCATGCTGTGATACCAGTCTGCTAACTGATGTCTTGCTCAGGGGGGCCTACTGTGCGGCTGTTGTGATTTCGCTGCTCAACCTGCCCTTGAATCTATCACCCGAATCTCCTGCCTATGCCGCTGGCCACACTGATCTCCTTAGTGGACTTGGGGAATGGGTACGGCTGTGTAAGTTGTCTCTGCCCGGACATGTGTTCCGACCATCCCGTCCTAATTGCCACTCTGTCTAACAAGAATGAACATCCAGGCCAGACGTACGAGGGAGGCGTGTCAGCAAAGCACGGGGTCGAGGCGCATGGCGCATACGCCTTCTGTGCTCTAGGATGTCTCTCAATTATTGATTCCCCACACCGAAGCGTTAGACGGTAAGTGTCTCAATCTAGGGTGCTGTCTATTGACGCAGTGCCATGAGAGCTTTGCATTCTGACCCGTTCTCCGGCGCGGTAGGTACATGGATGTGCCACGTCTTATCTCTTGGCTCTCATCTCGCCAGTATGCTCCAGAAGGTGGCTTTTCAGGCCGCACGAACAAGCTTGTCGACGGCTGTTATAGTCACTGGGTTGGCGGATGTTGGCCCCTGATCGAAGCCAGTCTGAGCGGGCCTGAGGGGCCGACAGCTGGCCCTGCAGGTCGCCCGCTCGAAGCCACCGATGCAGACGACAGCTTGTTCAGCCGAAATGGTTTGATTCGATACATCCTTTGCTGTTGTCAAGACATGTCTAAGAGGGGTGGATTGAGGGACAAACCTAGCAAGTGGGTGCTCCCTTTCCCAGAGCGAGACTTTACAGAGCAATCACACTGATGCCTTTTTTTTTTGTGTCCACAGGTACTCGGACGCGTACCACTCATGCTACGTTCTATCCGGTCTCAGCTCCGCACAAACTAAGTGGCGTTTGGTTGCCTCTCGTGCCGATGAAACCCTTCTCGGAGACGATCGTTGGGAGGCGTCACCTCACACAAGCGGAGTCCAAATCTTTGACGAAGAAGACCGCATTGCGACTACGCATCCCGTCTATGCAATTCCCCAACATAGAGTCGACGAGATTCGAAGTTACTTCCTGTCAAAGGAGGGCTTCTAATTGTAACGGGGTAAAAGTGGTTATTCGATACCGGACACTGCTTACTCGTTCTAGCGGAGCACTAACCCGGCACTTGCCCAGTCATTTGTCCTATACCAGGCTGCAGAGAGAGCATGTACGTGTGCACGATAAGGGTTAACCACATGTTATAATCACGTGTCCCTCAGGGGGTTAGATACAGTCCTTGATCTTGAGTCGTTGAAACGAGGACGTGTTGAGATGGCAGACGAGTGGGTCGAGCGATGGCCGCCAATAGCACTATGCTACGACGCACTACTATCCGATCCTTCGAGGGACAGGACGGTGGACAGGGTTTCTCTTGGCCGATCCGACCGCTTGGCCATGGATCGATGAAATCCGCCACCGCTTGATTGATTTTTTTTTTTTCTTATTCTCCTTGGTTGACGGCTCACCAGCTGCCAAAGTTGCAAGGAAACCAACATGTACATGAATCATTTAGAGCATATCAACTGTCATTTGGGACCGTGATCCAACCAGCTCATTTCGAATGGGATGACCCACGATCTTCCGCACACGTGAAAAGTGAATCCAAGGTGGCATCTGAACGCTGTACAAGTAGCTCGGGCTTATTCCTTCGCGAAGCAGGCCGTCTGGGGTGGCTATCCCGAAGCAGCACGGAGTACGGTGCAAGGCTCCTCGTTTGGACGGCCGTGCATTGCATGTACGGAGTCCTCCGTACTAGTACTTGTTCCCCACACTCTTTTACCCGTCAAGGGTATGGTCTGCCAAGTCTTCAAGCTGCTGTTTGAAGCAAGTTGTATTTTTGCCCTCCGGATGTCTGTGCTACGCGCCCAGTGGCTCCAATAATGCCCAAGGCAGAGTGTCCTTGTACATGAGGGATTGCGAAATACATGTGTGCTACCTGATAAGTTGGAGATGCAGGTAGTTTTCCCTTATTCGGTGTCTCCCAAGGGATGATGCCAACACGCTGCTGCCCGCTTACAGATTCCGCAGCGCTAGTTGAAGAAGCATGTCTCGGATGAAGGCTCGTGGGAGGGGTCTGCCTTGCGCCACACCGCATTCGCAGTTCTGCACATCATCGCCAGGCCAAGGGTGGGTTACTATGTATCGAAGGCTGATATTCTTGGAGAAGATTCTGGTCGGCATGGATGCGAGGACGTACCGCATCCCGCCCGAAGCGTCCGCAGACAATGTTGCATGAGTTGTATCATCACCTCTCTTCTCGCATCACCAGGCATCAACAGGTATTGTCGACTACATCACTAGACGATTTCTTCTACAATGTTAGGCTAAAACTACAGCTCACTTCAGGCCGGGCTACGAGGGAGACATGGCATGAGTCCATTAGTTGCTGCGGAGTTACCCCCTACCCTCCAAAAGGCTCAATATTCCAGCAAGCGTCGCCCTTGATCATCAACTGATTGCGCCGTACACATGCACTCTTTTAATGTAAGAAGAGGCAACGAATGCCTCTTTTCTTCTTATTCTGCAAAAATGGCACAGGCCTCACGCACACGCCCCCCTCCGCTTATAGGGCCGCATATCATGCGGCCGCCTTACATGGCCAGCCAGCCTGGTTTTATTCCGGACACTTGCACAAATCATCACCTTGTCAATTGCACAGCCGGTTTGAATTTTCCCTCTGCATACGGCGGCGAGTCAGAGAATGAGATGAGGGGAATCAAGTTTATCACTTCCCCTCTGAGGAGGTATGAGCGAAGAGGCACATATGTGAGCAAGCCTGTGGCAACGCCTTGAAGTCATATCAGGGAACTAATACTAGCTGCTCTCTCTCTCTCTCTCTCTCTCTCTCTCTCTCTCTCCTCTCTCCCACCCCCAATATCTGAGCCGCCTCCTGTGGCCTTTTCCTCTGCCGATGCATTGGAGCCGCCCGCTCAGGAGGTACCTGTCGGCTTACATCCCATCGTTCACCCGCCACCAAGGGGCCGGGATTGAGGGAGGAAAGTGGGCATTTGCATGATGTGGATCGCCATGTTTTTTTTTTCTTCTCTTTTCTTTGCCACAGTGTTTCTCTTGTTTTCTATCCTTCTTTTCCCTGCTTTGGTCCGGCGCTGCAGGGACCTCCTCCCATGATTATCCGACTTGATGGGCACTTACTGCTGCATAGGGGTTACACGAAGCAAAGGGGACGCCGCCTTTTGCAGACAATGACGCTTATGGCCTAGGGCCTGTATAAAAAGCTGCGTCTTACCAAGTACCTGTATGACTCAACTTATGTCCGCCGGCATACTGTACGCTGAAGAGGCACGAAGCCGTCGGAGATGTCAAAGCAGCTGCCAAAGGCCTGGCCATTGCCTGGCTGACGATGAGGCTGCAGCAAGTGGCATGAATCCATATTAATGGCTCACTCGTTAGTAACGCCTAGTATATTTTTGCGACCCGCAGGAACATGTACCAGGTACCTTGCTGTCTGAGTTCCGATAGGTCAGATTCAGCGATTGCTCTCAAAGGGCAGGAGCTATCCCTGCTTGACCGCTGGCATGGGCCTTTTTGACGTAGCAGGCAGGCAGGGGAGCATCTTAGCACTACCTACTCCGTACCTAGGTACCATGTACATGGGCCAAGTACAGTATACGCTGGGCATGACATGGTACCATTTTCGTAGACTGGAATGCACCGTGAAAATCCAACGGACCTACAAGCTTGCCCTCGCCATGCCGCGGCCTGGATTCACTTCACCACTCGCACATACGAAGGCGTGGAGAAGATGCAGATGCATGTCTGGTCCAAGTACCGCTGCATCCCATTTAGCCATGTTGAGGCAACGGCAAGGGCCGGCCGTCGAGAGACTGCAGCCTGTCTGGCGATACGACGGCCGAGGCGGCGGCGATACCGCCTCATGGATGTATCGCCGGCTCGTCTGCTCCAATGCGCAGCTCCCTCGGTAGGGACGTCGACAGCACGCGTCTACACGGTATTCGCCATTACCATCTGGCCTCTACTGAGTGGTCAACACCCATCCGCCTCGTGCCCATCTCATCGCGGACGCACCAGGTCGCTGGGACCAACGGCCGGATCCGAGTCGGCAGTGATTGGCCCCAAGGGCACTCCGTAAAAAGAAACAAGACACTTGCCTACCAAAGGACCGGCCATGTAGTGGCATCGAGTGGCGCTACGGAGCAAAGGGACTTTGCCTTTGACTTCACCTGGCAAGCTAGCGGAACCCCTAGGCGAACCACGAGTGGTGTTTCGGTACCAAGAGCTCTCCAATTGTCGAATCACAAGCTCGGCTGGCGATCCGCCCACAAGATACGTTTGTGCTAGGCAAGGCGTCAAACCCCTTTGCTCTTTGCCATGCTTTTTTTAGCATCTCATCACACATATCACATTGGATAGCAGTGGTATTTTCCGAGTTTCGCAGCAGACGCAACGGATCTTTACCCCAGACCAAAGTGTCATCCAGCGTGGGTGGCGTCTCCTCCTCGTGTGGTTCCTGGGCGAAGGACTGAGGACGGGGCCTTTCATCAGCAATTGGCGGGCAGGTCAAGAGAAACCGCTGCCGAAAGTGGCCCCCCCCGGTCTCGGTACTACAGGCACAAGCACTACTCCTGCTGCTTCGTACATACAACTTGGTGCTACCTCTACCGGGCACGCAGCGGGCTTCCTGTCATCCATCCTCGCCCACAATTGCCAATGGTATACTTGTTGCAAGAGCTCTGCGTCAGCGCTCGGGCCCCCGCGCATGTGAAGATTACTGAGGGTGTCGCTGTCCCAGCATTATTGCACAGAACCCGGGACACAGGTGTGCAAGCCACGGAGCACGCGTACTTGTACATGGCACCTCGGGGGGCAGCTTCAACGAACCGTTCGCTGCGTGTGTTTGCTTAATATCAACCGGCGGCACTGCCAGCTCATCGTTGCATGCGGCCTTTTAACCCCCCCCTCACAAAGAGACTTAAAGAGGGTCAAAGGGTCCGAGGGCGTCTGCCTCATACTTGGCTGCCTTGCGCCCCCCTCTTCGCAGATCTGTCCAATCAATCGGGCCATCTTCACCGTAATTGTCACTATTGTTCTATGTCAAGTCTGGAACCCTGTGTGCGACGACAACGACACACCGTGTACGCGCTTGGAGGTCGAGACAAGCACGGGAGAATCCGTACGAGAACTCACATACAGGTACAATGGATGTGAGCAATATTATGTTACAACTCGAGAGCCGCTGGATGGGTTCTCTAGAACCGGGATCACCTTGCGTCCAACCTTGGCCCACTATTCGCCAGTCCAGCTACTGCGACGCTAAAGAGATTAGACCTTGCGATGTAATGACTTGGGAGTATGGAGCACGGAGTATGTTTATCACTAAAACTCTGTGCGCTCTTGGTCTGCTCACTTTCATGCAAGTGGTTGCAGTTTCGCGCCTCTTCACCGACGTCTGAAAGCACCGACGAGACCTCCCCTTTCCACCTCAGCCTGCAATCCGGGCAGCTTTAGGAAATAGCCTCCGTCAAGCGTCTCTCCGTGGCGCCAGGACCACTGGCACTCTGCCAGATTTGCCCAAGTGCAGCTGGGGGGGTTGTTGTTAACATGTCGTCTCGGTGCCAATCATCCGGCATGTACCAAAGGGATATAGCCTCTTTCTTTGCTGGCACGGTACAGATGAAGCAAAGCAAGGCCGGCGTTACGTATGTGTGACGGCTCATCCCAAGATTTGTGAACGCACACGCTTCCTCCTACCGACGATCGAAGCCACCACCAGCTAACCTGGAGTGAACCCATCCAACCAAACGACTGCGAGAGCTGACCACCAATGCCTGCCGGGATGTGAGCACAACTGGAAAGAAGTGTCTAATGCCCGCCAAGCAGCACATGCTCTATTCGTGCAATGCAATGGGTGTAATCAGGACATTCATTCTACGTTCCAACCGGGGCTGTAACAAGTTTGTGCTATAGACCAAGTTCATGCTACCAGACACGGTGTACTTTGCATCCCAAGATCCCCAACGATACACAGATATCTGCACAAGGCGCCATCTGTGGGATTCTGCTGTGCATTAGCGGCCGCCAAAGCATAGATCTCGGAGGGATATTCTTGGTGATGGTGGTTACCAGGCGATACATTTTCTCTCAGCTTTATGGCGTCGTGTGGCTGGGCTGGCTCTCCTAAGCGATGTTTTACTTGCTATTCTTATCACCAACGCTTCAATGCGGTGATGTGTTATTCACCGGTTCGTGTTGAGGATCGTCGAAGCTGCCATTGGCCTCCTCTCCTTCTCTCTGTGTTTTTTTGCCACCGCCCCCGTTGGTCAATTCAAGACGAACGAGGGGAGCCCATACCCATACCCATACCCATACAGTATTTGCCGTTGATGATTTTCTGGCTGTCGATTGATTAATCGTTCGTGCGACCTCAATTGAACATGGCCGAGGCGCCAAACATGGGTCCCCGCCGCAGAGACAGGGGATTGGGCGCCTAGAGAAGCGACCCTTCCGGCGGCCAGAACGGCCGACATTGCCTGTAAGAAGACGATTGCAGCGGCATGAGCAAATGAGGACAACTCGAGGAGCTAGGAAACCATGCTGAGAGACGAAAGGGCCCGGGTTGACTCAAGCAGGTGGACGACCCTTGACGGTAAGAACCCAGCCCCCTAGCCTGGCCATACCTTACCACTTCGCTCTCTAGCACCTCCATCCTCTGTCCATACTACGACTCGTCCGCATCGCTGGGGCGAAACTTATTCGAGTTGGGGAGACAACCATATACAGTAATGGTTAGGCAGTGCGTCTCTCTGGCACCCAAGTGTACTGTACACTTGTCGTCTTGTACACTTTGTGGTGGAGCGGCCTAGTCCCCAGCGGTTTGCAAAATTAACTGGCAATGAGAGCTGCCAACACATCAACGATGGGGTCACACTCTTCCAAGAGCCGCATCGTTGCTCGCATCAACCTCCATTCGCGCGTTTCGCTCTCTCTCCAGACACCCCTCGGCCCCGCGCTAAGGACGACGTTTGCAATAAAGCCCACATGTCTCGCCAAAGGACCGGCTCATCCTCCTCTTGCGACAGGGCCCGTGGAATGCGTGGTAACGGAGCATCAGGACAGCGGCATACCACGTACATGCATACTCACATACTACTACTACATGCATCCAGACAGGCAGACGCATACATATGCATGCCCAAATACTGCTTGCTACACATCCATCAAAGTATTGCACATCTCTCTCCTCCCCCTTGACTGTCCTCCTCCTCCTCCTTGTGGCCCCCATGCCAGCTTCCGACTAGGACGACCTCCATACTCGTACATACACACATACACACATCCAGACGCAGATTCTCACATCCCGCGTACGGGGTACACGCGCGCGCATACATCCCTCGCCGCTTGATCTTGTCTACCGCCGCTGCTGCTACCGGAGCGGTGCGCCTGGCCTCCGTCTCGGCCGTCCTCGTGCTCCACCCTGGATTTGGCCAGCTTCTGTTCTTGAACTTGTTTCGTTTCCGCCTTCTCCTCCGCCGAAGCCCGCGCTTCTTCTTTGATTTCTTCTTAATCCCTTCGTCTCCCTCTCAGTTCCCGCCGGGGCTCGATTGTAGCTTCTTCCACCATCCCTGGATCCCGCCTCGGTTACACCTTGACTTCGTTTAACATTTTTTGACTTTGCTCTCTCAAAGGTTGCCACACAACCATATTTCAATTCCTCTCAACTCAAACTCGCACACACGCATATCTGCGGCAGCGGCTTCTGGACTCTGTTCCACTTTTATTTTTTTGCCCACACCAGGACAATTTCATTGCCTGAACCCAATTCCTCTCTCCATTTCTCCCTCGCTGCCCATTGAATATCTACCGCAATCATGGGTGGCTTCTACATGCAGTACCTGGAGAGTAAGTTGATCAATTGAACCTCCCGTGTGCTTTGTTTACTTCAACCCAATGGCTACCGACAGCCCCGAAATCTCGTGTGGGGGTGGCGTATGAGATTTGGGGGGGAGGGAGGGGGGGAAATAAATCAAGCCTTGCGCGCGGCCACCACGGCGACCTTGGCTGCTTGGAGGGCTGGTTGAGAGGCAGCGAGCATTTTCAATTGCTTTCTGCCACCCAATCGAACTCTTACAGCCATCCATGTCTCGTGAATTGGTTTGGTGCAGGCACATGATTACACCGTTCCGCGCTTATCCCCCCTCTCTGCTCAATCACAGCTCTGGTTCATGCAGGGACCCTACGGGCTGCAAGAAGGCGGTCGAATGAAGTTCCTATCACAGCATGTTTCTGGCGAGTTGTTGCGAGCTGTGATTGATCCTACACCGTACTTTGTCTTGACAGCCAATGGCTGTGACTCTTTTCTTTTTTTCTTTCATTTTTTGTGTCCTTTTCCAAGAATTTTGAGGAGATGGGAATACTAACCAATGGCTGTAATTAATAGGCCTTTGCCGGCGCCGAGGATGGACAGACCCCTCGTACGAGTGTTACCGTGACCCCAATGGCTTTACTTGCCTTGTCCTGGTCAATGGACGCGAGTACCAGACCGACCTGGCATACGAGTCCGACCTGTTGGCTCAAGAGAATGCCGCCATGCGCGCGTTCATGGTTTGCCGCAACTTTTCCGTTAACGGCGGCATGCTTGCTCGTAATGGCATTGTCCAGGGGCTTCCAGCCAATGCTGATACCCGACGCAAGAGCCGCCCTACATCGTCCAGGGACAGCAATGACCGTCACGGCCGACGCTCTGGCACTCACTCGAGCAGCAGTTCCACTGCTTCATTTGAATAAGCCAGGCGCAGATACCTGGAACGGATTCGGAGTTTTAAGGTGTTGATTCGCCCACATCATTTTCCATATTTCCCCCTTGGTTTTGGCTTGGACCTTCGCAGGCAGCCATGGCGCACATATACACGTGGTTGAAAGGCTTCACGGCATTCCCTTTGAGGATATAACCATCACCGCGCCAACCTTGTTTTTGTTCTTTCTCTAGCGGTTGTTATTTTCTTTTTCACAAACAAAAAAAATGAAGGGTTGAAAAAGTTAAGGAGAGGAAAAAAAAAAAAAGAAGAAGAAAAAGGTACGGAAAAGCGCGTACAAAAGACTTGGCGATAAAGAGGCATTCTTGTAATGCAAATGTTGCAACGACTTTTATGACGACACGAAACGACCTTTAGACACGTCTCATATTTCTTTCGGCGGCCGGCATGACCGGACCGGACCTTTTATTATCAACTTAGATGTTGACTTTGTTCTCTTCTCAGCAATGTGTTTAGAGTTTAGACGCATTGCATCCATGACATTGATGCTCACCTCCCCAACACCTTGCCGCTCATCTCAATTGATGGGTCACTCTTCTGGATCATATGGCTCAACGGTCCTTGGCAAGGAACAAAAGTACATTTCTCCAATGCTATCTCTCGGAAGCGGGTTTTACAGGCAGAGCAGCCTGGTTTGGACGGTTCTTGGTACTGAAATGATGATATGCCTGTCCATCCTTTTGTTATAGGGCATTGAGTGCCCTTGATCACCATAGAGGCTAAGTGTTTCTTCATCTTGCCTCAACTTTATGACTATGTTTCCTGCGATAAGACAAAGTACCGCGTTCGCACAGGGGCAGTCGTGCCTTTCGCAAGGACGGCTCCTTGACTTTCCTTTTAGGCGTCTCGCAGCAAGCGAAGCGGGCAATGCCTTTTTTTCTTCTCCTATATTATCTCTTCATTTTATGATTTCCGCTGTTATTGCCCCTGTTGAGGCAAGAGGGTTCTTTCTCGCGAGCCAATGCTGGCAGTACTGGATGTTCCCCATTTATGATGTTAAGCCGCAGATGAAACCTAAAACGAAAGAGGAAAACGAGATGGATCGATTGGATGACATGATGCAATGAAAGATCTGAATGTGGGTTATGGAATAAAAAAAATTAAGAGGACAAAAAAAAAATAAGAGTTTACGGTAACGATTACATGAAGATGATGACTTTTATGTTTCACTTATTAAGATATTTGTCTTGGTTGGCGTTGTGTCGCGACGCAAGATGTGATGTAGATGTGAAGAATCTTGAATATAAGTGAATACTGGCAATCTTTTTGGTTCGCCGAGGGTCGCTACTGAGGCGATGTACAACCGCTCACTGATGACAGATTGGCGTGTGCGCAGGACAGACTGGATACCAAGCCTGGATGATGTTGCTTTGGCTTTAACAGAGGGACTGATGTACCAAAGGTTTACTATTGCTCGAGTTCTATATGCAGGGTGTCGTCTGTGACTTGTCTCTTTTGGCTGAGATTCAGGATGCTCTGATGAGAGATTTATGGTGTATCACGGTAAGTACTAATGCCTATGTCCATGCTTGCCTGGTCATTTCTAAATGACGATCACCATATAGGGTGGTTAGCTTCCAAATCGGACTTGATCTTAAATTACCAGATAAAGCGTTGAAGCTTCTTCCCAAGGAGTCGACGACGGAGCCGGCCTAGCACCTACACATACGTAATGTGGCACAAGATAGCTCAGGAACAAAAAGAAACTAGGATGAGTGATGAAGCCACATAAAGTACTCGTAGAGATCCTAAATTCATTTAGCGGCCCTGGTCCGGAGCCAAGGGTCTTGTCAAGCAGTAGGATTTACAAGGCTCAACTAGACCGAAAGTAGGAGTCTCTGGGCTGAAGGAAGAACTCCACATTGGAATTGGATTTGGGGGGCAAAGAGAGAGAGAAATTATGATCCTTGTCGGGGGGAGATGAAACACGACACGGGATGGGCTTGGTTTTTTCTTTTTTTTTATTGGTTTTACATTTTTTTTATTTTTATTTTTATTTTTTGTCTCGTTTCGAGTCGAGGTGCTGTGCTCCGTGAGATTAGCGAAGGGTGTTTTGTAATAACGGCTGGATGGAGTCTTTGATGATGTGATGTGATTTAATGCGATACGATACGGGGCTGTGTAGAGCTGCTGGATCCTTGGTTAGAGAAATGGGGCTTTTATTGAATGGATTGAAAAAGAAAAAAAAAGAGAAAAATAAGAATAAAAAAGGAAGAGAGCAAAAAGAATCGCGGAGTGAAGATTTCATTGATGAGATGGATTATGCGCAACGTTGCAGGTATTAAGGGTTGAGGCTAACACACGGCGTCAGGAGAGCGATGGATGCGTGCTTTAAGAAAAATAGGGGGCAAATCACGGCGCTGACCGGTTAATGGCACCACGAATGGAAATGAATGAGGCAGTCGCCGAGCTGACGTCGTGTTATTCCTGGTGCGGAGCGGGCACGAGCGACAATACGAAAGAAGCTGTGGGAGAGCTAAATCTACTCGTACATAAATGAATATATGTACGGAGTATGGGTTTGAAGTATTTTGGCTGTTTGCGTGGGTTGAGGCTGTATTGGGATGTTGGCGTGATGAGGGGGGTTCGCCGAATGCGGGCTGCAGGCTGTATTACTGCATCTTTCAATGAATCGCAGGAATACGATCTGGGCTCTGATGAGGTTCGTGTTGCTGATTGCAAGTGATTGTTTGCAGGGTCGTCCTGGGAATCTGCATCGGTAATCGTTGCCCATCGCATGTGTGTCTGTACGAGTATATTCATGTGAAACAGACCTCGCATCTGGTGAAATGTCGCACTCACATGTCAAGACTTGTACGTTCTACATGTTCTTCTATAATATACTCGTACATACAAGCAAGTCATGACACGAGGCATTTACATGAAATACGAAGCAAAGAAAAAAAAACAAATAAACCCAAAACTATCGATTGCATGATGATACGGAGCTTTACGGGTGTTGTGCAGTTCACGGGCCGCCCAAATTTCGCCTCCAGCTTTCTGCAAGCCGCGTGGGAAATTTTTCATGCTCCCGTCCGCGGTGCTGATTGGCCCGCCCTTCTGTAAAGACCCCTGGACCAGTGATCACAGGCCCCCCAAGGCCCCCGCACTGCCTCGAATCGTCCTGGACGCTTCGTGTTGTAACTATTGACTGGAGTATTGGGAGCTCAGCTGTCACGCCAATTCGCCGGGAATGGGGCCTGGCCGTGCCCATTGGTGATTCGCCGGCAGCTGCTTCAGGGGACGCTGGCCTTGTACGAGTTGAGATGCCGCTAAGCCCAGCGCGTGAAATTAGCAGCCCTTTAGCAGGTACGAACGCATTGCCTCTGCCTCTCCGGAGCGGCAGTACTAGCAGCTCCGTGCTAATCTGTGTACTGGCCTGGCTTCGTGACATCTGGACACCTTGAGCTTGAGCCCGAGCCCAAATAGATGGCAATTTCCTCTCTCCTTTTCCTCCCATCCTCCAGCAAAAACACCACCGCACAGCCTTTGAGCCGACCTTGATTCTCTGCTTTGCGAGCATTGCATTGTCGCTCGTTCTTCTCTACGCTCACTACCCATCATACTAGTTATCTTCTGACTTCTGACTTCTGACTTCTTGCTCCTCTTCTTCAACCCCCCCTTTTTTTACCACATCAGCATCGTCGCAAACATTCACCATGAAGGGTATGATGACGCACCTCCCGCCACGGTCCAAACCGCTGCTCCAATGGCATGGCTAACATTCTCCCCCGCGCAGGACTTATTCTTGTCGGTGGCTTTGGCACTCGCCTTCGCCCTCTCGTACGTCCACGCCAGCGATCCGACCTGCATCCCACCACCGCATCGACGCGAATGGGGGGGAATGGAGGGGGAACCGCCCAAACCGCAGCATCACACATCCCAGAGACTGACCATTGTGCGACGCCATCTAGACCCTGACGCTCCCCAAGCCTCTCGTTGAGTTCTGCAACAAGCCCATGATTGTGCACCAGATCGAGGCTCTCGTCGCCGCTGGCGTTACCGACATCGTCCTCGCCGTCAACTACCGCCCGGAGATCATGGAAAAGTTCCTGGCTGAGGTGAGTCCTGCACTTGACCCCTCACTGCAACCCTTGCCTCCTTTTTTCTTTTTGCTTGCGACTCGTTGCACCAAGCTTTCGCCCCCCAGCTGAGCTCCCCTCCAATGACGTTGAACACGAAAGCTGATTGCGTATGCCCGACCGTTAGTACGAGGCGAAATACAACATCAACATTGAGTTTTCTGTCGAGTCGGAGCCCCTCGACACCGGCGGCCCTCTCAAGCTTGCTGAGAGCATCCTTGCCAAGGACGACTCCCCCTTCTTCGTCCTCAACTCCGACGTCATCTGCGACTATCCCTTCAAGGAGCTCCTCGCATACCACAAGAGCCACGGCGATGAGGGTACCATCGTGGTCACCAAGGTGGAGGAGCCTTCCAAGTACGGTGTTGTTGTCCACAAGCCCAACCACCCATCTCGCATCGACCGTTTCGTCGAGAAGCCCGTCGAGTTCGTCGGCAACCGTATCAATGCCGGCATGTACATCTTCAACACCTCCGTCCTGAACCGTATTGAGCTTCGCCCTACGTCGATCGAGAAGGAGACCTTCCCCGCCATGGTTGCCGACAACCAGCTGCACTCTTTCGACCTTGAGGGCTTCTGGATGGATGTTGGTCAGCCCAAGGATTTCCTTAGCGGCACCTGCCTGTACCTGTCCTCCCTCACCAAGAAGGGCAGCAAGGAGCTCACTCCCCCCACCGAGTCCTACGTGCACGGTGGCAATGTCCTGATCCACCCCACTGCCAAGATCGGAAAGAACTGCAGAATAGGCCCCAACGTCACCATTGGCCCAGACGTCGTCGTCGGTGACGGCGTTCGTCTGCAGCGATGTGTCCTTCTGAGTGCCTCCAAGGTCAAGGACCACGCTTGGGTCAAGTCGACGATTGTTGGCTGGAACAGCACCGTCGGCCGCTGGGCCCGTCTGGAGAACGTGACTGTTCTCGGTGACGATGTTACCATTGGTGACGAGATCTACGTCAACGGTGGTAGCGTCCTGCCTCACAAGTCCATCAAGGCCAACGTGGACGTTCCCGCCATTATCATGTGATTTAATTCATCTTTTCACATCTTCTCGGCTCGCATGTTAAAGCCATGCGCTGCTCTTCACATTGATTCTTCATGTTGATTCATGGCTTTTTTTTTAAACAACTTTTTCACTTCTATTTTTTTGATCTTTTTTTTTTCTGCACCCATTTACGCCCCCATACATTCACCACTCCTCCAATACTTCTCAAAAGATACCCTATCGGTGGGGGGAAACAGTCTTTGAGAGAAAAACAAGCAACATTTATATAATTACTACTAGTCCTGGCATCTTTTGCTTTCTTTTTGCAAGATGTCTGCGCGTTATGTTGAGCTCCAAGTATATCGTTTGGCGTCTCGGGGAACCGGTTGGCAAAGCTTCTTGGAGGGACACGAAGGGAGGAAGGGGCTGGGGCTGAGAAAGAGCTATGACGGACGAGGAACTGAAAATTTACATGTATGAAAAGATGATAGCGTAGCGAATGAAGTGAATTTACGCTTGAGCTGCTCATTTAGCCGTATATTTTCTCTCCAGAATCGTTGATGTATGTTGTGGGTGCTGTCTTGTGGTATGTACACATCTTAATGCAGGTACCAGTGATATCCCTCCCACATAGTGGATGAGTGCATCTCAAGAGGCAAGACCCGGAATACCAATATGTAGACGATGCTATATCCAGTACAGATGCCTGTGATAGACTCGGCATCAAGTTCATTTCGCTTCCTCCCTTGACGCAAAGCTGGCCAAGTTGTTGTCAAGGCAGGAGCGCAATCGATGCCTTATCCCCCAGGCAAGATCCATCCAAGGGCAGGTGCTCAGCGAGTCCTTCCCTCTACATGCCTGTTTATCTGAAAGACACAAATTCCGAGGGGGGAAATGAAGATGATTTTCTTCTTCTCTCCGTTTCTTTTGTCGTGTTTCTCTCTGTTTTTCCTTCATCTACGTCCTGTTCTTTCGGCATTCCCCCTTATTTCACTCACCTCTTTTACTTGTGCGCTTCTACGCACGTTCCTCTGTTCAACTTCTCGGTCTCTCTACTCGTCTCTTTGCGTCGAAGTTTTGTGCATCGCTTGGTTCTGCGTTTCCAGAGTCTTTCCGTCGTCAAGGCGACGAGCCGAACTTCCAGTCATTTCTTCAACAGTCTTCGCTCTCTCCTAGATTCTTCCTCGGATTTACCTAGTCTATCTTTCAGCACCATGGCGGATGAATCGTTTTGTGATCTAAGGTGGGTTAATTAAAGCACTGAAACTTGAACAAGGCTTCATAACTGATATATGTTAGCGATTAATCTGAAAATTCCTGGATCACTATCCCGCCTCTCGAATATTCTGCTCCTGAGACTATGGTTGTTCCCTTGTCCTATGGCCCTCCACTTTCCCTTGTTGTCGGTGGCCAAAAGCGTTCACGCGATGATTTGGACTCGAGTGATGTGGCAGAGCCTGCCTCGAAGCGCCCTGCCCTTTTCACGGGCCGGGATGATATGAGCTCTCAAGACTTTGACATGGGTAACACTGTGAGCAAATTTTAATCATTCAGAACATCTCTATACATTTATCTTACTAACATAAACAAACAGAACATCTGCCCATCTCCGGGCAATTTCTGTTCATCATCTCCCAGCAACTCCCATGTCCTTGGCCCACCCTCGCCGTCTCCAAGGGATGCGGATGATTACAACAGCTGGGGGATTCTACGGTGGGTGGGTGTAGAAGAGTACACCAAGGAATCTCTTTGTAAAGAGAGAGGCGGATCGTATTGGTATCGAATGCCATCTGTCCTACAAGGTCCTCCTTCGCCGACCACGTTCAATGAGAAGCTTATCCAAGATATGAACCTCTTTCCCGACAAGACATTTTTCCGCATCAGCGAGATGATAAATGCCAGGAAAAACATGTATTTTGGTTCGCGCAAATCAGTATTTGAGCTGTTTGCACGGGTCGTTCATACCGGCTGTGGCGGTTTCAATTTCCAGACTTTCCAATCTTTCAAACTCGGAGATCTGTATGGTGCGACACCCAACATAGGTGGCATTATGATGTTCAAGGGAAAAGAAAGCCCCATCTACTGCGAATCCAGCCCGTTTCTTGCAGCGACAAAGACCGATGACAAATGCTACTGCCTCTGCGAAGTGGTAGAAGACGGAATGGCGGCGCTTGGCTGGTCTCTCTACATTTACGATATACAACCCGTTACGTGGGAGATCATTCAAAGCGCCGACGCCATCTTGAGCAACCGGGTTTAGAATGATTTGGTGTGGCATTGACCACAATATGTGTCGACTGGAAAATGTGGTGGAGTATTTGTCTCTTGGTCTGTTGAATGGCAGCTGGATTCAATGTCTATTCTTTCCAAAGAATATTGGCGTTCTATTCATCATGCTACAGTTTTCTATGTGGTTTCCTCTAAAAGAACACTTTCTATAGTGTAATGTCAGGTTTCCGTTAAACTCTTACCCAGTTCCTTTCCCTTTGTCGATAATTACTCTCTCGCTCTGAGGCATCTGTCTACCATGTTTGATGGTTGTACCCTCTACAGTCTACAGTCTCGCATTTTGGGCATACACTATACAAGACTTCAAATGTGATTTTTCACCTTGAAAAAGGGCGAGAGTTCTCGCACCATCATCTCGCGGAGCTCACGCTGCTCCTCTGCGGTGGGGACCTTCAAGGTGCCATGTCGCCGGCGCCAGCTCTCGTCAGTCTCGCGAATTTCAGCATCGGGGTCTTGGCCCGTGGAATCGACAAACTGAAAGGTGCGGTACTCGCAGTTCTTCCAGCTTGTGGCTATGTTTGTGCTTCGGTCAGTTGACAATGATCCTCATTATCCTTTTCTCCCTTTTCACGCTTGAAAAGCAGAGCAGATGTGGGAATTGCATCTTACGATATGTGTTGGTAATTCCGTGCCACTCCTCCGTCAAGAAGTGCAGAAACGCTCCGTGAGAAACCACGGCAATGTGCGCATCGTCTCCAAGGCCGGTGGCAATCTCCCTCAGCGCTACCCTCGCTTCTCTTGCTCTCGTCGCCAGCTTGTCAAGCGCGGGCTCAAAATAGCTTCCCTCACCCTTGAAGTTCCACCCCTCGCGCATTCTACTCAGGTCCGCCTTGTCGCCAAACTCAGCTGCGAGCTTCTCAATCGACGACCCCGTGTCTGAAGGTGCATCGGACACTTCCTGGAGAGTATCCAGCGCAATCACAGGGCCGAGCTTGTCCGTACCAAAGGACTGGAGGCAGGTATACAATGTGCGGCGCATGCCCGAGGCGACCAGGCCGCGGAGCTGGTCGTGATGCGGGAATGCGGCACGCAGATCGGCGCACTGCTGGTTGCCGAGAGGAGTGAGGTCCGGATCCGGCAGCTTCTCGTTTTCGGCGTTGAGGTTGTGGTAGCCTTGCGCGTGGCGTACGAGATGGATCGTGGGAGCCATGTTGTGCTGTATATGAGAGATATATGGGAGTGTGCTGGGCAATTCTCAAAAGGACAAAGCAAAGGTGAATTGGTCTATTAGGAAGCAAAAAGAGGTTCAAGTATCGAGAAATAGGAGAAATAAAAAAGGGAGCAACACCAACCGACTAACAAAAGCCCGCCTACACAGCCTAGACGAAGAGAGCAATGCTCGGCTCACCTACCGCATCAAGCAATCCCGCAAAAACGCATCCGATGACTCAAAATATTACGCGGAGAGGGTCACCCGGCTCCGAGGGGGGCGAACAAAAAACAAGGCCCCATCTTTTGTGCCTCCTCCGGCTCCGGCGATGGGAAAAATCGAAGAGGAGACGCCCCAGCTTAGGAGATGATGATGATACCTTACATAGGGCCGCGTCCCGCAATAAAAAAAAAAAAGGTTCCTTACATGAAAGTGAGTACATACGTTACTTTCGGCTCCCCGGCCTTGACCAAACAGATTCGTATAGAATAATGTTTAGTACAGGAGTAGCTAGAGATGCGGCTCGTGCTAGGATACGGGTGTCCCAATTGGGTGCTTTTTGCCTTGTTTAGTCCTTGTGGCTGGAACCAGTTTTTAGTGTGAGCCCCCCGTGTATGGATGAGTGGATAGAATGCACGATGCTTGCTTTTTTGGCGCCGAAAGCTCGTTCTTGATGCTGTTGCATTGACTATTATGCAACATGATGCAACTCCTTCGGAGCTCCGAGAGTATTTACAAACGCATACATACATACATACACAAGGTTCAAACGTCTACAAGTTGCGTCCAACAAAGAAAGAGACAACCCCATGTTTAGATTTTCGTAGTAAAGGATAAAAAAGGTCATTCTGACAGGCTACGGAACATCCATGTTACATCAACCTGCTGTCCAGTCCTCGTAAAACGCCGCGTCACTGTGTAAAACTCCCCGTTTTTGTCACTTTTAACCCGCATCTCATGACAAATTGCCGCCATTATTTCCCTCCCGGTTCAAATTAGATAACGAAATCAAAACTCAATAAGTGCCTCCTCCTTAACCGGTTGTTGCTGCTGTACGGGCTCATGTTGTGGTGCCGCGGGCATTGAGTACTGAGAATAACCAGCCCATTCAGGTGGAGGGGCAGGTGGCTGCTGCTGCTGCTGCTGTGGCATAGGCATCTGATAGGGTTGTCCTTGCGGCAGTTCCTGCTGGAAGGGCTGCTGGGTCGGGGCAGATGGGGCCTGAGAATGAACAGGCATGTGAGGCGTTGCGTTGGGGGGTTGTGTGAGTTGAGCTGGAGTCTGTAGCGGAGTTCCTTGCGTTTGTCCTGACACTGAGCCTCTATGGTATGGCATAGGTGACTGGTTCAGGTTAGGATACGGCGATTGGCTTGCGTCTGGAGCGGAGCCGGGGGCAGACGGCCCTGTAGGAACGGCTTGTAAAGGTTGAGGAGTGTTGAAGTAGTATGAAGCGTTGGGGTCTGTTGAAGGTGAAGTAGGTGCTTGTTGGGAGTACTGTCTTCGATCTTCGAGGTTCTCCTGCGGCTGCTGTTGCTGTTGGAACTGCTCAGGAGCTGATGGGGCCCGGTTGTTCCAGCCATCAGCTGTTTGTGGCTGCTGCTGAGGCGCATAGGGTCCAGAAGGGGCATCAGGTGCTGGCACGCCAGCATAAGGCGGATAAGGAGACTGCGGCATAGCATGCTGAGTAGGCATTTGATAGAGTTGCTGCTGAACTGGTGGTGCATAACCCGGCTGTTGCTGGCCTGTGTAGAAGCTTTCAGCACCTACGGAGTTGCTTGGAGCGTGGGAAGGTATTGAAGGGTAGGGTCCGGAGGCTTGACGAGGGGGTGGCAAGTTATAGCCGCCAAGATTCTGTTGGCTGTATGCTTTTGATAACCGGTCTTCCAGCATCCGGTCATAATATCTGACAACCGTGGACAGCTTGGCATGAAGGTCGAGGAGTGTATCTATTCATATTGTTAGCCATCGACAGTATAAGGCAGATTGACAGAATCTTTTACCATGCTTGCTCATCGTCTCGCCATATGTTCGCGCAAGCTTGGGACGCAGTGAACCAATGCTATCATACAACTCCTGAATCTGTGGTTCTCGTAGGATAGTGCCTGGAGGTTGAGTCTGGAGCCGGTCAACCAAGGTAGCAAAGAGATTGATATTCTCTGCCTCCACTGCCGTCAATTCGTAGTCGTTCTTTGGCAGCGTGAAGGTAGCGGAAGAGGAAGCGGCGGGCCCTGAAGTCTGTTCCTTTAGCGCAGCAGCATGTTTCTTCTTCTGCTCTTCCATATCTGCCAAGGACGCAGCAATCGCAGCTTTTAGGTCGTCGTCCTCCTCTTCAGCCTGCTTGGTGGCCGCTGCGTCTCCTCCACTCGTCCGAGGTCCATTGGTTGACACGGGCGGAGCCCTACCTCGGGAAGCATTGTTGACTTCTTCTAAACTCATCGCCAATGCCTTTTTAAGATCTTCATCGAACCCGTCGTCAACGCGCGCGTTTCGGGGCTGCATGGCAGATGTGCTACGGGTTTTGTGAGGATACGTCGGTGTGCGGTCGAGAGATGGAATTGGCTCTTTGAAACCCTTATTGGTGAGCTTAGCGTAACACCCATCATCGACTCGCACGGGAGTGGGTATCCCAAGATGAGGCAGCGGGAGCGATTTGCTAGAACACTGCTGGTCGAAGCAGTTGCCGCAGTTTCGACAGTGGTGTTTCCGGTTGGTAAACGTAAACGCCGTTCGACATCGCATGCAAACATCTGAATCAATCCATTCAGGTGGCTATTTGACCTGTCATTAGCTGACAGCCCTTCAGACGTCTTGCTCGAGACACCGATGAATTTAATTTCTTACCGCGCTGCTGTCAATCATACTGCTCGCCACCGTCACCCGCGGCGGGAACTGATACCCCTCCCGCTGCAAACGCTTATACACTTCGCCAATATAGGAAAGCTCGTATCGTCCTTCTGTGGCTCCGGCCCATGACTGAATAAGCTCGAGCATCTTGTTTTTCACTTCGGCGTTGACGGCGACGGGACCGACGGCTTGGAGAAGAGAGGTCAGGTTGTCCATGAACTCGCGAGAGGCGATTTCTGTGAGGAAATGCGACCCGCCATTCTTGACGCACGCATCCGTAAGCTGTAGATGGAGAGTGGTGTTAGGATAGGCTCCAGCTCAGAATCAAAACGGGAAGAGGGTAGAACGAGGAATGCCGGATAACATACGTTGAGGGCGCTCAGCTGGGTGTTTGGGTTCTTGTTGCCGATGCGCCGTTTGAGCGACCGCATGGCCTCTTTGGGCGCCACCGTCTTGGACCTGATGACATCGGAGATCTCGAGGTTGAGCGCGATATCTTCCCTACACATCTCGTGGTTAGTCCAGCTTCGTTACGGGAGCAGTGGAAGCAGCAGGAGGTCGTCGTACAGGCTACTGCTCGTGGCCTTTTCGATCTGCTCGTCCAGGGCCGTGTTGGCCGAGTTTGACCACCAGCTCATCATGTTGACGGCGGCAAGAGGGACTTGGCGCCACTCGGGAGGAGAATAGCGGGACGGCGGAAGCGGAGAAGCGAGGCAGAAGAGAAGAGCTCAGGGATGGCGATGGTGAGGGAGCTGAAGGTGATGGAGATTGTCGCGAGGCTACGAGGTCCGTTCTGGTCAAGTCCAGGTACTTTCGGCTCCGCTGACGACGTCGTCAGTTGCGTCACGGCCGCGGAGGCACCAGCCGGAACAGTGGTTAATCCGCTACAGGCGCCGAGGCAGGCCTAGAGCAGGCTGTTCCTGTGCCTGTAATAACTGTAATTTCACTTGTACAGAGGCTGAGCAGCACTGTCGGAACGATATTGGATCAGATGCAAGTGCTTTCTGCAGACGCATGCTGGAAGTGATTCTCTTTTTTTCTCTTTTTTCTCTTTTTTTTTTTTTTTTCAGGCATCGGAATGCTACAGAGTACCTAGTATACAGTCATACAAAGTTGGCTATGGGTGTTTCCACTGTCGTCTGCCTCGAGCCATCAGCTTTACCAGGCAGAAACCCAGCTCTTGTAAGCCAATATGCCTCGTCCCAGAGCGGCAAAAGCCGAATTTTCCGCGAAGTTGTCTTTTCTAACAGGTACCTACCTGGCAACATTATAAGAGGTATCAGTAAGTATCTATTCAGGTAGTACCTATCTACTAGGTACCTAGTTTAAACCTGCCAACCCGGACGGTTCGAGGTCTTGAATACCTCAAACAAGGTAAACAAACAAATGGCTACTAAAACTTATGCGATGCTCCAAAAAGTGGTAGTGTTGAAAAGTGCATTCTGCCTTAATAGTAATGAATGAACAGCGCTGCGATGACGTAGTGCTGCGGGATATGAAATAGCCCACTTAGAGAAGTCCTGAGCATGGAACGAGCTTCCTCTGAATGAGAGAGACAGCGTGGCGGTGAGAGGCGAATTCTAAACGGCAGCTCCGGTACCGATGCGGTTGAACTCTGTGGTTCAAATAAGCAGACGTAAAAGAGTGAGTAAGAGGGAGGATTTTGATATACCACAAGTCCACGCACTTCCTAGGCCTTGTGTGTTGTTTCAGCGTTTCCGCCGCTATCAGGAATCAATGGCCAAACCGCGTCAGCCAAGCCAATGACGACGCTCGGCTGTGGCTGATGCGTGTGCAATTTGGCGGCGCCGATTCAAGGTACTTGGAAAGAGTTGCGGCACAGGCTGGAGATACAGCACAGTACAGACATCCATGTGGGGGCTACTTGAAACTCAACGCATAATCATGTGTGGTGTAAAGTACCGAAATGAAATTCGGTGTACTTTATACCCCACGTCCGCATGCTAATCCGCCCGCACTTGTACCGTGTCCAGGCTGGTAATTACCTGGTAGTAGAGGCCTAGAGTGGTGCAACCCCCAATAGGCCAAGTTCCCAAACAGCGTCGCCAAAGCAGCTGACTACTCTATCGTTTGTTGACGGCTTCACTCCCCATTCATACGCACAAGACCAGGCCTCCATCCCTTGGCCTGCCGCCCGCCACAGCAACCGGCCTCTTCACAGACAACGACACGCGAGATCCCGACTTTGAAACCCCCGGTCATACGAGAATGCTTTGTGCTGCCACAGCCCCTCATCAGGGCCCCCGAAAGCCGCTGTCATAGGAACCACGTCTTTGTCCTGCCTGCCGCTCGATGCTTGTCTCCCTGAGATGACAAGATCAGACCTCGTATCAGATTCGATCCGTGCGCCCCATTGACGCCTGTCCTTTCCACGCAATCGGCGAGACCACCGCTGAAGCGCCGCACGGCCGACGACGCCAGATCCCATATACCACCCGCCTCATATCCAGCCGCTCCCGACATCGATGACAACGGCAGACCCTATTGATACCACGAGGCACCACATGGCCGTGAATGCCAGGCACAGCATGCCGCCTTCGGGCTACGATGGCATGAATGGCGGCTATGCTCCTCCCCCAGGCGCAACCGCGCCGCTGCCACACATCGAGGATATGGTGGCCTTTCCCCAAGACATCAACCGGAACCAGACGATGAAGCATCTGCTCGAACTGGCCGAAACAACTCTGGCAAAATCCGAAATGGGCCGCGAATTCGGGAAACCCGCCCTGGCCTTCAAAGATTATGTCAAGGCGTCGGTCATTGCCGTGCAAATCATTCCTTCCCACCGTGAGTATGTAGAGCTCAAGAGCCGTCGCGACGACTGGAATCGAAGACACCAGACTCTCTTGAAGAAGATAGCCCAGCAAAGTGACATATACGAACAAATCAAGCGGGATATCATCGCAGACAACGAGAGGACCGGTGTACAACCAACCGTTCCTGCTTCGACTCAGCAAAAGGCCAGCGCAAATGCCATTTTATCACAGGCCTCCTCAATTATAGATGCGCGTCCAGAGAGACAACAGCCTGTCAATGTACAGCAACCCGAGCCTCATACGAACGGCTCACCGGGAAAGGTCAAGCCCGTTGTGCACCCCAAGCCACAGTCTTTGGCTGGCCATGCTATCAAACCTGGGCACGCCCGTGCCGCCTCCGCCGCCTCAGCCATCTCCTCGACCCAGGCCATGTCGGATCTTGCTGCACGCTTTGCCAACTTGCGAGGCCCTCAACCTTCTCCAGGTCAAGATCCTCGCATTAAGACTCACCATATTGTACCACCGCCTAGCAGACCTGCCGGGCCCCGAGATATGCCACCGCCACGCCCCAAAATATCGTTAGATAGCGGAGTTCCGTCACTGCCAAAGATGCCTGATGCAATTTACAGTCCTGCCCGAGGTAGCATCTCTGGGGAATCCTCTCGGCTTCCTCCTAGCACGCCCCGAGGCCCTTTCAGCCGGGCTGGATCAATTGTATCTGTTGGCAGCGCGACAAGCACTCCCTTACCGCAGCAGCAGCAGAGCAATGATTATTTTTCATTTCAATCACAAAGTTATTCTAGGAACGGAAATGGGGACGCTCCGCAGCCACCAGAGAATAGCTTCAAAGTGCCGGAAGGTGATAGAATTACACCCGAAGAGCTCTTTGAGGCCATGAAAGCAAAGGGTTCTATTTTAATCATAGACGTCCGTGCTCGTGAGGACTTTGATGAGGGCCACATCATGTCCTCCTCCACAATTTGCATTGATCCGAGCATCCTTTCCAGGCCCAACATCTCTGCTGATGAAATAGCCGAGAGCCTGGTTCTTTCCCCGAGTCAGGAGCAAATTCAGTTCGAAAGACGGGCCAGTTACGATTTGGTGGTATTTTATGACCAGTACTCGGAAAAAATCCCCTCTCCTTGGAATACGGAAGAAGCTGCTCTTTTGTCCCTGCATCGCGCCTTGGTACACCTCAGCTACGGACACGAACTGCGAAATTCCCCAAAGCTGCTCAAAGGAGGTTTGGACGCATGGGTCGATCTTATGGGCTCTGCGTCTCTGCAGTCAACGGTTCCTCCCAAACCCAAGAAGATTTCATTAGTTAGGCAGGGTCCGTTCCAACGGCGGCCCTCGCAGTATCTGGGAAAGCCACTGAGGCCTGACATTGTCAAAGTCTGGCAACAGGCTGTAGAAATTGAAGAAAAGGAGACGGAGACGGCTACAGAGCAGGCTTTCCACCGCTCAACTGAATCTTTCTTGCGAAGGTTCCCTTCTTTGTCTCTGCAAGAGTCAATGACGTCGCCCGCCATTGCTGAACAAAGAACTCCGGGCTACGGCTCGTCACACCAGGTCGACCTATATACCGACCTCCCTTCTCCTCCTACAAGACCAGCTCCGGCACTGCCACGATTAAGCTACAGCAGCCTGTCCCAGACGGTCGAGGACCACGACATGTATCATGAACCAGCTCCGGCACCTCCCGCGCCACCACCTTCTGAGAAAGTCTTTTACACCGGTCTAAACAACCCTCATAATTGGTGTTATGCGAACAGTACTCTGCAATCATTATTGGCATCGCCTAATTTTGGGAGAGAATTGAGCAATTCAGAATGGGTTGAGAGATACCAGGTACCAAGGAAGGATGATGAGAAGATTGACCAACCGCAGTTGATGATTAAGATAATATCAAATCTATTTCATTGGATGACGACGGGAAAGTTCAAAACCATGAAAGCTCAGACACTAATGGTATGTTGTTTTACTTTCTTTGTCGTGCTCACTCATCCATTCCACATTTCCATTGCTGACAAGTCTTTTCTTTCAGGATTACTCCCTTCATCTTTGCCAGCACAGTCAAACTATATCCAAGTTTGGTGGCAATGGGCAACAGGACGCTCAAGAGTTCATGTCCTTTTTATTAGACTACCTCCATGATGAAACTAATTCTCGCCGAAACCTCAAAGGCAACATTCCACAGCCAAGTACGATTCCTCAGGCACGCTTGCAGGCTGCCGTTGAGTATTGGAGAAACTACCAAGAGCTGAATCGATCTATCGTTGATCGCTACTGGCGAGGCCTTGAGCTCTCAACAGTCGACTGCCAACGATGCCATAAGCAGACGCACACTTTCTCGACGTTTGACTTGGTTTTCGCGCCCGTCGGTAAGAATCAAGACATCACCCTCGAGGACTCGTTCCGAGAACACAACGTTGTCAACACGCTCGACAACTTTGCATGCGACACGTGCAAGAGAAACACAAAGGCCATGCAAACCACTTGCTTTGCCCGCATGCCTCCGCTGCTGTGCCTGAGTTTCCGCAGGTTTGATTTCGACAAATCTGTCGGAGACATTAAGAAGTCGACAAGAAGAGTCACTTGGGACTTTAACGAGATCGACCTCACGCCATACTTTATGCGGACAGGCGAAAACTCAAGCGACAGGGCTTTTTCGGGGCCGTTCAAATACCAGTGCTACGCCGTGATTGTTCACAGCGGCAGCAAGACTGACAACGGGCACTACTACGCTTACGTGCGAGACTCGAGCACACACGATCAATATGCGTGGTACCGCTGCGAAGATAGTCAGGTCACCAAAGTACGCATCGGCACTGGCGATGCGACAGACTACAAGGAGAACGTATTCAAATCCGGGAGAGACACGGTCCCTTACCTGGCCTTTTTCAGGAGGAAAGATAGCTGAATGTAGAGGGGACACGATTTTACTTTTCCCCTTCTTCTTCTTCTTCTTCTTCCTCCTCCACGTCCACACGTTTGTTGGGGCATAAACATACGAATCATGAACAAGGGGCGGGAGAGAGCAATAGAAGGAGAGAAAGAGATGTGACTTGTACATTTGTTTGCCTTTTTTCTTTTCTCTCAGTGTACTTTAGCGTTCCAACTTTTGTTTTTTCTTCATGTATCTCTTGTTTTCTCTACAAATATCCATTGAGTATTTCAACGCCTTTTTTTTCTTGATATATATATACAACTTGTTCAGCCTGTACTGTTTCTTTTTTTTCTTTTCTTGATTCTTTGTATGCTTTTTAGTACCCTAGGATCGGTAGGCGAAAGCATGGCAATGGAGTTTGCATTGGAGCATTTTTCTTGTGTGGTGGTTTTTATTTGATATCATATACATCTATTGTACTTTGCACGAGTTAGGCTAGAAGAAGAAGAAGAAAGTTTCTATAATATCAGCGAGAGGCATCATCACGATACTTTCTGGTGTCTTCCCCCGAATGTCAATTTACGTGCAACCCAATGAAAAAAAAAATGGGCGAGCGAGAGCAACAACTCGCAAGCAGCATTAGAGATAAAAAAGTGGTATAAATGTCATTAATTAGGCCCACGTCCCAAGAGCAGTAACAATAAAGGCAAATTAAATCACGTCGTGCTACATGGCCTGAATCACAACGGCGGTATCATCATCATCCCACCCTCTTTCCTCAATCCCATTTACACCAAGCCACACACCTCGTCACCCCCCATCTCTTCACCCCCATCTCTTCACCCCCATCTCTTAGCCTCTTCTCGCCATCTTCAGCACATGAAAAGATAAGAGGGTAAAATAAAAAGATACACAAAAAGGCTGTGCTTATGGAGAAGATTTAAGGGGCGTGCTTCAAGCACTCGTCGATCTGCTGCTTAAAAGCCTCCCGGATGACTTTCCTGTTGAGCTTCTGTGTAGCAGTAACCAGGCCCTACAAGGAGAAGAAACAAACTGTTAGTATACAGACAGCCAAGTCAAGGGAGAATGCAAACTTACGCTGTTGGGGGTCCACTCCGCATCAGTAACAACGACGCCGCCAACCGTCTCCAAACCAGACAGGCCAGATCGCTTGGCGGTAACTTGCAGGTCCTTGAGAACTGCCGCCTGAACCTTGGGGTCATGGTGCATGCTGTGCTCGTCAACGCCAAGCTCCGCCGCCTTGTCAGCCAGAACCTTCTCATTGGCCATGATGATGGCAATGGGGCGGTTGTGCTCGGGGTCTGCATGGATCATGAGATTGGCCACGAGCTGGGATCCTCGGTAAACAGCCTCCAGCTTCTCCAGGGCAATGTACTCGCCACCCTGCATCTTCACAAGGTTCTTGACTCGATCAATGACGCGCAGGTGGCCATCGGCATCGAACTCGCCAATATCACCGGTCTTGAACCAACCATCGGGGGTGAGAGCCTTGGCAGTCTCTTCTGGGTTGTTGTAATACTCCTTCATGATGGGGAGACCCCTCATCCAAATCTCACCTTGCGGGACCTTGGCATCGGTAGAGTATCCGATTTCAGGAATGGAAACGAGCTTCACTTCAATGGCACCAGAAACGGGGCCAATGGCATTGGCACTGTACTCGAGCGGGTTTCCCAATGAGCCGTTGGCGCAGGTTTCGGTCAAGCCATAACCAGCCAACATGGGGGCGAGAACTAGGGATAGGAAGTGCTTGGTGCTGTCCGAAATGCCACTGGCACCGTTCATGGTAAAACGAAGTCGGCCTCCAGTCAGCTGTCGAACTTTACTAAAGACAATGGGGTCGAAGATGCTGGCAAGCGGAAGCTTGTTGCGCGACATGAAGCTCTTGTAGCTGAAAGCTCCCCAGAAGAGCGACTTGAGAACGGGGCTAGAAGATTCCAGCTTTGCCATGACTCCCTTCTTGACGGTCTCCCACACCTGGGGGACACCAACCATGACGGTTGGCCGCAGCTCCCGCATGTCACCAGCGCAGTTCTTCATGGAGGTATCTGAAAGAGTCCTGGGGTTTCCGTATCCTAGGCAGCCACCAATGGACATGACGAGGTTCTCGAGAGCCATTTCGAAAATGTGCGCAAGAGGAAGGTAGGCGAGAACAACCTCCTTGTCGCTAACGGTCTCGCCGACAGACGCGAGGAGGCCCGTAACTAGTAGCAGAGAAAGTCAGTATTGGATCACAGTCGCGACGCAACAAGGATACATACCTCCCGCAACAAGCGCCTCATGGGTGATGCAAGCACCCTTGGGAAGACCAGTGGAACCAGAGGTATACATGACGCAGAAGACGTCCTCGGGCTTGCCGGGGTTAGGCTCAACCATGTTCTCCTCGCCGAGCTTGCGGAGTTCCTCCCACGTTACGACGCGGATATCCGGGTTCTCTTTCTTGTAGGCTTCGATCTCGCCGCCAACGGTGAAGATGCTGTCCTCGTTGACGATGACAGTCTTGACCTTTGACTTGCGAATGGGGCCGGCGGCCGTCTTGAGCAAGTGAGGGTCGACATACATGGCCTCCGCATCGGTCTGGACGAGCGAGTGCTCGACGCCGCTCTCGCCGAGGGTGTCGTAGGCAGTGACGATGGAGATGGATTGGGAGGCACAGGCATGGGACATGGAGATCCAGTTCACACTACAGGACGAGAGAGGATTCATTGTTAGCGGATTTCACGCGCCCTGAAAGATGCCGGCTAAGACGAGCGGCATTCTTGTGCCTCTGTGCTACAACAGCAACAAAATAACCCGCCACAGAAGGCATTGACTTGCTGGAATGGCACGGCTTACCTGGTTGTGCCGAAAAGGTGCAGCTTCTGAGACTCGCCAAAGCCCAGCTTGCGCAGGCCGGAAGCCAGCTGCAGAACGAGCTTCTCGTACTCCTTGAAGGTCAGGAAGTCGAACTTGCTCAGTTCGAAGAACTGCCACTCCTTGTCCACCTCGACAATCTGGCCATCGATGTTCTTGGGGACCTTCTTGATCTCCTTGTGCAGCTCAATGAGCCTCCGGTGGCCCACGGCAAGGTGGTTGGGATACTCGCGGGCGCTGCGGCGGACAATGTCGAAGACGGTATGTACGTCATCGTGAGGTTTGGTGAGCAGGCCGTCCTTGGCCAATGGGTGGCGACGCGGGATCGTCTCACCAGGGACCTTTTCGTACCCGGAAGCTTCGACAGTGAAGGGCGGCTTGCGCACCTGGGTCAAGGGCATAACGCCCGGGCCAGTCCAGTCCGTCATGTTGAGGGTTGTTGGGGGTTGTTTGCTGCGGCGGATGGCCTAGGGGATGATGGAGCGAGAGGGAACAGAGGAAGAGACAGACGCGGAGGAGATTAAAGCTGTTGAAAAGAGAGCTTTGCTCGTGCCGGGGGGAGTTGCAGGGGGGGAGGGGGTGAGGGTCCGGCTTTTGCTCAAGCAGCAGAAGCTTCGTGTCTGACGGGATCCGGAGCTACTATATAAGCAGGCAAGGCAAAGCAACGCTTGACGATGACGACGACGAAGCGCGAGAATTCGAAACGAAGGAGTGAGGGGAATCAAGTCAAGACGAGGAAGAAATAGGAAAGAAATGAAAAGGGCGTTGGGACAAGTTGGGCAATGATGCAGCAAAGCAGTCCAGGCAGATGCAGGGAGAGAGAGGGAGAGGAGAGCGAGGAAGCGAAGCTTGGAGGCAAAAGCTGGAGGCAGCGCGAGGCAAGGCTAAAGTTAGTTACGTAGCCGGTACGGTACTGGCAGGCCCAGGCCCAGGGCGGGCGTCGTACCGGTACCTGTACATTGGGGTGCTACGGGCTGGATTGGATGGGCTTTTAGGGGAAGCAGCTCTGCTACTGGACTACTGCACAGTACTATGTACTCCAGCAGCCACTGCACTGCAGCAGCCAGCCCATCATAAACGATTGATTGCAGCGCTGCAGTCGCCTAGCAGGCCACAGGCCTAGCTCAAGGCAGCTAAGCTGCACTCCAAGCTGCGCTACTTGTGATTGCTCCAACCAGCGACCCCTGCAAGCCAGGCCAAAGCAACTTGGTTTTTTGCCGGGTCTGGTGGCGTTCTGGGGGAATTTTGTTGGGTCCAGACGAGGGCCATGGGGTGTCTGACGCTAAGCTGCAGCTGCATTTCCTGCTCCCCAATCCAATCCCCCTCGCCGCAGCGTTGCGATTTATGCCGTGGGGTCCGTGTTGTGTGTGTGGACGGGAGGTATCGGTACAAGGACGTTGTCTAGGGATTGAACGAATTATGTACCTTGGGATTGATGCCGGGTGCGTTTCCGTACCTACCGTAGTAACGGATAAGGCACCTGCTATTACCTGTATATGTTGACATGTACCTTGTATTGATTACAGCTCCCGCTCCTCTTCAAAGTTTATTAATACAGCGTACAGGTATAGTAATCCATCTTCCACTGTTAAACACCAGAACAATGAGGCACTTTAACAATGATGGAGCTGTCCATCGACGATAAATGATGACATGCCTCTTGCTAAGGCAGGACGGCACTCTTAGCACCTACACCAAGTGGTCCTGAGTAGGTACTCGAACTTGCACCGGCTGTCTCCATAGCTGAGACCTGACGCATGTCTGTCCATGTACCCATACTTGGGCCCAGCTCGTCGATCTGGCACCACCTTAAATAACCTGTTAAAACAGCTGCCCCAGCGCCGAAACCCGAACGGATCCCCTTCATCCGCCTTCTGTAGCGTATACGAATATATTGTCCATAGAGCTAGGATGCCCTGATTGTGTTGTGTGACCGGCAGCATTCAACATCCAACTCAATGGACGCATCATCATCACCATCATCATCAGCACCTCTTCTTACTCATCCTCTCCCCCCCAGCCCATCAGCAGTGACTCCAGCATCGGGCCAACCTTGTTTCTGATGCACACTCCCGAAAAGCCGAGATGCGGACATGACATTCAGCCGTTTGCCGCGCCGTGCCGTTGCTAACACCGACCGAGCCTTCCAGCACCTCGAACCTTGGAATACAGCGGCTTCACACGTCGGGATTCCAAACATTCTCCTTCGGCCATCTCTTCTTTTGGGCGCTGCAACTCCAGCTGGTACTGTACATGTGCTCGTTTTCCAGGGTAGGCATCCCCTCACATGCCCTCCATACACAGCGAAAAAACCACAATCCTGAAGCCCTCCATCAATAGGTGTAAACACGCATCACAATTCGCCGTCATATGACCTTCAAAGCCGCAGCTCTTTACTAAGGTATACACCTACCTCTCAATACTAACCTCAAGTAAACCCCAAGCCTCGCTTCCTCTCCCCTTGGCAATGAATCCGCGGGACCACGTTACCTTCAGCCAAGTGGGCTGAGAGCCTTGGCGGCAAGTAAAGCCACGACCTAAAAAGCTCGCCACGCTGCAACTGTAACAACGCGCTGTGAGGATCGAGGCTCATGATTTCTTGGTCTGGGACCCCCCCTGGCAATTAGTCAACGCACCTAAATCCAACCCCCCTCCATCGCGCCCTCGTCTGTCTCTCAATTCCTTGATTCATACTCCGTAGAGAGAGAGAGAGATAGGGAAAAGCCCTCATGCGACATGCAGAGCCAACGAGTATTTTTTTTTTTTTAAAAAAAACAAAAGGCCCTCATCGGAAATTACCTACGTTAGATAGACCAACCATGTCCGTTCATGCATGGCGTCCACCCTCTAATAAAATAATAATACGAAATGCTACTCTGCGAGAGAAAAAAAATTCACAACAACAGGTGCCGAGGTCAAAATGTTCAGCTGAACCTGCTTTTGATGCTTCAACCGAGCTTCGATACTTATATTTGCCATGTGCGCTCTCTCATGCATAACGATATCGCCTCCTCATACCATGCATCTCTACTGCAAGCGACAGCGCCAGCCAGCCGCACTGGATTTCATAAATCGACGCACTAATATTCATTATGCTAATTGATCTGCTGAAAGCTATACTATAAATATACTATTTCCTTCTCCCAAACGCCAGAATCCTGCCGAGGCCATTTCGGGGCCATTCCTCCAAACAAAGACTTCACATTGAAAAATCGAGGACACGTCAGGGATAGCCCGTGCGCATGTAACAGTATCAATGCATCTATTCAAATCATGAGGAACCTAGGGGCGGCGTCTTCCCTTCCACCGCGGAACGCTTGATATCATCGGGGGAAAAAATTGAAACAACCGTTGGTTTATAATCCAGCCATAAACGATAAAAAAGGACATGCCCAATGAGCAAGCTGCCCTTCAAAAAACAAAATCTAGCGCCGTGGCCTGGACCACTAAGTAAGCTGCAGCGGCTCAGTCTTCTCGCACGTAAATAGGTTAATGTGGTGATCGCCTCGTGCTGCGCAGCCAAGAATCGGGTGATGCGGGTGGAATGCCGTGGCTGAGATGGGAGATCCCCGGTTCTGCTGCAGGAAGCTTGAGTAGGGCTCGAGTCGAGAAAGCTCGTTGCCGCTCAGGTTAAACACTTTGACGACATGAGCAGAGGTGCCCCTAAAAACAACAATTGCGTTAGCCACGGTGCACTATTAGGGAGTCAAGTACGTGAGCAGATATAAAACTTACACTGAAAATACCGGCAGATGCTCGTGCACGCTTGCCGTCCGTAGAGTGTCCCGCGTTGTCTGGAAGGAATGCAAAGGCTTGTCCATGCGGATATCCCACACCTTGATTTTGCCATTGCGGCTAGCGCTCACCAGCTCTCGCTTTCCTCCACGCTGCATGTGTACACTCTTGATCCATTGGCGATCCGACTCGTCTTTCCACTTGCGCACCATGGATTCCTGCGGCTTCAGCCTCGTGTCGAAGACGCGGACGGCGCCGTCACCAAACCCGGCCACAAAGATGTTGCCCGTCATCTGGTCCGATGTGAGGGAGGTAACACATGAGCCAGATCGGGCAGGAATGTCCATTATGCACGTCTCATGCCCAGCAAACCACACCCGGATAACTCGAACGTCGCCGGCAACGAGGACGCGCCCCGTCGCTTGCTGCCAGTCGAAAACCATTCCGGAGTTGACATTGCTGGGAACCATGTGAGTGAGTGCCCGCCAAGACGTAGCCAGCTCAATGTCCTGCTCCGAGTCGTAATTGCGATATACTCGGATTACGCCATCTGACGATCCAGTCATCAAAATGGCCTGGTCGTCTTCATTGATGAACTTCATGTCACTAATCTTGGAACCTTCTGGATTGCCATTGGAGAATTTGTTCAGGCGTCCTTGTTTCTTCCAGTCCCAAACATAAACCGTGTTGGCGTCGTCTGCCACTGCCAAGTGGTCTTCAAACTGGTGGAATGTCATCTTGGCAGGCTGGGCGCCGTTGTTAATGATGCCTAACTGATTGTTCCACCTGTGAGCGCCCGCAATATGTTTGAGCGGTTGCGTTTCTCTCATAATAGCTTCATTCCTGGCTCTCCGCCACAATCTCTCGTTGTAGTCGGTGCTGCCAGGCTCGTCCGCCTCGGTGTTCTTCATCTGGGGCTCACGGAAGTACTCGATTGACCACTCGAGGAACTTGCTCGTAAGCGGCAGGCTTGGCTCCTTGGTCAGGTCACGCTCTTCATACGTGCCAGAAACCGGCTCCCGCGCATTGTGGTATGTTGCCGAGGGCCCAGAGTAGTCGTTCTGTTCAGGGGGTGCAGATACCCGGTCGGGAGATACCTTTGCTGAAGGTGACTTTGGTGGAACTGGGCTGTTGGGGGTGGTAGGCCGAGACTTTTCTTCGCTGTTGATGAAGGACTGGAATAAGAGACTAGCTGTTCGTCTAAGAAGGCCAGGAGATTGCAAAGGCTGAGGGCTAAGAGCCCCGTTAGTCCTCTGGCCCAAAGAAGCCGTGCTTCTGCTGCGCGACGCCCTGTTTGCCCTTCTCTGGACCTCTCCCATCAAGGCATGGGCAGCCTCGCCGAGGCTAGAGTTAATCAAAGCATTGTGGACGTAGTCAATAACAGTGGTAGCTTCCCGCTGCACCTCTGGATGGGGGTCAACGCTCAGAATCAAGGCATGTTTCCAGAACGCCATGTAAACCGTATTGTGGGAGAGGCCGTGAGCAGTGGGCTTGATGGTCCCGTCCCTCTGCCTGTTATCCGGTCTGGCATAGTGCAGGCCCATTTTGTGATCTTGCCCATCGTCTTGTGGGGGGAACACCAGATACTCCTTCTCCTCAAGGAGCTGCTCATAGGCCGCAACCAAAAACTTGCTCTCGAAGCGAATAATAAAGTGAGACAAGAAAACCAAGAATTCCTTGCGTACAATCGGACTGCCGTCATTTCCCATGTCGAGAATTGTCCAAGCAATCGATTCCTCGATCCGCGCAACCTCCTCCGTCAAGTCGGGGATTCCGAGGAAAGTGGTAAGCGCATGGATCATGGCCGCCCGTACTTCACAGCATGGATCCTTGGTGAGGAATGCTAGCTTGGCGTAAGCATTTTCTCGAATGCCACGCCATTTGGCCTCGGGCAAATCTTGCCACAGCTGGCTGATACATAGACAAGCCCATTGGCGCAAGAGGGGGTTGCCCTCGTTTTGCAGGTGGGCCAGGCAGTAGCTCATGATTTCCGTCTGGTTGCATACCATCTGGCCGTTTCTGTAGCCCTTGCACAGCATGGCCAGGATAAAAGCGCACATGGCCTTGTGCTCATCGCCATTCACGACGGGCAAAGCCTCGGATGGTTTCAAAATCTGTGCAAAGTAGCTGTAACCGCTGTCCTTGATAAGGTCTTGCTGGCATGAAATATCCACGGCAATGAGTCTTGCCCAGATGAAAACCATCACGGGCTTTAGTTCGGTTGCAGCAGATTGCAACAACTTTAGAACGTACGGGAAGATGCCAATGCTGAGAGCCAGCTGAACCGACCATGGCCCCAGATCAAGGAATCTTCCCAACAATATCAAGGCTCGCACCCTATGCTGCTGGCTCAGGAGTACCTGAAGGACAACTGGCAATTGATCAGGGGGCTTTTGGGCCACAGCGTCTCCTCTGGTGAGGTAGACGTCGAAAGCAGTCAGCTGCTCAGTGAAGAAGGAAGAATTCTGGTATTCATAGTCGATACCCTCGTTTTCCTTTCTCTCCAGCAAGGGTAGCTGTGCCAAGGCCATGTCAACGGCCAAATCCCACGTTTCCCACAATGGGTGCTGGTGAGTGTCTGGCAAGGCGGGGTATGATTGAGGGTGGCATCCATACACAGTCATGATCCTCTGCGCCAGCAGAAAGTTCCGGAATAGGGCGGCCACCATCAGATCTTGCCTGAAGAACTTTCTAAACAGATCCCGAGGCAGGGTAGTCCATGCAATGCTGTCGGTAATGGCTGTAAAGATCCAGTTGAGCTCCCCAAGGGGTGTCCTCCTCTCTTGTAGACGGCCGGGAAGCTTCTTGGCACGTTCAGGGCTAATGTTGGTCTTGAGAGGGTTCTGCAGAACGAAGAACCAGAGTGCCATTTCGATCGGGGTCGTCAGACATGACGTGAACAGATCGGCAGGGAGCAGTGGATTGGTGGGGAGATTCTCCTTGACCGCACACGCAGCTAAATGAATATAAGGTCTATAATTTGTTTTGACGTAATGAGGATCCCGCTGTGCGGCTTCCTCCTCCTCCTCGTCATGTTTATCGACGAATCGGTGATAATTGTTGAGAATGTTGCCGGCCTCTGAGCAATCCCACACGAAGATGGTGGGGGCCTGAAGCCATTGCTGCAGATCGTACAATGAAACTGGGATATACTGAGTATAGGTCTTGTTAAATACCCAAATCTCGCCCGACGCCGTCGGTTTTGGCACACCGTGGCCGTTGTAATGCAGCAACACGCGCTCGTCCTTGGCGTTGCGACGAAGAGATATGCAGAATTTTTTCGTCTCTTCAACTGAGGGGTCCAGGTACTGCTTGTAACGGGCTCTAATTGCAAGAGTCTCGTATTGCGCTTGGAGGGACTTGCCAATGTTCTCGAGCGCCTTCTGTATAGGAGGAATGGTAGGATCTGTCCAGGCCTCTAGCTTTGCGCCCGGATTGGTTTTGAGCTGGTCGGGAGGCTCGACACCGATGTTTAAGCATACAGCAAGGGCTGCAGATACTGTCTTGAGCCTATCTCTTTGGCGCCAATCTTGGAGTTCGTACTGCACCGCCTTGGGCTTGGCAGTGGTTTCGTGCCGTTTATCCGTAAAATACATGTACCAATTCTAGAATCCGGTATCAGCATGCTATCTTGGACAGTACTGGGACAGGCCAAGGGACGAGAGACTGCGAATTATTCGCTGTAGCGGGGGGGAGGAGGGGCACCCAAGAATTCGAGAGGATAAGGCTGGGATAGGAGAGGCTGATAAAACGTACATTCGCAAGCTGAGAAATGATATGTTCTGACTGGTAGTGGTCTTCAAAACCATGTCTAGCTCCCCATTCATGGATTTCATCTTCTTCGTGGTCCGATTCTTCGGCCTGTCGCGGCGCATATTCGCTCTTTGAGCGCTGGAGTGATGGCTTCACCGGTCGGGTCGGTCGCTCAGCCTCGATGCTAATGTCATCCCTGGTGTCGCCGGCAGAGACGCCATTCTTGCGGCCGGGCGCGCTCGAGGGCCGCTTGTCGGTCGTCTCGTTGGACTGGGAGTCGCGGTCGGAGCTGCTGGTCGACTGGACCTTGAATCTCGATGTCTCACCGCCGTTGGTGGCTGCGGCGGCGGCTGCGTGTGAGCCATTTGCACCAGTTCGCTGCGTCATCTCGGCTGGAAGGCCATGAGCCGCGGCTCGCAGCTCGTCTAGTCGCGCGGGCAACGGGGACAGCAGAGGCTGCTGATGGTCGAGAAGTGCGGGCGTTGCTTCTGTCAAGCTCGCAGCGTGTTGTTGTGGGTGCCGCGGAGGCGAAGTTTGTTGCGGTTGAGGCAGAGACATGACGGTCGCGGTCTAAAGTGGAGCAGGGCACTATATTCTAAATCTCATATCGAAGCACCCATGCTCAGTGGTGCAGTGCGCGGAATGGAATGCTGCTTTCATCGGCCGCGAAGCGATGCTGCGGGCGACGAGGTGATGCACGGTTTAAAAAAGTATGGAGATGGAAGATTCAAGAGTTCAAGTTGCAGCCTCGTTTGGGGAGGGGAGAGTTTGGGTTTCGGGCGAGGGATGGATGGCTTATTGGCAGCTGCGTTACCGTGCAGCACCTTTGAAAGTCTATTGCCAGCTGCTAACTGGCCGATGCAGTGGTCGTACAGCCCACAGCCATGCATATGTGCGTCTTCGGGTTGCCATCACAACGATGGGATGCCCGGTGTTACTACCCAAAGCTGGGCTACGCGTCAATTCTATCCAGCCCAGGCCTGTAACTGGCGGCGCTCCAGTGTTTGTTGAAGCCATCCATGATCCATCCCGCGGCTTGCCGCAGCGGTAGAGGTGGGAGGCAAGTTGGCAAGGCAGCAGGCAGCACTCCGAAAGACGAGGAATCCCGTTTCTCCGGACCGCGGCGTTGCAGTGCTTGACGATGAGTCACGACATGGGAATGTTCACTACCGGCGTCTATTTGGTTGATATTATTGCTGGGAAATAGTTGGTGTTTGCAGCAGATGTGATCCCGCGACCACGCTCTTGTGAATCAGGTAAGCGGCGGATACGAGATGTTGAGGTCGTGGGCGATCTAGACAAGGACGCTAAAAAGCTTATCCCGCAGCAAGCCATTCAGGCACCACATTCAGCAGCACAAGGCATCAGGTTCCGATAGAGCTTATTACTAGCCAGTACGGAGTACTCGTACGTATATAACATATCGATGTGTTTCTTTGTTGGACTTGCAGTATTGGTGGTTTGTTTGTCATAATCAGCCTCGCGCTCCCTTGAACCCTTTTGACAGCCACGCAGTTTTCTCACCGATGCCGACAAGGAGCACGTGATCACGCACGTCTCTGCAGTAGAATGTTTGTTCACAGGCAATAATACATAGAACCTTGAAGGCTCAATGCGTACTAATCGGAGCGATGCTCCCTGGGTTCCGGGTTCTAGAATCCAATTTGAAGGCAATGGCCTGGGTTGAGCTATTATTAACCATCTGCCCGCGAGCTAACAGCAGCCCAGTCCAGTATATTACGGCAGCAGCACCTTGAACAGCTGAATGGAAGCGTTCCGCGAAACAGCGTGGATATCAGCACCACACTCCGTAGCCCCGTGTAAGTGCCTTAGTGCTCAGCTACCGGTGGCGCGTTCCGACAAAACAACAATCAATCTCTGAGCTGATGTGAAGATTGCGTCGCATCAAAGACATGAATGAGACATGCCGCCAAGCAGCACGCAGTGTTCCTTTGCATCGTCCATGGCCATTTAGGGCTTAGCACTCGAATGAGGAATCTAGATTAGACGGTCTGTGCGCGTATTAGGTTAGTGGTAGCCCGAGGTCTTTTGGAGCTTGAAATGGAACGTTCTTCGACGAATCCTTCATGGTACGAAATACGCGGGATGCGTTAGTCTCATCAGGTAGCTCACTTACAACTGCACGCAGCCCAGGTCAACAAAGTGCGGGCTTTCCTTGGCTTCGACACAGGCAGGGGAGAAGAAAAAAAAAAAACCAAATCAAGCCTCCACAGCTGTCAATCGAGCATAGGTACATACATATTTTTAGCTCCCATGTTGTGCGAGACGCAGCAAATCTCCCAATTGCTGGGCTACGTACAGGGTAACAGGAGGAGGCAAATGTGATCGACGAGGTTGCCCCTGCTGGTGGGCGGCTCACAAACGCCTGCGACTGGGGGCAAATCAGCTTGCCGACTCAGCCAAGGCTCTTCCGGGTTAATAGCACGAGTGCCATTAATTGCCCGCAAGACAATAGGGGATGAAATGATCAGGAGCATGATGCCAACCGCGATCAGCATTGGAATTGCCGGGCGGCTATACCAAGATGGTACCAGTACCAAGGTTCCATACTACAGGCACTACTAGGTAAAGTTAAGGTATGCGGAGCAACCAAGATGACGGGAATCCGACGTGTGCTGCTCTCCAGTAAAAGGACTATGTGGCGTATTCAATCAATTAAATTCTATTTTCAAGCATGTGTACAAGTACTGTATCTGTACAGTAGCATGATTGCTATTACGGGGTCGGTCTGCTTCAAGCGATGCAGGCACGAGCACGATGAGGTCAGCAGTGGGCTCAGCTCTTCTTGGGCGAGCTTCCAGACGAAACGCACAGCATTGGCGGCCAAATCAGATTGTTCCTTGCGTCAGCCTTCCCGTATCCGACGCTGAAATGCCTGTCGCTGCCCCTCCAGCCCCTTGATTTCTGGCCAGCTCCACATCGTCGCCATCTCCGACCTGCAGAGTGTTACAGCGGAGGAACCTGGCTGCAGGCCGCCGCGCAGAGAGATCGCCGCCACTTCTGGCGCACCTGCATGTACCCCCCAGGTCACTGCTGTTAGGAGTCCCCCACAGCGCCATGCTGAGGCACGGCGGTACGTCAGTACCTACAGGAGGTTAGTGCACATTGGTGAGCATGCAGCCCCTAAAAACGTTCACTCAAGCACCCCAAGGACCAGCATCGCCCGCTAATTGGCCCGCTGGGCTGGCCCTGGCACTGTGACAGGAGGCCGAAACGCAGCCCAGCACCAGAAACGAACGCCTCTGCCCCCCGTGCCAGCTCCAATCCATCACCACCAGCAGTCGCTGTGGCTTTTTCCACCTCGAGTCGAGTTACTTCAGCTCTCTCTCGTTGGGCTTTACTGTCCTCACTGTTTCCGAGCAATTGCGAGCTGCATCTCCATTCCGCAGGTTCGCGAACGGCAGAGCAAACGGGCGTTGCTGCTTCACGGATCAGGGCCCTTTTACTTCCTGCCACCCTCCCGTCCCCAAAATAGGTGGCCACTGAAATTTCGGCGATACTCCCCCGGATACTTCCCACAGATGCTTGTCCAGCCATCTCGACGCTCGAGCTTCGACCCCCTTCTTTCCTAACAATTCTCCAGTCACTCTTTGGCCTTGTTGAGCCGTCCGTGTCTTTGTGTGCGTGCGCGCGCAATCCTCTCGTTGCTGTTTTCGTTTGGAGCTTCTCGCCCATTCACCCACGTTCGTTAAACATCGACAACCTCATCGTCCATTGCCCGTCTGGTCTGCGAACGCACCACTGCTCCCATTCCGCCAGCGAGCGGTCCGCAGCCGACCATGGCGTTTCTCTTCAAGTCCAAGAAGCACCAGGACCGTACGGTAACCAGTCGCGACGGCAGCTCAGGCTCTCAGGGGTCCATCCAAAACGCCCCCGGGCGCGCAGTGGCTAGAGACGACAAGAACACAGCATTGCAGCGCGCGACGCCAACGGGGAGCCTGCATTCTATCGACAATGACACCAACACCTCCAGCCCCGACCAGGGCCAAGGCCCAGGCCACGCCCGTCGTGCGGGAAGCGTCGATACGCCTCAGACGAGTGATTTGCCTGTGAGTGACCTTTCTTTGGAGCTAATCCAACTGACTACCGCATGTGTGACATCTAACACGCACAAACCCTCAAGTTTCGAAACCAACCGCCCGTGAGCAATTCCAATGCCTCGCTCTATCCGTGGTCGCAGCGGCGGTTGACATACACTTCGTCGCATCCGAGCCCGTTTCCTCGATATGGCGCCGCCGTCAACGCAGTCGCCTCCAAGGAAGGAGATGTTTATTTGATGGGTGGCCTGATCAACAGCTCGACTGTAAAGGGCGACCTTTGGATGATCGAGGCTGGTGGTAGCATGACATGTTACCCACTGGCGACAACTGCCGAGGGCCCGGGGCCTCGAGTTGGCCATGCCAGTTTGCTAGTCGGCAATGCCTTCATCGTTTATGGCGGAGACACCAAAATTGACGACAATGACATCTTAGACGAGACCCTATATCTACTTAATACTTGTGAGCCTTCATTCCCATGGAAATCCCCTAAACGGCAAGGGCGTCGAGAATCTTACCATAATTCTTGTTTGTAGCAACACGGCACTGGTCCCGTGCCCTGCCCGCTGGGCCGCGTCCATCGGGACGATATGGCCACTCACTCAACATCCTTGGCTCCAAGATATTCATCTTTGGTGGCCAGGTCGAAGGCTTCTTCATGAACGATCTCTCCGCGTTTGATCTCAACCAACTGCAGTCGCCAACTAATCGATGGGAGATTCTCCTCAAGGCAGAAGCGAGCCCCAAGATGCCCGCCGCACGAACGAACCATTCCATGGTGACTTTCAACGATAAGATGTACCTGTATGTGTAATAAATCGGCCCTATACAACTGTTGTCCTCTCTAACCACGCATGCTAGGTTTGGTGGCACAAATGGCTTCCAATGGTTCAACGACGTCTGGTGTTACGATCCTGCAGTCAACAAGTGGGCACAACTGGATTGCATCGGCTATATACCCGCTCCTCGTGAGGGCCACGCTGCTGCTCTGGTGGACGATGTCATGTATATTTTCGGCGGCAGAACCGAGGAAGGCACTGATTTGGGAGATCTTGCAGCGTTTCGCATCACGCAGCGGAGGTGGTATACTTTCCAGAACATGGGCCCCTCTCCCTCGGCTCGATCTGGTCATAGCATGACGACGGTTGGAAAATCCATTGTCGTGCTTGGCGGAGAGCCTAGCACTGCTTCTTCGTCTACTAACGATCTTGGTATTCTCTATGTATTGGACACGACTAAGATTCGGTATCCCAATGATGCTCCAGGAGGGCCCCAGAGAATACCCCAAGCGAGACGGCCAAGCGATGCATCGAATCCCAACAGACAGCCACCGATGCGCGATGTGTCCAACGGAGGAGGCCCTCCCGACGCCGGGAACATGATTGTCGGCGGTCCATCAAGCATCAACAACGGACCAGCTACCCGGAGAATCCCTTCCAACGGTATGGAACCGACCGGCTCACCAGGTCTCGGAGGGCCGGGCTCACCTCCTCCCGTTGGTGCGCCACCAAGAGCGCCTGGAGGCCCCCCCGGAGGCCCACCAGGTCCAGGAGGTCCAGGGAACAAAATGCAGATGTCCAGAGCTGCCGCGAATGCCAGCCCCTCCGGACCGCCTCCACAAGGCCCAACTCCTGCTAAGCCGGTTCCTGATCCGTCTGCTGTGGGACGTGTCCGAGGCGCGTCAGTTGACCGGGCGCCGGGGACGGGCTCACCCCAGCTGGCTTCTGCCCCGTCACCAATAACCCGCGAAATAATACCCGAGGACGAGACACCTGCACCCACATCTGCCCCTATGTCTGCAGCAGGCAATCCTGTTAACGGACGCCGAACACCCACTACGCCTACTCAAGTTGGAAGGGCAGGATCTAAGCAAGGCTCCTTGGGCGGCGGTGAACCCCCCCGGGGCAAAATGCGCCCGGGTAACCCAGGCTCGATTGATAGCATGACAGAAGGAGTGCAGAGGGCTACACCGGATGGAATGCAGAGAGGCCCTCCGGAAGGGATGCAGAGAGGTCCTCCTCCAGAGGGGATGCAAAGAGGTCCTCCTCCAGAGGGGATGCAAAGAGGTCCTCCTCCAGAGGGGATGCAGAGAGGCCCCCCGGAAGGGATGCAGAGAGCCGCGCCAACGCGACCAACATCACCTCCGCATACAACTAAGCCGATGAGCGCCAACCTCAACCGACGATCGTCTGGCCGAAATTCGCAGACTGTTGCTCTTCTAAAAGAGCTTGATAATGCCCGAAATCGGAATGCATGGTATGCGTCGGAACTTGAGTTGGCTAGGAAAGCTGGCTATGTTCCCAATGCCTCCATGGGGCCTGCACTTGATGGAAAAGCTGTTGAGTCCTTTGATGACGAAGATCGACCACTGATCGAGGCACTTTTGGCTATGCGCACAGAATTAGCAAACGTTCAGAATGCTGTAGACAAGCAAGCTATCGTTGCTGCCAAGCAGATAGCGGAGGCGGAAAGGCAACGAGATGTCGCCATTCAAGAAGCCGTTTATGCCAAAGCTAAACTGGCTGCTCAGAGTGGTGGAAGTGTATCAAGTACCCCCCAGCCTGAAGTCGGAGACGAGTCTGGTGCTCGATCAGCAGATATGAGCAAGAAGTTGGCATCTGCCCTCAACCACCATAAGAGTCTTCAGACCCAGCTGGAATCGGCGAAATCCGAGCTGGAGGCGGAGAAGAGAGCTCGCAAGCTCGCCGATGACACGACGTCAGCTGCCCAGAAGCGCATGGCCGATTTAGAGGCTTACAAGCAGCAAACCTCTGGAGAAGTCGAGCGTCTGAAGGCAGAGCTTCACTTCTCGCAACGTGAAGCCCGAGAGCAGGCAGTGGCCGCCGCTGAGGCTGTGGCTGCTCTGGAACTTCTCCAAGTTGAAAAGGACACCATTTCGAGGAAGCTTGATGAAGTTGCCGACTCATCAAATGGTCGGGAAGAAACATTCGAATCTCTTAGAGCTGCCATCGAAGCATCGCAGGATGCAAGCGCTCATCTCGAGACAAAACTCGAGGAAGAGAGAACCCAGAGGGAAAAGGTCGAAGGCAAGCTGACTAAACTCAAGGCTGAACACGAAGCTCGCACAGCAGAATTAGTTGCTGTGACCCAACGTCTACGAGACGCTGAAGAGCTTGCCGAGAAGCACGCTACTGAAGCACGCACGCATCGGGAAGCTGTTCTTGCTGGACTTCACAAGCTCACTGCGAAAGACGACTCGGCTACGCATAGTGCAGATGCTGAACGTGCCGCTGCACTCCAAAACCAACTCACTGCTGCGAACGCTTTAGTTAAGAAATACCAACAGGAAGCAGACATAGCTGCTGATAGGCTACGTAGTGCGGAGGAGCGCATTGCCGGGCTTGAGCAGTATCAGGAGCAGTCAAGCCGTGAGGGTGTTGGTATTCGACGACAGCTTCAGTCTGCCTTGAGGGAAACCCAGAGCCTCCAGGCTGCTCATTCAGATATCAAGAACCAGCTGGCAGCTCAGCAGCTCGAAACAAACGCCATGACTGTGCAACACAATGCCCTCAAGGATATTCTTGTCGAACGAGGTATTAGCCCCACTGGTGCTGCTAGAACTCGCGGCCTCACAAGCCCGCGAACCACTTCTCCTGAGCAGCAAGGTCGCTTGCGAGAGCTTGAGGCTCAGTTGGCCAGCATTAGCGCCGCCCACGAAGAGACCAAGCAGACATTTGCCATCCAAGTCCAAGACTCTGAAACTGCGTACCGTGAGAAGCTATCCCAGCTCGAGAGTGATTATCAGTCCGCGGTGCATTATGTTAAAGGAACAGAGAAGATGTTGAAACAGCTTCAGGAGCAACTGGGGCGCCTTAAGACTGACAATGCCCGCTTGAAGTCCGAAGTTGTGGAGCTTGAGGATAGACTGCAGGCCGGCCCAGATGAGTCTGGTTCGGCTGGGTGGGAGAAAGAGCGTGTCGCCTTGCAGACCAAGATATCTAACTTGGAGGCTGAGCTCCATGATTCTGCTGCCCACCTTGAGAAGAGCCTTGAGGATCTAAAGGTCGAGTTGGCAGAGAGCCATCGCGAATGTGACGAAGCCCGCACATCCCTGAGCACCCAGCGGAAGGAGCTTGAGCAACTGCAGTCCGAAAATGCCCTCCTCGAACAGCGCGCGTCCGACGCTGAACAGAAGGTCTCGCTGCTTTTGGATCAAGTCGAGCACTCTGTCGATACCTACCGTCGCCGCAGCCGACACGTTGTCAGCATGAACGCTGATGCGATGGCAGCCGCAAATGGCATGGGCCTCGGTAGCCTCGGCACACTCGCTCTCGGCCACAACCGCAACGAAAGCTCTGAGGGCGAGAGTATCTATGGGGACAGCAACCTGGGGAACCGAAACAGCGCTGCGCTTGACAATCTGGCCACCGAGCTGGAGACTCTTCGGAATCACTGGGAGACTACAAACAAGAATTACCGTCTGAGTACCAACTTCGATTTTGAATCTGCCAACGCCTCTAAGAAGGAGGACGATACCCCTATCGCTATGGGCATGGGTGGAAACCTTGCGGATTGGAGAAAGCGACTCGATACGGAGAATCACTCTGACGTGGAACAACCCAAGCAAGGCTAAACCAAAATATTATGTTTTGGATATTGCTACGTTTGTATGACGACATATACCCACCCTACCACCTATCTATGCTTCTCAGATATTCCTTGGGTTTTGCCCATAATGTCTGTGCCAAAGAGTCGTGGCCACCAGCCGCCGCTTTCATAATCTGATGATTATTGCTAATTACTCGCCATTCGCGATGGCTGATTTCAACTACACGTCACTGAAATGCCTAAATCTTTTGTTGTTTATTAGTACATCTCATCTTCGATTCCTATTCTCTCCTTAATACCGGTTCTTACTTTTTTCAAGGCATGGCTCGTTTGAACACGGGCCTTGGTTACTTGTTTTATGACATGATACACATAACGGCCTGTCGCGTACGGCGCATGCGCTTGCTCTCTTCTCCAGGAGGGATGTGAATCTTTTGTTGTTTTCGAAATGCGATATTTTTTTTATTCGGTTATTATTATTCACATTTTTTTTTTTTTTTTTGCTTTTCTCTCTCTCTCTCTCCATGTCTTGCTTTTATTTGTCTGATTTTTTTGTTTTAAAACACACTTGCGTCGACGTGGGAAGAATATAGGGGGGACACAAGAACTCCTTTTACACTTTGTTTGTACTATAATTGTGGAAGTATATGCGCGATCTTTCTTCTTCCTCTTTTTTCCCCCCCCATCGCTGCCTCCTCTTGTTTTTCCTCATTTTCCTTGTCGGGGGATCGCTTCAGGTGGACACTTAAAAAAGAATCATGCAAAAAGGGGGATTATGCTTTACAACTCTGTTTTTCATTTTTTTTTTTTTGGTGTGAATTTTTTTTGCATGGTTTGGCTTATTTTTAACTACTTTACTAAATGATGAGAGATGAATTGCCTGGTTCTATTTAAACCATATTATATTGTTCCATTTTGGTGTCTTGCAGTGGTTTACCGTGCAAAGGTCAAACAAGACAAGCTTAAGACGGAGACTTTCAGCTTCGCGAATATGCATGTTTATCTACCTTTTGTTTTAAAGGTATATGAGTTCTAATTCCCCTTTTATGTATGTCATGTATGTATATACAACGCTGCCGTGACTCAACTATTTCATATGTCCTTTAATAGAAATTCTGAGTACATAAATCCCCCCAAACGCCCTGCCAAAAAGCCCCATCCAAAGTGAACACGAAACGGCGTAAACACACATATTTACGCCGCCGCCGCCATAAGCGTCTTCTGGATCCTCAAGCACCTTGCAAAATCAAGCTTCGTCCCATCCTCAGGCATGTGCTCCCCGCTCGCGATGCAAAGCACCCTCATTTTGGGATCGTACCGCAGGTTCGTGAGCAGCTTCGGCGTGATGAGGAAGTACTGGCTGGTGTGCTCGCGGCAGGCAATTTCGACCATGCGCTCATGGACCATGCGCTCGTTGCGGGGGTCCATGCCCTGGTTGATTTCGTCGACGACGCGGAAGGGGGACTGGGCCATGGACTGGAGGGCCATGAGGAAGAAGATTGTGGACACGGCGCGCTCGCCGCCGGATTGGCGATGGGCGTTGAGTTGCTGGAGAGATTCGTTTTCTCTGTTGTTCGTCATACATTCTCCTGGTTAGCTTTCGTGCTCACATATGAAGGATGTGGTAAGGGGGTGAGAGGAAAGGGGGGAAGAAGAAGACGTACCGAAATCTGACCATAATGTCCAAGGCCCACTGGTCAAAATCCTCGTTCTTGTGGACGCGAACCTCGCCAGCACAGCTAATCTGCTCAAAGTTGTAGGCAAAGGCATCATTGATCTTGGACACCAAGGCGTCCAGCTTAGGCTCCCACTTGCCCATCAACTCGTCCAGTTGTCCACTCACTTTGGCGAGTTTACTACTTGATGTATCCATCTTCTTCTGAAGTTTAGCAATCTCCTGTTCGCGCCTCTCAAACTCCCGAATAACGTTAGGGTTGGCCGCGTGGATGAGTTCGAGATTGGCCTTCTCAGCAGAAATATCCATCTCAATCTCTGCTGGCGCCTTGTTTTCAGCCAAGGAGCTGTACAAATCCTTCTTTTCCGGGTTCTCGCTGATGAGCTCTCGAACCTTTTCAAATAGTCCGCGACCTAAGTCTCTGGTCTGGGTGGCTTCTTCGGCAGCTTGCTGCACAATGAGCCTCTCCTGTTCAAGCCTCTCCATTATACTAGAATTGCGGGCTTTGAGACCCTCGATGTCGGACTTGGCCTCGATGAGTCGTATCTTGGCTTCAATGAGGTCGTCGTGAGCCTTTGCAATTTGGCCGAGGGCCTTCTGATGGCGAAGAACCAGTTTGGCTCTTTCTACTACTGCTTTGTCCCATCCAAAGCCGAGGTCGACGATTCTTTCTCTGGCTTCCCGCATGGCCAGCTCGTTTGCCTCTTTATGGCGCTCCTCAGATTCTGCTTTGGTCAGCAAGGCAAAGAACAAAATTGTAGGCTGATTATTGGGAATACTAACCTATTTTTTGGGGTATTAACTGCCACTTGGTAAACTCTCGCTGCAGTGCGTTTTTCTCCGTTCTCAGGTTTTCCTTTGCCGCTGTTAATATAGCAGTTCTCATATCCAGTCTAAAATAAAGGGGTTGACTTACAATTTTGCCTTGTATGTCGGCCTTTTGTTCTTCAAAGGGTCCGATCTTTTGCCTCAACTCCTTGTACTCCGCCTTCATGATTTCTGCTTCTCCGGTGACTTCAGTTAGTCGCCTATTCAGCTCAATCTTCTCTTGTGAGTCCACGGGCTGAGAAGTCCAGAATTTTCCTGGCTGGATCCTCTTGGTAACCGTCGTCATGGCATTGGCGCCATATTCTTTTCGTCGACGAACCATGTACTGCTGCTTCCCAGCTGCCCATTGGTTGATTTTCCCGTTATGGACGAGCTTTTCATACTCGTCATCAGTGTGGTCTCTCAACGAGATGCCGGACTGATGTAACCTCTTTTCAGCACATAGCATGGCAAGCACAGGCTCAGGGCCATCCAAATAGTTTAGGGCAAACCCATCCAGACCAAGCGATTGGGCCTCATCGATGTTAACAGGAGACCTGAAAGCCGCGAGAGGCTGCAAACAGGTTCTGATAACAGCAGATAAACTCATCTCGCGGTACAACTGGTTGGTCAGTTTCTTGTAATCGTTTTTGGTTTGTGCTGTGAAGCAGAGGAAATCGTCGTTTTGAAGCAGGGCTTGGACGGAGTCGGAGTAGCGCTCGTCTCTAACAGAGCAACATAGCATGGGCGGACCGAAAACCTCCTTTTCAAATTCACCCTGGTGCTCTTGAACCCAATCCCAAGCCGTAACCAGCTCCGGGAAATGCTTCCGCATAAAACTTAGCTGTTGGCCCGCTTGTGTGTCGAGAGACTCTATGTCTGCCTTTAGTTTCCGCAGTTCGTCCATCTTCAACCTTCCCTTTTCTTTGACTGCGTCTGTCTCGGCAGCTAATCGACGCTGGTCTGCTTCAACTTCGCGTAGGTTGTGCTCCTCGGCTCGCTATGCGGGAAACCAGACTTGTTAGTTTAAACAAGAGAAAAGGGAAACTCGCGAGATGGAAATGGGACAAGACAGGAAAAATCTTACAATCTTTTGATTCCATTCTCCTGCGTTGAAGTCAGATGGCCTTTTTTTCAACTCTGCCTGTAGAGTTGTAATCCTCAGCTTCGATGCTGCAACCTCTTTCTTTTTCTCATCAAACCCCTTGCGCTCGGCACCTATCTTATTCGACCACTCCTTGACATCGTCCACTGCGGCACTGATCTCTTGCGCCAGACTCTGCGCCGCCACCTGGGTTTCTCTAACGGCCTTTGTTCTCGATGGAATGGCCGCCTCGGTTTCTTGGGCGTAGACTTGCTTCCGGTTTACTGCTTCTAACGATGGTCCACTCTCGTTTTCAAGATGCCTCAGCCTGTTTTCAGCCTCCTTCTTACGCTCCTTTGCCGCTAGGTGGATATTGCGTGCTTCTTGATATTGAGCAATGAAAAGAGCGCCTTTGAGGTTGTTGACTCGCTCCTGAATTTCCTCTCGTTCGCGTATCCTATCCACGTCGGCTTGTAAGCCTTGTTGGCGGGTTTGTAGATTCTTCAGGGTTTCGGCGTCCTCATGCACGGCCTCGGCCACTTCTTTCTTGTCCCTATGAAGTTCTTGAAGCTGTCGATGCCATAGTTGCATTTCCTCGGGAGCTGCAGCGCGCAGAGTTTCGTGCAACAGTTCCACTGGGGTACAGGCGGCAAACTCAACGACTCTGTCCTGCGGAAGAAACTGGCACAGGTTGTCCACCTGGATCTTGAGCATATGCATTAACGATTGTATCTTCTTGTGGGTTGTCTCCTTGCCATTCAGCCACCATTTTTGGATATTTTGTTCACGGCGAATCTGAACACGAATGACAAAGTTGGATCGGTCTTGGGGTCGTTTGTAAAGCTCGATCTCGACGTTTGCCGTGTCCTTGCCATGCTTGACAAACTCCTTGACGGTCCCCGCACGGCCAAGATGCTTGGGGCTGTATCCAAGCCCCAGGCAGATGGCACAGACAAGAGAACTCTTTCCAGTGCCGTTGGGCCCGATGACCATGTTGAGATTCGGGCCAGGAAAAAATACGGCCTTTTCGTATGTGACAAAGTTCTCTACAGCGACTCTGACGATGGCGCCCGGTTGGAAGCTATCCTTGCCACTGTCCCTGGCCTTTCCCTTGCCCTTATCTATGCGACCGGTGCTGCGCCGTGGCTGTTCGTCGTCATCGGAGTCTACTCGTCGTCGCTTCGAACTGTCGTCTCCAGAGGGCGAAGCATGGCCTTCAGTGCTGCTGTCATCTTCATCCTCGTCCTCGTCGGCACGCCGGCGCCGGCGCGAGGTGCTGGGGCTCATATCTTCGAACAAGCTGCGCCGGAGCTGATCAGCTGCGGGAGGGTATCGCGAAAACAGTCGGCGCTGTTGTTTGCGTTCGCATTTGCATTTGCATGAAGCTGGTGAGGAGGCAAGCTGTGGATTTCCTGCGACGCGGTTGGACGCGACTTGACCCCACCACCACTTAACGCCAGACTCTTTAGTGCCTCTTGTGAGCTTGCTGAGGTCCCGGTTAAGCACTGCCTGCACCTGTAGCTGTTACTAGGTAACTATTTGCCCTCCAAGGCACCCACTGGTTCTATCAAAGTTAAATCTTGCGTTAATTGACAAGTCTGTGTGAAAAGCAGAACCTCGCTTGCATATTCATTCAATGAAAAAGAAATTGGCGCATTTATAATTGCAAAGCATGAAGATATTATATATGGTGGGGTTAATCCATCGGCATCTATGCAGATATACCATCATACATCGAAAGCAACTGTCAAAATACACCACCTCAATACAAGGCAAGGACCTACGTATGTCTACACCCATCTGTTCGCCCCATTCTAAAGTCGTGATGCACAAAATAAACTGACAAGGCAAAGAAAGTGCAAAAAAAGTGCAAAAAGAGAACTCTTGCGTAATCTGGGAATCGAACCCAGGGCTCCCCGACGTTGCGGATGGCAACGGAGAATTTTACCACTAAACCAATTACGCTTGCTCCTGATACAGCCGTTGTGTATTGGATATGCTCCGGTCGTCGGAATAAGCACTTATAATGTGAGTCTAGTCGGGCAACCTCCGTTTAGCCCATGCGATCCATCATGGAATCATGGGTGCTCCTTTCAAGGAACGAGATATGACATCGTCAGCGCTAAAGTGCTCGATGGAGACACTCGGAGTTGTGCGTGGGACCAGGAGGTTTTTAATGCAAGAGTTCCCGTCTCCGTCAATTCTCTCTCCTTTCTTGTTCTTATACAATTGTCTCTCATTTTCTGCTTTCCTCTGTTGTGGTCTCTCTATAGAGTATATACGTTTTCCTTGTTAACCGTATGGACTACCCAAAAGATTTTGCCGTGGGACAACCACGACACTCAGATGTTTATCCGTTCATTGACCCAAGGGCAAGTCTCAAAGATGCTGCTCAGGGTAAGACTGTGTTGGTCACGGGAGCCGGTACCGGTATAGGAAAGGCCATTGCCGAACAGTTTGCCATCGCTGGGGCCTCTTCAGTCATTATCGCTGGTCGACGGACAGAACCTCTCGAGGAGACAAAAGCATCAATTAAACTCCTTGCACCCTCTTGTCAAGTTCTTGTTCGAGGCGGTACCGATGTTGCGGATAAAGTGTCTGTCAAGACGCTCATGGATAGCCTACCAGAGATTCCCGATATCCTTGTTCACAGCGCCGCAGTGTCACTCTCCACTGCTGCCATAGACGAGTCCAATCCTGATTGGTGGCTGGGCGACATCGACAACAATATCCGAGGCATGTACATAATTACCACGGCGTATCTCGGCGCCCTCAAGGAGGCGGGTAAGACACAGGCCAGAATCATCAACGTGGGCTCGATTGCATCATGGCGCTATGTCTATGGACGGTCGTCTTATGCCGCCTCCAAAGTCGCAATGAACACCTTCACGGAATACATTGACCGGGAGCAGCAGGCAGCAGGCAACGACATTCGGTGTGTGGTTATGCACCCTGGAGGAGTCCTTACCGACCTCATCAAGAACACCGTCGTCCCCGAAGCTATCATTGGCAGGATGATAGACAAAGCAGAGCTATCCGGAGCCACTGCCGTCTACCTAAGCACGGAACGATCCAATTTCCTCATGGGCCGATTTGTGCTCGCCACATGGGACATGGAAGAGCTGGAACAGCAGAAAGACAAGATTCTCAAGCAGGATCTGCTCAAGACCAGGGTCATGGGGGTTGAGTGGAGAGACGGCTTTTAGCACTTTTAGCACCACGGCACTGGCATTTTTTCCTAACTTGGACATGAGGGGCCAATCGTCGGCCAAGCGTTGGTGGTTTTGCCGCGTGGGGCGGGCTTAGTCATGTTTCAACCTCATCCCTTGCTTTGGAGCAATCTGCAGTTATTTTGTCTCTGTACTCGACTAGAACGCCCCAGCATTGTTTTTGCTTTTGGGATTAGAATTGTAATGCTTATAGACCGTGTTGTTGGTATAGAATACAACAGATATATGATGTAAATATCACGTACATCAGTATTGCCGTAGAGGGTTCGCAGAGGTGGTTCAACAACATTTGCATTCTGCTCATGGTTGTTGTGGAGATGTGGTTTTGGAATAACGCTGTCCATATACTAGCGAAGCTTGTAGCGTGCAATCTATCAGAAGTTGGAGAAATATCAAAGAGATCTAATTATAGACATAACGTATTTATTTGTGTGCATCTTCAGAAGCGCGTCTTGTCGAATTTCTTTCATCGCAAAGGTGGAGCTCACAATCCACCACTTCAACATCTGGCCAGGATTGGCGTGAAATACATCAAATGTGATGCAACCACACAGAGCAATGGGCCGAGATTTTCACAGTTAGTACTCAGTTTCTGTAATATCATTGGACAGGAAAACCTGCCTGTTCATGTTGTGTGCTCGTCTAGTAGTGTGATTGTGATGCCGCACCGCGGTAGGGATAAATTCCAACACACATTTGGAATGCATCGCGACAGTCATCCGCTTACCTTAGCTGGATCGACGACCGCCGCATGCGCAGCTGACGATTCCTCGCCTCTGCACCACCAAACAACCCCGATCAGGGAATGACGCGAACCTGTTTCCACCTAAATTCCAGTGCTGCCCCCCTGTGGCTGCTTGCCAGCTGCTCTGCACTCACTGAAAAGCCGCCACTGGCAGAAGCCAATGCTGCATTCCTTGTCTCTGGACAGCTGCGTCTCACCAGTTGGCATGCCTTTCCCTCCTCGTAACCGACCTTTTTCCCGAGCTCTCTTCCACACGTCGCCTGCCGCATCTTTTCGTCCCCCAATCTCGAGGCTTCTCCACACGACTCTTCCTTCTCGCGATTTCCTTGCTGAATCTCTTTACAGCATCCCGTTGTGTTTTTTTTCTCTTTCACGCATATTGCATTAGGCCTCGTCAGTTACCAATTCTTCTACCAATCATCAGCATCTTGCCGCTTCACAGTTGTATCACAGCCAATCTTTGCGCAGGCTGATTTCGAATATTATGTGCTAATTCTTCTGCAATTCGCGGCAATAATCATGGCCGAATACACCTCAAAGACTCGTGCACCTCTCGCCGAGGCCACGAATCGCCTCAACGTTCCTGCGCCCGCTCAAAACCACCAGAGCCACAAGGCACGATACAGTCAGTCTGGCGCTCCTCAAAGCCATAGCTATCACTCGCATCAGAATATGCAGCCAAATCCGCGCGGTCAGGCAGTGGCTTATGACGCCTATGCCCCTGTTGTACAGAAAACACAGCAGTCGGCAGAGGCTGCGAAGCGTCTCTCCCAAGCATCCTACGCATCCACCTCCAGTAGCCAAAGCAGGAAGAATTACAAGACACACATCGGACCATGGCAACTAGGAAAGACTTTGGGAAAAGGTTCGTCGGCTCGTGTTCGGCTATGTCGCCACAGCATCACCAAGCAGCTTGCCGCTGTCAAAATCGTCAACCGTCGGATGGCGTATCTTGTTCAAGATAGCAGCCTGGCTGCTCTCAGCAAGTGGGATTCGAGCCTCCCCGAAGTCAATGGCGAAATGCGTGTCCCCGTGTCGATTGAACGCGAAGTTGCCATCCTCAAGCTTATTGAACATCCCAATATCATGAAGCTCTATGATATATGGGAGAATCGCTCTGAAATGTTTGTTGCGTTCCCTTGCCTATGATTTGATGCAATTGCTGACCAGGATCCTCTAGTTATCTCATACTTGAATACATTGACCAAGGCGACCTTTTTACCTTTATCAACACAAAAGGAAGGTTGTCAGAGGAAGTGGCTGTCTACTTCTTCCGACAGATGATCAGTGCCATTGCCTATTGCCACTCGTTCAATGTTTGCCACCGTGACCTGAAGCCCGAGAACATCTTGATCACTGCCGATCTCCAAATCAAAATCGCCGACTTTGGCATGGCGGCTCTTCATCAGACAGCTACTCATCGACTGGCGACGGCTTGTGGCAGCCCCCACTACGCAGCGCCCGAGCTTCTCAAGAATAGACAATATCGTGGAGATAGGGCTGATATCTGGAGCATGGGCGTGATTCTCTACGCCATGCTGTCCGCAACTCTGCCTTTTGATGACCCCGACTTGCGTGTCATGATGAACAAGACCAAAAAGGGACAGTACAAAATGCCCGACTTTCTGAGCCCTGAAGCTGAGAATCTCATCGACCGCATGCTCCAGGTCAATCCTGATCACCGCATCACAATGAAACAGATTTGGCAGCACCTTCTGATCCAGAAATATAACTACCTAGACGACTTTGGCCAGGACACTGGTCAGCCACCAGACACACGGAAGGGATTTCAATATGCTCCAATTCCGCCGCACCAGATTGATCCTCAGCTACTCCGACAGCTACGCTCCCTGTGGCACATGTCCAGCGATGACGAATTGGAGAGGAAGTTGGGCTGCAAAGAGTAAGTGATCAACCAGCTTGACAATGTCACATTGGTAATGAATCATGCTCACCGTGAATAAATTTAGACAGAATGACCAAAAAGCATTTTACTGGCTCCTCTATAACTACCGTGAGCAGCAATTGGAGGATTTTAAGCCGGAATTGTCTCATTCTATGAGTGACTACCACCATCTCAAGCCAAACTCTTGGAAGAAGCGCGTTTCGACATGCGAATTCTCCCAGCCCAGAGCCAACGGCCACGGGAGATCCATTTCCCGTTTTACAGTCATCTCAACGACAGCAGAGACCGAGGATGGGACAGTTCAGAGTTACGATCCCTATAGGGGCAGTCGAATGCTGAAGGCTTGCGGTTCGCAGGCCAGCCACGCGAGAATCACTGTCCATCGGGATGGCGAGATGTTGCAATCAACACAACCGACTGGAAAACGTAGCGGATCAAACTCCACTCGCCGCGGACGAGCCAGTTCTATGCGAGTGCATACGGGTCGGTCCCAGTCATCAAGGGGGTCGATGAGCTCACTGCGCAGCAACCGGCAAGGCACGCCGCAGATGCATGGCACTACCGTACGACACAAGCGAGGTGTCGATTTTTCACATGTGCGTAAGCGATCGGCCTCTGCAGCGCAAGTCCAGCGAGGCCTTCACAACTCTCGAACAGACTCTATGATCACCATGAATGGGATTTCGCAGCCTCAAGTTCCCTCGAGACCTCGGTCACCAACGCCAGATATGTCCCAACTGCCGGATGGCACCTACCCCAGAGCCAAAGGTGGCCCCGTCTCCAAGGACGCCTCGCTTCTTTTTAACGAAGAGCTGCGTCACTTTAGCAACAACATCGCCAAAGACTGTGATGACGCATTCAGGAGCTCCCTCATCGAAGATGACTCCTTTTCAGGATCAGTGGCAGATGTGGAGAGAAAGCAGCGCGCCTCGACACCTCTTTCTTTCACCATTGACACTCCGTCAGAGGCGACTGCACCCACAGAGTTCTCAAATAAGTCGTGGAGCAGCCGTCCCTTGCCGCCACTCCCATCTGAAAATGGCTTCAAGAGTCAGCAGACTACTGCAGTCAACTCTCGACCGGCCTCAAGAGCTGATGATAACGACACTCTCGTAGATGAGATTAATCGACTGGCCTTTCCGCTGCTGCTTTCAAACCAGTCGGACCGCCGAATTGTATCAGCACCGGCTTATGGCCAGGTAAGTCGACGAACGGGTACTCTACCATGCATCAGCGAGAACCCAGGTGTCAGCACTGCCATTGTGGAAAAACCAAGGATTGTGTCGGCGCCACCGCATACGCCGCCAAAGAAGGCGAGCCGTACCATGAGCGGTGCTGAGTATCTGGGCCAGGTGGAAACTTCAATCAGAGTTGTGACTTCTCCAACAGCACTGAGCCCTGTCAAGATTCCAGAGCCACTCAACGTGCGAAAGAAGCTAACAAAGGAGGACCTTGGGCAGCCTCTGCAACGCCCACGAGAGCAAAAGGAAGATATGGTGAGAAACTATGCGCAGTACATGCAGGATACTTTACAGCCTGGCCTCCCCAGCCCGGTAAAGAAGAAGAAGTCATGGTTCAAGCGGTCGTTTAAGCTTGATACAGACGGAGACACCTTGGTAGAGTCGAAAGATGACAAGCAGCGAACCGTCTCTTGCGAGACTCGCCAGTCAGGCTCAAGTTCTACTACGGCCACCTCGACCAAGAAGAGGAATTTTAGCTTCCCATTTTGGAAGAGTAATCGAAATAGAGATTCAAAGTTGATTAACGAATGTGAGAATTGCAACAGCTCCTCCATTATCTTGAAGAGTTTTGAACTGACCACCTGGAACCCCGCCATAGATGATGCGAGCCGAACTGAAGAGACGGCAACCGCCCAAGCCGATAAGAAAGGACAAGGATGGCACAAGTCGTCATCTGGCAGCAGCCGCAACATTGAAGTTAAGCAGAATTGGCTTACCAGGCTATTCCGCGTCAAACCCGCAACGAGCTGCATCTGCATGGCCTTGTCACGCAAGCGTACACGACAGGAAGTGGCCGCGTTGCTGCGGAAATGGCGCAAATACGGAATAATGAATATACAGGTGGATAAGGAACGCAACATTGTGTTTGCGCGAGTCGGGGCTAAGAACTGTGAGTTACCATTGTCCATCTCGTCGAATCGAAGCTAACAAACAATGAAGGCCTGAACCTCAAACCAGTTGCGTTTGCCGCAGAGGTGATGACGGTGATTGAGCATGGTAAGAAGCAACCGCTCAGCATTATCCGCTTCACCCAAGAACGCGGTGCCGCAAGCAGCTTCCACAGAGTTGTGGATACGATGAGGATTGTGTTTACCGACCGCAATCTCGTGGTTAAGGACCCAAGCAAGCAGAAGATGATGATCAAGACTCTGAACTCGTGATGCACGACGCGCTACTGCTTTTTCCTTTCCTTTTCCCCCTTTCTCTTTGTTTTAAATAAAATCTGGGTGCTTGGGATTTGCCGCAGGAACAGACCTTGTTAACTGTTTCGAAGACGACTGAATATACGGCGGCAAGAAAGGGAGTATTCCCGAGACATGGTGACTGTGGATCAAAATGGGATTTGAATGGATTCGAGCTACGTTTGGCGACAAATTTCAACACGGTTGAAGCTAATTTTTTCTTCTTTTAATCAACATTTCGGGATGGAGAACAAAAACGATTCTTCCAATGCAGTCTGTTATTTTGTGGCAGCATTGAGGGGGACAACAACGCTAGGTTAAAGATTCTATAATGCTGTTGGATCGAAGGGCTGTCATACGATGTACAGCTTTGCTGTTGGCTTTATTTTTCTTTGTACAAGACTTGGTATTTGACGATGAGGGCTGAATTGATGGAAGTAGGATTGATTGGCATCAGAGGTATCGGAGGAAGCCGACAGATGGCAGCTAATGGGGGTCCGCAGGAGAGCTACAAAGGGCTGGTGATTCGGATCGGCTGTAATTAGATGACATGAGCATTGCTTCCCATAGCTGGACTGTATTTCATTTGTTAGAGTTAAATATTATGAGACGATTCAAATCTGGTCATGGGGTGAAGTTGGAAGTAAGTGGTCGGATGAAAGAATAAGCGGACAAGGACAGCAGCTTGTATTGGGTACCTAGCGCGCCTAGTACTGCAAGTGCTAAGTGCATGTAGAGCAACATTACTAGTGACCTGTAGCTGGAGATTGGATGTTCGCGAGATACGATCCAGACCCGCAGCAGACAAGACATACACTAGTGGAAATATATCGATTCAATACAAATCTGGAACAAAGCAGAAAGAGGAAAGAGAGACATACCGCAGCGCTCGGAAAGTCTCGGGGTTGCTGATTGCGGCTGTTGGAGAATTGGGGAAGCCTCGGCTGCTGCTCGGTCTGGGGAGGCACAAAAATGTTTATCCCCTTGGGATGATTTGGGGTAGAAGGGACGGGAACGGGACTAGGAGGTGAAGGGGCTGAAATGGGTGATGGGAAGTTGGTTGTTTTTGCCACCCGGATTGAAGATGAAGTGAATGGCTGTGTTGCCGAAGGGAGAGTTGGGAATTGGGAATCGGGAATTGGGAATCGGGAATTGGGAGTTGGGAGTTGGGAGTTGGGATGATGGATTAATGAATGAATGAAATGGGACGGCGTGTAAATTAGATACTAGTTGCTTACCCTTTGCCGTGCATCGAGAGAGCTGTAAATTGAATGTTGAGTGCTGTGACGATGAATACCAGACACTCTTGCATCTGGTGATGCGTCACTGCAGCCCCGGATTTGGGCCAGCTTGGAGGCGCAACGGCGTCTTGTGAATGGGCCGTGTCTCAAGTCCCTCGGCACAACAAGGAAAGCATCCGCCAATGCCCATCGCAACACGGAGACCTCTGCCCTTTAGTACCGTGGCTATCGATAAAAGCTCCCGCGTGCTACACTGACTAGACGGCATGGAATGGATCCAAAGTGCCGTCTCGCTGCAGGCGTCCGGCCGGCCATTGTACACGGTACCTGTCGGCGGTTACCCCGCAGTCTCGCGCCGCCAAGTGACGGGCTGCCTTCAGCGCGCAGACAAGTCAGAACAGGCGTCTGCGGCGTCTGAGCACATGCTTAGCGCCAGAGGCTTTCCCCGCCACACAGGTACCCAGTACAAAGGCCCATCCGTCCACCCGAGGCCCAGCCAGACCGACAGGTGCCGAAGCCCCAGAAACCGGCTGACGGCCAGAGTTTGGGAAAAGGGTGAATGGAGCGACAAGAGAGATGGGCAAACGGGGGGCGGTCCTTTTGCCTCTTGTTGCTTACAGCAGTACAGTACTAGTACAGTAGGAGGTCTCCATCTTAGTGCCGATGCATTCTGATAGCGAGGCTAATCTTTCTGCCGACATGGCGGCGCGGGTGCGTCATACCTGGGATGACCTTGGGCATTGGCAGAAACCTTTTTCAACAAGCTATATCAGCCATGGCTCGCTGTGTGTTTCCCGTTCTTTTTTGCTTTTCTTCTGATTCTTCATTTTCCAATCAATTCCTGCGTGTGAAATCCAATCACAGACTCAGAAAGCGTCGTGAATTTTCCTGTGAGCTGCCAGCCTCCCCCCTCCCCCGGTCTTCAAGCTTGTCCAACCCCAATTCCGGAAAGTTTGGAGCTTGCCGTGAACAACCGTCACTGACACGTGAAAGTTTGCCTTTGCATATTACCCATTGCCCGCCATTGAACTCATTAGTTTCTTCTTCTGAGCTCATCCTCAAGCAAAGCATCTTTCACTCATCATCCTCTTTATCACACACACACACGCTTTTGGCATCCTTCTTCTGCCAGCCTCATCTATATCAATCCATCCCGGCGTCGCCACCCCCCGTAGCCAATTCAATCACATAACTCTCCCCACATCATCTTCACAATGGCTTCCACAGAAACTATCCTCCAAGGAGTCACCGTCCTCGGCAAGATTGACGACTCTCACCGCAAGATCCTCACCCCCCCTGCCCTGGCCTTCCTTGCTCTCCTACATCGCTCTTTCAACACCACCCGCAAGAACCTGCTTGAGCGCCGCAAGCTGCGCCAGGCTGAGCTGGATCGCGGCGTTCTCCCCGATTTCCTGCCCGAGACCAAGCACATCCGCGAGAATGCCACATGGAAGGGAGCAGCTCCCGCGCCTGGTCTGGTTGACCGACGCGTTGAGATTACGGGCCCTACCGACCGAAAGATGGTCGTCAATGCTTTGAACTCTGATGTCTGGACTTACATGGCTGATTTTGAAGGTAAGATCCCCTTCAGAGATAGCTGGGTGAGAATCAATTGCTAACGTTGATGGTAAACCTCCAGACTCCAGTGCCCCTACATGGGACAACATGATCAATGGCCAAGTCAACCTGTACGACGCTGTCCGCCGCCAGGTTGACTTCAAGCAGGGCGCCAAAGAATACAAGCTCCGAACTGACCGCAAGCTCCCCACCCTGATTGTCCGTCCCCGAGGCTGGCACCTTGAGGAGAAGCACTTCCTCGTTGATGGCGAGCCCATCTCCGGCAGTCTCTTCGACTTTGGCTTGTACTTCTTCCACAACGCCGTTGAGGCGCAGAAGAAGGGCTTCGGACCGTACTTTTACCTACCCAAGATGGAGAGCCACCTCGAGGCTCGTCTGTGGAACGATGTTTTCAACCTGGCCCAGGACTACATTGCCATTCCCCGTGGCACCATCCGAGGCACTGTCTTGATCGAGACTATCCTTGCTGCCTTTGAGATGGACGAGATCATCTACGAGCTCCGTGAGCACAGCTCTGGCCTCAACTGCGGTCGCTGGGACTACATCTTCAGTACCATCAAGAAGTTCCGCAACAACCCCAACTTTGTCCTCCCCGATCGATCGGCCGTCACCATGACCGTCCCCTTCATGGACGCCTACGTCAAGCTCCTTATCCAGACCTGCCACAAGCGCGGTGTCCACGCCATGGGTGGCATGGCCGCCCAGATCCCCATCAAGGACGACAAGGAGGCCAACGACAAGGCCATGGACAACGTCCGTGCCGATAAGCTACGCGAGGTCCGTGCCGGCCATGACGGCACATGGGTTGCTCACCCTGCTCTCGCCGCCATCGCCTCCGACGTCTTCAACAAGTACATGCCCACTCCTAACCAGCTGTTTGTCCGCCGCGAGGACGTCAAGATTGGCCGGAACGACTTGCTGAACATGAACGTTCCCGGAGTCATTACCGAGGAGGGCATCAAGAAGAATCTCAACATTGGCCTGGGCTACATGGAGGCCTGGATCCGAGGAGTCGGCTGTGTCCCCATCAACTACCTCATGTAAGTCAATACGAACCCATATACTAGGCCCATGGACATGATTGCTAATGATTCGAAAACAGGGAGGATGCTGCCACCGCCGAAGTCTCCCGAAGCCAGCTCTGGCAATGGGTCAAGCACGGCGTCTCAACCGCCGAAGGCAAGCGCGTCGACAAGGCCTATGCTCTCAAGCTCCTCAAGGAGTGCACTGAGGGCCTTGCTGCAAAGGCTCCTCAGGGCAACAAGTTCCATCTCGCCGCCCAGTACTTCTCCACACAGGTCACTGGTGAAGATTACGCTGACTTCCTGACAACGTGAGTTTTCCTTCTTGCTTGTTTGATGAGTTTTGGTATTTGAGTAACTAACATTGGAATAGACTACTTTATGATGAGATTACAAAGCCTGGTTCTCCTTCGCCGGCGTCTAAGCTGTAAATGCTGTGTTTGGTGTTGTGTGTTTTATTAAGTGTAACGATAGTATGAATAAGTTTAATAAAAGCGTTTTATTTAAATAAGAGTATTATATATTTATAATAACATATCTCCTATTTTATTGCCCCTCCTTCTTTTTTTTATTAACCTTTCTCTTTCCTTTTTTATAACTCGCTTTTTTCCCTCTCTCATTAGCCTCTCCTCTTTCATCACATACATTCTCTCCTCTTTCATTACACGCAATCTCTCTTTCCTCTTTTATCAGTGTCTCCTCTCTCTCCTCTTTTTTAATATTATTTATACTCTTTATCACTCTTTCTCTTTCCTCCCTTATTATTCTTTCTTTTTTCTCCTTTTTTTTAATCTCGTTTATAATTTCCATCATTTTCTCTCTTTCCTCTTTTATTAATCTTTCTCTCTCTTCTCTTATTAATCTTTCTCTCTCCTCTCTTATCAGTCTTTCTCTTTCCTCCTTTATTAATCTCTCCCTCTCTTCTCTTATTAGTCTCTCTCTCTCCTCTCTTATCAGTCTTTCTCTTTCCTCCTTTATTAATCTCTCCCTCTCTTCTCTTATTAATCTCTCTCTCTCCTCTCTTATCAGTCTCTCTCTCTCCTCTCTCATTAATCTCTCTTTCTTCTCTTTTATTAATCTCTCTCTCTCCTCTCTCTCCTCTCTTATTACTCTTTCTTTTTCCTCTTTTATTGCTCTTTCTCTCTCCTCTCTTATCACACTCTCTCTTTCCTCTCTTATGTCTTTCTCTCTCTCCTCTCTTATTGCGCGCTCTCTCTCTGTCCCCTCTGTCCCCCCCGTCTCCCCTGTCTCCTCTGTTTCCTCTCTCCCACACACTCTCTCGCTATCCTGGCGGGATATAAAGGAGGTACCATCTTCAGAAGTGCCGCCGATATCCTTGTGGTGGGGAGTGTCGATATTTGCTTGCGCTACCGGAAGACCAAGGCGATCTGTATCTCCTTCTCTATCTTCGCTCTCGAAGCCATCGTATCCATGAGACTTTGCGGAATGGCTTTCGTTCCCGTCACTCTCCTCATCGCTATCATCATATACTGTATGAGGCAACACGAAAAGTGCGAGGCGTTCAAGATGATCGCCGACGTGTGATTGATATCTCTTACTGGATTCAATATGGTATTCTAAGCAGAGAGGACACATGCCGACAATATTTGTCTCGGTTGGAAAGCGGCATAGATTCGCGACGACCTGTAAGTCAGTAGACTTGGAACTTTGCCCATGGACTGTCGCAAGGTGTCCTTTGAAGCTTTCTTGGGTATCAAATGATCCGGAACAGCCAAACACGCAAGACCAAGAGACCCAATGTTCCTGTTTCATATGTGCCACCCAATCATGACGGCTCTGATAAAGTTGGTTCGGGGACGAACAATTGTCGAATAAGCAGATATATGGCTGAAGGTCTCTAAAAACATGCTTTCTAAATTCCGCGGAAGTGGTCAATACTAGGGGATTGGAGATATGAAACGTAAAAACTTCATAAGAAAAAAAAATACCATACTTCCAGGAACTTCTATTATCAATCATTATTATTGTGCGGCAGAGTGGACACTGAAATGGCCCATCGATGTACTCCCTCGGTATTTTAGGGACTCGTAGCTCGTTGGTGGCAGCACTCGAAAGCGCGTACGATGTGGCAGAAGTTTCGGACATGGCGTCCAAAAGTATATCCATTTCAAGAAAAGATGTTGAGTTATCTATATCGTTGAGATTTTTCGGAATGGAAGACGCAATTGTGGTTGCGTTGTCGACCTCATCAGTCTCGCTATATAACCCATGAGCAAGCTTCTGGCTGTGTTCTTCTCGGTATTTCAAGTATTGCCGTCGACGAGACAAGGCTATTCCCAGCCTATCAGCGAGTTTGCTGTCAAGGCGGTTGAATTTTTCGCATATATGCTTCATATCCCACTCCTTGTACATAGAAATAGTATCCGCTCCGGCCCTGGAGCTGAATTGGTCGTGAGGTGCTGGATTTCGGATTGTGATAGATAACCTCAGTAAGCAATCAATAATGTGACCAATTTCGTCAAGAATAATCATAGCTTTCGATTGTTCATTGGTGTTGACCGACTGGAAATACAGTTCCAATTCCATGTCGGCATCGTCGCCAGTATTAATGGTCACCTCAGCGCTACTGTCTTTATTGGCTACCGGGGTTCCTGTCTGAAATTAGTTTCAAACCCCCCAAAAAGAAAGAAAAAAAAAAAAAAAAAGGAAATAATTTACCTTCATCAATCGACGAAAGAAGTTCTTGTAATAGTGAGACTATGTGGTTGCGCACAAAAGACGAATCGCGAAGACGATGTTCCAGTGACCGGCCTCCAGATGACCGATGTGCCCCCAAGCCGCCTGTCCATAGTTTAAACCTCGCTAGATGAGAACGAGCGATTGAACACTCATCCTGACTAGAGGATACCGATTCAACAAGTACTTTGAGTGAAGCAAGGCTTCGATTAACGAGCGGAGCAATCTGAGTCCCCATTTTGGCGCTGACCACATAATATTAGAAGATGAGTGTGGTTTTCTCCATGCTGCGACTGTGCTGAGATGTGGAAGTATAAGGAGCAGATTGATACGGCCCTATCTATGGTTTCCCTCTTCTTATTCGTTGATTCATGTTTGGATTGGGCACAAACAGCAAAGCATTGGGTGCCTGTGGCTGCGGGGCTAATCGCAGAGCCTCATATCATCTCAGAAGTTGCCAGCTGTATATTTCATATCATAGAATTGAACAATTTTCACCCGCTTTTCGCTAAACAAAACAAAATCATGTCCGGATTAGAGGTTTTAGGGGCCATCACAGGGGTGTTAGGCATTCTGCCCGTAGCTGTGGACGCACTTAAAACTTACAAAAGCATTATCTCGTCGATTCGAAATGCTGCGCGCGATCTGGCAAGCCTGATTCGAGATCTTGAGACGGAGAGAATCCGCCTACAAACTACCTGCGAAGTGCTCCTGGAAGGAGTTGCACCCTTCCATATGGTAGATTGCATGGCTAAAGATCCTTTTGGTGCGGCGTGGGAGCAGTACAGTCCCTTATTGCGCCTGCGGCTCTGGGAATCGGAGAGTTCATTCAAAAATCATACTTTAGACATGAATATTGCCGCCACGGAGCTGAAGAGAAAGCTATGTATTTATGGTGACAGTAGCGTAAGTACATTTCGGGTTCAAGCTCATCCCACAAGCTAACTTAAGTTTTCAATATTCGCTAGCCAAAACTTGCAGATAAAGTCTCCATCATCAGAGAGCTTAAGAAGGGGGTATCATTCACGCTCAATAAGAAGGACTATATCGGCATTGTGTCAAGAATTAAGCTTGGGAACCTGGCGCTTTCCGAACTTGCTAGGAACAATCGAGGGCTCGAGGCAGCCAGGCGACAGCGGTCACAAGCTCGACTAATCAAGCTCGTTCGAGGACTTTCCGATGGGATTTTTCAGGCCATTCAAAACTCAACAACTTGTGAATGCGTTACTTCGCATCGAGTGTGTCTTGAACTTGTGACAAGGGATGCAGTTCTGACTCCTAACGACCTGGATGACGATGTCGCACGAAGCTTCAAGTTCCACGTTGCTTTTACCTCTGATAACAATATGGAGAGTAATGACACGGATAAAAAATACATATCTGTGAATGGGAAATCGATAAATTGCCGGAGTAACATCTGCTTTCAATTGGACACTCTTGGGAGTACCAGAACATTAACCCTCACCCCCTTCCCCACCACTACAGATTCTAAACCTCCAAAGAACCCATGGTTTTCACGGTTTTTATTGCGAGGCCACAAGAACAGATCTCTAAAAAAAATTGCCAGTGTTGTCAAAGAAGCGGGCATACAAGCAGCTATTCCCTCAATGGCTGCATCTTCTCAGCCGATTCCAAACCTCTGTTACATGTTTTCAGGTCAGAACAAGCGGCAAACCAAGCATCGTTTTGGTTATATAGAGAACATCGATCAGAGATTTGGAATACATGCTCCAAATATAGATCTAGGCTGCTCTGTGGTATTAACTCTTCGAGAAGTATTGGATGGAGAATGGTTGAAAGTTGCTCGGTTCGGTTATTGGGAGAAACTGCAGATAGCACTCGCAATCGCTGTCAATACTCTTCATCTTTACAACACTCCGTGGGTTGACGAAAATTTGACTCTCGATAGCGTCATTTTCTTCTTGCCCAGCAGCGGTGAAGATCTCGATACCAAATTCTTAGCTCGGCCATTTGTGGTCAAGAACGTTTTGACTCCACATAGAAAGCAAGACACGCTTCTAAGAGCACCGAGACCAATCAATTGGGCAGCTTTCTGGGTTGGTGCGCTGCTCGTCCAGGTATTGATTGGGAAGATAGAAAGCGCCTTGGATGTGGTGGGACCAATGGATGTTCCCACGATTATCTCAAAGCGAAACGCTGGGAAACAACTGCTCGATGAAGTTTTGTGGAACAGCAGCTTCAACTGTAGAGCGGCTATAGAATGGTGCTTTGAACACGTGCTTGATGTGGCCGGCTTGGGGAATGAAAAGTGCTGTCAAGAGTTTTTCCAGGAGGTAGTGGCGAGGCTTGAAGAAGATGTGCAATTTCTTTCTGAGAATTAATATTTCAACTTGCTCAATAGATGTGTATAGATTTTACTAAACAAGCTCATACAGCTTATATTAGACTCCCATAGTCTAACATTTCTCTATCCAGCAATACACAGTGCCAACAGTGCTGTCAAATCCGGGCTGTGGTAGTCAAATTCTGATAGCGAGTAAGTGGACCAATCCTAAGATTTACTCATTCTCATAATGTTAGTAGTTGAAAACTGTACAGCAAGTGTTGATTTACTTGCCTCGGAGACTTTATATACGTGAGTTGTGAGCCTCTTTATACATGATACCCATGGCCGAGTAATAAAGCTGGGAAGTTTGGGTGCTACCTCGAGTGAGAAGTATTCCATAGTGCATTTAATAAGTTAAATGCAGTATGACTCTCACGTCTTCCCATTAAAGACCTTCTGAGTTGACCCGTTGAAAGTGTAGACCGGATTGATGGTTAAGCCCATACGGGCCTAACTACCCCAGATATCTAGTCTTGATTTCTCTTGTTTACTTAAATAAATAAAGGAATCATACAATTTATTTGCCTGAGACACTAGCTACGCATACTAAATCAAATACATTCTTTGACCCTTCTGTTCGGAGGTGCACTCCTTAGTTGTCAAACCAGACAGCCAAAGATGGAACATCACTACTGTATGTTAACACAATTTATACCGGCGAACACCGCCAGGCAAATTACAATGATGGAAATCAACATTTCATCAATCTCAAAGAACAACCCCGGCGCCTTGCGTACAGGCAAATGAAGGCAGCGGGAACAACACAAAACGGTCCGCCCGTCCGATCCCGTACCGAGAGTCCCGAATCCGATGTCGGACTCTGTGTCCGGCGTCCGGTCCGGAGCCTCTAAAGGTGTCGAGCTGCAGCTGGAAAAAAATTGACCAAAATTTGACACACTCAGTTTATGGAGTTGCTGCCTATACCCCATTAACCAGGCCACTAGGCAACCAATCTTGAATAACGGATAACTGCTCAGACTGATGCGTTGCGCCGTTGAAGAGCACCCAACGTACCCACCTGTCCAGCCGGCCAGGCGTCTTTCCTCTTCTCCTGGTGTTCGCCTTGGATAGCGTCTTGGTCTTGTTTAACTAATAATGGACGGAATGCCCGCCGCTTCAGCTATTCCACCAAACCATTGCCTCGGCTAGCATATTCCGCGCCTCGTTAGGCGCCATCCGTATTTGTGGTTCTGTTCTAGAATCCGGTAGTCGTAGCGAGAGAAAAACGAGCTGTTTGTTCGTATCGGCTGAGGTTCAGCTCAGCTCAGCCGACCTTTCCCACTCTGTACTCTCACCAGACCCCGTCATTAACTCACGGACCTGCACCACCGAGCAAACGGCTGAAGGCTCCAGTTTTCTATGCCGAGCCCATCAGACGGCACCAAGTTTGACCGACTAGGATTCTGTCTCTGAGCCACGCGCTGTTGACTCGCTACCTTGCTTGTTTGGGTAAGAAGCTGGTTGCAGACGCAGCCGAGGGCGACTAACTTGATAGAGCATCTTCACCCAGCCAAGACAATGCCCAATGGTGATGGTGCTGTAGAGTTGTTTGCTATTGCTTACCCAGGTGACCAGCTCCAGGCAACTGGATACACGCAGGACCATCTGGTACTCGTATGCACAGCGTGAATTTGGCTGTTCTGAGACGGGCTTCGGGTGTGTCAAACACACGCCAAATGAGCAGGGCTGCGGCCGCGTCCTTCCGGTGGAGGAGACTTGGACGCCATCCCGCTCGTTCCCCGGCTTCCCGGGTGTCGGCGCTTGTAGCTCTCCTCACAACCCAGTAGTCCTGCCACGGAAGCAATAACCACTAGCAGGCGCAGGAAGCACTTCGTAAGTTTCACCGGTAATAATGGAGACTCTACTCCGTACGGAGTACGTCTCTGATAGGTGTGTTGTTCTGTTCGTTGGACTTAAAGGAACAGGAGACCTGCATGCCTCGTACTTGGATGCTTCTCTTGCGACCATGTCGTCCTTGCTTCATTTGTCCAGGCGTCCGTAGCTGCTCGGGATCTGGCCCCAAATCCTCCTCGTCGCCGGGCGGTCCCAAGCGCCTCCAACTGCTGACACCGGCCCAGCCCTATCGCAATATTACTGATATACGATCTTGTATCTTGGCAATACTGCTCCGTCCATGTCGGATCACTAGTATCTTCGTTCAGGGGCGGGCCTGCCGCTGAACGCCGTTCACGCTAATGCCTCGTTGAAAAGGAGAGGGGATTGCATTCTTGATGGCTCCTCTAAAACAACTACTGGAGGTCATCCCTGCACTCCATATACGTACTCCCCTAGCTATCACTACCCTTGTCGTTTTCATGCTTTAGCGGGGTGGCTGCTGCGCCAGTGAGGAATAAAGGAAACAGGGGGTGAAAGGGGTACACACTTGCACCAAGTACGAGAAGGACCAACACTCCATACCTATGCACGTCGTACGGAGTACAGGTGGTGGTATCGTGCGAGGGGAACCAGGTACAGTGTACTGCGAGTTCCGTATCACCTGGACTGCATGTGATTGACGGGGGATTCCGTAGACGGTGAAATGTGGCGATGTGCTGCTCACGATGTCAGAGATGAATGCCGCGAGCCCTGCCATAGTATCCTCACTTCTTCGCGTAGCCGAACCTGAACTTCCCGAGAAAATCGCTGCTAACGACTTTTTACCCTTCCTGAATATGGAGCACATCGTGGCGCTGGTAGCCTCAGATCATCGCGTGGCATGGCCTCCCCCCTGTCTTTGAGCATTTTAGTACCGTGGGGATTCAGCACACCAGAAAGTTTCGTATCTGGGCGTCAATACTTCGTGTTCGCGCCACCATGCGAAGTCTACCTGTCCTACCTTAATCAGCGTAAGAAACGTTATTGATGGTCCAAAGTCTACCCCCCAAGGTCGTCTTAATCCAGCATCCTATTGATGTGATTCGACGTAAGACCTGCAGTCGTATCTGGTGTGTGCTCTGCTAGTCTTGTCTAAAATTACATACCCAATCAATGTCCCGACAGTTCGGTTCAGAGCCATGACAATCCTGTCGGGATTCCGCAGTGCTTACCTACGAAAACTTGCTTTCATGATTCCCTCTTGGACCAAGCCTGGGATTGTCTGCTGACGCTTGATTCCCAATGGAGCCTGGTGTGCATTTTCTCTGCAAGGGCGATGTTTTGTAGACCAGGAAATAGCTTTGGTATTTTGGTGTGAAATCGCGTCACAATGCGTTAAACCATTCATCATTCCCACTAGAGCTGCCAGCTTGCGTGGCAGATCTTACTTGTAATCAAGTACTATCATACCATTCCTTCTCAAGATATGTTCATTTAGGGCTGCAGCCGGTGAGCATTCGAAGTCAGCCCAATTGGTACCTGCTGATGGTCTATCCCCCTTAACCTCTAAACCATGCATATCGACCTACTTACTTTGGCACCCAACGGCCACTTTTCTTCTTCTGCGGCTGGTTTTGCGGCCGGATCATCATTTCAGTTGTAGAGTCGAGTGAAATTTTGGGGGAAGCGGTAAGCCAGATGTTCGTGGGATCCGATGTTGGAAATGGCCAATTCGCTCGCATGGTGGATGACTTTTAAAGGTGCACTGAGCATGGTCTAAAGATGCTACTAAGCATTATGCAAATCAGCTAAAAGAGGCTCCCTTATACTTTATAACATCTCGAAGGGTTATACTTGCATTCATTGTCACCCTTCTGGTATCAACAGAGTCGTGACCTGATCATACTTCGGCAATTTCGGCACTGTGATAGATTAGTGTAGCGCACAAGGAATGCAGATTCATGGAGCTCTATTTTGCCCCAAAATCATCATTTCTGAATCCACCATCTACGTCACACAGCATGGTCTTGTTTTGCTCCGGGTCAACATGCTGGGAGGAGTATGTTCTCAGGGTGCTGGTAGAACAATTTGTCAAAGTAGCATTATGGACCGTCTCGGAATCAGCAATAAATTTCATTCTCTAAGGGGCTATAGGCAGTTCAAATAGCCTCACAGAAAACGGTGCATCATAACAGAGCATAAACATTAATATTGGGGCAGTCGGGTCCTTTTGGAGTTGGTCTCATATTGCGGTTACGTCCAGTGCTGCTTGAGTGTCTTTGGGAGCGCGATAGTTCCCGCATCGCAGCGAACTCTTAATGATTGTATCTTTGCCTGCATTCGAACACCGTCGCAGCCAGTGTAGAGGCGGTAGTGGCAGCCTGTCGAATGGAGATCAACGGGCTCAGCAGAAGTTGTCCATCTGGCCTTCGCAAAAGTAACGTTTGGAGCAGCGATTCTCTGAAGCCGAGTTCCATTCTGTAATCGCAGTAGCTCCTTCAAAGCCACCGAAGAACCATATTTCAATATCATTTCCAAGGCGAATTCACCTAACTTAAATACCAACAGATATACGTTAGCAAGGCTGCATAGTACTCGCGCGGCATGCTGATTGCGCTATTTTCAACAGAGGCATACCTATGACCCTGACGCTGCTCAACCGCTGTTACTGTAGAATGGTAGATGCTGAAAAATATTCTGGATCTCCTGAGCCGCTGTTCTCTCGATGTTGGATTTTTTGTCCTTCTCGCAATCGCATTCATGTTGAATGGGGATATCCAAATGGTTTTTCCGTACCTTCCCATTCAACTACCGGGTCATCTACGAAGTATGTACTCCGTACCTTCTCTCAAATCGACAACGGATTCCCTTCCACCAACACCAGCTTTATCTTTTATCTTCTTCCCCTGTACAGCACGACAATAAATGCATCCTACCTCACTAATTGCAATGCGTCCATGCATCTATTCGCCTGTTCCTTTCTCCCTTTTCACAGCTCATCCTAATGGCTTGCAGATTTCATTATTATGACCTATCTGAAAAAGAAATTGCATGGATCTTTCGATATTGGTGGATCGTCGTGGCGGCGCCTCTACAACCCCAGATGCTAGGAACGCCATTCCGTCTTTCGCCTTGGCTTCTGACAGTGGCGCTGGGTTTCCGAAGCCTCTCAACACTAACGGAGGGGGCCTGCCCAGGGTTCAGGATGTCAGGATGCAAACCACTCCACTCGGAATCGAGGTGCCCGTGACAGACCGGGGAGGGATCCTTCTGTGATGCAGGCGCATCCGTTGGTTGTGGATTGGTCCAATCAACATACATACTTGTGCTGAGCTCCAATATCCGAAATGCTACTCTACAGGTACGATTATCCTACGAGTACCATCTTTCCCCTCAACCAGAGCGGCCGCCCAGCTGCGTCAGTCCATCTTGACTGCTGACAAGGAAGTCGAGAGCTAGCGACAGACCCCTGCCACCTCCCTTGCAACCGCAACAACCTTGTTTAACGCCATGCAGAATGAGTGGAATTTGCGCCACGATGTCCCGTCGACAGCCGAATCTTCATTGCAGACGGTGGCGATGAGAAAGGGTCTAAAGCTCCGCGCGAACGCAGAGTGCTCCTTGGTTTTGCCTGGACTATGGTAGCTGCAGAAAAGTCTTGCCGGAAGTACTGGGTAGTGGGTATTATTGCCACTCACTGGAGAAAGATTCTGCACCAAACTGCGTTGCACTGGTTACTCCAACTGACAGCCATACTCCAACGAATGGATACTGTTAGGCCATTGCCGATGGAGGATGCGATGTATTGTCCTGTTCCGACAGAGCCGAACTCCGAGAGAAATTTCCAGCCGACCATCACGCGGCAAATCCTCCTAAAGTCGCCCGTCTTTGCACGGCTTCTCCTTAGCGGTTGTCTTTCAGCTCTTTTCGCGCTATTGTGGACTCGTCTGCGATTCTCTCAGCAAAAACCTCGCCATCCACCAACGTTAAGCCCCATTGGTGTTTAGGCGCACAGCTATTGGAGGACAGCCTACTCCAGCACAATGGAGAAGGCTGCATTGTGTCTGTACAAACGAAATATGGCGCACATGAGACCTTTACTTGGAGGAACTGCTTGCCAAACAAAACAGCCGTTCCTAAGTTGGATTACCCATTCTGTCGTGGAATATAAGCTGCTAGGTTAAGAATCGACGATCATTCACCAAAGGGTCTCATAAATATCATCTTCCTCTAGAGATTGAGGCAGGTAAAGCTAGCTACTACTAGCACCAGGTGGTAGACGCGTTCCCCTATCCCCAAGTTTTTATGAGTGAAGAATACAATCTACTTAAACGTTCTATTACTGCCAGTCAGGTAGGAATGCCTCGAATCTGCTCTCAAGTACTGAGTGAGAACTACGATGTGTTTCGACAGTCTAGCTGGATAGTGCGCGAGTCATTCATGGTCGACATTCGCCTTGGTCTGAAATCCGTTGGGGCCAATCAGCAGGCTCAACACAAAACTGCCAGGATGATATACTGACTACGTGAAGATCGCGTAAAGAAGGGATGTCTCCAATATAGCACCCTAATCTATCCGCGGATGTTGGATGAAGCATCGTGTGTGCCATGACTTGTACTGCCTAGGCGCCAATTTAGAGGCGCCGGCAGCCGACAAGCACACGCGGAGGTGGGGATGCGGCGCAGGTGGTGATTCCTGAAGAACGGAACGGTGGCCTGGCAGATTCGCCTGCCAAAGCCTCCACTTTGGGTTCTCACTAACAGCACACGGATTTTGAGTTATGTCAGCGCGGCGTCCTAGATGTCTTCTGACAACGAGTACTCGGTACACGAAATGGTCTTACCGAGATATTGGTGCGTGTACAGGTACTCGTATGGAGCGAAGAGCCTCGAACCACTGGCATGACATGGAAGCACTATTGAACAATACTCCATACTCTATACGGAGTACAAAGGTGAAAGGTCAGGGCAAGTGGGAAGACGTGGAGATGGTTGTCATGGGCAGACTGGGGCAGTCCATGGAGCAGATCATTCTGGGCCATGCTAATTGGGCGCATGGCCTCGATAGCTGAATGCGCTAACTCGGATGTCTGGCAGGGATGTCGAGCCTCTGCAGCCGGCAATGAAAAGGGTTTTTGACAAAGCACAATCTTTGAAACCTGATAAAGACCGAGTAAGGAGAAAAGGGGAGCATTACGACTTGGAGACGCACACATACCGTCGGATCTCAGACCACGGAATCTGACAAAGGACCCTGCCGGCTAACGACAAGCCATGAGTATGCCTGTGCCGACGCCCAAACGCCCTGCTCCCACGCCAAGTCAAGGCACATGCGTACCTGTGGTCTGAACGGCACGGAAAGCTGCGTCTGAAAGAGCACCCCAGACACTGGGTCGGCATGGCTGAGCCTTTCCTTGATGGCTGCGGCTGGCGCTGGGAATCAGGCCCGGGTTGCCACGGGGCCATGGGCCGGGGGAGTGGGGTCTGGGAGGGGTGGATGGATTGTCAGCCCGTGCGCGCGCGCTCTCACCAGCTTGCAGACTCTTCCGTGGACACCAGGATCAATCTGTCAAGATCTCACCTTTGCTTACAGTATTCCTTGGCTTGCTTTGATACGCCAGGTGAGAGGACGTAAGCATTGGGTCCAGCTAAGCTTTTGTGTCGAATATTCTGTACGATGCGCAAGTAATCCGAACAGAGTTCAGGTACTGCTACTGCGGCAGTACTTCTCGTACTAATAATACAAAGAGTTCTGACAATGGGGGGACACGTCCGGTGGCCCCGGCAAAGGAGAAGAGCCTTTTGTTAGTGGCAGTCATTTTGTCTGCCCGCACCACCACCAACACATGACGTGATACTCACAGAGCCTGGAATTACCATGGCATGGGGCACTCCCTACTGGCATATCTACCCAACAAGAATCTTCAAGCATCTGAACGGTGGTGGGACCCCTAGCGATGTCCCAGGTGCACAAGGGTTAGCTGATGCGTGCTTGCTGCACACGTTGACTGCTAGCCGTTAAATTGATGTTAGCTGGCTCGACAGCGAGTGTTGGGACAAGGAAGAGGGCTCAGCATTGTGGCCCGGTTTGTACCGCGATTCGTTCGATACGGACACCTCTTACAAAGCAGCACGCGCTCACTTTCAAGCACGGAATGGACGGGCCTGCTCGCCACAGAGGACGCGGTTATATCGATACGCCCAAAGATAGAGGGCTCATTTATTAGCGAACGGTATGGCTAAAGGGAAACGGGGCCGCTAAGCGCAACTGATGCAGAGCAGGACCTTGGCGGATTTCTGAACAGATCCTAGTTTCGAGTGTGGATACGTGGCGGCGTCTGCCTCCTGTAGTGAATAACGGGGGAACAGGGTGGTAGATGCTGCTCTGCAACTCTCTTCAAGTACGAGTACATACATGGAGGCGCTGCACACGATCTAGGTATCTCGATGAGAACAAATCTACGATCAAAGTACTCCATACGGCGGCAGCACCACCAGCTACTCTGCTTTGATAGAGAAATGACTCGCCACGGCGTTCTATGGCAGCCAATGCAATGTCTTTGAGCATCAAATCCGGCAGGTGGTTGATCAGGCGCAACATTTGGCTGCAACGACAAGCTGCAGAAGCTTTTTATGGAGTTAGCAGGTCAGGCTGTCAAGCAAGAAGCGTCGCACAACAGGGGATTCCGTCGATTGGGGCCGCAGCACGTCGGCGAACAAGCTGGCTACTCCGTACCGTAAGGGTTAATGCAGGAGGCACTCGTCCCCGTTTCTGTGTGATTGCAAGTCGCCCGTTTGGGTGTGAGGAATTCCACTCCTGCAGGCGTCCGGCGTTTGTCATACAGAGTACCTTGATTTCAGCTCCATCAAGGCCTCTCCATCTACCTACTATGTATGACTCGATACTGATGAAAAGAGATATGCGGTTCTTGCTGGTAAGCTTCTGCGGCTAGCATATCACCTGAAATTTAAAAGACGTGCTAAAATTCCGAAGAGCAGACCTCGTACCAGTCTGTTAGACTGTACCAATCCACGAGGCCTTTTTAGGGGTCCCCTACCCCATGCTTTGGCTTTTCAGCTCCCCGTTCAAACATATGTACGGACATGACTAAGAAAAGGTGCGGCTTGCAGTTATACCTTGTACGCGGCACGCCATGATGGAGCATCTCAGCAGTCTACTAGCGCTCTATTGACGCTCAAATGAGGGTCTTGTCATGTCCTCTCACATGTGCTTGTACTAATGGAATGATATGGAGTAGGACAAGTACCGCTGTGCTGTACTTGTACAGTACCTCTCTGTTCTGCCACCTTGGCGCTCAGCATTGCCCAAGCTTCAATTGTGGGCTCGAGAGTTCTAGACCATCACTAAGGTTGCTTAGAGTTCTCCAACTGGTCATCGACTTAGTTTCATCGATGCAGACACGTCTTTCCAATTAATGACATTCCACCAAGGGTGCCCGCGAGAGGAAGTCAGAGCGAGGGCATGCGTATCAAGGAAGCGGTCATCTGTCTCTGCCGCATGACGCAAAACGCATGGTAATCTGGCGACGCAATATGCAGAGATGCATGTGTGAGCATGCAAAGGGTGAGAGGGAAGACAATGCCTCTGCCAAGTACAAAGCCAAGTACTGTACTGTACGGGAGTCATGGAGCTAGGACCAGGTACTCCGAACTGGGGGAGGCGAAAACGGAGATGCATAAAAATCGGAGCATTTACCTGGCCTCGAGTAGGGGGTGCTTGTGAGCAGGCATTAGGCTTGGGACACTGAATACCTGACCATGTACGTATTGTTCCCAGCCGGAGCCGCAAAGGGTATGGACTGCGTCTGCGCTTCTGGTCTGGTTGACCTTGTGCTAGCTGAAGCATGCTTTCTCCTTTCCTGATTTGTCTATGCTGTCTCTCACATTACTTGCGCTGTGTTCCCAAGGGATATACGAGTACAGGTAGAACAATACTGTCGGCTCTCTGCCATGAATCACGATCGACCGGGCAGCTAGAAGGGAGGGGGGTATGACTTGGACACATCCTTATCAGACTTGCAGGTACGGAGGCGCATCATGCATATGCATGTACGCAGGCTGGAGAAACTTCCCCTTGGCGCTTTGAGGGAACATGAAAGGAGGGGGGGAGGCAAAGGTGAGCTACTCGGTACTAGCAGGTGTTGGATCAGATGGTGGTGGAGGAGGAGGAAGAGACGAGGAGGATAAAGCTTGAGGTGTGAGTGGATATATAAGATGAAGTACCGTGGGTGTAGGTGACGGGTACTCCGCACTCCGTACCGGCAGAGGAGCGTGCCTTGCTGTGGGATTTCGACATTGGATGGGTTGATGGGCTGCTGGGGATTGTATTATCTTGGAGACATGTTTCAAGGGCCTTTCGAGCGCATCCGAGGAGGAGAGAATGCGCTCCCGAGATGTGTTCTCGGCTTTGTAGGGCGTGTCTCACGGCCAAGTACCTGCTTGTACAGCTGCGCGGTGGCCTCTGCGAGCGGCACTGCCTGGCTTGCCTGGGTCCGCTGCCATGTACGGACCAAGTACAAGTGCTCGGGACGGGAGAGACGTTTTCTCGGAAGGCTCGCAATGCGTATGCGTGTCAGTGTGGGAATTTCCTTCGCGCTGGGCTCGTTCTCCACACGCAGCATGTCTTAGCAGAGGTCTAATGGCCACACAGGTACTGCATACTCGCCGGCGCTGCGGAGGCGCCCAAGCTCCAAAGTATCGAGTACGGCTCAAGACGAGGTCGCGTCCATGTAGATGCGTCGTACCGGCACTAACGCATTGGCCAAGGCAGAGAGCGCTCGCGGCTGAGAAAACGGTGCATGTACATACGAGTTGCCAGGCGGCATCCGGAAGAGCAGGGCGCACGGTGCCAGCTGAGGGGCAAACACGGAGTACGCCGAGTACGTAAGCCGCTGCCTGCAGAATCCCTGCCAAACGGGCGATGGGCACAGGTACCTTGACGCCGGCGCTCCGTGCGGGATTCTTTGTTGTCGCATCGCCCGTCCGAAACATTCCATTCCCACACCCATGACGCTTTCAGGGATTGGATCCGAGGCCAGGACCGTTTTTGTCTCTCATCCACGCAAAAGGATAGACGGATCGCACACGATTCAAGGGTGAGTTTGTGCCCAAGCAGCACCTGCTACTTGCTACCTGCTAGGCCGTGCAGCAGCAGAGGGCAAGATGACCAAGATGCCGCTGCACCATGGCATTTACGAGGGCACGCTTTTGCTTTGCTTGCTCCAAGCTGACTTGACAAAAGGGAATAAATACGACGGGATACCACCTGCTCCGTCCAATACCAAGGCATTGCACTACTGTACTGTACATGTACGAGGACTCGTAGCTTTGCAAGCCCTTCCCGCTGCGTGCCAGCCCGGCCAAGGTGCGGTCCTGGCCAGCCATTCGCCGGAAAGGTTTATTCCTGTTCTCTCACATTGGCCATCACACGCCCCCCTGCCCGCCTGTCGGCACTCCCCTGCAGCAGCTGCAGCAGCTAGCAGCTTGTGACTTTTGAGCAACCCCAGAGCGAGAGAGAGCAGGAGTCAGGCAGTCAATGGCTGGGAGAGGAGCCGTGCTGAAGTGGTGGTGGTGATGATGGCGATGCCTGTGGGAACAGCACAGCACCGCACCGTACAGACAGATAAGAATGATGATGATGAGAAGAGCGGCATTCGGCCTACAAAACATGCTCTGTACTGTACTGTATGAGTATGCCACCGCAGTACCTCGACAGCACCGGATCCCTGGCTTCTCAATTCTTGCGCTGCATCTCCACCTCTTTCTCCTCTTCTCTCTCTGCGGACTAGCACAAGTACAGACTCCACCCCCTAGCGACGAGCTGGCGACTTGATCCATGGCTCCGCTTCAGCCCTCCAATCTATGAGAGCGCTAGCCATACAGCTCTCGAACCCGAATGACGGTAGTGCTACCTCGCACCCACACCGGCCCACGACCAGGATCGGGACAAGGCCTCAGGTCCCGTCCAAAGCACAAGCACAAGCAGCGCGTGGCTCAGCGACAAGATGCCCGAGTCCCAACGCCTGGGGCTCTAAAAACCCAGCCTTGGGGCGCTAGGGGAGAAAAAAAAACAGAGTTGAGCAGATGGGGAGAAGGCAAACCGTCTTGTAGCGATAACACACTTGTGGGCAGCGTGCACCAAACAGATTGCTCAAAGCGACGCCAACGACGACGCCGGCCGGAACCACAGGGAAACCTTATTGACTGAGTATTGAGGGAATCTCGGGACGCCAAGTACATCCATCAAAAAGCTGCCGCCGTCCCCCTTCGGCTCACTCCGAGCCCTTCGTCTGGTCTCTTTTTCTGCATCAGCTTGCGTGCCGCTCGACGACCTACTCAAGCGCGGCATCATATTTTACGAAACACTCTACACGACGCAAAGGGTAAAAGACAACAAAAGACCCAAAAAATTTCAAAATCAAAAAAAAAAGAAAAAAAGACAAAGATAAGACAAAGACGAAAAGCCAAAGAGACGGACAAAAAGAATACCACCGATAAACCACCTTTTTGTGCCAACCTTAATTTTGGAGGGCTTTCATCTAGGAATATTAAGGCTTCGGTGGCACTTGGTCCTCCTCTCTCTTTCCTTGTCTCCCTCTTTTTTTTTCCCTTCTACCACATCCAGGCGTATACAAAAGTCTTACATACGCCCCCCTCGCTTCCTGTGCCGTTCCCGGAAATCGTCTTTGACCACAACTACTTGCTGTTGTCTCTGGTTACGGATCAAGATTCGACGCCGCTCCACCACAAAAAGCCTTTTTTTCACGGTAGCAGCGAGCCCGGCTTTTTGGACGCTTCCATCTGGGCACTCATATATAGGCAACTCGCTCCCAGTTTTGCTTTCTTGAACGCTCTCCCCGAATCCGTCGACTCTTTCCTCTTTTCCCCCCTCGTCAACGCAGGAGAATAGGAAAGTCTGAGACGGCGTATCACTAAAAACGGCTAAAACATCAGCCCAGCACATCCGCCACTCCCGTCTTCGTTGGACATTCCAGCCAACCATCGTCTGTTGGCGTTGAGGCGCTGCTACTCGCTGCACCCGCTAAGCGCTGCATCGCCTGCCGCCGTCGCCTGCCCGTAGAGGGTAGAGGTACTCGTGCTCAGTCGCCGCAACTTCGTATGTCGTCTGCTGTTCAACTTCATCATCACCTCTTCCCATCATATCACAGCCTTGTCAGAGGAACGGCACTTGCTCTCTAACCGAAGCGAGTACTTGTCTTGGTGCTACTGTGCATTGCCTTGCCTTGGCGCATTGCTCTTGCATGACCATCTTGACAAAGCTAGACCTGCTGCCGAGAGACATCCTAGTCGAGAATCGCTGTGCTGTTCTCGACGCGCACGTTGTTGTATAGAATAAGAGTATCTAACTTTGAGCAACCCAGCATCCGTTGTGTCGATCATTCGAGCAGCGTCGAATCGATCAAAGCCCTTTCAAAGCCAGTGCCATGGACTCGGTTCATAACGCGCCGTCAAGCTTTTCGTCCCGACGACCGGCAGCTGGCTCCTTGCCTACCTTTTCTCTCCCCCCGCCACAGTCAGAGGTCCCAAGTATGAATGATCACTCTTCCCGACCTCGTTCTTTTTATAACATTAAGAGCATCGATCTAACCCCTCCTTCTTCAGGGGCCAGCGAAGGCCTCAGTCCAGGTCTGTCGAGTGTTCATACAAACAGTTCACAGGGTTCCCAACCTCCAACCACCATGCAGCAATACACGTACAACGCCCACGTTCACGGCAACTGGCCAACGCCCGGTAACCCCTCCTCTTATGGCGTCAACTCAGCTACATCCCAGCAAGCGCCCCCGATGCCTACTGCTGGCGGATCGTCGTATACTGTCAATGCGGCCAACGGGGGACAGCATCCTCTGGGCTCGGCAGCCTTCGCCCCGCGATCTCTCTATACCCAGGCCTACGCCGCTCAGCGAAGTCCTCAGTCTCCCACCAACGCTGGTGAAGCGTCCTATGACCACCATCCATTTCAGTCTTCCAATGGCCAAGAGAGCCACTCCAGCTTGCCTCCAGGGAGCATTACACAGGCGCCGACCTTGCCCAGTGCTCCCGCCCATGCTGAGCCGTATGGGCACAGTCGATCATCCATCAGCGGGCCCAGCTACGGCTCTTCATCGACTGGGCAGCCTCAACCCGGCTTCTCCTACGCACCCCAGCACTCGCCGAGCAGCCACTCGCCCACAGGAGCAGCGCCGATTCCACGGGGTTTGGGACAACATCCACTCCCGTCAATGGCACCCCCTGGCTCCTATCGCTCCTATCAGACTTACCAGGCTCCGATGTCAACGATGGGCGGGCCCGTCATGTCCAACATTCATCAGCCTGGCAGCTCGCTCTCGATGATTCCCGGAATGGTTCCTACTGGCTACGGGGGTGCCCCTGCCATGATGTACCCACATGCGCAACCACAGGCACAGCCTGAACGGCCATTCAAATGTGACCAGTGCGTTCAGTCGTTTAGCCGGAATCACGATTTGAAACGCCACAAGCGCATCCACCTTGCCGTCAAGCCATTCCCGTGCACTTACTGTGCCAAGAGCTTTTCACGAAAGGACGCTCTAAAGGTATGTAGCAGCCGTTCTGTTTCTATCCTCTCTACGGACACTAACAAATTGCCACAGAGACACAGATTGGTCAAGGGTTGTGAAAACAAGAGCCACGAAGCATCTAACGAGAACCCCAGCACCTCTGACGATGGGGCCCAGCGAAATGGAGAGGCAGGTTAAGTCGTGACGTTTAGGGGAACCGAACCGGATGACAGGACCGGGGGGTTGCTCTGAATGGGGCGAGCAACTTGTACACTACTTTACGCACAAGAGCACCTTGCAACGACAAGCGAATGCAGGAGGGCAGCATGTGGTTCGTTTTGATACCCAGTGGACAACGGGAGGTGCCCAAGGATGAAGAGATGCAAAGCCCTCCTCAGATGAGGTAAAACATGCACCGGTCCTACCAAAATGGGGGGAAAAATCATCAGACACGCCAAACGAGAGAGTTGCCGCATTGTTCTAGGGACTATGATATTTTCGTTCCGGTGTACTTTTCTTCTTCTTTTTCCTTTAATTCTTTTTTTTTAGTATCATTTTTTACCCCTCTGCTTCATATCAGGCGTTTAAAGAGGGAGGGGCCAGGGTTTACTCTATCAACGAGCAAGGATGGCCAGGCAGGGATATATGGAGTGTATAGTCTACGGGTTATCGGGTTTAAACAAGGTTCTGGACAAGTCACGTCAAGAGCATACTATGGTATGAATGCAACTGGAGTTTTACGGGATTTGATGCCTAGTCAGCAGCAGTAATAAAACCATCTGTCATGGGTACGCTTGTTTCCAGTGGTTGCAGTGACAAGGGGTGCGTTTCATCACCAATAGATGCTTGCTCGAAGGAGCGTCGGCAGAAGGATGGGCTTTGTAGGCAAGTAGGGCAGAGGCAAATACAGGCGGATGCCGGAAAACACCACTGGGCACGGATCCAGGCAAGGCAGAGAAGTAAGACGACCAACCAAACGAGAGGCAAACAACAAACAACTGCAGGTTAATAGACGAATAGACAAGGCAGAAGCCCAGCCGCCAAACCGAAAAGGAAGCGGCTGAAGGCGCTTCGGAAGCGAGATGAGCGAATGACAACCGACAAACAACCTCGTCCGGGTCACGCTCACTCCCACACACTGAGACGAAGGAGCTACAATGACGACGCTGAGCAAGAGCTGAAAAACAGACGAGAATAATCGGTCAAAGTACGTTTGGTTAGCACATAATACCGAATACGCGGGGCGGATGGGGGATTTTCTGAGGCTGTGAGAGGGCGAAAAGTCAAGCCTCCTTTTGAGCGAGCTAGTACGAGAGGAGGAACTCTCTTTCACTCCTGGTACCCAAGTATTTATGATTTTATGGCGTTTTATACATGATGCTATTTGCTGCGTCGGCAGGGCCGGTGTGGTCCTCTTTTTTTTTCTCCGCTGGGGGCTGAAAAACAGGCGAAAAAAGGAAGTGGTGAGAGGCGCTGGTTTGAGCTTTTTCGGGGCTGGGGTGGCGTTTTTTGTTGCTACTGGATGGATGGATCAAAAGGTTTTTGGGGTGGTACAAAGTTACAAAGGGAAGAAAAAAAACAAGGAGTGGGAAGGGAAAAGAGATGCTGACGCATGGGTGAGATTTGGGGGGGGATTAGTTTTTGTTTGAGGATTTGATGTGGGTGGCCTCTTCTTTTTGTTTTTGTATTTGTTTAGTTTTAGTTGTTTGGGGGTTGAGTTTTGAGGCGAAGTTGTTGTTTTTGGTTTGGAATAAGGGGGGGGCGAAGAAGAGGAGGAGGAGGAGGAGGAGGAGGATGGTGAGGGAGAATGAGTGAGAGAGATGCAGCTGAGTGGCAAGATTATCGGGCATTTTGGTGGGAGGTGTGGATGGCCTTTTTTTGCCCGTACTTTTTACTTCTTATTCCGATTATTATTATTTACTTCCTGTTGATTGTGCTTCTTGCTGGGGGAACGGAGAGGAGAAATAAGACATGCATTGCATAAGGGGTGCGACTCCATACAGCGGACCAGGTGCCACGACTCTGCGGCGAATGTGTCATGAGTGTGTCTATATTTCTCCCCCAGCACATGGGAAAAAATGGATGCGTATATGTTGCTGCATTGACCACTTCCCCCAAAAAAAAAAAGTCGATATCTTGAAGCAACTAATGCACCTCGTCCTCACCGGTCGAACAGGGTGTCTTCCCAGCACCCCTGAGTAGAAGACGAGTATCTCAACTCCCATAGGTTACATGAAGTCTTGTTTTCTTCTTCTTTTCTCATCGAAACGGAAACGGAAAAGTCTTGCCAAGGTCTCCCTGTCACCAACCTCTTCAGCTGTTGTTTTTTTCTGTTTTGCTAAAAATCTCGGAGCCCCCTTGTGTGCCTTTTTTCTTCTTTGCATAGCTCCGATGTGTGACCACCACCTGCGTTGTGAGAGCCCAGCTTAGTTTCGGTATGGCTGCGTCGAGGGATATTGGCTGCTGTGTTGCCCACGATTTCATTTTGGGGGTGGTTTTTCTGTTAAAAATAAAAACAAATCACTTCTAAAAAACGTAGACTCATGAGCCCTCCTCCCCCGAAGAAGCGGCCGTGGGAATGGAAGCGGGATGGAAAACTTGTAGACGCAACAAGTCAACTTGCATAAATGAGGCTTTTACCAACAAATTAGATTCGCTTCGTCACCGAATATCCTAATAGTCTTCTTTCTCCCCCATGTTCTATCCCGTGTGACACACGCACACGCCCCAAAAGCCGCGTGCTGATCCCGTCCTTCTCACACCCCCTGCTGTCTTGCATTTTTTCTTCCCTAGGCGTGGGATCCAATGACGGAAAGACAGAGAGAAAACATGGAAAAGGGAAAAAAAATATACACGCCTCCCCTCCTCCCAAATGATCTGTATCTATTTCATCATCTATCATATTTTTGTAGTATTTTGTTTCGGGAGAGAGGACGTCGAAATAGGGCTTGGGACGGGGGGGTTGGGGGAATCCGGTAAAAGAGGCATGCTGCAGGTCGGCAATGTCCAGACGGGTACGGACGGGGCGCTGCGAGGGTTCGGGCAGATACGTGCCGCGGACGGCTGCATTAGATTGTATGGATGGTGGTGTGAGGGTTTTTGGCGATGTGGTAGATTTGGAGGACAACACGTTCATGTCGGTGATTGAGGTTGTTGATCAATGCTATTGAGATGAAATGATAATGGATAGTCCCATCTACTATCACTGTTTTGTAAGTACAATGTCAACATTGATGATCGGAAGGTAAGTGAAGAGAGAGGGAGAAACCATCAATTGTTCCGACAGCTGTAATATTATGGGGAGCTGCCCGAATGTGATCTCGAGCCAGATCTTTAGCATCACAAAGCAGCATGTTCAATTCTTTTAATGGAATACAAATGCCCAGACAAAAATCCGGAATTCAATAGAATATACGGTATGGAACATGTGTGGCGGGCGACTGGAGTTGCATGCTTCATCATCACCGTCGTACAATCTTGGCCAAACCCTGCAAGCCATCGATCATACTTTACGATGGGCGGCACATGGCATAAAGTCAAACGGGCATCATCCGATTTGGAAAGATGGAAAATGTTTGGAAATACTACTAGAAAAATAATAACATAATATTCAACCTGTACTGCATCTCCATTACCTGCTGGCCCTGAACAACACGCTGCTGGCTAACATGATTCAGCCCCAAATACCCATCGATACGTCACCACCGCCCTCGTCCGCTCGAAAATACTGCATGCTCGCTTTCTTTTACTCGACGCAACAGAGAACTCCAATCTTCCTGGGGGGATGTTGATAGTCCCTGATCCAACCGTGCCCAGCGATAGCTGCTTCCCAAGCATTGATCGCTCTGCCAAGCCTGGTGATGAATTCGTAGGACCGTGAGCCCTGAAAATCCCATGACTTGATGTCGTCGACCGATACGAAGCGCTTCCCATTCCCATGATATTCGTATTCAGGTTTTACAAGCGCTTCGCTTCCCGGTCTGGGACGAGGCACGAAGTCAATCATCCAGAATGTTTCGGCTCTAGCTTTGCAACAGGCACGGAAGATCATCCCATCCATTGTTCTGCGTCTGTAGTATGGGCATTCAGTATCCGGAGGAAGGGGATTCCCAAAAAACTTGTCCCATCCCTTGTCATATCGAAGACCAAAGTTGATGAAACGCTTTTCGAAAAATTTGGGCATTTCACTACGATTATTCATCCAGCGAAGGAGATTTTTCAAGTCTCTCCTCTCGAAACACACCAAATCAGTCTTCGGGAAACACTCCAAGGGCATCGCTAGATATCTGTCTGTAAGCGTGGTCTGTCCTTCTGCAGGCGTGATTCGTCTTCTTTCTTCGAAGAAAACACTGAATATCGGCATACCTGGATCTCGCTTCTCCTCCCGCATCTTTCTTCGTTCCTTGGCTCGCTTGTGACGCATCCGGAGCATTACTTCAGCGGACTCCTGACAGGTTCTCCAGAGACGTCTCTCAACCATGTATGCTGAAGGATTGTCTCCCAGTGGAGTGGCCAAATGGGGCGTACCTCTATCCCCGGTATCCTTGTCGAGGACAAGTCTATCCTTTGGCAGGGGGTTGTCGAGTTTCCAAGTGCTGAAGAAATGAGCGCCAGGTGTCCGAGACTGAGCTGCCAACTTCCAGATTATTTCTCGCACGTCGTAAGGCAGCTTAGCGAAGAGGTAGAATGCCATGTCTTGTTTCTCTGGCTTTTTCTTTCCGTATCGCATCGCCATGTTGAAGAACTGTACCAAATATATATTGAAAGAGGAACAAGAGGGAAATTATATAAATGGTTAAGTTGTGTAAACAAGACTGGACGCTGACATTGGGAAGAGGCAGCAATATATACTTGAGCATAGACAGTGAAATAAACTTAAATTACCTGCTTCCACCTCCTTTATCGCGGGATTCTGCAGGCGTTACGCGGACAATAGACTGATAAGGTGAAAGCCAGACTTTCCAACCAACTCTGATGATCTGCAGCAGCGGAGATAATGAAGGTTAGTGACGAGTGATTTCGAAGAAACCTTCTTAATAGATATAGAACATAGCTTAAATCACTAGCTCTAAACTAAATCTCACGATTCGAGATCCAACAGCGTAGATGTGCTGGATATCACGCCGAGGATAGGAAGATGAAGAAGAACAAAGTCTGGAGCATATGTATAAGCAAGGTAGATAGTACATCCATCACGGCATAAAATAGTATATGCTCAAACATGCCTGGATACCTATTAGATACTTTCATACATGCGTCCAGCGCGCGTCTTCGTGGCTTCCCTGACGCCGAAGCTTTATGGCGTTTTCACAATGGAAACACGTACTCGTGGGCGCCACCCACGTTAAACGCCGGCGATCCCTCGGGGACGGTGCGGCGAAATAGATTTTAATTTCCGGTGCAAAATATGCTAGAAGTTTGATATTTTATAATCTGATAGGCATCGTCGGATGTCAAGACGTTGTGGAGTGCTGGGACAACAGTTGACAAGCTCTTTGATCCGATCCTAATCATGCCGCGTAATGTGAATCATGCCATTCTTATCTCTTGAATTACAATTTCTGTGCAATGTTTACCAAAATCTACCTACCTAGTATCCATATTCGGCCAGATAATCCTTCCCCAGCAGCTTCTGGTAATCCCCCGTGCATCTTTCCAGCGCCTCTAGGACAAGCCACGTACACACGCCTTATCAGATGCCCGGAAACTTTCCAAGCTCGTCTGAGTGCTCAAAACCATCTCTTATCTGGAAATACTTGTCAAGCGCAACGTCAGTGTCCTAAAGCTAGGGCCAACTTTTTGGCGGCCTTGAATTCAAGGTGAGCTTGGGGCGATAAGAGCCGTAATGTGGCCATGCCCTATGATGAAATCGTACTTCTCCATGTCATTTTATGAACAATTTCGGGCCTTTGTGATCCTAATAGGAGCCGAGACCAGCTTTGAGAGTTGGCCCATTTCGATTAGAAAATGCCACAAGAGATCAAATAAGGGGTCAATCATGACATATCCTCTGTAATGTATCAACACGTCGAATAGAGACTTAGGGGGATTTCATGCATCTAAATAAAAAAAAATTCAGCACTAATTAGAATTTTCATGTTGATTCCGTATACGAGAACAGGGTAGCTGCGATTTCTGGGACTTTCCCCTGAGATATCTAATGGTCCCCTAGATTTCATATCGCATTACCCCAGAGTGTAAATGAGATCTACAATTCAAACCTAGATGATTTAAACATATCAGCGCAAACTCCGCAAAATGTGTATTGCGCCACTTTTACGGGACCCAGTTCTCGGATAAGGCTCTCCTGTCTTCTAGAATGCTATCTTAAGGTGAATTTTGAACGCTGTGGCTTCATCTTTATGATCCAGCTTTTCCTTGAAGTTAATTCCGTCTTCAAATGCACGTGGATGAATCCTTTGATAGCCTTAGGTGGGTCGCCGAAATATTTGCCGATGACGCTGATATTGATTGTAAAATTAATACTATCATACTAGCAAAATGCTGGAGCAATCACGAAATAGCTAAATGATATGCTTCTAGACAAAGACAAACGTAATGAATACGCAATGAATTAAATACTTGACTTTTTTATTTCTTCTTATCAGAAACAGCAATCAGCCATTACATGAGTAGCATAAGGTTCAGACATGCCTCCAACACGGCGACTTTTGCCGCTGGTGCTTGATTCCCTGTGCGTCAAGAAGCTTGTGGAAGAAAACGCAAAACAGTCTCGGTTTCTTCTCGGGAATTTTGATAAGGATGGTGGAAGGGTACGGAGATGTGACGGAGTTATTCGACACCGGTTTTGGAGAAAGTTGATCTTCTTGGAGGCTGGGACACGAACTGCAGAATGGGAAAGCCGGCAAGATTAGAGGCAGATCTGCTGGAGAAGTGATGACCTTGGATAGAAAAATGAGCTCGGAAATAACTCTTTGTAGCGATCAAATGGAACAAGGCCGAACGTGAGGGAATCACCACAATACGCGTTGGATTGTATATTCGGCACCGAACAGGAGGTACCCATTACCAGACCCGAACATTCAGCCTTCTGGAGGGCGGGACTCACCCGTTGTTGGACTCAAATGGGACCAGACGCCCCAAGACAAGTTCTCCATCATTACCTTCGCCCAAGACTTCTATCCATCATCTCAACACCAGCTCACACCTAATCACCAGCCATGTCTGACTCATCATCCGAGTCCAGATTGACTCCTACTGCAGCAGGCAGAGGCACCCCTCCGTCATTTTTCTTAGCTCCAGCAACTGCCTTGACTGGGCGTGATGCCGGCTCATCAATCGGATACAACTTCATCGACCGGCTGGCAGCAAGAGAGCACGAATTGCTTCACGAGCTACGAACTTGCCGGAGAGTGATGGATGACATTGTAGGATTAGCGATTGAGGTTCGTTCTACCCAGAAAGCCTGGGAACTCTTGTCGGGTCGATTCTTTGGCTACTAAACTACACAATGTATCACGGGTTCCAAGGTGGTCGGCGGATGGATTGATATGATAATAGTCTTTCTCAACATGTGGTAACATAGTTTAATCACTTCATTTTGTCGAAATTTAGACACAATGTGTCTCAAAATAGTCGTTCCCATATACACTACAATAATCTGGCATGGTTCGGTCGTATGTACGGAGTGTTTTGTGGACAGAAAAGATACGACTTCAGCCTACTGAGCTTTAGCTCGACGTTAGCTAGCGGGAAGGATTCATGAGAATAGCCTCCTTGAATCCTTGGGATATGAAGCGGGGAAATACGCCTACGTGACCTCAAAGAGCTACTATTAAATTCAAAATCTCAAAAGGGACGCATAGTTGCTTCTTTCTAAGCAATAGCTAGGCCTTTGCACAGGTTTCACAATGCCTGTGAATTATCCGTTTCTTACGGCGTCTATCGTTGGTGTCCTCACTCTCCTCTTATACTTCAAGGTGGGAGAGCATCATCTTGCACCCCAGCGCTATGCATTTTCTGTGGTAGCTAGTTTTCTCTCTGGTGTGGTCTTCGTTCGGTCTCCCATTCTCTTCGACAAGCCCAGCCCAGATTGGATGTCTGCCGTCATCTTGTCAACACAGATTCATGCATCGTTCCTTGGTGGGCTATACGCCAGCCTCATTACATACCGGCTCTTCTTCCATCCTCTAAACAAATTCCCAGGCCAAATAGGAGCGCGTATCTCGATTTTCTGGTTGTGCTATCATGTCCGCGGCCTCGATGCATGGAGGAAGATTGCCGCGCTTCACGACCAATACGGCCCGTATGTTCGAGTTGGCCCGTCCGAGTTGTCGGTGCGTGATCCAAAGGGCGTGCTGGCCCTTCATGGACCCATGTCGAAGTGCAAAAAGGATCCTCACTACGACTTGACCAAGCCCATGACTTCTCTCCATATGTTCCGCGACAGGTCTCTTCATAACAGTCTCCGCCGCGTCTGGAGTCAGGCGTTTAGTGATCGGGCCCTGAGAGGGTACGAGCAACGGATACGGGGATACCGCAACATCTTGTTTGATAGAATCACAGCTGCTGAGGGCCAGCCAATCGATATGGCAAAGTGGTCCCGCTTCTACAGCTTCGACGTCATGGGCGATCTCGCTTTTGGGAAATCGTTCAGCATGCTAAACACTTCTCGGAACCATTGGGCCATCGATTTACTTGATGCTGGTGTTTTGCCTTTGGCTTTGCAACTACCCGTATGGCTGTTAAGGCTTGGAATGAGCATTCCCATACTATCAAGAGACTGGTGGAAATTTATCGGGTTTTGTCGGGATAGTCTGCAGAGTCGAATGAAGTCTGAGCCAGAGGTCCCTGATATCATGTCGACGTTGCTAGAGCCACTGAAAGGGAGGGAACCGACCCAAGAGGAGACAGACCTGTTGATTGGAAATGCCCAGCTTATAATAGGTGCGGGGAGGTGAGTTTATATTTATACATGTATGCCCGCCAGTAGGAAACAAGCTGACAGAACGCCAGTCACACAACGGCTGCAAGCCTGGCTTCCATATTATACGAGCTGGCAAAGCACCCACGGCACGTTGGAAAGCTACGCCAAGAGCTTGTATCCTTGGTCCGGGACTCACGGTTTGATGCTTCTCCAGACGAGCTGGCGCATCTCGAGCATTTAAATGCGGTTATTAATGAGACAATGAGACTCCACCCTCCAGTTCCGACGACCATATACCGTCTCACGCCTCCTGAGGGAATCATGATTGGTAGCGTTCATGTCCCTGGGAGCATAGCTGTGATGTGCCCGCAGTATGCAGTCGGGAGGAGTAAGTCATCTTTGGGCCCCAAGCTTGCCTGACGTATAAACACAGCTGCTTATTCTTTTGTCTGTAGATGAAACAGTTTATTCGAAAGCAGACTCATTTATTCCAGAACGTTGGTACCAGTTTCCGGATATGATCAAGGACAAAAATGCGTTTGCGCCATTCTCGACAGGTCGGTCAAGCTCCCGGTTACTCCAACGGCGATATATCGCTAACTGTTTCCTCCGTAGGCCCATATGGCTGTATTGGAAAGCGCCTGGCGCTAATGGACATTCGCCAGATGATTGCAAGGCTCGTTTGGGTTTTTGATTTTTCTTTTGCACCTGGGGAAGATGGAGCTAGCTTTGAAAGGAATGCTATTGATGCGTTTATGATGACATTTGGTGAGCTGAGATTAACGCTCAGGCCTAGGGAAATTATATAGGTCCATATAGCCATGATGATCGTGTTTAAGAATCTCTTTCGCCACTCTTTTTCCAGCCTGGGTCATGTCATTGCCATTAGTTCCGATACCGTGATGTGAATGAAGCAATTATTCGGATATCTGCTACTATTATCACTCCCTCTAGTATCTGACTCTAGGTAACAAGCTGCCAAGGGGTTTTTTTAGATAGCTCCGGTACCCCTTCCATATTTGCCTATGTACTTTGTAATCTGGAACACGGGATGCCGGATAGCCGGGTCCATGATGATAGCCGTTTGCACTAGTTTCCTGGCCGAACCAAGGATGCCCTTTCCATACTGTCACGGTGATGGGAAATCTCTTTGTTACTCCCATCTTCATTAGCAATATTGAGAACAACATCAGTCCTTACTTTGCTTTTCTGGCAGAGCATGGTGAGTGTCGACTCTGCAAAAGTCTGCAAAGTACAAGAGTCAATTATGCTTACTATTTATATATTCACATACACCGTACTCAACTATTGGATAAAGCGGATAGTAAGATGAGAGAATAATGCAGAAGAATGTGAAGTCAAGGGGCAGTGTCAGCCGCGAGAAGACACTATCATTACAAACATGCTCATCAACACACTAGCAGATGACCTTTTTTTCAAGGATTGTAGCAATAAAAATTGACTCAAATTCATGAACACAAGCTTGATGTTCTCCGATTTTGACGAATAACGTCAAATTGCAAATCTACAGAGGAGAATCTATCCAAGACACCACGAGAGTTGTTGAGCTGTCGAGAAGTGCTCCTTGATAGTCAGAGTTGGATAAAGTACGGCATTGGTAGCTGCATGTACTTTTCCCCTCCAACGCTTGTACCGGTACCTCGTCAAGGACCCAAACAACCAACCCCACAGCCAAACCCCCACCCTGTCAAAACGTCCGACAAACCTGCGTCCATTTGCGCAAAAATCGCAAACAACCGGCCGCAAACGGGAAGGGAGCTGAATATGAACACCGATCGTGAGAAAGTTTTTAGTCATTGCGCAAGGTGAAACATGCCATGGGTGACGCTACAGTATTTCAAGACAAATTGGGAGAGCTATTAGTGGTCCATTTTGAGACAATGTGCCCTTCCAGGGAATCCAGCCTCAGGGCAAATAAATAGCTTGGAGCTTCTTCTTTTCCCTTAGCGAGATGTCTCTCTCTCTCTCTCTCTCTCTCTCTAGATCTTGTCTCTCAATCAAACTTCCTTCTAGCTACCAACTCTCCAGCCACATACTAACCCATTTGCCTGTCCTGTGGTTCGAATCGCCGCATCTTGGCCTCGGCATTTTCTCATTCCGCCCAACCTCAATCGTCTTTAAATAGAGCTAGCTAGCACACAAACCCATCCACAAGCGGGTCTCTTTTTTCCTCAGTCAGCGGGCATTCCCTTGTTTCGACGCTACATAAAGGAGGAGTCGCGGCTACATCGTGATCTTGTCACTTTACTCGAGTTACAGAGCTGGATCAAACCGAATTCTAGGTCACACCATTGCTCCCAATAGACCGACGTCTTATAGACCAACCAAGGGAACACACAAGAAACGGTGTAGGACTAGAATCTTTTCTCAACTGTTTTTTCTCCTCTTGACACACATCCGGTCTCCATCCTTCTCGAAAGAAGCATCTTATCAGCACGTCAATCATCATGGACAGCATGGATATGGATATGGGCGGCATGGGCGATTCATCGAGCAGCGGCTCCAACTCTACCATGACGATGCTCATGGCCATGGTCTTCCAAACCAACATCCAGACGCCCCTCTACGCAAACTCGTGGACGCCTCACCACGCCGGCGCCTACGCCGGCACCTGCATCTTCCTCATCGTTCTCACCGTCATCGCCCGCCTGCTGGTGGCTATCAGGCTACGCCAGGAGCGCGCTTGGGCTGACCACGATGCCCAGCGCCGCTACATTGTCGTCAATGGCAAGGAGCCCATCTCGGAGCGCCTTTCGAGGGACCCGGACGCCAAGAGCATGACCATGATGCTCTCGGAGAACGGTGTAGAGGACAGGGTATTCGTTGTGGAGAAGAAGCACGCTGTGGTTCGGCCATGGCGATTCAGCGTTGATCCCGTCCGCGCTGTCATGGACACTGTCATGGTTGGTATTGGATATCTCCTGTGAGTTTCCCCTCTTTATTCAACTACACACACGACTATACAGAATCAAGGCACTGACTCTGATGTTTCTCTTCTAGCATGCTGGCTGTCATGACCATGAATGTCGGATACTTCATGTCTATCCTTGGTGGCACGTTCCTTGGGAGCCTCCTCCTCGGCCGCTATTGTCCCCTCCCCTCTCACTAGACGCCAACTGCATTACAGAACATGTCATAGCAAGAACATTTGCAAGAGCATTTGCAAGAGCATTTAGCATCTACGGCCACTTCATCTTTTTTAATTCTTTTCTGTTTGTTATTACGGCGATATGAGAACAACGTTACTGGGCGGTTTGATACAGTTTGATACAGTTTGATTCCCCTGCTTCACGACTGGCGTTACGGTGTTTGTCTGGCATTTGTCATTGGAGGCGGGTATGTGGGAAGGAAAAGATCAAGCGGGCAGGTGCAAGGTGGCATGGGCATAGTTGGCAATGTTGGTTAATCACGCAAGGCATGTCGTCAAGGAAGAAATTCAAGGAATATACAGAAATGCATTGAATTTTAGAGTGTTACGATGCTCTCCATCCTAAAACTCTGAACCTCTCGTCTCGTCACTTGCAAGTACCTCAAAGTATCCGGTACATCCGCCCACCAAGCTTGCAGAAACCTTCTCAAACCTGCTCAGCGCGCCTTGCCGAAAGCGGATAAATTGTTTCTGGCCTGCTGGCCAATGAATTGCAGAGTCACGTGGCTGTTTCCGGAATACTGTCCCATCCTCGCTTATGTAAGATGAGAGAACCGTTTGCTATTGTCGTCTACCAGTTAAGACATTCTTATTGCTTTTGAGATTGTAAGCGGGATAGGTGGATGTCTTGTTTTTAAGACAAATTGGTATTTCCGCAATCAGTCTCCCCGTAAAGAAAACCATGCAGTTACTTTTTTTTTTTCTTTGACCCGGAAACGCAAGGACCCTGACTTGGTGCCTGTGCACCCAGCCAAGATGAGAAGTGGAGGAAGTCATTAAGGCACCTCTGTGAGCAAAAGGGGACCAACAGCTCTTGAGGCAGTAGAGGGACAATTTGCTTTTGGAATCGTCGTCGTGGTTGTCTTCTAGAGCTGAGTTCCCGCTGGTGTGGAACCATTCATAATACCGAGCGACGGAGGGAAGCTCCCACATGATACGAAACCTGGGTGGAACTCACCTTGTCAAGGGCCAATTCTCTGAAATGTGCTTGTAAATTGTCCGGGTGAGGAGAGTTGGAGATATTTAAGTAGTTTTGAGGGGACATTCATGGAATTCCGCACTTGCCGAGGGAGGAGACGCACTCGACAGAAAGTATGGCCTAGCAGGGGCTACTGAACTTGAAGCGCATTTTTCTAGTTCCCATCCTTCTCTCAAGCGTCTTCGTAATACTTATCCGCAATTGGGAAATTCCTTCCACCAACACCTGTACTTGCTCTCCTAACACTCTGCTATCTTTGCTAGAAAAAAAGAGAAGGGAAAAAGAGAAGGGATTGTCGACATCAAATGCTTAAGTCGAGTAGTGACAGTCAGAGCTCGGGGGAACTGAACTTGGAGGGATGGAGAGACATCCGGGATTGAACAGAGACCTAAAAGGGAATTCCCACGATTATTCAATTCTGAGGTGGGATCGAGAGACAAGCACTCCTCCCTAGCCACCTCCTTACCAAGACTACTCAACTCTGCCGTCCAGAGACAGTAGCAGAGAGCCAGCCAAAAATTTGCTATCCAGCAACAGAGAAAAACTCTACTTTTTGTCGGGTAATGAGGAGAGTATTAATTCCAGTATCGCCCCGGTTGCAATAAAGATATTGCCTCAAGCGAGGGTAATATACGCTGTCAACTTGCTGAAACTGGGCGCCCAAGCGAAGAGGCCCAGACAAGAGCAACCTTCACGATCTCATTACAGTTAACCCGACCGACTACAAAAAGAAATTTGATACCCAAACGAAGGTGTGTGACGCATGGATTGAACTCGGTCATGATATTGTCAAATCGGCGCGCATAGGCTACTCTTTTAACTGGCGGCATCCGTGTTTGCAAAGGTACCTAACTGAAACGCGACAAAGACGACTCTTGAAATCGCATACCACTTCAACTTCGAAACGTGTAAGTTCAAGCAAAATCTGAACGCCATCTTAATGCTGGTTCAAGAGCTCTTGTTCACTTTAGAGTTTGCAACAATGCCAATTGTGTACCTCGGAACTCCGTACAAATCTCCTGTCGCAGCTCATTAACAAACCTTCCGATGAGTATATCCAATCAGCCCTAAGTCAGCATTGCCAGTAAAGAGGAGGAATTCTTCTATATGACGGCTTGAGAGAGTTTGTGAATTTCAGCAACGAACCTCCAAAGTAGCCTCTCCATCCCCTGAGCGATCGTCACCATTTTCGAAGGGAGTGGGGAAGAAAGAAAGAAGAAAGGGGAGAAATAATGTATTTTAGGTTCCGACCCCGGCCAGGCAAGATCTGATCAAGCGTAGAGAATAAACATTCGAACTTTGGCGAAGATAAGCTCCCGGCATCCCTCTCTGACTTCTGGCATCTGAATGTCCCCCCAGGTTCACCACCTATGATCGGACATCTCTCGGCTCCGGGAGTGTCTCGTCGCGGTTATTAGATGGCCTTTCCCAAGCCCGAAAGCATGCCGCCAATGTCCTCACCGTCTGTAGATTATCCAGAGACGAGTTGTGGTTGCATTAATGGGAGGTAGTAGATGTCTTCATCAAAGAGTCACGTGTACTGCTCCCAGCATTCCGTCAAACCGCGCTTATGTAAGACCCGAAGATGTTGCATTTTACCTTTCCTTACGGGCGACAACAACAAAAGCCATTCCATTCTTGTTTGCTAATAAGATAGTAAGCTTAGTAGGGCGAAGCATCTGCCTCTTTAGACGTCAAATCATGCAGGCTGTGTGAATTCGACCCGTCGTAGGTTCCAACCAGCATCTTCCCAAGATCTACCTCAGCAGTTTGGCAAGGGTTACTCTGTAGTCGCTTCAACTACCGAAGATGGAAACAAGGTTAAATAACTTGAATCGTTAGTAACATTACAAGACTACTCATGTGTAAAGTGATTTTCACATTGTCAACCCAATTAGTTCACTCATTCCTCTCCACAAAACCTGTCGTCATCTTCCTTACCCAAACCGTCCAAACACAGCCACCACAGTTCTCCCATCTCCAACACACAACTCACCTCTCAACCACCCCAAACCAACTCCAAAAATCCATCCTCATCTCAATTTTCACCCTCCCCCTCCTGAAACTAGCCTCCCGTTCCCTCCCAACACCAAAAAACAAAAACCAACAACCAACAACCTTAACCCAGTAGCCCCCCAGTAACCTAACAAATAACCCTCCCATCTCTCAGACCGGCAAAGAACTCCGGTCAACCAACCCCCCCATCCCAAACAAGCAAACAAAAAAACAAGCATCAATCCCGTAACCCGTAAAAAAAAAGAAAGAAACACATCCCCCAATTCCTCCCAATCACACTCACCCTCTCACCCCAAAATGGCAATTCATCTTCCCCGATGCGGATAGCCAACGTAAGGAGGGGAGTGGACGAAAAAAAAAAAAAGGTATCCAAATCGAGAACAGAAAAGGGCATTAATCGCAAACAGGAAAAGAATGGTTTAGACAGGAAAAAAAAAATCCACGCGTCGAGACCCGACGGCCCGCCCTCCGGCTACAGCTAGGACCAAAAATTGCCTATTCAAGTGTTTTGCAGGGCTGATCTATGCCCAAACGCGTGGTCATCTAGACTCGGTTTGATTCTGCGGATGCCGGTTCTAACCTCAAAGAGGCCTTTTTGAAGATCACACGATGCCCGTCTGGTAAAGAGTCATGCGCGCACTGACGTGGTCCGAGCAAGTACAAGTCACGTCAAAATGTTCATTATTGTGTACCAGTTAGAAAGGAGAAATTCTCTGTTGTTGGCAAGCTAGATTCATCAGATTCATATGATGACTTCTTCATTTTTTTGCCACCATCAACAATCATGCCCTCATGTGTCCATTATCATCCGCTCTGCGACAGCAGCCCATCATCTTCCCTCCCTCCGCCTCCTTTCCCCCCTCCGGCCTCCCAAAATCCAGACCTGCCCAGACCTGCCACCCAAGAACCAACCCATCTTGAGATTGCCTTGCCCAGCATGAAGAAACCACACCCGAAAGTTACAACTCTCCACCTTGGTAGGTAGATCTGAGGGCACTCACCCTTGAATACAAGAGTTCAAAATGCTTGCACAAAAGGCCGCCGCCAACGTCCATTCTTGTTTGTAATTGATACAGTCCTCAGTCCTCCCTTAACACACGCCATTGACGCTTCGAACCGCTAGGTGCCACATGTACAATAACGCCCTTGAATTTTCCCGGGTAGAGACATCTTGGCAGCGTCGGCGCAGTAACAAAACGTTTGTCGTCTTGCTAATGCTCAGGCAAGATTCCCCTCGCCGCTGGGTTGAAAAGGCGTGAAGGCTCATGCGGCTCCTGAATTTGAAACAACGAAAAGATTTGAGAGAAAATTCAACGAGAAAAAAGATAAAAAGAAAAGGGGGCAAAGCACAATATGATAAAAAAGGATATGAAAAGCATATCAACACATCATCAACGCCGATTTGGAACCCTCGCATAAATGTGATGGCAACATCCTGGAGACGGATCAAGGCCCGCGAACAACACCTCCAAAGATTGTTGAAAGCTGGGTATTAACGGTTTCAAACTTTATCTTGTTCCCCAAGAGTTCTTTTTTATGGTACTACTCATGACTGATGATGAGAGCTGGGTGGCATTCCTGGCTGCGGTGGCATGCCAGAGCCGTAACCTTGGTTGCGCTGCACATAGCTCTGGTAGGCCAAAGCCTGCTGAGGGTCCATGGGCATATTTGGGGGCATGTAGCCTCCGGGACCCATGTGAGGGTTTTGGGGCATGCCTGGACGGCCGCCCTGTGGTGGCAGATGGCTGGGAGGCTCCTCAGGAGAATCGACCTGGTCACCGCCGTCTACACCGTTTTCGCTGCCCGTCGTGGGCTCAGGTGCGTTGAGGCATGCCTGTTTGACAGAAAGAATTAGCATCGAAGCTTGGGAAGAACAAGAAGAAAGAGGTGGCTGGGAGGCGAAGAGCGTGTTTGAACGGCCAATTTGCCGCCAGCCGTGTGGTCCATCTCTGGCTTGCACAGGAAGGGACAGCAGTCATCTGCGGAGGGGCCGCTTACCTGGATCAAATTCTTGCCCTCAGCCTTAGTGACGAGCGGCTGAAGCTTGGGCGTGGTGAAGGTGTAAACCAGGCCCGTCTCGGACACGACCAGTAGCAGAACCTGGGTGCCTGTCAAGACGGACAATTCGTAGGCCTGCAGATGGAGAGATTTCTTGGTTAGCCGAGTGTTCGTCTCGGATCAAGCGGAAAGCGAGGATTGACGGCGATTCCCATCACGGCCGACGCCCGCGCGCGCGCCCACCGAGTCGCCTTTTATAGAAAGCAACAAAACAAGTGTTTTTCGTGGTGGTCGAGGCGCGGGGGAGGCCAGGCGGTGCGACTCGTGTCAGACCGGGCAAGCAAAAACGCACCTTCTTCATGATTCCCGCCTTGCGCTTGGAGAAGGTAATATGGCGGCGAGACTTGTCGCTGATGAACTTGATCTCAATCTTGCGACGCTCACGGCCGCCCTTCTCGTCATCGTCGTCGTCGTCGTCGGCAGCCGGGCGCGGTCGCTTGACGCCGCGGCCCTCGTTCGCGTTGCCATTGCCCACCGAGTGCGCGTCGTCGAGCTCCGTGGGCGACGTCTGGTCGTGCTGGTCGGTGATGTCGGCCATGTTGAGCGTCTGCGGTTGCAACTGCGACAGCAACTATAAAATGCCAATGCCAATCCTAATCCGAATCCAATCGTCGTCGACTTGTATCACACGGCGCTGGAAAAGGCAACGAGTGGTGGAGATACTGCTTTGAGCGTGGTGCCGATGGATCTATACTGGATCTGGCGGTTTTTTTTGGGCGGAGAGGACAGGCGGAAAGAAAAGGGAACTGGTCCTGGTTGGGAGGCGCTGAGCTGGATCGAGTCTGGCTGGAGCAGGCAGTGGCCAGTGGAGGCGGGTGCGCACGGTGGCGGTGCAGTGCGTGCGAAACAGGTGGGCAGAGCAGAAGGCGCGGCGCGAGGAATTCGAGTTAGCGAGAGCTTTAGTGGCCGGCCGAGGGCGCTAGTGCTGTGTCGGGGCGCTTGCAGGCCGAGAGGGAGGGGGAGACAAACAACAAGTTTTTGGACAGCGCCGGAAGCCCTGTGCCAGCTTTATGTTGATTTCTTTGTTGTGTGTGGTTGTGTGCAGACTTCATGCTTGCACACCCACGGCTGGCAGCTTTGGCACCCGCATTTAGTGCGCTTATCGCCTGACGGGTGACTGCGAGATGACGGGGGTGGCCTAGCGCGGCCTCTGATAGCTAACGGCACCGCCTGTGAGTGGCTGCCGTCCCACGAGCCTCGGGGCTGGAATTTTGGCACCCGGCAGAAAAGCGGGGCGGCCAGCTGCCACTGGGCAGTAAGCATTCGGGGGGTTCCACACGGTGCTCAACGGTCGCCTGTCGACACTGTATTCGCCGACTCCCAGCCTTCCCAGCTGCTCTTCCAAGGCTCGACAAAACAGCGGGTCCGCGGTGCCCATGGGCCGATTAAGGACATGTACCTGTGCTCCGTACTTTGTACTGTGCGCCCATGAAAATGCGAAAATCACTCCGCTGCCAATTACTAATGCTACTGCAGACACGATGGGAGCTCTTGATGCTCTGCAGCCCTGGATGGCCCTTTTTTTTTTCTTGTCGGCGCTTTAAATCCAATCCACTAGGCGACAAAATCGAGGTCAGCCGTCCTATCGAGTAAGCTTGCTTGGGGTTGCGCTCAACTAAGGTTAGGGGACAAGGTAAGTAAAGGTAAGGTGATGAGATCTACGGGACGCTCGCGCCGCCTCTCCATAACGGCTAGCTCTGACAGATCAAACACAGGGGAGCTGATGCAAGAGGAAGGGGAAATTGACTTTCTGGCTTCCTCGTATTACAGAGTACGCGAGCTGTGCGAGTATTGGTGTATTCGTATGGCTTCCGGGGTCCGTATCCCGCGCCAAAGCACCTCTTGCGCTGATCTAGGCTCCGCCAATTTTATTTTTGTTTTTCCATGCTATAATCCAATATTCTACGTCCTTCTTCTCTATCTCATCACGCCGTCACTTGACCACGGGTGTGGATGGCTGGAGCAAGACCAAGATGCTGTTGGTTCGCTCGCTTCCACTTCAGCCCACGCCATTAAAGCTTCAGGGGCGAGAGGCTGGACTCGGCTCGACCGTCATCCTATGTGCTCTCACCATCAGTTGTTTTGGTCGTCAGCGCGTCGGACTCACAACGGCCTCCACTCCGAAGTGTCTTGCTGCATCTGCCGACCACCTTCTTCTGCAGCAGGGGAATCCGGAATCCTCTTGGTGCGAGCGTTAGTTCCAGTAAGCAGGCGGTGGAGTTGCACCATCGAATGTATCCACGGATGGTGGCTCTACCACAGCCGCGTGCAAAATTTGCCGGTGCGCTGTTATATCGGCAGCGATAGCTTCAATACGTGTACTTTGTCGGGCGGATCTGTTTGACCAGGTGAGACCTCGCCGCTTACGTACAGTATCCCCTGCCTGAATTCAATGGTTTCCAATGTTCTTCCACGAATCCGACAGTACTCGTACTGTACGTACCTAAGAATACTGCCGGCGCTGATACGACACAGACAGGTACGAGTAGTACTCGCATTAGCACCATGGAGTTGAAGATACTCGCTGCAGAAGCCCCTGCGTTGCTGCATGAATGACATTATGGCTTTGGACCAGCGCCAGCCTCGGTACCACTGCGTGCTTAGCGAACTTTTGTCTAGCCTTTGAGCAATGACACTACTGAGCAACCAAGCACCATCGTCGACATTTGCGAAATTAGGAGGGGCTGGCAGTGGGAGGGAAAACTCGAACACGGAACAAGACGCTGAGTCTCTGCACGCACATCCTATGCGTATCTCCATTCCACCAGTACATGCTCTCATACCAGTCATGGGGTCCAGGGTTTCACCTTTTTGGCAACGGGGAAGCGACGCGTGAGAGCTGACGCGAGACCCCGGACCTCGTCTGCGCTTTGGTTGGTACTGTCCTCGTTCGTACCTTGAAGCTATGCGAGTGTGTAGGAGATGCTACTCTGGACTCGACTTGACACACGCACGCACAGGTACTACCAATATTCCCAGCACAAGTGCGAGCCATGAGCCATACCCGCCCACCCAAAGCTGACACGGGACACGGGCCAAGCTGTAGTAGCGGCCCACCGTCTTTCAATGTTGTCGACGGGCCTTAGTAATACCAGAACTCGACATCGAACTAGCACGGCCTTGCTGAAGGATGCGGAGCAGGGCGATGGATGGCTGGCCCCCTAAACGCATCGCCTGTCTGCGGCCAAAGCAAGTAGCCGGACGGACAAGTACCGGGACACGCACGGCACAGTATCAGGTACTGACGAGTAGTATATGCGTGAGCTCTGTGCCTTCGATTCGCGAGCACACGTACTCGTAATCTAAACGGCCAGAGCGCGTTTGCGTTTGCGTTTGCCCGTTTCATCACAGCCAAGGCACGCCATATTCGCAGCGGCTGTCAGAACGCTTGGGGCAGCGGCAGAAATGGGGGTCATTACCACTTTAGGCAGCTACAGCAAGCAGGGCTGGCCACGGTGCGAAGGATTCAAAGGGCCTTTGCGTCTTGGTTCCACCGCGGCGAAATATGGGCGAACAAGCTGCCCGGCCTCCGTCAGAGGAGCTCGCCACTGTGCACAGCCCGTGCCCATGATTTCTGCAGCAGAAGCAAAGGGAAGAGAGAGAAAAACGGGCCGCGTCTGCCGGCAAAAGCTGAAAAGTGAAAAGTTGCGTTCGGATTCGCCCGACCACCCTAATTATCCAATTGCCGGCTGGCCCTTTGCAGCTCTTCTTTCAACGGGCTGTGCCACCCCCAGCGGGATCCCGTACAGTGCAAGCCCACTTCCCAGCACGTTTGCACGCAGATTGTGGGGCGGCGCCGCGCTTTGTGCATACGCCGCGGCTGTAAGGTTTGCATTCCGCGAGATATTGGCCAAGCGGGGATGCTGCTGAAGGTGCGGGATGGGCCAAATTCTCACAGGCCAGGTTTTGCCTAACAAGTCAGGCGAGAAGAAGTGGTGCCTGAGATGTGAGGACGGAAGGGAAAAAAGAAACACCTTGGGCTCGAGACGGGACGCGACGAGGCTTCGTGGCCAAGCGAGACCAGCTCGGTAGTAGTTCGTATTATTAGCAACGGGAGTGGTCCTGGAACCGACTGGTGAAACGGCGCTCGGGATGCTTCAGGTTTTGTGTTTGTTTTATGAGTGCTGCGGCGTAGCAATGCGTCGCTCAATCAGTTGATTAATTAATTAACTGTGAAGAGAAAGAAGAGCAAACCAGCTGTAAAAGGAAGAAGAATCGAAGAGTAAACAACAGATCAAGAGCTGCATTATTGCCTAGTATTAAGAATCTTCAGCGCACTTGATCAACATGAGCTCGACCCAGCAACCACAGCTACAGCTCCAGTGCAGCAAAATGCGCAGCTCTCTCTTCCACGCAAAACTCCAGCCAAGCTCGCATAGACAACCCATCAAAGCCAAAACCCACAGCAAGCACCAAGTCTCGCGCATCAAACAAGCCAAGAACCCCCAAAGACTCCCCAATCAGGCGACTCAGGGCCCCAATCCGGCCCTCTGATTGGCCGCCACCCCGGTCGTGCCGCCGCTATCTGCTTCACCTTTGGCTTCCTGAAACGCAGCCCGTTCGAGGACTCGCACGAGAAACGACCAAGACTGCTCTCTCACGAGGTCGACGGCGGCGCTTGAGGGAGAGTCGCATTGGCCTTTTCTTTTCTCTAGTTTTGTTAGTTTCGTTTCTTCTCTTTTTCTCTTTTCTTTTCCTTTTCCTTCTTTCTTTTCTTCATGCCTGGTGCATGTACGTGACTTTGAACCCCCATTTTTTTCCTTTTCGTTGTGTTCTTTTCGTTCGTTGTAGCGGTTATTTTTCCAGACTCTCGCTGTTGAAATTGTGAACTGCCGGGCAGTTGAGGTCGAAAATAACCATTTCTAATTTTTTATTTTTGTTTTTCCCTTTTTGTTACGATTCTATTCGCTTCACCGAGCTTAGGTCTTGGTTTTGTTCTTTTTATTAGTTTGGTTTATCAGTTTCTGGGAAAAAGACGAAGACGACGACAAAAGATCCAGACGCCGGTCGTCGAACAACATCAACCACAAAACTCACGAACCGAACGTCACTCTCGAAAACCAGACGAGACAATCTTTTTTCCCATCTTACAGTCGTCAACTCAATATAAAAAAAAAGAAAATTCACATCCGTCAACATGCCTGACAAGGTCTTCCTCGCCACCCTCCTGGCCGACCTGCTCTTCCTCGCCTCCGGCGCAATGGAGCTCGGCTTCTCCATCGCCGCCATGAACCTCCAGGACAAGGCTCCCACCGACGGCCAGGACGCCACGCGCCACCTCATCTACCAGCGCTTCCCCCTCACCGTCGGCATCGTCAACGCAGTCTTCGTCCTCGTCACCTTCGTCTTCACCATCCCCGCCCTGGCCCTCGTCAAGCGCAACCTGCTCAAGATCAGCGGCTACATGATCACCGTCTGCGGCGTCTTCACGCTCGCCGTGGGCTTGTACCTCTGGATCATGACGTTGAGGCTCAAGGAGACCTTTGAGCCTATTTACGCGGCGCAGGATTCGTCAGTTCAGTCGTTGATGCAAACTTCGGTATGAAGAGCCTCCTCCCCTACTTCATATTTATATATACATACACATTCCCGCCATCAATCTCTTCAAACACTCAAAATACAAAACAAACCCAGAAACTCATCGCTAACAAACTCACCTTTTAGTTCAACTGCTGCGGCTACCTCAACAGCACATCTCCCGCCTTCGTCACAGACAGCGTTTGCCCCAGCCCTGCCGCGGCTGCTCTTCTCCGGGGATGCTCCACCAACATGGCCAGTTTCGCCAACGCCTTCATCAACGACCTGTTTACCGCCGTCTTCGGCATGGTCGGTATGTCAAAATCCTCAGAATCTCTCCCCTTTTTCTCATATAGTCTCAAGCTAACATACATTCCCCCTTATAGGCGTCGATGCCCTCCTCGTCCTTGCCATCGCCTGTCTCCTCAAAGAGCGCAAGGAAAAGGAGCGCTACTACATCATCGATCAGAAGCGAGACTACGGCCGTCTGTAAAAATCACAGGAGCCAATGAAAAACTAAACAAAAAAAAACAAATGTTTCAAAAAATATATAGTCACAGTTATAAAAAGTCAAAACCCCCTTTATTTGAGGCTGAATACCATGTTTTGTTTTGCCCTTGGTTTATAGCGTCGCAAAGTCCTGCTTTTTTTCTCGCCTTGTCCAATACTCCAAATACTTTTTAATCAAGATCCTTTTTCTTCTTTTTTTTCAGCGGAATGATGTTTGCCATTCACTCCCATACAAGGAAATTTGTTTTTGATGCCTCAATGCGATAGAAATACATATTGTGAGTGGTCAAACTCACTGGAATGAAAACAGAGATAAGGAAATAAACACAACATAGAATGTCCCCAAATTCCTCCTAAAAGTCGCATGCAAGCATCTAGTGCGGTGCAAACCTGCCATGACAATAGATTTCCATCGTGGTATAATGTGATAAAGAAACGAAAAGAAAAGGCTATCACCAGGCTCCCTTCAATCTCCAAGAAAATCCCAACTTCAAAGCCTCCATGCTCATCTGCCCAACACGCTGCTGCTCCAGTCAAATCCCCAATGAGTAATTAATAGTCTAAAGATAGCTCCCTCCAAAATCAAAATCACAATCACAAGCATTGTAATACCTCTCTTCTTTTTTTCTCTCTCTTCCTTCTTTAGCTCATACATTTGAGTCGTTGGTCCTGCCATTCGAACCCGTTTCTGGCTCGTCTCTATAATTTTGATGCGGTGAGTTGCTTTCGTGTATTACGCTGCTGCCCATCGACGTACGGCTGCTGTTGCGTCTAAGCCAATTCAGCGAGAAGAAGCCCCCAAGTGATTCTGAAAATGCAGAGTCCCTGCGCAGATTACGCCGCGCAACCAACCCTGGGAACCCGGTGCTCCTCCGCCGCCGCCGGGTGAATTTCCGAGGTGAAACATCTGCGCTTGGACCTGCCTGACCTGTAACGCTGACGCCACTCATTGCCCTCCTGGATTGGGACAACAGTGGCGATGATTCGGTCCTCGCTGGGAGCGTAGTTGAGTGCCTGGGCGAGGTAGGTTCATCCTGGTCCTGCAATTCCCCCCAGATTTCAGCCCGCTCTATCCAACTCAAACTCTTCTTGCGCGTCGGTGTCAGCGGAGTGGTGTCGCCGTGCATCACGGGGAATGTCTGGTATGTCGTGGAAGGCAGCTCTTCCTCGACTTCGACGGTGGCTTCTGGGCCCATTAGTGATTCTTCTTCGCCTTCAGTATCGTCAACGAGCCCCAGGCCAGGAGCCAATGAGGACTGACCGACTGCTGGGGCGTGCTGCTCATCGCTCAGCCGCCACGATAGGGCTAGAACTCCCGACAGAAGGATGACTGTTCCCAAGGTGATGAGACAAGCATCAACCGTCGAGATGAGGCTCGTCTGGTTGAAATAAATTAGGCCATCCAGGATAGCAATGATGTTGTATACGCAGAAAACAAGTGGGTATAGGACAGATGTAGAAACCAGCTTCAAGCCGCGGTGAAGGTAGTACAGCTGGCAGAGTGCAAGAGAAACAAGTGCCAAGACAATGGCCCAAGATTGCCAGCGAAGAAACTGATTCTTGCCGCCTATCGTCTTGATGAGGAGCTCGACGGAGGATTTCGCAAACAGTAACGAGTGTGCTGAGAGGTCTCCGCTAATGACGCCGTAGCTTATGCCCCGGATTAGGCGGAATCTGGCATTGTGCGACAGGCTGGAGAGGCTGCTGGTAACATCTGTAACAACCGCAAGCGACACGACAAACAGGGCCTGTAGTATCATCCAGGCGATAAAGGGCTTCCGAGCCAGTAGCTCTAACAGCTCGTCCAGCTCGTGGGCGGGAGATGGGATGGCGCCAAAGATGGCGATCAAGACCGCTCCGCTGCTGACAAGCAGTGTGCCGCAGAGCGACCATCGTGTAAAGGGCTCACTGAGGATGAGCGTCGCGCATATCGAATTGAACACCAGGCCCGCAGCCTGAAGGGTCGAGAGAACGGGTAGTGGCAGCGTCGAAATCTGGATGCTGCTCCCTAGGATATTGGCAATGACAAACATGGCCATGCCCAGCTGCCACCTTCTCCTCCGATATGGTGGGCGACGAACATCGTGCGGCCCCTTTTCGTCTTCCAATATGTGTGATTTTCGCTGCAAAGTGAGGCCTAGACTTTGAACACTAGTCGAGATCAGGCCAACGAGGATTCCTAGCTGCCAAGTGTTAGCAAGCGTACCAGCCCAAATATCTCTCCTTTGAATCGGCCCCAGGTAAATTGCGTGCATACAGCTATGCTCCCTCCCGGGGAGATATTCCCAATAGGCCCCATTACACCGTCTCCAGGCCTGTGGTCATCCACCGGTAGACGTGAGCAAGAGCGCACTTGGTCGTCGCATAGGAAGGGTGCTAGTAGTTGGGCAGCGTTATAGGATTGGACGGCTGAAGAAGGAAGAAGCTGTGTCGAACGCCGCAAGCTCAAGCTGTTCCACCCTTGTTTTCCTCCCTACCCGCGGCAGTGATGGTCCAAAGAAAAGGTATTGTTTTTCCCAGCTCTATGCCGCCGCCGCTTCCGTCAGCGAGGCTATGGCGGTGTTATTGTTTGGGTTCGAATCGAGCGCACTCTGCCACTTTAGTCTGGCCTGGCAAGTAGACGTGAAGGTTTGTCGTTGTCGGTTGAAGGTGCCGGCCCCCCAAATCACGGTTACGGTCGCAGACGCAGCAGGTAATTCGCCCGGATTGTGAGACTAAATCAGCTGGGGCCCGACGAGGCAGCGTGCAGAGAAATGCGTTGGCGCTCAATAAAACATGCAGAGCCACCTGACGACGTCAAGCGGTATGCGAATGGAGCACCGCGCGCTGAGCTGCATCAGAGGTGCATAACCCATAGCCAGTCTGAGAGCTGCTGGGCTGTGGCTGGTGGCCCGTCACATGAGGTCAGGTGACACTCGTCATTGCCCATTTCCTTTGACGTTTCAGCGCAATGGAACCCTCTTTTACAAAGGATACAGGTACTACCTAGCTAGTAGGTATACGTAGTGCCTCTAATACAGGTGCTAGTCTAGTAGGTAGTACGAGTTCAAACAAAAAGAGGCAACATAAGAGCCTCATGCAGAATCCCCAACCATATACCCGGTTACCAGCTGCCATATTGGCTAATTACAAACCCTAAATACAATAATTTCCCGCCGCCTCATTGTTTCCGAGAGCAGCGACATTGCTCCGCGCTTGTACCCAGGCCAAGCCACCCAAGGCCTCAAAGCGACAAAACTGTGGCGGTGCGCAATCGCGGCCCCAGAAGTAGGTGCGAGCCAGCGCTCCCAGCTTAGTACGTGCTAGTAGCGCAACTCTCTGCTGCTTTGCTCCACTGCCATCCAGCAGCATCACAGCTCCGAGATATTACGCTTCATCCCTCACGCAAATCCCCCCAAGCTTCGGCCGCAGACTCTCGCCCAACTCTCCCGCCGCCTCATCCACAGAGCTCAAGGCACCGGCCACCCGATCCCTTAGAGGCCTTGCCGTGTTGAATCCATTCGCAATTCTTCGTCCCTCGTACTCCCGATCTTTCCCCCCCGCCTACCACCCAAGATGTCGCAACACGCCTTATCCGACGTGCAGGCAAGTTCTCCCCAAGCTGCCCGCCAACCGCCGTTTCGCATTGCCGTCGAAGTGATGAATGCTGACCAGGCCGCCGGCACAGGTCGACAATGAGCTCCGCAAGATGACGGCCTTCATCAAGCAGGAAGCCATGGAAAAGGCCCGCGAAATCGAAATCAAGGCCAACGAGGAGTTCGAGATCGAAAAGTCAAAGCTCGTCCGCCAGGAGACCGACGCCATCGACACCCAGTACGAGAAGAAGTTCAAGCAAGCCACCATGTCCCAGCAAATCACCCGGTCGACCGTCGCCAACAAGACACGGCTCAAGGTCCTCGGCGCCCGCCAGGAGCTGCTCGACAGCATCTTCGACGAGGCCCGGAACCAGCTGGCTGCCGGCGCCAAGGACAAGGCCAAGTACCAGAAGACGCTGAACGGGCTTGTGCTTGAGGGCTTCTATGCCATCAACGAGCCCGAGGTGCAGCTCCGCGCCAAGAAGTCCGACTATGACGCCGTCAAGAAGGCCATTGAGGAGGCAGCCAAGGAATACAAGAAGGAGATTGGCAAGGATGTCTCGGCGACGATTGACGAGGCCAATCCCCTGGACAACGGAATGTATGTTACAAAATCCATTGATAAGCATGAAATTGGGCTCATTTATTGACTTTGGAAATCACAGTGCCGGCGGCGTCGTCATCCTCGGCGGAAAGGGAAAGATTGACATTGACAACACCCTAGAGGCCCGGCTGCAACTGTTGGAGCACGCCGCGGCACCGGCCGTGCGAGAGAACCTATTCGGAAAGAACCCCAACCGCAAATACTACGACTAGACTCGCTCCCGTAATTACTTAGCAGCTGTATCTTATTACCTTTACACTGGGAAAAGAGGGAAAGGATGGAGAATGAGAGGGGCAGAGCAGAGGGCCGTCATGTTTTGAAGAAAAGAAACTGAGGCATGCATTTCGTCGAATTAGTCCGCGCTTTATCCTAGTTTAGATGCTGTATCATATTTCATTACAACAAAGCTTTCTTAAACTCCATATTCCCAGCTAAGCAAGCTCTCACGTCAGTGTAGTCTAACCCCGATATATGATTCCAAAACACAAACGCCCTGTTCAAAAAGCGACATCACAAGTAGCCATATCATCATTCTACCGAAAACCAGAAGTAGAGTTGGGTTTTATTCATTCTCTGCTTTGCGGCTTGGGTATCTTTCGGAAAAACTTGGCCATATATTCCTGCTGCTTCGGCAGGGACGCCAGGTCCTCGTGGCCAGGAAGATCGAAGATGCTCTTCTTGGCCTTTCTGCGCGTGCGAACCGTGTTGGATAGCCGTTGCTGAACCCACTCGATGACGCTTTTCGCCTCGGTCCGCGTGATTTTCATGCCCGAGTCGTTGATCTTGCGCCAAATCTCCCTAAGCTTCGTCGCGAGCTCATCGATGTCTTGGTTGAACTGTTGCTCGTCTTCTAGGCTGCTTGGTTCCGGTGGGCATCCATCATCAACAGCGATGTCCAGAATGATTATCATGGCTTTGAGCTCCGCGAAATCGGTTTGGGAGGTGATGTTGAAGTCATCCTTGTCGAGGCGATCAATGGCACTTCTAACGGTAAAAAACTCTTCTGAATGGCGGCTGCCGAGGCTAGAGTCATCGAACAAGAAGGAAATAGCAAGTCTCCTCCGGAGATCGTGCGTTCGAGCATTGCGTATAGGTAAACATTGCAATGCATTGACCCTAATGTGCTGGGCTTTGATGGTTGTCCGCAAAATGGAGCATGCATCACCACACTGAGCAGATTAGCCATCGGTAGTGGTCATACATGCAGAGGAGCTATACTTACGAATGAATCCCATGATGAGCTAGCAATTGCATTGACTAGCTTTTCGATAGCATCCTCGTACATCGTCAATAGGTCAATGTTGTATATCAACAGCTTGTCCATAGACATCCGAAGTAGAGTATGTGATGCATAGATGGCGGACACAGCTGGCAAGTGCCTTGAGATCATACTTAGAAGGGCCAAAAACGACTCCAGATTTGACCAGTCACGATCTTGATATGACTCATGGTTTGTTTTCGAGACAGGTATCTCAGAATCCCGAAACATGATGTCCTCGCTAGCCCCCAGTCTGAGGAACAGTTCCTCCAATCGCTCAGGGGTCAAAAGCCGTTCTACCTGATTAGGACAGCCGTAGATGATATCGCAATATTCACGCCGAATAAGAGGCGATCTCTCAATGCACAACTCATCCAGTATCCACTCGAACAGAGAATCCGGTAATCCACCGTTCTTGGCCAGGATACTTTGAGGAACCCCAGATGTCAGATTTCGTTCCCTCGCCGCCGAGTTTCCTTGGGTTAATAATTTCCACGGCGATTTTTCAGGAAGCTTTGGAACAGGTGTGCTTGGGGGAACTTTGTAGTCTTTATCGAAGAAGCAGTACCAAGTTTGAGACCGTATTGGCTCCGCCCTTTGAACCGCCCTGAGGACTTTGTGTGCATCTTGCCCGCTCTTTTCTTTGACAATATCAGCAAAGGCAAGGTCAAATTCTTCTCCTCGTTGTGAAGATGGGAGTTCAGCGGCGTCTGTAGAGGCCGTTGCCTTCAGCGAGCTTGCGTTTAAGGCATTATCCAGGCGAGCATCCTTGGCAAGGGCTTTCAGGTCAAACTTGTGTTTTGGCACAGCTTTGAAGGGCGATACAAACGGCCCAGTTGCCGTTCTCTTAGCCCTGGGGGTATCAAACAAATTCTGAGCTGCGGGATTAGGCCGTCCTCGCCCAAGGAGAGCCGATAAGTCTTCTAGAGAGTCATCCGAAAAGCCGCCATCACTAGCCTCGTCATCGGAGGCGCCAATTTCCAGAGGAGCTGCTTTTCTCGCAACAGGGGTGGCCTTGTAGCTGAGCGGCGAAGATGGAGCAGGCGGTGACGAGCCTTGGATTGATGCTATCTGTGACGCCCGCCGTGGAGATGGCGTTTGCTGAGACGACGGCTGAAAGTATGATAGGATGCTCTTGTTGGGCTTCGGTTTTCCAGACATGGCTAGGCAGTTGCCGCGCCCAGTCGGTGATGTGTATCAATCTGTCCGCTTGGGTTTTCCACTGCTGTGCGGCTGGTTGCTGGTAATCTTGCACAATGCGCTTAGTGAGATAGATGCCTTGAAGTTGAAGTCTATCGTGAACGCCAACCAACCAGCGCGTGTGGATGATGCATGGCGCAGCATCCCACCAAGAAGCTTACCTGATCGGCAGATGTGGCGCAGGCGATGGCAGATCTCTACAGGGTACTTTGGTGGGCGCTGGAGCCTCAATGTTTCTGTGTTCTGCGCAATAGTTTGGGGATATACTGCAGATAAAAACACTGCAACGCCCTGCAAAGCCCCGAGTAGCGCCTGTAGGGAATTGCTTCGAATATCTACATCTAATTTTTGAATATTTACGAGGTCTGTACGGATATTTTCCTTTGCTGGTAGTGGATTATTTATAGAGCGCCCTCCGGAGAGAAGAGGCTTAGACAGCTCCTTGCTTGTGGTAGAAGCTAATGTGATAGGCTATTCGTCAAGCCATCAACGCAATACAACACAAACGACAGCGACGAAGCTCCAGTATTGAAGGCGTCTAGTGTTAATAATGACGATTGTTTCCAAACGCATTCACGCACCTATAGGGTAGGGTAAGGCAGGCAGTCCAAGCCTTCATCCCATCTCCAAATGGTGGATTCCGGGTAGGACGAAGCGACAGCGGCAGCGGCAGCGTCAGCTTGACACAAGGCGCGTCGACCTATTGGTTGGCTCTGGAGGATCCCTATGCTTGCCCGTTAATCTCCCTTTGAACTCCGTAATGCTACGCTGGTTCCGGCAGGATCTTCACCATGCTTCAACCTGAGACATGGCCTGTAAGGCTGTGCCTCCAGCAGAAACTCTGGATGGACGAGTGCCTACGTTTAAATGATGACGCGCGATGCTGACGCTGCCATCCATCATGGGATTCGCACCAAGGATTGGAGCCCAGAGCCCAGAGCCACGCGCCAAAAGCCGCAATGTCTTTGTTTGTCACACTTGACAGGCTGGACGTCTTGGGCTGAGAAGCCTCCAGCCTTAATTAGGCTTGGACACCGGCATGAGTGCTCGTACAGTATGCACCAGTACATGCGAGATCCCCGTCTCTTCTGCTTGTGCGCCCATGCAGGCCCTCCGGACTTTGTACGGACTCCTCCGTACTCCGTGAGCCATTGCGAGATCTGGTATCCCGCCGACTGGTGGAGGCTCATTTCGAAACACGCTCTGCGCCGCAATGCCAAGGAGCTGTTAGGCTGTCTGCTTGCACATGCTCGTATGGTATGGCGCCTAGGGATGTCTTCAACAAGGCTTTGCTCGTTTGGACTCGGTAAGGAGTGCGATGACCGCCAGTTAAAAATAGCAAGCACGCGCAGCAAAAGAAAGAAACGACGACAATCCCCTTTCGCAACGAGAGAGCAGCTAGATCTGCTCGTGTCATCCCTGGAACTTGGGCTGGGTCTTATTTCGGCTACGCGCTCTGGCGGAGAAGGCTCTGGAAGGCTTCCGGTAGCCGGCCGTCTTGAGGAACGCGAAGGTCGGCTAGAATTAACATGGCGGGAGTGGGAAGTTGATCAAAGTCCGTCGCCAATGGCCATCTTGAACTAGTAGATTAGTAGCAGCAGAAAATAGAGAGATGTAGCAGATTCTTCTTCCGCTTTGGAATTATTAGTAATGCACGTGGCAGTCAGCAATATAATTCCACCTCCGAAATTGACATCTTCAACGTTGGTTACGAGCGCTTTGTTGTTGGTGTTTATTAGTACGGAGAGGGTCTTAATGGCAGCGAGGCTTGGCTCCAGAGCCAAGCATTGGTACCTTGGCTGTGAGACCATATGCCACAAGCATACAAGCACGCACAAAGAGTGACTTGCATTGCCTGGATCCCTGGTCAAGGCAATCCCTTTCCGTGGAACCACCCCTGAAGAGACCCTCTTGGCGCAATCGCCAAATTTCCCTTCCGTACGAATCAGGTCGGCACGAAGCGGACAGACAAGGTTCAATCAGGTTTGAAAAAAAGGGCGAAAAAGGGCTCTCAGGCTTGTCAATGGAGGCTGGATTTAAAGATGCGCGTGAGGCGAGCCAGTGAGAAGCATTGGATGCAGAGCGGCTGCTGCTCAAAAAGGGGGCCTCGAAGCCAATGTCCATCCAATTGCTGCCAATAGAGGCGGCCGTGCAGGCATGCAGCACTCGATAAAGGTCCATATTTTGCGATTTTTATGTGCCAATGCAGCAAACAGTATGAGCACTTTCTTGAGATTGAGAGGCAGCAGTGCTGAAATGGTGCCTGGACAATCTCCTCACGATGGAGCAAATACCTGCAAGGCGCTTGGCGGAGTAAGCATTGGCTTTGTAGATACGAAGCGGTGGTAACATCAAGGTCCACGTAGCATTAGCTGTTTGGATCGTCAAACAAGTGCGTGTCCAGCACTGGCCAACCTTGCCAACGCTCCCAGAGATCAACTGTCCAGCTCTGCTGCAGCTGAAACAGAAATTCCTCAGATTGGCAAGAATGCACGCGACGAGCTTCAGACGAAATCCAAGTACGAGTACTTGTACTCGTAAGCTTCGTCAATTGACGCGCAGGGGATTGCGAGGCGCATCTCACGGCAGTCATGGTATCGTGATAGATTGTAATTTAGGATGTGCAGAGCACCCCCACCCGCCATCCCCTGGGAGGAATCCACTGTCTCAGCGATGGACGTGCGCCCCTATTCGCGACGAGGGCTGGATGTGAGTCCGAGTACCAGTACAGGACTGTAATTGTAATACTTGTGGTGATGGACTGGACCGCGGCTTTGGCAGAGAGCATCCAGCCTCTGCCGAAAACTCTGTCGAGCGCCTCGTCGGCAATGACAGACGGAAGAAACCCAAAGAAACAAGCCATTCGCGAGCTTACATACGCCATCTAAACGCTGACACATGGAGGCGCCCTTTGTAAGCAACCACAAACCTCGATGACGGAGCCTCGTATTTGTCGTGATTTTATCCGCTGCGAATCCATCCGGTGCTGCATAGCGTCCGACACACACTGTCTCCTCCGCCCGGGCTTTAATTAGGCTATGCGGAGTGCCTCATGACGATTGGGGCGGCCGTCCACTCCGAAGTCGATCGCGAGGCGTCGGCGCCACAGTTTAAAAAAAAAAAATTGCAAAAATCTCCTAAAAGATGTTAGGCGTCACCAGTTCGCGCTTGTGGTCCGCGGACATTGGACTAAAGAGTAAAAAAAGGTTTTGCGTGAGCATTGTTGCAGCGGCGGAGGCTCAATAGGAACGTGGTGGTGTTGATGACATCCCTGCCCGTGGCTGGTAGTGGCAGGTGCAGGTACTGGTACCTATAGGATTCGGGCGTTCAGCGTGCTGGCACTCCGGTGCTTCAGGCAAGTCGAGCGCCAGACACCAGGGGCTCTGGCCGTCATCAAGTCCGTGCAAGTACGGTGCTCCAGGTACCTGGCTGGGCGCGGTACCTGGACTTTTCGCATGTGCCCGGACATAAAGTATTGGGCCACTCCGTCCACTCTGGCCTTATTCCGGGGAGGGTCCACGCTGCATACTTGTAGTATTGCGTGCACGGCACGGCGCAGCTGGCCGCGGTAATACAAGGGCCTCTTCCAAGGGGCAGGGCGATCTAGCCTCTGGATCGCTGTCTTAGCATGCCCCGTTGTCCGTCGAATCGCGGTGCGACTTGCGCTCGCGTCTTGTCGCTGGTAGACGGATGGCGAGGCCAGCAGGATGAACCACCGATGGAAGGCCGGGCTGCATACAGTACTAGCTAGTAGGTAGTAGTATACCGTACAGGAAAAAGGCGACGGGACGCCGGATCTGCTGCATATTACGCAACTAAAGCAGCAGCTGGCAAAAGACACGATGACGACGTTGCTGCAAAGCCAAGGACCGATTTGGCAAGCAAGCAGTGGATTCCACGCATTCTGGGAGTATACGAGTACATGCTCGTAGAGCCCGCATGTACTGCCCGCTAGGGAATACTTTGGGGAACGGTGCGGACTGGTCGGGGATCCAAGTCCCATGCTGACCAATTTCACGTCCATGCACTGCACCTCTACTTGGCACTCCAAAAGGTATGGGATTGCATTTGCTCCCGCGTTGCAGAAGAACCATACAAGCGCCGCCTCTCCCCCGTATGCAACCCGCTCAGCCCGCTGCACCCTCTTCTGTTTTTTATTTTATTTATTTTATTTTATGCTAATTTATTCTCCAAAGTAGTACCTACGTATCATTTTGGTAGGTGCTGGCCTCTGGAGTGGGGAAATCGTCCAGCCTGTGCCCATCGGATTCGGTCGGTCGGATGGTCCGGGAACTAAAACAGTTCAACTGCCACAGCGCCGTTACCTCCGCTAACACGCTGCTCTCTTTTTTTTTTCCTTGTCCCGTCACCCAGCCCAGCCCACGCTACAGGCCTGGCCGTAGTAGATCGGAATCCTTCATTCTAAACCCTTCACCCTCCTCTCTCCTACACGTTTCCGTCTCCGCCTCTTCTCCTTTGCAACTCCAAACCCATCGTCCCCTGCGACGACACGTGCATCGACAACTGTGTCGAGTCCTGGTGCGCTTCAGCCTTTGCACTTCAGGGATCCCTCTGTCGCCTCCCGTCTGCCGCTCGCTCGCTCGCTCGTGCTTCGCATCGAATCGTGCCCTCGACACCTGGGCCGTGTGTCCCGCCCCCGATTTCCTTCGTCGACTCTACTTTACGCCTGCTTCGAAGCGATTCTTTTTCCAACGCTGATTGTACCGCTCGTTTCCACGCCTCGCTCAATTCCGACCTGGCTGGCCATTAACGGCTGAACGGGCGCTTGCCCGCGACACCGCAGTCACAATGACGAACCCGATTCCACCACCACCGCCGCCTCCCGACGAGAGCACCAGCCCCAAATCACCCAAGTCAAAGCTTTCACAGACACAGAGGGCAAGATGGGCTACTCGTAAGATGACAGTCAAGAGCAGCGCGAACAAGCGTTCGTCGCTGCTGAATCGCATGCACAACCGGACGCAATCGAGCGCCAGTGAGAAGCGCCGCAGTGGCGCCCCAGCGGGTCAGAACCCAGATGGTGACGATGGCCAGGATGATGAGAACCCTAAGAAAACCGGTGATGTCGCTGGCTCTGATGACGGCTCCGAGGATGAATCCGAAAACCGTCAGCTGTATTTCAACCTGCCGCTCCCCGATGAGCTCCTGGAAGAGGGCCATCCCATCACCGAGTATCCGCGAAACAAGATCCGAACCGCCAAGTACACCCCCCTCTCGTTCGTTCCGAAGAACCTGTGGTTTCAATTCCACAACATTGCCAACATCTTCTTCTTATTTTTGATCATCTTGGGCGTGCGTATCTCTTTCAATCCCCTTCTCGCTCCCGCTCTACCCCTTCCCCTAATATTAACCATCTCTTCTCCTGCAGTTCTTTTCCATTTTCGGTACCGTTAATCCGGGATTGAACGCCGTCCCCCTGATTGTTATCGTCTGCCTTACCGCCATCAAGGACGCCATTGAGGATTACCGAAGAACCGTTCTCGACAACGAGCTGAACAATGCACCTGTCCATCGACTTCACGGCTGGACCAACGTCAATGTTGAAGAGGACAATGTCACGGCATGGAGGAAGTTCAAGAAGGCCAACTCGGCCTTCTTTGGACGTATGTGGCGCGCCATTCAGAGCACGTGGTCTAAGAAAGCTCGTGCTGAACGCCAGAGACGCAAAATGCCTGTTATTGAAGAGGAGCCTCGAACTTCGATTGAAACCGTTCGGACCAGGCGGACCACGCGCGATTCCATGGCGTCTCCGTTTGAACGCCGCGAGTCGTACGTCTCCAACCCCGATGATATTCAGATGACTCCGGTAGCTTCGCCTACGCCCAACGCCATTCACTTTGAGATCCCCGAGCGGGGCGACGCCAAGCGAGCCGACGCTCTTGCCACCATGAAGTCGGATCTTATCAACTACGAATGTCAAACTCTGGGCGCCCGCTTTGCAAAGGATACTTGGAAGAACCTTGTGGTTGGAGATTTCGTGCGTATCTATAAGGACGATGAGCTTCCTGCCGATGTCATCATTCTCTCCACCTCGGATCCCGACGGCGCTTGCTATGTTGAAACCAAAAACTTGGACGGCGAAACCAATCTCAAGGTCCGACAGGCTCTTCGCTGTGGACGCGGCATCAAGCATGCTCGAGACTGCGAGCGTGCCCAGTTCCGCATTGAGAGCGAGGGCCCACACCCCAACCTGTACAAGTACAACGGTGCCATCCGGTGGCAGCAGAAGGTTCCCGGCTACTTGGACGATGAACCGGAAGAGATGACTGAGGCAATTACTATTGATAACCTGATGCTACGTGGCTGCAACCTCCGAAACACCGAATGGATTTTGGGCGTTGTTGTCTTCACTGGACACGATACCAAGATCATGATGAACGCTGGTGTCACTCCCAGCAAGCGCGCCCGCATTGCCCGAGAGATGAACTGGACCGTCATTTGCAACTTCATCATTCTCTCCGTCATGTGCTTACTCGCGGCCATTGTCAACGGCGTGTCTTGGGCCAAGGACGATGCTTCCCAGCACTTTTTCGATTTCGGTTCCATCGGCGGCAGCTCTGGCGTCACTGGTTTCGTCACCTTTTGGGCGGCTATTATTCTCTTCCAGAACTTGATTCCCATTTCCCTCTACATCACGCTTGAAATTGTGCGAACCCTGCAGGCCATCTTCATCTTCAATGACGTGCAAATGTATTACGAACCGATCGATCAGCCCTGTATCCCCAAATCTTGGAACATCTCCGACGATGTTGGGCAAATCGAATACATCTTCTCGGACAAGACTGGAACACTTACTCAAAACGTCATGGAGTTCAAGAAGGCTTCCATCAATGGACAGCCATATGGTGAAGCTTGGACCGAGGCTCAGGCTGGCATGCAGAAGCGCCTTGGTGTCGATATCGAGAAGGAATCTGAGAGGATCCTCGCTGAAATCGCCGAGGCTAAAGTGCAAGCGCTACTGGGCCTCCGCAAAATCCACGACAACCCGTATCTCCACGACGACGCCATCACCTTTATCGCACCCGACTTTGTCGCTGACTTGGCTGGCCACCACGGAACCGAGCAGCAGCAGGCTAACGAAAACTTTATGCTCGCTTTGGCACTTTGTCACGCAGTCATGGCTGAACGAACTCCTGGAGACCCACCTTCCGTCATCTTCAAGGCCCAGTCCCCCGATGAAGAGGCTTTGGTCGCCACAGCTCGTGATATGGGCTTCACTGTATTGGGTAACAATTCTGATGGTATCAATGTCAATGTCATGGGTGAAGAACGCCACTACCCGCTCCTCAACACCATTGAGTTCAACTCCACCCGAAAGCGAATGAGTACTATTATCCGCATGCCTGATGGCCGAATTGTTCTGTTCTGCAAGGGTGCCGACACGGTCATCTACGCTCGACTCAAGAGGGGTGAGCAAAAGGAGTTGCGACAGGTCACCGCCGAACACTTGGAAATGTTTGCTCGCGAAGGTCTGCGTACCCTCTGCATTGCCCAAAGGGAACTCACCGAACAGGAATACCGTCAATGGAAGAAGGAACATGATATTGCTGCCGCTGCCCTGGAAAACCGTGAGGAGAAGCTCGAGGCTGTTGCCGAGCTCATCGAACAGGATCTCACGCTTCTTGGAGGTACTGCTATTGAGGATCGTCTCCAAGATGGCGTGCCCGAAACTATCCAGTTGCTGGGTGAAGCCGGTATCAAGCTCTGGGTTCTGACCGGTGACAAAGTCGAGACTGCTATCAACATTGGTTTCTCCTGCAACCTGCTCAACAACGATATGGAGCTCATCAACATCAAGGTCGACGAGGATGCCGCTGACGGCGAAGGCGCCGCCGCCGAAGACATCTTCATCTCTCACATTGAAAAGCAACTGGATGAGAATCTGAAGACGTTTGGCTTGACTGGCGGCGAGGAAGATCTTGCTGCAGCCAAAAAGAGCCACGAGCCCCCAGCCCCTACGCACGGAGTGGTCATTGATGGTTTCAGCCTTCGATGGGCCTTGGACGATCGCCTGAAGCAAAAGTTCCTCCTTCTGTGCAAGCAATGCCGTTCCGTCTTGTGCTGCCGTGTCAGCCCCGCTCAGAAGGCCGCCGTCGTGTCCATGGTCAAGAATGGATTGGATGTCATGACTCTGTCTATCGGTGACGGTGCCAACGATGTTGCCATGATTCAAGAAGCTGATGTCGGCGTCGGTATTGCTGGTGTTGAGGGTCGACAAGCTGCCATGTCTTCCGACTATGCCATTGCCCAGTTCCGATTCTTGCAGCGACTGGTGTTGGTCCACGGACGCTGGTCATACCGCCGTTTGGCCGAGTCCATTCCCAACTTCTTCTACAAGAACATGGTGTGGACTTTTAGCATTTTCTGGTTTTCCATTTACACCAACTTCGACATGACGTATCTCTTCGAATATACCTATGTCCTGATGTTTAACCTGTTCTTCACCTCGGTTCCCGTTGCCATCATGGGCGTGCTTGATCAGGACGTCTCGGATTCTGTCTCATTGGCCGTGCCGCAGCTATATCGCCGTGGTATTGAACGATTGGAATGGACACAGAAGAAGTTTTGGTACGTTTTTATCCCCCCCCCCTCTCATTTCTCCTTTCTCCGTCATGTTTGTATAAAAATACTGACAATGCAATAGGCTATACATGCTTGACGGTATCTACCAATCCGTCATGGTTTTCTACATCCCATATCTGCTCTTTATGCCTGCTCGACCCGTGACAGAGAACGGCCTGGGAGTAGATGACCGGTACCGACTTGGAGCCTATATTGCGCACCCTGCCGTCTTGACCATCAACGCTTACATCTTGATGAACACGTACCGATGGGACTGGCTCATGCTGCTCATTGTGGCTCTCAGTGACATCTTCATCTTCTTCTGGACCGGCATCTACACATCGTTTACCTCGTCTGACCAGTTCTATGGAGCCGCCAGGGAGATCTATGGCGAGGCCACTTTCTGGGCTGTCTTTGTTCTTGTTCCTGTAGTCTGCCTTTTCCCAAGATTTACTATCAAATCTCTGCAGAAAGTCTACTTCCCGTATGACGTGGACATTATTCGAGAGCAGGAGAGGCAGGGCGCTTTCGCCCATCTCAAGGTGGAGAGCGAGACGGTCGAAGCAGTCAGTGACGAGAAGAGCCAGAAGTCCAAATCATCTGGCAGCTCGCGCCGAGCGAAGCACAACCAGTATGCCAGCGTTGACGAAGACCTGCGACCCATCTACCCTCCGTCAACAGTGACGCGAACAACGACGCAAAACTACCACAGCCAGACTGGCAGCGACAGCACCAACTATACTGGTAATCGCTTCTCTCTCGACGTTCCAGCGCAACAACAGACCCGACCAAGCATGGACCGAGCCAGGCCATCATATGATCGAATGCGCCAGTCAATGGACCGCATCCGATACAGTTACGAGGCTAGCAGCGATTTTACCTCTGCTGCACGGCTGTCTCGCATTGAGTCAAGTCGATCCCATGGCGCCTCGGGCCTTACTTCGCGGCTGCGTGGGCTTTCATTGACTAAGAGCGCTAATGTATAGACATGGCTGGGAGTGCTCCAAAGAAAAAAAATAATACCCCTTTTTTTCGTTGTATATCTACATCACGACCAGTCTTTCTATCTTCCTACCTCTAGTTCACATTTTTTAATGTCCCCGCTGCAAAGATGTTTGGTGTTTTATGCATCTGCATCGGGTCATTCATGCTTTTGATGATCTGCATGAGCGATCTATGAATTGCTGCCCTCTTACCGCCTTTGTTAATGACATCCCGCATATAGGTGTGCATCGAGCACAATTACAACAAAAAGGAAAGACCAAAAAAAAAAACGGATGCGTGTAAATGTGTAACACGTGCCACCACAAATACGACCTGCCGTTTCATGGCAGAAGGAGAAGAAAGAATGAGAAGAAGAAATAAAGAGAAGACAAGGCCGTCGTTGAGAGAGGATGGGTCGTCTTGACCTTTGTGTGAGAAAAAGGGGGAAGGCCTGCCTTTATTATTTTGCATGGCGTTTGAAAGGGAACCGGAGAACTATGGGTCTGCTTGCTTGCTTTGCTTTTTTTTTTTCTTGGTTGAAAGATATATTTCTCCTTTATTTTCTTGATTTCCGCTTTATCGCTTCGTTTTCTCTCATTTCTCCTCCTGTTTCCTTTCTGCTTCGTCCTTTTTTTTTATTTCCTTTTTTCCTTTTGCTTTTTGCATTCTAGACCTGAGTAGCGACGCACTCATTCCCTCGAAGAGTATATTTTGCCCTTATTATTACACATGTACTTGGTTGAAAGGCGGGAGTAAGAGACTGGAGAGAGCGCCGGAGGAAGTGGTCTTGTTTCCCTCTCTACTTTTTTTTTACTCGTTTTTTTGTTTTGAACGTTTGAAAGTAAAGCAAAGCGCGGATAGCTGCTGGAAGGGGGGGCTGGCGTTGAGGCTGGCTAGAAGATGCCCGTAGCCTGGATACGAGGACAATGGGATCAGTATTGTAGTAGCTTGTTCTGGGGGTGGAAATGAGAAGCTTTATATATATTCACGATGCTTTTGCGTATTTGATTTCGCCTGCGTTGATTTCAATGTGCCTTGTATTTTGCGTATTAGAAGTAGAAGTACTGTATTACTTGTACACAATAGAGAGAGATGCTATGATGAATTATTAGCTGGCGCGGAATTGAACTCTGGACAATTATTGGACAATGCCTTTCCGCCAGGGGTCCTGCCCAACCCCACTGCACTTTATTCGAACGACTTCCCAGTAGTACCATCGCCTGATCCTCCTTATCTTGCAACTTCCCTCCCGTCCTTTGCCGTTTGGTATTGCTCGTTTTTCATTTCCTTCACTCGGTAGACGGGTTCGAGGCGGGGCGACCAGACAATGGAGCGTTTCGTGGAGCAGCTCGCGGGCCTTGTTGCCGCCTTGAGCAGCCGCTTGGGCACCCAATTTGATGTTTCGTACGTCTTATCTTCATCCTCTACGAATGCACGCCATATAATACTAACCGAGCTCTTTCAATCTTCACAGCCCGGCTGCCCTTCAAGCTTTCTTCGCGCTCTTCGCAACCGTCATCTGCGGCCTCATCATCCGCGCAGCCAGCGCCGCCGCCATCGCCGCCACAGCCTCCCGCCCCCACCATTATGTCGTGCCGCCGCCCAAGATGCCCGAGAAGGACAGCAGAGTCGCCGAGACGAGCATCAAGATGTCTGGCAGCTCGGCGATCCAGTGCTACGCGCCTGCCACGGGCCAGTTCCTCGGACTCGTCAACCCCACGACGGCGGACGGCATCGATCGCGCTGTTGCTTCGGCTGCTGAGGCGCAAAAGGTCTGGGCCACGACGACATTTGAGCAGAGAAAGGCCGTGCTGCGGTCGTTGATGAAGTACGTCATGGACAACGCCGAGCAGATCTGCCGCATCGCCGGGCTGGACAGCGGCAAGACCATGGTGGACGCGCAGCTGGGCGAGATCCTGGTGACGGTGGAAAAGATCCAGTGGACGCTCAAGCACGGCGAGAAGGCGCTGCAGCCGTCGCGGAGGCCGACCAACCTGCTCATGTCGTACAAGCGCAACACGGTGCACTACGAGCCGCTGGGCGTCGTCGCCGCGCTCGTCAGCTGGAACTACCCCTTCCACAACCTCATGGGCCCCATCATCAGCGCGCTCTTCACCGGCAACGCCATCCTCGTCAAGGTGTCCGAGCAGACGGCCTGGTCCAGCAGCTACTTCCTCAACATTGCCCGCGGCGCCCTTGCTGCCCACGGCCATGATCCGCAGCTCGTCCAGACGGTCGTTTGCTGGCCCCAGACAGCCGGCCACTTGACGTCTCACCCGGGCATCAGCCACATCACCTTCATCGGCTCGCAGACCGTCGCCCACCACGTTGCCGCCAGCGCCGCCAAGAGCCTCACGCCCGTCCTCGCCGAGCTCGGCGGCAAAGACCCCTTCATCGTCCTCGAATCCGCCGGGGGTAGGAAAGACGGCGACCTGCCTCGCATCGTCGACGTCATCCTCAGGGGCACCTTCCAGGCCGCCGGCCAGAACTGCATCGGCATCGAGCGCGTCATCTCGTCGGGCGCCGTCTACGACCGCCTCGTCCAGCTGCTCGAGCCCCGCGTTAAGGCCATCCGCCTCGGCCCCGACGCCGACATGGGCGCCATGATATCCGACGCCTCCTTCGCTCGCCTCGAGGAGCTCATCGCCGAGGCCGTCTCCCAGGGCGCCCGTCTCCTGGCCGGCGGCAAACGCTACACTCACCCGGACTACCCCCAGGGCCACTACTTCCTGCCCACGCTCCTCGTCGACGTGACCCCGTCCATGCGCATCGCGCAGAACGAGTGCTTCGCCCCGGTCCTCACCATGCTGCGCGCCAAGTCCTCCTCCGCAGAGGATATGCTCGCCATCGCAAACGCCCCCGACTTCGGCCTCGGCGCCTCCGTTCACGGCTCCGAGCGCGACCCCGCCCTGCAACCCATCGTTCGCGGCCTCAAGGCCGGCATGGTCGCCATTAACGACTTCGCCGCCTACTACGCCGTCCAGCTCCCCTTCGGCGGCGTCGCAGGCTCTGGATACGGCCGCTTCGCCGGCGAGGAGGGCCTCCGCGGCCTCTGCAACACAAAGGCCGTCTGCCAGGACCGCTTCGGCTGGCTGGGCGTCAAGACGGCCATTCCTCCTCCTGTCCAGTACCCCGTTGCCAGCCAGGACCGCTCTTGGCGCTTTACCCAGGGCGTCGTTGAAGTGGGATACGGTTCCTCGGCGACAAAGGTTGCTGGTGTCACCAAGATTTTGAAGAATATGTAGGCGTATTGCATAGATAGACGACGCTGTACTGTGCTTTCCTGGGCTTATTGAGCGAGTCCATATTGCGCTTCTGGGAGAAATGAATCAAGTGAGATGAAACTTTCATGTATGGTAAATGATAGATTGATAATACCTGTAAATATAATAAGAAAAGAAACACATCATCTACACATCAGATAAATATGTATTGTGACTGCAAGTACCTACATATTACTCTCCTGTATCTTCACTCGCCTACAACATTATCACAGAAAGCTTACAGAATTACGACATTAGTCACTGGTCAAGTCTTCAAATCATAGAATCCTATCATTCAATAGATTCAAGGTGGTTATCGTGATGTAGCTATGACCACTTATAGAATTGCCAAACGCCAGTGTCCTTGTCTGCATTTCGCAGAATGTAAATAACGAAAAAGCCTAGCCATTCCAGCTTGGCCTCGAATGAATCCGACAACTCTCCTTACCACGCGCTGGTTGGAGCGGGTGCTTCTGCACCCCAAGTGCCTCCGGAGTTATTGTCAGTTGCGCCTTGAGATCCCGCTCCCCAGGCGCCCCCAGAACCTCCGGTTTCCTCGGCTCCAGCACCATTGCCCCATCCTCCGCCGCCTGAATCCGCGTTGGTACCATCGCCATCGCCAGCGCCCCAACCTCCTCCCTCAGCATCGCCGGCACCGGCGACGTCATTGGGGTCAAAGTCAGACTCGGTCTCGAACTTGACCTTGATGCCATCCGTGTAGTTCTCCGGGATGTACGATCGCAAAAAATCCGGAATCTCCTGGCTGGTTTCCAGCAAAGTCCGAGTCAGAACACTCGCGATAGCTTCATCACGATCCGTATAAAAGGAAGTCGCAACTCCACGATGACCAATGCGACCAGTCCGACCTAGACATGGAATTAGCAGTTGTCGAATAGCGGATACAATAAGAAGCAGCTACATACCAATTCGGTGAGTATACTCCTCGATGCCACCATGGTCCATCGAAGGCATGTCGTAGTTTATAACATGCATGACGTTTCGCACATCAATACCACGAGCTGTGACTCCAGTCGCAACAAGGATGGGGGCTTGGCCGCTTCGGAATGCTCGCATGGCGGCTTCTCTCTCCACCTGAGTGCGGTCACTGTGAATAGATGTCACCGGAAGCTTCATGTTGTACAAAAAGTCATCGAGGGTATCAGCAGCTTGACGGCTGTTGACAAAGATGATGGTTCGTACGCTGTTCATCTCTTCAAGCAGATTGAGGAGAAGCTCATTCTTCTTCTCGCGGCTGGTCTCAATCACTATCTGCTTGATGTTCTCAGTGGTGCTTCCGGCTCGACCAACGCGGAAGCGCACATGAGAGGCCGATAGGTATTCCCTGGCGAGAGCGCGAGCGGCACGGGGGAAGGTGGCAGAAAAGAGACCATACTTGACGTTGCCCTCATCTTGTTCTGTATGGCGCACTCATTAGTGAACCTGTAGAAAAAAACAAAAGGAGCTTGGGGAAAAGACACTTACCTCCACCAGAGAGAATAGCCCGAAGCTCTGTCTCCCAGTCCTGGTTGAGCATCTCGTCAGCTTCATCGATGACCATGTACTTGACTCGGCGGAGAGTCAGCTTGTCTGGGCGTCCGATGAAGTCTTTGAGACGGCCAGGAGTTCCAATCAAGATGTCACAGCCTCGGGAGAGGAGGCTGAGCTGTTCACGGACTGGAGTTCCTCCATACACGACGCAAGGTCGGAGCATGGACCGATAGCAGAGCTTTCTGGCCTCATTGAAGATTTGCACGGCCAACTCGCGAGTAGGCACGACAATAACAACAAGGGGCTCCGCGGTCACATTGTCAACACCATCTTGAAAAGTGAGAGGGTTGGGACGATATGCTCCAAGTTTCTTTGCTTTGCCCATGAGCTTGCTGAGAATTGGAATGAGATAGGCAGCGGTCTTGCCAGAACCTTGTGAAATGTTAGATACCATGGTCAGATTGAAAAGAATGCACACTCACCAGTTTGCGCAATGCCAATCACATCGTAACCCTGCAAGATGGCTGGGATCGTGAATTTTTGGATGGGAGTCGGGACTTGGTATCCCGACAGCTCGACATTTTTCATCATGACAGGATGAATTCCTGCATCGGCAAACGTCTTGATATACTCGATGCGCTGAGGGCCTTCCTGGACAACGTCGATGCTCTCGATTCTGTGTGCTTCAAATTAGCATGGTTATAGCATGTATGGAGTTACGAGACAAACGCTGAGAAATCGAGACCGCCACCAACGTGCTTGCTGCGATCTTCAGCGGAACCAAAAAGTTCCACTTCAAGCTCCTCAAAAGCTGGGCCGACATCTCCAAATTCATCGCTCCACTGGTAAATGCGAGCGTTGCCGTCCCAGGTGGAGGCTGCCTGGGCCTGAGCCATGGCAGTGTAGTCGAACGCGGTCGGTTCAACCCAGCCAGGAGCCTGGCCTTCGCTCTCAGCGACTGGTCCGTTTTCAGGTATGGCCATCTTGTCCTGAAGTGGGTGTCGACGTTTGAATGACTAGAGCAAAGTTAGAATGACGGCTGTGTCAAGAAGCGAAGCTGGACAAAGAGAAGAAAATGCACGCGCAACAAGAATTGCGAGATTTCTGAATGAAAAGTGAAGTTGGACTGAAATCTCTTGTGAAGAAGCACAAAGGAGTAGATTCCTTGGCAACAACATGTGAGGAGTTGAGGAATCCAAGACGGTAGAAGAAGCATGGGAAGATGCAGAGAGACAAAGGAGTTGACGAATGGAAGACGACCTGGAGGGGGAGGATAGATGGAAGGGAAGCTCGCAGATGCTCAAAGATGGGTGCCAAATCAAAACATTGAAAATGCTTGATGCAAATAGAATAGAGGATGATGAGATGGATCACTTGCCTTGAAGAAGCGATGAGCCTTGAGTCAACTCTTTGCTGCTGGAATCTCTCTTTGCACGAGAGTCTGGATGGCTGAAGAGAAAAGAAGAGAAGAGGGGAGGGAAGAAGAGGAGGAGGAGGGAAGAAAGCTGCCCTCAAATAGTTGCAGCTGGCCGGGTGATGCCTGAGGGGGCAACGGCACATGCACAGAAGGCCTCCTCGAAGAAAGAGCAGACTTTGAGGAATGTGCAGCTTCAGTAGGTTAATTGCACTGAAGAGAAAGCTTTGGGGGAATAGGAAAGCCTATAGATCAAAGGAAGCGAGAGGAATAGGGGAGAGAAGCGCCTGAAGAGGGAAGATAACCACTATAACAACGATAAGGAACCTCGCACCTCGAGATGCAGCATAAACAGGCAGCAAGTGAGTATAATTACTCTGTTTAAAACCACTGATAAGCATTTACTCACTTTAATTGGAATAGCTTGGAGTGTCATGGCCCGTTGTTCCATCAACAGATGCGAGATGCTATTTGTTGTGCTCGTCTGCAGGATGCCGAGCTGCATGTGTTGATGGAACATTCATTGATGCCCAAGTCAAGCTCTCATTTCTTTATTTGCTCGTTGCTATTCCCTCTGTCGTCTTTTGAGAAGCTCTGTATTGGGTACAAGGCGGTTGAGGATCGAGGGGAGACACGGCAAGGTTTGCACATATTCTTCTTTCTGCCTCCACGATGCTATCTACATACAGCACGATCTTTTTACCCACAATATTGCAGATTCAAGACTATTGTTGCTTTACAATAGTTATGTTTGATTGATTTGGTTATAGATTCTGATCAATGAGTTCTGGCGGCAGCGCTGCTGTTACTTACTCTCTCCGATGTCGGGCGGATTCACACCGATTTGACGATAGATTTGAAAGAAAAACGCAACGAATTGCTTTCTGCGAACACTAGGAGCTGACAGTTTAACTAGATGGATTTGGATTCGGCAAATATCTCGCCCTATCGAAGAGGCTATGCAGCAAATTTGCAAACAAGCACAAAAACTACGTCAGTTGAGGAATGGTGATATCTTCGTCATCTTCATTTCCAAGAGATAATATTAAAAGGGTATCAGCTAATACGATTTACCACAGGTTCAACAAATCCTGAGCATCCATTCCAGCGGACGCAGCATAATCTCCCATTCCATCCTTCAACACTTGATCGAGCCCAACAGCTGCTCTCCCTGCCGCTCCGCCTTCTTTCTTCACCTTTTCGATTCCCTTTGTGACGGGATCAAAGAATCTCCGATAAAATACTTGTTGTCTTGCCTCTCGATTGGGATACATCTCTCCCTCCTCGTCTCGTCTTGATCCAAGCAAATTTAGATACTCAAAGGCATTTGAAGAACGGGGCAGCCTGTAGAGATTGTCCCAGTACTCTTCAGGGCCGGGGGCGGCCGCAGTCTCTGACTTGAGTCCTGCTTGGAGGAATCTGGACAATGTCGATATCTGACGTGCAAGTGTCTGGGCATCCTTAGCGCGGAGTCCAGTCCGAGGAGCTGATGTCCAGCCTGGAGCGGCTGAAGAGAGGGACCAGCCCATGGTAACACAAAAAGTACTCAAAGTCTTGACCCATCCACCTGGGATGGTGACAAGCTCATCCTCGGCCACGTCTAGAAGCCACTCCATCACTCCAAGAGAGTCGCCGCTAATATCGGCTGATAGATGGGTCATGCCTGCTCGGATGAACATGATGGCTTGCTCGGTGCTGTGCTTTGCTTCATCTTCGGGAAGTGTTCGAAGGAGCTTTAATAGTTGACTCCGGACTGGTGTTGAGCTATCTGAGATGAGAGGGAGGAGTTTGGAGAGGAGGATGTTTGTCCCAACGGGATTGACGGGAGGATGTGAGGAGAGCTGGCTTGTGAGGTACGCCAAGGCGTCACGGCGCTGTTTATCAGACCGTGAGGATGAGGCTAGGGATAGATTGTGCTTGAATTGCTGGACAACATCTGGGGCAATAGTTGATAATGATTGCTGGTTCATAACAATTGCTGAAGGCTGTTAGTGATGGCCTTTGCTATCTAAAGGATGGCACAAGTGACCATACCTTTGGATTTGAAACTTGTGTCTGTGAAATTTGAGGCCTTTGGCTTGGCCTTTCCCACCTTGTACTTGGGTTTCTGGCGACATGTTAGCAAATGAACAAATGGCACTCAGACAAGCAGAGCATGTGAGAGGCTGTACCTGAAAATCCTTCTTCTTCTCCGCCTTCTTTCTGGCACTGGAACCCATCTTGGCGGCGTTTTACTGACACAAATGTAGGGTAGACGGATGAAATATTGACACAAAAGCTGTAATGTATACTTGAATTGTCGTTGATATGGCTCAATGGCACTAGATCTAATGCTTCTCATTGATGATTGGTTTTTTACCACCAGCTGCAGGTTCAAGAGGCTGCATGTGGGTCTGTAAATTTTGGCGGTGGCGCATGGCAGAATTTCGACGTGCCGCGATGCGATGTGGGCTACGTCAATGAGCCGTAGACGGCAGCACCCTGCGAAAGCGACGGACGTCTTGGCCGCATCTACCGAACTACGGGGCTTTTGCAAAGGATTCGCATGTTGAATTTTTAGGAGAACATACACACAAGCAGCGTCAAAATGTCGGAAAACCCTACGGTACGAGAGACTACGGATACGTCGCATATTGCCTCCTTGTTGCGCATCCAGCTAATAACGTCGCTAGACCAACGGGCACGACGCCCTAGAAGAGAAGCTTGGTCGCCTTGCCAGGAAACCCGGCGTCAAGGCCAGCATTGTCCTGGACAGAGCGACGGGAGCGATTCTCAAAACGAGCGGCCAGATCGACGCGCTCCAGACGGCGAAATCGCGAAACGCGTCAACGGCGGCCTCATTTTCCAACGACGCTCCCGCAGCGGAGGAAGGCGAGGCGCAAGGCGTCGAGGAGTTTGCGGAAATGATATGGAACTTCGTCAACAGCTCTGGGCAGCTGGTACAGGACGTGGACACAGAGGTAGACGCGGCTATTACGGGCGATAAACCCCCCTTTTTCAGATCGCCTGCGTAATACGGCTCTTGCAGAGGCTAACCGGAGTTCAGGACGAGCTGAAACTACTGCGACTGCGAACAAAGAAGCAAGAGATTGTCATAGTGCCCGACCAGAAGTACCTACTGACGGTCATCCACGATACTCAGCCGGCCTGATTACACACTTGGAGCGGACTTTCCGATACGCAGCAGCGGGTTATTAAGGGGCTATATGATGAAATCTAATACTTGGAACGGTGATATTCTAGAAGGGAAGCGGTAATGGGTCAACAGCGTACGAAAGCAAAGCACGGGGGTAGTGGAAGCGGCGCCAACTCCGCCACTGGGAGAGCGGGAATTTGTCATGGTCCATTTTCGTTTTATGAAGCATAGCTACACGGCGCACAGGATGACGAAATGATACCCCAGGACGTTAATGCCAACGGCGACACGTGCGTGATGAATACAGGTCCGACCGAGCTGCTGCCTGGCGTGACAGGATATCCTGCGGCCAACCGCCTGGAACACGACGACGGATCGGATGTGCGGCGACGGGCATTCTCTGCCTTTGCTTGGCGTGTCTGTCTGTCTGCCTGCCTGCCTGTCTGAGTGCGGTATACGAGTACTCATCTCGTCTCATCCAACAAGTTACGAGCATGTGCGACATGGCCGTTGCTTCTACGAAATGCCATCGTGTTCCATAGCAGAGCTTCGATGAGAAACACACCAGCCTTGGCACCTCGGCTGCGATTCAGAGTAATTTCGCGTGCCGCGCGGCCCTCGCGACTCGGGGATTGGCAGGAGCCCAGAGAATAGAGTTATCCTAAGCATCTCGATAACGCTCCCGCTGTCAATTCTATTCTTGTCGGTGATTTTTCTTTGTTTTTGCTTTTGACAGCTCCTTCTCCCACCGCACTGCCAAGAGCCATGAGCTCATTTTCGGTACCGCGTACATACTGGTACCTGCGCAGTGAAGATGGGATGTACCAGTACCTTGTCATACAGGAAAAGGGGGCTGCCGCACATGTATACGTATACATGCAGATTCAGGTACAGACCCCCCCCAGTCAGACCAATTTCTGCACCAGCGCCTGCAATCAATCCACCATCAATCAAGCACTGTCTCGCCGCCTCTACTGTAATCATGCCAGTCCAGAAAATGCGCCCATCCCATAGCTGCTGCCTCCTGACATTTGGCGCCATCCATCCCTTTCGTCCAACTTTGTCCAGTCTTCCAGAACGGATGATTGATGATCCATATCATACGAGGCCCCGGCCAGGGGGCGATGGCAGGGCACCTTGGCCAATCAGCCGCGCGCTGGCGCAAAGCAGTGACAAACCGCCAGCCCAGATCGACGGGGCGAGAGGCACTGATTGCCGACCCCAGATGGCCCAGATTTGCCAGGTGCAAAAGACCCATTAATTACGGCGTTAGGGAGCTCAATCTCGGAGGGCCCCAAAGACCGTGCTGATGAATCCCGTCCGTGTCTGCGAGCTGCTGCTGCTGCGTCTCAGGGCTTTGCTGCGGCGCTGCTCAGGGGCATGGACGGGGCCCTGGCGGCGCCGAGAAGCCCCCATTCCACGCACAGCACTAGCACAAGCACGAAATACTCCGTCGAGTTCAGAGGCCAGGCGTTAGTCCAGCCAAGGCAAAGGGTCTGGGTGGGTGGCATTCGCTTGGAGTTTGTCGCCTCCAACGCTCATTTAGAGGCCAGCGGGTGGTATTCTACCTTCGTAGGTACCTAGGTTGGTATACGAATGGACCAGCCGTTTTTTAATACGTGGGACAATTTAAGAGTCCTACTAAGGTAGTACTGTGACACTTGCCTATTTGTAAAATGCGGGGGAATCTAGGGACCTGCCGACAGACCGGTGGCGTTTACATGAGAACAAGTACTGTATAGCACCGTACTGTACTCGTACTCGTACGGCAGAGGTAGGGAGGGAGCACCAAGACCTGGGAGAGCAAGACACACGACCACGTCTGGTGGTGTCAATCCTGACAATGCAGAGGGGGAAAACATATTGCATGTGCCCAGCCTTAGAGTTCTGCCTGCTCTGTACTGGTGCTTGTTTTTTTCAGTCGTCAAATCCAACCTGCAGCACGGCACAGAACCTAAACCTGCAGCTGCTACTGCAAACGACCCGTCTCTTATAGTACCAGACTTGTCCAAGTACATGCACTGTACTGCACTGCACTGTACTTTACTGTCCAGTACAATCAGCTCATGTACATGCGCCTCTCTCCCCACGCAACGTTGGATTTGACAGCCAAATCAAATCAAACCAAACCAAACCAAACACAACACAACACAACTCCACGCAAAACCACCCCTGGAAGCACGGGATATTGCAGTGCAAGTAAGCTTCAAATGTCTCACTGTGCCCTTGTCTGCGCCAGAAACCCCCAAATGCGAACGGGCCACCTGACCATTTCCGAGAATAGCGCTGTCTCTCCTGGCTGAGGTCCCTGGTCCGCGTTTGGCCCTGTGGTTGGTGCTGCCCCGCTGCTCGTGAGCAACCTCCGCAGCTAAATTGGGCCGTCTAACTGGACCCGGAGATCCGGCGAGATCGAACCATCTTCAGTGCCATTTTTGCTCTGCTGCCGACAATTTTCTCCCTCTACTGTATTCTTTCACCTTTCCCTCCATCGCCGAGGGTCCAGCGAGCTTTCACCGAAAATCCAATAAAGTCTCACTACTGCCTCTTGCTTGTCCATGCCCGGCTAATGCGTCCTTCGTCCACCACTAGGTAGCAGCACCCAACCCAGAAGCGAACAGCAATGGCGTCGTCCCACTTCCTTAGTGACGATGACATTGAGATGCTCTTCTCTGGAGCTCCCCAGTATTTTGCCCGCAGCGAGAGCCACTTCCCGGGCGCGCCTCATCCCAGCGTAGCCTTTCCCTTTGACGAGGAATTGGAGATCCGCGACTTGACGGACCATGTCCAGATCGAGTCCAAGGCCTGGAGTGGCGTCACTGTCTGGCCGCACCTGACCCGGGACGTCAACCATGATCCAGAGGCCAAGAAGGAGGTCGAGGAGACGCACAAGGCCCATTTTCATGTGCGATGCTCCGAGCGACCCAACATGCTGAGCATGCAGGGCCTGGAGAAGGGCACCATGGGCTACCAGGCCGCCCTCGAGCTGGCCGTCAGCGACTCGCTCGAGGAGGAGCAGTTTGGCTTTGAGAGCCTCGGCACCAAGGCTCGTGCTGTCGTCGAGGCTCGAGAGCGCATGCTGTCTCGTGACGGATGGCTGCACCGTCTCCCCCAGACTGAGCTGCTGGACCGGCTCAAGCGCAATGCCGACATCTATCGTAACAACAACCTTCGCAAGAAGCCGTCCCAGGAGACCTACAACGACCTTTTCCACGTCCTCATGAGGCCAAACAAGGCGGTCAATGTCGACAAGAAAGACCCCCACAGTCTTCCCAACCAGATCAGCGCCATCCTCAAGTGCATGGGAGCCCCCAATGTCTGGATTGATCTGTCACATGTCGAATGGCGTGTTCGCCTCGGCCAAATCCTCTGGGGCAAGCCGCATGGCGACGAATTGAATGATAACACGGCAATCGTTGATGCCGAAAGTGCTGCTGAGAGAGCCGAAGAAAAGTATTGGCTACTAATGCAGATTCTGGTTTCGACCGAGTTGCTCATCCGCCTGGATGCAATTACAGACGGCGAAGAGTACGGGGCAGCACACTTTAGAGCCATTGATGTAGTCCAGTTTGAGAGGGCCGCCAACGCCTCTGTCAAATGGTCGCTGCTTCTGGCCCGTAGCTGGCTGAAGAATATCGAGATCGTGCGGGAGGAACATGGATCTACAGCACGGCCGGAGATCCGTCGTGGAAGCAGTGGCATCGCCCCTGGCTGGCTGGCATCTCTGGCCAGCAAGATTTCTCTCCATGACCTACACAGGCACGGAAACCGACCTCCGTCGCCACCTCATTTTTACACCATTCGCGGAAGATATGGTCAGCGCCAGGTCGAGGGCCTGACTCACTTTGCGAGGAAGCTCATGTGGCCAGGTATCGACGCTTACGAGAGACGAATTTCGGAAAACGTACAGAGGCTGACGGCACCAACATCTCTGGTACCACCGACGCCGACGCCGATGAAGAAGGACCCTGAGCAGGATGGGTACTTCGGTGCCTGGGATGTCACATGTCAACGCGGACACCACAAGGAGCGAGCTCAAGCCAGGCGACGCCGCATGGCTGCAGCACTCCATGAGTCCGGCTGGCTCTCCAAGTCGTACATCTTTGGTCTCATGATGCCCGGGGATGCTGTAAGCCATTTCCTGATGGCGACGTTGCTGGAGAATGATAGCGAGGCCCTCTCCAGAATAGGATCGTTTGCCAATCTGAGCAGCGGCTTTGTTTACCACGAGAAAAGTTTCTGGAGCACATCTTGCATTGTCGGCAGAGTTTTGGCCGCCGGGAAAGGATCCGCCGAGTGTATGGGTTGGATTTCGACAGACATTATCCCCGAAGGAGTCAGTGAGGGATGGATCAGCATTGATGTTCATGATGTTCCCTGTGAGTTGTTCCCCTTGTCAGTAGCCCCCAGTACATGACACCCTACTAACTGCCTACCAGCCGAGATTTCTCAACTTGGCAAAAAGGCCAGGCTTTGGGGCAAGAAGCGAGTTGAGCGCGAATCGTCGATTCTTGGAAATGGTCAAGAAGAGGCAGTTTCTCCTGCAGATTTCATAATCCCTCATGAGAACAACTACTCGCCCGCTCCACCGGGCGTGTTTATTGAGTTGCAATCGCTGGAGCTCGCCTCACCAGTGGCAGAGTGTGTCCACCCGACGCCGCTTGCGGAGATTATAGCGACTCCCATCCATGAAAACCACCGAGCTCCAGATCTACTGTCGTACCCTGCCAAGATCAACTTTTTCGTTTCAATCGACGGAGAAAAGACGGAGACGGCAACCTTTTCGCTGCTGTACGACATCAACTTTGTCACTGCTCACCCGTGCTCGCCCTCTTCGCGAGTCCGGGTGCTAAAGTCGCCTTCGAGTCCGACGTTGCAGCAGATTGACTTTGACGGTTCAAAATCTCTAGGAACCGGGTCTCGGTCCATGTATCGAGCAGGTAAGCTTGTGCCCAACCAGATAACCCCCCGCCACTTGCAGTATGCTAACGGAAAACGTGCAGGCCACCCCTTGCATAAGTATTATAATTATACAGTCATTCACATTTCCGACCTCCTGCGACGACGAGACGACAAGCTGTCGGATCTCCTCACGCCTCCCAACGGACAAGTTGCTCCGAATCAGGTGCTGGTAGTTGACTGCATTACCAACTTTTCCTCAGCACCGCAGTCTCCTGTGCTTGACCGCTTGGAGTCGCCTGGAACTTCGCCTATTGAACGAAAGGGCAGCTTCTCCGCGGCAGCCAAGATGCACTTTGAGTCGCGAAAGCGCCAGTTTGGCTCCGACATGGAGATCCTCATCCGGGCTCTGTGCTCTGAGAGAGGATGGAATGCCATCATTAGCAGGAGGAAGCGAGGATGTTTAGCCTGCGCAATTCGCGAGGCCGGCGCTCTGGGTTGGAAAATCATTGTCAGAGTCCCATGATATATGGGCATATGTAAGCAAGCTGGAAGGGGAGAGGTTCTCCATGGCGTTTTTTATGTTTTATTTTGTTGAAAGGGAGGCGAAATAAGCCTGAGGGAGAAAAACCGCGGAACAAGAAAAAGAATACCCTTCTCTGACGGAGTTATCTTGGGCGATGGCGGGAATTTTCGGAGTGTTTTTGCAGGTCAGCATGGGTTCTTTGTCGTTATTTTTTCCAAGTTGAGCCAGCGAGCGAGCGGAATTTTGTTGTATGATAGTAGCATTTTGGGAATGGCTGGGCCATTTGGCGAAGATCGCAGGGACGACTTTGCAGAGAAGCGGGCACAGCTGATGCAGGGCATTTCGCAACTCGACAAGTCAGAAATAGGAACAAGAGAAATAATTTTGTGATATTTTCCCCGTCTTCTGATTGCGGTGTCTCGTGAATTATCGGAACAAGGCGCTGAGGTTTGTGGAGCAAAAGACGCTGAGGCTAACCCACACTGCGCTAAGCCCGGTTGGGGGCAGTTGGTGAAGCTTAGTCAACTTGCAGCTGCAACTATCCGCAACGGCCTCGTGGCCAAACATGGCGCAACATCAACCGCACAATTGCATCTTGCCATCACCAGATTCTCTCTGAACTTGACCTGTTCAATCAGCAATGGCACCCAACGTCAAGGACATGCGACGCGCGGACCTGAGTAAGTGCTGCGATTCCTCTGCTCTGCGCGCCGCAATTGGCTGTTGCGTCCTGCTATCTGGCCCCGCGAGAGGTCATGATGCGCTTCACAACTGAGACAGAAGGCTGACCTTGAATCTAGTCGTGCCGTATCAGGAGCCGGTCGTTAAAGGCGAGGTGACTGATTTCTCGTCCACCATGTCGTCGACGCTGCCCATGGCGGCCATGTTTATGCGGAACAAGTTTGTCGGATGGTATGCGATCCTTGGACCGAAACGAAGAGGAATAGCAATAAAAATGGAGCATGGGGAGGGCTGACGCTTGTGTGTGCTTTAGGATTGCGGTTGTGTTTTCTATCCAGACGTGGTTGGGCGAGAGCGAGGACAGCAAGAAGAGCGGTGGGACGCCGGGATACTTTTCCGTTGGCATGTCGAGTATGTTTCCTTCTCTCTCTTATCTACGCCCCCTCTATTCTACGTGGTGAGGCATTGGAGATGAATTGCTGACTGAACATTGCAGTTATGGCTCTGGCGGTGACATATCTGCCCATGTTTATTCCTCCTCCCGGCGCAAAGACTGCTCCTCCGCCTCCGCAGCCGCTGCAATAAGACAACAAGGAAATCTGAGTGGGGAAAGGAGAGAAGCGACGCGTGGTAATGGCGGGCGATGGTAATAGGATACCTGACTGAGATTGAATCAGAGGAAAGTCTTGGCTGAAGGGGTTTCGTGGGGGAAAGAGGCGAGGCGAGCTGCAAGGCTTCTAATGTGACATTCATGTACGACGGTGTATATAAATTAATCTTGATGACCAAAAAAGGGCAGATGCCATGTTTTTTTTACGTGATATTCAGATGGATTTTTGCTCTTCTTAAATGGTTCAGCATTGGGTATTGTATGGACCTCAACTATGCTCATTACTTCGTTAAAATCACATACTCCACACTAGCTACCCCTGGTAAATTCAACATCACATCTGCTTTCCAACATCACGAATGTAATGTCCAAAATAAAATATAAACAAAACTACTGTACAATCGCATCACCAGCTTTTGTTTTAGCTTCAAAACCCGCAGATCATCTCTTCCGCAGCGCCCTACTCCCGTCTCACGGCGCTTTGACGCGATTGGCCACCGCACGATGGGGTACGGAGGTCCGTTCCTGAAACCGCACTTGACACAAGAAACGTCTGGGGGGTGGCTTCACCTCCTCCTCGACGCTTTTTCTTCTTCTCTTTCTTCTTCTTCTCTTTCTCTCCTTCGTTTGATTTCCTGTATACGTCCTTTTTTATTTCGTCTTTGGGTTCTGCGTTTTTTGGGGTTTACGTCTGCGCATTTGCTTTCTTCTTTGCGAAACCTGCTGTGCTGGGCACTTGGGCTTCCGAATCAACGCCATCCTACTAATTCACTTTTCATTGTGGACACAACAAAGCGAGAAAAAGAAAACAAAAATAAAATCTCAAATCAATCAAAATGAAGACGACTTTCGTATTCGCCCTCCTTTCAACAGCGATTTCCTTCGTTGCGGCAGATATCGTCATCACGCCCATCTTCGAGGACCAGATCGTGCAAAAGCAGGCAGGCGATTGCTTCTTTGGCGTTGTCACACCTCAGGGATGCGGGTATGCTTCTCTCCCTACATTTTCCTATTTTCATTTTACGTCTCTTGGGGTATTATGATGAGGCTAATTCTTTTTTATAGACCAAGACGAGGATAAACATACCGCATTTTACGTGCTTCAGTAGGATAGAAGCTGGAACCATTTCGCCGCATCCGATGGGTACCGACGATGTGCTAGTGATTTAATTTGATAGTGTCCATCAATAGGCCTTGGACTCGCTGCGCGAGACTAGGATGAGAGGGCACCAGGCAGACAATATTAATACGGCGTTTTGATTTGGGAAAAGAGGTCACCACAGCAAAGAGAATATCGCTGATGGATATGATTGGGGGAGTTTTTTTTTTTTTTTTTTTTTTTTTTTCGTTAACATACCGTGTTCGTATACGGAATTACATAGATATAAGAGCCAAGATTACAAGCAGAAAGTAAGCCTTGCGGGAAGCAGATCCAGATACCCAAAATACATGTTCTCATCTTACTTCTCAATGCTTGTGAGTTTGCATGAAATGGCTGTAATTGCACTCATCTTGCTCTTTTCCCACTTTGCAATGTGAAATGTGATTCATCATCTATAAAATATTAACGAAATTAGTTTAACTATGTTTTGCACCAAACATTTCATATCCTCTTAACCAAAAAAAAACCCCCCACCAACCTCCAACACTCAACATAGCCCTCATCACCACATACCCAATATCAAAACTCCCCAAAAACTAGAGAGAAAAATACCATTACCAAAAGTACAATTAACACCCCCAATCCAAAACCTGAGCATCCCAAATCTCATCTCTCCATTAACCACCCCCTGTCTAACACAACCCCTCGCCGCCAAGTCCAGACTCGCATCGTCCGACACTGGCGCAGCCCCTTTGGCGCCAGATTCTGAAACCGCTTCGTTAGAGCACCGTTTCGCGGTAAAATAACCCATGCACGCAAACTCTTGCCTTTGCGCATTTGTCAATGTATCATTGCGGGTTTCTTGTCCAGTCCACTGTATCATCCATGTCTCACTGGATGGTTAGCAGAGTTGCAAGCGCTCAACTCCACCAAGACGGCAAGAATAGAGTGAGGCATCTTGTATCTCTCCAAGAAGCAGCCTTGTCAGTCTTGAATTATTCTGTAATTCATTAATTCTCAAAACATGTCACCTTCACACGGCAATGGGAACAAGATGTGATTTTTAAAATATGATCCACTGTATACAAGTATACTCACTATTCCTAACAATCCAATAAGCTACAAATCGTGTCACAGACAAATAAAAATAAAAAAGAAAATCTCCTTCCTCTCTGATTCTCCCATGATTGGGACTGTAGACGGGCTCGGTCGAACATCGAATTACAGCCCTATATAGTTTTTTTCTTCATACACATATCTCGTAACACCTTATGATGAGGCTGCAAGATCAGTAGAGCATTTGGCGATCTGGTTGGTGCAGTCGGCAACTGTGACACCGCTCAGCTTCTGGCCGTTCACAGCATTGGCGCACTGGTTGCTCTGGATATCACAGGCTCGCTGGATAGCGGCGTTCTTTGTGGTGAAGGTGTTGCCCTCAACCTCAAAGGGCCTGTCCTGGTTGCCGGACTGGGTGACCGGGGGAGCAGCGATTCCTCCAAGAGCAGCAGAGCCGGTAGCACCACCCTTGCCACCAGCGGCAGCAGAGACGACGGAGCTAGATCCATCAGTGGGAGCGGCAGCGGCGGGCGCGGTGGCATCAGCAGGGGCGACAGTAGGAGAGGCGGCGGCAGCATCAGCAGCGGCGGAAGTAGCAGCGGCACCCTTACCTCCCTTTCGGCCACCCTTTCGTCCACCACGGCGTCCACCACGGCCCTGACCCTGACCGTTCTGACCGTTCTGACCGTTCTGACCGTTCTGGCCATTTTGTCCAGTCTGTCCGTTCTGAGCGGCAGCAGTGGTTTGCTCAGCGGCAGCGGCAGTAGTCTGGTCAGCAGCAGCAGCGGTGGTCTGAGAAGCAGCGTTCTGTCCACCCTGTCCGTTCTGTCCATCCTGACCGTTGTTACCGTTGTTACCGTTCTGTCCATCCTGACCGTTGTTGCCACTCTGACCGTTCTGACCGTTCTGACCGTTCTGGCCATTGTTGCCAGTGTTACCGTTCTGGCCGTTGTTACCGTTCTGGCCGTTGTTACCGTTCTGGCCGTTGTTACCGTTCTGGCCGTTGTTACCGTTCTGGCCGTTGTTACCGTTCTGGCCATTGTTGGCCTGGCCAGCGTTGTTGGTGTTGCCAGCACCCTGACCGTTGTTGGCGTTACCGTTGTTGGCATTGCCGTTGTTGGCGTTACCGTTGTTGGCATTGCCGTTGTTGGCGTTGCCGTTGTTGGCGTTGCCGTTGTTAGCATTGCCACCGTTGTTGTTGTTACCGTTACCACCGACGGTGAAACGAACGCAGTCATCCTGAGCACCACGCTGAGCCACAGGCATCAGCACAGGCTGGTGGTTGGCAGCAGAAGACATGGAGCAAACTCGGTAGTTTCCGGCAGGAAGACCGCCAGTGACGGTGGCGGAAAGCAGACCCTGGCCGTTACCAGCATCGTTGATACCCTTGAAGAAGACGAACTGCGTGGGGTCCAAAGGCTGGGTAGGGTTCAGGGAGTTACCAGTGCTCTGGACAGTGACGTGAGTGTGGCCAATGATGTTACCGTTGCCATCAATATCCTGAGGAGCCGCATAGTATGTAGAGGTGGCATTGGTAAAGGTACCAGGAGCAAAGTTGATCATCTGCACCTGGATGTTGAAGTCGGTGTTGGCGTTCAGGTTGTCACCGTCTTGGGGGTTGACAAAGACAGAGGAAACCATGTTAGTGGTGGCGGGGATGTTACCCATGGGGATACCATTGCAAGAACCGGTTCGGACCTGTTCACCGTTGGTGATGGTCTTGCCCTGACAGAAGTTGATGAAGTTGAAGTTGTCACTAGAAAGGCATTAGCAGTTTGTCACATACTAAATGAGACCTGGCTATACTCACGTAGCAGAAGCGGACTGGCCATCGGCACCAGGGTTGTTGCCGTCTTGCTGGGAGCCAGTCTGGATCAGGTTGGAATCCAGGGTCGCACCACCGGCATTGCCTCCGTTGTTGCCTCCATTGTTTCCAGCATTGTTGTTGCCATTGTTGCCGTTGTTACCACCGTTGTTGCCACCACGGTTTCTGCCGTTCTGGTTCTGGCGTCGTTCCAAAGTACGACCGAAAGGAGATCGTCGCTCGATCGAAGCGGCGTCAGCCAGGACAGCCAGGCCGACAAGGCCGGTAAGAACGTTCTTGATTTGCATATTGAAAGGTGTTTAAAAATAGATATAAAGGGAAAAAAAAAATTGTCAAGTTGAAGTTGGGAGAGAGGGATTGGTACCAGACCAGAGTCGAAAAGAGAGAAAAAGAAGTGTCACAGACACACGAAAGAAGAAAATGAACGAAAGAGACCGCGAACGACCAGGTCGCTTAGAGGAGTTAGGAAAGGAATGGTTGGAGGATGGAGAGAAGAAAGAAAGAGAAACAACAGAGGGGAGAACGAGGCCATTATAGCTTTGAGACGCCAAGGCCTTTGGCGTCAATGCAAACCGTAGACACAAAGACGAAACAAGACATCGGGAAGCCGGCACGACTAGGGATCAGGAACAGTGGCGCTCCAGTTCCAGAAACAGAACGGGGACGGCCATGCACGCCCACGAACAAGAGTGATTCCATGAGCCTCAAACGGTTCAGCACCGATCCGAGAAGCAAAACCAGGGCCACAGACCGGGGGGGTCTTGTCTTGGAGGCAGCCCCGGAGCTGGGGGGGAGCCTCTTGGAACGGCGATCAAAAAGGGCAATGCCAGGATTGAAATCCCATATTGAGGGCGTGGTGTAACCAAATGCGACGGCATTAGCGCTGTCTGAAGAGTCGGGGCTCGAAACAGACCTCGAGAAGGTCTAAACGCCTCTCCACGCAGGTACCAGAGATCTTTCCGGGGCACGGCACGCATGCTGGCCAGGGGTATTTTTTGCTTGGTGACTAGCAGCAAGCAGTATGGAGCTCACTCAGCCCATTGTTTCTGCTCCGTGCAGCTAGCCCCAGCTAAACCTCCGTTACAGATGCAGCATTACCTAGCTGGAGACAACCAAAATCGAATTAGCAAAGAGCACAGAAAGAGAAAAATCACAATAGGGACAGAGTAGTACCTACCTAGTAGTTGTGCTCGTTGTACCTAGCAGTGTTGTGCAATGCAATGCCCTCTCTACTGTGTTCCCGGAATTAAAGTTATTTCCCCAGGGTCTCTCTCAGGCGCCGCAACTCAACGGCCTTGGGAGTGCTAGTCAAGGCCAATAGGACCCTGGCGCTCGTCGCAGATTAAAGTACGGATGCACTGATGCGGCTTCAGGCGTCTCGGGGTTGGTGCCAGGCCAGTCTGGCCAATGGCGAGCCCGGATCGGCAGCCTCCATGTGGCGCTTCGCGTTTCGGTTGCAGGCGATACGGAGACCCGAGACGACAAGTCGGGGCTCAGGCACTGGCTGTTTGAGGGCTTTGCTTTGGTAATGGGCGTGCACGGATGGAGGTGAAGAGTCAGTTGAGAGCAGAATATCTAGGAGAAAAGGGAAAAGGGTAGAGCGTTCGTTCGTTTGGGGGAATTGATCCGAGGCCGCGGCACGTGGTGTTGCTCCATTGGCATTGTACCGTTTCGGAGCACGGAGCAACTTGGCCCTCACCTAGGACGAACCCCAGCATCAAGACTTTAATGCTTCAACCACAATCACAGTGAAGATATCTACGAGTACAAGATGGACGTTCAGCAGATGCAATTACAAAGAGAGGTACACGTTGGCCCAACACTGCAGCCCGGATCGACGTCCGCTTCCTTTCCGCTCCTGCAGCTCGAACCCGCAGCGTGCAGTGATGATTCGCAGCACAACTGCTCTCGTATACAAGCCCAGGTGTGCGCTTACAAGCGACCACGAAACATGATCCATGGGTGCGACTTGGCAGCGGAATTAGTCCATGTCGGCAGAACAAAGTTTGCTTGGCTTTTTTTTAAGGCTGCTGTCTAAACGGATGCAGATACAGTAGCCGTGTCACCATGCTCTCTTCTTGGACAGAGGCCGACTGTACACAATCCCCACCCAATCCATCTTGGACTACCCTCCGGCGCCTAGATGTAAGAAGCCTCATCGCCTTGTAGCCAATAAATTGCAGCTGGCTCAGCAATCAATCAGCTACGCTGGCTCTATCGGCATGAAGGCGGCCCATTCTCCGGGCTGCATTGTTGGGCTCTTATTGGGACATGGCAAGTCATTTCAAAGCGCCTCCTTCGGCTTGGACAAGCCAAATTACAACTGCTCTTTGCTATGATTACGGGACTGCATCAATAGGGGTCCTTCAGATCAGTAGTATAGCCGTATATCCGTCCATCTCGCGTTCCGCCCAGGCTGGAAACAGACTCAATGACATCGCCAAAGGATTGGGGCACGGAGCACGTTTCATCCAAGCTCGTCAAAAGACAGACAAAGGATCCCCAATCCGGCAAATCGGAACAACACAGACTGTCAACCCATCCAATTTCTTGCTGTTAGATGGCAGCCAGTTTCGTATCCATACCCAAGTAGCGCAAGCACTGCCTTCTGTTTGTGACAAGTCCCTTTCATTTCTTCGCATACTCGTACATACCGACCAAAAAAGAAGAGCCACAAAGCAAAAACCCTTTGACGATTCAGGGGCCAATGCACAGATAGACGACAAGGGGAGCAAGGGAAATAAGCCCAATGAGAAAAGAGAGAACCCACAGCTTGCCGTTTGCCGGTCGTGAAACCTCCTTGGCGCTCGTTAACAAGCCATCTGAAACTGGCCTTGCAGCCGAAACAGCGCTCCGTCTTGCAGCTCTCCAGCTGACAGATGGAGGAACATTTATTCCCGGTCTCATCTTCTTGGCACAGACGTCACACTCCGTAAAGGGCATTGGGAATCTCGCAATGTGTTTCTCGCTGAGCTTCGGCTTGCCGAATCCTGCCGTTTCATCCTTTTGGGCGGGGGTTGGCCTGAGTGTTGGCCGTTTCGAATACCCTGGAGCGAAACAAAGAGAAAGGGAAGAGGGGCAAAAACAGTCATTGACAGAGAAACAATTGTCTTGGCGATGGTATTTTCCGTAATGTTTCTCCGTCTATCAATTTAATCAATGTATTCAAGATTGTGAGGTGTTTGGCATAAGTCTCAGTTCATTAATCTGTGTGCAAAATCATGTCTGGTTGCCGTCATACATAGGCAAGGCCAAAGGCGGGTGAAGTAATCAAGAGTCTCCACACTTCTAGCCATATTCAACTACAGCTCTCCAAAATAGTCCTCCATCTCTTCTACAAGCTCATCAATAGGCTCGTCATAGTCGTCCGTGGGTCGCTTGCCAGTAAAGCTGGCGTCCCTCTTCTTGTACTCGTCAACAATCAGATCTAGCCATGCCGCCATTCGGTATCCTGCGCGAGCGACTTGCTTCTGGAGAATGGGAGCTGCGTTTTCATAGTACTCGCCGCTCAGCTCCTGGCCGACAATGGCCTCGGGGCCCTCGGGGAAGACTATCAAATGGTGAGTTGAGCTGCAGAACTAACAGATGCACGAGATTAGTGACAAACTCACCATATTTGCACACAAGCTTGTTGCATTCTCGTGACCAAGCCAATGCTGTTTCTATCGGATCGCTAAAGTCCAAGTCTACCAGCCAAGTATCCTTCTCCTCTGTATATATGCCGTCGTTAATCTCGTCGATGAGGTCTCTGGACCACTTTTCCGCCAATGGATACGGCTTTCCACGGCCAAGCCACTTCTCGGCAATGGAGCTGTCCCAGACGTGATGCAGGTTGAAGTCCCGGCCGTTCCACTTGACGTGGATACCATTTCCACCTTTCGAAGCGTCCTCGTTATGCAATGGCTGGTGCAAGTCGCCAACAAAGTGAATGACAAACTTGGCGGCCTGGGCGCGGCGCCATGGGGGAAGCGACGGGTCGAGGGACTGCTCGGTGTAGTTGGCCAGAGCGGTGATGACACAGCCGGTCCCCTTGCAATCGCGCTCAAAGTCGACGTTGCACGACTCGGGCGGGTTGTCGTGGGCGTCGATGAAGTGGAATGTGCTTGTGAATCTGCCCCATTTTGTGTATCGGATCGAGTCGGCCCAGCTGGCTACCTTGGCCATGTAGTCGGGTTCGCGGCTTCCCAGGAGCTGCTTGAGGTAGGCCTCTGTGGAGTTGGAGACGAAGTGGCTTGCAATGTAGCCGGTCGTGACGTGGCCCAGACCTTGATTAGGAGAGAGTTGATTGTTAGAATAGCTGGTGATGGTGTTGACTAGAGAGCGTCACAAGGGGGACAATACACACCTCCCCAAGCCATGGCCCCTGGCAGGGAGACGAGGCTGAAGGCCACGGCATTTGAGAGCTTCATAATGCGTGGAGACTTCAAATAAGGAATGCACGCGATAAAAAGCAGTTCTATCTGGCTCTTCTAGATGAATCCGCGAGATGAAACGAAAGACTGAAGATGGTTGTTATTGTGTGTAAAGATGAAGTAGAGGCAGATGCAGGCAGTGACATATCCGAGAGACGGAGCTTAGGCTACCCCGGAAGCTTTACACGCGCCCTGAGCCACAGCTAGACCGCCAATCACAGGGGGCTCCGCCACTGCGTGCAGGACCTGGGAGCGGCTGGTGCCTTGCCGTAGAACAGCATCATCGCAGCACTACTACTCATTCCAGCGCAAGTACGGAGTACAAAGAGCGCAAGCGGGTGTCTGGAGAGATCACACGCACGTCAGCGCATTACCTCATGCTCGGCGCATCAGCTGGGCGCGGCGGAAGCCATGTGCCCGCTCGAGGGTGGAAATGGGAGCCCCGTGGCGAATCACGAGCGGCGCTGGAGAGTGTTGTCACTCGGCTGCCGGACTCGGCACCACCGCTGCGTGCCAGACCGATTGAGTTTTTTGTGCGATTTGGCGCTGTTTCTTTGGGTGCAAAATAAGAATAATAATGGCAATAATAATGATATGACAAAGAGAAAATAATCATCATGGTGAATATTATCATACTGTGTCATCAGATCCATAGGTACATACCTACAGTAGACCTCTTATCTGTAAGCCGCTGAATGACGATGCTGTGCAGCCCGAGATAGCGCAGACAGCTGCGGGAGTTGCACAAGCTATGCGCTATGCATGCACCCCACCAAAATTGCTCCCCAGCAGGCGAAACGGGACCCTTGATCTGTCTCGTGTGCAAGATTTGGTTCGCCAGCCCCCACCGGCCGCGGCCAATGGGAGTGCGCGCTTCTATCGCTGACCCGCGATAAGGGAGCCGCCGATAAGCCGTCTTCCTCTGTCGCTCTCAGCTTGTTATGACTAGGACCGGTGATCTCGTGAGGCCCTCCGACCAGCCGATGCTTTGACTCTCCGCACAATCTCGCTCTCCCCCTTCTGCGCCTTCTTGCTCCAGGCGCGACCGTCCGCTCCCTCTCTCTAATTACTCGAAGCTGCAGAGAAAACCAAGCAACGTCTTGTCCACCATCTACACTACAGAATCGGTCTGGCTCCCTTATCATGGCGTCTATTGCGATGGCCGTGGTGAACGAGGCGGCGAAACAGCTGCCTCTCCACAAAGCTATATCGGGCATCTTTGGAAGCATCAGCATGGCAGCATGGATATGCGTTATTGTACGTACTGCTTTTTTTGGTTTCTTGCACCCAAGACGACTTTTATCTAACTGCGCAACACCCGACAGCTCCCTCAGATGATTGTCAACTACCGAGCGAAGAGCGCCGACGGACTGAGCATGCCGTTCCTCGTTGTCTGGATGATTGGTGATGCTACAAATTTGGTCGGTGCGTGCTCCTATGGGATTTCCTCGACTCTGCAAAGACTTCCGCGGAGAAGCCGTCCGTGAGCGGAGCTAACTACTACATTAGGCGGGCTCTTTACGCATCTGGCCCCGACAGCAGTTGCATTGGCCATGTACTTTTGCGTCGCCGATTTCCTTCTCATCTCGCAGTGTCTATACTACAACACGGTTAATGCCCGCCGGGCTGTCGAGGAGGCGGAGGCCACCGAGGAGGCGCCCCTTCTCGGAGAGCGACGCATGTCCCATCGCCGATCCGTGTCGAGCCAGGACGTCGGCAAGATTGCGCCGGCCGGTGACGAGCTGATTGAGCGTTCTTCGTGGTCTTCCAATGCAGCCAGCCTGCTCGCCGTATACGTCGTTGGATTTATTGGATGGTACCTCTCATACAAGGCTGGAGCGTACAACGAGGCGGATCCTGTCGTCCTCAACAGTGTGGAGCCATCAGACCTGCTGGAGAAGGTTGGAATGGTGCTGGGTTACTTCAGCGCTGTTTGCTACCTCTGGTATGCTTGAATCACTTTGGATATCTGGCGACAGAAGCGGAAGCTGACCTTATTCCAGTGCTCGAATCCCCCAAATTATCAAGAACTACCGAGAAAAGTCTTGCGAAGGTAAATCCAGTTGACCCTAAATTCACCCAATCTCGCATATTGACCAACTTTCTTAGGCCTTTCGATTCTGTTCTTTATGCTTTCCCTGACAGGAAACTTGACGTATGCCATCAGCATTGTGGCCTACTCTCAAGACAGGAAATACATCATCAACACCATTCCTTGGCTGATTGGATCACTCGGCACGGTCGTTGAAGACGGCACCATCTTTGTGCAGTTCCGATTATACGCCAACAACAGGCGAAGCGAGCACGTCCAGGCATAAAGTATACCGAAAGGGATTTGTCTCGACTGTGTGGTGCGTGCATTGTGGAGAGGAATAATTGTTCGCTCGACTTGGCATAATTTGGTGTTTACTTGTTGGGTTTAGTATGGGATGAGGCGTCACGGTGTATTCACTTGGCGTTTTGGCGCGGCGTGTTGACATGAGACCTGCTGGATCTCGTCTGCATATTGTTGGTTACCTTAGTAGGTAGTGTTGCATAAAGTCCAGTGTGAAGAGCTGCCTGTGTTGGATACAGGCAGTCTCACGGATAGATTCTCAGAGAGCAATCATATAGGCTATCTTTTTCTCTTTTCCATTTTTTTCAGTTTCTCTTCTTTATTCAATCTCATCTTTTTTTTTTTTTTAAAAAAAAAAAAAAAAAAAAAAAAAAAAAAAAACACTTGAGCGATTATTGAGAAATAAATCACATCGACTTACATGATACTCTCTGCTAATCCAAGTACTATCTTTTTTAAAAAAAAAAAAAAAAGACGGTTCCGGCACCGCGCAAAAAGAAGCTAGTCTGACGTATGGCGACGCTCCGATGGCGGGGCAGCAATTGAGCTTAATCAATAGTTCAAAAAGGTGCTGGCCCAAAACTTTTGGGAGTCACAAAGTTCAAAGCCGGATTCAGTTTTCTGTTGGCTGACAATTCTCGATATCCTAGATTTTTTGGCAATCTGGGTCTGGGCCATTGTGTTGTTTTCATTATATACCCCTCTCTTTACAATATCTTGTTGTTATTGCGGCATCGTGTGCCTCCCATTGAGCTCCGTATCGGCTCCATCTCGCCTCATACAACCACAGCATCATCACCATGGCAACAGAATCCCCTCGCAAGAAGTGCGGTACGACTTCCATCCACCCACCTCAGCTATCACCATCTCCTCCTCAGCTCATCTTCTCAAACTAACCCTTTTCCTCCTCGCAGGCGTCCTCGGCTGCACCGGCTCCGTCGGCCAGCGCTTCATCCTCCTGCTGCAAGGCCACCCGTCCCTGACGCTGCACGCAATCGGCGCCTCGTCCCGCTCCGCCGGCAAGAAGTACAAGGATGCCGTGCGGTGGAAGCAGGCCTCGCCCATGGGCGACGTCGCCGACATGGTCGTGAGGGAGTGCCGCCCCGAGGAGTTTGCCGACTGCGACGTGGTGTTTAGCGGCCTCGATTCCGATGTCGCTGGCGATGTTGGTGCGTGTTTCTTCATATCCCGTATCAATTCGAGAGAGAGAGAGAGAAACATGATGGACTGATATTGATCTGGGAAAACAAAACAGAAATGGCGTTCCTCAAGGCCGAAATCCCTGTCTTCTCCAACGCCAAAAACTACCGCCGCGACCCCCTCGTGCCCCTCGTCGTGCCCACCGTCAACCTGCCTCACCTCGACCTCATCCCCCACCAGCGCTCCGTCCACGGCCTGTCCAAGGGCTTCCTCGTCTGCAACTCCAACTGCGCCGTCATCGGGCTCGTCATCCCCTTTGCCGCCCTGCAGGCCGCCTTCGGCCCCATCTCCACCGTCAGCATCGTCACCATGCAGGCCCTCTCCGGCGCCGGCTACCCGGGCGTCTCCAGCATGGACATCATGGACAACGTCGTGCCCTTTATCCAGGGCGAGGAGGACAAGCTCGAGACGGAGGCCAGGAAGATCCTCGGCGCCATCGACGACTCCCGCACCGCCTTTGTCGAGCAGGAGTCGCTGCGCGTGTCCGCCTCGTGCAACCGCGTCCCCGTCTTGGACGGCCACACGGCCTGCGTCAGCCTCAAGTTCGAGCGCCAGCCGCCCCCTACGCCCGAGCAGTGCAAGGCCGCTCTCAGGGCGTACGTGTCCGAGGCCCAGAAGATTGGCTGCCCGTCTGCGCCCAACCCGCCCATCAAGGTCTTTGACGAGGATGACCGGCCGCAGCCTCGCCTGGACCGTGATCTTGGCAGGGGATACACTGTCAGCGTGGGCAGAGTGCGAGCTGACGAGAGTGGCATTTTCGACCTGAAGTTTGTTGCGCTGAGCCACAACAGTGAGTGTCTTTCCGCTTTCCTTTATCGATTTTTGTATAAGTTGTTACAGGGTAGACAGGGGCTAATCATTTCACAGCGGTCATCGGAGCGGCTGGTTCATCGATATTAAATGCTGAGGCTGCCATTCTCAAGGGCTACATCTGATTGCATTTTGCAGTTTTGTACATGTATATATATAAAAAAGTTTAAAAAAAACGTGGGCTTGGGTGGCTAATAGAAGAAAAAGAATCTATGCAGCAATAATAATTTGCATCATGACTCTCATCATAAGCTTCACGATGAATCTCACAAAACCTAATCGCATGAATGACCGTATAGTCTTGCCCAGTCAATGTAACAAGGACTGGCCATAAACAAGTTCTGAATTGGCACTTTGCACTTGCATACAATATGGCTGCACCTCAAATGACAGGAGATCGAAGCCTGCCATCACCCATGGCCCGGCGTCCATTACCGCACTACCATAACTAAATACAAATTCCACATGAACCGCCATCAAATCAAGGGTATAAGTAAACTTCCATCCGACACCCAACAGGCGCTCATCCATCAAATAGCCTCCCCCCTCCTCACTCCTCTATCTCCCCCCATAACCATCGCAGCAATCACCTTGCCACAAAGACCAGGAGACACAACAAAATAACAACCACCCCAACAAGTACTTCCGTCCAAAAAAAGATAGCCCTTTAAGGCGATGTTTCCATAATGCTTGCTTAGTTCCCACAAAGAAAATGCACAAAAGAAAAAAAAAAAAAACTCCTATTCCTCCTATTGCCCAATACGCCAAAGCGTATGATTGTTGCTGTCCCTGACAACAAGGTATACCGCTGAGATAGATTTTTAAAGCAGAGATATGCCCGCATAAACCTTTGATGATGCTTGTCGAACTTTTGGAGCGTCATTAAGAATGTCGGGTCGGGCGATTAAGATAAAACTTCATTAATCGAATCACACCTGGCGGTCATCTGACGGCGGAGAGGGAGATGGTGCCCTGCGTCTACCTCCGATGCCGCCGGGCAGGATGAATAAGAAACTATCTTGCCAGTTCGGGCGACGCGCCGCTGCCGTGGGCTCCGCCTCTGCAACGCCTTGCTCCAGATCCTCGTCGCTGCTGGATGATCTAGACCCTGAACCTTCAGCCACCTGCTCGTCGTCGTCGCCGTCGTCTTGGTATGGATCGTATCTAGGGCCAGCCCACGAACCACGAGCCATAGAGCGAACTACGTCTCCCTTGCAGATGGGGCATGTTCGTCGACGGGTTGTCAGCCAAGGAGTGCTATTCATCTTTTGTCAGTTTGATACTTTGGGAAAATACAACGGGGAAGGAAAACTCACATGCAGTCGGCGTGGAATTCATGGCCACAAGGAAGCCTCATCACCCTACTCACGCCATCGATATACTCCTCCAAGCAGACAACACATTCCACCTGCCTTCCCATGTACTTTTTCCACTCTGCCGAGATGGCTCCTCGTTCATGTCCTGAGCGACCGGTACGAGAGCTCCTCTGCGGCAATGTCTGTGGTAATGGCAACTCGCTGGGAGTAGGGGCAAGAAAGTTTGCGCTCTCCATGACACCAGTGGTCGTCCTGGAACGAGGCCGCGATCTCGGTGGGCTGGAACTGTGGGTATGTTGCAATAGCGGCGTGGTCGGAGTTGGAGATGGGACCCTGGGCGATAGGCTGGGGGATCGGGCAACAGTGTGAAATGTCCTGACGGGCAGGCGCTCAACCACAGACTTGGGGGCCCGCCATCTTCTCCTACGGATTCTGGCTCGCAAAACTAAAAGGGCATACACAATGGAGAGAGTCACCAAGGGGCTGATGACAAGAACAAGGAGGGTATCGAAGAATGGGCTGGCGCTGCTGGTTGGTGTAATGGTAACCCACAGGCCTTCATGAGGCACAGGGTCTTCGTCTTCTTCAGGTATATCGTCGTCATAGTCGCCGTCTTCAGGGTCGGCAGGCACAGCATCTATGTCGTCGTCATCGTCGTCGCCAAAGATTCTAGAAATAAGGCCATGGCCCTTGGTAGACGGTGAAATCCCTCTCAGCTCAAAGGCCGAGGTGGCTTCGTTTTCGTTATCCGACACTTTACGCAGCTTATACTCGCCGCTGCCCGGGGTAATGCTTCCTCCCTTTGGCTCACCGGCGCTGGGTGCTTTGTCGGAAACGTCACCCTTGGAGTTGGAGTTGGTTGATACATCCTTGCTTCCAGAAGTCGCCTTGCTTTTGGCCATAACATCCGGATCCCGCCAGTCATGAACTCCGATGACAAAGTCGTCGCTTCCTGCTTTCGGCTGTGCTGGCTGTTTCTTTGATTTAGTCACGCTGGGTCTTATGGTACTGTCTTGCTCATCATCCCAGTCTTCAACCATGACCCAATCGAGCTGGCCGCTGCTGGGTGGTCTGCTTTCACTGTTGACACTACGAGAAGACGTCCCCCAGCTGAATAGGCGCTTGAACCAACCACTTGGCTTTTCCTCGGCCTCTTTTCTTTTCGTAATTCGTTTTTCCTTGTTTAAATTCTTGGATTTTTTCGAGAGTGGTGTTTTCTTCTTGGAAACAGTGTCCTTGCTCTTCCTAGCCTTGGAGCCCTGTTGAACTTTGAGGACGGGATTGCCGTTATCGTCCAGTGTATCTTCGATGAAACTGCCAGGCTGCGTTAATGAAGAAAGCAGTTGTGCGGTGGTCCGGGCTGTGAAGACGGATGGAATCGTCACGTTATCGACTTCGTCGCCGCGAGCAAACATCTGGATCAGAGGGCCTCCCTTGACGTTGTCGCCAACGATGACGCCAATAGCTCCTCTTCGCTGCGCCCACATGACTTTCTCCAAGAAGCCACATCCTCCGCGCATTAATAGAACAATTTTCCCCTTGATCTCGGCTCCCTCTTGGATCGATTGGATGTCGGCGTGGGAAGACGCAGAAATGTCCCGCCGAGTAAGCGGAAGCGCTTCGTGGAGGTGGTTATCGGTGCCGTCATCGGTGGGGACGTCTTTGCCGAGACTTGCTTTTGCATCTGTTTCGGGGCTATTCAGACTCATAAGCTCTTGGTCACGCCTCGGGCGGCGAGCAGATTTGGAGCCATCCTTCTTGTGTGGAGTGGCTCCGTGAAGGGATTGCTTCAGCACATGCTTCGCACCCGCACTGTCCCAGCCAGGGAGATCGCTGCAGCCCAGCTCGCCGTTACCATCAAGGCTATCCTCAGTGAAGCCGCTCCCAACCCACAGCTGCCCACTTAGACCGTTGGGCTGCAGCCTAGGGCCGAACGCCGCAGGCCTCGCCGCAAAAGACGTGCTGTTGTCGTCGGTCAAGCTGATGGCAGCGTTGGGAGGGAACAGAGAGAATGGCGTGTTGTAAAAGATGAGCCCCCATGCCGATCTGCTTGTTCGCAGCCCAGTGGGGTATCGGGAGTCTGCGGCTCGTCTGGAAGCTGTCGCTGCGCGGAAAAGGAGGAAGAAGGACGCGGATATACAAAGAACAAGAATCACAATCCGAGGAGTGCGCATCGTGAAGAGCGCGGCTGTCGGCCGGCCGCAGACGGAGTGGCTTTGTTTGTTTTGGTTTGTTTTTGTCTTGTCTCTTGTGGTGTTTTGGTCAAGTAATGCCGCCTCAGGGAGCTGACGTCGGCCAGCGGAGACACGTCATGGGACGGGAGGATAACAAACGGAAATCGGGTATCGGATAAACAGGATGGAAACGAAACAACAAGGCGGCGGAATAACAAAAGAATCACTTTCTAAAGAGACGATAGGACGGATGCAAGCAAGAGGAGCGCAAGGGGCAAAAGAGTCGATGTCTAAAGATGAAGGTAGAAGTTCAGGTGCTGAGGAGTAAAGGTAAACAGCCCGAGGCGGGGCGGATAAAGGCAGAGCTGCACGTCGACGCCATCAAATGCGAGGTGGACCGCCTATACTAATACGCTGCTCTGGGGCTTAGGGAGCAGCCGGCAGTGGATGGCTGAGCTGGCGGGGGCTGAGGGTCGCTAATTGTGCCAAGGCACCCGCCTGTAAATTCAAATTCAGGTGCTGCAGCGATGCCGACATGAGTTGATGACATATTGATCCCGTCCATTTCAACAATCCACGCAGCAACGCGGTGGTCAAGTGCGTTGCAGGAGAAAATCGCCACTCTACAGCCCGCGAGATTCCCGAATGTCGCCAGATTTCGCATCGCACCATGGCTTTTTGGCTCCGGCATTTCCAGCGCCCTGGCCTGACAAACGGAGCATCGCGGTTTGGTGATCGATGCTGAGCGGCACCGGATTAGTGCGTTGGCGGGTGGGACGATGGTGGATCTTGGACACAGCTTGACTTGGCGAGCCTTGACAGTAATACAGCAGGTAGTATTTGGGACTCGATGTGTTTGTTAGTGATAGAGTTGATACAGCCAAGGGATGCCTCATTTTTTGCATGTGCTGATGACGCCATCGCATCATATCTATCAACATACATGCATCCATCCAAGGACTCATGAAATGGATGTACACTATTCTCGCAGAAAAAGCACCAAAACACAGCTCTAGTCCTACTAAGGTACACAGCCAAACAGCTTCAGGGTCCCGCTGGAAACCAGAATTAGGTTCTGATGGCCTCTACCAGGGGGGCCACTCGATCCACTAAGCGCAGAGCAAAAATAGCCTGCATGACGCAACTGCTCGTGATGCTCATCATGTGGAGATGGCATGACTTTTTCTCTGCGTCCATTTTGGGCTGCAAACCCTTGTGATCACTGCGAACCCAGATTTGCGAGCGAGACAGCCTCGTGCAACAGATGAAGGCATTTGTCTCGCGCTCTGTCTCGAGGTGAGGGCGAACATCCTTCCGACAAGTGCACACGTGCTTGTGATGCGGCGGCAGAGACAGGCGCAAACGAATACGAAAGGAGCCGGCACTTGATATCGCCTGGATGGGACCCCTTGCATATGCACATGATTTGCGTATGCTTCCCACTTTGGGCCTATTACTCGTACACGGGGCCTATCTTATAGTTCTTATAGTAATTTTGGTAGTCTGAGCCGTTGTTTCAAAAAGAGCTAGATAGTATTTCTCTGTGGAAAATAATAATGTTCATGTTGTTTCATCATAATTCATAATGCATAACTCGTCGCCAGTGATACGCGGGTTTCCAAGAGCCTCTGCCTCCGTGTATATCCATCAATAGGTATCAACTGTTATATCCGTATCCAATGTCACGCTACTCCAAATCAAATTTCTATGCTCCTCACAACTCCTCTGATAAAATGCCTTGCAAGACAATATCGCCATCGCTGTCCTCTCTCTTCCCGCGGTCCCATGCCCTCTCCTCGCCGGCCTTGGACCATACGACGTCCTCCTCCGTTTTTTCTCGTTGGTTGTTGTTGATCTGCTGAATCTGGTGATCTGCAAACCCAGCGGCCTTCATCCGCTCATCTTGCACTCGACGTAGCTTCTGGCGATCCCTAAACGCTTCCACTGCATCGTCCCAGTCTTCCTCCTCATTCTCCGGGAGTACATCGGTGCTTGGATCGTACGAATCAGAAAATCGCCGATCCAAGCTAGCTGTTCCGGCAACTGTTCCCCGGCCGCGGTACTTTGGAGGCGGAGCAGGCCCTATAAATTCGTCTAGGGGGTCTGATTCGTCTTCGTCGTTTTTGAGATGTAAGTCTCGAGAGGTTTGCTTCTCTGTAGCCAAGGGAGAGCGACTCCGATGTTTGCTTCTATTAGTCTGAGGAGACCGAGAACGTCGTCGACGGCGAGGCGACCTAGACCGATCTCTCTGGCGGTCACGGTCACGGGTATGTCGATGTTTATCCTCGGAAGAGCCATCGCGATGCTTCCTACGTGAGGTCCGTGGCTGATCTTCGCGATGACTCCTTCGCTCGTCTCCCTCAGGGCTTCGCGATAATCGACCGTAGTCTTTCCTCGACTTGCGGCGATCAGTGCCGTCGTCTCTTTCTCGGCGCGACGCCCGGCGCGAATGGCGGTCGCTGTCGCTCTTATTCCTCGATTTTTCGTCGTCGGCTGGCTTTACGTTGTCATCTCGTTTCTGCCTTGATCCACCCAGAATTGACTGAATATTTCCCAGCTGTCGTCTCCGTACATCTCCGGCCGTTGGGTTTGACTTTCGTCGCTTGGCTTCCTCGGCGCGCTCCAAATCCTTGAGCCTCGCCTTGGACTCGGCGGCCTCCTTGGCCAGTAGCGCCTTGTTGTGTGTGTCCGTATCCCTGATGATATTTCTCAGAAACCTCGTATTCGGCTTCGGCACGTTGGACGGCCTTTAACTCCGTCAGAAGAAGTATCCCCATGCGAAGAACGGTGGGCGACATTACTTAGATTTCGTGTTGAAAGCTTCCATTCCCATTGCAGAGTACTTGATCGAGCAGTCGCTAGCCTCTTTGGCCAGAAGACCGGCGACATAGTCGTCTGTAAGAATCTCGTCGTTCGACATAGCAAAAGCAAAGTAATTATAATTTATGAAGCAAGATATTGGTGATTTTGCAAATTAATGCAAAGGGGTAGTTGACCAAAGAAGCGTGTTTTAGCGGCCGTGATGACGGGCTGTGTAAAGATCTGGGATCCTTCAAAGCTGATGACTCAGGCCCCTTGCCGATAAGATAAGGCGTTCATACGGAGTACATAATTTTCCTACAAGTACGAGGCTAACCAAATCGGGCACAATGTAAACACGCTTGAATCGACTCTTTCATCACAAGCACGATCTATTTTCAGGAGAAGATATTTGGGCGGCATAGGCGTTATAAAAGCCTTCATTTTATTGGAATACTTGGTAAAAGATTCCGGCACATTCCAAGATGAGTGCCAAAACTCCAGCCCAGGTGCTTGAGACTCTGCGTCGGCTGCAGTCAAACAATGAACTATCCATCATCAAACTCAGTGAATCCATCTCAACTTCCACGCCGAATGATACTCTTCAGCGCATCTCTGACGCGTCCAACACGTCGCTTGACGGACCTTCTCCTACCAGCCTGGACGCAGATCTGATTCACTACAAAGAACTCTTCGCCAAACTCCGATTTTCGTATGTTGAGCAAGTGACCAAGGAGAAGTTCATCCGCGCCATCGTCGGAGATCCGCCTCTCATCGTCACTCTTCAGGAGAACTTGGATCTGGAGCGAGAAAATGCCGAGGCTAAAGCACAGCTCAAAAACCTCAAATTGGAGGTAGCAGACCTGGTTTCCGACTTGGAAAAGAGAGGGCGCGAGTTGAGCCGGCGGTACGAAAACATTCAGCTGGAGACGGTGCGCTTGGAAGAGCTGCCGGCGAAGATTGTCGAGTTGGAGAGCCGGATTAAAGAGCTCAAAGATCAGCATGAGTCTTCGGAGTCAGATCCAAACCTCCGGCTCCCTCTTACAAAGACGCTGAGCCTCGTGTCGAAGCGGAAAGCAGAACAGCAAGAGCTTGCGCGTGAGCTCGAGGCACTACAGGCCAAGGTTCCCAGGAAGAGAAAGGAAGCAGAGAGGCTGCAAGCTGAGTTGCAGCCATTGGAGGCGAAGCGACAAAGCAGCACCACTGCCGCACGTGAGGCTCGCAGGAGAAAGGAGGCTGCTCTTGGAGGAGTTGCCGATGACCTTGAGCAGAGAGCTCGGTGGTGGAGGGCGAGCGAAAGTATGCTGAAGCAAGTACTCGATATCAACACATGACATCCAGAAGAAGCAATCAATGATTGTCACGAGGGAATGATTTACGGAGGTTCGTTGTGTTTATAAGGCGTTTACAGGGGTGCTCTGGGACAGAGATGCCAGGAGACTATGAATGGCGTTGGACGATATGATGGTTTGGGCTGGGATGCATGGCTCTGGAGTATTTGATGCACATATTGTTGTACGGTGTCTGCTGTTGAGTCATTGGTAATCCAATTTTAATTTACACGAATGTAATGAATTACCGTAGTTGACCAGAATCAATCTTCTGATTCCATGTCTCTTTAATGCATATACTTCGAGAGACGCAAGGTATAATGTCCAGGGAGAGGAAGATGACACCTCTGAACGCAGTTCTGCATGTCCATCCTCCATGGCGATGCCAAACCTGTTGGTTGAATTTTGAGCAAACTGATGCACCGGCTGTAATATAGGATGCATTTCTTTTTATTTGCCAGCCTCATTGTACAGCATCACGTTCTTGTCGATGTATTTTTGCAGAGGCAATTCTCCTTCTGTACTCGCTTCCATCATGATTGCGCTGCGATCCCGTTGGAACCTCTGACGGAGGATGTCAACCAATGCGTCCAGATTATACGGCAGCCTTCTCCGGGTTTCGTCGTTCAAGTATTGGAACCATTTACGCCCGTCTGACCTGGGGGACGATAGGATCCCAGGTACGATGCTCTGCAGTACCATTTCCTCTCCGTACGTTGTGACCAACCAGTCTAGTTGGCTGATGAGCGCCAAAACCGGCGTTCCGGTGGTATCCAAGGCCAGGATGTCGGAAATCCTGGGAGAAATTCAACATGCGGCAGTATTGATGACAGAGATAAAAGACAGAATGTGAAGCTGGTTACGTTGAACGAGATCTGCGTCTGGATATCTCATTGACATTTTACAAAGTCGCGTAGTAGACGACGTGAATCTTTAATCCGACAGTGAAAATACTCATACCAAGAAGATGGTGCAACGGAATATACATTAGAAAGCCGTTTGCATTTCTGTGATGATATATCCGTTATTACACTTGGATATTCTTCATCAAGAAAAAATATATCTTTTCTATCCCGTATGTCTGCGCCGTAGAGGTTTAGAAGACGGCAGAATTATGGAGTAATCTTAGAAAATCTACGCCATATTTACAATCAAATTCCATGTAAACACTGATAAATTATTGGAAGAGTTACTACGCGATATATAGGGCTACTCAAGATTATAGCAACAGCAGTAGAAAGGTGTAGTAGTGTTCACGATAGCACCATGCAATAGTATTTAATATGGAATGATATAGAGATGTGTTGTGAATTTTTAAGCCATCAAGAATGCTTTTACACTATGTTTCTAGAGAGACTCGAACACTATGGTCCTTTATGGGCATGGGCATGCTATTCAAGACGTTGCAATTGGATCTTGGTTTATTTCATGAGGCACACATGAACGCAACTCATGAATTGCTCACCCAAGCGCCCTCCGTGAGAAGCATAAATGACACTAGCTATAATCTAAAAGAGGGATAGTAAAATGCAAAGCATAGTATACTATTTACCTGGGCTGCAAAGATTGTAAAATACAACCCCGCGGCCATGCATGTCTAGATATTGCCACTGTCGATCTCGCCCATTTTGATGCTCCATGTAAGTCCAACAATTGAGCTTATATTGTAGGCGTAGTTTAATCCAATCCAAGAAGAGTTTCGGAGTCAACTGAATTGATCTAACATTTTGTAGCTTGACAGCTTCTTTAGCCCCGATGATCTTGGAGAGTGTTGATCATTGTGAAGAGCCCAAGTAATGCAACACATGGGGTTACCAATACATGGATAATATGTCCGCTACGCCACAAGCTTCAATAGTTCTTCAAACAATGCTTCTTCATTCATCATTGGCCATGAAAAGAATTGAACGTCACATGGCCTCCTTGAATGGTTGCTCGCTCACTTGGCTTCTCTCCAAACCACCCTCACGAGCTGAACCTACCTACACTCACTGACTCGCGATTATCCACAGCTACGATCGAGCTTGTGAAACCCCTCTTTCATCTTCCTTTAAACCATATCGTTGCTATCATCTCGGTACGCTACACCGATAGCAGCAAACCCCGTATGATCGACCAATCACATCGGGGGCGTACTCTCAGCCAAGCAACCACCACAGCAGCTACCATGCCAAATCATCGAAGCCACAAGGGGCCTCAGCTGAACAAGGCTTGTCGCCGTTCTCCTGGCTATCAGTCGGCAAGCCTACTACCCCGCAAAGTATGATGCCTGAAGCTCAAGCAGCTCGCCCCCGAGGGCCTATCGACGATCTGGATCGCGCTCCATCGCAGCGTGGCTTCTCCCTCTAGTCGATGCTACCGCTGCGAAATGCAGAGCCGGTGTTGAGTTTGGCACACGTGCGCATCTGGAGCACGTTTTGGGCTCGTGCAAGTGACGTTTGGGCGGTGGGCTAGCAACTTTGTGAACGCCTCCCTTTTTTGCGCGTACCGTCCTGCTGTGTGTTGAAGCGAGATCTACCGGATACACGGCAATGGAGTCTTGGCTAAAAGCTCCTTTGACTATATGCTTACTTGCAGAACGGGATGCAACAGGTGTCTCATTATCACGGCTCCAGTCTGTACGCTACGAGTACACTTGTCGAAGCTCTTTTATCAGATTTCGCCACAACTGTATGAATACCGAGGGCACGGGACTGTCCCTGGCCAAGTAACGGTGATGTCAGTGTCAATGGTTCAGTGGTCAATGGAAGAAGGTTCAGACATGTTCGAATACGCCGCATTGGCACTGGAAGAAGCGCCTCGTGAGGCAATAGCGAAATTCGAGAAGCGGGCGTCGAGGGGAAAACGAAGACGGCAAAAGAGGAGGGGAGTGAATCGAAGCAAGATATGAAATCAAGAGATGAACTTAAAAAAAATAATTGTAAAATAAACCCGAAAAAATAAATAAATAAACGAGAAATCTAATAAAATAAAGATTAATTCAAAAGGGAAAGATGGCAAATGGCAATGGCAAACGAGTTTTCGTCTAGTCATATAATAGCCTCAATGCTAACTGATTGCAAGCTCGAGCTGTGCTTTTCGGTCCCGACCGAGCTCAAAAGCTGGAACCAGATTTCTTGCCGTTTGAGCGATGGATAGGGCTGAGTGAGGGTGGAGGAGAAGCTGGCCGCTGGTGTTGTCTTGTAAGTTGACGCTTTTTGGCGCTGAGTCGAGCAGTTAGGGTCAAGCCACAAGAGCTGATTGGGATGGATGGCATCAAGGTTGCGAGCGTGGACGGCGATTGGGCACAGATGCGATGTATTTAATCTTGTATCTTATTCAAGGTTTGGCTAGCACTGGATGAGGCCATCTCTTGGATGATCTTCAGCCCGCGCTGCCTGACTCAGTGTAAGTCGGCGAGAGGGTCAAGTTGTTGTCAGTTGTAGATGATAAGCACTTGAGCTCCAATTATAGTCCTGCTAGACGAAGATCTGGGGGGCAAATCATGCCGCCTGGCTGTGCTGCCGCGCGTGAGAATCTCATCTTGTCGTAGCGAGACAGCTTATCATGCCACGCATTACCCATTACCCCAAGAAACCAAAAATAAAAGACACGTTTTACTCAAGCATGCATGAAGGAGTCATCAAGTTGCCACGACCCAGGGTCTCGGCATCGGCATCGTGTGTCTGTTCCCCCCTCCAGCTATTCGGAATAAACTCTTTTAACTCTATGCACCTCCATTACTCAAAATTTGCCATCTAACCGCATTGGCAGGGCTGAGATTTGACTTGACACCGCACGGCCGGTACTCGTATGTGCCACTCACGGCAAAGGGGTGGCCGAGCGGGATTCGCTGAAGATGTTGTGCCCTCGTACCACTCGTACAAGCAAGCAAACGCCAGTTGGATGGAGGGGGGGGGGGGGGAGGCTAAGGGACTGATTATGTTCCGAGGCAAGATAATGAACGAGAGCGAAGCTCCAGCACAAACGGGCCTCTCCATCAGCCACTCCCCCCTCTGAACCCTCTGAAGGATCAATTCGTCCGCGCTGGGTAGCTTCGCATCGCGGCAAAAGGATTCCGATGGCAGCCTATCACCAGCAGGGGCGCACCGCCATGGCAGCGAAACCGCGAGGGGGCTAGGAAAGTTTGCAACTGCCGCAATTCATTCGCTCGCTTGGCTAGTCGGCGATGAGTCTTGTAAGACGCCACAGATGTTTTGGATTTGTGCCCGGCTGCTGGGTGCCGTGGCATTTTGGGCCTAAGAGCTGCTTTGCTGCAAAGGGGAGGGGGGTGCGTTGTCAGCGGAGCAACTCCAGCCCCTGCGGCGTTGGATTGGGTTTTTTTTTCATTATTTTGATTTTGATTTTAATGTTTTGGGTACGTCTGATAGTCTTGCTTGTTGCTTCTCACCTGAATGCTATCATGTCATCCGAATAGGCGAAGCGATATTGATATTGGAATGACATGTGTGTTACCGCAATAGCCTATCGACCCGCTCCCCACGTTTTCCTGCGTCTGTCAGCGCTTTGCTCTGCTGATACGCGTATCCACTTTTGATACATGCCGATAATCAGGTACTTGTGAGTGTACAGGCAAGACAGGGCACATGTGAAATCAGATCATGGCACAATTTTGCCCGGCATGAGTTGAAGCCCATGTGGGGATACAACATCTACGAGCACACCTGTATGTACTGAATTCACGGCGTCTCTCTTCTCTTCTCTGGGTAACACCACACTTCCCACTCCTTACAGCTAGCTCAGAACCTGCACAGAATCATCCAAAAAAGACAAAAAACTTCGGAGTTAATCCCCCCCAAAACCCACGACAAGCGGCCCAAACTCCGCTGAGTCAAAGACGCAATCCACGTGCCAACCATGGCTGAAAAGCAGGGGTCCCGTCCAGTAAGCTTCAAAAGCTTATGGAATCTCCAAACCCGTACAGTAAGGGAGGGGGATGACTTTAATCGCCGACTCAGACGCCACAGCACCCAAACTCCAGCGATTTTACTAGGAATGGGCGAGCGTAACGCCTAAGCCGGACAGAAAGAGGGAAAAAAGATGACACCTAGACCGCTGTTTATTTGCAGTTCGATTTACAACTTATTACAAACGGGCCTCTATTAGCCCGGAAGCCCTTCTACTAGTATTTCTCAGCAGCTCTTTTTCAAGGGTTCTTGCGTTTTTAGCTCGATCCAAGGAATGTTAGTTTTTCCCTTTTTACGACTAAGGCGTAGTGTATTATCTGGAGCTTTGCTTATGTACAAGCTAGCAACTATTCAAACTTCAGGCCTTAGTGCCAAAGCGGATATTTGATTTGATTTGAATTGATTACAGCATGCGGGCGGCAAGTGGATGACAAAAACCTAACCTTTTTGCGAGGTTAAGCGGAGAGTTGGCCCTGTAGATCAGAAATCCAGTCCCAAGGTGACAAGCAAGGACAAGGAGGAACCCAGCAACGCTAAAAGCACACACGGGGCGAGGCAGCGATGCGCCCTACGAAACAAGGCATTTGAAGGGGGGTGTTGCTGTATTATTACTGTACGTACGGAGTACTCGTGGCTGCGTACTTCGTATGAGGTATACGTGTAAGGTATACGGAGTTGGGGACGGCGTTGTGTGGGTTCAAGTAGCACTCGACAGTAGCAATGGGAATGCCATGGGCTTATACAGTGACACGGACTTCGTTCCTACTGTCAAGCTACCTGGTACATGTGCAGTAGTAGTCCTGTTCGTTGGGTTGCAGCACAAGCCGTCCGCTTTGCACCAGGCCGGTTGGAACAAGAGGCTGATTCCATTCGATGTTAGCATCTTTGCCAAGCAAGCATCGCCAGGCACGGCGTCAGGCGACCGGCCGCACAGACGTAACTCTGCGTGCTTCCCCCTCTTCGATTCCGTGAGGCTACGATGGAAGTGAAATGAATAAGGGAAAAAAAAAAAACAAGTATCGTATAGAGAAATTGCAGATACGAAACGTCAACTGGGGGGGCTGTTCAAAGGCAACACGGGGCGCGGAAGAAGCTGTGGCCACGAGCCCATATTTCGAGTAATTCGGCGCACTCCGTACTCCGTTGCTGCAGGGCTCCGCGATCCATGGCGTCTGATACCACGCATATGCAAGCATGTACGAGCTGTACGGAGAGACACAGAAAAGGTGTTACGTGTATTCCTAGCTTGGCGGGAGGGGAGGGCAGGGCTAGACGAGAGCCCATTGCCCATGCCATTATTGTTACCCATCCCATCCCATCCCATCCTCTGCATGAAGAGTGTGTAGCACTTGGGGGGTTCCCGGGTCTGTGTTCCCGTCTTACATGTATTTTCAGTTGGTTTTTGCACAGGAATCTTTCCGAGCCCTGCTTGCCTTTCTACCCACTCCAGCTGGAGTCTGAGTGGGTTAAATTCAAACCTTTTTTTTTCTGACTCTGTCGGAGAGTCATAATTATAAATCTGGTAATGAATGATGATTCCAGTACTCTGGATAGGGCCCCCTTGTAGCTGTGCCTTGTCTGTATACATGTACACATTCGGCGTATTATTGTGTGTGCCTCTTCTGCACAAGTTTACGCATCATAGCAAGCCCCCGGTCTCCCAAAACTCACACATGCTGCTTCCCCTCAAAAAGCATTATTCATGAATGCCGATTTTAGTATGTTTATTTTGTCAATTCTCAATTACCACCTCCTCAAAGCCGAATCCCAATCCCACCCATCCCATGTACACGTATAAACCCGCCCATGCAGCGATTCTCTACATGAGCTGATCCCATCAAGCACACACCCCGCAACCAAGCATGAGAAAAAAAAGAAAAAGGTAAAAAAACAAATAAATGACAAAAAAAGGGCATTGGATCCCAAATCACACACCCCGGCGTTCGGAGTCTTGCGAAGGTCCGGGGCCCGGGCGTTGAAGCCGCCCGTTGCGTTTCTTTCTGGGTTGGCGCAATCTGCGTAGCTCTAACTAGCCCAGCCCAGCCCGTAGGTACAGGTAGCTCGGGGGGTTGGTAAAACCCCTTGAGAGAGAAAGGTTTACGCTTTTTGCTGAATACAGCGATTCCACCTCGGAGTTGGAGTTGGGCAATGACCGCGGTGTGCGTACTCGTACACACGCAAAGTACATGTAGACTCTAAACCTGGAATATTGAGAAGGATTTCAGGGGGTCGTATTGAAAAAAGAAGAAGAAGAAGAATATTAGAAGACACAACAGGTACGGGGATCCTTGAAAGGAATTTGCCCGCTCCCTTTTCCGTCCTCCTTCTTTCTTGTTGTGCGCACCCAAAGCACCCCCCGATTGTACTGTCTTCTTTTACTCCGAACTGAGTGCGATTGTCCATCTCCAAGTCCGTCGCCCTGGAGCCAAACACCGCGGATATTGCGGGCCTGCGGGTCGAGGGCTGTCGGACATATTGAAACCACCTTTCATGTAACTCGTATGTACCCGTTCGGCCAGATCAGGCCAGGCATCCGCAGAATCGCCGTTTGCTATCGTTTGATATCTTTTTGTGTCATCTGTGTATCTTGTTTCTTCTTGAGATGGCTGGCTGTTCACGCTGTAATCTGTAATCTTGCTATCTACGCCCGGCAACTAAGAGCCTCCCCAACTGCCGGGGACTCAAAAAACATCAAAGGCAAGGGGCCGCAAAGCCAATTCCAGCTAGGAAGAGCATTTTCCTTTTTCGTGCAAACCACGTTACCTGCCAAAGCTGTCAACCAGGAACCTTCGTCTCCAGTAAAAACACCCGTTGACATCAAAAATCTCCAATTCGCCCAAACCACAACCCCACCAGATGCAGAAAAAAAAGGAACGCCAGTCAAGTCTGCATCGTGGAAATATTTCCGATTCGGGGGACGCGGCCGCCTTTTCGAAATATTTCCTTACTCCGTGACCGAGAAAGATGGCAGACAAAGTATTTAGTTTAGTAGATAGTTTGTCAGCGCCCAGATGAAAAATCACTTCCATGACAAAGGCCCGCCGCGCCGGGCCCCTCTTCTGTCTTGTTGGCTCCTCTTCTTTTGCGTCTTCCATGGAGATTATTTGGCTTCTTGGTTTATTATTTTATCTCCGATGGGTCACATCGTGCTCCGGAGTTCAGATGGGTATAACGGACGGACGGGGATAGTAGTCTAGAACTTGCATACTCCGTTCCCTTTTTCCTTTTTCTCAGTTTACACGTAATTCATGTACAGTACAGGCAGAAATCTCTCAGCCTTTTCTTTTTTTCTCAATGCAGGGCGTGCGTAGATACAGACTTAGTAGAGGGGGTGAGATAAAACCCTTTTTTTTCCCCCTGGCCCTTGTGTCCTTGTCCTTGCTCCATGGATGACAAACCATGCTGTGCTTGTTGACAAACTCCGATACCATTTCCCTAAAGCGGATGCTGATGCGAGGCGCAAGCTGTACAAGGTAAAAAAAGCAGCGCCTGTCGAAAAGAATACCCAAAAGACACGCCGTCAACACACAAAAAGAAAAATACGGAAGGAAGAATAAACTAAACTAAAACAATAAAATAAAATAAACGCGTAATCAATCGGCAAACGGCCAAATGCAAATTAAAACTAAAGAAACTATAATAACCTAATGCATGTAGGAAGTCATCTGTGCGTTACGAGAACGAGCAAAACGGGTTCCAAGAATCATGGCCAGCAAATGGATCTGACGACGGATATGTGGCTGGGGGGGCTTTGCTTCCTTGGCTCGCTCGTTCTTGCGATTGCGATGCGAAATCGAGCAGGGGGTCCATGACGTGTCGGCGCGATTTGGGCTTGGGAGAAGAGTATGAACTGGTCTTGGTAGGATTCTGGATCGAACAGGCTAGCTGTCCCGAACCATCTCAGCACCCAAACCAACTGGCTGGGCTAATGAAGCTGCTGCATTTGCGGGTAAGCCCTATGGCCGCTTTGCGTTGAGACGCAGAGACCAAGACGGTGCCAAGATGGAATCAAAGGCGTGCTAGTTGGATACGATTGGATCTATTGAATCACATTCACCGAGATTTGTCAAGTAGGATAGCCAACTTTTGTGAATTACTTCAAGCGTGGCATCGGTGTGCCATCATTCTATTTCAAAAGCTCTGTTTGCTTGCTTCGGTTCCGTTTCCGTAACTTCGTCACGCTCCCATTATCAATTGATCCGACCCAAGGTCCTTTCCCCCTCCCGACTCTCTGCCCAGTTATGTACCACATATACAGAAATAAACATGATGAAAATGAAAATGAAAAAGAAAAAGAAAAACAAGTCTATCAGTGCCGCTTGTAATGTCCTGTAACGCCCGTGAACCCAATGAGAAGATCGACCTCCCCCAAAAATAACGAAAGTAAAAGGGGGAGGAAGAGAGAAGAAGAAGGAATGAAGAGTTAAAAGGGAAAAGAATGCCGAGAATCGAATGTTGCATGGCCACCGGTTGCCTGGATGGCTCATGATGAATCAGTCGCACCAAAAGAACCCCTCTCTTACAATGGGTATGACCTCCAAATACATTTGCCTTTCCAAACACATTATGGATATCAATGTCCGATATGTTTTTTTGTTCAATTTAATCTTTTTTAATTCGACTTTTCCTGTTGCGGATTTTATATCGGAATCAAGTCGACATCGTAACCATTATACAGTGTCGGGTCGTTTATGCCCATCATGACACCGTGATTCGAAGTCGAAAGAATCTGAGGCTTAATCGTTTCGTAGCCGCCGTCCATCAGTGAAGGGCCCATTCCGCTGAGGTCCTGCATCGCGCTCTGCTGGAAGAACTGCATCGTCGCCATGTCGCTGGAGGCCGTCTTCATGGCCCAATCGGGGAACACGTTCATTGAGGGAGACTGCGAGGTGAAGAGCGAGGCTGTGGCATCGAGGTCAGGCTGTCCGGATTGGCTAAACTCGAAGTCGGTGCTGCCGGCGTAGCTCTGCGGCGACATGGTGATCGGGTGGTTGTGGCTGCCGAAGGCGGCTCGTCGGTAGTCGAGCTCGATGTCGGAGTGGTCCAGTTCCGAAGACGAGGCGCGGTCGGTGCGCCTGTACGGCAGGGGAGACTCCCGCTCCATCTCCACATCTCTGTCCTTGTTCTGTGTATCGGCGTTGTTGTGGTGATCATGCAGCTGCTGAGCAAGCTCCTTCAAGTCACGCTCGTTCTCGGGGAAGACGGAGTGGACGGGCAGGTCGATGTCGCTATTAGGTCGAATGCAGCCGAGCTTCTGAGCAATGTTATGGATCACGGGCTGGCCACGGTCGTTGAGCTCGGGCTCGCCAAGGTCCCACTGCTGGTTGGTCCTGACCATCTGGTAAAGCTTGTGGACGGTGGAGATGAGGGCGAACTGGGTGTTTTCGAGAACCTCGGCGTATCTGTGTCACCGTGTTAGTCAAGGCAACTAGACAGGTTATTTAGATTTCAGAAAAGGCTACTCACCCTCGAGGCAGCTGCTTGTACTCCATCTTCTTGCGCACGCCGGCCGTGCAGACAAGGCCATCATCCTTACATCTCTTACACGGGAATTCTCCGTCACACTACCAAAGTCAGTTAAAAACCACTCTCATCCCAAGGTAAAAAAAAAAAAAAAACCACCCCAAGAAAAGCATACCTTGGTCTTCTTCATACGACACCTCTCGCAGGCCTTCCAGACGCGCTTATGTCTTCCATCCATGCCATGTGTAACTTGCTCGTGGTGGTGCATGGAAGCTGCATTTGATCCAGCACGCTTAGACGTTCGGTGGTTGGCCTTGATGGGCTTTGTACTTGAGCCACTGGCTTTTCTTGATAGTGTGGAAGGAGATGTGGAAGTGGATGATTTGTTATCCTCCGCAGGAGGAGAGGGCAGGCTATGTGCGACCATTTTGGAAAAAAAAGTGAAGCTATCCCACAGAGATGTTACTCCTAACGGGTTGGCTATGCAAGTATTGTTGTAGATGGATGGGACGGGGTATATAAGCGTCAATGTGGATGGTGTAATGGAATTATCCCCAATATCCAGACAGCTTTGCTTTGCTTTGACCAGGTCCTACTCTGCAGGACAGCACAAGCCAAGATGAATAATATCGGAAGAGTGAGTAAGAGAAGAGGTGAAGCCCCGATCCAGCGCAACGGGACCGAGAGATTATATAAATACAGATAGGGTGGTGTAGCAGATGTCGATAGGTACATGGACGATGTGCTGAATAATGGGCACCGGTGGGGCTTACAGTGGATTAATCTGGCTGTGAGCTGACTGAAGCAAGCTGATGAGCATCATGACCCTCGGAGGCTTTGTGACCCAAACTAACGGGCTTTGTGAAAAAGCCAAACGGTAGCTTTCTGATCATGGCGCACTCCTGTGGGATGGCTTCAAGTCACTTTGTACGTATTTCCGTCTGCGGATCGAAACAGGGTCCCCGGGGGTGTGTCGTTAGCGGACTCGGCAACGCCATTATGTCCGAGGGCGCGAGAGTAGTCGGCGGCCACTAAGCCGCAGGGGCGAGCAGAGCGTAAGCCGCTTCGGGACATATATGGGCTGCAAGAGGCATAGCGGATGTCTGTTAGGCACGTCAAGGGGTCTGCGCTACCGCAAAGGCGTGGGCTTAGTGGGCAGCTGGTCGAAGCATATGTGCGTGCAGGTACATGTACAGGTCTGCTGGTGCTTGGCCGGGCGAGACTGCAGGTATCGCGACGAAGATGACAGAATCATGGCATCAAAGGAGACGGCTTGCTTGACCCGATTGTTTCTTGGTTGCCGCGGTCTCTGTCGGCAATGCGCCTGCAGCACGTTGCGTTCTTCCTTTGGTCCAGTCACTGACAGCCAGGTCCGGTCACGGCATGACGAAGTGAAGTGAAGCGAGCATAACGCATATTATGTACCTATGTAGACACAGATGGGTAAGGATCAGCAGTGATGGAGATGAGATAGTCGAGTGAAAGAAGCCATCGAAGTCTGATTACACACAACTGCCGTGAATCAGCATCACTCATCCTGGGCGTAACATAATCCACGCTCCGTAATTCGTAAACGCAGTCCAGGCGTTTGCGCTTGCTAGCAGAAGCACAAACGACCCAGCGCTACCACGAAATAGCAAGGGTTTCTCTTGCTGGGCGCTGAGCTAGGCAATTTGCCCATTCCAAAGTCCGCGCCGAGCGCGGGCGGACTTGAACTGGGCCAAGTTCCGTCATGACGCTGGGGGAGCATCATTCCACGGCGAGGGATGTGTATGTGTCCATGTACGATTACTTGTACCTGTGCTTGTGCTTGTGCTTGTGCTTGTGCTTGTGCTTGTGCTTGTGCCTGTGGGAGGGAGGATGCTGAGAAACGACACTGCAGCTGATTGCCGCTGTCGGGTCTTGGCTTGGCTGGGCGTGGTTGGTTTCCCTTTTCGAGCAGAGTGAATTGGTCATTTGTCAGTGGTGATCACAAACGCATGGCATCACAACAGGTTGCAAAAGACTGTCAACCCTTCGGCTCATTGCCGAACTGGGCCTTTAGCCTTACAGCCAAGTCGCGCCCGTTGCTGATTTCCAAATCAGGACGCCCCGGAGGGATTACCGCCTTGGATTAGGTGATGAGGGCCGACTGTCGTACTGGTAAGCACGAGGAGATGAGTGGAAGATGCCGTTGCAGAGGAAGAACCCGCGTCCCTCGAAATAGTCGGGCACCGTCCACTTGGGACGCCTTACGAAGCTTTGTGCAAAAAGTCTTACATCGTGTCTACATGTGCCCCGTTAGACTTTTGTGTGGTTCGAGGATCATCGGAATGCTGCAGCCATGACAGAGGAACACTATCCATGTGCCTATCAATATACAGAGCAACGTCGATTCAAAGCCTCACCCCTCCCCCACCGTTCTCTCGAAACGGCAACTAAACCAATTTTTCTAATCGCAATTTTATGTTTATTTATTCCTCAACATGTTGCCTAATGGAGGGCCCCCGTTGAAAAACGAATCTTGTTTCCAAGGGGGGTGCTCGCGCCTCGGGCAAAGATGCCATGACAAGCACAAGCACGAGAAAAAGGGCCTGGTGCTGATTAATTGTCGCCAGAGTGAGCAATTCCCTAATCGCGATCGCTTCGCTGCCCCAGTAAAACTTGGTACAGGCAGCTGCAGTGTCTACAGCGGGCGGAGGAGCCCCTACAGCTGCTCCCAGTGCAGGCTGCACGCTCTGATTGGCGGCGCGCCAGCAGCCTGGTGTCTAAGCCCTATCAGAGGCGGCACCTTTTTGCGGCCCATTCTTTTGCCCAACACAGTAAAAGGTCCATCCCAAAACATCGGCAGTTTGCTGCTCTTTGCCTCCCATTCTGGCGGGAATAGAGCCGCCAAGGCTGCATGGAACACGCGTAGCGAGCCACTGTCCGTCGATCCAGGGGAGCTCGAAGTGAGGAGAAGATGGAAAGAAATTGCGAGATACGGGAGTACGATTCGATTCGATACGATACGATACGGGTCGATGCCATGGGGGTCGCGTATATCGGATATACTCGTATGTCAAACTGCCTGCAGTGGTATAAGGATCATGGACCACCCCCTGAATTGGCGAGCTCACGCTACTGTACAGCGCTGGCGTGTCCCAGTAGACTGGAGGTACAATATTGAATCTAAATGGATCAAATTGATGTCAACACTTGGCCGCGCAACGGTAATAGCGAGACGGCACCCAACGATTGATGACAGCAAATTCGATGCATCCATATCCATGCCAGTTGCGGTGGCAGCAGCCAACATAACGCCAACTAATGCCTCTGGCACGGCTAGCGCCTGCTGCTGGTGTTTTTACTGGGCGGCCAGAAGGGCGGTGATGTGATGCATCAAGTCCAGTCTGATCCAGATTCCTTTAGCATGCATGCCCGCTTCCTTCGTTTGTGCCATCTCGACAATGAGAATAAGCTGATGTCAAATCAACCAGGACAGCAAAGTTGACTTTCTGCCAGCGAGCCACCCCCGCTCTGCGTTTGCCCGGCCGCCCAGCGGGGTCCCAAGCAGCAGGAAAAAAAGACCCTCTTTTCGCTGTCGCTGCTTCGGTCGTCGGTGGCGCTGGAGTCGCCCGAGCGGTGGGCGCAAGTCCAAGGGCCGGCGACGCTACCTGCAGCGCCGCTGGGGGCAGCATTCCAGCCCGGGTATCGCAGAGGTAGCCGTGACGGCGTCGGTGTGGGAGAGTGACTGCGCGCGCTAACAGGCACTTAAACGTGTAGCACCTTTTGCGAGTACCTCAACTCCCACTTCAACTTTGCGAGTGCGAGTTTAGGTACTTTCGCGTAGCTACACCAAACCAGCCATGAATCTCAACTCCTCATCGCGTATAGCACGGGGCTGAATACGCTCGTGACGTAAATGTCGACAATGGGCTCGCTGACGCCGAAGGAACCAAGAATTTTAGTTTGCTTGACTCGAATCTGGGCAATTGAAGCAAAGCTTGTGTCAGTCTGCGGAGCCCTGCATAGCTCTAGGCATCGTCTAGCGGCTGGGAATCCATCCGCAAGCAACAGACAGGCAGGCAGGTTGAACGCTTCTGCATGTCGGCAGATACATTGATGCCACACACACGCAGCAGATTAGTCCTGTACTCGCAGAATGCGTACGATACAGCACAGTCTAGCATTTCGTGAGGCTCTCGCTGCCGGTCGCAACTAGCCCGCGCTAGCTGCGTTGTGGTTGTTAATTCCGATTCCCGTGGCGCCATCAGGTGAATCGCGCCTCTCGATCCCTTTTTGCACAAGCCGTGGGAATAAAACGATTTGGCACAAAACTTGTCGGTGGGCATGCAAGGCACTTTGCTGGGCTGGGCCACACACCACCAGCTCAGATAACAGCTCGCACTCGCTACAAATCCCGACCGTCCACGGATGCGAGCCAACATCAGCTTGGGGTGCCTAAATTGCTAGCCAAGCGCTGGTGAAGCTAGTGAATGCGCGATCCCCCTTGCTGACTTGTTGACGGTCAATCGACGGAGCACGGAGCGTAGGAGCGTCTCTTCGATCCTTCGGCGATGAAGTCGATACCGTAGCAAGCAATCCCTTCAACCCCTGCCCCTGCGAGATCAAGAAGACGCCTATCCGCCACGCACAGACCCGTTGCTGCACATGGCCGTGCACAAAAGAGGATCACAGCTGTAATGCTTGCTACGAGTACACGGGCAAACAACTGCCAAAGCAGTCTTTCCGTGGCATTCCCCCAATTCCGCTGCCTTTTGGTGGTACATGGAGCTTGGTCCGGAAGCCCATAATAGCCGAGTCCGATCGGATATCTTGCAGCCGGCAATTCCCCCCTCTACGTCCAGGAAGCCTCAAGTCAATTGTTTCCGTTTCATGAGCGTGGGCGGACCGCCCTTTGTAGGGCTCACGGAAAGATACCGGCTGAAATGAACGACAGGTGACGCTACGCTATGCCCTGTCGTGTCGAGTCGTGTCGTATCGAGTCGTTGCTTTGGACCTGGAGCCTTGATACACTGTTGCTGTCGTTGTCCTGGTGACTCATTTCAGCCTCCGCTTACCAAAGCTAATCTTTCCAAGACGGGACTTCATTTCGTCGTAGTTTATTTTATTCCATTTTATCATATTTTATCTTTTTCACAATGTGTATAATCAGAATGGGAAATAGTACATAGTATTTCGTTGAATAAACAAACGGGCAGTAATAGAACTACACCGTGCTTATTTTCGACGGCTTCTTAACCAAAAATGTAAACACCTCCTGCTCTGATGTCATTGATGCCTCAGTTCGTCCTCGCAACGAAACGAAGCCCCAATACATCAAGTCGTGAGAGTTTCCGCCAGGCACGTGTCCAGCCCTAACAACCTTTCACCCGCTGCCAATACGAAAACCAGAAGACACAAAGTTGGGCGTTTTGGCATGCAAAAGGAGGGGTGCATATGGAGCCTCCCTCATTGGCATTGCATTACAGAGAAGCATAAACGCAAACTCTGCTACCCACAGCGGCAGGTTGCGTGTGGCAGAGCTAAGGCTTTGCAGCCACAAAAAAGCCCAAAAGCAGCCAGTCGTCTTTTTAAGATTTGGGGGATTCCAGAACCCTGTTTTTCGTTTTCGTGCTTACAGGCACGGGAAGAAGAAAGACGTCTCGGCACATGCATGTACGCCAATCGATCGCGTTTTTGCTGGGCGTCTCATCTCAGCTCGTACATTGTCATGGCCTCTTCCGCAACTCAAAATCCCAAAAGAATGCGGGGAGGCAACGAGACTTTGCGCAACTTGCGCCATCGCAGGCCAAGGTTCTGATTCGTGCTGAGCTTATGGTCGCTTTTTCGCCAATTAGGGGGCGTCAACGGGCGTTTGTAACGTCCTCATCACACTGCATCGGTAATAAGGCGAATGTTACCAAGCAGTATTTTATTCCGCAAATGTGCGCACTTTTGCGGCCAATTAGAGCCCGCACTCTGCCTCTGAGCACTTGCCAATTCTGAGCAATGGTACCTACTATGGAATAATAAATAATACTTAATAATAGTAGCAATAATCAAAGTCATCCCTAGCAAGCAAAAAAGCAAGGCGCGGAATCGTCCAGACCATCGTCGGCTGTTTAACGGGAAACGGCTGAATGGCTCTCCAGAGTCATCTGGCCTCTGGCCCTCTCAATCTATTGCCCGCAATGTCTCCGGTAGCCTATGGCTGCGTTGCAGTAGGCCAGCCCAACCTGCCGCGCTGTATGCCGTCATGCAGCTACAGTATACAGTACGAGTATACGGAGTAGCATCCATCGTACGAGACCCCTGGCGGTTTGGAAATTGGGCTTGGCAGGGAGTAGCTTATCGGGATGGATAGCCGGCGCCGAGAGACGCAGAGAAGCCCCCTTGAAGCCCCGATACGCCGTCTCGTGGCCAAGACAATTCCCGGGCGTCCTTTTTTAATGCACGTTTCGGCAGCGAACATGGGCCGCTTACTCACCCTCGGGCATGAAATGTCTACGTCTCGAGCTATGAAACTGGGCTAATGAAGAAAATCCCACAGTATTTTACGTACTTTTGTGCACTTGTAGGACGAGGTATACCATGTAAGAAAAGCTGTGCTCCTCCTACTAAACACGATACTAGTAGTTGGTGATACCTGTGCCTTGTTTGCACGCCCCTCCTGGCAGGGCAGGCACTTGATTCCGGGAATGAAAATTATCGCGATTCACCCGGCGGGTCTGACACTCTTAATGGAACCTGACAAAATGGGTTCAGGAGCAGGAGTCTAGCCTGCAAGGTGATGACTCGCGTTGGAAGATGGGGACTGCAAAAGTTGAACCAACTTTCTTTTTTTTTTTTCTTTTTTTTTTTTTTCTTTATTACCTTATTACTTTCCGGGTCTCGTACTCCCCTCCATCCACCGTAATGGGCAGCTAATGATTCGTCTAAATTATGCTCCCTTCTGAGGACCGTTTTCTTCCTTTTTTCGTCATATCTTTTTTTCCCTGTCGAGGAAATGATCCGAAATGTCACCGCGGACTATGCCGCAGCCTAGCCAATGTTAATGCCAATGCTACTACTGAACAATGGCGTTTTTTGCCAATCCTAATACTGAACAATGGCGTTTTTTTGCCAATCCTGAATGTTGCGTCCCGAGGCTATCAAACATGTTTATTAAACGTGAATCCCCACAGAAAATGTTTATGTGAACCGAAATAATGATTACCAATCCTCACTGACGCTCTGGGCTCTCACACTGACTGCCATCTGCTTGCAGCCTAGCACCTGTGGAATCACACAAAATCGCATGGCGTCGGCACTAGAGCCAGCTTCAGCGAGTCCCATGATCCTGTCCTGATCCTAGCCGGTGGGTTCTCCGATTTCCATGGGGCCCTGCAGGAGGCGAAAAGAACGCAACCCACAGCGAGAATCAGAGTTTCCATCCGTCCTTCTGGAAGCCCTTCCTTTCCCCACAGCGGACGCTTGTTCGGGACTTGCTCGGCTCAAGGCTAAAAGTTCTCGTGAGTAAAGTTGGGCTTTTGACGTGGGAGAGGGAAAAAAAAGAATGGAGTACCGATGGAGGACATGGAAATTGCCTTGTTCTGGAATATGACTAAGTGCTGGGGGGGGGCCGCAGGAGAGCCTCGTTTTTGTCTGACAGAGTTGCCGTTCCGCTAGAACCGCTTTTGCCGCTCCGACAGCCTTTCTACTAGACGCATGATATCATTTGCAGGCAGAAACTGGGCTTGTCTAATGTAAGGGAAACCGACAGCCCTTCGCTACGAGCGTTACAGACATTTGATTAATTTCAGAGCGTTGCACCAAGGGCGCGAAACGAGACAAGACGAAAGCGGGCATTGCGCTGCGCGAAATTCAGCGCTGCAGTTCTGCTGCGTTGCTGCAAAACCAAAACCCCGAGCTGCCTAGTGATATTGCCGAGTTGCAGGTACATTGAGCCCATTGAGCGCAGCTATGCTTGGCCATGTACTGTTTACGCGTGGAAACGGAGTCGCTCTCTCGTCGATTTTTCTCGTGTGCCGGCGCCGAGGATTTGCAAGTTCCGCGGGGTGTCGACAAACGATAACCGCGAGGCTAGCGTGCGATATTTACAGTGCAAGGCGTAGCTTCAAGGGGGGGGAGGGGGGGTGTAAGTCTCCCGTCTCTACATGCAGAAGGCTGGATAAAATAAAACAAAATAATAAATAAATACAAAAATAAAATGATAATTGACACGTTGAAAAAAACTCCATACAACAACTAATAGAAAATAAAAAGAAAAAAAGAACTCAATCTAGCTTCTTCTCCAGCATGAGCTAAAAAGGGGGTGGAAACCTCCTAGGGTCCAGGTTTCTTCTGCCTTGTTGCTGCTCGCGCTTTTCACATTGTCCATTAGCCTCGCCGCGGGGGAAACGGGAGATCGGTCGCCGACCCTGCGCTGCGCTGAAAGGATCCTTACCGAGGAGAATTGCCTAACTGGTATGGGGGGCCCTGCGCTGTTTGTGCCAACGAATTGTCTGAGGCGCCCAAGAAAGAACTTCAGCGACAGGAGTCAGGAAGCTCCGGTGCCAAGGCCCAACCGGACGAAAAAGGGGACCTGGGCCGCTGCTACGTCACCGAGCCGGACTTCGCGTTATTAATCCCATGGTCATACATGACTGTGTGTTGCGTAAACTGGAGCTTTCCAGAGATTCTCATGACCTCTGGGGGAAGAAAGAAGCGATTCTAGATGGCGAGGCTAGGGAATCTTCCGGGTTTGCAGTTTCTGCTTGGGGGAGAGGAGAGGTGGGCTGCATCACGATTCGTCGCCAAAGTTTTTGAGGGGGGGAAACGAAGATGAATGAATGAGATGGCCCCGTTGCTTGTAAATCCGATTCCCATGATGCGATATTGCCTGGGGATCGCCTTTACCCCGAGTTCTCTTGACAAAGCAGGCAAGGTTGGCTACGGAAGTGTTGCCGTGCCTGGAGTTGTAAATAACTGCACATGTACGGAGTAAACAAGACAGGCTGGGTCACGACCTCGTTTCTCGGGGGTTCTAGCCTCTTTCCAGCATCACAGAGGAAACAAGTCCAACGGCTTTGGTCATGCTATTTGATGTTATATCCGTTCCCCGATTATTTTATTGGTTTTTGCTTTGGGAAGAAATAAACCAATTGAGCTGTCCCCCTTCTTCTGCAATTAAATGCACACACCCTCCACCCCCCTTCATCATGATTGATCGTCGATCGTGGCTCTTCGTCCTTGGCCCCCCCCCTGGCTGCTTCTGCCCGTTCTCCGGCACGGCTTCAAGAAGCGCTCCGTTGGGCGGTGCTCGACACTTACACACAGGAGCGAAGGGGAGGGGGGGAGGGCACCAAGAAACCAAGCTTACATACAGGTACATGGCACGAGCGCTTGGGAAAACGGGAGCCAAAAGTCTTCGAGTGGCGCGACTTGATGGCCCATCTCCACCATCCCGACTGGCCCCCGATTTGTCTGCTTGGTTCGTCTCCACCCAGCCGAGGAGACGTGCTGACTGGTCAATTGGCCTCGGGGAGTCGGAGTCTCCGCGGAACTTGGCTGGGCTCCTCGCGTGACTTTGCCTGGGCTCATCGTTATGCTCATATCCTCCCATTGTGTGGTATGCCTCCTTAGGAGCTGAGCGCCCTAGGCAGTGGTGCTTAAAGACATATCCCGCGGCCTTGGATCTCGGTTCAGGAGTGTATCGTTCGGTTTTGGCCTCATCGTCTGCGTTCTTTTTTGGGACCTATCCCCTTCTCATCTAGGTAGTCTTAGTCCTCAACTCCTAACTCCGCCAGCTTCTACTTGTAGTCGTAGCTTTGCCCGTGCCTCGTTTGCCGCTCCGGCACCGACAGCCATCTGCATGCTCCCTTTCTGCTCCTTTGCCCGGTCCAAGTACACGATGTGCCGTGTTCCAGTGCCTCGCTGACTCTTGCCGAGTTTAACAAACGGCGTCCCAAGCCGACAGCCTTGCCGCCCGTTTCTACATATCCCGGGTGGGTCTGATGCAACTTCACTCCTGGCCCGTTTCTCAAGTGCCGATGTCACTCTTAGTCTAGGGCTTGGGGCTAGAGTCTTTAATTGCTGACTCTGTTGTTGCCAAAGTCAAGCCATGACGACATGGCGCTGCCCGTGCGCTTTGCTATCTGCAAAGCTGCAGAAGCAAAGGACGAAATATCTCCGTACGCACCAGCCGATTCAGCTTTCTGCTAACCGATGCGCATCTCCGAGACCGGGTCAAAATGCCGGGCCGGAGGTTCGCGGTTATGGATCCACATGGGGGGCCCCCCAAGACCGTTCGTTCTCTGACGAAGGAATTCTCGATGCAGCTTGACGCACATGTAACCTCATGCAGGGCCGTATATCGATGGTTTTTTCGCCCGAAGATTGGAATCGGGTTATGGAAGACGCCTTGGCTACGGCATGGCTTGTTCGAGACCCTGAACCAAAATCGTTCGATGTATACATCACAGTGTTCCACTGGGCAGGGTGTGTGCATTGGAATCCTGATACCGCGGCATGGAATCTTGACCCACTATCTCAGCATATTACTCATTTATCTATTTATCTATTTATCTATTTTTTAATTGTTGTCATGGCATGTCATGGCATGAATGGGTTCACGACTAATGCTACGCCATCTTCGTGAACTGCAAGTTCAGTTCGGAGGCTTCCGTGGCTGTGTGATGTCAAGCAATTCCATGACTCGATCGACGGAAATTTCCGTATTTTTATAATATGGATTGGTTTCAGGGCTCTATTATATGGGGATTCCTTACAAATATGGTACAAATTAGGTGCAAGACCTCCACGATGGTAATCTTTGCAAATGATAATTTCGTGATATGGCTTGTGTCTTTCCTGTCATTCGTCGTCCAAGTTCGCGGCCGCGTAAATTGCTGACTTTGCGTGCATTCTCATTCGTCTCGTTCACCTGACGTGGCTGTGGTCCGGACACCGAACGAATCTTGCTAACTCTATTATGTTGGGGGCCGTTGGCCAGGTACGTAGATATCTCGTCAGTATAGTGATATCACATGCAGTTTTGATGTCAAAAGCAGGAATATTACATTCATGCCATATAGAAGTGGACCTCAACATGTCGAATATCCATCCAGAAAGGTCTATTTGGCTATTAAACTCGACATTTGCTGCTTGCGCCTCGTTTGTGTGGGGAAAAGTAGCATAACCTTTATGTGGAATACGTGTATTGTATGTATGTACGACGTAGCTAAACTCTTCTAAAGGTCGAAAAAGCTCTAAATTATTAAGTGGCTGTGTATATAAGCGGCTGTGTGCCCATTTTCGTCCAAACATGGGAGCATTACCCATTCCTCCTCCATATATGAAACCATATCCTGCAAACAATCCAGCCTCGTGATCCGATGGTGCAACAAAATCTTGGAAGATGGCTTGAGGAGAAAAGATGTATATCATGAGACTCAAACTATGTTATATGGTTCATAATGGTGCTTTACACGTCATCGCTTTCATCAAAATGGCGCTTCCAACAGTTGCAGTCCGAATACTCAAGAGGACACATACACGGTATTTACTAGAACAATCCAAACATCATACTTGGCCTCTTCCAAGCATCAAACATCTGTATAGGCAATCATTGGCGGATTCTCCCAGTCACAAACAGCCCAGGTCCAAGCTGCGCCAGAGTGGTACTTGAAAAGAAGCGACATGTCATATCCATAATCAGCCGGCAAGAACAATTCAGGATCAGCAGTCTTGGCCTTATCCATTGCTTCGACTGTGGCGAGGGAGAGAAAGTGATTTCTTCTTGGCCCATAAGGCAGATTGCTGTTGGCATGTTAACATAGGTGCGTGAGGATTAAATAGTGGTCCGACTTACAGAGCATTCCCAAGAATACCGTGACAGAGACTCGGCTCTTTTCTGAGTAGCCCCAGCTTCCAGATGGCTTCTTGGCCACTGGCTATCGCGGCATCGATCTGATCATGAAGCCCCGAGAAGTGCGGACGTATCGCGCGAAGAGAGAAGACGAAGCCAGGGGCACCATGGCACCACTGCATGAGGCTTGGGTGACGGGTTTCGTCAATCTCCTTGGCTATAGGCCAATTCCCATCCTTCTGGAGATTTAGCAACGCCCGAAGCTTTGGCGCCAGCTTTGGCGCAAGAGCAGGAGTGGTTAGAGCGAGCTGCGTAATAATCCCAATATCGCCGTGGCCGGCACCAATGTACTTGTGCCTGTGGAACGTCCACCCTCCTTCATCTTGGTCTATGCTATCAGCCAGGATCTTTTGGGAGACTTGAGCAATTGGGCCCTCGACAAGGACGGCGCTATCAGGGACGTGGTGGCGTATCAGCCTCAAGAAGTAGAGCGTGCCAGCTCTTCCCTGCCATATTTCCGACTCGAATGAATCCTCTTCTAAATCCGGATAGGGGCCAACAATGGTCGGTATGTTGGACAAGAAGGCTTCGACATGATTGGTGTCCTTGCTGATACAGGCCCTGAGTGCTTCGTATGCCAGCTTCTCGCAGCTTATCCCGACTCTGGTAGTCAGTGTGAGTTCTCCACGGTCAGCGTTCAGATACTGTTCCGCCCAGTGCATAAGTGGGTAATCTGCAACTTGGACACTGGGAAAGAGGGTGGCAAGTCGGAAGAATAGAAAGGCAATGCTGGTTGGGCCTCGTATGAATCCGCCCAGTTGCGCCGGATCAGGGTAAGCGGACAGCGGAGGAGTCGTCTTGAGAATGTGCTCCAGAGACGACTTCATGAGCTGTAGCGGCTCTTGATCTAGCGACTGCAGCGGGAGATCGTTCGGTATATACTTTAGCGCCATGGCGAGTGCAGTCTTGGCGATCTTTGCTCTGGAGTTGCTTCGTGGAATGTGCTCGTATAATGATCAAGTTGAAGCCGTTCCTTATTCTTACCCTGGAGGTGGAGGTTCGTTTAGCATCGAATCAAGTTGATGCAGCTAGATCCTGCTAGGCGGCACCTCGGCGGCATCCTTTGACTCCTTTGGCGTCCATTTGCCCGTTTGGTAAACCCCAGTTTATTGAAATATGGAAATTAATTATCGAAAAGCCACTTCCATGATCAAATGTCGAGTTAAAAAGGGCAATAAATGCTCTACCGTCCGTTTTGTGTGGGTAGCTCCAAGTTGTGGCGGTAGCTCCAGAGCTTAGACGCTCGCCCCACTCCACATGCCAATGACGACACCCTTTCGCTTGTCGATGCCTCAGCTAAAAAGCTCCCCGCGTCTAGACTTTGAAGCCATTCGACAGCATCACGAACCAACTGCACTCGAGCTATAAGCCGTAGACTACAAGCTATCAGCATTCCATTGCGTCTCCAGTCTTCAGCTCCATCCAAGTTTCTGTCCTTCTTCTCCACAGGACGAGGCGAGCACTAGTGGCGCTTCAATGGCTGAATCAGAGCACAGGGAGGCGAAGCTGCGGAATCGCGTCGTCGACTCCATTAGCAGGAGGGCCGAGAATGCCCTGTAAGCGCGTCCAGCACTCATCACGCATCATAAGCGTTGGGACACTGATGTGATGACTACCAGCAAGGAAGACTACGGAAAGGCAAGGGTTATGGCCTCTGATGCCGTCCAGAGCCAGGCATATCTCTATCCCATCAAGGTGCGTACCATTACATCACCTGCACAGCTTTGAGCCGCAGTTGGCCCTAACTATGACTATGACAGGGAATCTTCTACTTCCTCGCTCATCGGAGCTTATGGCAGCCATTGATTGATCGAATTGTTCCTTATGGCACCCTTACAATCTCCGTTATTGCTGCCATGTTTACCATTGCATACTTACCGCAGCTGGCAGTTCTCTTGCTCTTCAACGGCCCACTGGCTGTATATTCAACAGTCCTCCTCACGCTCAACGAGAGTTCCATCATCATTCACATGATCTCCCGTACTTGGATACTCCAAGAAGCACTCATGGATACCTTTGATGGCACAATGGTTTCGAGAAACGCAACAGCCGTCGTCCAGCAAGGCCGAGAGGTACGGCCCGGTAGTGACCCTATGAAGAAGTTAGGCAAGGTATTCAAGAAGCGGTTCGAGAAAATGAGTCTCACTTCAATGGTTCGATATTTCATGTATCTGCCTCTGAACTTCATCCCCGTTGTGGGCACCATTACTTTTATTTTCCTTCATGGCACGTGTATCAGCCTTCCAAGGTTGCCAAGACTAGCTTGCTAATATTTTAAGCAGGTAAACACAGAGGCAGGATCGTACACAGTCGGGTATGTTGTTGCTCTCCGGATGTTGTCAACGTGGTATTTGTGCTAACGGTGTAAAGTACTTTCAACTCAAGAATTGGTCCGAGTCACAAAGGACACAGTGGCTCAATACCCACACTGGAGCTTATGCATCGTACGTTGATATTTTTGATATGGATTCTTTATCGTCAAAGAAATTGCCTTCTGATTGTCATGTTTATAGCTTTGGCGTCGTTGCGACCCTTCTTGAGATGATTCCTGTGGTGTCCATCTTCTTCTCCTATACAAACACTGGTATGGACACATCACTGCAACTACTTTGCTCTAATATTGACTTCTTTAGTTGGTGCTGCCCTGTGGGCTGCCGATATTGAAATGCAGAATAACGCCATGGTCAAAGAAACTGCCCCTAACCTAAGGCAGGCCGCTGAGAGCATTGAGTAAGCTTTCAGGTCCATCGCTAGCCGACCAAGTGTTGCCAAACAGAGTGCTCAAGACACACTATATCAATTTCAGGGAGTAACTGCCCATGGATTAAGTGACCATCTTTATACGCAAGATAGTGTGTCGATTCAACAAGGGGCTATGGCTAGCCATCGTAATGTTTGCTATCAGGTAATCTACCGCTGCTACACCTTTTGGCCAAAGTGGCCACGCGGTTGGACCGTCTATTTATGGAGTTTCCAAGAGCACATGTACGCCCGTAGGGGGTGAGGATCTTGAGATGCTAAGCATCTGTGGCAGCCTGAACTTTTGCAACTTCTTACAAAAGACGGCGAAAAAAACGCCACAACGTAAATATAGCTAGCTAGCATATATACAAAAGCGGCCAGATCTCGGTATATCGTGAGACAGTTTCATGCTAGCATTCTCGTCCGGGAACATTATCAGTCAGGGCTGAATCTCCTTTGTGGCAAATTAGGCACATCGTCTCATACTGTCTTATCCTGATGCATGCTAGCATGGTGTCTTACTGAACGGAGGCACGATTCGTCTCTCCTGTTGGATTCCCCTCCACCTTTGCCTGCGTCCATTGAGTTGGTAGGGACACTAGTTAAGCCGCCGTGGTCTAAATTAAGTTGAAACACGGAAGGCATAGCTGAACAGGGGAGTATGGAAACAGATGAAAGAGATTGAGCTCCGGCCTCCCTTCCGCCACCGATCTGTTTACGGATGTTACACTCGTCTATACCTGCAGCTAGGCTCTTGGAGTGACACGACATCATTGTTGTGAGGACACAAGACGTCCTGTCATAATGCGAGAAGGCGTGTGCGAGGGAGATGGCGGAAGGCAAACGACCGAGTCTAACAGCCCATCTCGCGAGAGATGGATACTCCCGGGGCATCGTTCGGCCAAAATGGAGGGGATGGAGGAGCACCTAATATCCGACAATGCGTGGGAACAGTGTTATCAGCATGGATTGCTAGTGTTACGCTGGCGCGCTCACGGCATCGATGATCCGCCTACTTCTCCGCGTGTGCAATGGCCAGGTGTGTTATGCTGTTGAAGATGACAGCGTTGCTCCAAGTCTGTGTATGAACACGATATGGTCCATTGTCGTTCACGTTTCGATCGTCATATCGAGATGTTGATATCGGAAGAAGACAGGGACTTTTGTGATCACCATTGACCATTTTATATCAAGATATCCTCTCGAAAATGGACGGCTTTAGACAGAAGATAAGCATCACAGCGCCTTGAATGCATACATGTACACTCACCCTCATCCTCAACAGGTCATCGTTTCATACCGAGTCTAGGACATGGGCTGGTTCCCCCTTTGCCAACAAACCAGTTCCTCTCAGTGTGTCGTCGGCACGGATGCCTTGACCTCGACCGTCGCACAAAGCGGTTGGACCGTGGCGTTCTGCAACCTTGCATGGACAGTTGCCCCAGATCTGGGTGCACCCCATCAGCCTCTGCAGGATCTTGCTGCACGATGCCAAGGACGCATACGAGTCTGACCGTGGCGAGTATCCGTCGCAGGGAGTCCTGTCGACAGCTCGCTCATCAACCTGATACTGCTCTTGCCTGCAATGCCGGCTCTGCAAATGAAGCCAGTATGACCGAGACATGGGCTCGCGAGCATCGGAGAGGGCTCGGGACAGCTTTTGCAAGGGCCGTTACATGGGATTCGGGAGGGATGAGCCGGGAAGAGAGGCTCAGCGCAGTCTCTCTCAGCTGGGCAGTGTGTGACGGGCTGCGGCGTGTTGACGGACTGGAAGTGTCTCGAGGGAAAGGGGGAGACGCACAGCTGGCAGCTGGCAGACGAGTGTCTCCCATTTATTGGCCGGTCCCGGTCAGATGTGCCTGTATTGTGTCCAAGTTGCTTCGTCTTCTATTTCAAGGGCATTCAGCGTTCGCTTTTCTCTCACTTGTGGACTGCCAGCTGCCAGCTGCAAATCGAAAACGTTCGCGTTGTTTCTTTTTCTACGACGCGTCACGCGAGTTCTCTCTGCCCTTCTTTCTTCTTCTTTTTCTTCTTCACATTGCATTTCGAAGGAATCATCACTTCTTTTCGAGCATCACTTCGTTCCATTCATTATCTTCGTTACCCCCCTTGTGTCTCTACGGCATTCTACTCTGCACTTCTACTTCCTGCATCGTATTGTCATCTCCATCTAGTCTATTCATTGTAGACAAAAGGTGAGCCTCTCTTGATGAACACGCCACAGAGAGCCTATTGTTCCTGACCATGAATAGCTCCTGTGTCCCCCACCCACGATGAGAGCGTCCGTCTTGTCTGCTGGCCTTGTGCCGGTAGCGGTGATCCTTCTCACTGGCATTTCTGCAACTGCAGCTCAGCTCGGAGGCGTGAATCATCGCCATGACGATTACGCTGGCCATTTCAAGGTCTTGGGTCCTCGAGCGGCCAACTATGGTGAGCCCAGCGACTATGGCTACTATCCTCCTCCTCCCTATGGAGAAGAGACTTCAACTTCTGTTACCACTACAACTAAATCTGTACCTTGTGAGTATAACCCGGTCTCTTGCTTTCTCCATGAGCTAATATATCCCTAGACTCTCCTCCTGTTGAATCTTCCTCGGGCACGGCCTCTAATGTGACCACCAAGACCAAAACGGAGACCGTTTCATCTACTCTGTCAGGCCATTCAGTTAATTCAACCAACACAAAGGTCTCTTCCCAAGATGCATCGTCCACCTTTGCGGAAACGGTCACTGCTTCCACCTCGGATAAGCATCACTCGTCAACAGAGACTGAGGTGTCATCTACCACAGAGTCTTCTCTTGGCCAAACAACCCTGACGATTACTGTATCCTTGCCCTCTACCACGTTCGTTACTGCACAAACTGTGCCTATTGAATCTAGCCGAAGCGGCTATTCATTCTCCTCAACTGAAGTGACGTCGGCTCTGAGCACATCATCGGGGATTTTTACCAACTCTACCAAGTCGTCGACTGATGATGAAGGTGGCACCGTTCGGCCGATATCTTCTACTTCTTCTGGCTCTTCGTCAGCTGAAACTACGGCTGTGTTCACAACTTCCCCGTTGCCTAGCTCTCTTTCGTCGAGCACATCTACAGAAAGGCCATCGTCTACCCAGTTGACTGCCAATGAAACTGTGACATTGACTACGATTGGAATAACAGTGACGAAGCCAGCTTCTGAAGCATCCACTCAGTCAACCTCTTTGAGTCCCAATGTGACTTCTTCTATTGGATCATCTGGTTCAATTGCCTCTGAGACTTCATTTTCCGCTACCTCTTTGGCTCCTACAAATGGGACTCTGACCTTGACATCTGTGGTTACCTCGCCTGTCGGTACCACAACATCGGGCCATGGTATCACAAGTGTCGTGAATGGAACTGTCATTGTGATCACCATCTCTGAGGAACTGACCAGTACCACCTCGTCGACAGCTCTGTCCAACACCTCGTCCACTCTCATTAGCGGATGGCCTTCCTCAAGCGGCTTATCAGTTGCTACTTCGACCTACCGATTCACCAACTCGTCAGTGGTCACCACGACCGTGGGACCCTCGAGTGCAAGTGGCACAGCATCTCCATCGACTGACGTTACCGAAACTACACTGTCATTGACACTGACCTTGTCAGGTACCGTGTCACCGTCGGTATCTAATGCTCAATCAAGCACTTCTGCTCTGCCGGTTACAGGTAATCAGACGTCAGTTACTCTGAGTACCACTACTAGTGTCACGGTAGTTCAGTCAAACGTGACGATGATCTTGCCTGCTACCTCGGTTTCGTCAAGCTCGTCTGTGGCAGCATCGGTTACATCTGTGCCTGAGAGTGCCTCGACTTCACAAGCCAGTAACGGCACTGTTGTCTCTACCGCCATTTCGACTATCCAGACAAATGGCTCTGTGGAGACCACCTCGCCTTCCTCGATTCGTCCAACGGGCACTGGGCAGTCCTCTCTGACACCTTCTGGCGAGATTGGTTCTTCAACAGAGACATTGACTAGGTCTGCATCATGGGTTAATACGACATCTACTGTGACTGCGACAGAGGCACCATCAAGCCCTCAGTTTACCCTATCTACTTTTCCTTTTACGCTAAACTTTACGACCATCATCCAGACACTGACAGGCACTGCGCCTTCCGGCTCGTCTACAACTTTGAGCTCTGAGTTCTCTAATGGGACTCTAACATCTTCAAATGCCGTGCCTACTACAACATCTCAACTCCCCGGGAACACAACTTCTGCGAATCAGACAATTTTCAGTACTGTCACGGTGACCAGTTCTATCCCAGGCTCCGTCAACTCGACAGCTACTTCTCAGCCAGGGGGGACCGTTGTGATTATTACTGTTACCACAGGTACAGCGTCAACCGGTAGCTCTACCAGCTCGACTGAAGCCTCGCAAACAAGCCTCAACATCACAACAAAGACTGTAACCCAAAGCCAGCCACCTTTCAGCAATACAACTTGGTCATCTAGCGGACAAGTAGTGACTACAACAGTCTGGAACACCGCGCCTACAGTGTCCCAATCAATCATCTCAAGCCATTCGATGCCCTTCTCTTGGAATCTTAGCCAAACGGGAACCCATGAGACATCTCGTCCGCCAGTCACACAGTTTAACACGACTTGGCTCTCGTGGACCAGCGTGCCTACAGAGGCACCCAGTTCCAGCAACCCGCCTTTCCCCACGACTCGCAATTCCACCGAGACTCTATCAGGCACGGTTGTTAGCCCCAGCAGCTCAGGCTCAGCAGCACCGAGTGTAATCACCATCACTGTCAGCCCTTTGCCAGCAACCAATTCTACATCAGGGTCATTTCCACAGCCTAGTAGTAGTGCTGGAAGCCTAACATGGTCGTTTACCAATTCTTTCAATTTGTCTACGATATGGCTCACGACAGGTGCTCCATCGGGTAACTCACCATCCTTCTCCGTCATCACAGTCACAAAGTCCAATACTGGTTCACCAGCCGGCACTGTGAGTTCTGTTCCTCTCAGCACTTGGGCCAGCAGCACTCTGCAGTCCAACTCTTCTACCCAATGGAGTGGCTCGACATTGCCGGCGCCGTCTGCGTCTTGGACAAACACATCTTACATCTCATCCTCTTCCACTTTGGTGTCTGAGACGGCGACGAGCTCGAGCAACAACACAGTTAGCCCTATTATCATTTCCACCACTGTTACTGGCAAGACTACTGTCCAAACCACCGTCTTCACATCATTGTTGACAACGGGGCCGGGTAGTTTCACGAGCAGCTCCGGCCCAGCAGTCTCCCAGGAAGGCAATTTTACAGTCACAACAGTCATCCATAATGGTACATCATTGGTTCTGACAACGGGATCGGCTCTTCCATGGTCAACAACTTCGGTATCGTCTGGAGTCGGCACTTTGTCAGGGCCAGCATCTAGCAGCGGACCCATTTGGACTAACAGCACACGGGTGTCTCCGTCTTCAACTGCCCCAGCCGTATCTACCACGACAACCACCCAGATGGTTACGGTGATTGTTTCTACATTGACTGTAGCGCCTTCTGCCTCTTCTTCGGGATCCAACGCAACGGTGGTTGAAAGTACCATAACCAAGACTCTGTCGCTGTCAACAGCAGGATCACAGACGCAGTCGACGAGCAACGAGACTCAGACCGTCACAACCATTTTCCAGACAGTGCCTGGACCAACTACCGCAACACGTTGGATAAACACCACTGTCATGGCGACTGAGCACGGGCCAAGCCAGACGGGTAGCGTAATCATCACAACGCTTTATCAGAACAGCACCACTACAACTGCTCCTTGTACTCACTCGTGGGTATATCCGTACCTTAATATCAGCGATAGTACAACCACTTGCACTCGTTTTCCAAATGGCAACACGACAATGACTCGTTGCTGGGCAGTTCCATTGACCACTGGAGTTCCAGAATCTTCACTCCGCCAGACGCCGTTGTATACATCCACCTGTAACACTACTAGCACCGCAAATGGCACATCTTGGAACGGAACATTCACCCATACTCGAAGCAGTAAGTAGACAAAGAAGAGTTGCCAATCCGAAGAGAAAAGCTAACATGATATGCGCCTACTAGACTCGTATCCTTACCCACTTCCGACGACATTTGAGACTTCGACCACGGCAAAGGACCACGAGTCTGGCTCACGCGGCTTTGCTTATCCTGTGCCCACTGTGCAGGTGCAGGAAGAGGAACTGCCTCCTAACCCGAGTTACCCCTGGGGTGCTTCCTCGCCGCTGCACCGCCACCAGAACGTGACGGGTTTTGGGGAGGGTCTGCTTGTCCGGGGCAGTGAGCTCGTGGACTGGGGCAGGACGGCAGCGAATCGCCTGCGAGCTCTTTTGACGAAGCATGTCGAGGGTGGTGAAGGCGAAGGCGAGGAGTGATAGGGGGTTCTGAGTCTGCCTGTGAGAAACCGGGGTGAACTCTGATCTGATCCCTGTTGGATGGAAGAATGTGATTTGATGATATATGGGACGTTTCGACGTCGGGGTGCTAATCACTATTTGCTTATGATCTGATTTATTTTTTTTGATGGGAATTCCATAGGGGAACAGGGTCATTATGGGGGATTTATCATGGCATTGTGTCTTGGGAGAGGCACGACTACTATTGTCTGTTGTCTGTTGTCATGGAGGTCTGAGATAGTGTATCGGTAGTGTATCGGTAGTGGATGCTGATTTCAATGTGAGGACTAGTTTGAATGCCATGATGGTTTGTGTGTGTTGTAAAGGGCTTTTTAATGTTGGAGTCTTCATCTTACTTTCTATTTCGATGCTGGGTATATTCATACTAACTGGCTGCCATGCTATAGATGAAGATGGACTGCTTCGATTGAGGAGGAGGGAGGGAGGGAGGGAGGGAGGGAGGGAGGGAGCCAAGTGCCAACGTCAACGGAATCTCCTGTACAGCCACACTGAATTGAGACAAAGAGAATAAATAATAATATATCAGATTCGGTATCTTGCGCGAGAGGTGCAGCAGCTTTCGAATCCCGCCTGTTGCTATTCTCCAGATGGATTACAAAATCCAGCAAACGGGATTGGAAAACACGGAGTTGGTGCAATTCAGTACTCGTAGTGCTTGGTGGAGGCGGGTATCAGGGCCCTGCTCGCCTAAAGCGGCGCAGTCTTGGCGGATGGGATTCCCGTAGCGCCTTGTCTGCAGCACTAATGTCATGTTAATGTATCGAGGTAGTACGTACGGGGGTAGCAGTGGGACGTGACTTGCAGGAGCAAGTATAGGTACATGTTTGGTGTGTTTGATGTTTGCTTCAATTTACATGTGTTCATTCATCATGTCAGCTCATTAATGCCTATTGTTATAGTGCTTGTGTGCGCCCACGTGCTACGAATGGCATCTATTGATTACTAGCACTAGTAGTTGCTGCAATGCCCTTATTGCTCCCCTAAATCACCTATTAATCAAGTCTGCAAATTAACAGCTGCAAAGCACAGGGCTAAAGACGGATAATGCGGCTTCTGGCGTCGCTGCAAAGCCCCTCTTGGCTCTGGCGAGCTGACGTAGCCTCTGCCAATGTCGCGTGTGCGCCCATCCCCAATCGGGCTGCCTTCGTATCGGATAATCGGCCTGAGGCCACTCCGAGCTGCGACGACGCCCGTTTCGGCCAATCAGCCCGTCGCCACCTCTTTTATCTCCCCAAGTTGAAGCACGTTGACGGTCCTCCCTTCTTAGCCTTTCTTTGTTTTGTTCCCCCACCGAATCGACGATAGAGTCGCATCTTGTCCTTCTTTTCTCGTCGTGTCATTCATCCGCAAACCGCTTCTGAGATTCACCATCCGTCGCCATGCTTTTCAAGCCGCTTGTCCTGGCGGCTGCGGCTGCCGCCTTCGTCATCGTTCCCGAGATATCCGAGAAGGACGAGAGCATCTTCAAGACGCTGCCCGTCGATCCAGAGACGTTCCAGCTGCCCGCCGAGGCGCTGGGCCAGAGCCTCGACGTCCCCTGCAGACAGTGTCGAGGCCGAGACACTCACCTCAAGCTGGACTTTGCCGTCGAGGATGGATCGAGACTGATGGTCAACGGCTTCGAGCTGTATCCCCATGCCGACCCGTGGCGTGATGATTTGGTCGCCGAGGTGGTGCGAGCCAGCGGCGCCGCCAACGAGCGCACTCTGGGCTACAGCCTCGCCGTCCTGCCCAGGGCCAAGGACGAGCAGCAGCAGCTTGAGTTGGTGGACGTCAAGTTGAGGATTATCGAGGTTGGCCACCGGTTTATCGACGACATCCCCACGGTCAAGATTGGCTTGATCAAGGCCACGACTGGCGAGATTGTCATCTCCGACATGCAGATCATGGCCGTGCCCGAGATGCCCTGCCACTCCATGTGGTGCCGCGCCAAGGCTGCCATGAAGGGATTCGGCGGCTGCCACAAGAAGATGAACAATGGCCCTCACCACGAACCCCCCATGGCTCCCAAGGAGGGCCACCACCACCCTCATCACCCTCATCATCACGAGCGACCTCACCACGCCCCCGAGGAGGAGTGGAACTCTCAGCGCGACTGGCGCCGTCTTGTCACCAGCGTCGCCTCTCACATTGTCCTGCCCGTCTTGATGGGCATCACTGCCGGTGTCGGCGTTGCATTGTACGTTTTACTCTTACCATGTCATGTTTTGTTTTCTTGCTAATCTCTACAACAGCCTTGCCATGTTCATGTGCAGCGTTGTGTACCGTCTGAGCATGTTTGTCCGTGGTGCTTCCCCGCGTCGCTCGTGGTGCCCTCACCACCGACGCAACGCCACGCGATTCCTGTCTACTGAAGAGGAGAAGAGGGGCTTGATGGAGGCCAAGGAGGCTCAGGAAACCACTCCGGCTCCGTCTTCCCAAGAGGAGGCAGTCAGCAAATAAAGGAGGGAAGATGATGTGGATGTGATTGATATTTTTTTTCATTGCGTTATTCTTATACCTGTGATGGAATTGCTGGACGACGAATAGGTAGGTGGCCATGTACCACCATTATCAGCTTTTGATGCAAAACGAAACCAGAGAAACCAAGAGATTGGTATATTTTTTCCTATGTGTTCACTGAAGAGAAGATGAGCAGAGCTATGGCACGGCCAGAAGAGGGAGAAGAGCATAAGGCCATATTGTACAACTATCTGACGGACAATTCTGATGTCGAGGGGCGTTTAATACCAAGGGAATAAGCAGATGCCGTGGCATCTTTCTTTCATTAGTTTGACAATGCAATTTTTCCTTTTGTTCACTCCCGCCAGTCTTATAACCTGAATGTGTCCGCCTTTGATGACGCAACTGGGCGAAATGCCCTGTCTGGATCCGAATAGACCGGTCAGCTCCAGCAAACAGACCCTCCTTGTATTCCATCTAGATGCATCTGGACAATGCACTCGTACTGTATTTCGATCCTCCGGAACTCTCAGCCGCGTGGGGCCGGGCCCGGAATGCTGATCCCCGTGTGGGGAGCAAAAGGCAGGCTGTCGAGCAAGCCCACTATGCCCACTCTGCCCACTCTGTCCACTGTGGGGGAAGAAAATCGCTTCTGGTTGGTATTTGGATTACCAAGCTGGTAATTTTCTGGGTCGGTCAGTTTTGTTTGTTTTTGTCTTTTTTGACACTTGGGTTTGATTGCCTCGTTGGGTAATTGGTGTTGGCAGTTTACATGGCGCTTGCATGCATGTGGAGTGACACGGAATTACGACATGTGCCCAACTATAAGTACAGGTAGAAAGGGGCTTTTTTTCGTATGTGTGCGTGTTTTCTTTAGTTGATTGAGGGTCCCTTCTTTTGCGGTGGGATGGGGAATTTTGAGATTGGGGTAGCTTGAATTCACCCGTCGCTTAATTAAACTGCCAGACCGAGTGGGTAGGTCTATGAAGACTGGTTTCTGCATCAAGTTTTAGAGAGTAGAGGTCTTGTACCAACTGTTTTGTTTTCTGCTTGTTGCTGACCGTGCTTTTTCCATCAAACACGTATTATGCAGTCTTGTGACCGACGTGGTGTCCCGTGTGCCGTTTCGCAAGGTGGAAATCATTACGTGGAATTGCTGGATTGGGGCAATGGGTTCTGGCTTGCCCGTAGCTTGCGGGGGATCTGGATCTAGTGAATGCATGTCTTGTATTTGTGCTGTGCTGTATGTGCAGAGAACGCACGGGCTTTTCATTAGTAATTGGCATTAGGTTCTCCAAGGATTGATGGGAGTTGGTCTTGGGTCAGGCATTTGTTAACTGTGTCAAGCTTCATATTGCCGGCAAACACATATCCAGATAGCCTACCTATTGAAGCAGCTCTTTGCTAGAACAACCCGCAAATTATCAACCTAGGTAAAAGAGCCATCTTTTCATACCCGCTGAGAATATCAAATTGGCCGATTCCATTCCATCATTTTGGGTCCTTTACAGTAAGGTATTGTTACTTTTGGTCTGCGGGGGCCGAGACACGTTGTGATTCCCCAACCCCCAAAATCACCCCTCGTTTTTGCTGGCAGCTATTTTTTGGTCTGCCCCTCATTGTGGTGCATGGATCCAGATTGACCGACAGACATACCCTGATTTCAAAGATTATCTGCCGAACCCCAGCCTTTCTCTTTTCCTCTTCCTTTCCCTTTCTTTATTTTTTTCTTCTTCTCTATTCTCCATCTGTTGCTCTTGTTGGATTTCGTTCCTTTTTACCTTTGTCCCTATTGTAAAGCTGCACAATAATAAACAACAACCCTCCACCTGCAGGTCCAAGATGTGGCAGCCATCCTCCGCAAGCGACGAATCATCGCCCTCGCCCAACCCCCCTCAGGGCCACACCAGGACGTTATCGATGAAGCAGAAGAATCCCGGCCGCTGGTTCGCGCAGACGGTCAAGCTCAAGAAGGACCGCGTGGAGGAATACAAGGCCTGCCATGCCAAGGTGTGGCCCGAGGTGCTGAAGCAGATCAAGGACTGCGGCATCGAGGACTGTACGTTATTATGGCTTGGATTGACTTGACAGGATGGAAGAACCTTTATTGACGTGTGTGAACATGAACAGACAGCATTTTCTACGACGACGAGATGGGCTTGCTGTTTGGCACGTTCAAGTACATTGGTTACGACTACGCGGGAGACATGGAGAAGATGGCGGCGAATCCAAAGGTGCGCGAGTGGTGGAAGATGACGGACGACATGCAGGAGAGTCTGGTCAAGGGCGCTGTGAGTTCGGAGGCGGGAGAGCCATCGTGGTGGAGGCCGTTGGAGCAGGTGTTTTTCCAACCCTGAGAGGATCAAACTGAAGGTTTAATACATATAAAATGGTAATGAATGAATAAGGTACGTGTAGATTGCAGCGGAATTGATAAATGGACTTAACCTAGAGTGGACTTGCTGGATAATTATACTCCCTGCTAGAGTCGAAAGCATGTCGGTTTGGATGATGCAAGCAATCTCTATATATTACACGGAGACATGATACCCTGCATTCTTGTCAACGATACCATCTCACGGCATAAAATGAACTCAACAGGAGAGTAGATGCCGTGATGCCATCAATTATCTTCTCGCTGTACGGGCTATCATTACCCCGTAAGCCAGACCCTAGGCGAAAACAGGGTAAGCATTCATGGATGCACAACTCTACTTTTTTGATCCTAGCAGGGATCTGGCCCATAGGTTAAAGCAGTTCTCTCGGGTTCGTTACGCGTTTTGAACATATGGAATGTCTGCCGCAATCCGATATTTAAAACCGAGAATTCTTGCCTTTGTTGTTATGGGAAGAGGGCCAATCGTATTGATGCACTTGTTAGTTTTATCCCAAGAACATGTGCGACAAGTCGGATATCTAGCCTTAGGAGCTGTGTCACGGAATGTCGGTAGTTGCCTGGCCTTTTACGGGTTCATCTATCAGCTCTACTTATACTCTTCGTTATGCAATCTAGGTAATGTGTGCATTCGTTTTACGTTTACTTGCTTGCTATATGTGCGTGGCTAAAGACCCAACTTTCAATGGACGTCTCACTCTACTTTGAATCCTGCAAGAATACATGTGAAGAGAGAGGAAATTATGCTCAACGCTTGAAACAGTCCTCCCTCGACCTTAAATGTAGTCATCCACGGCAATGATAGTAACGATCGTGATGGTATAGTGATCATTCGTTGCGTCAAAAGCTCCGCCGCAAGTTTCCCAGCCTCAAACGTGCCAAATTCTAGACTATGGTGGCTGGAGGGAGGGAGCTTGTTGACTGAGAAATAATAATTAAGCTCTTGCCCTCTTTATGCGATGCGATATTTTAAAATAGGGCTGTTGATTTCTATATCAGAAGAAGCATAATTATCCTAATACACTTCTTTACCTTGAGAATATGTGCAACTAGTGCTACCTGTCGGATGCCTACTCATATTTGATTCCCTTACCTCGGATGTAACTTATCAAATGTCTCAGAATATCGCCACCTACAGCTTATTATATCAACCCTACCTACGCGCTTTACTATAGCCAGCGCGCAACCAAGGCAAGGAGCATATTTACTTTACGTACTGGCTGAAACATAAACCGGAGCCGTGACAAGTAGAACCTGTTCTACGCCCGTAGTATATCACATTGGTTGCTGTCCTTGTATGAGTCTCTGCTTGTGGTCATTATCTGCCGAGCCTCCGGCCACGGGATGAGGAGCCGTGTCTCGGTTTCCAGAGTTGTTACTCGTTGAGTGGTCTCGGCTTTAGTGGGAATGTCTCATCCAGCTCTCTTCCGACGAGAAATCTCGTGAGACTTCATGTAAGGAGGGAGTAGCAACGTCACATTTCACATTAAAACTTGCGATACTCCATGTAAGGAGAGGGGAAGAAACAAGACATTGCATTACACTCGCTGCCTAATATTGAGCCTGAAAATAGCGGTAAGAATCTGGTATAAGAAGAGACGAATCTTCCACTACAAACGACATTTAGACTGCATCCTCTACAGCAAACACTTTGACAATAATACACGTCTAATTCTATACAAACCCTCAGTTTATCCATCCATAATGCGGTTCTACGGCTTCTTCATCTTCGTCGCCTGCCTCGCATCTTCTGTGATGGCCGACACGTACGGTACTACTCCTCTTGCGGCATCTGAAGTCTATGTATGCGAACATACTGGGTTTGGAGGAGCCTGCAGACATCTCGGCGCCCCTCTAGGCGCATGCCGTACGTCCCCTCTCCGTCTTTTTGGCCAAGTAGCACCATTTATGTTCCGTTTATGCTGACAACAAATGAAGAGAATATTCCTGCGGACTTCAACCATAAGGTTTCTGCTGTTCAGCCTAACCAGGCGGCTGGCGTATGCCGCTTCTACGAGTGAGTTCCCCATTCAAATATTTAGACTGGAATGGCTCTCCTTGAGCCTTGTTAAGCACGGGATGGTGATTGACAGTATAAACTTTAGTGATTTCAATTGCGAGGGCAACAGCTTCATCTCAGCGTATCCCGGGGTTAGCAATATTCCCCAAGTGTATCCTTCGTTCAACGACAGGGTCATCTCGTTCCAATGCATCTAGACATGTTGAATAGACTTATCGTGGCTGGAAAGAGAGATTCCATCGAAAGAATCATTGGTATATCATGTAGCATCAGTCTTGCCGTGATGTTTCCGTGTCGGCGAATCAACGGTGGCGGGCCTCAGATGCTTGGAACAGTAGGAGAATTTCTTCTTTAGCTTCGCGACTCTTGCCAAGGCTAGCTAGCTTAATACCAGCTTCGACACCATCATCTACTCCGTAGCTCATTTCATATTTGCACAGTATCATCATTTATCTAGATCACGGCATGCGCCCTGTCATTTAGCAGAAATGGACCCGAATCTGGGCTCCGATTTATAGCGGCAGATCGATCAAGTCACTGCTTCTTTCTACGGTTCCTAGCGAGGATCCCATCGCCTCCTCGTGACATGTCTTAATTGAGCACACAAAGTTTCTTGTTGCTGTTAAATGCTGTTACATGAACCTTATGGGATTTTTTTCCTTTTTCTATTTTCGGCCTGGCAGGGGTCAGGGGCTTGAAGCATCTGCTTGTTCCGTGGTGGATCTCGTTGGTGTGATGAGAGGCAGGGTTGTGGATTTTGCCGCAAGGTCGGAGCGTTTTGAACAGATTGCTGGCGCCAAGACGTATCAATGGATATGTAAGCGTCATGCCACAAAATGAAGTCATGGAGGGACATGTTTATGCCTGTTGGTCGTATTTGGGCGAGTGGTTGCGTATACCGGCGGTTGGTTGGACGGGAACTTCTGCCTCCAGTAAGTGCCGCGGAGTGCAAATACTGTAAGCAGCATCTGTGAGATTTCCCCTGTATCCTGGAAGCTGGTTCCACCACGCACTCGTATTATAGAGCTGCTGTACATAGTATGTACATACAGTATCTCGCTCGTGCGAACCAACGCCCTAATCTGCAAGTAATGTCTCGTGTCCTTTTTTTTTTTTTGCCTTTGTTCTGCAGATCGCGCCATGGCTCCAGGGGGAACCTTGCGGCGGGAAAGGGTGTGACATGCCAATGGAAATTACAAGCAAGCACTATTATAGGTCTGGTACTCCGTACTATTCACAAATCAGCATCCCGTATTCTGCAGCCCCCATATCACATGGGTTGCTTTATCTAATGGCGCTCGGTAGTATATAGCTTCCAGTACAGGATCAGTTATCACGGCGGTTTCCGAGGTCCGTCGTACAGTACAGTAGAGACGGTGGTGACGTAGCAAGGGCTCAAAGCTGTTACATGAGCTCGCTGCCAAGATCTGATGGTCCAACACGCATCCCAAACAGAATATACTTGTAAGCAGAGCAGGGCGGAACTAAGAATAGCTGTGGCGCCGGGCTGGCAGCTAGCTGTGGTGGAATGTCTCTTCTGGAAGCCATGTGAAGCCATGTGGATCGGCCGAGATGCGTGAATTGAAATCCAAGACAAGGCAGATGACGCTGAAGCTGTGCCGCGCCCAAAGCTGAGCAATAGCGCCATCGGAGAGTCGTAAGCTCGAAACCAGATGAAGCGTCGCGGCGAATATTTGAGTTGGGGTGACTAATAATTGCCCGGATCCATGGCGTGAAGCTGAAGCTGAGCAGAGTGTGTAACTCCTAGGTATTAGGCGGCCAGGGGAGAGTGGCTGAGCCCGTCTTTCTTGTCTTTGTTGACGGCAGAGATACATCCCTGGTACCTGCCCACGTGAGAGCACATGCATGCACGTGTGTCTGAGCGCATGCATTGCATCTGTCTAGGCCGGTTGGGACGGCCATGTCTCACTGCGAGCAACAATAGCGAGCGAGAGAATTTTCGCGGGAAATGGCCAACGCTGAACTGGCTCTGAAATCGAATTGGTGCAAAAGTAAAAATGATAATGGCCGAAAAAGTAGGCGAATGAAAAGGCCTCGTGCAGCTGCGGGTGCTGCAGGAACAGCGGCGCTAGTGTTTTGCCTTTACAGCGTCTGTTCAGGGGTTGGACGGGGACTAGGGGGATGGTGGAGGCGGTACCGGTACCTGTGGGAGAGCTGTGGTCTGCACCGCGAAGCTGGTACCTTGGGGTGAAGTGAGAGCTGGAGAGCTGTTTCTTTTCTTTTTTTTTGCGATTCCGTTGGTTTTTGGTGTTTTACTTTCTTCTTTTTCACGCTTTGCTGATACACGTACTGTACGCGTATCCCTCAATAGGTAGATACCTGGTACTCCGTACATGCTCTTATTCTCCTACAATGCTGCTCCTGGATGAACCTTGAAAGAACCAAACTTGCATCGCTTGGCAGGGCCAGCTTCAAACAAACAAACAACACCCGTGTTTGCGGAAATTGATTGGCAGATAACTCCATCGATGCGGCCGACTGCGCATCATCTCATGCTGCGTCCCCTTCCCAGCCAGCTTTGTTTGATAAAGAATCCAGTTTTTTCCGTGGTTGCGTGGATATCCCTGCTGCATGTACTGGTACCGCCGCTCCGCGCCCCCATCTCAGGCCCGACTCCAGCAATTACAGAACCTTAGCGAAGCTCCCCACAAACAACGTGCAGCCAGGCCCAGGAACAGCACCCTGCCCTGCCTCATGCGTCGCCCCAATAGCCCGTACCGTACCAGTACCCGTACCAGTACCAGTACCTGTATCCCTACCAGAGCTAGCACCCAGAACCCAGAACCCAGAACCTGGACCTGGACGCACCTAAACTGCCGCATCGTCGTCCTTCTCCTCTTCGTCTCCTCTTCTGCCTCCCCCCAATATCCAGAGTCTTCGCTGGCCGGCCACTCTACTCTATTCACAACCGTCTGGCTGGGCCATCGTCCGACCCAAGGCAGAGCGCAGAGCACAGAGCAGTGCCAGCCTCGCCTGCTCGTATTATCTCCCTCGCCCCATATCCATCTCCATCCCGGCCCTTGAGCGCCTCGCTCGCCAATCCTCCTCCTCTTCCGTTTCCCCCCCAGTTCTTGTTTTCTCGCTTGCGTTAACCTTCACTCTTTCTTTCTTTTTCTCATCACCAGCTGCTAGTCGCTGCTGCTGCTAACTATTCGATTCCCCGCTTTCATTAATTTTTTTTTTCTCGTCGATTTATTTTTTTATATTTTTTTTTCTCTTCTCTTTCTGCCGTTGTCCCTGTTCTGTTCCCGGTGAATACTCGCCATTTCTGTTTCGTAGGTACGTTTTCTGCTGCTCATTCACGACTACCACCTTGCCCAGACATCTGCACATCGTTCGATTTTCGAAAGTCCTCTTTCGATCTACATGTTTCATGCGAATCCTGAAACCCGTCGAATTCCTGCTCTACACCTGCTCCAATTCTCACAACTGCCCCGGTCACCGACTCACCCATCACAGACACTCTGCCTCGTCCTTCTAGCCTTTTGCAGCGACTTCGAGAAACCGTGATACAAGACAGCGGCCGTGTCGATCTTGTACCCTCGAATCAACTCCAGGCCCAATCACGACAGCAATTCCACCGTCATTTCCCAACCACACTTGTGTTGTAGCACAGCAGGACAGTGCGTCGAATCAGCCGTCGAGCAGGACTTCTTCCCATTTCATCAGCAGTGATTCCGTTACATCTCCCGAGATTGAGCATTTCACCCAGACGTCAAGGTACGAGACAGCCGTTACTGGAAGCGTCTGCACGCCCCCTTTGCTTCGCCCTACTATTCGTTACTTGATCTTTTTGCATTGATTTTCGGCTTGCTGTAGTCATCAGGACTTGTTTTTAATGCAAGAGCTTGGCTCATGTCTAATATTCGTTGTTTGCAGATTCCACTCATTAATCTGACTGTGCGGCTGTGATAAATAACGCCCTCAGAACTACCAAAGCGACTTGGCCCCAACTCCAATGCTTTGCGTCTCTTCATTCGTTTCAATCGTTTCAACTTCATCTCATCCAGTTCGTGACTGGATCCACCTCTGCCAGTGCAACCAATTTGGTTTCAGCTAGATCGGTTACCAGCAGAACCCCGTTTATGCAACTCGCACCTTAGACATCACCGTTGAATCATCGACAAACTATTCAACATCATCACTCCGAATGATTGGTAACTGGATTCGACGATATGAGTCAGGAGTATAATGGAAGCAGGGATTGGCCGGCACAATCTCTGCCGTCCTCTCAAAACCCACGGGACAACGCCCAGGTTGGCTTCCCATTCAGCAGCGAGTCCAACATGCGCGAGCAGCGGCTGAGACACAACGCGAGTCCGAGTGACGATACACCACCTCAGGATGTGATACCGCCCAACTCGACGAGGTCAAGACCTCCAAATGGTCAGAATGGCATTGCTGCAAGGACGATTCAACGACCATCGCCAGCTCCTCAGTGGCCACTTCAAAGCCCCCCCGCAGCATCACCTCCAGATGCTGATTCATACCGCCCACCGCCTGACCGACCTCGAGCACCTCCTCAAAGACCACAGCGCCCGAGCTTAGTCCCATCCATGGTAGACCAATCCCGCCAACACCAACCGACTCCCTCATTCCGTGTCCCAGGAGGACCCGAGAGCCCATCGGAGCCAGTTGACAGCCCCTCCTCAGAAACCTCAGCCCCCCCGAGGAGAAGTGCAAATCTGGGGCCACCGCCTTCCAGCAGAAGAGGGCAATCATCTTTTTACTCCGCGGCGTCCTTTGTTTCTCCGATTCCAGAAGAAGACTCAGCCTATAAATCCCACAACTCTTACGCCTCGAGCGCGGCCATGCCAGATGCTTGGAGAGTCGACTCTGCGGGTGCTAGCCCAACTTTCCACGGAGCATTCTACGAAGAATCCCTGACGGACAGGACTAGGAATTCCGGAGCAGACGATTATAACGACGAAAGCGGCCTTGTTTCCGGCCGGGAAGAATATGCTATGCAGACGCTCTCCAATCCCAAGTCTGGTGGAAACAAGTTAGCTTCTGCCAATCCGTTCATTGGGGGAACCGGCCTTGTGGACGAATCCACAGACTCTTCTACCAACACCTCCTTCACCAACAGACAAACCCCGGCAACCACCCCTGGCATGGCAAGCCACATTGCGGGTGTCGCTCTTAACAAAGGCAACAACACAATGGACCCGGATGCTTTACGCAGAGCTGCTGGATCCCCACAGCCGACGAGCCGCCTTTCTGCAATCCGACGCCCACCAAGGCTGGATATAGACGCGGTTCGAGAAGCTGAGTCAAGAGGAAGTCTTACTAGCTTGCCAGACCTGATCCGACGTGCCACCCGGTTAGCCTCGATGATCGACAAGGGCAAACGCCCATCAAGTCGCCTCGATGAACTCGACTTCTTTAGCGAAAAAGCGGGTGGCGACAGAATGAAGCGTTCGTATGGTATGTCACTTCACACGTCTGGTTTACTCATTTGACATTTGACTTGCGGCTAACCTTGGATGAATATCAGATGAACGCTATCAGTCGGGCTTTTCAGATATGCTGGCTGCCTTCCCCCCTCCTGTACAGACTCCTCAGCACACTGGCCGCGGCCCCATGGGTTCTTGGCCTCTTGTGCCAGGAAACAACTTTGTGACGGGCCGTGAGAAATTCTCGGTGACTCCTGAGGATCAGGCGCCAGCCAAGCCAAAAGGTCGTCGGTGTTGCGGGTTGCCCTTGTGGGGATTCATTCTGATCATCCTGCTTATGCTATGCATCATTGCGGCCGCCGTCGTTGTTCCCCTGGAATACTTTGTGTTCAAGAACCTGGGCAACCACGAAAAGTCGACGGGTGTCAACCTCGACACGTGCGCAAAGACTCTGCCGTGCCTGAATGGCGGAAGCGGCGTTGTCGTCAACAACACATGCTCGTGCATCTGCACCAATGGCTTCACCGGCGCCAACTGTGGCTCAAGTGGCTCCGCGGGCTGCACAACGACAAACTTGATTCCCACGGATGGCTCTTCTCATATTAACAATGTCACCCTCGGCTTGGCCATTCCACGCATCATCGCTGACTCTAACAAGAATTTTTCTATTCCTCTTGTGGGAACGAGCATCTTGGCCAAGTTTAACACAGCAAACCTCTCTTGCATCGCGCAAAACGCCCTTGTTACTTTTGACGGCCAGTCGACGAGAACAGGCCTGGCTACTGCTATAGTTCAGAATACTGACGACTCGACCAAAGGCAAGAAACAGGCTGGCGATGATTCTGCGCCATCACCCGTGCTCACTTCCCGGCAGTTGGAAGCCGCTCAGGGCGAAGCACCCGTGTTGGCTCGAAGAGCCTCAGCATCGAGCTCGTCCCCCTCTCCCCAGCAGACCAGCCTATTCACAGTTACTCAAGAAGTTCTCGACTTTGCTCGTACAGCAGTACTGTACGTCCTGCAAGAAGACAGTGTCGACGCTGCCAACACCGCTCAGACTCAGCTCCAGCAATTTTTCACAGAAGCCACTCAGTCCATCACCAAGTTCGGCTCCCAAGTGACTGTGAAGGAGGCGTCTAGCATCTCTATCGGAGGAAATAGGACTGTTAATCTGGTCGACACCAAGGTTAACATTGGCCAAGGTCCCGTGGGAGGCAAAACAACGTCTAAACGTAGCCTCTGGGACTTTTGAGGGGAGATGCCGTTTGGAATCCTCCTAAAAGGATACAAGCACAAAGCAATCTCAGTCAATCTATCCATACCAAAAAAAGGTTCATACGGCGGCCAATACAGGGGTTGGCGAAAACCCCATTGTACAAACTTGGGACAAAACAGTAATATCAGTTGAAATTGGGTGGGGAGGTTATTTGTTGACAATGAGACGTAAGATGCAAAAGGGCAATACGATTGGGAAATCTTGTATAAGCATGTCATGGACTCTCTTTTATTTTTGAAACCTTTTTTTCCCTCTTCTTTTTTTTATCTCACTTTTTTCTTTCTTCTTTTTTCATGTGCATTTACATATGCAAAGAACGGGTGGTAAGGCGAGATTAGCGCGGGCGTTTTCATCAGAGGGCAGACTAGATTACCCGATATCAATATCACGGCGGTTCTACTACTGCTACGACTTCGGATGGAAAGCAGTCGGGCGAGCTTTGATGAATGTGTAGCTAGTCGTGAAATGTACATAGATGTCTAATACTGAAAGGGAATAACCAAAAAAACAACAACGAGGTTGTTTGCATGTTTACATGGGTAGTATATTATCTTTTACATGTTTTTTTATAATCCTTTTTTTTTTCTCTTTTCTTTTTTTTACATTCGGAAGACACCGAACTTGGTGTCTCCAGCCTTGACCTCATTGCGGCCACCCATGGCGGCTCTCAATCCGAGACCAAGATACTGGCGGGTGTGCTGGGGAGGGATGATGCCGTCGTCCTATTTAAGTCATGATTGGTTAGCTTCTGTATTTACATGTGAATATATATGATGACGACGACTTACCCAGAGACGAGCAGAGGAGTAGGTAGCCTCGCTCTCACGCTCAATGCGAGCCTTGAGCTCAGGATCGGCAGCCTTGCCAACCGTCTCCATGACGGAAGTCAGCTGTTCGCTACCCATGACACCGACGCGGGCATTGGGCCACATCCAGAGGAAGCGCGGGCTGTAGGCTCGGCCGCACATGCCGTAGTTGCCGGCGCCGTAGCTGCCGCCGACGACGACAGTGAACTTGGGCACGTCGGCACAGGCGACGGCGGTGACGAGCTTTGCGCCGTGCTTGGCGATGCCGTCACGCTCCGAGGCGGAACCGACCATGAAGCCCGAGATGTTCTGCAGGAAGACGAGGGGGATGCCGCGCTGGGCGCACAGCTCGATGAAGTGGGCGCCCTTGACCGAGGACGAGGCGAAGAGGATACCGTCGTTGGCGACGATGCCGACCTTTTGGCCGTAGATGGAGGCGAAGCCGGTGACGAGCGTAGTGCCAAAGTCACGCTTGAACTCGGCAAACTCAGAGCCGTCGACGATGCGGGCAATGATTTCGCGGATGGGCATGGGCTTGCGCAGGTTAGTTGTGGCAATGCCCATCAGCTCGTTGGGGTCGTAAAGCGGCTCGGCGTAGGTGGCCGCGGGAGGCTGCGTCGAGGCGGATCGGGCCGGCCAGTTGAGGTTGGAGATGCTGCGGCGAGCAAGGGTGATGGCGTGGGCATCGTCCACGGCCAGGTAATCGGTGACACCAGACACAGACGAGTGCATCTTACCACCGCCCAGGTCCTCGTGACTGACAACCTCACCCGTGGCGGCCTTTACTAGCGGCGGGCCGGCGAGGAAGATGTGGCCCTGCTCCTGGACGATGATGCTCTCGTCACTCATGGCGGGCACGTATGCGCCTCCGGCCGTGCAGGGGCCCATGACGACGGAGATCTGGGGGATGCCCTGGGAGGACATGCGGGCCTGGTTGTAGAAGATGCGACCAAAGTGGTTCTGGTCGGGGAAGACGTCGGCCTGGTGGGGGAGGTTGGCACCGCCGCTGTCGACGAGGTAGATGCAGCTGATGGAGGTGTTAGTTTGGGTAATTCAGTTCAATTCATGCAACACTCACGGCAGTTTGTTCTCCTGGGCCACGGCCTGGGCTCGCAGGTGCTTCTTGACGGTGATGGGATAGTAGGTGCCGCCCTTGACGGTGCTGTCGTTGGCCACGATAACGCAGGTGACGCCCTCGACAACGCCCACACCGGTGATGATGCCACCCGCAGGCACTTCGGCCTCTGGATACAGCTCGTGGCCGGCCATTGGCGACAGCTCCAGGAATGTGGTGCCGGGGTCGATGAGGGCAGCAACTCGGTCTCGCGGCAGCATCTTGTTGCGGGCAATGTGCTTGTCGCGGGCCTTCTGCGAGCCGCCCTTCTGGATGGTCGTCGTCAGCTCCTGCAGGCGCGCCGTGACCTCGGCCATCTGGCGCTCATTCTCCTTGAACTCCTCGGACGAGGCATCGACGTTTGTCTGCAGGCGCGAGATGGCAGCGGCCTGGTGAGGCGGCGTGAGCGTTGCGGCGCTGCGACGCAGCAGCTGTGATGACGGCGAAGCCTTAATTGAGGGACGCAGCGCGTGGGACAGGCGCAGGGCCTGGCGGCAGGGCCGTGAGAGCGACATGGCGATTTGGGCGATTGAAAGGAAGACTGAAGCAAGCAATTGAAACCCCAAGCAAGAAAAGAAAAAGAGCTGCTGCTGATGCCTTTGATGCTTTTCTCGTTTTCCCTTTTCTGCAGCCGAAGCCTGACCTCTACTGACGTCTTCGGCTGTTGCAGCGTCCCAAGCCGCCACAAGCCGCCTGAAGCCGGGGAAGCCCGAAGGACCGACAGGCCGTTGGCAGGCACAACGCAGCAACTGCTGGGGAAGGCACCTCGGCTTAGTAGCGCTTGCAGCTTTACGGCTCTTGCCCATGCAGCTCATCTTAGCTCATCACCATCCCTTTTCCATTTTCTTTTTCTTCCTTTTCGCTTATTACTTTCATACTGCCTTGTTCTTCTTCCATCTTCATCCTTTTGTCAATCTCCTCATCATCATCTCTCCCTCTCTTGGCCTGTCTACAGAAATCGTCAACTCAGCTCAGGCCAATTCGCTGTGACATCACCCGGCACAACCTCACAAAATTTCACACGCCTCTAACGCCGCTGCTAGCCAGCTCTCTCTTTTACTCTCTCTCTCTCTCTCATCCAACCATCACCATGGCCAGCCTCAGAACCTTCTCCAGACTCGCCCGCCCCGTGCGGCCATCCATCTCCCTCCGCCCAGCCGTCGTCTCCCCAGCCTCTTCAATCTCATGCCAGAAGCGACTGCACTCCCAGAAGCACCCCAAGGGCTTCACTCCGCCCTCACAAGAGGAGCTGGACGAGCTGCGCGAGCGTGTCCACGACTTCACCCGCCGCGAGATCCCCGAGGAGCTTGCCGCCAAGACCGACAAGTCCAATGCCTTCCCCATGGAAATGTGGGAGAAGATGGGTGAGGCGGGCTTCCTGGGAGTGACTGCTGATGAGGACTACGGCGGTCTGGGCATGGGCTACCAGGCTCACTGCATTGTGCTGGAGGAGATGTCGCGCGCCTCGGGCTCCATCGCCCTGAGCTACGCTGCTCACTCGCAGCTGTGCGTCAACCAGATCTCTCTCAATGGTTCTCCCGCGCAGAAGGAAAAGTACCTACCCGGCCTGATCGCCGGTACCAGCGTCGGCGCCCTGGCCATGTCTGAGTCCGGGTCCGGATCCGACGTGGTGAGCATGCGCACCTCGGCCAAGGCTGTTGACGGTGGCTATCTGCTCAACGGCACCAAGATGTGGATCACCAACGGCCCGGATGCCCACGTCATTGTCGTCTACGCAAAGACGGAGCCTGAGAAGGGCTCCAAGGGCATCACTGCCTTCCTGGTCGACACCAAGGCCAAGGGCTTCTCCTGCGCTCGCAAGCTCGACAAGATGGGCATGCGCGGCTCCAACACCGGCGAGCTCGTCTTTGAGGATGTCTTTGTCCCCACCGAGAACATCCTCGGCAAGGTCAACGGCGGTGTCCGCGTCCTCATGGAGGGTCTCGATCTTGAGCGCCTGGTCCTCAGTGCCGGACCTCTGGGTATCATGCAGGCCGCTCTCGACGTCGCCCTGCCCTTTTCCCACCAGCGCAAGCAGTTTGGCCAGCCCATTGCCCACAATCAGCTGATCCAGGGTCGTCTTGCCGACATGTACACCAAACTGCAGGCCTCGCGCGCCTACACATACAACACCGCCCGCATGGTCGATGAGCAGGGCATCATCCGCACCCAGGACTGTGCTGGCGCCATCCTCTACGCTGCCGAGAGGGCGACGGAGTGCACCCTTGACTGCATCCAGCTGCTGGGTGGTATGGGCTACACCGAGGAGATGCCCGCATCTCGACTGCTAAGAGAGTAAGTTTTCTTGTTTCAACTTTCATCGTTTGACTTTTTGCTAACCGGTCTGCTTTAGTGCTAAGCTGTACGAAATTGGAGCTGGTACCTCGGAGATCCGCAGAATGGTCATTGGACGTACCTTTAACAAGCAGTATGCCAATGCTTGAGTCCAGCTGAGCCAATGGTAAAAGAGAAATAAAATAAAAGACGAAAGAAAAAAAAGTTGAAAAATCTTTCAAGTGTTATTGGGATACACTAGAATGATACATGAGTGCATATTTTGCTACTTGTATAACAATGTTGATACAGCGACATTTCTGTATATAGTCGGATTTGATATCAATTCAAAAACACTTGTAAAAGTTCATGACCTGACTGATGATTCTGTTTCCCAAGATAACATTACTGCAAGACATCCTATCCCACCACTTCTTTCCATCTCGTCTACCCCGTAAACTACAAATACGCACTACTTACACCCACGGTCTCACTCGAAGAGGCTCTCAAATCGCGGCAGTCATGTTCATCCCTACACTCCAATCTTGGCCATCTTCATTAGACCTCTTGGCAAGCGTCTGGTCGCAATTATCGGTCCACGGGTCACAATCGGCAGGGCAGTCGAACTCCTTTGCCTGGATCCTGCCGTCGTCAAAATAGTTGCGGACAGCCTCCCAGGTGCACCGGCTCGGCCCGCCGCCCCATGTGGTGTGCCCCATAGATTGCTGGATCAGGAGGCCCGACTCGGGATGTCCCTTGGCCATGGCACGGGCGGAGCTGAGGGGCGTGACCGGGTCGAGGCGGTTGCTGAGGAACAGCAGCGGCGCGGCGGGCCTCGCGAAGTAGAGCGGCTCGGAACGGGGGGCGGGCGTCACAAAGGGGCTGCGGTACTCCCATTTGGAGCGGAACGGCCAGCTTGAGCAGGCAAAGCGGAAGGTTGCGAAGAAGGGACCGAAGAGTCTCGATATTTTCTCCTGCTTCTGGATGTGCTTGTTCCAAAAATCGATGTCGTGGTTACGAAGGTCGATGCTGTCGCTGCAGGCGACGGCCCATGTTCCCTCGGGCTTGAACTGCTGTGAGCCTATCTCACACATGTCTCCAACCTTTGCAACAGTCCCGTCGACCAGGCTTGCCATGAGAGTCAAGTTGCCCTTGATCATTCCCTCGTAGAGGGCCAAGGCGAGAGGCTGAAATTTCTTCACAGGATCGTGCAGTGCGTCGCCAGCAGCAACGAGAACATCGGACCCCCTAATGACCAAGGGGCTGCCGTTGGCCGAGGGCACTGCCACCGGGTAGCGGTTGAGGCCGTCGCGGCCAGTGATCCATTCCCAGAAGCGCTGTTGGGCTTCTTTGGGGGTTTTGTAGGACAAACGAAAGGGGCAATTGGTGACGGAGGCGTCGAAGCACCCCCGCCAGAATTCATCAAACATCTTGTCTGTATCCTTGAGAGCGGTGCTTCCATCTCCATTATAATAGTCTTTAGCATCAACCACACCGTCGAGGACCATGCGTCCAACGCGGCCCGGGAACATGGATGCAAAAGTGTTGCCTAAGGCGGTGCCGTATGAGAAGCCAAGATACTGAATCCGCGGCACGGGGTTGTTTTTGTCTTCTGGGCCACGCATTGAATGAAGCTCCTTCTTGGAATTTCCTTGAACTTGTTCGCCATCTTTCGCGTTTTCTCCTTGGGATTCTGCTAATCGCCGATACTTTTGTGAGCGCCTCTTACCCAGTCTCTGGCCAGCCTCGCTCTTCCTCAGCTCGTCAATTTTGTCTATCATCTCCACCATGTCGCGGGCTACGCTTGGAGTGCCGACGTATTCCAAAGTCTTATTCAGCTGTTCGTCAGCCTTACAGCGGTTGGAATAGAATTTCATGAGGCCTAGTCCATAGGAGATGGCGGTGTTACCAGAGGTGAGCGAACCTTTGCCCCGGTCTTCAAGGATCCAAGCATTGCGAGCAAAGTCATTGGAGCGGAAACAATCACTGACTGGGGCTGTGTTTCCAACACCGCGGGGATCAAAGGACAAAATCTCATAGTACCGAATGCCGGGCTTGTCAGTGAGCTTCTGCTGGACGGACCTGGCTGCCCCCTTTACGGCTGTATTAACACCAGAAACCCCGGGGCCGCCAGGGTTGAAGATGACGGTGCCACCAAAGGTCGGGTCGTCATCTGGCACAGCAGCAGGCAGCTTCACTATGGCGATGGCGACGGTGCGTTCGTCTTCGAGGTTTAACCAGTCAAGGGGGACAAGCAGGCGAGCGCACTTGAAGCCGTCGTAGCAGTTGTGATACTCGAGCTGCTTGCTTGGGACGATAGAGCCCCAGTCAAATACTTTGGGGGATGAATATGTAGCATTTGAAAGACTAGCAGAGACCAAAGAGGCTACTGGGAGCAGCGATGGCAGCAACATGGTTGTTGGAGTATGATGGTGATGGGGGTCAATTAGTGGTATTCAGAAGCAGCTGACTGCCGGTGTTTTCAAATGCGATGAGCAGAAGTCTAATAGCACCTTGAGCTAGAAGAGAGGATCAGGCATTTATATGAATAACCGGATCCAGAACTCTCCTGACGAGTATAAAGCTGGAGCCAAATGCGAGGCTGAAGCTTCCATCTGGCTGGCCACGCAAATCTCTCCACCGGGCATTTTCACTTTGGCACTCTGGCTAGACGTTATCTGCGGCGACATGGCGTAGAACGTAGATGCTCTTGTTCGGGGCTGAAATGTGGGAAAGGTTAAGATGAGGCTGGTGATATGGGGAGGGCATAGAAGTATAACAGCAGAGCCTGAGGTACTAAAAGAGACTGGAAGGTACGAGGGAATCTGATGGGACGTACCTTTTGGAGACACCACATAGACGGAAAGAACTAGGTACAACAGCTGAGGTACATCACCGGTGTGGGTGGCAGCGCTCCAACAAATTACTTTATTTTTTCTTGTAACTTTTGATTTGCCCTTTTCAGCTACAAGGCTGACCATTAAACAAGCTTTGGTACCTTTACACAGATTACGCGTATAGATAGCATGAAGCCGATTTATGATTTATTCGAATTAGGAAATGCAGAAGAGAGAAACAGGACAGTGCACTAGACTTGGCAACCACTGATTGATTACATGATCACCGTTTCCTTTACTCACTTGTTACTGACTCACTCATACTCATTCACATCAAAACACCACACAAACAGCATCACCGCCATGCCTCCCACCATCGTCCTCATCCGCCACGCCCAGGCCCTCCACAACGAAACCCATAAGTCCCCTCCTCTATAAACCCCTTCAACTACAAATAAATAAAAAAAAATAACAATCCCTTCCACAGAACTACTCCATCCCCGACCCCCGTCTCACCGACCTCGGCATCCAGCAATGCGGCCAGCTCCGCCACAACCTCTTCCAGCGCTTCTCGTCCTTCCAGGGCCGCATCGCCGTCGTTGCGAGCCCCATGACGCGCACGCTGCAGACGGCCAGTTTGGCGGCCGATTGGCTTGTTGAGCGCGGTATCAAGATTGAGGCGGACGCCGATTGGCAGGGTATGTGAATCCGACTTATACCGTATTCAACAACACTCTACTACCTACTCTATATTTACCAAATGTCCCCATCATTTACACCACTTCAAATCACCATACCACATTGTCAAGCTAAATCTCATAAAATCCCACAGAACTCTCAGCGAAGCCCTGCGACACAGGCACTCCCCTCTCCTACCTCCCCCTCATCAAAGACAACCAGACCAAACACCAATTCTCATCCCCCTGCTACGACTTCTCCGCCGTATCGCCTCTCTGGCCGGACAAGACCACGTCTCCCGCCGCTAGAGATCTCTTCGGCTACACCCGCTCTGCAGTTCTGCGCCGCGGCCGCCGCGCTCTCGAGAAGCTGAGCAAGAGACCAGAGGACCTGATCTTTGTGTTTTCGCACTCGGCGTTTTTGAGGTCGGGGGTCTCGGGGTGGTGGTATTACAATGCGGATTACCGCATCTTTACGTTTGATGAGCAACTAGGGCTGAAGATTGATGAGTCGACGCTGGAAGGGGGCATGGGATGGTCGTGGAATAAGAGGGCTGAGCTGGGCAGTGAGGTTCCGGAGGATGTGGAAGAAGTAGTTGAGAATGGTCACAAGAATTGAGCCATTCTGATTAAGATGGCTTTGCATAGACTAGTGATTTTTCTCAGTGTCAAAGGGCTACACATGTGCATAGTAAGTAGATGATTGAATAGACGTTATTTACACATGTATATACATACACACATCGATGTAGGTACTCTATAATACAATCCAGATTAAGCCTCTTCTGGCCGACTCTATTTTGACAAGAAACTTTGGAACGCCGACTGGTCAATCACCACGTTGCCCACCGCTCTAAGCCTCTTTCTACCCTCTTTCTGCTTCTCCAGCAGTTTTCTCCGTCTGGTGATGTCGCTCGCGTGTAGCTTTGCAAGGACGTCTTTCCGGAAGGGTTTGATGGTTTCTCGGGCAATGACTTTGTTGCCCACAACAGCTTGGATCACGACCTCTGGAAATTAAATTAAAGTTAGCATAAGAGTGGTAATAAGGAATGGGAGATAAAAGTTAGGACTCTTGGAAACTAACCAAACATTTGCCGATCGACATGCTCCTTGAACTTGGTGACCCATTGGCGGCCTAGACGATCAACCTGTGTCGAATGTACCACCCGGCAAATGGCATCGACGGGCTGTCGATTAACAAGCAACTGAAGCTTGACCAGCTTGCTTTGGCGCCAACCTGCGTCCTCGTAATCGAGAGTCGCATAACCTTTTCTACACGAGGGCATTAGGTTTAGTCTAGCAGATTCAATATCAAAGGCAACGACGTAGTGGGAAACTTACGACACGCCCTTTAGCTTTCCAAACAAATCGTCGACTAGCTGTGAGGCGGGAACGTCGTACGACAGAATAACCTGGTCGGTATGGAAAAACTCGAGGCTCTTTTGCTCTCCGCGGTTGCCCTCGCAAAGCTCAATGACTCGGCCGAGGTACTCTTCAGGAACCGTGATTGTCGCTTTGACATAGCTACCAAGGTGAATAAGTTAGCCATCACTCTCTATGCGTGTTACTTTGTAAGGCTTACGGCTCATATAATGTGGCAGCTCTAATCCGGTGATCGCTCGAATCGGGAAACAAAGCTGGATTCTGCACAATCTCCTCTGACTCGTCGGCATACACAATCTTGGTAGGCACAGTAGGCTCCGTGATGATGATGCTCTTGCCGTGCTCCTGTCTCAGACGATCCTGAAACACTGAGCAATGAAGGCTGCCCAGGAATCCAAGACGCCATCCCGACCCAAGAGCCTCGGAAAAGTCCTTTTGCAGCGTCACGCTACGATCGTTGAGCACAAGCTGATTGATGCTATCGGCGAGACGGGTGTAGTCACTCTGGTCGGTAGGAAACGCCGCAACAAACACCATGGGTTTGGGCTCCTCGAAGCCAGGACACGGCTCGACAGCGTCTTCATCTCCGACCGTAGTGAAGGTGTCGCCTAGCTTGGCGTCTTGAATACGTTTCATGCCCGGATTGAAGTACACATAACCGACTTGGCCCGCACGAAGAACCGACTGCGGCGTTGCATTGGGGTACTGGATGCCGACCTGGCCAACCGTGTACTTCATGCCTGTGCCCAGCGACACGACATTGTCTCCAGTCTTGATAGTTCCGTCGAATAGCCTCACCAGAAGGACTACGCCCTTGAAAGTGTCGTACCAAGAATCAACCAGGAGCATCTTCAACGGCTTGTTCTCATCACCAACAGGGTGCGGAATCCCCTCCACCACCGCCGGCAGAAGAGCACCCACGCCCTTGCCCGTCTTTGCGCTCACCAGCACAGCCTTTTTGGGATCCAATTCGAAGCTCGTCTCCATCTGGTCCAGCACACGGGGCACATCGGCCGACGGCATGTCGATCTTGTTGATGACGGGAACCAGCGCCAGATCCTGCGCAAAGGCTAGGTGAAAGTTGGACACGGTCTGCGCCTGGATACCCTGGCTGGCGTCGATCAGGAGTAGCGCACCGCCGCAGCTGGCATACGAACGTGTGACTTCGGCACGGAAATCGACGTGGCCCGGCGTGTCGACGAGATGGAGGAGGTAATCGGCGCCGTTGTGCTTGTATATCATGGTGCACGTCTGCGCCTTGACGGTGATGCCTCGCTCGCGTTCGACATCAAGTTTGTCCTGTAGATATGCCACTGCTCAGTGCCATGGCCTTGGATATGAAGGATGCGTGAATCTGTTGGTTGGACCTACGAGAATCTGCTTGTTCGCATCGCTGGCCGAGATGGTGCCTGTCAGCTCCAGCAGCCGGTCGCTCAGCGTGCTCTTGCCATGGTCAATGTGCGCAACGATGCAAAAGTTTCTGTACCGCTCAATGGGAATTGCAGCAATCCGCGCCTCGAGCTGCGCAGGCGTTGGCTTTGCCTGCGAGGCGAAGCTGCGGTACGGACCTCGAAACAGCGACCATCTAGAGGTGTTGATAGAGGCGTTGAAGCCATGACTGCTGGAATTCCGCAGCCATTCTCGAGTCCAGGCTCGTCCGGCTCTCCCAGCCAGGCTCATCTGGGCATCCACGAAGCTTGCATTGGGCGACTCTGCGATGTCGCTGGTTGCATTGCCGGAGGAAACCAGAAGCTAAACAAAAACTGTGCTCGAGGTGGGCGGATTATTTCCGCACTTGTGAGACCACTGCCCCTCCTTGGTAACTTACCTACCTACAGTATAATACTACTAGGTAGCATCACGATTTACAACTCGATTGCTGTACCAAGAGCTCTTGAAATCGCTTCTCTTTTGTTCGCTCAGGTATGTATGCGCACTCTATCTCGCTCTTTCTTCTATCGCAACAAAGTCCTGCAAATATAATATATACACAGACATGCGTATATCGTCAATGGCTGAATCATCGAAAGCAGCCGCCTCCTCTTCTTCCTGTAACAAGATTCTCTAACACGACATTCATCTACTACATGTCTGCTGAATGTCCCATATAAACGTGCCGTTGCTGGTTCTGTTTCTGTTTCTAATCGTTCCGTCATCATGAACATTATTCCAAGTTTGAGATTAATTATTCCGCCTCTTGATCATTAGGTATCATATTGTATAAAACACAGACAGCAATTCTCTCACATCTCCTCCCCTCTTCACGTCAGAACCCATTCGCTTCCTCTCTTGATGAATTTATCCAGTAAAAGACCGAGGTCCGTCAGGACAAACCGACAGACGTAGAAGCCGAAAAACTCGGCTGCGTGCCGTGTGCAAAGCTCCAAGCCAACTTGGGTCTTGTCCGCATGCCGTAGACCGGGGTCGTCAACCTGCCTTGCGATTTGATCTATGTCCTTTCCGTTAGCACGTTGTAATCATACCGGATAGATTATCTACATGTCACTTACCAACTGCTTGCGCAGCATCAAATAAGCGTGCAAGCGAGCCCATATAATTGGCATTGGGGCCGATGAACTGCGCTTGGCTCACATCTCGCTTGGCTGGGCGACTTGCCGGTTTTGGTGTCATGGGAATAGTCGGTAGTGTCGTCACCTCCTTGACTTCGGCACTGGCACTCCGGTTGCTGTATGATCCTCCCAACCCAACACCCGACGTCTTTGGTCGAAGCCTTCGCCATGAGAAGGCAGAGGCCTTGCCAGACACGCTGCCTGATCGCGGCACATTTGATCCTCCATCACCGTCCATAGAGGCATCCTTGAAGAGAAGGCCGGAGCCCTGGACGCCTACTTCGCTTCCAAGCTTTCGGGTCAGAGTTGATTGTATTTGCTCCAAAACACCCTCGAGGGACTGCATTTCTTCCAACACAGCATCTGCATCTAGAGTGTCAACTTTGGCTAGCTTTAGGAGTGCTGCGGTAAGAAAGTCGCAGTTTGCAATCTTGTCTTCTACATTCTTAATCTTGACTCCCTTCACTCGCCAGACATCTCGCGGCACGAATAGCTTTGTGCTGACGTATCCTCCCTTGGGGTGCACAAGAGTTTGGTAAAGGCATCGCATCAACCAAAAGGGCCGCAACATGAAGTCGTTTGGACAAGGTTCCAGGGGCAAGGGGACGTCTACTGAAACAATTGGACTTTGGGGGCCGGGAGTGGCCGATACGTGGAAGTTGTCCTCAAAAAGATGAAGGCCTGCACCACCCGCCATCTCCATGTTCTCTTTGAACGACGTGATTAGAGGTGTCGGTAGCGCAGGCACAGCAGGTGCCTTGCCAAAGGGATTGTTCATGGGGGTACCAGGAGACACGTCGGAGTTGTCGTCAAGATGCGATACTGACATATTTCTGCTCTTCATGCTTCTCAAACTGGAAGAGGAAAAGTTCTTCCGTAGTCTGTGGATGGAAGGCGAGGCGTTGGGCGCATCTTCTCCTTCCAGCAGCTTCTTCTTGGCGCCCGGCGATCCAGGAGCCTTTGATTCGGATGCATAGCTTTCTGTCGGTATCGGCGGCCTGGCGGGTTGAGAGCTGTCTGTTCGGGCCAGCGCCTCTGTAGGCGGCTCCTGAGTGCTTGGGGATATTTCGTCATCGTCGTAAATAGGCCTGGGGGCCTGTCCGAGATTTGCGGTTTCAATCTTGAGCTGCTTTGGATTCTGTCCAGAGAGTCGACGACTCCGCACTCCGCGCGATGGAGAGCCCGAACCTGCTGATGGTAATTCTGGCAATGCCGAAGTTGGAGGTGGTGCTGCAGGCGCACTGGTGGTGTTAGGAATGGGTGGCCTCTGCGACAAGGCAGAGAAGGATCGGACGCCTGAGATGAAATCCGCCTGTGTCTCATCTTCGTTCCAAGCTTCCTGTTGCTTAGCCGACACTGTTGCGACAGGTGGCTGCTCCATTGTAAAGTCTTCAATGGCAAAGTCGCGTGTAATCTCCTCCAATAGTCTTTCTTCCTCTTCAGATGAATCGTCCTCGTAGAATCCGTCCGGCGTATACTTGTCCTCCTCCTGCAGCTGCTGTAAATTCTGCTGCTGTGCTTGTCGGAGATTCGCCAGCTCATCATAGGCTTCCTGTTCCGTCTGTCTCACTCTTTCGCGTGCTTTTTCCACTTTTTGCAGTACACTTGCCATGGCATCCTCGCTGGTATCTATAGTTTCATAGTCTTCGGGGTCCATGGGCTCAAAGCCGTCGTCGTAGGCAGCTTCGATGGCAGCGTCCAGCGCCGTGTCAAACTCGGCTTCGGTGTTTCCACTGGCAGCTCTAATATGGCGTCGACGGTAGCCAAGCGACGACGTACGTGAATGTACAGAAGACACCGTGGAGGCTCCCGATTCATCGATTGGATCCAACCATGAGCTCTGGGCCCCGTCTAAAATCTCCTGATCGTACGGAGATAGAACAGAATCGCTAGGCTGTCTTTGGTGGCCGTGATGCTGTGTATGCTGCTGGTACTGATAAGGTTCGTGCGGCGGCAGCTCTGCAAACATATCATCGCTACTCGTCTTGGCTGGCGTCTGCGAGCGAGGCGATAGAGGGGGCACCGCATACTGGGCCTCCTGGTTCTGTGCGCGAAGGTCCTCAGTAGAGCGCAGACGCCTAGGCGCCCGAGAAAACGACGATTGCAACAGCCCCGGTTCTAAATTACGAGCGGGCTGCAGTCTATCCATTGTTGTATAACCGGTAGTTTGCTGCCATTGGTGTGCCGGTGGCCCTGAAATGGGAGAGCTGTCTCCCCCAATGTAGCTTACAATTCGTGCCGTCTCGATCCTGGGAGCCTCCTCCATCATCTCGTAGTCCTGATGCATGTATATGGACGCGCTGTAATCTTCACTTTCTGGCCGCGCGGGTAGAGCCTTGACAGTCTCATCCTGCCAAGGGCCCATTTGGTCCAGTTCATCGATGCGGCTGGTGTATGTTTGGCGCTGTACGTTCCATGTTAGCCAAATATGGCGTGACTCTCTTCCTTGTGATTCAAGACTTACAATAGCTTCAAGTTTCCGCTTATCCTCGTCCCCCGCTGTTCGGTCAAGCACCTGCTGCAACAAGTCACATGCCTCAGAGTAGGCCTCTCGAGCGCCTTCGAAATTCTGAGCATTGTCAAGCTGCACTGCCGTGTTGGCCTTTTGCAGCGCGCGAGAAAGCATTGCCTTTTGGGAGGGATTTTTTTGGGCGCGGGGCTTGCCCAGATCTCTGCTGCTCTTCCCTGAGTGGTCCCTAGAGTGGCCCCGAGGAGCGTATGGATCGTGGCTCTGCTCGTGCGGCATTCTGGCGGTAGACGACGTCGTCGTGGCGGGATTTGCGTATGGGTTGGGCGACATGGAGCGTAGGTGGTTGCTCTCGTAATGCCTCATGGACATGCTCGACTCTGTCCTCATTGAATACGCCAGTGTGGGAGTTTCGCTGCGCCCTGACGCGGCGAAGTGGCTTCGATCGGTTCGTTGCGGGTGATGCGGCAGCGCCTCAACGGCAGCAGGAGCAGACGAACCGTGAAAAGCACCAACTACAGCCTCGATACTGGCGCGGCGGGTATAAGACGAGTTGGAGAGAGTATGAGAATGCGAATGGGAGCCAGACGCCTGGCGAGAGGCATAAGGGGACGTGCGACTCGAGGAAGACGAAACGGACGAGGTCGACCAGCGGTTTCGGGAGCGAGAGCCTTGCTGCGGCGATGCTCCGGTGGTGGCGCCCCTGCTTGGATGCGACGACGGAGTTGACGGCCGCTTGAGACTGACGGGGGGGTGCACGGTGTCGCGATGCGTTTGCTGGAGTGGATTGCCGCTATTGTTGCCAATACTAGCAGGAGAAATGGTATGAGTAGTGGTATGAGTAGCACGGATGGCGGCGGTAGTGGTAGTGGGCGACGGCAACACGTGCGACGGCTGGATCAGCGACGAGCTTCGCGGCAGGCGGACGGACGAGAAGACGGAGCGCGGGACTGGCGTGATGCTGTCAAGGCCTGGAGCCTCTCGTGAGGGTGGGTTAAGATTAGGATTATGCGATATTGATATTGGAGGTGGTGGAGGCGGCGGCGGCGGCGACGACGGTGGTCTAGAGAGATTTGGTCGGCTGGCTGCGTCTACCTGGCCGGTGATGATGCTGTCGCCAAAGGGATGCGATTGCTGCATGCTCAGCGAGTTGCTGGACTGGTGCGGGCTCCCGTCTCAGCCAATAGTCGCCTCTTCCGGCCAATCTTACTCGTACAACGTGGGTCGGGCTTGGATTGGATATGGAGATGGATATCGCGCGTGTTTGGCAGACGGCCATGACCACAGAACAGAACAACACAAAACCGAAGCGTCTCTTGGCTCTTTATCCGCTGCGAGGCGAGGCTGATGACAGTCGCCAGATCTCGGGAGGATGCCAGAGAAGGAGAGCTCGTAGATCTGCTCCCACGACGGCTTGTCCTATCCAGAAGTCGCTCCACGGGGACGAGAAAATCGGGGATTTGGACGTTCCCTGTGCTGTGGATCGTGGGGAGGCCAGTTTGGGAGTTGCGGCAAGGCAGGTCAGTGGTTGCTGCATATGCTGCTATGTACCGGTACCTTGGCGATGATCAGGGCCCGGCGAACCGCCCACTGATCACTTGTGGTTGGGCGCTCACCGCCGTACGGGAGACGGAGTACCCGTCTTCTGGTGCCTGTCTGGTGCCTGGCCGCCTGTAATACAGCACTACTGCACTAATACCTACCGCACTGCTGTGTTCGTGCAAAAACTGTATCGTGCGACTACTGCACGAGTATTGATTGTGCTCCCTTGCTAGTGGTATTACCGCTGTCAGGTCCGCCGCCGCCGTGGCTGCCATGCCAGGCCTGGAAACCCCCTGGATGGCGGATGGTGCCAGTTCGCTTGAAGCTGCATCAGATGGCTATTTCTGCTAGTGCCAGAGGCTAGGCGGGCAATCAATCACGACAGGCCAGTGCCGCTACATGGAGCCCTTAAAACCGACCCCTAACCCATCACGTCTCGTCCCCTTTTTCGACCCCTGGCTGCTGGGCGGGTACTAGTACTTATCCGTTCCAAGTAGGAAATGCCAGGCTCTCACGCTCCCAATTGGTCAATGCGACCTTGACTTTGTTTGGCAGGCCCTGGCCCAGCCCTGTTTCGGCCTAGCACCCCGTTAGTGCAGTAATGGCCCCCTTTACAGGATGAATCCCCAGTAGAGCCCTATCGATTCGAGGAATTGCCGTAATTGAAGGACAGGGGCCGCGATAAAGGCGAGCTGAGCTATGCCTTGTATGAGCTTACTTGCATAGCAGCGACACGACTTTTTGGCTGCCGGACGAAAACACGAAAGACGTTGCTTGAATCAGAATGGCGAACGTTGATGATCTTTTCAAGGTATGAAATGAAATCGCAGGAATTGCCGGTACGCTCCAAGGACCAATTGAACAGGTATGCTAACCGCCGCCCCAGGCATCTGGCTCCATCGGAAAGCGGAAACTCGACCAGCCCATTCGTGATCCCAGTAAGTTTGATATACTCGTACATTAAAAGTTGTGAGCTAGCTTTGAAAATGATGCTAACGAGTGGTGATTCCTGCACCAGATGAAATCTACAAGGCGACCAAGCTGACCGACAGAAGCTCCAATCGCCATGCCCAGGTCGAAGATGATGTAGAGAACCCCGCCGATGACGACGATTTCGGGCCCGAGTTGCCACCAGAAGACGACGAGGGCGACGACGAGGAAGGTCGCTTCTTTGGCGGCGGCATCACCAAACAAGAATCAGAAATCCTCGATTTCGTCGACAAGGCCGATGCGGGCGGTGATTTGGACAAGATCGACAGCGCCTGGCTCAGAAGAACGGCGCTCAACCTCGAAAAGCTCATCACCAAGAACTCGGAGCTGCGCTCCCGGTTCGAGGACCAGCCGCACAAGTTCATCGACAGCGAGGCCGATCTCGATGCCGAAATCAAGAACCTCTCGCTCTTGGCCGAATCCTCCGAGCTGTACGGGGAGTTTGTCAAGCTGGGAAGCGCGGGGAGCTTGGTCAGTCTGCTGACGCACGAGAATACGGACATTGCGATTGATGCGATTGAGATCATCGGCGAGCTCACGGACGACGATGTTGTCACGGAGACGGAGCAGTGGGACACTCTGGTTGGCGCGTTGATTGACAGCGACCTGTTGAGTCTGCTAGTCTCCAACCTGACCCGCTTCAACGAAGACGACGAGTCTGATCGCACAGGCGTATACCATTCTCTCAGCGTATTGGAGAATCTCAGCTCTCAGAAAGCCGTCGCCACCCGGATGTGCGAGGAGGAAGCCCTGATAAAATGGCTGCTGCAGCGCATTCAGCGCAGCGAATCATCCGTAACTCAGAACAAGCAGTACGCCGCCGAGGTGCTGGCCATCCTCGCCCAGGCAGCTCCCGAAAACCGGGAAAAGCTCGTCAGCTTGGATATTATCGATATCATGCTGCAGCTAGTTGCTCCGTACCGTCGACGAGATCCGGAAAAAGGTGGCCCGGAGGAGGAATTCGTGGAGAATCTATTCGAGAGTCTCACCTGTCTAGTCGATGCTCCCGCGGGGAGAGCCAAGTTCCTCGAGGCCGAGGGAACTGAGCTCTGTCTTATCTTGATCAAAGAGAGCAAGGCGGCAAAACACCCATCATTACGCTTGCTAGACCACGCGACGGGCGGCACAACCAGCGCTGAGATATGCCAACGAATTGTCGAGGCAGGAGGCTTGAAAACAACATTCACAATGTTTAACAAGAGCCACGACCAGCGCCTCATTGGGCCCTTGCTCTCTATATTCGCTTCCATGCTACGCTTTCTACCAGCCGATTCCCCAGAACGCATACGCTTGCTAGCAAAGTTCGTCGAGAAGGAATACGAGAAGACTGCCAAGCTAGTGAAGCTACATAGAGATTATACCACGCGCATAAAAGCCGCCGAAGAGGAGCATCGGCAGGAACCGGCGCGCTCTGGCGATGCAGAGGAGGACCGCGAGATACAGCTGCTCTCTCGGAAAATGGACGCCGGCTTGTTCAACCTCCAGCTCGTCGACGTCATTTTGGCGTGGCTCGTCGCCGAGGATGGGGGCGCAAACCAGAAGATTAAGCGGCTGTTGGCAGAAACAGACGATGACTTTAAGTCGATCCAGAAGACGCTCAAGGAGCAATTGGACGAGTTGGATACCACCGAGGAAGACAGCAAGGATATGGGCGAGATGCTGAGCACTCTGATAGATTTCCTCAACTAATTAAATCAAGTCTGGTTTGGGGTAGCCAGCAAACTGAGGGAAAACGGACAAGTTAAATAATGAGCAAATGTAATTTTTTTTGGGTTTCAAGTATAAATTAATGTGCAAACCTGGTCGAACAAATAGTCTCGACAAGTATCTTATGTTCCAGCAATTCCCCTCCAATCGCTTGTATCGAATGTCAATCGCGCCCAGCCATCTCAGTATACGCCCCCATCACCATTAACTGCCATTCATCGGAACCTCAGCTCACGCAGCCACGGGCTTCACCTCGAACACGGCATCCAGGAGGTTCTTGACAACGGTAGCCTGGTTCTTCTTGCCCGCCTCCTTGATCACCTCAATCTGCTTCTCGGCCTCCTTGTTCGCCTCCTGCTCGGCGGCCTCGTTGCCCTTGCTATGCTGCAGCGATGCGTTAGCGGTCGTAGGGGGGGGAGTAAGAAAGTAGCTGCGGGTTCTGTCGTACCTCGGCCTCGAATTTCTTGAACTCGTCCTCCTTGCTGGCCTTGTATTCGGCGATTTCCTTCTTGGCTTCGTCACGGGCTTCCTTGACGCGCTTGGTGCGGACTGCAGAGCGTTCGGTGTCAGATTTCAGCATTGCTTTGTTTCGGATTTGTGTGTTTGGATATATCGATGCGGGATTACTCACATTCTCGAGCTGCACAGACGCGACCGCCAGTTAGTTTCTTTGTCTCTTTATAGCAAGCAAGCAAGCAAGCAAGCAAGGCTGGGTGTCCAACATACCCCTCTGTACAATCTTGGATGCCTCCCTCTCAGCCTAGAGAAACACAATCAGCACCTCGAAGCAACGCAACCGCTGCATCGCCATCCATCGAGAGAGCAGCCAAAGGGTGCGCAGTGCATCCGCATCGTCGTCAACGTACATCGAGGAGAGTCTGGATACCGGCCGAGTTCTGTGCAGACTGTCCCATTTCCCGCCGTCAGCTATTCCGAAGCTAATGCTAATGCTCACGCAGCGTTTGCGCGCACTCACCATTGTTGCAAAGTGTAGATTGAAAGGACTCGCTCAAATTAGAAGAAAGAAGAAACCGGGCAAAGGGGGGGAGATGCAATTCCGTCGAGGGTTTTTGAGAAAAGCGCAGAGGTGGTATGTCGCAACTAAGGTTGGTTGATGGTAGTTGGCGCAGCTCCGATGCAATGCAGGCAGAGGATAGAGGCATCGATCTTAGGTAATGCCCGCTGTCGTCACAGCTCGGCGTGGCTCGGCGTTAGAAGTGTGTTCCTAAAGTAGCTTTTCGCAGCTTGGCTAACAGCTAGAGACTAATATTACGTTGTTGGGCTGTTAGTGAATGCAGCCGGGGGTACTTTGCCTCTAGCTAAATCGACGATCTGACCACTCACGACGCAGCTCTAAATTCTTCATTCTCATCCTCATGCTATTATATCGTATACATATAATTCATCACCCACGCTCATACATTCAGCCACTCAACCCCTGGTTACTTCTTTGGGCCTCTTAAGTGAAAGAAATACCATCAAATCTTCGAGACAACTTCTTCTCTCTGCTAATTCATCCCCCAAACAAAAGCAATTCCCTACATAAAAACTCAACTACCGCCTCTCATATAAATCATCATGTCTTCCGCATCGAAAATCTCCCTCGCCGCAACATCCTTCTTCGCCGCCGGCGTCATTGTATTCGTCCACTTCCAGCAAAAAGCTGAACAAGCCGTACGCCTCTCCTCTCTTGTCCCTCTCCTCACTACTGCCTCGACCCCTTGGATTACCGCCCTGCTAACACAGCGACAAAGGCGATGCATGCGGGCGTTGTCCGTGACATGGAGCAGCAGCGAATCAAACGAGAGCGTCAACTGGACTTTGACATGCAGCGCGCTTTGGAGGAGGAGTACAAGCGTGAGCAAAGCGTTCACAGCTCACTAGAACCTCTGAACAAAGCCCCTGCCCCTTCGAGGTAACAACAGCAGACATTTGACATCTTGCAATCACTACCTACGACACAATACGAGCAAAGATAGACGTGCTTCTTTTTTTTATAACTTTCTTCATTGTATTATTCTTTCTACATGTACAATCATACTCTCCGCTCAGCATTCATCTCGCTGGCGCAGCAATGGGAGCGAGACGTCCCGTATCCATTTTTGTCATAGAGCAATTTCCACCCTCTTCCGTTCTCCAAGAAACAAAGCATAAAGCAAAAAAGGGAGTCCCGCAAAACATTTTTTTGTGAATCTTGCGGCAATAATAATATGCAGCTTGTATAAGCCAATGCTCTCCAAGATTTTACCTGACAGACGCGCCAGACCGGTTTGTGAACATGCGGGCTGCAATATTCATGGATTGGAGCTCCTGGAACAAGAGCTTAGCAGCATAAGGGATGTGAATCTGCGCAATCTTGGTCTTGTTCTTGCATGGTCGACACTCGAACGATTGTTTAGATAGGTTGCTAGAGACATATATTAGCATCATGACAGGCAGACAAAGAGTAAAAGGAAAGACAAAACGTACGCAATGGGCGTCATGAGTCCACAAATCTCGCAAATGTGAACTCGGAAGGCGTCAGACACCTCGAACAATCGCTCCTTGAGGAAGGATGCAGCACCGTGAGCAATCATACAATCACGCTCCATTTCTCCGAATCGAAGACCACCATCTCTAGCACGACCCTCCACGGGCTGTCTGGTCATGATCTGCACGGGACCACGGGCACGGGCGTGAATCTTGTCGTCCACCATGTGACGGAGTCGCTGGTAGTATGTCGGTCCGAAGAACACCTGGGCTCTCAGCTTGCGGCCCGTATGGCCATTGTACATGATCTCAAAGCCTCGTGACTGGTAGCCATGCTTTCGCAACAGTTCCGAGACCGAGTCGACCGTGACATCCGTAAAGGGAGTAGCATCACCCTCCATACCCTCCAGCGTAGAGACCTTACTTAGGAGACACTCAATCAAGTGAGCGATTGTCATACGGGATGGAATGGCGTGAGGGTTGATGATAATATCTGGAGTCACACCTTCTCTTGTGAAGGGCATGTCCTCCTGTCGGTAAGTAACACCAATAGTGCCCTTCTGACCGTGACGAGAGGCGAACTTGTCTCCAATCTGGGGAATCTTGGTCGTTCGGACACGGACCTTGACGTATTTGACATTGTCCGCGTTCACTGTCACAATGACCGAGTCGACGATGCCGTTCTCGGTACTACGCAGAGGGGTTGAGATATCTCGTCTCTGGTGCATAGTCGTCCGGGTACCGAGATCTTGTGTCTCGGCATCAATCGGCGCCGTCTTGCCAATAATGATATCCTCACCAGATACTCGGACACCAGGGGCGACGATACCGTCTTCATCCAGCTTGTCATATGTTCCGTGCTTCATGCGGAGGGTGTTTTGGTGGAACGGCTTCTCAAACACTTCAGTGTAGTTCAAGCCAACCTTTTTCTCCTGGTCCGAGTACGATCGGAAGAAGAGACTTCGGAAGAGACCTCTGTCAATACTGCTCTGGTTCATAATGACGGAATCTTCCTGGTTGTAGCCAGAGTAACAGGCAATGGCTACAATAGCGTTTTGTCCAGCGGGCAACTCGCGGAATTTCAAAAACTCCATGGATCGAGTGGTACCCAGCGGCTTCTGGGGGTAGTACAGGATATTGGCCATGGTGTCCATGCGCCGGGAATAGTTCGTGAGGAAGAAACCCATAGCTTGCTTGCCCATGGCAGATTGGTAAGTGTTACGGGGGGACTGTGCACGCCATTAGCAATTGCTTTGAGAGCAAAATCGGAAGGGTTGACGACATACCTGGTTATGATCGGGGAAAGGAATGATACTAGCACAGATGCCCAAGATCATGCTTGGGTGAATCTCGCAATGTGTGTACATGTGGGTTGTTGGGTTGGTCTTCGTCTTTAGTCGCTTGTTCGGATCATCTCCCATGTCTTCATCGGTAGAGATACCGGCTTTCTGAAGACGATACAGCTCGAGATCCTCTGGTGTCATGCAAATCATCGACGTCTCCTCTTCTTCGGCGTCGAGATATTCAACCGCACCAGCCCTGATTAGTCCCTCCCATCCAATCTTCATGCTCGGGTCTTCCGGAGGTTCAGCTTGCTCCTTAGCCAATCTGTTGACGAGCTCCTTAGTTAATACCAGGTGGCCCTTGTTGATGCCTGTTTCAGGGTCATCCTCCTGCTGAACGGTAAATACAGGTCGCATGACACGGCCTGCATCGGAAAAGATTTTGAATTCCTGGTCTCGAATCTCTCTCACGAGAGAGACTTCATACTGCAGATAGGATTTGCGACGAGTGTCTAGAACCTGGTTCACCAGATGCTTAGGGTCTTGGTGAACTCCAACCCAGACACCGTTCACGAAAATCTTGGTAGCATGAGGATATCGCAGCGGCTCGTACTCTTCGACGACTTCCATACCTCTGTTGATCATGAACTCAATCAGTGGTTCGGAGGGAGAACCGACACTGACGTAGCACATCAGAGACAAGTTTTTGACCAGACCACAAGCCTGTCCTTCGGGTGTCTCGGCTGGACACACCAAACCCCAATGCGTGTTGTGAAGCTGTCGAGGCTTCGCCAGCTTACCATCTCTTCCAATGGGGGTGTTGGTACGACGCAAATGTGATAGGGTCGAAGCAAACGTGTAACGGTTAAGCACCTGAGACACACCGGCAGTTGAGCTCATGGCCTTCTTCTGATCACCCCAGTTTCCAGTGGCAAGCGAATACTTCAATCCGTTTGAAAGTGTGCCGGGCTTGATACCAACGGCAAGGTTGAAGTGTCGGTTGCCCTCGACGCAACGTCTCAGATAGTTGGCCAATTCGGTGTTCATCCTTCGCATGATACCACGGAACAATTTAGCCAACAGGGGACCAGCCAGATCCAGACGCTTCTTTCCAAAGTGGTCACGATCGTCAGGCTCTCTTCTTCCGAGCGCGCATTGCAGCAGCTTGTGTACCATGTATCCCAGGAAGAATGCCTTTCTGGTTTCACTGCCTTCCGTCTGGGAAATGTGAGGAAGCGTCTCCTTCTGAAGGATATCCTTGGCCACGCGAACACGCTTCTCACGACCGAGACCAGCCTGGTCTCGGTTTCCTCGCTTTCCGATGAAATCGAGAGCAACCTCTCGGTCCTGGACACAGAAAGCCTCCTCAATGCAAGGTCGAAGCATCTCCAGCATCTGGCTGTCGTTGCGGTCGTAGCAAATGTGGTTCAGGATATCTTCATCAGAAACGACACCCAGGGCACGGAAGACAATGGCGACGGGGAGATCTGACTTGACAAAGGGGAGGGTGGTGTGGATAGTCTGGCCAAAGCCACCACGAGCAGAGTCTCCCTTTCCGTACAGCTTGAGCATCATGCTGGAGATGAGCCGTGAGCCCTTTTCCAAAGCACTTCGGATTTCAGCCGTGTACGTATAGGCACTGGGCTGGGCCTTTTTGAAAACTTGAACGATATTGGCAGCGGATCTCTCTTGGGCGATGAGAACCTTCTCACTGCCGTTGATAACAAAGTAGCCACCCTGATCGTAGGGACATTCGTTGACAAGGAACAGGCTATCGTCCTGTTCACGGCTCAGATGACAAATCTTGGATTTGACCATGATGGGCAACTTGCCAACAAAGACCATGTCCTTCCAATCATCAGACTTGCCAACATTGTCATCCTCGCCGTTTTCCTCCTCTTCCCACTCAAGCTTTGTAGGGTGTTCGCCGGTCCTTGCATATTCCTCCTGTTGAGCATCGTCCATCTCATGGAGGGGAACCTCCCTCTCGACGGCGGCCGACACTTTTTTGGTGATCTTGATGTAGAGCGGACTGGCATACGTCAAGTTGCGGTCTCGGCACTCGTAAGGGAGCAGAGAAGTCACAGTTCCGTCCGTTTCACTGATAGTGGGACGTGACACCATGACGCTTCCAAACTTGATCTCATATCGACGAAGGGCTATTGTTCGGCCGGGTGGCGAAGGAGGGTTTGGCTGGTCGAGTGTGATGGTGGAGTATTCGTTTACCAGATCCTGGATCGTCGTCTGCGTGAACTCGTCGAAGGAGTCAGTCTGCTGCGAAACAAGGCCCTTGGTTTCGAAGAAGGAGGAGATGACGGTCCAGCAATCCTCGGGCGTGATTCCTTCATCCTCGTCCCCGTAGTTCTCGTAGTCGTAGTCGTCCTCGTAGTCGGCCATGGCGGCGGTACGAGATGGAATTAAGATTGATAAGTAGTAGAATTCGGTCTATTCAAGTCCTCCTCTGGGCCAATGTCCCAGCTCAGCTCAGCTCAAAGCAACTCTCGTGGGTGCAGCCTCGTCCTCGCGCCGTGGAGGGACCGCTCGATCCAGGAAGCTCTAGACGAATCAGCAGCGATGCTAATGCCTGTCACCAAACGAGCATCTGCGAGCGATCCCGGCAAAAAGAGTCCCCTTCACACTCAAAGAGCTCCTACGGGACTAGCGGTTGCGCACGATGAAAGTTGATGGGGGAGAGCAACGACTTTTTTTTTCGTCGTGATGATTTTCCAAGGCAAAAGGGATCCCGCCAGATGCTGCGGCGCGCGACGTGCTTAGTGAAGCCTTGGGCCAGTGCCGACTAGGACTAGCGCCCCGGTAAAACAATGGAGACTTTGTAATCACATCGCGGTTACATAAGCATGATTTACTTTCAAGAAGTTGAACTCAAATACCTTATGCATCTAGGAGAGGTGAAGTATATCTAAGTACCTGGTATAGAAATGAAGAGATGAAGAATTACAGTTTCGATCGTCTTCAATTACACTTCCGGCAGGTTATTTTTAGTGTATTTCTATTCTACGAGTTCATCAGCCTCCACTTTGCCGCAAAGTATCTGCTAATGAATCAATCCAACCGTGAAGCAATGATATCATTTCCATGGGCCGCATATTGTATTGTAAATCATTTATTAAAGTCGCTGTTGCAGCTATATTATCCCCTTATACTGCTATGAAGAACACCTCTCTATATCCTAACCGGCATTATGTCAAAAGTGTTTCGACCATACCGCCATTATCCAGCTCAGGCATATTGCTATCAAAGCACCCTCAGGGTTCCGTGTGTACTATAAGCCCCATTCCCTGTGCAATTTTGCGGGCTAGAGCTTTCTTCAGATACCATTCTCTCGCTAGAGATCGCGTCATCTTCGCAAACGCAGCGGGGGATATGCGGCCCCTCTCAACAGCACGCCCAAGCATAAAGATGGCGTCGCCTAGTGCTCTTTCTTCTGCCACTACCCTGTACAGTTGATTCGATACTACCGTCGGGGCTACTAATAATTCATCGATATCTGGGACCACGTGGCTCCTCGATCCTTCAATCACAGCATCTGCCTTGCGCAGAGCATCATGAAGAATATTTGTGTTGGAAGTGATGATACTAGAAAACTGTGTAAGCTGACCCATCTCAGCTTGTATGGCGGACATTGCAGATAGCATGGCAGCTTGCTGGGCCTCTAATCCGGCCATGCTGGACTCATTCTGCTGTCGACTGCGTTGCCGGATAGACGCTAGAGTCTGGGCGAGCTGCCTGAGAAGGGCATCTTTTTCGGGGTTCGGAGGAATAGGGGGGGCCTCGATGGCGCGTGACGATATTTCCAAATTGAGTGCGTCATCAAGAAGGTTCGGAGGGGGTGGTGATTTCTGATGGATAGGTTGAGGCTGAAGCTGGTGCTGCTGAGGGGGAATTCTATCCCATGCCTGCTGCTGCGGCTGCTGCTGCGGCGGCGGTTGCCATTGTCTCTGTGGCGGTAATTGCCCCTGTGCGTCGAAATGACCATTGTATCCTGGGCTTGGTCCTAATGGTTGGAATTGGGGTAAAGGTTGCGGATGACCCTGGGGGGGAGAGTGAGGGGGGGCGGGTCCTTGAGCGTTGGCATACTGAGGTAGAGGTTGAGCTTGAGGTTGATATGGTGGTCTAGACGTTTGGGGTTGAGGCGGCAAGGGAGGAGCCGATTCATATCTAGAAGGCATTCCGGAGCTGGGAGGGCTGGGGGAAGCGAGATGGGGGTGAGGTGGAATCGGCGGGGGGGAGCGAACATCCTGACGAGGAGCTTCTTGGTGAGGAGCTTCTTGGTGAGGTTTAGGAGGTGGAGGTGGTGGGCGAGATTCCGCTTGAATAGGAACAGGGTGAGCAGGCGAAGACGTCGAGGCAGGAGGCCTTTCTGGGGGATGAGGTGTAATCGGAGGCGGCTCCTGGGCGGGAGGCGGGCTCTGGGCTGTTGGTCGAGGCTGCTGGCGCGAGATGACCGGCGGCTCCTTTGCAAAGACGTCGCTCAAGACGGAAAGAAAGTCGTTTAAGCTTGATTTCTGCGCGGCAAAATCAGACATGTTTCTTTGAATTATGCGGACATGTGACTTACATCCCAAAAGTCGCCCCAGCCAGCCAGATACGGGTGATAGACCTGGCCCTGGGGATCGACATGCTGGCCCGGGCGAACCATCATCGTCTCCGTTGGCGTCACATACACCAGCGGTGCCTCGCGAGGATATGCATGTGGCACCCATATTGAAATGGGAAACCTGTACGTGGTGCCGCGGAAGAGGACTGGGATTGTGCCCGTCAAGTGCACCAGGAGGGCACTTGCGCCATTGGGGAAGGCTGTGAGTCGGCTTGTCAGTTCCGGGGCGCGAATAGAAGTAGAGGCAATCGAAGGGTGGTAATCGTACTGTGCACATCGGTTCGTGGAGCGAGCGTTGGGTATCGTGCGAGGACGGTGGCGACATCGTTGTAGGTGCGATTCACATCGTGATATTCCTGTTGGGTGGTGATGGTCAGATGCGGGGTGTTTCTGGTGCTTGACACGGCACAATATTGGGGGAGCCTCTATTGAGAAAAGAGATGGAGGCAACAAAAGACAATACAGGCACATACACTTGTCAAGACGCTATACAGCCAGTTGAGCACATGCTGTTGGACAGGCATCGTGGTGACGATGCTGGAGAGGCATGCAGTGGACAAGAGGCTGAGTTGGAGCTACATTCGCTGGATCCACGGATGACGACTTTGGAGCTCCGAGCTTTGGGTGGCACACGGACCCCACAGGGCAGGTTCCAGCGCCTTGTGGGGGCCTAAAGCCCTGTAGGCCGCCGCGCTTGATTCGCTAGAGAGGCTGCAGGATTTCCATTCATCATCAATACATCCATGGAATCCATCCATTTGAATCTCTCATTCGGTAGCATTATTGGGATAGAGTACATACCTTACACACTCTTAAAGGTATATGAGTCCGTAAATAAATGCATAGGTCACAACATCAAAATCATAATGGAAGTATTTTAAACCATATACAGGTACTCATCCAAGAGCGGCTCTAAGCCATTAATATGTGCGTCCATATATCTACTTGTGTGTATATTGGAGCCTCCCTCACTTGGGGACAACATGCGAATAATCTAATACCACCACCATAAACTCAAATTCATTAAAAAAAACATCAAAGGTATCATATTTATACATCAACTCATCAAATACATTAATCAGTCGCTCAACGCAAAACAGCGCTCGCTGCTGTCCGCATTGTTTCCCCACCAGTTGGGCATCTCAATAATCTTACCCGCGCCAAAGCACAAGAAGATGAGCAGCATGTTGAAGTTGAAACCAGCATCAAAAGCTGCTGCCAGAATGTAGTTCCATCGCGCCCACAGGTCGTAGCGGTATCGGTAAGCCAAAAACATGACGACGAAGCCTCCAATGAAGCTCGATGTGTAGCCCGTGCTGATGTTGCCGTAGAAGATGGACATGGCCGAGAAGAAGATGGTGGTGTTCCACAGCTGGAACTTGGCTCGCGGGAACATCTTGTGCAGGAAGAAGATGATGATGAGGCACACGGCGCCAACCAGGAAGCCATAGGGAACAGGCTTGTAAATATCCTGCTTGAAGAGACGGCTGGGGCCAACAAGCACGTACTGAACGCCAGACGTGAGGGACGAGGCCAGAGCCTGACCAGTCCATTGGTGAGTGGGATCTTCTTTGGCGCCAGACAAGTAGTCCCTCTTGGTGTCGATGACCCATCGAATGACGGCGTAGTCAATGGGGATACCGATGGCTGAGCCAAAGACTTGCGAGAAGAAGACAGCCTTGGGAGGAACATGCATGTAGTGGCCAATCTTCATGTCCTGGAGGTTGAGCTGCGCACGATACCAGGCATCTCCTGCGATGGCGCCGTAAGTGGAAGCGCCGCAGGGGTTCTTGAATCCAGACACGGCGTTGACCATGACACCGTACAAGAGTTCGTTGGTTGTTCCGATGGGCTAAAAGAGTTATTAGCACAACATTGAAATTGGGATTGACAGGGGTATTCTTACAAGTTGAAAGTTGGACAGGGCATACAGCCAGCCCAACGGCACGACAACAAGAGCTCCTGTCGCAATGGCCACAAAGTAGGTCCACACGGGAATAAACAGCAAGTTCTTGCCAACCATGGCAATGAGCATGACAAACGAGACCAAAAACAGGGCGGCAAACCACCAGAATGGAATTTCATCATAGGGGCGCTGCAAGATGTTGATCTGATCTTTGTACTGCTCCGTAATCTTGCCCGAGTCCTTCTTTGTTGAGCGCTCCTTGAGCTTCCTGAAACTCTCCTTGATCTGGGGCCAGCCAAAGAGTAGCATCCAGACGAGGGCTGAAGAATATGAAGCGTAGTCGAAGAACATGCTCCACAAGCTTTGGGGGCCGACAAATAGTTCTCCGTATTGTGCATAAGCGGTCTCGTTCAGCTTGGCATCTGCAGTCAGGAGATCGGTCAAAGGGTATCTCGTTCCGTTTTCTGTAGATATGAGTTAGTTTCATCTCGATAAACCTAATAACAACAAGAATTGAAAATCAAGTACGTACCCAAGAAGACACGGTTAGACATCAGCTGATGATTCCACTTTCCAAGGTTACCAAACTTGGAAGCAGGAATCAAGATCCAGCAGTTAACCACAAAGGCGGCAAAGAGGACAACCTGGGTCCACCAAGGAGTTAAGAAGAGACTACCGTTGGTTGAAATACTAGACCAGTCAAACGACAAGTTCAAGAATCCCATGCCACCGAAGCCGGCACCGACAAAGTTGGCCGTCTTGTTATGCGGCGCAACCCAGCAGAGGAACGCAAGAGAGCCCAAAAATGGGAAGACGAACTCGGGCAGGAACTGCCACAAGATGACGCCGCCCATGACGGCAAAGAAGATGACCATCTGCTTCCGAGAGGCACGGCTTGGGTTCTCACGCTGCTTCTTCTGGGTCTCGAAGAGAGCAGTCTGGCAGAGAGACTGGAACCAGGGGTACTGAGGATCGTAGATCAGGAACTGGCGAGCCAGTGCCGCGTATGAGTAGCCTGTCCAGGTGATGGCCAACATGAAGAAGGTGGCCACGGCACCATTGACGGGCTGGTTGAAGTAGAGTTCGGACATGGAGATGGGGGTGTAGCCCAGGTTGTAAGTGGCACCAGATGCTGCAGAAATGGTGACCAGAACGTGTTCTTTGGTGCTGAAGGGACCCGGGTTCAGACTGAAGCCCCATTTGGTGCCAGGGATTCCAACCCACCAGGCCGGAAGGACCTTGGCCAGCCATACGCCGACGTAGTTGGAGGCAATCTGGACGAAGAAGACGGAGTAGGGGGCATATGTTGTTCGGTAGTGGGCCATCTGTGACAAGAAGGCACCAGGGGCGACGAAAAGGATGGTCAAGAGGAAGTATCGAAAGGTCAAAGTCGGTTCTGTAGGATCATTGGTGAAGCTGACGATGCGCCTCACATAGGGTGGGATATCCTTGATTCTGGTGTCATTTTCGTCGACAACCTCCTCCTCACCATTCTCATTGGTGAGGGTGTACAGAGTTTTGCCACCGGTGAGGTCCTCTTTCGACTCGACATCGAGATTGGCACCAGCCTTTTCATCGACGCCGAGGACTTCGGCCTGTTCCTTTCGGTTCAGGGTCTCCTCGGTGATGATGGGACCGGCCGAGACTAGTTCATCCGTCTTCTCCAGCTGAGCGGACGCCATTGTGAAAAGCCCTGGCAAGCAGCCGAAGGTCTACAAGAAGAGACTCTGCGGAATAGGGGAGAGAGTTGCACTTGATGAGAGCATCTATTGAAAAAAGAGAGCGCAAGCAAGGGGCTATTTAACAAAACTTGGGGGATGGAGAAATGCTACGTAAAAGAAACTCCCCAACTACATCCATTCCATCGCGGGGCCCAACAAGTACTTCGTAGCTTCATTTTGTCTCAGCAGTATGATGTATGTAGCATCAAGGATTTGACAGTGGCAAGCTGCGGCCAAGCTTGCGGCACAAGACATCCGAGAAGTGGAGGGCCAGGGTAGCACGCAATGGCAGGGTACCATCACGATGCTGTTGGCGATACATGTGTTTGATCAAAGGCGCGTGAAGTGATCCATTCGCTGGTGCTGCTCATAGGATGTACCGATACAGAGTGATACATGACAATTACATGATTATCCACGGTTCAAGCTCATTGTTAAGGTGTAAAAACTAGGGCTCTTCGTATCAAGACATTGTGGGACGTTGGAGTTCGGCCTAAAAGCGGGATTGCCATCGAGTGCCACATCTTGAAAAGCTTGACCACTGCCGGCTGGGCATAGAGTGGACAAAATAAACGAGACGGTGGTTGTGATTATGCTCGGGAAAGACTGTTAATCTGGATCGTTTTGCTACAAATGTTTGCCTTCACGTACGACCTCTCCCCTATGAGCTATATATGTTTATGCCCAAGACTCCTTCTTACAGAATATCCTCTCTTTCAATGAGCATCTACATATATAAGTATGATTCAAGGTCACTGGCTCACTTATTTTTGTCCACAACACTAGTTGCCACCATTCGGCCGAAAAGAGCAAGCGGCTAATAAGGATCTTTTGCATCTGGATTGGCTTTACGGCAATTAAAGGTTGGCCGAAGCGTCATGGCCCAAGTAAGCCAAAAATGAAGCCTCAATGTTCCGGTTTGGTGAAGCAAGTGAAGCATGCTCGGGGAAATTTTAACAAGAAGCGTCGGCAAGAAAAAGATGACAAGAGCAAGGGTGATGGTGTCATCGCGAGCTAGGCTTGAACAGGGCAAACCCACGTGGGAATGGACCCGAGACTCTAGCTACGTTATTCAGATGCTTAAAATTTTGTTTAAGAAAGACGATGAACTGGTGTCAGATTCTACTTCCAGATGGGGAGTTCCGTAAAGCGTGTTCTACATGATTGGTATCAATCAATTCGGCACGGTGAGTGCTATTAATACATGTAAGCTGTTTCAACTTTGCACTTCTAAATGTTGCTGCGAGTTGCTGTAAGCATTCCAGAGCGGCTCACTTACAACTTGTCTCCATATATGGAGCTTCAACGTTGGGTCTTGTGGGGAGCAAACTCGGTTTAGAGTCCTCATCACCGCACTATTACTACAAGGAACTTTTTTTTTCTCTTTTGCCTTCTCATCACTTACTGGCACGCCTTTCATCATGTCAGACGATTCGCCTAACATCGGGTATAAGTACCGGTTCTTTTCATCCTTTCGAGCTTCAACACGAGATCCAGACCCATTCTGTATTACCAATAGCTGTGAAATCTGTGCCGTGTCATCCCAACAGGGCGGGCATCGGCGGATGCTCCAGTCTTGAAGTCCAAACTTCAATATTATTTGTAATTGGATTCAAAATCATGTATCCTTCTTCTATTCAAGTATGCTGTCATTGGCTACTCTGTAACTCCTCGGATATGCCTGTTCCGCTGGAGTAATATTTCGTTGGACAGCCTCACATGCATCTATTAGCATTGATACGGAGTATGCTGCTGCATCAACATCAGCTGAACGCTCGCTCCCTCTACCCGTACGCCGGCCCATTATTAGTGCTACTCTAGATCTGGCTGGAGAAAAAAATGCATATGCACGACCCGATATCTTGGTGTCACGCTTGAGCTAGGCACATGCAGGGAAGGTCGACGGGGCCAGTTTCTCTACACCGAATGCTATCATAGACTTGTTCGGTGAGGATGGAGTACTTAATTCATTAGCCCAATGGCATTTTGGCAAATGATGGCCAGCGCCCAAGGGGGTAAGTCTGGAGGGACGAGATTTATCGGTCGACGAGTTGTCTCGAGATTTCTCGCAATAGCAAAAATTTGTTTCTTGGTGGCTGATGAATTTGACTGCCATATAATTTATGGCCAGTTTCTCGTGGCAGAGAAGCGTTATACAGCTACCTAAGCTTAGGACTAGGAGATTTTATGTCGCGAAATATTATCATAACTTTTCACGCATCTTTGTCATCAAATTCAACATTAGAGAAATCACGCACGAGCAATGTGGAAGATGATTGTATTATTTGATCTGTCCCCATTTGTAACAATCGATTCCCTTATTTGTATCTGAATAGCCCTTGAACCATAGCACACGCGAGTGCTTCATAACTGTAACCAAAACTAATCAGCAAGAGTAAGAGCGACAGCTATCTGCGATATATTCACCTTAATTCCAAAGGGCGATGTGTGGAGGGTGAGCGATGAAGCCGAAGGAAATGCTGGACCCGTAGTTGAATCTCGTTCCACCATTAGGAATATACAAAACCAGGAGATATATAAAGTAGGAGTCATCCTGAAACGAAATGTAAGTATCGCAGACTTGCCACCGGACAGGAGGAGATTCATCGTCTTCCATAAGATCTTCAATATATACTGAGACATCACATCCCTGGTTCGCCAACGCAGACATTTCAATCCCCAGATTGAGTATAATCCATCGATGATGCCAATTTTGTGCATTTATTCGTGCACAAACTATGAGATGGGGCTCCTCATATTGACCACCGTGATCGATGCGGCGGGTTCTAGGTTCGACGGGAAGCTCGCGGTGGCTCGACGTGGTTCGATGTATTGGACGTCCACGTTCTGCCATTTGAAGACTGTTGGTTTTGAGGTGTATCTGGTTCAATTTTAAATCGCAATAATAGGGATGCTGGGCTTAAATAAGAAAACGACTGATAGTTTCTGCACTAAAACTATATCATGAAGGTTTGTATAAGACTTTCATGGATTTTTCTTTCATAAAGTATATCTCAGCCAAATGTAGCTTCCGAATCACGGCGGTGGTGCTTTACCGATGTTACTTTTCGGTTTATTCCGAGGCGTCGTTACTGTTACAACTAGAAGATTATTGTTGAGCTTATCTATATTAAGTTGCAAAGGCAATAACGCACCAAGTTCTGCTATAGTGTTATTATGATATGCAAACGATGGCTAGGATCGGATAGTCCAGTGTATAATGCCCGCGGAGTCGCGGCCACTCGCTTCATGGTGCGCATCCCTGCGTGTTGATGAGAGGTATCCGGTTATACTTCTGCAGAGACATCTTGCTATTAGGTCACATGTAGTAGACTGGTCCATGCTTACCAGTCATTACAAGATAGTTTTCAAGGCAAGGCAATAATTGAGGTCGGTCTTGAATTCACAAATATGTTAAGTTATACTCTCGGTCATACCATATAGATTGTAGACAAGAACTGAAGATCAACTTTTAGAATACTAGGGACTGGCTATCTCTATCCTAGCGCCTTTTTACAATACATGGGTCACTAATATATCAAGTCATAGGCTGCCATATTTGCTCAAGTTGCCATAACAGCTTTATCTCTGCCGGATCTCAGCAGCATCAGCTGGACTTCAAAAGGCTGCTTTACTTTCAGCTTGGTTACTGCAGTTATGTCTGTCTACTGTGCCAGCAATCAATATCAGGTCACGGGACGCTGTTTCACACGCTACGACATTCTTGAGTGGATTATCGGGCTAGACAATTCTGAGAAGAAACTTCTATTAATTTCGGCAGTACTCCTCATTTCAGCACCCAGCAACCTTCTCTCTGCATCAGTTTATTCATTTCTAATTGGCCTTGTCATATACTTTGGATATGTCTGGACTGAAGACTTGGACAAATCACTTGGAGACTTAGGAAACAGGGCTATTTTTATCACATATATTACCGCTTTCTCGACGTGCTTAGCCATATACCTACTCTCCAACATTGTTCAAGGAGGGAGCAGTTTCATTTACATACCATCGGCCATGCGCTACCCCTTTAATAGAAATGGCTCCCGTCATCAAGGAAACATCTATCACAATGAGCCCAATGGAGGAGAAAACACCGCATCTACGCAGCACGGCCTACGAGAAAATGACACGAGGTTTCATCATGCTAACAGAGAGGGTGCATTTGAGATGAGGCGGTCACGACTCGTGGAGGTCCGCGCATGTTTTCAAGAAGCTGTACAAGTCCACCATGAAATAACAAGACTTAATGGACGCATCGCGGAGCTGCTGGCAAATTTTGAGGATGTCGAAATCAGGAATGAAATCTCAGGCAATCAAGTTGCTAGGGTTAGTGCTCTATCTTCTTTGCAGGCCGTGTAAGGATGGGGGCTATTGGCGAGGAAATTTTGGGCCAAAATGCCTAAGCATAGTATAACTACATAGGCGGACACGAAATCGGCCTCAATTGAGTAGGTTTACAGTCAGGCATTTATACGGGACTTAAAGTTGCCTAATATTTCAGTAAAGCCTAGTTCGTGCTGTCAAGTTTGATCAAGAGTAAAACAGTTACAGATATCGATTCTGAAGGGACTACCATTCAAGATACAGGTATTATTCCCTCACTTAGCACCTGCAGATTTTATGTATTTCGCCCCGCGCGCCGGGGTAGCTATGAAGAAAGGCTTTCAGGGATTATACAGCCTAGATGAGGCTCAGGCATGCGAGTTTACATCATTTATGCCTAAGACCAATTATCAAGGCTGTACCAGCTTGGTGCCTTAAACCCCCGCATCTTGCCTCAACAAGGCGCCGCTCTCAAACATCAGACTCAAGTGCCAACGTGGATATCACACTGCTACTTGATCCTTACCAGCGAATACCAAAAATAATCGTCATTAAACGCATTCACCTCATCCTCTACTCTCTTGAGACTAGTGTTGCCCAGTAAAGCCCGCCGAGAACTTCAAAATGAGCGCCAAAACGAGATCCCATGCCGACTACAACGTTGGATGGGTCTGTACGTTGCCCCAAGAGCAAACTGCAGCCATAGCCATGCTGGACGAGAGGCATGAAGATCTAACTAAGGCGCCAACTGACACCAACGCCTACACGCTCGGCTCAATTGGCCATCATAACATCGTCATTTCTTGTTTGCCCAAGGGCCACACCGGTCTGAATTCGGCAGCCACCGTGGCCATTCAAATGATTCAAACATTTCCATCTATTAGAATCGGTCTCTTGGTCGGCATCGGGGGAGGAATCCCACCAAAAGTGCGACTAGGCGATGTGGTTGTAAGCACACCAGTTGGTCAATTTCCTGGAGTTGTTCAGTGGGATATTGGCAAATCGACGGAAAGGGGCTTTGAAAGGACTGGATCGTTAAACAATCCACCCAACTTTTTATTGTCTGAGCTGGGCAAACTAGAATCGAACCACGAGCTAGCAGACCCAAAGGTTTCCGTCTTTCTCGAGCAATTTGGGAAGGCATATCCACAGGCCGCGAAGAAATACCTCAAATCTACCTCCCTTGAAGATTTATTATTCAAGTCTAGCTATTTACATGTTCACAAGAAACTTGCCGAAGATGATGATGTGGACGACTATGGTGACGATGGATCGGAAGATAGCGAAGCGGGGCCGGTCTGTGCTGCATGTGATAAATCTCAGATCGTTAAAAGAAAAGTTCGGACAAAGATCATGCGCATTCATTACGGCCTCATTGCTTCCAGTAATACAACAATCGATAATGCTGAGTTTCGGGATAGTCTTAACAAAGAGCTTGGTGGCAAAGTCCTTTGTGTTGAGACAGAGGCTGCGGGACTTATGAACAGTTTCCCGTGCCTTGTCATACGAGGCATCTGTGACTATGCGGACTCACACAAGAACAAGACTTGGCAGAAACACGCGGCTGCAGTGGCAGCAGCATATACGAAGGAGCTCTTGGGCTGTGTTCAGCCAAGTGATGTTGAAAGAGAGCGGCCAATAAGAGATATACTGAACGATGGTGAGTAATACCAATTATATTATAGCATGGGCTAATCATAATTCTAAATTTGTTGTTCTCTTAGTTAAAGAAGAACTGAGCCATATGAAGCAGGATATCAAGGCCGGTTTTAGGGACACGAAGGAAGGCCTCGACAACCTTATTGATGGTATATGAGATCAATAGTTTTGCGATCATCGTAGGCACCATGCTTACTGTTTCAATAGTTCAGAAAGTTCGAGAACAAAACGAAGCCCTGTCATGGTTGAGCTCTGCTGAGTCTGCTTCTACACATTACGACTACATTACGAAGTGCGAACTTGGAACAGGCCAATCCCTTTTAGTTTCTAGAGAATTCCAGCAATGGATAAGGATTCCACAAACGACTCTATTCTGTTCTGGCATTCCAGGCGCCGGGAAGACTTTCCAGACGGCTATCCTAATAGACCATTTAATCAATAGATTTCGGAATGACAACATGATTGGCCTTGCTTTCTTTTATTGCAGGTTCGACGGTCAAGATGCCCAGAAACCACAGCAACTCATTTCAAATCTCATCAAGCAGCTAGGTCAAAATCATGAACCTTCGCGTGAAAAGATAAGAAATTTTTATGAAGACTATAAGAAGAGAGGCAACCGGCCGTTGATTATAGATCTTACCAATTTGCTTCACGCAATAATACCGTTATTTTCGAGAGTTTACATTCTAATTGACGCTCTAGACGAGTGTGACGACAATGATTTTAGCCGCACAAGATTGCTCGATAACTTATTTGCCGCACAAAGGTCTGGACTTAATATTTACGCTACGTCGCGAAAATTCAGTGTTATTGAGCAGAGATTTCAAAGAGCTTTAAAGTGGCAAATTCGTCCCAGCAAAAATGACATTTTTTTGTTTCTCGATCAGCGCTTGGCACAACTGCAGGGAAGCATCCCCTTAAAAGATGAAATAAAAGATGAGATCAAGCAATCCATATATTCTTCCATTGAAGGGATGTCAGTACCTTTCTATGATTGAGCTTTGACATTCATAAGCTTACCAGCCTAGGTTTCTCTTAGCTCCGTTGTACATCGACTCTCTTGTTGGCAAGAGATCCTTTGCAAAGGTTCGGGAGGCATTGGCTGGGTTAAAGAAATCCCCAAAAGAATCAAAAAATAGATCAGATGTTCTAAGTAAAGCCTACCATAAGGCAATGGAGCGAATACACCAACAGAAAGGCGACCTGCCTACAGACGCAATGGTCATCCTTGCATGGGTGGTAAAATCCAAGAAACCACTTCCAATCGACGCACTTCGATTAATACTCGCAATTAATATTGAAGCATCTGAAATAGATAAAAATGACCTCCCGACTGCCCAGCATATCACACGAGCTTGCGCTCCACTTGTTGTGATAGACAGCAACACTCAAACGGCTCGACTAGCCCATTACACCATTCAAGAATATTTTGAAGGTTCGAACAACATCTGGATGAGAAAATCTCAAGAAAAAATTGCAAGTATTTGCATGTCATACCTATCATTTTCAAAAATTCGATCTATTTTCGGTTCCCATTCCCATAATTTCACTTATGGAAACGGAGAAGGGTTCTTTCACACATACGCGACGGAATTCTGGGCGCATCATACGGCTAAAGCTTTAGCTGAAGGCCTGGAAGTCGAAAAAGTAGTGGGCTTCCTCGAGAACAGCACCAAATCGAATATGTGGTGTGATTCATTGATGCAAATCGATTTAGCGAAAAATAGCTTCTCCGCAAAGTCAGGCAACGATTTACTCCAAACTTCAGAGCAAGTGGTGGCATTGCACGTCGCAGCTTGCTTTGGGTTGCCAGATGTGGTGGCAGAGCTAGTTTCAAAAGGATATAATCCCGATACTAAGGATAGGCGTTCCAGGACACCTCTATGGTGGGCAGTGAATAACGAGCATGTGGAAGTGATTAAAATTTTACTTCAAAGAAACGTCGACATCGAAGCCAAAGACAGCTTACATTACAAAACGCCCCTAAAGCTGGCAGTACAGCGGGATTCGGCATACATTGTTGAATTGCTCCTAAATAATGGCGCTGACGTGGAGTCTGGAAACAGAGACGAACTACTAAACTTGATGAAGTCCTCAATTCCGAATGAGAATATATTCAAGGTACACTTTCGGGCGAAATGGACGCAAAGTTTTTCGATTTTCACATCTGAAAATGATCTCAGATGTCTGCCCCCATTAGCATTGGCGGTGACAAAAGGGTCCGACGTTATTTCAGCGTTACTTCTTACTCGAAAGGCGAAAATAGAGACAAAGCATGCATTTCATTCAGCAATATCAGCGCTACACATAGCCGTCGAGGGACGAAAGCGGATTATAACCGAACAATTGCTCACAAACGGCGCAAAAGTAAACATCCGAAATGACAAGGGTTCAACAGCGTTACATATTGCTGTAAAATCTAATCAACAGGACATAATCGAACTATTACTCGCAAACGGCGCAAAAGCAAACATCCAAAATAACGAGGGTTTAACAGCACTACATATTGCTGTAGAATCTAATCAACGGGACATAATTAAACTATTGCTGGCAAACGGCGCAGAAATAAATATCCAAAATAACAAGGGTTTAACAGCGCTATACATAGCCGTCGAGAAACGAGAGTGGACTATAACTAAACTATTACTTATAAACGGCGCAGAACCAAATATCCAAAGCAATGAGGATATAACAGCATTATTATATATTGCTGTAGAATCTAATCAACGGGAGATAGTCAAACTATTACTCCTAAAAGGTGCAAACTTAAAACAGCCGAGCACAGCTAAACAAATAGTCAAAACCGGTGCAGTCGCTAAGATCCACAAGGGATTGACTATATTGCATATAGCTGCAAGTTTTAATAGTCACGATACAGTTGAAGTATTGGTTACACATGGCGCCGACATAGGTGCTCGAGACCAACAGGGTTTCACGGCATTGCACATGGCTATAAGTCTTAATCATCATGAAGCAATTGAAGCATTGCTTACACATGGCGCCGATATCGAGATCGAAAATCAAGAAGGTTTCACACCATTGCACATGGCTATAATGCTTAATCATCGTGAGGCAATTGAAGCATTGCTTATACATGGCGCCGATATCGAGATTGAAAATCAAGAGGGTTTTACAGCATTGCAAATGGCCATAAGCTTTAATTACCTGAATGCAATTGAGGTATTGCTTACACATGGCGCAGACATGGGGGCTCGACATCAATACGGCTTGCCAGCATTACACGTGGCTGCAAAATTGGGTTATCATATCGCTGTTGAAATGTTGCTCTCAAATGGTGCAGATACAGAGATCCGAGACAAGGATGGCTGGAAAGCGCTACATATTGCTGCGAGGTTTGATAGGCCGATGGTAGCCAAAGTATTGCTCACACACAGCGCAGACAAAGAAACTGAGAACGGTCGTGGTGAAACACCACTGATGATAGCCATGAGATATGGGTCTCAGAAAACAGTTAATCTCCTTATTGTGGAAGGAGCTGATGTGGCAGCCCATGATGGAATTGGGAACTCGGTGCTATCATGGGCCATTGCCTCATCTCTTTGGCCAACAGTCGAGTTACTCATCGCAAAGGGCGTCACCATAGAACATGGAGCAGTAATTGCTGGCGGCCCGATGCTGCATTACGTGATAGAAAAGGAGGACAACGTACTACTGGATTGGCTTCTCAAATACAGCTTCAATATCAACTACCGTGATGAGAGTTCTCGCTTGACTCCTCTGCATAACGCTGTTGCGAAAGGGAACGCGGCTATTGTTTCTCGCTTGCTTGAGGTAGATGGAATTGATGCCGAGGCTAAAACCTCGGATAAGGATATTGACGCCTTGACAATGGCTCTACGCAGGAGGAATAAGGAAATTACACGGTTACTGATGGATTCTGGGAAAGTGAGCACTGCATTTGGAAGTGCAAAGTTTTTCGAATTCTTGAGGAAGAGTTACCATTAGGTCAGAAGTAGCCTCAATTCGCATAGTTATGATGCTTAGACTCTAATATCGTAAATATGTGTCTTTTCATAAGATCATGTAAGGCTAGAATCAGCCATTCTCGAGCCATACCTTGTGGTTGACCTTCAATGTTACTTTTGTTTACCAGCATGGGTTGGCATGTATACATAGTCTCTGATTGGCTAGACAACTAAGCCCACCTCTGGCAACTAGAGCAGGGGTCGGTTTTGGGAAATAGTCAACTCACGACCGTCAGCGTGGACAATCTCTCTCGCATTGGGCATTCCAGATGGAGCCTATGCTTGACGAATATATTATGGAAAACTTGTTGATGCTTGAACACGAAACCGATATGTTGAACGTCATAATAGATCGTCATGTTCCTGGTCACGTGCGAGTCTGAGCAAGTTTAAAGCACTGTGGAACCAAGTTGTGAAGCCACCTGAGAAAAGAGAAACCTTGGAGAAATGAGGCTGCTTCTCAGCACTGTATGTACGCTGCTCTTCTTTGGAATCCCCCCCTCATCCCCTCCGAACCTCCGTATATCCGTACATCCGTAGAAGCAAAGAAGAAACTTGGGCGCCCCGAGATATTCCATTTGTGGCGTCTGATGGCTTTTCCCGCCCGGACCATCGGATTCTAACGCCCAGTCCACGAGCAAATAGTCGAGCTAAGAAACTAAGACGACAAGACATTAATAATAGCCTATCCAATGGCCGTTTCGCCACAGAAAGGTTTAACCAAAATCGGCCCATTCTTTTCGTAGCCATGGGCCGATGTGTCATTTCTCTTCCGCATTTTCTCATCATCGCATCCTCGGAGACATTTCCCTCTTGGTTCTCGTTCTCGTCCTTCTTACATTATTTGACACATCCCCCGCGTTTCGCACGCAATAGACTGCGTCTTGTGACTCGTCATTGCTTTTTAGCATTACAAGTCCGAAGATTGTCTGATTTATCGCCGGCCGGCTTAGAAATTCCTGGCTTTTATCCCGCAGAACCGAGGGAAAATTAGGAGGCGTTGGTCCCTCCCCCACTACGCAGCTCGAAAAATATTTGTCAACCCGAACGATTGTTTCAGGACTCAAAACTACTCCTAGGCCATTTCGCTCTCAGCTTCTCCATCTTTGCTATTTGCCTCACTATCGGTTGCTTTGGCTCTTTGGTCTCCATCTAAGCGCAACTTTTCGACTCTGCCGGGTCTTGTCCTGTTCTGACGGAGCAAGAGAAGCTTAAAACATGCTTCCTCCAATTCCCGTCCTCGCCGATTACGGCATCTCACCCACTCATGGCTTTCTGCCCAGCACTCTCCCTCTTACCCGCCTCCCAGATCCCTACTATAACAAATGGGAGGCCATTGTGGCCAATCTACAGGCTCTGATCCTCAGTCGCCGTTTGCGCGGCGTCATCGACCGCCTTCCGGTGTTGTCGACCGTGGGCCTTGAGCACGATGCCGAGTGGCGTCGAGCGTATTCGCTGCTCTGCTTCATGGCCCACGGATACATCTGGGGTGGAGATTCTCCCGCGGATCGACTGCCGCCTCAAATCTCTATTCCGCTGCTAGATGTGTCGCGCCACTTGGAGGTTCCGCCCGTGGCAACTTATGCGGCCGTCTGTCTGTGGAACTTCAAGCCGCTGTTTATGGATGAAGACATTGACAACTTGGAGAACCTGGCCACGCTCTTTACGTTTACCGGAGCAATTGACGAATCATGGTTCTACCTCGTCTCGGTGGCCATCGAGGCTCGAGGCGCTCCCATCATGTCTCTCATGCTCACGGCCATTGCGGCCGCAAGACAAAACGACTCAGCTACCGTTACACGCTGTCTGCGGACTTTTGCTGAGCGGTTGACTGACTTGACAAACATTTTGCAGAGGATGCACGAGAGTTGTGATCCTGTAATCTTCTACAATCGCATCAGGCCCTTCCTTGCTGGAAGCAAGAACATGGCTGAAGCCGGCTTGCCATTTGGAGTCATTTACGACGATGGCACGGGTAACGACACATACAGACAGTACAGTGGAGGCAGCAACGCCCAGAGCAGTTTGATTCAGTTCTTCGACATTGCCTTGGGCATCCAGCACCGGCCTACAGGAGAAAAGAGCGATGCCTCGTCCGAGTCGGACAACCGTGGCCGCAGTGCAAAGCACAACTTCATCCAAGAGATGCGCAAATACATGCCAGGTCCCCATGCACAGTTCCTTGAGGACGTGTCTCGGGTGGCCAACATTCGCGAATACGTTCAAGAACACACCGAAGACACCCAGCTTTGCCTCGCCTACGATGCCTGTCTAGCTATGCTGAGCGCCTTCAGGGACAAGCACATTGGTATTGTCACTCGCTACGTCATCACTCCATCTCGTCAAGTCCGCGCTCGCAGCAGGTCTCGCAGCCCCGAAGTCGTTCGCCGACCTCTCAACCTTGCCATTGCCTCACGCAAGAGCGAAGGAAAGAGCCAAAAGGGCACCGGCGGCACGGCTCTGATTCCTTTCCTCAAGCAGGCGCGGGACGAGACAGGAGAGCCCGCTGTTGAAGAGTGGACGAAGCGGTTTATGAAGAGACAGATCAGAAAGGAGGGCAGTGGAGATTTTTTCTTAGGTAAGGAAGACGACGGCGCTCCATCGGAAACGGAAGATGTCGAAGTCAAGGGTCTTGCTGGGGTTTGGACAATGGAAGACGAAGTTGGTGGAATTTGCTCGTATTGATGTGTTGATGAGGACGCTTCTCGATGATGGTAGAAGCTATTCAACTCGCTTCTTCGATGGTATTGGGGTAAATGATCTGCTTGTTTTTCTTTGTTGTAAAATTTGGCGGGCGGCTGTTTTTGCTTTTGATTGGATCGGTTAGAGTACATGTACAGATGCATACATACTGGGTGGTTACGAATGATGGAATGAAGTTGATAACAGTTGAGCAACACATAGTGGTCATTGGATTTGGACTGTTTTACCAAGTTAATCGTGTATAGAGGATGGATAGCACATCTCGACTCAATAGACTGCCCTACAACACCTTTTTTTTTTTTCCTCTCACGTCTCTCTAGTAACACAGGCCGCTTCTCACCAGTGACTCTCGTCTGTCCTCAGCCGCAAAATGTGCCAATCCTGAACCCCTCCGAACAAGGGTCCAGCAAACATTCCCACAGGTTCTGGCCTCTCTCTCTCCTTTCATTTGACAGCGGCTCGGCGGTCCGACGCGACCGTGGAGGAGCCCGCGGAGGCGATCCGGGAGTGCCACAGCGTCAAGAGCAGGATTTTATTAATTTGGTGCCGTTTGCTGCTCTTGAGGGGGATTCGTTTGTTTGCAGACTATTGGTTCATGCAGCGGCATGTTCCCTTTGCTTGTATCACCTAGAGCGGCCTGCACAGACACATATTGAGACGAGGCAGAATGGCGAAGAGAGTGAGATGATGCGGTCTAGTACTATACGGGTATCAACATGTGTGAGGGCATTCAGCACCACAGCTGTACTAGTAGTCTAGAAACTACATGTAGTAGCTACTAGGTAGGCCATCAAGTGCCATGGAGCTATGGCAGGTGTCCGGCACTTGCGTGTTAGTTGCAGAAGCGCCGGCTGGTTCCGTGACACTGGCCAGGTTGTGAGCAGTTCGCTTCTTCGGTAGTACCTATAATGGGGTGTGTTTGAATGCCGAAATGGAATTTTACACTTGAAGCCTTGATGGCTCGTATCTACAAAGTTACAATTGTTGTTCAAGTAGAATGCATCTGATGGAATGTAGGATGCCAGCCTTGACAAAAATATCACCAACTCAAAGCCATTCTCCACAGCAGAGAGCAAGAAAATCACCACAGAAAAATAAATAAAGTAATAACCCAAAAATAAAAATAAAATAGTCAAAAACGATCACTCACCTGCAAACCCGCAAACATCCCAATTCGGATCCCCTGCAGCAGCCCTGTCTCAAGAACAATACTAAGCAAAAACGCCACATCCGCAACAACAATATTAAGCACTCCCGCACTCTGCATTCCATCTCCATCTTCGCTTTCTCACTTTATTCCCTTTCAATGCCCGAACCTATGCTGCGGCTCAGTTCAATGTATCCTTTTACACTTGGAGACTGTGGTTTTGGCGGTATTATGCTGTGCGAGACAATGTACACGAGGGGGGCGGGCGAGGTTGACTGCGTTTTCTCTTATAAGGTGAGCTGACGATGGTCTGAATGGAGAGCTTTGGGAACAATGGCTTCAGTTGCGATGGTTTGGTCGGCAGTCTATTTTTAAAGATATTATTCTTTTTGCTTCTGCGTTGAGTTTTCGACCGGTGCAAGAACTGTTATTCTGTCTCTCGCGATTTCTCTGGCTTGGTTCGATATATCCTCCTCAACACCAAGATATTCAGCATCACCACCAGATATCCGGCATCATCATCAAATTCTCAGCATCACATACACAACCAAGTGAACTAAGCGAACAACAACAACAACCGCAAAAATGGCCTTTGATCCATACACCCAAAGCATCACCATCCACAGCCCGCCAGGCCCCCCAATCAAAATCCCCATCCCGGAAATCGACCGCTTCAACGAAGAAACCGCCAGCATCATCATAAACTACGGCGCCCAGCTCGGCGCCTCCATCACCATGCTGCTCGTCATCCTCCTCACTGTCCCGACGCAAAAGTTCCTGCGCGCCTCCAACCTCCTCCACATCCTAGCCCTGCTCGTCTGCGTCTTCCGCACCGTCTTCCTCGTCCTCTACTTCATCTCGCCGTTTTCGCACTTTTACCAGGTCTGGAGCGGTGATTATTCGCAGATTCCTGCTTGGAACTTTCGTACTAGCATTGCTGGCGCTGTCCTCCCGATGCTTCTCACCGTCACTACGGAGGCGGCGCTCATGCACCAGGCTTGGACCATGGTCTCGCTCTTTGCAAACAAGACAAAATATGCAATCACCTTCTTATCCCTGCTCCTCACTCTCATCGCCATCGCTTTCAGAGTCGCGTATACCGTGGCCGAGTGCAAGAGCATCATCGACTTAGTTTCAGCTGAAAAGTATGCCTGGCTGATCAAGACGACGCTCATCTGGAACACCTGCTCGGTTGGCTGGTTCTGCGCCTTGTTCAACTCCAAACTGGTCTGGCACCTGGTCAGCAACCGGGGCGTGCTTCCTTCTCGCCGGGCCATGACCCCGATGGAGGTGCTCATCATGGCCAATGGAATCCTCATGATCTTTCCAGGTAAGCTTCTCTCTCTCCTTATCACCATCTCCTATCACTAACAACGTCCCCAAAAAGTTATCTTCGCCACCCTCGAATGGTACCACTTCATCAACTTCGAAGCCGGCTCCCTAACGCCCACCACCGTCGCAATCATCCTCCCACTAGGTACCCTGGTCGCCCAACGCCTGTCCCAAACCTCGCCGGCCCCCTCCACCGATCCCTCCTCCTATCCGTCTTCCTCCTACCAAGCTCGCTACAAGGCAACCCGCGACTCTTCTCGCACGCCATTCAAGTCCGGCTCGCTCTTCTCAGCCACCACAAACAGCTCAGCCCCTCGATCTCAACTCGTCGACACCACTGTCCTGGCTCCCGTCCGCGATGTCATCGACCCAATCGATCTCGAGCTCAGACAGATTGATGGGTATTTGCAGCCAAAGGAGATTCACGTCAGAGCAGAGCCAGGCGAAGGTCAGTTCCACAAGTAGTGCTAATGTCGGCGGCCTTTTCTTTATTCTGCTTCATTAGTTTGCACTGCATTAGCAAGCGTATTGAAACATTAGCAAACATTGCATTTACGTTGTCATTGGTTTGAAAGTGGAAACAGGGCATCAAGGTGGATATAACTTGCTATGAGACACGGCAGCTGTCCAGGATTATCCAGGCACTAGGAGATATATATAGGTACATATATATAACAGATGTCACTCTGCTCTCGAGTTTTTTACTTTTTTTACTTTACGAGCTCTTCTATTTATTTTGAACTTGATTGAATATTACTCTGCCATCTACTTCTCCTCATCAGTATGAGTTTGATATAGATTGTAAGATGTTGATGAAAGCCATCCATAGCATCTAGACACACGATGAAGGAGTAATAGCATGCGTATTCGAATATTTTATTAGTCTTAAGTGATAACTACCCCCGTCTTCCTTTAGTAGTAATTCCATCGCTCCGCCTACTCCGTCTGAGCCCGTGCCCTCAACGCAGCCATTCTCTCTCTACAGAGAGTTGTAAGACTTCGTAATTCTTTTCCTCGCACAGGCTGGGGTTGTTCAAGAGCGCAGTGAACCTGAGAAACAAATAACCCATGGCTACGAGACATCAAACGCCGACGCAAAAGGCGAAGAGAAGGGTGGCGGTCCGCAATGCTAGGTTTTTGTATAGTAGAGGAAGCCTCGCTGTCATCCGTCCATGTCTCCTCACGCGAAATCTCCTGATATTTCTGCTCAAAATCGGCGCCTCCCTCGCCGTCGACATTGTAACCTTGGCGCCGCACGGGGAAGATCTGCTGCCCGTCATCTTCAGAGCTCGACTTGGTCTTTCTTCTCCAATCAGATCTAATTAGCGTTCCCTTGACAAGTCAGACCACTAGATATACTTTGATCATTTTGAAGGGATTGCGGATTAGGTTACAACCACTTACAAAGTTTTTCCCGTGGCGATTTCTCTTGATCATGGATGGCTTGGTGTAGAGTAAGGGCTTTAAGTCGCTTGCCTGGCTGCTGATACTGTCCATACCTGGCGACCGATTATATGAACGTGGAGGTCCATTTGCTACCGGTGACAACAGTCTTGGGGGAGGTGGTCCGTCCCAGGCTTTGATGACTGCCTGCTCAGGCGCGTCGCCAGCAAGCTTACTCTTCGAAGCGGCAGTCCTTCGGAATGTCGGAGACGAAGATATCTTGGGAATATGCCCGAATCTGTCTTCTCTATTGGCTTGATGGCTCATGGACTCAAAAAGACCAATCGTCTCTTTGAGTCTCCGGTCTTTTGCAGAGAAATTCCCTGAACGTAGTAGGTGGGAGCCATCTTGTGTAAAAGCCTGCCGCTCGGAACCCTGACGGGCAGCAATCGGCCGTGGCGGTGTCTGTGGACTGCGTTCTGAGGCCGATTCGACCTTTTCAGCGTTATTTTGAAGGAGTGGCTGTGCGTCGTTTACTGCATCTGTCCGTGGGTGCCTCTTCTAGAGTGATGGCATTGAAACTGACGAAGGCAACGCGCTGTCGAACTTTCGCCGGAGGTTTGAGACTTTTGACTGCTGAGAGGGAACCGATTTGGACAAGGGCAATGGCGGGCCCCTCGGCTCTTTAGCATAGCTATCAGTATAAGTCATCGATGATAGCACGGCGTCGTGGCATGGGTAGCAGAGGGTCACACCAGGCTGTAGGTTTTCTAACAGCTCTAGATCATCCGCCTTCCTTCGTTGGTCGTCACTTCTCAGGCTTCTGCCTTCGGGGTGTGAAACCGCTTCCGATGTATCGCAAGCCTTTGGGTGCCAAGTCCCTATTTCTGTAACAACCATATTTTTGAGCGGAGAAGGGGTCTTGTGTAAAAACACACCGCCCTGTAGCTTGAATCGGGGCTCATTTCTTTGCCAGGTGCTTTTACTGTCTTCGATACCAACTTGACTCTCCAACAGGTGTCGAGACGAGCGATCGGGCGAAGCGAGTGGCCGTGGCAGATATTCGGGATGCTCAACATGTCGGTGAATGGATGCCAGATCAGGAACGTCTCTCTCTTCTTGCAGATCCGGCTTCACTAGAGCATCGACCTCGGTTATAACCGACGGTCCTTTCATGGGAGCTTTCGCGTGGGAGGCTGTTATATGGTGACTGCACTCGTTGGTCACGGTAGGTGAAGTGATGCGTTTAGGTTCATAGGTAGCCGTTCGCGCGACATCTATCCAAACGTTAGCCTATCGTCCCTACAAGCTATGTCTAATATTCAAGTGTGTGTTGGATGCGGATCTACCCACTGGAATTAGCAGTCTCATCAAGTCCTTGCTCGAACAATCTCCTCATATCTGCAACGGCCAAACCTCTCCGTGAGATTAATTTCCCAGTTTTAGACAATGGAGTGGCTGTGTCTACAACATGGGAGCTTCTGAGGCGCGGTTCCAACCGATCCTGTGTGGCTATAGAAGCGCTCATAGGAGCCAGAGATGGCGATGTTACGGTTCTCGATGCACCAACCGCCTTATCTCTTGGGTTTTCTTGCACCAACGGAGCATCTGGAAACTTGGAAGCGAGAGTTGGGTAATCTCGGGCCTCGTATGCTGATCCGATGTCTTGAGGCGGCTTTGAGGCTCCAAGGTTCTCGAATTTGGACACCAGCCGGGCCAGCCCTCCTTGAGACGCCTGCGCACGCCGAGTGCCTACAGCAGACATTGTTCTCGTCGGACAGTTGCCTTGAAATCAGAGCAGCAGAGCAAACTTCTTCTCTCTCTAGGGCCTTGAGAAATGGAGCGAGGGTTATAAGAAAGGAGAGTAGAAAGAAAGCGAGGGGATGAGGGGGAAATCGAATAACAAGTATCTTTGAGAAGCTGGATAAAACAACTGTGATATGCAGGCAATGAAGTCAAAGGCAAATCTCTGGCATGAGGCCGCGCCTGGAGCCGATGTTTACGTCAAGCTGCCGGTTGTTGATCCTGCGGCCCCGAGATCAACTGCAGCTTCCCTTTCTCGTCAATCATTTTAACCAACAGCAAGTGTTAAAGGGTGAAGAGATGGAACGCAAAAGCATCCAGGGCTCTTTCCAAAAAGCCACCCCTTTTTCCGACCTGTACAAGGTTTTCCTCGTTCGGCTATCCTGACCGAAATAAACCTCCTAAAGCATCCTTGATCATAAAACAAAAAGGATTCACAGCGAGCACGGCACAGGGTTCGAAGAATGTTCCAAAAAATGGAGATTGCGTTTCTTTTTATTTCATTATCGAGTCAATCATTCCGGCAAGCCGTTGTCGAGCCGCATCATCCACCTGAAGTCGCCCCGCAAGTCTATATCGCGTGCAGCATGCCGCGCAAATCTCGCATCGTAGTATACAATCATCCTTCTAATGTACAATGACTCCATTTTGTGGTTTGATTTGGGGGTGTCGAATTGGTAATGGGAGTTGGATCATGAGGTAGTGGAGGGAGAGCGCCTATCGATTATTGACTGCATCACATTGTTGTTAGCTGGGTCTATATCCGGATCGCAATTCACATTTGGGGGTGGTCGTACGGAGGAAGGAGGATCTCGCCCCAGGAGCTGGAAAGGAACGTGACGGCAGCCTTGTTTTCCTATTGTTAGCTTCTTGCGCATCGCTGGACATTGGACATTCTGGAGAACGCACTCCGAAGATGGCGATGCTGCGGACAAAGGCGGCGTTCTCAGCCGAGGTCAAGGTCTCATAAGTCGAGGCGACGAAGCCTTTGGGGGCGCGACGGCCGCCCTTCTCGCCGTAAATTCGCTTGGGAGGCATGATGGCTTTGTTTGGGGAGTGACGGGAATCGGGGGCGATGAAGCGCAAAAAGTTATGGGCAGAGATGCTTTCGATGCGAACGTCACTGAAGGCATCGAAAATTCAAAACGCCCCGCCATTGCTCGCAGCCAATTGCCGAGTCACATGATTGGGCAATGGAGTGACAGGAGATGGAGCGGAATTGGCTGCGGTTGTACCAAGAAATAGAACACCTGGTTCCGTGGTCTAGTTGGTTATGACATTTCGTTAACAGTTTAGTTGACACCACCGAAAAGGTCCCCGGTTCGAGCCCGGGCGGAATCACTCTTTTTGCCTTTTGCAACAGTTTGGTGTGCTGACGATAGTACAAACTGATGAAGCGAAAACAGCACTCATCTTTAATCTGGTTCTTTTTCTTTTCTCTTTTTTAGTTCTTTTTCATTGGGTTGCTCTGTTTGTGACTGTGAGAAAATCCCATTTCCAGTTAGTTTTGTCTATCATTCTGACTAACTTTGGCTCATAGAACTCACGTTCAGAGGCGTCGCATCTAATCTACTGAGAGCAATCTTACTTAAACCTTCATTAATTGCCATATTATTATTGTTGTAAATGCCATTTCATCCAGTCTCGATAGGCAGAAGGGTATAACTCCCCTACCTCGACAGCATTTGTCTTGCTCTCTCTCGTCATCAAATCCATATCCTCTAGGGTATCTCTCCAAGGTTTCACAGTTGCCAGCACCCCGCCCCCGCTTATCCACAGCGGCACCGTCATTGAGCGTGTCAGCATCAGAGGAGAGACATTGGTATATACTGCTACGTATTCAATTATAGAGACTCTATCCGCCATGGCAGATTCACCGCGACAGCCTGGCGGCTTTATTCCTCCCCAGGGCGGACTCCCTTCGCCAGCCCCGTCTTCAGCCTCGTCACGAGCAGCTTCAAATCTGCCGCACCCGAGAAACAGTGCGCTGCGGCCCGGATCAAACAAGGAGGACATGGTGAGGAGATTTGTAGACGAGAAGCTGCTGTACGTTTCGCGCCGGTACGTGAAGAAGTTTGGGAACCCAAATCCTGGAGACACGGTGGTTGGTTTTAAGAGCTTCGGTGAGGTGTGCCGGGAGCTTGATGAGATTGTGAATGTCTTGTGGAAATCAGGGACCCGTGAGTATCTACCTATCTACCATCTATATCTACTATTTGTACAGGGCAATGCAGTGCAATGCAAAGCAAAGCAAAGCAATGGCCACACTACTAACATGGCATGAAACATCAGCGAGCTTGCAGATACCGTTTCTGCTCAAGTTGGCCAGTGACTTTACTCAGTACGTCCGGTCATTCCCGCCATCGTCAAAGGCGTCGTTTGATCTGCTGCACAAGCTTGATCACTGCTTCGCCAGCCTGCTCTCGGGCCAAGACATTGAGACGAGTGAGACGCTTCCAGGATTTGAAAACGGCCTACGAGCGGGCATGACGACTACCGACATGGTCCGGTGCCGGAGTCTTGTGGAGCAGACGAGGGTGCTCATGGTTGAAGTCATGAGCAGTGGTGAGCAGGAGGAAGAGGATGATGATGAAGACGATGACGACGACGAAGATGGCGACGAAACAGAAGGGGGTGAAAGCTACGATGCTGGTGGTCCGTCTTGGGACATTGACGAGGATGAGCTACATCTGGACGCTGCGCGGATCTACGAGAACACAATTGTGCATCTGGGCAAGAGGCTTGGAGATTCACTGGGGAACAGCGCTGATAGCGGCGATGCCGCCATGTCAAATACAGGTATGACTTGAGGTGAATCAGAATGGAATATTCCAGAGAAACGGTTCAGCACGCTGGAGTTCAATGTTTTGCCGCTGCATCAAACAAAACACGCTGAGTGGCTACCCCTGTCCGGCTCGTATGGGGACATGGATGGCCCCCCACGAGGCTTCTCGCCTAAGCAAAGCACAGCCCAACTGAGACGTATGCGTACTCGAACGAGTAAAAGACAGACAAGGGGAAGACGAAGACGAGGACGGCAGAAAACAAAACAGTAGAAAATATAAAAACCCTTGTCTTGCCCTTCTAATGTCGACACGCAAGAAGCACAGCAAAAGCCCGCAAAAGAAACTAAAAAGAAACGAAAAAAACAAACCAACGCAAGGAAAAAAGCAAAAATGGCCACCTCCTGACTTGGGGGGCGCGAGTCAATGAGGCATCATGGGCCGCTCATTGGCTCGAGATGCGCCGCAGTCAGCCAATCCGGCTCGTATTTGCTAGCATCATGCAGTTTTCCCTCCAGCAGCGTCGTCTTTTGTTCGTACGGTAGGGGCCCCTACTTTTGACGGTGGCGAGCTATTGTTTTGTTTTCTCCTCCCTGCTCCCATTTTTCTTTTTTTTTCTTGCTTGGGGAGGCTTCCGATTGGGGGGAGACGGGGAACGAGGCACATGCAAGTGCTGGTGTTTATTCACATGTTTGTGGTGTGTACCCGAGGTGTATAGCAGAGGTACTGTGAGGTGTTTATTGCAAAGTATCGTATATGAATTCACGACTACTGTAGATCAACAGGGACGTTTGCTAGTGAGGGATCTGCTCTGGAGATGGCGATGCGATGCGAGGGGCCGTGTTTGTGATTGATTGCGTGCCTGGATTTGCTGGTTGCTGTAGGAAGAATCGGCGACGATCAACTAACAACGGCGTGCTATAATACTCACAGTAGGTACTAGGTTAGCAGTGAAACATGAACCATTCATAGGTATCTATCTATTTTCAGTTGCTTCTTGTCGAGATGGAGATGATGATTCTAAACGCCCGCATCATCAGGCTCTCATCATCCTCATCATCCTCATCACCCCCGTCACCATCCCATCCTCTCGCCCACAGCCAATCCAGGCCTCGCAGCGCATAAATTCTACCTCCTCGCTACCATGCGCATACTTCAAACGTGCAGCACCAGTCATAAGCACACTACTGCAACCCCCCCGGTCTTGTTTCCGCTCTGTTTCAACTTCTGTGCCTGGCCCCCCAACCCCTGCACGTTTCTCGCGCCTAAACCGCCCCCCTGTAGGATCAAATGGATGGATTTCCGGGCTGCCGTCCAGCGCGGCATCACGCCTATCAACCGCTCCATAAGCCGGCGAGGTGCCAGGCGTCTTAGCATGCCTGATGCTCCGTCCAGGTCCGGGCTTTTACTGGCTGGCCGCTGAGATTTTGCCTTTTCGCGGGCTCCTGGGCGGTTTCTTGGACTTTGCGCTTGGGGGGGTTCTTGGCCACATGGGATGGCGCTTGGGCCGTTGGTGGACCTGACTATACGCGGCTTGCATGACTTTTGGATTCGCCCTTCTGCAAGGTACCTGGATCTAGCCCGAGGATGAGGACAGCCGTAGTCGTAGTATCAAGAGGTTTTGGTCGGGCTAGTAGATGTGCCTGAGTCTAGTGCAGGTGAATGCAACGACAACGCACCTGGAGTTGCTGGGGCCCTTCGATACATTGGATGTACTTAAGCTGCTCCTCCGCCGCTTCTCCATCCTTCCCACCATGCGTCTTGCTCTGCGGTTGCTTTGATACCCTTTTTTTTCTTTTCCTTCTCCTTTCAACTTCATTCCCTTCGTCAGGCCTGTGGCCGTTCCCTTCCTTTCGCTGGTCGATTCTGCGCACTCCTTTCTTGTTCCTGTTGAACAGACAAAACATACAGACATACAGACACACAGACACACTCCTTTGTCTAGGTCGTGATATTCATTCCCTCGGTTGACCGTGACTCCAAGACTCAAGAGCAAGACTCTTGTGATACGATCCTTGTATCCCATTCCTAAACGATATCAAACCGCTTGCAACCAACGCAGCCCAAAAAACAGACACTCATCACCCAAGATGCATTTCCAATCTCTCTCCCTCCTCGCCATGGCCATCTCCTCCGCCATGGCCACTCTCTCCCCAAACATCCCCGGCATGAAGGTTGTCTGGCAGGAGTCGTTCGTTGGTGAGCAAGGCGACATGGTCGACCTCACCCAATGGAACGTCATGACCGACCTCCACAACAACCAGGAGCTGGAGACTTACACCCAGTCCAGCTCCAACATGCAGCTGTCTGGAGGCCAGACTCTCCAACTTGTCCCCCAGCAAGCTCCCACGGGCGAATGGACCTCTTCCCGCATCGAATCCATCCAGTCTTGGGCTCCTGCCCCTGGCAAAACCATGCAGGTCCAGGCCGCTCTGCGTGGCGGCCCCAGCCCCCTTGACACGAAGCAGGGCATGTGGCCTGCCTTCTGGATGCTGGGCGACTCCATGCGCCACGGCACTCCCTGGCCTCTCTGCGGAGAGCTCGACATCTTCGAGCAGATCAACGGCCAGCTGACGGGCTACGGCACCGCCCACTGCGATCACACCGGCGGTGGTGCCTGCAACGAGCCCTGGGGCCTGGGCCAGAGCATCGCCATTCCCCAGGACGACGAATTCCACACCTGGGCCCTCAAGATCAACCGCTGCTCTAACAACTGGCAGACGGAGACGATCGAGTGGTACCTCGACGGCAACCTCTTCCACACCCTCGTCGGCGCCCAGTTTGGCGACGAGGGCCTCTGGGCAACGCTTGCACACTCCCCAATGTACATCATCCTCAACCTGGCAGTTGGTGGTACATGGCCCGTAAGTTTTTCTCTTTAGTTACCCTCCCACTTCTTGCGTAGCCCGCATGGCTAACTTGTGAAATAACAGGGCGACCCTAACGAGGCGACTTTGTCCGGCTGGGGCAACATGTTTGAAGTTCAATACGTTGCCGTCTACGAATCCGCCTAAGAGATGTTAGCTCGACGAACAAGGGAGGAATATACGAAAAAGAAAAAGACGGGGCAAAAAAAAAGAAAAATTTGAATTTGGATAGATATGATACAGGGCGCTTTTATGATGATGCACATGTCATGACAACTTGTCAACATGTCCCTACGCGGGACCCCATTTTGATTCACTGTATATATATTTAAGATACCTATGAACACGACTGTTATGACCATCAAGTCTTTAGAACAAACCCTGACTCTGGTGCATCAGCGTTGGGAAAACTCACATGCTACGTTGATATAGACGTTGCTGGTTACATTGCATCCCTCTTAATTGCAAAGCGACGACCAACAAGGATCAATGACGAATCACATCATGTTATTGACAAAGGTACACAGAGTAGGTAACATTAATTTGATCTTTTACAACAGTGACTTATGTGGTATGCGAAACTTCGAAAAAACCATTATCGAAACGTTAGGCCAAAAACATTTTACAGGAGGAAAAGAGGAAAGGGGGAGGGCTTTTTTCTCCGCCCAACCCCGCGAACCCTTCCATCAGCAAAGGAAATGACATGTAACACTACTTGAGAGAGGGGGAAAAGATAAAGCAAAAAGAAAAAAGAGAAGGACACGAGAAGAAAAAAAGGGAGGGCAAGTAGAGGGAAAGGGTAAAACAAAAATCCACAGGGACAACATCTCTTTTTTCCCGTTTCAAACCATCAAAGTAAAGACCCTGGGAAAACCGGATCGCCGCATGACCATTGATATAGATATCCACTGTAACGCCGTGTCGAATGATGCCAGATTAGAGATAACCCAGGAAAACAAATCAAAGCAAAAGAAGAAAACTGCCAACCCATCTTGTTACCGAACAAAATTCGCGGGCGCCTATTTCGGGGGCAACCACCACCTGAACAGCTCTCTCGGGTCCGGCAGCGGCACGGGAGGCGCACGTCTCGTTTGCTGCCATGCCTCGAGATCCAGTTCCGCGAACGCCTACTCCGCGCTAATCTCGCCGCCCTCCATCCCTGAGTATGGTCCGGTGAAGTCGAACGGCTCATTGCCGGCATCGTTGTCATTCAAGAATGAGTCGAAGTCGAAGTCATTGAGCACATTGTCAGAGTGGAGTGGGTTGGCCAGTTCCATTCCGAAATCCTGCAGCCAAAGTCAGTTTTTGTCGAGCCAAACAAGGTGGAAGCGAGAGAGTTGATGTGACTTACCGGGATGTTAAAGTTATCCATGCCGCCCAGAGCGTTATTCTGAGTAAGGTCATGAGTGGGTTGCGGCACAGGGGCAGCTTGCGGTGGCACTGGTGCACTGGCCGCGGCAGCCGGGGCGGGAACTCCTGTGGTCGCGGCGGCAGCAGTTGCGTTTGGCACCGGGCCCCCGGCTTGAGCGCCCTTGAAGGCCCCGCCGACGACGGGAGTGATGGGGGTTGCTGGCGCTGCAGCGTCAGCTTCCGCGCCATTCTCGGCGGCGGTAGCGGCGGCGTTGTTGAGGTTCTGATTTGTCTTCTTCTGTGCAGCGGCTCGCTATAAGATCCGTCAGATTGCAAAATGGGTATGAGAGGTGAAGAGCTTACCTTATCCTTGGCATTCTTGGTGTCCTTCTTCTTGGGTGCGGCCTTGTTAGCCTGGCTGGGGGTAGGGGGAGCTGCTGAAGCCTGCTGGGGCGAGGCAGTCGTCCTGTTGTTTGTGTTGGCCGCCGCGGCAGCTGGTGCCGAGGGTGGAGGCATAGATCGCTGCTGCGGAGTTGTCTGAACTTGCTGGCCTTGCTGCATTCCCTGAGGCACCATCTGGCCATTCATTCCAGGCTGCCACTGTGGGTTGCCTTGCGCGTTCTGTTGCTGCCGGGCAGCCATCATTTGCGCGTTCATCGGACCATTGAATGGCTGGCCAGGGTGTGAGCTAGGCGGACGCATACCGTTCATCTGGGCCTGCGCCATGTTCCCTCCATCCACTCCCTTGTAGAAGTGAGGTGCCATGTTGACATCCACGTGGTTGCCCAAAAAGTTCATGGCGTTGGGGGATTCGCGTGACTGTCCGCCATCAGGAACAGGCGAGGGGATGCCAGAGTTGTTCATCTGCGGTGTGCCGCGCTTCATTTGTTCCGCGGGGTTGGGAGAAGTTCCGGACCTCATTGCCTGGGGCGAGGTGTCGGGGAAGGGTCCGTTGGGGCCGGGGGCGCCAGGTTGGCCATCTCGAGGGATTCCACCCATATCGCTCTGCTCTTGGCGGGCCATCATGAGGCGCTTCTTGTTCTGCTGCTCAAGCAGCATCAACTGCATCTGATAGTCCTGCAAGGCGTGGTTGCTACCAGCGGCCGCCGCCTGAGCGCCCGCCGGGCCACCTTGTCGCATAGCGCCGGGGCCACCCATCTCAGGGTTGTAGAAGGCATTAAGGGTATTACCATCAGGGCCCTGTGGCATCATGGGCGAGCTCTGGTTTTGAGGTCCTCCTACGCCGGGGATCTGCTTGTTGCCCATTTGGTTACCGTGATGCTGCTGAAGGTTGTGGGAGTAAGTTGCGATGGACTTTTGCTGTGCCGCAGGAGGTGTATTGGCAAAATTTTGCATCTGCTGGGGGTTGAGCTGCGCGGGGTTGATACCGTTGGCGGCGAGCACCTGTTGAGCGTTGGCCACGTTGCCGGCAACACCCATTTGCTGGCCGGGCATGACTTGGCCGGGACGACCATTTGCCATCATGGCATTGGGTTGGTTAGCATTGAACGGAGCACCCTCGAGGCGTGGGCGTTTTGAAGGAGACGGCGCATTCTCCCCCGACGCGGGAGACGATGGCCGATCCCGGTTGCCGTCCATATTGGAAGGATCCCGCTGCATCTGGTTCTGCTTTGCCTGAAGCATCTGCATTTGAGGGCTGGAGAGAGCATTAGTTAGTACACGTTTGTGACCGAAGACAAGACCACCCTCCCCGACTGCTTACTTTTGGTTATTGGCCATGGCGGCCCGAGCAAGATTGTTCTGCTTCATGGTCATTGCCATGTTGTTGTTCTGCATGTTTCTCATGAAGTGAGCTTGATATTGCTGCTGCGCCGCCAAATCGGGGCGCATTTGACGTAGCATCTCCTGCTGTTGAGTCTGCTTCATTCGCTGTTGCTGCTGCGGATTCGGATTAGCAAAATGTCTATTTTCCCTTTCAAATATGGGAGCATAGAAGGAAGATGAAAAAAAAAAAAAGTGCCCGGCTCTTTGTTTTCGTACCTGAGTATGCTGGACATATTGGTTCACCATGCCGCTTCCACCCTTGACGCGTGGGGCAGTATAGATATCCCAAAAGACGCAAAACCATTCGTATAGAAACGACGTATCAGAGGCGGGCATAGGTAGCTTAGGCGGGGGCAAGTCGTCTGGTAGCTTGGAATCACCGTCGTCTTTGGAGTCGGTGTCCATGGGATCATCAACGCCGTTCATGGCGTTGCCGTTTTCGCGACGGCCAGCGGCGTCTTTGTTGACGTTGACCTGCTGGTCGCTGTTGAGGAGAGAGCGGGCACAGTCGAACATCTGATGCCTAAGGAAATACTCGTAGATGTATGTGTTGAGAACGCCGCGCTGGTTCTCGCTGGCTTGCTGCTGCCGAGCTGCAGCCGCAGCCGCAATCTGAGGATTCATAGCACCATTATTCATCATGGGCATCGGTGCGCCGCCAACAGGGCCGCCCATGGGTGTCATGTTTGCCATTCCAACGTTGGGATTCATGTTTGCTGGACGTTTTTGAGAGAGATTTGAGAGGGATTTCAGAGGTTGTATATAGCGGTAAAAAACTCAAAACGCAGCACAAGAAGCAGTGATAGGCGTAACAGAGTTTGTGCCTTGTAAGCCACTCAAGTACCGCCGCGCGAAAGCCCCGACAGGGCAGATAACGTGGGCGAGATGGGCTGAACCCAAGTACAAGATAAGGTCAAAGCGGAGGAGGGCAGAAAAACTCTGTGAAAAGCTATCGCGAACCGCGTCGGAGCGAGTTGCTGAAGGCTGCGGCGAGAGACGCGCTTGTCGAGGCCTGGCGATGGGTTAAGTGGCGTTGTAAGCGACGACGGCGGTCGGTGATGGCGGAGAGGAGGAAAATTGGCGACGGCTGGAGTCGCGGAGCAGCGAAGATGCCGCACTTGCTGCAGAGATGCGTCCAACTGCCGGGGCAAGGCAGAGACGGCTGAGATGGAGGATGGAGAAAAGAGTTGAGCAGGCCTCTGTTCTGGGGGCTGGGATTGTAGCGCACTACAGCGAGGTTGCCTTAGTGCTGCGTACCGGCAGCGCGGGAACACAGCACAGTAGCGGTAGCTGAAGAGTTTCGTCTGCGGCCGGCAAAAGACGACGTCGAGGCCGAGTCGAAGCAGAAGGGCGGGAGCTGCTTTGAGGCTCGGCGACAGTCGACAGAGGCAGAAGAAGCCGTTGGTCGTCCAGGCTGTGAGGGTCAGCACTCGCGCTGGGCCGTGGAGACAAATGTCGCGATGGACATCAGATTAGGCTGTGGAGGTAGTGAAAGGTAAGGTAAGGTGCAAGTAGTAAATCGAATCCAGGCGATGGTGGTGCGCAGACACGAGCTCATACAGTACGGCGAGCGCACGGGCAGGAAAAGGAGTGTGGCGGTTGGCGCCGTGTGGGGAGTGTCTTCGCACGGCCCATTCAGCGCCCACGCCGCGTCAGGATGGTGCGCGTAGCCTCGCCTTCTGGTGCCTGGGCTCTGCCTGGGCTCCGCCTGGGGCTGGTGCGGTCGCACGGTACGGATATGGCGCAGGCGCGAGACTGCACAGTGCGAGGCGACGGCGGCGAAAAGCAGAAAGTGGCCGGGAAAAGTTATTCGAGTGCGCATAAAATTGATGGCCTGCTTCGGGGGGCATTGGCGATCCCACTATGAGGCACCGGCTCGCTGGTGCCTGCGTATGCGTCAGACTAGGTGCGTAGTTTTGGGTCTGCGGCAGATGTTGGCGCCTCAGGCATGAATCCCGCACGTCAAGCCCTGTGCGACAGACACGCTAATGAAAGCGCTGAGGTAATTGGTACAGTGCATGAGTCTCATGGCAGGTAATAAGCTGCTTGCAACACGGAGAGCTGCGTGTAAGAGATTAAGCTCTGCAAGAGGAGCTTTTGATTTGGAATTGCAAACTGCACAGTGCTGAAATGAAACTGTGAATTGTCAACTAGGTACCTATTTTGCTACTGTACTGTATCATAGGTCCTCCGTTCCGATGGAGTCACATCATCATGTGCCTCAGCATCAGCAAACAATCCCGACATCAGCCCGGTTTCCCCCCGGAATATCCTCATCCTCATCGACAGCACTGCGCCTCCATCTTTCCATTCCATGTGCCGAGAGTGTATCTGTATCTGATCAACTCGACGTTGCATCGGCTTGTGACGTGATTGCTCATACCACGTACAACCGGAGGTGGCCTTGGGCCAGTCAGCGAGCATCGTGTTGAATCACTCCACAGCATGGGTGGGCTGATTCCATGGAGATCAGGCAGGCCTGCCTGGCTTTCCACCTTGGGCCGGCTTCGGGTTGTTGCTTGGCAGTAGTAAAGGCAAGATTGAGTTTCCGCCATAACGTGTAAAGGCTTATGCAGCTTGGTGCTGGCATCACTTGTTTGTCTTCATGTTGTCAGGCTATGGTTGGTGCTCTGGAGCCTGTTCCCAGAGCCTAGATGCTACACAAACAAACAGTACTGTACATAGCCGCAAAGCATACGGACTATTTGTCTCGTCCCGGCGTATGTCCATGGAACCCCTGGTTTATTTCGGCAGGCCATCTTTGAAGAAACAAGGCACCCATCTATTCATCCCTGTCTGTCCATCTAGTAATATCCACAGGATTACGGAGTACTGCTGCAGCCAACCGCAATGATCTAATCAAGCATCGTATCTAGATAGCTCGGCTCGATCTATGGGTATTATTCCGCCTTTGGTTTCCTCGACCGAATCGGATCAACTGTCGCTGTTGTTGATAATCTACTATTAGCCTCGCCTTGGCCAGCCGGATGCTCTCCGCTGCATGAATCTGGCCGACATGTACTTGTCCACAGATGACGCTCGTATCGATTTATCAATCGTCTTCTGGCGGCAGCTCGTCGTCGATATAGCGTATCAAGGTTACCCGCATCTCCGTAGTATCGTTGCCCTTCAGGACATCGCTGATGAAGTGCGCTTCCACTTGCATCTGAACCATCTCCAAGGCGCCTCTCAAGACTCCGCACAAGATGTTTGAGTACCAGAGCTCGTTCTGTGCCCTTCCGTCGTCTGGTAGCTCAACAAAGTCGGCAAACGGGTTCTCGTCAAACACTAGTGAGAAGGAGTTGTTGTCGGTCGTCCAGTTCGTCACCTGCGGTGTAATATTGAGGAATATTTTAAACCCAACCTGTATGAATCCAAACGATGCTTTAGCAAGAGTACACAAAACGAGATCTATGACCACCCCTTACCCTTGAAATCATGTCTGCCGTTTCGCGGAAGTTGGCGCAGCGCTTCATTGTATTCGACTTGGCCAGGTAATCCTCAATGAGTCGCAACCCAATGTTGTAGCCCATCTTGTCAAGCTGTCGGTTGACTTCTGGGTAGTCGTCCTCGAAGTCCTTGCATAGTTGTGCGACAATAGTTCCGTACGTCAAGGTTACCAACTCGGCATTCACCTTGTCAATACGAGTTCTAGCGATGCGATTAGACCGAGACATCATATTCTCTATTGCCATGGCGTCTTACTTCCAGATTCTATACTCTTGTTAGATCACGGCCAAGCGCATTACCACTCGCTGAAACATACTCTTCCCCGATGCGGGACGCCTTGCTGGCCGCCATTACGGCGTTTGTCTAGGCTTCGAGAGACGGATAGGAGGCCGAGCGCAGCAGAAACAGCCAGACTATAGCTGTATACGCGAACTATATAGCGAATGCAGCGAAAAAGGCTGCAAATTCACTAATCGGCCGATCTGGTACGGGGCAGAGGAGAGATGTTGCGACTGTTATGCCGGAGCTCAGCAGGCGGTGGGGTACGGAGTTACATGGCCGGTATTCGACAGAAGCCTTGACCATAGGAACATCAACGGGCCGAAAGCCAATAGGAGGGCGAGTTTGGGCGCCGCCTAGTTCGCAACTTGGCAAAGCTTCGCGATCGCGACACGGGCAAAATCTCAGCAGCTCAGTATCGTCTGTCTTGCATTGTTTGGTGCACTTTGAATTTCCTGGAAACATTCGCGACTCTTTGATTATTCACAATGTCAGCTGAAAAGCGCCCGGCGGACGACGATCCCGGATTGTCCAAGGTCTTGGTGAAGAGACAGAATGTCAATGCCTCCGAAGGAGCGCTTGCTCGACTCAATGCATCAAGCAGTGCATTGGTGCAGACTGTAAGGAGATTTTGATGGTTTATTTGAAATACGTCTAACATTTCTCTCAGGCTCCTCGGACGAGCGCGCTCCAGGCCCCGGTAATGGAGCTGACGGGACACTCTGGGGATATTTTCACTGCCAAGTTTGATCCTACGGGCAACCTGATTGCTTCTGGATCAATGGATAGAAGTATCAGTACGGAAATTACCTGCTTGCCGTTTGGAAGGTTGCTCATTTTTCTGACGCTTGGTAGTGCTCTGGAGGACTTACGGCGACTGCGAAAACTACGGCGTGCTGAACGGCCACAAGGGAGCTGTTCTAGACTTGCAATGGGCGAGAGACTCGGAGATTCTATATTCTGCTTCGGCTGATATGCATCTTGCCAGCTGGGACCTCACCTCTGGAACGCGAATACGAAGATACGTCGGACATGAGGAGATTATCAATACCTTGGATATTAGCAAGCGAGGCGAGGAGATGTTGATTAGCGGAAGCGACGATTCGACCATTGGAATTTGGGATCCAAGATCAAAAAATGCGGTCGACTACATCCAGACCGAATTTCCCATCACAGCTGTTGCGATATCCCAAGCCGGCAACGAGATATACACGGGAGGCATCGATAACGACATTCGTGTATGGGATTTGAGAAAGAAGGCAGTGGTGTATTCTTTGCTCGGCCACACAGACACCGTCACGTCGCTGCGAGTATCGCCCGACTCCCAATCTCTGCTGTCATACTCGATGGACACAACAGTGAGAACTTGGGATATCCGTCCGTTCGCACCGACGGAACGGCATATTCGAACGTTTGACGGAGCGACCGCTGGAATGGAACAGAATCTGGCGCGTGCCAGTTGGGATTCAGAGGGCAAGAAGGTTGCAGCGGCTTCAGGCGACGGCACAGTGGTGATTTGGTCTGTCCAGACCGGAAAGCTGTTGTATAAACTCCCGGGCCATAGGGGCGCAGTCAACTGCGCAGAGTTTGCGCCCGGCAAGGAACCCATCCGTGAGTTGGCATCAGACTTGTGCTTTTCCTTGTGAGCTGTTTTCTGACATGATTATCTAGTGTTGTCCGCCTCCTCAGACCGTACCATGCTCCTTGGCGAGTTAAAGTGAGTTGAGTATCTAGAAACTTGCTTCACTGGGCTGTAACGGCAATGGGTAAACCATGCAACTGGTAAGCGCAGCTTGCAAGAACTCATGGAAAGGAAGCCCAGTGCAGCTCCACGGATTTTCCCTTCCTATACAGCCAGCTAGTGGCTACGAAATGAGGCTGGCCATGATGTCTTGCTTCGCCCATTTTAACCGCCCGCTCATACCATTGAGCAGGCTTCATATACCATCGGCTCTTGTATAGTATGCTCGTCTCAAATATGTGCCACTATACCCAAATATTAGTTCTCCTCATTAGGAAACGGGAAACATCAAGGAAGAAAAAAGAAAACCAAATCATGGCGATATTGGCATTAATGTTATTACTGGATTATAAAGCGATACCGGGAGTTGAGGGCAATATAAAAGAAATCGATTCAAGGATGCGAGCGAGAGGATGGCCATGATTATGCGCTGCTTGAGGGTGATGATAATTGCGAGCTACTTGATGATGACAACAATTGCGAAAACGGCCCAAATCCTCCTGGATGAGGAAATGAGTGGCTCCTCATCACATGAAGCTATCTTGTTTGGGTACAAGTCTGCAATCTATAATAAGCGCCGTTACGCTAAACGTTTGTCACAAGCCGCTCGCCTGTAACAGGTGAATGAAGGAATGAATGAGCTACTGTACACTCGGACTGATGTGAAATGTGAAAATAACAAACCCCGGTAAATCACGTTCCTAGGTACATGTATTCAGCCTGTATTATAGGTCTTGTTAAAAAGTGTCGTTAACTGTACCTGTGCCTGTAAGTATGCCATCGCGATGCTATGGAGCAAGAGGGCATTCGCCAATCTCGTGCCGACCCCATACACAAGCTCTTCCACATGCTCGCCCTAGGTCTTCGCATCCTTTCCTTCTCCAGACTGCATCAAACAATCGGTGCGAATCGCGAAACATTCAATTTGTCGAGGGAGCGACGCCGGGCCGTATCAGGTACCATTGAGGGCAATGGCGGCAGCAAATCCATTGGTGGCGGAGCTGCGTAGGCTGAAACACGGCCTCTTCAAGGACCCTTGACCCAGCCCCTGGTTTTGGCAGCCCCTGCACGGCCACTCGGATCAAGTTGATTTCGTTGATATTTGATATTGGTTTGACACAAGGTGGCGGGGGGAGGCGATACGAGCCGGCCAAAGGCCCTCCTGGTTCGCAATCCAACCTGACGACACCCTATTTTTGCAGATGAAGGCAGGGCGTGTTTCCGTCTTACATTGATGTGAGGGTTCGCACGGATTTTTACTCGTTGTGTCTGTGCTTCGGAAGAGAGAGGACTGCCCTTCCAGCTGGTTACTGGAGTTGTGCTTCTTGTCTCTTGCCTTTCGCAGTCTCTACACCAATGTATTGATTGCGCACTCTATTCTTTCCTTACTGTTGTCTTTTTTTCTTTCTTCTCTTGTCCTTCAATTCTCTTGCTTCCTCCTACCGATTTATCCTATTCCGTTCCTTTAATTTTGCGGCGACTAGAACTCTCTCTCTTTCCTCTCTGTGCCTCTTTATTCTCCTTCTTGTTGAGCAGGTTCTCGTCTTTCCCTCGGTATCATTCGCTGCTTTTTTCTGTCTGCAATCACACTCGAACACATCGAATCCGCTCATTGATTTTCATTCCTTTATCCCGACGTCACACGAATTTTCCAACGAGTTGCCGGCTGCGCCGCGACAGGACCGGAGAGAAACACACTCACCTACCAATTTCCACTTTCATGATATATAAAAACAATTAACGAATACACAACATGTCATCAGAAAGAAGTATGGAGCTGCTCCGCAGCGAGCTTCTTAGAAGGGCGCGAGGGGAGGAACGCGGAAACACTGCCCAGGACCAAAACCAGAACGAAGTCCTCGCCTCACGCCGACAAACTATCATGCGAGAAATGAACACGAGCCATAAATTCCCCAGACGACTACTGCTACCGCATCTGGCGATGGGGCGGAGGAGGGTAGGCGACGAGGAGGCTGCTCTGGAGAGCCCAAAGACACCTGTGGTGCCTTCGAGACGCGCAAACTCGCCGCCTCTCTACCGGATGAGCATGGCCCCTCGCTCTACAGTAGGAGGCCTGCCGGTTATTCCTCAGCCAGCAGTCCTGGCTGGATCGGATAGCCGTGGTGTCACTCCGGAGTCTATGACGCCAGGACCTGCGGATGCGGAGCAACAGGCGGACAAGAGGAATAAGTCGAAGCGCTTCTTGTTCTGCTTCCCATGGATCAAGTCGAGACATGTGCGGGCGCAGATTGCGATGTGCTTCGTGGCTGCTGTGTTCCTTTTTTCGCTGCTATCAGTGTGTAAGTGGATATCTGATTTTGCAGCAAAGCGTTGCGTTCTAAAGATAGGATGATGTTGAAATGCTGATATCCGTCATAGATTTGGGTCTGACACTATCAAAACATGCTGTTATTGGCGAGCTGAACGTCATGTTGATCATGATCATTCTCCTGGCGGCGGTCTTCTTCTGCTACAGTATCATTCGGTTATGGATTCTAATTGTTCGCGGAGACCCGCCAGACGTTCCTCGAGCCATTGACCCGCGCGGATATGCCGTTCCACGCAACCCCATACGAGTGGTGATGGCCCAAGACGAAGAAGCTGCCGGCGTCGAGAGCGCAGCCATGACGATGAAGCCGCCTGCCTACGGGCTCTGGCGAGAGAGTGTGGTATGTACAAGCATTACGAGGGTTATTCTCATGAGGACTAAGCTGACACGAAATCCAGCGCGTGGATCCAAACCGCTTCTTCTGGCAACGGAATGATGCTGCGCAGCCCACCGCTTCTCCGCCAACGACGGGACCGAGGCCACCGTCTTACATCTCCGAGGATGGAGTGTCATACGTGGTTGATGCGGTGCCTCGCTCTATTGCTCCGACATCAGAGGGCGATTCCCAGCCGGTGCATCCTTCAGAACGAGGAAGAGCTGGCCTGCCACCTCCAAGCTGAGAGGATTGGTAGGTTGGTAGGTACATGTAGGTGCTATACCTAGAAAATGGTCAAGGGTCTTGTTTTTGCTGGTGTTTCTTGGGCGGCAATGGCGTGAAATTACGGCTATGGCAGTACATGGGGATGCGTATGTACAGGCCAGATAGGAGGCGGCGGATTGTATGTTGCCGCCTGTCTACGGCGTTCTTGGTAATATAGGATGCCCGCCCATGATTTTGAATGCACACTCTGGCAGCTTTTTCCTCAAATTCCCTGTTTCTGCTTCCTGTTGCGTGATGTACTCGTTAATACTCACTGCTGCTTGATTCCTGTAACCTTAAGTTGTCCTGGATGTGCATTTGATTGTCAGTCACACATGGGCCACTTTTCCCATCCATGGATGTCTTGGCTGGTTGTCCCTTGCCCTGTCAAGGCGTCGGTCGAGAACTGGGCCTGTTCCCTTTCCCGGCGGGTGAAGGCGTCATGATTGGCTGCCAGACGCATGCACAGCTGAGAAATTAATATTTGGCCCAGCCCAGCACTTTTTCGACTGCGTCGGTGTTGGGATGTCCGCTAGCGCGTTGGAGTTGGATGCTACAGCAGCCATTTTCTAAGAATGGATGCTTGAAATGAACGGGTTTCGTATTTTTTTTTCTTTGCCAGACGGAGCCCGAGCTTCCATGATACCTCAAAGGGTAAGCTCCGTCATCATGGACTGCGGCGTCATCTTCGTTTTGGGCGAGCAAATGTTCCGTCACACCAGGGTTGTTGGCTGATTACTCCGTACGTGCAGCAGCATGACAGCGGTGATGGCATATTGTTGCATCGCGTCAGGGTTCTTGGACGTAGACTCGGGACACGTTGCCTGCGCCTGGCCTGGGCTGGAAGCAATCACGGGATCGTATTTTGGGGGAGCTTGGAGGCGGCGTGGGTTGCTAGTCCGGAACAAGAAGGCCGGGTTGGTGTTGTATACGGCGAGGATACATGTGTACTTGGGGATGATGCGGTGTTTTTTTTTTTTTTGTGTGGTTTTGGCCGTCAAATTAATTGGTCGGGTCAATGCGCTGCTGCTGGGTGTTGCATGGACTTTTTGATGCGGGTTGATTGGCGTTTTATTGCAGGTGGTACCTTGCATGCAGGCAGGATGGAATACAGCACGAGATGGGATGGCTCTGGGCGTTGGATCTGCTCGTAATACCTCAACTGATGCTATTGATCTGATTCTTGTGCAAGGTGCTGTTCAAGCTGAATCATGGGAATTGATGCCCGTGGACGTGTGTAGTTGGTACATGTCGATGTACGGCCATGTATGTACCTTACAGGTATCGCCCCTCGCTGCGGGTGATCCATCCAGCCATCGCTGCGCTGCGCAGCCCGTGGCGAACTTGCCAACCCCTCACCTCCCCCCAAGAGCGCTAGCGGTGGGGCGCCCTGCTAGAGCGGGAGGGCCCTGCAGCGCTGCAAAGGCAGTGATGATTGATGCCTCAGCGCAGCTCCAGGGAGGCAAGGGAGGCAACGCAACGCCCCGGAGCCTCAGCGCAGTGGGCGAACCACACACCCACAGCGGTCGCGCACGCACTAGCTGGCGCACCCACACGCATCAGACTCGACTGCATCTGCTGGAGACGCTTGAACCAATCCCTCAACCCGCGCCTTCGCCCTCGTCCACGCCGCTCCACTTCCCTATTTTTCCCTTTTCCCTCGATCATAATAATCTCCTCACGACAAGAAAAATTTTCCCTACCGGAATCACAAGTTTGTTGGTGGACGTCGCTGTTGTTGTCGCAGTTGTCGGAATCATATCAGGTTGCTGAAAGCAGAAAACTCTTACCAGACGCAGTATCTTTTTCTCAGGTGTGTATCTGTCCACCTATCCTCCCGCGCCCACAAAAAAAGAGGGAATGTCCTTTTGTCCGCTGCGACGGAATATGCCATCGCCCTGTCAAAGTTCAACCGGTGTTTTGCGCGCATCATTGGCTTCATCTTCATCGCTCCACGATACTTGGCGTAAGATGGGAGCCACGCCGACTTGCTCCTCTCCCCGCTGCTCCGACTTCCGCGGCGGCCGTTCGGTCCATGATGAAGCCATGTCTGTGCGACCATGTGCGACATGATCTCTGCATGTGCGACTCCGATCTCGACTCGATATTGATATTGCGACCGACTCGGGTGTGCGATAATTGCAAGGTCGCTTTCTGCGTTTGCTTCGGTTGGTGAAGAGAGATGATCGCATAACTGGCAGTGGTTACGATGTGCGTGTCTGGCTCATCAAATGGCGAAGAAGATCTGGCTTCTCTGCTCTGCATGATTGAGGCGACGAGCTTCTACTGCAAAGATGAAATCCATGCCATCCGCATACTTTTGCTGCCGCGTCGTTCAACTTTGCCCCGGACCACATCGAATGTGATGCATCTGCACTTACACCGAACCGCCAGCAAAGCCCTTCGCCCATCGAAACCGCCTTGTCCACGCCCTCGTCGGCAAAGATGACAGCTCGTGTGCAGAATACTCCGTCACCGACACCTTTGCTTTGGCCTGTCAGGTTTTTTTTGCCCCAATATACCCTGCAGTCGTTTAGCGAGGGAATTTCTTGCAGCCAAGCTAGCAACGGCGTTTCGAACAGCCCCGCGACAAACCATGGGCCCGCCATATTTAGTGGCCCTGATGGTTTCCTGGTTCCCGGCACCTGTCACGGATTAACGGTTGAACTTTGACTCGGTGTGGCATATGGATATGGCTCCCGATATAATGGCGCATGCATGGGGCTTCGCATATATCTGGCGCATCTGCTAACCTGGTTTCCTTGAGTAGAACATAACACATTATCAACATGTCTTCTCTCTCTCGTCGTGCTTGCTACAAGTGTGGCAACGTTGGCCACTACGCCGAGGTTTGCTCCTCCGCTGAGCGTCTCTGCTACAACTGTACGTGCAATTCTTTACCATGGAAAACGGAATCAGGAACACTCGGCTAACATGGTTAAAAATAGGCAAGCAGCCAGGTATGCGTCTTCGAAGCGAATCCCGACTCCTCCGCGATTACTGGTTCTAACAATTCCCTTGACAGGCCACGAGTCTAACGGCTGCCCTCTTCCTCGCTCTACCGAGGCGAAGCAGTGCTACCACTGCCAGGGACTTGGACATGTCCAGGCCGACTGCCCTACTCTCCGCTTGAGCGGCACTGCCACCAGCGGCCGCTGCTATAACTGTGGCCAGCCCGGACACTTAGCTGTATGTTTTGTGAACCATTTAAAGATGCGATATGGAGAGATGTGCTAACATGTCCATTGTAGCGTGCTTGCCCCAACCCCGGTAATGCCGGTATGGGCCGTGGCGCTCCCATCGGCCGTGGCGGCTTCGTCGGCGGCTACGGCCGTGGAGGCTTTGCCAACGGCCCTCGCCCTGCTACTTGCTACAAGTGCGGTGGCCCCAACCACTTTGCTCGTGACTGCCAGGCTCAGGCCATGAAGTGCTATGCTTGCGGCAAACTTGGCCACATCTCCAGGGATTGCACCGCCCCCAACGGCGGCCCCCTGAACACCGCCGGCAAGACTTGCTACCAGTGCGGTGAGGCTGGTCACATCTCCCGTGACTGCCCTCAGAAGAACAACAACACAGAGATCAACAACGAGGTTGTGGACCTGGGCAATGTCCCTGCCCCCTCCGTGGCTCCCATTGCTCCCGTCGCTTAGACGGCGCGGGTTGTCCGTCTGACACCCTCCTCCCCTGGTGGTCGGCAAGGTGACAGACGGGTAACTGGCCGAGGAAAGAAATCCAGGAGGTCGTTAAAAAAGAAAAAGATCGACTCTGGATCCTAGGCTGCATTTCTCATTATATTTTTTTTCTGGTTGACGCAACATATTTTTCGCTGCACCCCAGATTGTGCCTTTTCGATTTTGGTTTTTCTATTTATTTCCCCCTCTTTTTTTTACAACGGACGGTCGGCAACATTTCTTCTCATCATCGGCTTAAACGGAGTCTTTCTTTGGCTTCGGTTCATGCTGCGTCTGTTTATTTTTTTTCTTCACTCTCTCATCGCAGACGTAATCGTACCAGAGAATGGCGACGGCAAAAAACATACATTTTCCTGCAGCCCCCACCTCCTGCGTGACAAAGGAATGAGCAAAAATGACAGCGACAGCGGCGACGATATCGGAAGCGTCAAATTTTCTTTTTTCTTATACACATTTTCTCAAATTGAAGAGCGTCCGATTTTGGAGGGGCCCCTGGCTACGCAAGGGTCTCTTCGAACCGGTTCCTGGGCATACCCCCATCTTTCAAACGAATTTAACTTTGGATCACATCACTCGGAACTACCTACATATTACGGACTGAGACGACAGACGCTGTCAACGTAGCTCTTGACGACTTAAAGACTTTAGGCACATGCGATGGATATACCCCGCGAGGCTGTGTGTGTGTGATGTTGTGATGAGCTTGAATCGGCGGCGCTGCTCTTGGGGCTGCAAACAGTATCGCTTGTCGTTGGGGCTGATACGGGCCTCAGGTTTGCCCTGTACGTGCGGGCTTGAAGGCTCTGGCTGCAACGTCAGTGAAGGCTGTCACCTCCTGGGGTACACGAGCGCGCGCGCGTGCCAAGGCGGTGGATGCAAGATGTCTTGAAGAATTGGGCAGTTTGAGGATGCTGAGAGGAGATAAGAGCTGTGCGATCCAATGGCTGGGCGGCATGGAGAATACGAGCACGTCCCCAAGATTGACAAGGGAATGGGATCACGGGCATAGAAACATTGCCCGTGTTTTCGGAGTGGTTGGCGTGGCTGCCGGAGCAGAGGACAGCTGGGAGAAGCGGAAGATGCAATGATACAGTAAAATATGACAAGCGGAGAAGCACAGATGAGGAAGATGAAGAAGAAATCCTGTCATGAAACCCTCTTCTGAAGGCGACGGCGACACAGCAACTGTTGGCGCTGCGCGTTTGTGTTTAGGTGTGATGAGCGTGTGTGTAGATGTGTGCATGTGTGTGTTGTTTCAAGGCGAGTGAGGAAGGGTTGATGCAAGACGACTTGTTGGACAGAAAAGGGGGGGAAGATTATGCCAGTGCGACAACGACCAGCGTTTTGCATCAATCAACGACGCGCCGCCGATGGATTCCAGGTAAGTATCGAATATGCACAGCATCGACAAAGGTCAGATCTGGTCACATTGTCAATCTATTTGTCGGAATCAATGTGAGACTACTGACCCGTCGCAGACTCTCCTCTACTGGACTCCATTTGCTACCCTCTTCTCAAGAGATGTCTCTTTTTCAACCATCATGCAGAGGCTACCGCACCCCTGACGCGTACATGTAGTCGAAGTTGCACAGAAACAGCAGGATGCAACCTCTGTGCCCCGTTCCTTGGGGATTGCTTGCATTCTACAAACCTGCTGGTGGTGGCTTAATATCCAGCTCCATGCGTAAGGCAATGCACCTACTAGAGAATCCACCCATCCACCAGTCAATTCATCCAATAGCGTTGACGGCCCCCAAGCTGCAGACCACGAGGCATAATGACTCCAATTGGCTGGGCATCTGCTCGTACTATTTATTGACCGTAGGCATGCGGCACACGGTTCTAGCCCGGCGGTCTGTGTATTGGCCGACAGTACAGGTATGCTTAAAACGCGGGGCCCGTGACAAGAGAAGCAGTAGGTCTATTGCATTTTAGTCTTGCTAGACTGCATGTACTCGTAGATGTGAAACGGTAAAGAAGAGGGGATCAGTCAGCCTTGTAGAAGCAGCTGAGCTGTGATGGTTGCCTAGTTCGTTGCCGTTGGTGTTTCCAAGACACAGACTACATAATTTTTGCACTACACATGAGCGAATTTGCATCTCTTGTTTTCTTGAAGAAAGTCATTGAGGATACCGTTACAGTGATGAGTTGTGATATTATTTTTGCCTGTTTTGGAAATCTCGACTGATATTCTGCGTCTATTCGATTGCCACGCTGAGACTACAGGTAGTATTTCGTTTCTTTGGCGCACAATCTCACCAGACAAGACGAGACGCCCATATCGTTTGGCTTTCATACAGGAAGTCGCATTTCACGGAAGAGTCAAGATTGCGACTTCTAACATTCTTTAACCGCGTTCTAATCGTTCTTGCCATCCGCTCTGAAACCCGCTGGCCGCTGGCTTCTTCACAATGTCGTTCATCAACAGCGACAGCGACAACAACAGCTTTGCATCCCGGATCAGCGTCCGCACCAGACGGTCGCGCTCTGGACGCCGCATCTATCCGCGAGGGCATGATGACTATATGATGCCTCAGGATTCCATTCCGTTTCGCCCGCGGAAGTTGGTGAAGCACCAGACGCCGCAGGAGGCGATTGATGAGTTTTGGGCAAAGTTTACCACAAAGGCGCCGGGCAAAGGTGAGTCATGACGAGCCTTGATCTGTCCGCAAAGTAGCAAGGGCCGATATATATATATATATATATGAGTTTGGTCGGTTCTAATGATGTGATTTTCTGTTCTAGCGACAACTGTGATACCGCAGAATCCATACACTGCCAAGGTGGCTCGGAAGAATGCCAAGGCTGCATCCTCATCAACAACAACTCAAGCGTCTTACGAAACCGCGGCAGCTATGTGCCGGGCCAAGGTTGAAAAGATTGTCCAAGAGTGCCGCCGAGTCAACAAAAAGTATCGGGATCCGCACTTTGACCTCGAGGCTGACCTGAAGCTCTGTCGCCGTGACTGCCTGGAATCTCTCTCCAACTTTGAGCCTCTCGACAACCCAGGAAAAGACTTTAGACCTGGGAGCGCCAAACGCGTTGTGGAGATATTTGACAAGCCGCAGTTTTACGTTGAGGGTCCCACGGCTAATGACGTGAGGCAGGGGAGAGATGGGGATTGCTGGCTCATGTCGGCGTTGTGTACGCTGAGCAACAAGAATGGGCTGATTGAGAAGCTGTGCGTGGCGCATGACCAGGACGTTGGCGTCTATGGGTTTGTCTTTTACAGGGATGGCGAGTGGATTTCCGAGATTGTGGACGACTTCGTATGTTTTCTTCTTGTTTCAAAAAAAAATAGGATGCTAAATCTTGATATTGTCTAGCTCTATCTCACCAAGTCTGACTACGACGAGAAGCACTGGGAGCGAGTCCTCTTTGACGAGCTAGAGCGTGTCAATCCTGAGGAAGCTTACCGCAAGGTGTACCAGTCCAACAGCAGCGCCCTTTATTTTGCTCAGTGCCAGCATCCTCAAGAGACTTGGCTCCCGCTCCTTGAAAAGTGCTATGCAAAAGCTCACGGAGACTATGCTGCCATCGAGGGCGGGTATGGAGGCGAGGGTATTGAGGATCTCACGGGCGGAGTTACCTCTGAGATTTTCACTACGGACATTCTTGACAAGGTGGGTGTTCAGAGTAGTCGTGACTTGTTAGTATTGGCTAAACATGGTATTAGGAGTATTTCTGGAAAGAGGAACTGCTCAAAGTAAACCAAGATTTTCTCTTCGGCTGCAGTACGGGCGTCTGGGGGGTGAATTGGGGTGAGCGGAAGGGGATTCTTGAGCTTCATTCTTACTCCATCCAAAAGGCTGTGGACATTGACGGCAAACGGCTGCTCCGACTCAAGAACCCCTGGGGCAAAGGAGAGTGGAAAGGACCATGGAGTAGGCAAACATCTTATTTATACAGTGACGAAGAGGATGCTAACGCACAATAGGCGACGGTTCCAAAGAGTGGACTCCCGAGTGGCTTGAGAAACTGGATCATCGATTTGGCGACGACGGAGACTTTTGGATCGCTTACGAGGATTTACTACAGAAATATCAAGCTTTTGAGAGAACTCGCCTTTTTGATGAGACGTGGCGGGTATCTCAAATCTGGACTACTGTCAACGTTCCTTGGATGCTGGACTACCATGACACACACTTTTCTTTACGCATCACCAAGCCTGGTCCGGTCGTCATTGTGCTGGCGCAGCTGGATGATCGATACTTCCGTGGCCTCCATGGCCAATACAAGTTTGAGCTAGCGTTTCGCGTTCATAAAGCTGGCCATGAGGATTATCTTGTTCGCAGCCAGGCGCCGTACCGCATGAGACGCTCTGTCAATGTCGAACTTGACTTGGAGGCAGGCGAGTATGATGTTCGCGTCAAGATTGACGCAACTCGCCTCGACAGAATCTTGCCCATTGAGACAGTGATCCGAAATAATGCCAAGAAGCGGCGAGAGAAGCTGACCCGTATTGGTCTTGCCTACGATCTCGCACATAGCAAAGGCAAGATTGTTGAGAGTCCAGAAGAAAAGACTGCGAGAGAAGCACATGAGAAACGTATCAAGGACAAGGAGCTGCGCGAGATCAGAGAGAAAATTCTTGAACGTCGAAAAGATGACCATCATCTCAATATTAAACAACTCTCGAGGATCCAAAGGCGTGAAAAGGAACGGAGGGAAAAGCAAAAGACAAAGGACAACGAAAGAAGGCTTAGAAGGAAGAAAGACGACAAGGAAACAGACAAACCCCACGAAGACGATGGTGAACAACACGACGAATCAGATGAAAACCATGTAGCGCCATCTTCGCTCAACGGAACAGGAGCATCAAAAGCAAAAAAGAGGGCTTCAAGATCTGTCGCACCCGCAGATAAATTTGGCCGGCCAAGTTCGCCGCAAGAAGCCACAGAGCTGGGAGGCGCACCACCATCCTCTTCCTATTACGAATCCGAGAGTGACGGCGGCCTTGTAAGCATCGCTTCACTTTCTGAACTTTCTGACCATGAGCTGGATTTGCAAGTCAAAGCTTTTATGAACAACCAAGTAAATAAGCCTGTCATCATAACACCACCACTCCTGAGATTCGAAGACGAGCTCGATGAGTTTGAAAGAGACCCTTGGAACGCGGTTGTCGTGATTGGACTGCGGGTGTATCACAAGGTTGATGACGAAGATAAAAGCAAGGAGGCCATTACGCTCAAGGTGGTGCGTCCCAACCCGTATTCTGACTCTGAAGATGAAGATACGACAGCCACGGAAGAGCATGCCAAGGAAGGACAAGACTCGAAAAGTAAAGGCCTGGATGTCGATGACAGTGCCAAGGATGCGACTCTGGAGGGTGGAGTTAAAGATAGGAAGAAGAGCATTGTGGGCAATGGCGAGGTGCAGCAGCAGTCTTGAAGGCTCTTTTACTACGTATTTTCACGCAATTCTTTATCCCTATTCAACTCCGTCATGCCTTGTGGTAGCATGGTACTAAGGCGATGCTGTTTGGGGAGAGACTGATGCTGTTATACCTAAGAATCCTACTTCTGAAATAGATTTACGCCATTCGATGATATGAAAGAATGCTAGCGGCGCACTAATCTTCTAAATCAGTGTATGCGTGCCAGAATACAGTGTAATGATGAACCTTTGCTATGTGTAGGTATTAACGATGGACGACACTGAAGCGGGTTTACTTCTCTGAATCACAAAACCATATGGTACACGCGTTGGTAGGTATTTTTGGGGAAATTTTCTATCTCTCTACCAAGAAATTGGCTGTCAATGGTAATGCCTTCTGGAGGAAGACCTTTGCAGCTCAGATTTCTCTATTATCATTAACTACTCTTCCAACAGTAACGCCTCCTTAGCCATGCCGAGCGACGAAACAAACCAAGGGGAATCATGAACTTCAAATAAATCAGTTAAACCAAGAAGCAAATGCAGACACGAGCAAACCCCACCACGAAATAAACCACGAGCTCAACCACCAGTAGAACCATCAAGTATAAAGGCGCAAAATACACTCTGACAATTCTGTCGTTGTGAATTTAAAAGTGGCTATTGATGTGTCCCTTCAAATGCTTCCTCTCTGCTTAGTATCCAATCTTTCCATGACAGTAACGCCATGCTCAACCATGGGCTGGCTCCTCCAACACCAAAAGCGTATTAAGTCCATAGCGCAGAACATGGACTTGGGAAGATTTCATCCGTGTCATTTATCAAAAGTATTTTATAATTCAGCCTCTCCATCTCTGCCGTTTCTATCCTTCTCCTCAACATGAGTTGCGTTGAGGCCCTTTGCACCAGACTCTTCCTTTGGCGTTCCAGTAGTATCCTCAGAGGACTCAGCGGCATGTTGGTGCTGTTCCCAGGTCTCAGAAGGCACCCAGGTGGTGGACTTTCGAGCATTCGAGACCTCGCTGTAGAGCTGGTCAACCTGTTCCAAGCTGAGCCCCTTGGTTTCGTAGATGAAGAACCAGACGTGGGCAATGCATATGAAGCAGGCGCCGAACCAGACGAAGAAGATCTTGGACTGTAGGTTGGCATAGCCCTTGCCGTAGTTGACGAGATAGGGGGTAGAGTAGGCAATGGCCCAGTTGAGCAGCCAGTTGGTGGCCGTGGTCATGCTGAGCGACTTTGCGCGGGTGTTGAGGGGGAAGATCTCGCCGGTGACGACCCAGGCAAGGGGACCCCAGGTGGAGGCGAAGAAGAAGATGAAGATGCAGACAAAGGCGACGGCGGTCTGTTGGCCGGCGAGGTTCTTGACGTAGATGTCGCCGTTTTCGTGCTGGCCGGTGGACAAGGTTCCGCAGACGGCAACGATGAGCTGCGAAACGCACATGCCGATGGCGCCCATGAGAAGCAGTGGGCGGCGACCCCAGCGGTCGATGGCGAGGAGACCTGGGACGGTTGAGGCGACGTTGATGGCGGAGGTGATCATGGAGATGGTGAAGCCGCTGGACACGCCCGAGTTCTGGAAGTAGCGTGTGCCGTAGTAGAAGATGAAATTGATGCCCGTCAGCTGCTGCAGCGCCTGCAGGGCCATGCCGGTGAACTGGCGCTTGAGGATGGGCGGGCGGAAGCAATCGAGGTACGAGGCCTTGCTGACGCCGTTTTCGTACTCGAGGTTGGCCCTGATCTCACCGAGCTCAGCGATAACGGCAGGGTGTCCGGCGGCCAGGCGGCGGATGCGCGAGAGGGCGGCGGCGGCCTTTTCCATCTTGCCGGAGCGGATCAGGTAGCGAGGGGTCTCGGGCAGGAAGATCATGCCGAAGAAGAGGATGAGGGACCAGGCGAACTGGACGGCGATGGGGATGCGGTAGCTACCGGAGTCTGGGCGGTTGGATGTTGCGTTGTTGACGACGGCGGCGAGGAGGAGGCCGATTGTGATGGCGAGCTGGTAGGCGCCGACGATGGCGCCGCGGATCCATTTGGGAGCAGTTTCGGACTGGTATAGGGGAACTGTGTGATGTATGTTAGTTGGAGGTGGAGGTGGTGATGAGGTGGGAGACTTACTCAGGGCAGAGATCAAACCGACGCCGAAGCCAGCAAAGAATCGACCAGCGAGGAACAAGGGAATGGCAGTAGCAATTGTCTGCAGCACGACACCCAGGTTGAAGACCCAGGTCGAGATCATTAAGGCAGGACGACGGCCGAAGAAATCGGCCAGCAGGGGGGAAGCAAGGGCGCCAAAGAAGGTGCCTGCGGATAGAATAGACACGATGGCTGACTCCTGCGACGTGGTGATGTCGAGATCGCCGTTGGAGTTGCGGTAGCCGGTACTGAAGAGGTCTTTCCAGTAGGGCATGGCCATGATGCCACTAATGGTGCCAGTGTCGTATCTATTGGATCATGTTAGCGAGGTAGGCTTATAAGATATCAAGGGAGAATTCTCTTGACTTACCCGTAGAGGACACCACCAAAGGCGACGAAGAAGCCCATTGCGATGGCGGGCCATGAGGCGCCGGCCTCATCGTCGGGTTTGGAGGCCTTCATTTTCTCAAGAAGACCCATTGTGATGGAGTAATGCTGCTGAAGATGTAGCTCAAGTATGTGTAAGGTATTGTGAAGAATGGGGATAACCTCAATGACGGACGGATGTATACTTTGGAGAAGTCACTTAAGCCTCGTGGATAAACAAGAGCAAGCAAGACTCGAGTCCAACTGACGAGAAAGGGGATGCAGCAGGAGCATTTTATAGTTTAAAATGCACCGAAAGCTACTGGTTCAAACGTCTGTGTTGGGAGGACAGTGCTTGGGTTTGGGGCACAAACCAACTAGTCCACTGATGGGGTATACCGCAAACCTAATGATCCTGCCGAAGCCATATACGATACCTTGATTGGCAATACTAATAAGTCTCCTGGAGGAGTGGAGAGTGGTGACTGCCCCCGGGGGTTGAAGTTGAAGCTATTTTCTACGATTGTGGGGGAGTTTGTGGAGAAGGGTCATCCAAGCGTTTGGTCCAGCCCCGAAAAGGGCAAATTTTGGGAGCTTGGGAGCTGGGGAAGAAAACCTTGAGATGCCAAGGAGAGGGTTTTGCTTGGGGTTTGCAGGGGGGGGAAAGAGCCGTAAAGGGGCTGAGATGGAACTCCGGAATAGGCCTTTGGTTGAGGCTTTTGGGTGGCGGGCGAGGCTGCGTGGCGCTTGGAAGAAGCCGTTTTTAGTCGTTCATGGGTTGGTATTAGTTGTATAGGTTGTTTCTGAGAGATTTAAAAAAGCAGAGCACATCGAAAAGCCTACCTCATGACCTCATGACGCCCTTGAAGCCATCGACCCGAACCTTCAGAGAGGCTCCTTCTTTACTGGAGGGGAAATATCTACATCTACATCTACATTGCAGCTGCATAAATAATGGAGTCACTCCGTTCTCATTGTGGAGAAGTAAAATTCGCGATCTAGATGGTTTCTGGGACACACGCAGCAAGGGAGATTCCCAAACTGCGTCGGTGTAAGTCGGGTTGCGGCATGGCTATGCTACAGTGTGTATATATCGCCACTCATACGGTACTTGTAGCAGGTTGATTGCACGAAGCAGCCACACCAGTTTATTATTTTGCATCAACGCCGAGAGCGGAAATGAAAATCGACTTACTTTAGGACTCTCAGACAGTATCTCAAAGGAATTTCTATATTTTCTTTTCTTGCTATAATTCAATAGCGCCTGAAAGCGTCTGGTCCGCTGCCGTGAATCACCAAGACGGAGGAGGCATTGATTGCACTGTGTGCCGTGTGTGAGTAAGTCATTCCCGAACTCGGGATTCAGATGGTCAGCCACGGACAAGGCCGTTTCGCATAGCTCGGCGGGATGGAATAGCTACCTCGTTAATTTGTCATTCGGGTAGATCCAGTCTGCTTCCAGAGATTCCGTACACAGGTGAAAGGAGGGATCTCTCTGCTCAGATACCAGATCGTCGAACTCTGGTTCTTTGCTGAAGTTTGATAAGCAGATATGTGGACACTCGGTACTTGAAGCAAAGCAGCACAGAACAAAGTTATTCCAAGATCCACGCTAGACTACTCAAAAGAGGACTTCTCTACTCCATAGTCTCTCTGATAGAGCTCCACCATCTTCAGTCCCGGCGCCAGAGTCTTTCGTAGCGGCTCCACTCGAGACTAGAGTACAAGCACTAGATCCCGTGTTTGGGGAAGTTCGGTGGTGTTGAGAGCGTCAAGTCTAGTTTCCAACTTCCCCGGAGATTTGGGAGCGAAGAGAAATTTGCAATCATGTGGGCGTGTGAATTCACCTGTGTGGCCGCCTAGAGATGATCCAGCCGCCGAATGTGTGTGAATCATTATACATGTAAGATGTAGCCTTCATTGGTGGCTGTAACTTTAATCACAAAGCCCATATCGTCGTCTCGAGTGGCTTGTTATAGAGGCTTTCCATATCGGGCCGTCACCGAGCGCAATACGCACGTCTTCTATGCCACGTAGTCTGTTAGATGAAATTCAGAGGGAATAATGTATCACTTTGTGAGCATTGAAACCGATTCTGCCGAGCGACAGGGTGGGAATTCGACGCTGCCTTATCATGCTGTACAGTGTGAATGGATTGATGGCTAAGGCATGATGCATATCCAGGTATGCTTCAACAATTCGTATCCATAGAGTCGAAAAGAGGCCCAAAAAGGCGATTTTAGGAGGGCAGCAGTAAATCGATCTGCTGTATATGGATTTTGAGGCAGGCTGTTGGATGCTGAAGTCGAAAGTTGCTGTCAAAGACTGGACGTGCTGCCACTAGATGCTATTGGCAGAGGAAAATATGCACGGATATCTCGGCTACAGCTCAGATTTCCTCAGTGCCACCACAGATGAGACATCTTTATTCCATTTGGCATGAAAAGTCCTGGCTTGGATTATAGAAATGCCCTCTACTTAGTCAATATTACTATTGACAATTGTCATACATAGCCCTTAGGGCAGGCAACTTCACCGCCCGCATTTAATAGCCATGCGGGGTAGTATTTGAAGCTTGAGCAACCAGGATTCAATCATCTCATTTCAGAGTCTTGACTTCGCACTCTTCTGGGCGAGAGAAGGCCGACCGAGATGCGCTTCACCTCTTTCTTGGCCTTGGCTATCGTGGGCGTTACAAAATCGGTACGCGCTGCAGAACATCCGATCAAAGGAGGACAACCAATTATCATCGATACGGATCTATTTAGTGATGTGGATGACGTGGGTGCGTTGACAATTGCGAATGTTTTCCACAATTGTGGCTTGGCAGATCTGAGAGGGATCGTGATCAATTCACCGTCTCAATACGGAGCATTGGCGGCAAGTGTAAGTATATGCGCTCATACCAAAACCATGGTTGAAGAGGAGTTCCACTGACAATCTTTTGTTTTTACAGGCCCTTTGTACATACTTTGGAAATGATGTCCCTATTTCTGCCTTTCGACCAATTACGAACGATACATTCTTCGACAGCTACTTCTATTTGTCAGTCTTCCCCGGACATTGCTCTCCACTTACCTATGGCCTGCCATCTAACCGTTACAGATATGGTGAATATGCTAGCAAATTAGCACATAATTGGCCTCGCAAGATTGAAACGGCAGCTTCAACCCCAACACCAGTAGAGCTATATCGTACTATTTTGAGTTCTGCTGATGACAAAAGCATCCACATCATCTCCCTTGGCTTTCTCACTAACCTCGCCGATCTTCTCCGATCCAAATCAGATCATATAAGCCACCTATCTGGCTCGCAGCTCATCTCGGCTAAGGTGAGCGAGTTGATTGTGATGGGTGGGCAATACCCTTCGGGCTGGGAGTATAATTTTGGTGGAGGAGACCCAGAGAGTACCGCTTATGTTATTCACCACTGGCCAAAAAGCGTCAACATTACCTATTCAGGCTATGAACTCGGCGTTGATATCCTCTCCGGGCAAACCCTTGTGCAGCGCTGTCCTCCCGATTCTCCAGTCCTGAGCGCTTACCAATGGTATGTAGGCCGCGGCTCTACCATTCGTTCATCCTGGGATCCAATCACAACACTATATGGGATTCTGGGCCTTGAATGGTTTTCGAAAATAGGCATTCGCCCCATGCTTGCGTACTCAAATGAGTTTGGGTATAACAACATTACTGCAACGAACGGATCTAATGCATGGGTGAATGATACTGGGGTGAGCAACCAGCATTGGCTACGACTCGCTGAAGGCTTCACAAATTACAGCATGGCAGGGATGCTTGATGAATATTTTACGCATGATCCATCTCTGCAGAGTTGCTTTCGCTATGAAGTACTCTCAGCTAACCATAACGGAGCATTTTAGAGGGTTACTTTAAATGTGAATTTTGCAATGAAATTCGTCACTCTGCACTTAATCAAACGCCACGGGGATTCTACAAGCAATATTGAGTCATTAATAGAATAGAGCCTAAGCCCATCAATCTGAAGCACATATACTCATTACATCATAATCCAAATTAAGAGGCATATTTGCTTTCGCCTCACTTTCTCGGTGCTCGTCCATTGTAATCAACTCCTGCCTCCGCCGTGTAATTGGCGAAGCAGTCATAGTCAAAGTCAATCTCGTCAATTCGCTTCTGAAGAACTGACACAACATGGTCGAAAGAGCAAAGTCCATCGGCGCTCTTTGGGCATCCGTGATAAGAATCTGAGATGGGAACGACAGCATCGTTACTGTGTATGACAGGATTAGCTCGCGATATGGCACTTATTCAAGTCCAAGTACTTACACCAAGAATCGGATCTGTCTAGTAGGCTTGAGCGCTGGGCATTCCAAGATCTGGGTGGTGAAGTGAGTGGCAAAAGGAACAATCTTGCTAGCAATGAAAGAGTTTCGCTTTTAGTTACCAGACAGGCTCAATGGCGGGCCTTGGAATAGTCTGGTCAGGTTGAACGCGGTGAGAGTGTCAAGGACAACGACTTCGTGAGTCGCATCGGCATAGATAGACTGGTTCAACGGGAAATAAGTTTTGTTGTCGTCATAAGTGAGGTTCAAAGCCGAGTCAGCTGTGGGAAATGAGTGCGTGAAGCGGGCAACAAATTCTTGGAGATAGCCTTTGCCCTGGGCAGCGGCAACTGGAGATCCGGGGCCATTGTTATAGTAGAAGGACTTGATATGTCAATACAATATTATTCCGAGAGAGACTGCAAAGAACTAACCAGATCATAGTAGTATTCGTAGTTTAGGAAATCTTCTTCAGTGAAGAGATTACAGAAAGCTGAGTATCCTAGAGCATGAGTTTCGTAAGAGCATAGCTGAAGCATAGCGATAGCATCGGTAGCAGTCAGGTTCAGCCCAAGGATCTAAATGATTCATTAGCACATTTATGACCTCGAGAGTAATGTCTTATAACTCACTTGAGACTGTAGGCGAGCAATCGTGCTGTTGAACGCATTTGCGGCAAATTTCGTTGCGACGGTAGATCCAATGCTTCCGCGGCTGGCAATATTGGAATTATTGCACACTTCATACGGAGCACCCGAGTTGTTGAGGCCAGGGGTCTCTACGAGAATCTCGATGTTGACTTGGTTCAAATACTCCGGCACGCCAAAGAAGCCAGCAGCAAAGTTTTCAGCAGTCTTAACCATACGGTCCTGCGATTCAGTGCGGAAGACGGGAATCGTGTTAGTGGCGGTGAAGTTGTTCAGAAGGTGGCCATACAATTGACGATATGCCACTCCGAGATTGAAGTTTTGGCTGCGGCCAAAGGGAGTCAGCAGCTCTGCACCGAGCTTATAAGTCCAGCTGGATAGGAAAGACAGCTCTCCGGTGACGTTGAATCCCTCTGCTAGGGTCGCGTTGTGGACTTTTTGAGCAAAGGTAGCCGGAGCGGCGCCGCTGGTGGGATATCGAGCACCGTGACGGTAAAGAAGATGCAATTGGACAAGATTACAGCCATCAGGAATCAATGGGCTGGCATTGGGAAGGCCGTAATCCGCAGAAGAAACAGAATACCAGGGAGAAAGATTGCCCCAATACTTAGTTATGTCGATTTTCTTGTCAAATTTGCTCGCTCCCCAAGGCTGCGCTGCAACAAGCGGGAAACTATCCGAAGGTCCATGATTATAAGGATAGATTGGAGCAGTTTCGATAGCAGCTGGCTCCTCTCCCGTAGGCGTGGGGCCTGGGTATCTTACTTTGGACTCTGGCGGAAATAACTTTGAGTTGACGTGCGCTTATGCGGCAGCGCCATCAGCACCTTGTTCGTATGAATAGTTGTGTAGAGAGTTTAGAGCAGAACTTACTACCAGTAGGAGGGTAAGCATCTGAGGCAACTGCACCGGCAATGGATGACGCCTCAATGATTGTGTTCACACTTCTTGCAGAGCTAACCTCAGCCAGCAATGCGAGTAGAACGGTTGAAGTGAGCGTATCGGAACGCATTTTCGTCAACTATTACCGGCAATCTACAGTACTCTATCCCTTGAATATTGATAAAAGTTTGCCAATTGATCAAGCTCAAGTACAATATAGCGGAACATCACTGAGATATACTATTATATAGCCCGAGGCTCAACGTGCTTGGACCGTTATCTGATCCGTTGACCGAAGATCTCGACATCGCACACCAATCAGGCGGTTTGCTAATGGCACGTTTCGAAAGAATCATGAAAATGCGGTATAGCTTGGATGGATCTAATCGCCAAATGAAGAAGTGGTAGATCGAATTTGTGGGATGACGAAAGTCCTTCGGAGTACGACGGATGACGACTTACATACGGTGTGAGGTAGAGGCATGTATTGCATCAACCAGCACTCTACATACATCCACTAAAATACAACCCAAACTCCCTACAAAGTAAATACGGGATGAACATTTATACGCCAGAGTAACTTAATACAATTTCACGTATTAGCTGAAAACTAGGTTACATCGCTCGATTTGATGTACGATAAATCTTTCAGCTTAAAGCTGCCTTGGCGAACCACGTCATTTACTTTCTAGACTGCGTGGCACAAGCAATAGTGAATGGCGCGTGCATACAATAGCATGGATATTCGCCAGTGTTCACCACACGTGCCTGAGAATGTTGTTGGTAATAATATTATATCCCATAGAGAGAACATTATGAGCAAGAAAAGCCTGTTCGAGAGCCGGATACATACGCTGCCATTTTCCAAGTGCGGATTTGAGACCCTCCCGCATAGAACATCACGCAATTACTGGTCTAAGCTGTCAAAATGTACGCAGGGGCCTTGCCGATTCAGCCGAAGATCCACTACCATGATCCCTATTCAGTATCATACACGGAATAATTTGATCAACGTCGGCGTTTCTCTCAAAGAAACTTCCGTGATTTGCTGGAAGGATTCTTGATGTTGGCCCCCTGCGTCGTACACTTTTGTACCTGAGGAGAACGTGCTTGTAATGTATGAAAAATCGCTCTTCATAATCTAGGTTATCCTGTATTGCTTTACAAAAGTTCTGGGTCTGTTAGATCTGCCCCTCAGCCATGTTAGATCCTTCCCAACCTCCATCATAACGCCTGGACGTAAGCAAATAGTTGCTGAGATTTTGATGCGGCATTTAACTGGTGCTTCAATCAGTTCATCCATGCCATAACTGCTATTAGTATAGCAATGAAATCAGTCTAAACATTAATTGAATCTCATAAACGTCAAATTTCGCGCTTCATTTCTCTGTAAGTCCGTACTGATGTTCGAAATTAATTTAAACCTGTATTTTAACAATGTCTCTATATGCCAATCTATATGCAATTAACTGTTCCATAGTGAAGGAGTCGAGCAAATGAACATTTCCAAACTGAGGCTCACCCTGCTCACGTCTAATAATTTCTTGTGAGAGAAATGCGGCTTCCATCGCATTGATTCTGACTGACTTTAATTCTCAGGCATCATATCTCATTTGCGATATAATTCCCCTTTCTTGATAGTGAGGATCAGGGCTATAAAATCAGGCATTAGCTTCGTTACAGCATCACATAACGCCATACGACTTACTGCAAATACCGGCAGCGAGAAACATTACGCCGGCAAAGATTTGTACGTTGAGAAAACCATCCACACCCGGCTTTCTCAAGCTAAGCCCAATCGCCTCCGCAAAGGTATACGGGAGTGCAAGTGTGAGTATTGAGAGAGATATAGCTGTGCATGAAATGTCAGAAGCGTGGCTTCCACCTCTCGTGAAACTTTTTCACACTTACCAGCAGGCATCAGCTTCAATCCAAAAATTGAGGCGGCCATGACCACAAAGGTGGCCCACAAGAGACTGGGAAACATGCCCAGTAAGCCGTATACCATCAAACCGCCATATGACTTGCCGCCAAATATCCAAATGAAAAATGTAATCAATGCTGAAAATAATGTTCCGGCTGTAGTAACTCTGATTGTGCCATATCTATCACAAAGGAAACCGATGATTGGGCGACCAATACCAGTCGAAACTAATAGAGCAAAAGGATTAGCGCCACGAAGTTAAACGGCAGGGCAGAGAAAATTTCCACGTACGATTGAACATGGCAGATACCAAAGAGCCTTGTTGTGCCGAAAATCCAATTTGCTGAGCGTATGCTGAAAGAGAGAAGACAACAACGACGTATCCCAAACTGGCCAACCATAGCCAGCCGAGAAACAACCAAAAGTCAACCATCTTGAAAAGTTTCCATTCAAAAGCCTTGAGTGTGGCCTTTGAATTCTTGTTGGGGTCCTTCAGAAATAGAGCAGAGATCGAAATCACAACAAAACAGATGATGCCCATTATTCTAAAAGTCCAGGCAATGCCCAGCTTTTGAATCATTGCATTTGCAGCTAAGGAATAAGTCAGACCGCCAAAGCCCGTTCCACTAGTTGCAATACCATTTGCGAGAGATCGCCGTTTTTTGAACCATTGAGGAACTAAACTCGCAGTTCCGGTGAAGCATATTCCCATGCCGATGCCATAGCAGACTCCTTGACTGAGGATGAGCTGCCAGATAGTTTTCGAGAAGGATGCGGCAATGTAGGCGCCTCTACAAGAGTGAATTAGTGGGATACCCTTAAGGGAATTAAAGGATGAGGAACGCACGATATGAATATTCCTCCAATTATGACGGTAACCCGAACACCCGTCATACGATATAATATGGTCGACAACGGCGGCACGAGAAAAGCTAGGATAAAGGCGTTAAAATATTTTCATTCATCGCAATGTGGTATTGATGGATCAAGTTACATACCAACTGAAAAGCAGAGACCTCCAATAAACGCAAACTGTAAAGGAGTAGCCCCCGGATAAGTATTGCTTTTTAGATAGAATGCTAAAAATACACCAAACATCTAGAGCACATCGTTAGTCAAGGCCTCTCATTGTATGTGAAATGGAACTTCTCACAGAATTTATTCCAAATGAATGGGCCAATACTAAGCAAACGGCTGCCACGATGACCCTACGTGTATAAGTGTAAGCTGCTGATGGCATTAGAAATAATTGCCTAGAAATCTCACCAGCCATATCCGCCATCTTTAATGTCTTCTTCCTCTTCAGAGTGCTTTTCGGTATTCACGGGTTCATTTTGAGAACTGTATTCTGTAAAGTCGCCCTCGTCAGAGCTTTGCATTACACCTGATGGTGTTTCGGAGTCCTTCTCAGAGACCATTCTTCGAGACAAACACCTTGTACTGGAGGTACCAGGCAGCACACAAGACAAATACGGATGATTGGAGCGGATGTCTGAGACACCTTCTGCCCTATCCTTTATACCATCAACCGAGATCGCTATAACTATGCTCCCTTGGATATCTCCGCGACTATTTCCAAGTAAGCCATGATGTAACTCTATTCTAGGCCAATTAGCATTGAAGAATAGCTCCGGTCGACCAGTGGCCAATTAGATGCGTCTGTTATCTCCTACGAAAAGATGGCTGTCCAATCGGGGACGCGTCTTATTTCCTGAATGTCTCCACAATCCCCAGGTCCTTGCAGCATATGACTCCAATCCCTTTGCCGTTCGCCTGTTGATATTCTCGGGTCCTGTTTCGCACCTCGAATCCCATCATTCCTTATGCTTATCTCGCCTCTCCCTTCTTGCATGATAACTCCGCGCTTCAAAAGCCACCGAACTTCTCAAATTCCGCATATTTGTCAGGGAGATTCACCCGGGTGTCTCGGAAAATGGAAGAAAAGCCGTCCAAGTCCGCGTTGGCCATCCCTCGCCGTAGGCGCAATAGAATTCGAACTTCCTGCCGGCCTTGTCGTGCCAGAAAGTCAAAGTGTGATGGAAATCGACCTTGTTGCTTGACGTGTTTGAGTAGAGGACTTCCTGATCAATGTGTTTATGAACAAACACGTCCGGGGCAGCAGAGGGTTCTTTCGATCCGGTATGCCAATTCGCCATATTTTTTCATCGTTATACAGAAATACTGACTTGGTGCCACGTCAAGGAATATACCGTATCTGTCTCCAAATAACACAGTCTCATCACAAAGTCCACTTATTACGTCAAACAGAGATTCGCTTGCTGAGCACTCAGCTGAATCTAAGCCGCCGGGCAAGCCATGGCCGGCTGAAACTGCTCACAAGAATACTGGTAAAGATACCTGCATCGAAAAGGGATCGGATTTAAAAGATACTGTCCGCCGAGATGAAGCTGCATGGGGTCCCCCCTCAACTCATTCTTTCATCAATCGAGTGATCGCCACGATCGAACCCTGCAGATCAACGCCAACTAAAAGCTCATCCTTAACCAAGCCATTTCTCAGTGATCCAATTGGATTTACTGTCTCAAATACCGACGATGTGGGTTTAGAGATGGATGCTCTACTAATACCCGAGAAGAATCTAGCAGATTCTCTTATTAGCACGTACTGGCGGTATTCGCATCCGGTTTTCCCTGTATTGCATCGACCAAGCTTCATGAAGAAGTACGAGAATCTTTGGAAGTCTACAGAATCTTTCTCATTATCAAAATATACAGGCAATGATATACTCCTGCTCGCCATGATAAATGTTGCCCTCGCCATCGGCTGCCAGCGGTCTGAACACTGTCCTGCCAATTGGAGAAAGCGAGATGCTGAGTCGCTATACAGGCGATCAGTTCGGCTGATTTCCGCCGAAACACTGGACTCATACTCGTTTGAAGTGTTGCAGCTTTTTTTGCTGAGAGTTATCTATCTCCAATACACGCCTTTTGCCTCGCGATGTTGGAGTACGCTTGGCATTGCTCAGAGAGTTGCTTATGGGCTTGGGCTCCATAGAGAAGCCCCCGAATCGATGGGCCAATTAGAACGGGAGATGAGACGTAGAGTGTGGCATATTTCAGTTATAATGGATAGGCAAGTATTAGCCTGCGTTTGTGCACATTGTCTTGTAATTGATATGCGAGAATGAGTATTCTAATCGGTGAGAAAACAGCATTGCATCATACACATTTGGGTGGCCCATTACGAGTAACGGACCAGACCCAGTGTCAACACCGCAGGCAATTGACGACGAGTACCTGATGGAGGAGGGAGAAGGGTCTCAACCAGTAGATAAGCCCTCTCGGCTCGCTTTCTTCCGACACTATCGTAAAATGTGCGACGTTCCTCGAGAAATTGCAGAAAATATACACCTCGTCGGTCAGAGTTTAGGTGAACAGGGCTCAATTTCCCTTTTGACCAAGTATATCAGTGAAATTCCTAAATATTGCCTCCAGTTTGATGAATTTATCAGCAGTTTACCCAGTCACCTCCAGGAAGCGAATGAGCACGCTGTGGACGAATGCTTCCAGATTCAAGGGCAGATACTGAGGACACGGTAAGCCCAATTACCAATTTAGACACTGCCTATTCTAATCCTGCTTAGTTCAGTTTATGTCAAGCTTACTGTTCTTCGCCCTTGCTTGCTAGCAAGCGTATCAAATCGAACCATACGTTCGGAGCTACGTAAAGCAAAAACCGGCAACGCCAGTCTCTCTATGGGGCTACTTAATGATATCAATAAGCTCTGTGTTACTACGGCACGGGAAATCCTTGATAAAGTGCACAAGAATATTCACATCGTGTACCGGGCTTCGACTTGGCACACATTGCGTGGTAAGCCACCAGTATGCGGGTGCCAACTTTTGCCAAACTAACTATTGACAGTAACATTTGGGTCTGCAACCGTCCTTTTAGCGGCTAGTTTAATGCCAGACTTGGGCGTGGATCTAGACCAGGAGCCAAATAAAACTTCATGGGAGCAGGCGATCGCCATTTTCGAATTTTACATATCGTATGATATTTCTGCACAGGGGGGGATACAGGCCTTGTGGGACTATCGACAGAAATTAGAAGCCACCAAGAGGCGCGGAGAGTCCTCATTGACTGAAATGACCCGAGTTGAGGCACAGCAAACCTCTCAAGGAGGTTCAACTGCTGCCGTATCTGCTGAAACTTTCCCCAGCATGGAGAATCTGTTTTTCGGAACTGATGCCCAGATTTCAGGCAGTGATCTCCCCCAGGCGTTTTATGATTGGAATTGGCTTGATTTTGACATTCCAGAGTTTATGATATCATAAATTTTTGGATGTCCTTCTGCCATTTCCTGATTGCTTGACAAAACACGCTATCGGATCCATATATAAGGCAAGCAATACAAGGAATACAGGTATCAGATCACTTATCCACCTTCTGTGCATATGAAAATTTCATCAATGTAATGTATGATACCTAATGATATGGTATTGGAAGGGTGTATTGGTTACATGTAGCATAGGATTGAGGTTTTAAAGGGCCTTCTATTGATTTAAGGAAAATATCGTATTGGCCTGTCAATAATAGTTCGATGTATTTGATGGGAACACGCCGCTTGATGAGCCCAATAATCTCGCATCAAGAGTCTGAATCTTCGATTACTCCTCTGTGCTATTGACGATTGAGATGAAGTGATACTCTTCTCCAAGCTCAGATCGAAACCTGGTCCGCAGAGAGCATTAACCAACTTCAGCTCCTTTAAGAGAATGTTTGAAGTCAAACTTCAGTATAATCGCCTAAATAATACACCAATCATCTGAGGTTCTATATAATCAACAACGACGCTACAAATAGCTGCGAATATATGTAGTTTACCTGTGTAAACGATAATTCAATGTGCTATCTAATGCGCTGAGTTAAGGGTATTATGTCAAGTTATAGAAAAGCTACGCCAGCAGCCAATGCAGCGACAACGCCAAATAGCGTAGGGCTACAAATCGGCGCAAGGCCTGTAGAAGTCGACGTCGGTGCCTCGGCTGTCAGAGTGGGTGAGTGGATGATGGATGTGCCGCTAGTGATGTTCGATCCAAAGGGAGCCGAAGTTATAGTAGGAGAGAGTGTCTGGCTGGGGCCTGAATCAGATGTCACATTACCTCTGGCAGTCGTAGCTGGTATAGTGCTGGTTGTTTGGTCGTCTCCGTCCACTTTGGCGTGGTCAAAGGCGATGTTGTCGAGAGCTACCATTGGGTAATCAATGGTGATCGAGGTGGACCAGAGGCTCACGACGATAGTAAATGCGGTGTGACTTCCGTCTTCATTCGGGTTCCAGGGAACCGAGAATGGACCGGTACCATTTTTCGTCATGAAGATATCAAATGATGCGGCCTGTGTTACAATTATTCCGTTCAGAGACTGCAGTTCCACGGCGATCTTTGTTTCGTCGTCATTGAGCTCTCCATCAGCTAACAGCGAGTAGTCAACTGCCAGGTCAAATGACAAGTGACCGGTGATGAAATCCTTGCTGCCGAAAGCGCCGTAATCAAGCTTGATGTATTCTTTTCCCCAGAGGACATTATTCTCCAGTTTGTTGGATAATGTGACATTGGCAATTGGGTTATTGCAGGCTGTCGTCTCAACAGAACTGACCACAGATGCACCGGTGATTCGCATGCCCTTTGCTTAGGTTAGAACAGTTCTATAACTGAATTAGTATGATGAAATGTGACGACATACCGCATATGTTTTATTCCTGGATTCGAAGGCAATGCTTCCGCAGTTATCATCATTGGAGACATCTACATCTTCAAACTTGTCATTTTAGTATAATAATACGTTCCTTGATAAGAAGATCCCATTTACGTTGAGTATGACTCTTTCGCTGCAGACCAGAGGAATGAGACCAAATGCTACAATGAGGCTGGCAAATTTCTTCATGATGTTTTTGGATATGCCAATACTGTTTGCTGGAAAGCGCGTCAATAGTTTCGAGATGGAAGTAGCTTGGCCGGAACTGTCTCTTGATATGTCATCGCTCTTGTCTGCCCTTTATGTATTTGAGTTGCTTGCTATTTACCTGTTTCTCTCAAATTGACATCATAAGACTCAAATGGTTGTTTTTGGGTTGCCTACATCTACCATAATAGCACTTGGTTATGCTGTCTGGATGAGCTCAACTTACCACTATCCGTTAGTCTGACTTTCAGTAGGTATCAGCTATTCTGATTTCGTGGAAGTGCAGTCAGCAACTTGCTTTAGGCAGTAGTTTATTCCAAAATTAGAGTCTCGCGTAGCAGAATGACTGTCGATCTGCCGACGCATTGATCCCATGTGGCTGTGTTTGGACTAAACCCGCTTAAGTCTGAAAGAACTGCTCAGATATTCGTGGGGTGCTTACGACGCCAAGACCTCGCTTGAGGTTTTTCCACCTATCTGTCAGTACAGAAGCTCCTGTCAAAAGAGATAGATGATAATTTATGCTTATTGAAAACTGAGCGAACTAGGTCTCGCTAGCACGATGCCTCGACCAGGGCTATTTGGCTACGGTACTCTTTCCCTATTCATACCACAACCTTTCTTGATTCTCTACAGTAACCCTGGTTATCACAGCCTCTATCACAAACCTTCTGTTTAGACCTTCCTTCCTTCGTTAATGCAACATTCGTTCCACCCTTCCTTTCCAACTAGCCAACTTAGCCTAAGGCCTCGACCAGAGCCTTTTTTTGCATCGCCATCCTTCCCCCGGCCTTCTCTATCTTGGTTCCCCCACCAACCCCCACCAACTTGATGGCCTCTTCAATGCACCTTGTAATTGGTTCAGTCCAGACCTGGATTAATAATCCCCTCGTCAAGTTCTCCCAAGGTTAATGCCTAGTCTAAATAACTGCTGGCCGAGTTGTTGAGACACCTAGTTCTGTAGCTTCTCATTTCATCTAAGGCCAGGTCGGCTCGGTTATATTTAGGTCTGACGTATTGAACACTAAAAGAGGTGTTTAGTTTGCCGTTGGTTGTCAACTTATGGTCAAGAACAATCAGGTAAATACGTGGGAGCCTTCGCATCTGAGTTTCTAGTCGGACTTCCTGTTGTGACTAAGTAAATTTAGGACTGTGATTTCCATTTTATACTAATACTATACAACCCGTTTCATTTTGACTAGCAAAGTGTGATAACCTAAATTATTCTCAAAGTGAAAGGTGAGCTAAGATAATACACCTAAATAAGTGTTTATGAGGCCTCCAACAAGATTCAGTCGTAGCCTTACTCAACTTTCATTCAAGATTCTAGCAGCAGTTTAGCTAACAGGGCCAAGTCTCCCTTTGTTTCTCTTTGCAAAGACATTAGCTACAGCAGAGAATTAAACAACCACCAAGCGCCTGAAGCATCCCAAGGCGGCTTAGCATATAGGGCGGCCTTGACCGCCAGCAAAAAATGAGGTCATTCTGGAAGTTGAGTATACATTTCTTTGCACGACAACTGTAGGCAGGCTAATCACTCTACTGCTTATAGAGGGCTGGAATTAACTAATATTTATGTTAACTCGAGTATTTACACCCCTCATTCCTCTGCTCTTTCTATCTTTCACCGCCCACAGATATAAGACGTAGTAGTATAAGAACAGTCTGCCCTTTAAACACTGATATTGCAGGGGGGAGAGCCACAGCACCATCCATGACCAGCGCTAAGCGATCCTTCAAAGTCAATGTTGTGACAGTTATCGTCAGTCCTCCAAAGCTTCGCAGAGAAGTCGTAGTTACCATCGTTTGGGTCTTTTCGGAAACTATTTTAATTACTTCAATCAGCCTATTCTTTTGTCGTCTTATGTTCTGGGGCCGAATGACTGAGGCTTTGCAAGTTGCAAGATCTTGAACTGGTAGAAACTTGTTGCTTCCTCAGACTAAGCCGGTTTGGGGAAGTTTAGCGCACCTCCAGACTGGATCGCATACCGAATTAGGCATGCGAAACATCTTCAGTTCTTGGAATCAGCCTCAGGTTTGAACGAAACGATCTGTATAGTTTAGTATAAAACCCCTCGAAACTAGCTTGGAATAAAGCGACTATACGACTTTGTTCAACAAATATCTGTGTCATGGAAGGCATCATGATTGTCAATTTACTCTTGGTAGCTTTGCTGCTTCTCCTCCTGGAACCCCTGGTTACATATTATTTGGATTCCAAAAAGCTTCGTCGGTTCCCCAACGCAAGTCTATTATCTGGAGTATCCGACCTGAGCTATATACTTCAGAGATATCGCGGGTTTCGCTCAAAAGAGATTCACAAAGCTCATTTACAACATCCCGTTGTCCGCGTTGGCCCCAACTCCCTTTCATTCTCGACACCCGACGCTATCAGAGCTATATACGGACACAATACCCCATGTATCAAAGGAGGCACGTATGTGACAGCAGCAGGTGCGCATCCAAGCCTGCTCGATGTTGTGAATAAGGAAGAGCATGCTCGCAAGCGCAGGATCTTGTCGCACGCCTTTGCTACCCGGAATCTGGAGCAGTGGGAATTCAAGGTTACAGACAAAGTTCAAAAGCTCATTGCGCAATTTGATCTCGTATGCCACGAAAATGAAGGAGAAGCGATAATTGACTTTCGAACGTGGAGCAATCTCTTCACGATTGAGGCCATTGCAGACATTGCACTCAGCCATCATCTCGGCTGTCTTGGTCAAGGAAATGATCTTGTTGCAATCACCACCAAAGATGGCCGTGAGAAAACGGTTAATTACATCGATTGCCTTCATGCCGGAAGACGAGCAACGTCAATGTTGATCTGGTCGACAAAATGGTTTTCGTCTTTACGATTCGTCTTGAAGAAGCTTCCAGGTTTCTTCCAAACCCAGTGGCGCAAGGGTCAAGGCTTCGATGAGATGGTCCACTACCTCGTTCAGCAGCGTCTTCGACGATATAAAAACGGAGAGCAATTAGAGGATTTCGTTGGGTGTCTCTTTCAAGATAAGCATGGGGATGCCCGAAACTTGGAGATTGGCGAAATTGAAGCTGAAGTGGCCACATTGCGTAAGTCATCTCGCATTGACCGAATACATCCGTTTTCTTTCTCTTGCTAACAGTTAGTAGTGGATGCAGGCTCCGATACAACTGCCATCTCTCTAACCCACGCTATGTATTTCTTACTAAGGACGCCAGTAGCATTGTCCCGACTCCGTGAGGAATTAAGGGTCGCATTGGATGACAGCCAAGAAGTGTCCAAATATGCAAAGGTGAAGAACCTACCATATCTACATGCGTGTATCAATGAGTCTTTGAGGTTACTGCCGCCCGTTGCATTTGGCTTGAACCGCATGACGCCACCTGAAGGGCTCATGATTGATGGCAATTGGATCCCAGGAAATACTCTTGTGGGTGTTCCAGCGTACACGGCTCATAGAAATCCTCTATTCTCGTCCAGTGAGCAATATCAGCCGGAGAGATGGCTGAAAGACAACATCAAAGAGACACAGGGGATATTTATACCGTTTAGCACGGGAGCAAGGGGTTGTATTGGCCGCAACATCAGCTACATTGAGCAGACGGTGCTCTTGGCGACTCTTGTTCAGCGCTATGATCTCAGTCTTGCAGATTCTGGATGGAATTTGGATCATGAAGAAGCTTTCAACCTCTGGCCAGGCCCATTGCCTTTGAAGATTAGACGCAGAGAGAATTGTTGAGCGTCCGTTGGTGCCATGCGATCAAGCTAAACGCAGCATTTCCGAGTGTTGATTGGTATAAGTTTCCCTAGTATAGGTAAATTTACCCCAGGATTATACATTGTTTTGTGATAGCTGTGATTCAAGCTCCCGCTGTAACTCCATGACACGGGTCTTAGTGTGGAATCCCAATTCGTTCTCAATCTTGTCGAGAAGAGCCCAAATCTTTGCTTTTAAAGATAATGATGGAGCATATTTTGCCGCTTTTCGTCATTTAGCTGCATTATTTCATTCGTGAGGAGTTTTCCGCTTACCATAGTATAACGGGTTAACGGCAACCACTAATACGCCGTCTTCCACTCCTGGTGAGAAGCAAATTGACGCTATGCTTCGAGAATGGTGATGTAGTTGCTCTTTATAGTTGTCGTACTCATATCGATCTTCGAGCGCATTTGCCTCCTGAGAGCCCTTAATTGACTCCTCCAGAAGCAAAATCTTTGCCACATGGAAGTAAAGAAGACCAGCCGCTTCACGAAGTCCAGTGTAAGCAGATGACACGAGATTTCTTCTCAAATTAGTTGAAACTAACCTGCAGACTGAACACAAAACCACAGCTGAGAAAGGCCATCTTCAGATACATCGCCAGAAGATAACCCGTGGGATGTTAGTGGAAGATCATCCCACCACTTGTTTACTTCTGCCCCGACCTCTAGCAGACATTGGTTACGATTACCTGGCGTAATGTTACCGGACGGCGCAAAACGGAGCTCAATGACCTTGGCGAGAAGCCAAAGGACTTTGTTACCAACAGCATCTTCTTCGGAATTTGGGCCAGCCATCGCGTCTGGCCACTCGCTAGTTGCAATTAGTGTAGGGCAGTAGTTGATGAGAGCCATTGCAACATCATGACGTGCATAAATCCAGAAGCTGGCTTTATCAAGATCCGTAGTAATGGAAGGTAAGCAATGAGACCAAAGAAGGGAACTTACGCCCTCGAGATGCTTTCTGTAATCTGGGCCTGGGATCGATAGCAATTCGTAGCTGCAGAGGAGGAGGGTTGCCACGAAGACTTCATCGTATTTGGCGTCAATCTGATTCAAATCATGGATGAGTAATCTCAAACTTTGTCCATAAAAGCGGCCGGCAACTAGCTCCCAAACAGAATGTTCCGCAACGAGGCTCATCTGTTTCGCAGACAAGGCACAGATGGAATACATGAGAAGCGCTGATGACGCCGCACGCCGGGTGACTTGCCGCCGATAGTTGGACGAGTGATCAAGGACGTCCATCCACGCACCGATACCAGACTGGTACTTGAGAAGGAGATCCATGACCTCCTCTGTCATGGCCGGCTGTCGTGATTCGACTTGAGGCAGAACTGCCTCCGGATCTGGCAACTGCGCAAATTGTATTTGACGAAATACATCATAAGTAGATTCCGGGGTTGAAGGCAATATGGGTATTTGTGTTTCTGAATCAATATTGCTTTGATGCTGTCTTGTGCTTCTTGGTCTGGTTGACCGCCTATCGTGGACGATAAAATCCGGAGGATTGCATTCTAGATTTCTGTTACGGCAACGACCGCACACTGGTTTGGCCTCGTCACATTTAAGACGCCGATTACGACAATTGATACTAATGGGTGAGTTTGTGGCAAATTTACCTTGTATGGTTGGATGAGCTTACCATCCTTTGCAAGTTAGTCAAGGTCCTGTATAATACGTCAAGGTTAATACGCACCCGTTCTGCGCCGTTTCGGGGTCATGAGTCCACACAGAGGTTTCAGATCCGTCAATCTTGCCAGAAGATGTTCACCTTGCGGTTGATGGATCCAACTTGCTCAAGTGAATATTTCGGCAAGGGTAGATGGAGAGTAAAGATTGGTAGTCTGGCTCATGACCTGATTCCACACTGGAAATTCAGCCTGGGGAATGCGGGGATTGTGCTAGTCTGCACTATTATAATGCTTGGGCTAGGCTCACTCCACAGCGAATGAAGAAGGTTTTAATTGTAGATTTGCCTTGCGCCGGGTGCCAAAGCTACATCATCTGGGCAGTTTTGAGTACAACATGCGCAAAAGGATTTATAACTACCGAGGACATAAGAGCTCGGGAATGGAAGTTACGCTGCTAAGAGTATCTTGTAACAAAATGAACTTTAATATGTGTATTGGAGCATTGATATAACATTAGCCAGTCTCCGAAGGTCGAAATGCAATGGAGATCTCTGCGCTTAACATGCCGCTTCGGGTTTCTGACTTGAATCAATCACCGCTAAACATTCCATAACCAGCCTAGCTAATTCTGTTGCGAAAGCCACTATTTGCACCGGGTATGAGATGTTGAGTTGCATCCAGCCATGTGACATAATGGAACTCGTGGCACAGACTATAGACCAAGTTTACGAAGGACAGACAGACACGAGTATATGAGTTGCTAATTAGCACTAAAGATAATGTAACACTAATAGGTATGACTGCAGACGCATATGTATATAGAAGGCTCGTAATTACAAATGAGGAGAGCCAGCATCATAAAACATGGCAAGCTCGCTATGAACAAAAGTCGACAATTTCTTTAAATGTCTCTTCCTTTTTTTCCATCCATGGAAAATGGCCACATTGCTCATAGATAACGAGCTTTGATCCTGGAATTCCTTTGTGAGTCGCTATCCCTTGCGTTGGTGTGCACACCGGATCCGCTTGACAAAAGATCATTAATGTCTTTGCCGTAACATTGCCAAGTTCCGGCTCTTGATAATTCACTTTTCGATCTGTCCCATGTAACAGTTGATAATTCCACAAAGAGACGCTTTGAATGTTGCTCAATTCCGTGGACTGAGTTGAAGCATCAGGATCGTAAAAGTACACTGGGAGAAAAGATCGAATGACTTGGGCGAATCCCTCATCGGAAAGATCCTCCCATGAAGTAGTCCAGGCCTTGATTGCATCGTGCATTTTTGGGTTCCGCGACTTTTCAACAATCGCCTCTTTCATAGATTTACCATCATTAAAACCATCAAGATGGTGGTTCAAGAGAACCAGGCGGTCCACCTTGTCGGGATATCTGATGGCATACCAGAGAGCAATTGTGCCGCCTCCAGAGTGTCCCAATAAGTGCGGAATCTTTCCCAACTCCAGTTCCTGACGAAGGTACTCTACATCATCTGCAAGGTGCCAACAAGACATTTCAGATGGATCCGGCCGTGTAGACTTTCCATTTGCCCTGAATTCGAGATAGACGAGAGTAAACGTCTCTTCCAGTGGTGTGAGTGTCTCTTGAAGATACTTTGAAGAAAGTCCCCAGGCGGGTGGCGACACAATCATGATAGGACCAGTACCGCGCTTAAAGTACTGTAGCGTAGAGCCCACTGCGGTCTTGAATGAAACATCTTCCATGGTTGACGAGGAGAAGTGGCGAGGGTTTGGTAAATTGGAAGGTATAGGTAGAGTTGTCACTGGCTAAAACCACGTAAAAATCTTTGTCGCTTTTGTCTATGCGAGATTATTACAATTACTCACAGTTGGTCTGAAGCCGCAATTAATACTAAAGTTGGCTCTATTTCTTGAGATTAATGCGATCCATGGTGGTGACGAGGCTGAGTGCTTTGCTACCAGCGAACCCAATCTCAACACTTTCATCGATGGGAGGATCTGCAGAGTCAGTGTGTCGACACTTCTGCCTAACGTAGACGTTGTGCTCTCGCATACGAAGCCCCAACATAACATAGTCAAACATGGGTTGTTCAGGTAGGATTTTGTTGAGGGGCCGCAATACCACTGAGTGCTTCACTACGCAATTATTACCAAAGTTGGGGTTGGGGTATCGGCCCCACCGTCGGAGCGAAGGCCGAGATGATCCATACAGCACGTTTTCTTCGGCGTTTTGACGGACGAAGGGATATTTCTTACTGTGTTGTTGATTTGAAAAGGATAAAGATAGAATAACACGATGCGGTTGGCAATTGAAACGATTCAAGACAATATCATTGGGTAATTGATCATACACTCCTCATAAATTCTTCATTATCATTACTCAATTATCTAGCTTATCATTTGCGCACAAGGAGTATCTCCTGCCGGCATAGACTGCCTCGCTATTAGATGTAAAATGCAACAAGCATAAGCACAGCAACTGCCTTGATGTTTGTCATCGCACCCGAAAACAGTCCAGGCGCCGCGTTCTGAGGAACGGTAGGGATTGAATTCGTTGGCAGGCCTGCCGAGGCAGTGGTGCTGGAACCAGGGCCTCCGGGTGAGCCTCCAGGTGAGCCCCCAGAACCGGGTGTAGAAGTCTCCTGAGAGCCAGGGGATCCAGTCTCTCCAGGAGTAGCAGGTTCGGTTTCGGAGAGAGGAACGGTATTACCGTTGACAACGATTGAAGATCCCGAAGTGGGCAGTGACAGGGTGGTGCCACCCACAGTAATGGCAGGTCCTCCAGGGCTCAATGTTGTAGAGCCAATGACGATTTGAGACTGGGAGTTCTCGGTAAAGGGAGGAACGCCATTTGCAGCCGAGGAGGAGCCTCCAGCGCCTCCGTTTGAACCGCCAGAGCCGTTGCCTCCAGAGTTGTTACCATCACCACCAGAGCTGTTACCGCCGTCACCTCCAGAGCCGTTGTTGCCATTGCCTCCATTACCACCAGTGTTGTTGTCGTTGGATCCATCGGGGGGCGAGCCACTGCCGCCTCCATTGTTGCCACCATTACCACCTCCGTTAGAGCCTCCATTGCCTCCGTTGCCTCCATTGCCTCCATTGCCTCCATTGCCTCCATTGCCTCCATTGCCTCCATTGCCTCCGTTACCGCCTCCGTTACTTCCACCACCATTGCTGCCTCCTCCGTTGCTTCCACCACCGTTACCGCCTCCGTTGTTGCCGCCTCCATTGTTGCCGCCTCCATTGTTGCCGCCTCCGTTGCCGCCTCCGTTGTTTCCGCCTCCGTTACCGCCGCCTGGAGTACCAGAGGGGCCGGAAGGAGGAGCACTGCTGCTGCCACCGTTACCTGCTCCATTTGAGGAGCTCGCCGGAGGGGGGTTGTTGCCACCTGCGGGAGAGCTTGATGAAGCAGGAGGGGGAGGAGGGGGAGGAGGGGGAGGAGAGCTGCTGGCACCTCCACCAGGTTGAGATGAGCTTGCAGGTGGAGGAGGAGGAGGAGGGGGTGCTTCGCTGCTAGATGTAGGGAGCGAAGGAGGAGGGTTGCCGGTATCAGAGGATGAAGGTGGTGGAGGAGGTGGAGGAGATGAAGCCGTCGTCTGAGGAGGAGGGGGCGGCGGAGTTGAAGTTGGCAGAGCCGCACTGCTGCTAGGGGGGCTGGCGGGCGTGGTCGTAGGGGGCGGCGGCGGAGCAGTTGTTGGCACCAAGACAGAGACAGAGCTGAGAGCTGAGGGAGGGTCGTAGAAGCCTTGGAATCCATCGGTGATGCAAGACTTCCAGGCCGGGTCCAAGCTTCGGATTCTATCGGGAATCACAATCGTGGGGTGGCAGGGATCAGCTATGGAGCGAGGGCAAAGTTAGCAATCTTCAACTGTTCCTTAAACAAAAGTGGGAGTCATGAAACGTACGGGAGCTATTCATGGCATTGGAAGGATTGCCAGGGATGTAAGAGTAACCAGATATCGTCGAGCAGTTCCTTTCCAGATCCGCCGTGTTGAGTGCAGCAGACCCAACAGGAGTGTAATAGGTTGGGGTGGTCAAACTGTTGAGTGTGCTGCCGCCAGGGAGGATAGTTCCAACGGTAACAGGAGTTCCAGTGGTCAGAGAAAAAATGATGGTTGATAGTTCGCCAGGAGCAAACCCAACAGTTGTGTTGAACCGGGGTTGTCCAACGAAGCCACAGTAGTCGTAGGCAGACAAAGCAGAGAATCCAATGTAGACGGAAGGCGACTCGCTGCGATGGAAATGTCAGAAATGCTCAATACGTCAAGGTCTATTGCCTCATGGCAGCGGATACTCACAACACCATGCCATCAGAAGTGAAAGAGGTCGACAGGGCCTCAGTGCCAGTAGCTTAAATAATGTTAGCCATTGACTAATCCTCTCGAACACGTTAGTTAAAGTTACATACCCTCAGGCCAGTAGAATACCTCTACCGTGGAGGCAGCAATTGTGCAGCTGTAACACTAGAGGACCATCAGCATCATTCATCTCGGTGTATTACAATGCAGACTTACACATGGCGGCTCTGCGGTTCCGTACCACACGTTGCCCTGAGGCAGAATGAAGTTTTCAGTGACAGTAGCCGTCTCAACAGTGTTTACGACGGTTGTCACCACCTCCGTGGTGGTGCCAGTCACCTCCGTGAAAGTGGTGACGCCAGTTCCAATGGTTCTGGTGAGAGTTCGCGTCGGAGGATTGGATGTGGACAGCCAGTTGTTTACCGATATCAGACATTGGCACTGCAGGGCTGGATCCGTAGAGTAGCCTGTATATTCCTGAAGAACAACAGCAGGAAAGTCGGAAAAGCCGCCACAAGTGACCTCCGTAGGGTCAGCCCTTGTAGTCGGCCCTGCAGTGGTTGTTGGTGGCTCAGTGATTGTGCCATTGGCCACGGCGACTGTTTGACAGGAATAGGAATAAGCATTAGTCCATTTGGTAGGATAGACAAGTCAGGAATGTCATGACATACATGGTGACGCCCGCACCGCGCCGCCAAAGGCGAGCAAAGCAAGAGCTCCTCCTCTTAATCCAGCCATTGTCGACCCGTAACACAAGCAAGTCAAGCTCAGCGTGAGGATAACAAGAAGGAAGAGTTTTCCCCGACGGCATGTGCGTGTCTGGAATTATAAGCGGGCTCACTCTGCACCACTAGCTATATGCCCGCAAGCTCGCAGCAGCCCAACCAAAATCATCACGTCTTTTGCCTGGACCCCTGGATATCGGCAGTCGCCTGACTACGAGTACTACTTGGTACTGTGAAGGGTACCTGAAAATAGTCTGTTGTCATGCTCTTCCCGCATGCCTAGGGAGCGCGTAAGGCGTTTAGCTCAGACGCCCATTTTGCGGTAACTAATCAAAAATTGTCCTTGATTCCAACAACAAACTGGAGGAACTACGGAGCTCTGAATGGGGCAGCAATTGACAAAAACATGCAAGTTCCTGCTTAGTCGTTGTGCCAGCCTCCCCAAGTGCTTACGCTCTAGCAGAGCTCCACGGTATTAAGCAGGGGCCGAACCCAATCATGGGGCGAAAAACCAGCCACTTGATCAGCCCTATAACGTCGTGAGCTCTGTGAAGGGCATCGCGTAATTGAGAGCCAAGTCAGACACACTTCGCTAAGGCGGCGTAGTTGCTGAAGAGAGACAAGCTGGAGAGCGCTACCGCTCTTTGTAGACATATGTCTGCAGCAGCTAGAGGGATGATCCCAATATACCCTGGTCTTTCTTTAGTGGGCCACGCACTTGCACCGTTATCCGTCTGTCGAGCGGAACAATGCCTCCTTGAAGCTATTCGCACACGATAAGAAAACTGGATACTACGACACAGCTAGACAAGCAGCGCCACACCGTCGGGTACGGGCCGTTTACATGAATGCCGTCAGCACTTGGGCCTCGCAAAAGGGTGGCACGTTGTATATGCTATGCGACGCTGGCAACGTGGTAGCCACAGCCGCGGCTTGGCTTGGGGATAATTGGGGATATTCCGGTTAATAACAACTCTATATCGGTAGTCTAGATTCTCGGACTTCATGGGCTTTCCGTCTCATTGGGACGCTAATAAGGTCGTGGTTCTCTCAGCGGGTCGTGATGCAATTCAGCTCTGCAAAAAGCCGGATCAACTGGGAATAGCTCCAAATGGAGAGCAATCGCTCATGGTCTCGACTTGAGCGAGCAACGGTTCATTTGACAGCTAGCCGAGGTGCATTGCATAGCACATGATGTGGATTCTCGTTGTTCCTAAAATCTTACCCGCCAGTGGGCTCGTCAAGGCGAATCTCTGAGCCCGCGGATTGTGGATGAAGACGACCCCATGTCTGTCGATTCTTCTTTTTCGCAAGACTCTCGCAAATGACGGCTTTCCTTCACCTGCAGCACCCTATCGTGTCAACTCGTACAAGGCTGGGAGTCTCCAAAAAGAGAAGCCAACCGCGTCTAAGGGGGGGATATCTCATTAACCGGTTCTTGGCATACTAGTATCTGCAACCAGTATTGCTCCACTTGGCCGTGCAGGATTCTCGAAGGCGAGTGACATTAGGATGTGGTAGACTTTTGAAGCATTCACACATCTCCGGAAGATGCCTGCGCGGCTGCAGCATTTGCTGCTCTGGGCGCTGTTGATGCCAAATGCTCTCGCCTCAGCTCTAGACCTTGGATTGATACGGAAACGAGCCGACGACCCAATTCCGTCTCCCGTGTCCGTATCACCAAGTCAATTCTTGTGAGTCCCTCATATGCAATCCAAAACTTCAAACAACTCACGTGCTTTAGTGAAGGCATAGATGGCCCTTGGTCAACGTTTGAGTTGCGCGTAGGGACTCCAGCCCAGAACATTCGCATACTGCCTGGCACTTCGTCGACGCAAACGCTGGTGGTGCTGCCAGAGGGTTGCCAGATTATCAATGTGACCAATTGCGCCAACAGCAGAGGCAACTTGTTTAATACGACTGCGTCCAAGACCTGGAAAGAAATTGGTCTGTTCAGACTTGGATTTGAGAATTCTCTCGGCTTTACTGACAATGGCGAGTTTGGGCACGATACCGGTATGAAATCCCCCGCGCTCTTCATTTGCGCACCATACTAACATTAAGTCGTAGTCGGACTTGGATACCTCGGCAGCGGTGGTCCCGTTGTCAACAACTCGGTCATCGCAGGCGTTGCGGGCACAGAGTTTTATCTAGGAATACTTGCCTTGAATCCGCGCCCTACTAACTTTACGGACCAGAATGATCCGCAGCAGAGCTTTCTTCAGCTCCTCAAGAATGAATCTGCCATTCCATCTTTGTCGTACAGCTATAACGTTGGGGCTCCATACCGACTCAACAAGGCTCTGGGCAGCTTGATCCTGGGTGGCTACGACACGTCCGCGTATCAGGATACCAATTCCTCGTATGACTTTTTCAGCGACCAGTCGCGTGACCTGACGATTGGCGTTCAGTCCATCTCCACGAATGCCAGCGCGGATAACACGGTGCTTCAGTCTGAACAGATTTCCATGTTCATCGACTCGTCTGTTGCCGAAATCTACCTTCCACTAGACGCCTGCCACGCCTTTGAGAAAGCTTTCGGCCTGACATACAACTCTACGCTTAAAATGTATCTGGTCAGTGACTCGCTACACAGCAAACTCCTTGCCGAGAACCCTTCAGTCACATTTACAATAACGACTGCGATTACGGGCGGCTCAACCTTTAACATAACTTTTCCCTACGCCAGCTTCGACCTACAGGCTCAACCCCCACTAGTCAAGACAGCGTCTCGATACTTTCCCCTTAAGCAGGCGGCCAACGACACCCAGTATGTTTTGGGACGCACGTTTCTGCAAGAGGCGTATCTGATTGTGGATTACGAACGAGGCAACTTTTCACTTCACCCTCGAGTGTGGAATGCCAGTGCTGAGTCGAACATTGTTACTATATTGCCCCTTGGAGCCAAGGCGAGCGTGCCTAATACTGAAAGCAACCACAGTCTCAGCGGTGGTGCCATTGCAGGCATTGTCATTGGTGTTTGTATTGTTATTGCTGCAGCTGCTATTGCTATCCTACGATACCTGGTGATTTCTCGTCGCAAGAAGGCAAAGACTGACTCTACCGAGATGGAGACTCTGGCCATGACAGTTCCAGAGACTACTTCAACTGTTTCGCCTGAGCCGCCCAAGTCTGCTACTTTGAGTCCCGGAACCTTGCGAGAGCTGGAAGGCGATGATTCGGCGAAGCCAACGCCGGAGATTGAAGGCAGCACAGCAGCAAGGAGGAGCCCGATGAGCGAGCTGGAGTCGTCAGGCACTCCAATGGCAGAATTAGCCACTCCGGTGCCATTGTCGGAGCTGTTGTCGAGTGAGATTTTCGAGATGCCTGGAAGCGATGTTCCGGAGCTGCAAGGAAGCCGAGTAGCGCCTGTCTTGATACTCACAGATTCCGAGTCAAGTGAGTTTAGTTTTGAGGTTGGGGAAGGAGTAATAGGAGTGATTCAGCAGACGGAAGAGGACAGACAGCACAATACAGGAGAAGACTACAGAGAGCAGGAGCTAGCCCATGAAGATGCTACATCGAGTAATCGAGAGACCCAGGAAGAGTCTGGTAATGAAAGACATACTGGAGGAGACAGAGCAAGAGAGGAGGAGCACAAGCAATAATTTTTAATTCGCCAGAGGCATTTATACCACATAGAAGTCTGCATTAGTATTCATTCACTTGATATGACCCGAATATACAATCAGAAGTCATAATTAACGCACAAAATCCTATTGGATGGAGCAGAGAGATCAAACTAAAGCAGTCTAAACTTGACGTTCCCGCTTGTGTGGGTAACAAACGGCCATCTCGATGGTAACCAGATCATTGGAACAGCCAAATCTCATGCATACATCGATCTGGGGTAGTAATCCGCCCACTATAAAAGCTCCGAAGGACCAGGTGCAGTATGAGTCGACTTGTGGAGGACGTGGCAGGGATTAAATGGATACGAGGGCTTTCTTATACGGGAAGTTGGTGCATCTATTTTTGGTACCAACATCATGACGGCTTGTGGTAACATTTTGATTACGTACGTACGGAGTAAGAAGTATAAAACTCTTCTTTCAAGCTAGCCTAGTTGATGCTCACAGAGTCCAGTGTCTATATACAGCTTTGATTGTAATGGAATGAGAAACTCAAAAGACTTTTGAAAATAGCAGGAAGCTAGGTATTTTGATATCAATCTGCTTACATGACCCTCAGTTATCCCCCGAATCCCGAACGCTACCCACGGAGCAGCTTCGTCGCCCAGCTTACACGCTCTTGGGAGTCCCCGAGTTGGGGAAAGTAAACTTGGCCGTGCGATCGAGACGCGCAGAATATCCCGTAACGTTTGGATCCTCGCCCAAAAAGGCCAGTGGAAAGCCCAAGTCAAACGACTTGACACTCTCGAGATACTTGATTTGCTCATCTGTGAGCTTGATGCTCAGCGCCTTGATATTGTCCTTGAGGTGCTCAACCTTGCGTCCGCCAACGATGGGGAAGACGTTACCAGCCTTGTGCAGCACATATGCAAGCGCAATGGCTGTGACGGACTCGATTCCGTGTTCTGATGCCACCTTGGCAAGAGCCTCACTGATCTTCTCCTCATCGGCAGTCTGCTCAGGGGCCGCCGCAAGACCACGCAGGGTTTCGCCCTGTTGCTTACGCTGTTCCAGAGCCTTCTTTGTCTGGAACTTGCCGCCGCCGAGAACATCCCAAGGGGCAAGCGCCATGCCGTATAGCCGGGCCATTGGGATAATCTCCCGCTCAAAGTCCCGGACCATAATGTTCCATCGTCCTTGGTAGATGCTGAAAGGTGTCTTGCCATGGTCAATCGCGTATTGATTTGCTGCACTCACAACAAATGCAGGCATATCACTTGCACCCAAATAAAGGACCTTGCCCGACTCAACTTGCTGGTGCAGAGCATCCATGAGCTCCTTGATGGAGGTGGTGTGGTCCCACCAGTGAATGTACAGAATATCGATGTAATCAGTCTGGAGCTTCTTAAGAGAGTCTCGAACACTTAAATGCAGACTCTTGCGATGGTTGCCCTGGAAATTGGGGGCCCTTCCCTTGCCCAGCTCATGGCTTCGGTAGTCTGAGGTGAACTTGGTGGCAATCACCAGCTGGTCTCGGATGCCCCTCTTTGCCGCCCACTCTCCGATCCAGGACTCGGACTGCTCATTCTGGTAGTTGTTGGCGGTGTCGATAAAGTTACCGCCGGCATCGTAAAAGGCGTCCAGCAGCTTGAAGGAGCTCTCCTTGTCCATGGATCCCATCCAGTCAGACCAGCTGTCGCCGATGGACATGGCACCCAGAGCCAGAGGCGATACACGAACACCCGCGGTAGGGGACAGTACCCGATACCGATTCAACTCGCTCACGGGCTCCCCCGAAAAAGAAAAGAGTGCGGCCGCCATTCTTTTGGATTGTGGTAGGTTTTGCTTGGTCGAAGTGTGTACTGTTCTGTGAATGTTAGGGACTACTTTGGCGAAAACGATGCTTCTGATGGAGGATGTTGCGGCTATTAATCTCATGGCTACGGCTACTACCCCTCTTCGACCATCCTGACGCCATTATATATCCCATGGTGTTGATTAGCACATCAACCATGTCTATCTTTTATCTCCGGGACTTTCTCGACAGACCACCAAGACGAATCGGAATTAGGGCGGACATAGTGCCTCGATCGACTATGAAGCTGCCCATTTCCTGAGAAATAGTCGAGATGTGGTGATTACGAGACTGAGGGGTCATCGCCGTTCAGAAGGAGTGGGTCAACATTTATTAGAATAAAGTCCGATCAAACATGAGACTCACCCGATACGGCCGGTGGCTTCTCAAGGCGCTTGCTAATCCTCCTCTAATCCACCAGGCAGCACGGCAAGTAGCACGGGAAGCAGCACGGGAAGCAGCACGGCAAATGGATAAAAGGCAGAGGATACCATCGGTGGGTTATAAATTCAATTCTCGCTGTGGTGCGCCAAACGCCATTCCATCTACATACAAAACAACTAATGCCCGCAATGGGTATCGCCAATGTGCTCAGCGCCAACTAATTACATGTATGTGCAGATGTTGATCTGATCATTCCCGGGCCAGCCCATCGATAAATACTCGCCAATGTGGATTTAGCTCGCAGAGCAAGGCTCGTTGATCTTGCAGTTCTCGGGGAGGTCGTCGACGATGTTGATGGTGAGCTCTCCGTGGTTGACGTCGTCGTCGCCCTTGGCATAGAGCAGCGGCACGCTTCCGCAGACGGCGCATCCATACTGCTGGAGCTCCTTGTAGACACTCTTCAAGGTAGCACCCGTGGTGTCGTCCTTGGCGTTTTGAATGTAGGCACAGATTGTGGCCATGAAGTTGCCGGTCAAGTGGCCTACCAGGTGCTGGACACAGCCCACGTCCTCGCCGTTCTGGTATTTCCGCTTGTCGTCGAGCTTGTTGAAGATGTTTTCGAAATCCGACAGAGTGCCACCGTTCAGGTACACGGTGCCGCAATACACGTCTCCGTGGCAGTTGATTCCAAGTCCGGCGACGCCCTGAGCGGCCGCGGCGGCCACGGCGATGAAGCTGCTGGAACGCATTGAAACTAGACTATATCAAGTTAACACTCGTGCGATGCGTATCATAGGAAGAGAACGGTAGCACATACAGGAACGATCTCTTGGCAACAAACACAAATGGTAGATGCTGAAGTTGGGCGTCGACGGAGGAAGAAGCTGGGCGCTGATGTAATGAGAGATCTGATCGGGTTATATAGATGTTCGGTGGAGACGACAAGCAACGATGCGAAAACGAACAATGCAGGGCATTGGGTTGTCGAGACCTAATCTCTATGCTTGAGTCTGCTGAGATCAGCACTAAACAAAACGTTGGAAACGGCTTGGACCTTCAGCTCGCCGCCTTAGCCGAAACAATGATCTTTTCCACGGACATGTATGGGGTAAAGGTCAAGTGCTTGTCTGTAATTGGATGGTGTTTGTCATGCTGGGCTCCTCAAGGCTAAAAACAGTCATCCTGTCTAGCTTCACGATGGCAACAATGCAGGTACAGTTGCGCAGCCACAATGGCCTCTGCGTACAAATACCCTTGGGTCCCAACGGGTATAACACTTCCGAGCAGTGCCCCAATTACCAAATCATTCCGATCCTTGTGATCCAAATGCCGCATATCTCCGGAGTATGCAAAACCTCTGACTTGTTGATTCGTTCATCCCTCACAAAGTTCACGAAGGATTTGATCCAAACTGGAAATTATTGGCGCTCGCGCATCCTTTGGCCTCGTAGCCCGCTTTGGATAAAGGTCGACATGGCCTGGATGCGCTACGACGAGCTTCACAATCAAGTGGACAGGAGCTAGCGGAAATTAGGCCTTGCCACTGAGCCAACATTGAAACCGTGCAGTTCCTTTGGCGCCGGATGGAGTTGAAGCCGGCTAAGAACGTTATTTTTGGGAGGGCGACTAAATTTAGATCCCATGAATAAGGCGGACCAACAGTTGGCAATGCGTGCAAGGATCAGATGGCAGGGTTGGATTAACAAGCAATGACAGGGAGAGTGTAAGTTGACAACGCCAACTGTCTCCTTTGGTATGCAGCTCTTCAAAATCCAGATTGGGAGGTTGGGAGGTTGGGAGCGTATCGCCTGGTGCAAACACACTTCACCGACTCAGACGAGCACTTTTTTGGCCTTCGACGGGAGCTCCAATTTGGGTGCCTCCACGTCCTTGGCCGCCCATCTAGAACGACCCAACACGTCTTAAGGGAAGGGCCAATCAGCACCCAGCGACAATGTTCCTTAGTATCTACTGCTGTCGAATAATCCTTTATTATCTGCTATTTTTGCTACCTAGATAGCCTTGAACTCGACATACGGGATGCTGGACAGCCAACCTGGGTGACAAATGGCCACATCCATCTAAATGTCCCGGCAAGCTCGGGATTTGTCAAGTGATAACTCACAGCTACTAGGTCGATCTTCAGAGTCTTTCCTCATAGAAAGACTAGATAGCCCGGGAATACATAGGTAATAGCATCAATTTTTCCTTCTATATTCAACTCGCCTAGAGATACCCTAGAGCCACGATCAAGCTTCGAGGGCGTATTGCCTCATATAAATGCTCGTTACGAAGCGGAGTTTAGACGGGCAATTTATTGGTCTTCAGGAGCAGCTTCAGAAGGAGACTCAATCTGAGTATCAATCACTTCAGGCAAATGAAGCTTAACCGGGTATGCCTTGAGAGTCTCGTTAAAAGCCGCATCAAGACCGTCTAATTCCTTTTTAGAATCGTCCGCACAAGTCGGCACTAGCTGGATGATTTGTGATAAAAGTTTGTCGACACTGCTCTCCAAAAAGCGCAAGACGGAAGCAAGAGGCATGCTAATGGGTATGGGAAACAGGAGGCCTTTTTGATCGACGAGCGACTGAAGGAGGTCTTGCTGGGCTTTGACAAACTGCGACGATGCACTTCAAGTTAGACATTTTCCCTATGCGAAAGACGGGAGGTGGAATCTTACGCCGGTAAAGGTTTCGCAAATGTCCTTTTGGTCATCCTCAACAAACGGTGGACTGTCAGAAGCTGATGTAATTGTTGCAGTCTCGTTGGCAGCATCCCTGACAATCTGGCGGAAACTCTGGAGCGCTTTCTAAAGCACCAGTCAGCTCACCTATAGCTACAGATTCTCGAAAAGCCAGACGTACCAATCCACCCGCGACCACATTCTCGGTATTGAGCCCCTTTACGAGGTCTGACGTGTCGGCCGAAAGAGCGGTAATGTTGGAGAGGCTGTCGACCACGTCTTTTGCCGTCAGGGCGGCCTGCGCCTGGTGGATTGATAGGGCGGCGGCTACAAGGGCGAGGCACTTGAACTGCATGATGCTGGTTCAATAGAGTGTCTTCTTGGATAGAGTGGTTATGGTATGGTGTTGTGTTGATTCCTCGGGTTTGGCTAATGATGTTTGTGAATAGCGACACCATCTCCAAATTATATAGACTTTGGATGCGATATATGCCCAAGCATCTTCGATTCGATCGACCAATGACTCCCTTTGATGACGAATCCTCCATTCCAGCAAGACTCAGCTTCCAAGTTCATGGAATAGATCAACTGCTTTCAGGATAGATAAGGCAGCCTATCGTCCGTCACAGCAACTCGATCGGCAGGGTTGTCTTGTGGAATGGTCGGGCTGTCAAGTTATTCCTGCATAGTACTAAGACACCCTATTGCCAGACACTCTGTAACAATTAATCATATCGTTTTCGCCCAATCACGTCTCTGCACAGTTGCACATCGTACCAAGGGGGCGATGCATCCAGTTGCAGTCAGACGAACCACTTTCAAGACATGCATATGACTATCCAAATCTGCAATGAGTAAAAGATGATCAAGGAGAAGAGTACGCATAAACAGGTTTCCATGGCCACTATAAGAAGAGACTTCTAACTCCAAATGACACTTTTCAATGATGTCTCATCATACAAGTCTCCAGTAGAACCAAACTTGATGAGATATCAATGGAATATGGGATACAGAGCATCCTCACAAATCCATCTACAAACAAATCGCTTCAATATGTCTATTGAGGCCATGTCTCGACCATGATCCAAGATGCGTTTGTCACCTGAGAAGATAGGAGTCAGCGGATAATAGCTCGCAGCCACCAGATCAATCAGGGAGGCAGCATGAGACAATCTTTTGCTCGCAAAGCTGATTTGCTGCCCATGGAATGGAGAAGCCTGCTTAGCCTCGGCTATGACTCCCTCAAGAGACGGGTATCATCGCAGAGCGGCAAGATGTGATCATAGTGCATCTGCTATGTTATCAATTAATTACAATTCTATTGATTATACGTATCTGGTCGTTATACTGCGTCTTGTAAAAGGGTTGTGTGCTGTCCAATCTATATCAACAAAGGAAATGGCCTCGTGCGGCCCGGGTATCTCCAGACCCCATTTTATACCAAGTGTCCATTCTGCCGGCTCGCTCAAAGAAGAAAACGCCATCAAAACGTCCAGGTATGCAAAATGAAAAATGACAAAACAAGCAATGCAATCCAGTCCCTGGTGTGTAAATGATGCTGCCAAATCCAATCCATGAATAACCCCACGATTCGCAAAACATATGAAACAAGTATTATATAAGTGATTCAAGCTCAACTCAAGGGTTGCCGCCATCTCGCAAGCTTTCGGACAAGGAGCTGTGGTTAATGGTCTCAGCCGTTACTCTGGATGTAGCCCCTTTCCGCTGTTGTGATATCCAGTACTCCTGGAAACCAGGAATTGCACCGGGTTGGTTAATACCAGGGGCCCTATTCGTTACTCTGGGCGGAGCTTTCTCTGCCCCCTTGGGCAAGCTTTGGCTGTCGTTTCCTGGTCCTCCCCATGGTCGCCATCCAACCCATTTGCCAAGGCCACCAGCACCGTTCCGGGATGTTTGCGAGGACGAAGCCGACATGTCCGACGTCGGGGTAGAGCTTCTCTTGGGCATCTGAAAGCCGGCAAAGTTATCGCGCAAGGCGGCATCGCTACGCTTCGAGTATTTGGTCGACATTGTCGGCTGGGCAAAGACACCGGTGACGACAGCATCAGCTCCGCCGAGCGGGCGGAGAGTCATTTGGCTTGGTCGAATCTGAAGCGTGTGGATATCGAGACCGCCCGATAGTGACATGATTGATTCATGAGATGCTACACGGCGTAGCCCTGAGCTTAGCGCGGGTATTGATATGGCGGTGGCGGCGACATTTGTAGATTCGTTTGCATCATCCTCTTCCGCCTCTGGTTCGTCTTTGGGAGCATCTTGGTCTGTCGCAGTGGCAGGTGCACTGGTCTGTGCATCTTCGTCCTCCTCGTGGATGATGCCGCTGCTAAATCTGTAAGGGTTTTGTGTTTGGACCCCGGCGGTGCCGGGCTCAATGTCAATGATTGACAGAGACTGGAAGCTGCAGGAAGAAGCTGCAGAAGGGCGCTTTCTATGTGAAGCGCGCCATGTAGGAGACATGGGATCATAGCTTGTAGTGGGCGACATGAGGGATTCTGTCTCAGTCCCACTATGGTCGAAAATGCGGGGGGAGGTTGGAAGAGAGGAAGACATTTCGGACGGGGTGGAATATTGCCAGGCCGAAGAGCTGGCGGTTATGGGTGTTATTTCGCCGCTGGTGTGGGAGAGAACCGGGCGCGTGGGAGATGATACCAGGCGTCGCGGAGTCCCAGGGCCCGGAGATGACGATCTGCTGGAGATTGCGGCTGAAGGCGTGAAAATGCCGGGCAGCAAGCCCTGGCGCTTCTTCTTGGGCTTCCGGGCATCTTGTTTGGCAACATGGTAGTGGTGGTGAATGTGAAACTCTTGCGATGGCCTCGAACTTTCAAACAAGGAGGGCTCGAGTTCTGACTTGAGAGTCGAGGCAGGGCTGGGGCCGTCGGCCAGAGGCTGGTGAAACATGAGCTGCTCCCTCAACGACTGTATCTCGTCATTGGAGCTAATGAGCATTTCTCTAAGCTCGGCAATGCCCAGCTGCAGATTTGCATTATCCTGTAACAGGTCCCGCACAAAGTGGCCGACGATTTTGCTCCCCTGTCGGTGTTCGGTGATTGATTTTGAAGCCGCGGCGCCCTTGAGCCGCACTGCAGCGGCATCGAGATGCTTCTCCACCTCGCGCTGGCGCTCGACCTTTTCCATCATCTCGTCGTGACGCTGTCGCTCAAGGAGGGCCTCTTTCTCCATACGCTCTAGCTGATCCTGCATGTCGAGGATCCCCCGCTGTGCTTCTTTAAATCGCTGCGCATGAGAGCGGGCTTCCTCCTTAGAAGCTCGCAGCTCTCCAGTGAGCTTGTCTTGCTCTTCCTCGAGAATCTTGAGGTGCTGATCAGCCTCGGCGGCACGGGCTGCAGCGCTCTCGAGGCGGCGAATGGCCTGCTGCGACGACAAGAGGCTCGCTTCCAAGCTTTTGATCTTTGCGTCGGAGTCAAAGATTGTCGTGTTGAGTATCTCGAGCTGCTCGATGAGCTCGTTGTTCTCCTCGACCTTGGCGGCATTGTCAGCTTCCAGCTCCTGCTTGTCCAGCTGCAGGCGATCTATGCGGGAGTTGAGTCGCTGCCGGTCCCGTTCTGCGTCGGCCATGTAGGCTTCGTGCCTGGCAAGTAGGGCCTGTAGGGCAAATGTTAGTGGAGATTCCGTCTGCTGGGAGCACAGCATGGTTGTTGGGTTGGGAGAGCATTTTGGAAGCACAGGATGCGTACACGACCGGGGGGTTACTCGGGTCTTGACTGCCGTGTTGACACCGGAATGCAGTTTGGACGCGAGGTGAAAGGGATGGCCGCGATCATTTGACGGCGCGTGCAAACAATGGGATGGACAAAGGAATGAAGGGAATGAAAGAAACGGGAATCAAGGCAAAGCAAAGCTCTGCAAACCGCAGCCCAGCAAAGCACAGCACAGCAGAGCCAAGCCAAGCGCGGCACCCGCAGACATGCACGTCCACACACACACATACCTTGCCTAACTGGGCAGCTGTATGCACATCCTTCTCAACAGCTTCGAGAATGGAGCAGTTCTTCTTGAGGTGGACGCAGTCTGCGCTGCCGCAGCAGCACTGCAGGGACGACAAGTCGGACTCTGGCTGAGCGTGGTCGAGCTTTTCCATGTCGCCAAACGAGAGTCGCATGAGGAAAGCCGGGTAGATTAGTTAGTTAGAACCTAGTAGGTAGCTGACGTAGATTAAATGTTGATAGCCGCAGTGCACGCAGGCAGCGCTGCTCGGTCGAGGCCTCGATACGATAGCGATGCTGCAGCGTCAACCATGGTCTTTGGCGGTTGACCCGGAAGACGGTTGGTTGAAGGTGAAGGTTAACGATGGCGAAGAATAGGGTCCAACATCGATAAGATTAGGCACAGGTAGGAATAAAATGAAATGAAACCCCGCAGACAAGACAGATGCGACTATTAGGTTAGGTAGAGAGAGGCAGCCTTGTCGAAAGGAGATTTGACTCGGGCCAGGTGGAGGGAGGGAGTAGCGGTACTCGACAGGAGCGGGATCTTGCGGTGATGCGGCGAGTATCTGCGACTTTGAGGAGGCGGTTCGAGCAGGGAGGGAGAGAGAGAGACAAGTGTCCAACAGGTGCCAAGGCAGGATGGAGGAGCAGAGCAAGGCTCAGGGCGAATCGAATCGAGTCGAGTCGAATCGGAATGGATGAATGCGATGCTTCCAGGACGAGAGTTTGCGGCGCGTGCCTGCAGAAAGCTGGCTGGTGGTGTGAAGCTCCAGGCCCGGCTGCAATTAGTAGACACCGCTTCCAGACACGCAGCGAGCTTCGAGTACTGCTACCCGTCGGTGGGCGCAGCGTTGCCAAGCTGGCGTTGTATCGAGTACGGAGCAGAGGCGCGTCGCCTCCCTTGTTCCTGAAATTAGTGGCTGGCCCGGGCGCTGCACCTGCAGTAGCTCGCTGTAGCTCTGCTGTAGCTCTGCTGTAGCGCCCAAGGTTCCCTACAGGTCGCCTACAGAGTTGGGGCCAACCCATGGATGCAGCAGAAATTTTTTGCTGGCTGCATCCGCCCTTTGCAGCGCTGCGCAACATGTGAAGCGTTTAATATGAACTACATTCATCCCATCCCTTCCCATCCCATCCCATCCCGCAACTTGTTTAGCGTATGGCTGGTGCTACCAAGCACCTCTTCTGCTTGGCACGTTTCACAACTTTATGCTGCGCATCAATCACGGGCCCCCGTTCTCACGTGGCTAGTCTCGGGACAGGCCCGTCCGTCTATGCGATCGAACTGCGGTGTGCCTGTCTGTCTGTCCGTCGTCTGTCCGTCCTCGGGAGTGCGTAATATATGGGGCGTTGCAGGCGTCAAGGCCCAGTGCCAACGCAGCAGGCCCGCCGGTTTGCTGGCAAGCGTTTGTCATGCCAAGGGGAGCGGGCCGAAGTTATGCACTTCATCTGACGTGTGTATTACTGTGCTGTAGAGCGTTTGTGATACGACATCCCGTAGCTGTGGGAGCAAGCGAGTGATGCATAGTGGGCAGGACAAGGTGAGTCGGCAATCGTTCATCCAGGATGGAAACCACTAGGAACCTGTAATGAATACTGGATAAGTGGGAAATCTTTTCCTTTGGGGAAACCGGAACAGAGCCACCTTTTGTATCAAATGTGATGTATCCGGTTGTTCATCACTTACACCGCAAGCTGGGCGCATGACTCAAGCACGGCCACTTTATTATACCATGCATCGCTTGTTGTGCATGTATAAGGAAAGCCACATCCGTCCAGAAAGGGAATAACATCACATGTTCTCTGGTCCATACAATAATATCGTATCTCAACACCATCACCATATATTTGGTCCATCATCACTTGAATAGATTCATCAATCCCACCTCCCGGGTAGCTAGCAGAATCACATCGGCCAAACGTAGGCCCGCCCACAGCAAAATGACGGCGCCACAATCTCTCCGCCCCAAACCGATCAATTGCGTCATCCAGCCAATCAATTCCCACATGTTGCAAAGCACCAGCTCGATCCTCACCAGCTTCACATGCGGCTTCACTTGGCCCAAATCGGCCTCACCAATCAGTCTGCAACCTCCGAGATTCGTTAGCTGTTCCCTCCATCTGCCTATCTGCCTATCTGCCTATCCGCCCATCTGCCTACCTGCCCTCACATGATGTCTCCTCCAGCTTCTCCGTGGTATCTCCGGATCTCACCTGCTCGCGTCATCCATCTCCGTCCCTTTACGACTACTTGAGCTTCTCGTAACACTCCAGGCATGCTGTCGTTACCCCGCAACCCCCACCTCCGTCATCTACTCCAACCAAGCCACCGTCTGCTGTCTTTCTCGATTCCGTCTCGCCAGTTTTCATTCACCAATCGCACCATGGCTCAAGAGTACAAGCTCAAGGGCGTGACCTCGCTGTCACTCAAGCCCGGTCAGAAGCAGGAGGCGGAAGTCGAGGGCGTCGACGCTAAAGTCCTTCTCGTAGGCCTTCAGACGGCTGGAAAGGTCGAGGTGCAAGCAGTTGGTGCCAGATGCACCCATTACGGCGCTCCGTTGGTCAAGGGCGTCTTGACCACCACGGGACACCTCACTTGCCCCTGGCATGGAGGTAAATCTGACAAAACCCTTCCCTGGAGGATGCATACTGACTGGCGCAGCTTGCTTTTCTGCCAAAACCGGCGACGTAGAAGATTCACCAGCCTTGGATGCCCTCCCCGTCTTTCCTCTCACTGAGCGAGATGGTGCATTCTACATTACCGCCGAAGCAGCCACTATCAAAAGCTCCAGCAGGAAGCCCAACTTCCAGTGCAGTGTCTCGAGTGACTCCAAAGACAGAGTCGTCGTCGTTGGTGGTGGCTCTGGTGCTCTCGGCGTGGTCGAAGGGCTTCGTGAAAAGGGCTACAGAGGCCATCTCACCGTCATCTCCAAGGAGGGCTATCTCCCCATTGACAGGCCCAAGCTGAGCAAGGCGTTAATCACAGACGCCGCCAGGTTGGCATGGCGGGACAAGAGCTGGTTCGACAGCGGCTCGGTTGAGTGGGTTGACGGCGAAGTCAATGGTGTCGACTTTTCTGATCGACACGTTACAACCGCGACTGGGAGCAAGATTCCCTACACCAAGCTGGTTCTCGCAACTGGAGCGACCCCCAGGACTCTCCCTCTTCAAGGCTTCAAGGAGCTCGGCAACATCTTTACGCTACGCACTATTCACGATACCAAGAAGATTGTAGCCGCCATCGGAGACAAGGGCAAGAAGATTGTCATCATCGGCTCGTCCTTTATTGGCATGGAAATTGCCATCGCCACTGGCGGCGACAACTCAGTGACCGTTGTGGGCATGGAAAAGGTTCCTCTCGAGCGTGTTCTTGGCGAGCAGGTCGGCGCGGGCATCCAGAAAGCCTTGGAGGGCAAGGGCATCAAGTTTTACATGAGCGCTGGTGTTGACAAGGCCGAGCCGTCCAGCTCGGATGCCTCCAAGGTGGGTGCTGTCTTCCTCAAGGATGGCACCAAGCTTGATGCAGATCTCGTCATCTTGGGAGTCGGTGTATCCCCCGAAACTACCTTTCTCAAGGACAACAAGGCTGTCCAGCTGCGACAGGATGGGTCTCTTGAGACCGATTCTCACTTTGCTGTTGCTGGACTCTCAGACGTCTACGCCATCGGAGACATTGCTTCGTACCCTTACCAAGGCCCTGGGGGAAATGGAGCTCTCGTCCGAATCGAGCACTGGAACGTTGCCCAGAACGCGGGCCGGGCTGTTGCTTCGCACATTGTGGACCCATCTCTCACCAGCCAGCAGTTTATCCCCGTCTTCTGGTCTGCCCTGGGGGCTCAGCTGCGGTACAGCGGCAACACTGCTGCCTCGGGATGGGATGATGTCGTCTTGGATGGAGATGTAGCCGCAAGCAAGTTTGTCGCATACTACACTAAGGGCGAAACCGTCGTGGCAGTTGCGTCCCAAGGCCGCGACCCGACTGTGATGCAGGTGTCTGCTCTGTTGAAGCTTGGCAAGGCGCCAACCAAGAGCCAGCTGCAAAGTGGCGTGGATGTATTTAGCATTGACGTGTCGGCCTAGTGGCGATGTAGACTAAGCATAGTATAACGATCAATGATACTGATGACGTGCCTTTGCTTCTGGATATTATGAACTTGCCGTGCCTTGCCTACTCGCAGTGGTGATGACACAGGCCAATCTGACGAGGCTTCACACAGGTCCAACATCTTTTCGTTTGTCGACCGTACACTTGGCTAGAGGCCTTGCAGCTCACGCTTGGTGAAGCCAAGCTTCGAACGCCGTGACAGTCCCCCGTCGGCTAAAGCCCTCGAGATATAATTAGAATGGCATAAAGAAGCCTACTTAAATATGTGCTCAATTCTCCCCAAGCCGTGGGTTTCCTGGTGAATGGAGACGGTTGCATTTCCCACCCGCATCGTTATCAACGGAGAAAATGACGTCCGGTTCTATAAAGCTGCAGTAATATGGTCAGTCAAGAAGCATTTTTCAAGCGTCTTTCGGCTACACGGACTTGAGACTTCTCCCAAGACCTCAAGATGTCGGTCTATCACATCATATTGACACTATGGCACCAGGTAGCAGTTGCCTGCGAGAGGGACATAATATTTCGTTAAATGTTTAGTCTGCGGTGTTTCTGATATCAAAGTAAAGTACACATAGTACACATAAAGACTGGCACATTATCGATATCTCCTTCTGTCAGCCAATAGCCAACTCCTACTTGATCCGCTCCGATGGTACGGTAACCCGGCTGAGGCGGTTTCGGCCATGAGGTTACGTATCTTACAGACAAGGGTTCGGTATCAGGACCACGTAATGGTAGAACGTAGCTGCCATCAGCATTGCGCCATATCTCCCCAATTACGTTGGGCCGTGGGTGATATTTAGCCTCAATATCCTTCCAAATAGCATCGCAAAGCGGCGTGAATACACTAGATGAAGACGACACGGTAAACTCTCTGAGACCTGCCTTAAGGGCGAATGCGTCAAGAAGCTCGAAGACGCTCTGCATATTCATGGGATAAGGGATGCACCGGTTTGTCTTGAGGGCTAGGAATAGTCGGGTGAGGTTTGGTAAACTGGAGCCCAATGCAGTGAGATAATTGTCTAGAGGGCGTACTTCCGGGATTGTGTCAAAATCGCCTCTGCGTGGTTTGAGCGGGCAGATAACCTCAAGCGACGTAATATCAGCGAGTCTTTGGGGTGGTAATAGCTGAGGGAGATTTAGAATGAGAGCTGGACCCGACATGTGAATAGTGTTTGTTCTATAAAGCACGTCGATTCCTTCCACGTAGCTAGATGCGTGAATTAGACATGAAAGAGCAAAGCGGAAAACGGATCTGGGAGGTAAACCACTTACGCCTGGCGGCAAGACAACAGCCATCCCATAATCCCAATCTTGCACTTGGATGGATATAGCCCACACTGGTTTTGACAGTAAAGTGCCTCTCCATAACGACAACGGTCATCCCCCAGCTTTGGATGATCAGGGTTAGACCTGCGGAAAAAACACTTTTCATTATCAGGCATAACACGATGACACACAGAGCTCCACCACTGCCAAGATTTGGGTGCTCTGGTATTATAGATGCAGCAGGGATCGATACCGGCGTGGCGGGTATTTCGCTCTCCAGGTTTCTGAGGGGCGAAAGGGTGTACAAATGACAGGTCCATGTGCACCGTGCTGTCTCCAAAGGCTATGAGGAGTATCTCGCGTCGCAGCTCCGCCGGCAGCTTCTCAAAGAACGGGGAGCCGGCCAAGGCTAAAACTTCGGTTGACGGCGATGGGGTCAAGACATTCGGCCGAGTAGGAGGGAGGCGAGGTAGATTTGTAGCGTCGGCTTCGAATTCGCCGTCATCTGCTTCATCTTGTCCATGACGAGAGCGTCTAGATATCCTGCGGAGCTTTTCTCGAAGCCCTCGAAGCCAGGTCTTAAGTTTCGACTTCATCACGAGACAATGCGGAGTTGTTGACGCGTTTTGATCGAGTCGAAATGGATGGCTGGGTGAATGTGAATGTATGTAAGTTAGTTGCCAAGACAGTTGCGGGCATCTGCTCCGTTTATATCATAGTTGGATGCGTCGAACCAACCAACATGGAAGACAAACACTCTCAATGCGCACTGTATGAAACTGCTGGGGCGTGTCCAGGCTGCAATCCATGCATTGTAAGTATTGGTTACAAGATTTCATTTACATCTTCATGTAGTTCCTGTTTTATGCAATGTCCTTCCGTTGAACCATTTCAAGCTCAACAATTGAGCAAAGCGTCCATGTCCATACTAATGCCACAAGCTAGGGACAAGGTACAACTACATACATGTACATGTAACTACATATAATGTATGGATAACGGATGGAATTATTACACATTCACCAAGATTCTACTTTCAAACATGACGGAGACACCATTCGAACTTTGTATTCCCTCCCACGTTCCTACAAACTTGATACGAAAAAAAAAAAAATTCCACCAATTAGTGGCTGTCTCTTCCTCTTCCTCTTCCTCTTACTCTTTTTCTTTCTCGGCCTTGTGCTTGGGCCTGTGCCTATGCCTGAGTCTGAGTCTGAGTCTGAGTCTGAGTCTGTGCCTGTGCCTGTGCTTGAGCTTGAGCCTGAGCATGGGCCTGCTGCTGCTGCTGCTGCGCTGGTGGTGGTGGCGGCGGCGGTGGTGGTGCCTGAGCTTGCTGCTGGGCCTGCTGCTGTTGATGCTGCTGCTGCTGCTGCTGCTGCTGGCCCTGTGTGGCCACGAGAGTGCCTTGACGAAGGCGCTCTGCCTCTCTTCTCGAGAGGGTGCCGCCCCTCCCGCAGCCACGATACCCCGGGATGCTCACCATCCCGCCTCGAATTCGAGGGACGCCTGTCAAAATGTTGTTAGTTTGTTCAATTATGAGGTAGAGTTGAAAGGAATATGAAGAGGCATACCTCGTCCTCGTTCTCGGCCACGTCCACGGCCACGTCCACGGCCTCGGCTCGCTGGAGCCCTCTCACGCGCCGTTGGCGCCGCCAACATTCTCAACAGATCTGGCCTTGCCAGTATCTGTTGTAACTGGTCTATAATAGGCATTCTGGTTCTCGAGTATTAGTATCAGATCTGTGTCTCAAACTTGGACGCACTTACGTTGGTGATGATGGTGATGATGATGATGGTGATGGTGGTGGTGGTGGTGATGTTGCTGCTGCTGCTTTGACGACACAGGCGCCAATATACTAATTTTCTTTAAAAAAAAAAAAAAAAAAATTCGCCCTCGTTGGCAAAATTTTTGCTTCTGTCAAGTCAGTTCGGCGATCTATCGGACGGCCCATAGGGTTAGACTCACGAAAAAGGGCTTGACAGAAGGATTTGAATATAACAACACGACTATGCTCTTCCTTGTCAGTAAATTGGCACATGATGCTGATATTTGGGAGAATTGTTGATGATGATGAACATTGTGATGGGAAACGAAGAGCGGCAAAGGGAAGGGAGGGATGCTCACACAGAATGATGATGTTGTTGAGGAAGAGATTCTTTCCAAGAGGAGAGCGGCTTTGGGCATTTCTTCAAGGCATATAAATGTGGGACCAAATCTCAGATACAGCGTTTCAGTTCAGTTTTTGGGCTGCATAAGTGATTGCAAAGTGAAGGCCAAGTGATATCAGATGGCCGTCTCTGGGAATGCGCGTGCGCGCCTCTGCATTTCTCGATTTCTCATTGGCGGCACTATTGGCATATTTCTTGTCACTATAATGGTGATTTTCGGTCAATTCCATAATCCCCGTCTTTATGATAGTCTTGTTTGTATTGGGGACTTGCACCCGATTTGTATCTTGCCAGTTGGCAGATGCCATTGCCCCATGCTTGACAGCCAGACTTCAATATGCCATTCTGTACAACTACCCAGTCAAAAGATAATTTGTACCTGAGAATATTCTCACATGTGATCAATTCCTATTGATCTAATCATTTTTGTAAAATTGCAACACTGCAGCGCTGCTCAACCAGAATATTTCTGTGTTGTCCGGCGGCAAACTGAGTGATCTATTCATGTAGGCAAATCTAGGACAACTAGCCAGGATCAATTCAATCACCTTTTCTATAGAAAACACAACTGCAGGCTACCTGAATACTCAACAGCGAAACAAAATGAAAACCCCAAGCAGCAACACGAGGTTGTTATGTTTTACTCAAGACAACTCTTATTGTCTATCTCTATCCAGGGCTTTGAACTGACTTATCCTGTCAAAATGCGCGATCTGAAATGCTACCGTTGTGGCAATTTGTAACGAACTAAACAATTAGGTACCTGCTACATGCCCTGTGCGGTCGAAAAGACCCAAGTCCACGTATCCAGTACTTACCACAAATGGAAGTTCATAATGTCGTCGCAACTCTCAACCTCCGATAAGCAACGAGTTCTGAACGCGTGTCCAAGGGGGAATTGTATCTTCAAATCCCACATATTATCTAATTGTTATCCAACTGATTACCCATCGTCATGGATTGTTATCACTTCCGTACACTTTATTCGTCGTTGCCCTCAAATCGTGTCCACCATTTTCCGACCTAATTATCGCCAAGAAGTTCTTGGCTGCTGGGCGAAAACCTTGAGGATCTCCTCAGAATGGGAATGGATATCTGTCGTCGCACTGAATCCACTGTGGCTAATCGCAATCCCCCGTATTCTCTCCGATGACTGATGATTCCAGTACCGATTCATATCTCACATGTGGTCAAGATAGCGTTTAAGACATCCGTAACCCCAGCTCACTTTACTTCCTTTTCAGTGTTTCACTTCTCCCTCCAAATTCCCGGTTTCTCACTCTCGCCCAGGTTCCTCCTTACATTTGCAAACTCGAGATTCCATCGCTCAGCTATCATCGTTCGATCGGTGTTGAGGATGGGCATGTCCACAAAGGCCAATGATCGACTGGCTGTGGCCCATCTCTCGGGCCAGAGCAATGAGCCGATGAGCAGGCCTGCCCACGCGCTCTCCTTCGAACAAGTCGTTGACGAGCTCAACGCAAACATCTTCAATGGTTTATCCGAGGCAGAAGCCGGCATGCGGCTTGAAAAATATGGCAAAAATGATCTCGGAGAAGCTGAAGGTGCCCAGCCCATCAAGATTATCATCGCACAGATCGCCAATGCTATGACTTTGGTGAGCTTCTCCTAATGACGGCATATGTAACCTCTAACTTGGCTCACTGTGTAACCTCGCAGGTCCTGATTCTCGCCATGGCTGTCTCTTATGGAATCAAGTCCTATATCGAAGGTGGCGTCATAACGGCTGTCATTCTACTCAACGTCGTCGTCGGTTTCTTCCAGGAATACTCGGCCGAGAAGACAATGGATTCTTTGCGCTCTCTTTCATCTCCAACCGCAAACATTGTCCGGGATGGCGATTCCAAGGTTGTGCCCTCCGACCAGATTGTTCCTGGTGATCTGGTCGAAATCAAGACGGGCGATACAATTCCTGCTGACCTCCGGTGAGTTGGTCCCGGCTTCGTAATTGACCCGGGTTCGGTTACTGACGCTTTCAATTAGACTGATTGAAGCAGTCAACTTTGAGACCGACGAAGCCCTCCTGACAGGCGAGTCCCTGCCAGTTCGTAAAAATGAGGCCGCCGTCTTTGATGATGCCACTGGCCCCGGCGACCGTCTTAACGTTGCGTACAGCTCCTCCACCGTCACCAAAGGCCGTGCCAAGGGAATCGTCTTTGCAACCGGTGCCTTCACAGAGATCGGTGCCATTGCATCTGCCCTTCAGAAGAAAGACAGCAAGGTCCGTCCTGTTAAGCGCAAGGCTGATGGTTCTGCCAAGCCTCACCGATACCTTGAAGCCTATACACTTACCTTGACCGACGCTATCGGCCGTTTCCTTGGAGTCAATGTCGGCACACCGCTTCAGAAGAAGCTTTCCAAGCTGGCAATCCTTCTTTTTGGGGTTGCTATCGTCTGTGCCATCATCGTGCTCGCTGCCAACAATTTCAACTCCACGCAGGAAGTCATCATCTATGCCGTCGCCACAGGCTTGTCCATGATCCCTGCGAGTTTGGTCGTTGTCTTAACCATCACTATGGCTGCGGGTACCAAGCGGATGGTCCAGCGGAACGTCATCGTGCGAAATCTGAAGTCCCTCGAGGCTTTGGGTGCTGTCACCGACATCTGCTCCGACAAGACCGGCACTCTAACCCAGGGTAAAATGGTTGCTCGAGGTGCATGGATGCCTGGTAAGGGAACTTATACTGTTGAGAACTCATCGTCACCGTTTGATCCCACCGTTGGTGATATCCGTTACGACACACGCCAACCTCACGAGATTAGCTTCAGCCAAGGTGGTGATGCTTGCGGCACCGTCGCTTCTGCTAAAGAGCTCCTCTCCCAGAGCAATATCGTCCTTACCGACTTTCTGCGTGTTGCATCTCTTGCTAACCTTGCGACTGTCGTCCAGAAGGATGATGAATGGCATGCCCGAGGTGATCCCACTGAGATTGCCATCCAGGTTTTTGCTTCTCGATTTGACTGGAATCGCCTACATCTGGTCAGCAATGATGAGCAGAACCAGTACAGTGAGATTGCTGAGCTACCTTTCGACTCTGATGTCAAGCGTATGTCTGTCATTATGAAAGACAATCGCTCCGGTAAGCTGTTCGCCTTCACCAAGGGCGCAGTGGAGCGAGTTATTGCGTCGTGCAGCACCTACTGCCCCAACGATTCGGATGACGTGGTCCCTCTGACCGAGGAATTCCAGCAGGAGATTCTTCGAAACATGGAGACTTTTGCTGGCATGGGGCTTCGCGTCCTGGCTCTAGCATCCAAGCCATACCATCTCGACGTGAAGAAGGGGGACGAGATCAACCGTGCTTCTGTCGAGTGTGACCTTGTTTTCCGGGGCCTGATCGGCCTCTATGACCCTCCTCGCCCAGAGTCCGCCCCTGCTGTTCAAGAATGCCACAAAGCTGGCATAACAGTTCACATGTTGACTGGTGATCATCCTGAGACCGCCAAGGCCATTGCTCTTGATGTTGGCATCTTGCCCTCGCGTATGGATATGGTATCCCCAGATGTTGCAAGAGCCATGGTCATGACGGCTGCCCAATTTGATGCTCTCTCGGATGATGAAGTCGATCAACTGCCCGTCCTGCCGCTGGTTGTAGCTCGATGCGCGCCAAACACAAAGGTCCGAATGGTCGAGGCTCTTCACCGCCGCAAGAAGTTCTGCGCTATGGTAAGTTTCCTGAACATTGAAGTTTGTTGTGTGAATGACCTGACACTTCCAATTGATAGACTGGTGATGGTGTCAATGACTCTCCTTCGCTTCGCCGTGCAGATGTCGGTATCGCAATGGGCCAGTCTGGCTCTGATGTTGCCAAGGATGCTTCTGACATTGTTCTCACCGATGACAATTTTGCCTCTATTGTCGCTGCGATTGAAGAAGGCCGCCGCATCTTCGACAACATCCAGAAGTTTGTCCTCCACGTTTTGGCTGAGAACATCGCCCAAGCCGTCACCCTTCTCGTCGGCCTAGCGTTCAAAGACATCTCAGGTCTCTCGATATTCCCCCTGACCCCTGTGGAAATCGTATGGATCATCATGGCTACTTCAGGTATGCCCGATATGGGTCTAGGCTTTGAGCGCGCTGTGCCAGGCATTCTTGAGCGGCCTCCCCAATCCCTGCAGACCGGCATCTTCACGCTCGAGTTTTTCATCGACATGGTTGTTTACGGCCTCTGGATTTCAGCGCTCTGCCTCAGTTCTTTCGTCCTCCGTGTCTATGTTTGGGGCAACGGAGAGCTCGGTTATGGCTGTAACGAAGGCTATAATGACAGCTGCGAGACGGTTTTCCGCGCGCGTGCAACCACGTTTGCTTGTCTGACGTGGTTTGCCCTCTTTTTGGCTTGGGAGATGATTGATAAACGCCGATCTTTCTTCCGTATGCAGCCCGGCTCTGATAAGTACTTTACACAGTGGATTCACGATATCTGGCGTAACCAGTTCCTCTTCTGGGCTGTCATTGTCGGTTTTGTGACTCTCTTTCCTCTGCTCTATATCCCTGTCATCAACACAAAGGTCTTTAAACACAAAGGCATTACTTGGGAATGGGGCATTGTGTTTATTGCTGCCGGACTCTTCTTTGCCGGGGTCGAGGCATGGAAATGGTGCAAGCGTGTCTTCTACCGCCGACAGGCACGTAAGCAGCACGACGTCAGTCGGAATGATATAGACCTGGAGCAGCGCATTTTCGGTGCGTATTTGAGTTTGTCTGTCAGTGACGGCGGCTCGCAAAATGATGCGAAAATGCCTTCTCTGCAGAAGCAACTGCGTCAATGACTATTCTGGGGCGGGAAGCCCCGTAGAATTGAGGAAGGCTTTGAAGCTAACGCAATGTATGAAGGTGAGATCATACTTGCTAGGATCTCAGAGGTTGTGGGTTGGGTGAAGCTGGGTAGAGAGCTCGGAGGTGGAGACGGAAACAGAGAGAGCTGTGTGGTTCAAGAGGTTAGGGAAGAAGGATGTGGTGTCTTTGGGGTAAATTGCGGTCGGCGAAGTGACTCCGTTTCTGGGTTTCTAAGCTGTAGAGGCTGGACATCCGGAGTTATGTACATAGGCACGCTTACCTCATATCTAATATTACTTGTAGTATCTACGCCTTTCCATCATTTCACAACAAACAGTATTAGAACAGGAGCAGTCGTAGGTGAGGACGACCGGGCCAAGGGTACATATGCCCTTTTCATCCCCCCGGCTATGCGCCATCTTCAAAGTCAACACTTCCTTTACAGCATTGACGACTACGAACTTCATAGTGGCGTGGTGATGCTCCCTGGGTTTCAGAGCATCACTTCAAAAACAGAGAAACATGATCGACTACGAACTGAGCAAATGCATCGATTAAACAAATCCAATCCATAAACAAACACTGTTTATTCTCAGCTGATACCGACTCAATCACCTTCTTTGCGACGGCGCCTAGCCGTCATCTAAATATTCGCCTGGGTAGATTCCATTGTCCGAAGCCACCAACCTCATACCAAGCTTTAGAGTCGTTGGATGACAAGAAGCATGCTACTTCTTTCCATCACTACGGATCCCAATCAACTGAGTTCTTCTTCCAGAGAAGTTTTATGCGCATTCAGCTCTGCCGCAATGTTGACCTCATCTGATCTTTATACGTGAAAATAGAATACGTACGCAAGCTTCTATTCCTACCAACGATCTTGGGCCTTGTCAGCCTCAACAGCCTCGCGATCCAAGACTACCACCAGCTTCCCGCTCACTTTCCCCGAACGCGCCGCATCGACTACGAGATTGACAGCGTCAAGGTTCTCGTATATGTTCGTCTTGACACGAATCTTGTGCTCCAACACAAAATGAATCATGTCTTCGAGTTCCTTCTGCCCGGACACCAACGAGCCTTCAAAGCGCAGGTCTTTGAAGATGATTGCACGAAAATGAAACGACACTCGTTGAGGTTGAGCGACTTGGATGACTGTCCCATGAGGTCGAGTAATGGTACAAGCGGTATCACACGCCGTTTCATGGTCTGATAACACGATAGTCGCCTTGATTTTGTCGTCGCCGATAGCTTCGGTTATAGCGACCGTCAGTTGTTCATCTCCTTTGCGCGCATCAAGAACCAGCTGAGCTCCACACTCTCTCGACAGCTCAAGTCCTTCCTCGCGGGCGTCGACGGCGACCACGTTGACACCTGCCTTGACTGCAAACTGTATGGCAAGATGACCTGTTTAGGATTTGTTAGGGAGTGATTTAAACTCATGCTAATACAAGAGAATAGTTACCCAAACCACCTCCGCTACCGACAATACCGATCCACTCTCCTGGCTGCGCCTTTGTGGACTGGACTGCTCTCCATACAGTAGCTCCCGCACAAGTTAATGGAGCGGCGGTAACGAAGCTCATGGTGTCTGGAAGAACAACTGCATAGCGGGCATCGACAACGGTGAAGTCTGAAAACGCGCCGGGCAGAGTGGTTCCAACATATCCCTTCATAAAACGACAATAGTAGCGCTTGTCGACTGGGCCCTTGCAATCGACACATTCTCCGCAAAGGCCACGCCATCCAAGTGCTGCAATGCGATCGCCGAGCTTGAAACCAAGAGCAGCTGCATCTGCTCCCAGACTGACAATTGTTCCAGTAGGCTCGTGAGAGCCTGCGTGCTGTTTCGGCAAACTCGAAAACTGGCCTTCCAGAACCATGATATCGGTGTGACAAAATGATGCGGCGGCCACTCGAATCACAATATCATGACCGTCAACGACTTCAGGTCGCGGATATGCGTCTTGGATCTGATATGGTTTGTGAAACTGGCCAGTATAAAGAGTACATGTAAGCATTGCTCTGAATCACAAGCATGAGATGTGTGATAAGTGCCTACCTCATTCACAACCGCTGCTCGCATAACTGTTGGCAGGTTGGGAACACTTAAAGCAGCCATGATTCTTTCTTTACTTGACTAATTCTACAGAGAATTGACTGTTGATATGGAAAGATGAGATGCGACAGATGAAATAATGGCATCTTGCATCAATATTTATCATTCTGTCGAACGGAGATTAGCATGCACAAATGATCATACTGTGCGAGCCACTCCCAGCACCTACACTGCTAGAAAGAATTCCGATTAGATTCATTTGAGATATCTTGCCAGTGGATTCCCCCCCAAGATATTGAGAGGGCTGGGTGAATGAAGACACACACATCTCGCCAATAGACGCCCGACTTTAATGCCTAACATAACGACTAGCTATGACGCCTAACCTGAAATCTCTGGGAATCTCTATGTCGTTTCCGCAAATCACACACTGTGTATTGATAGACCTGATTTCGGACGCTGTTGTTGAGGGGAATGTTAACGCCGATGAGGGGCCTTACTTGGTAGTAAACACCGAAATGTTGGAGAACATGATCATCCAATGTGATCCGACGTCACAGCGAGCTACGTGTAGATATTGCACAAGAAAGAGTTGAAATGAGCATATATATTGCACAGTTAATATGAATCGATTGGAGTTGTTGATTCAGTTTCAACGATATGTCAAAATTGAGTTGGCAAACGATGAAGGTCGTGTAATCATTGTTGTATTGGAATCGCTGTATTTATCCAGCCGTAGGTCTATTCCACCTACGAACCTGAAGAATTCACTTTGAGATCATGGTACCCATATGAACAAGTCATTATTAAGGGATTCGGATTCGTTCTCTTTCCACATCTAAAACAGCTGTCTCAAGCGTCGTCTTGTCAAATGTTGGGGCGAGTATGACACTGGACAATGCTTGATCGTTTCGAATACAGGCGTAATATTGCAATTACCACATGACTACCCCAGTCTTGTAAATAGATCAGCCACATGTTAGCATCAAGTTCAAGGGGAAGAAACACCTGAGACGGGATTAAACAGCACTGGCGACGGAAACACGACTCATTGATTCATTTGGTTAAAAAAAAAAAAAAAAGCAAAGATTTCGCCCCCCTTGGCCTCACCACCAACTAGTGGTCTTCTTCTCTTCTTTCTCTTCTGTTTTCTCTTCCTCCTTCTCCTGCTGGCCCTCTGGCTCCTGCTGGCCCTCTGGCTCCTGTTGCTGCCCCTGCTCCTGCTCCCGCTCCTGCTGGCCTTGAACCCGGGACTGGTCCTGGGCTTGCTGTTGCTGCTGCTGCTCGGTGGCAGCCAAAACAGTACTTCTGGCCAAACGGCCAGCCCGAGCCGCCATCTTGATTTGCCTCCGGGAGAGAGTCCCCCCGGACCCCCCCCCCCCCAAAACCGGGAACCGCAGGCTTGCCTACTCCAACAGTGTCAGTATCGAGATAAACGATGAGGCAACGGCCAGGGATATACTCCTTCTTCCTCCTCCTCGTCCCCCCTCTTCGCCACAGCCTCTCAAACGGCCTGTTTCAGAGGGTCAGTTCTGAGGAGATCATAAATGAAAGCAAATACAGGTATGGAACATACCACCGCGCCCTCCTCGACCACCACCACTGCCACGGCCACCAGCACCAACGCATGATACAGAGGTGTGTGGGATACGTACAAAATAGAAAAACGGCACAAGGCCTAAGAGTTTTGTTCAAGGTTTCTATATCACGGTCAGGGTATCATATAGATGGGGATGCCGAAGTGAAATCATACAAAAAGAAAGGCTAGGAGGCGCGACAGGTTTGTAAAGAGATTCTATCTCACAGTTAGACAAAACAAGAACAAAAGATACCAGAGAAAGGACATACTAAAAACTGCCCTCAGGCAAACACGATCGTATAGAAGGGCTATGTACCTGGTCATTAGCAAAGATCTTGGTGGGAGGCAAAGGGGGCATACTTGCTTTGGTGATGATGGTGTTGAAGAAGGAAGAGAAAAAAAAATCCAACTTGGATGACAGCAGACTTTCTTACCTACCAGTGGTGTGCCCAAAATGAAGGCTGCATGAATCAGATCACATTTCGCTCACTTTCTGATGAGCCAGTGAGAAACGACCGGGCGGTCATTCAGGAGGCACGTTGAATCCTTGGTTATATACTCTACTAATGGACTTTTCAGCTCAAGTATATAGGTGATGATCAAAAATAGTGGAAATACGAAGTTTATTGGCTCAAGTGTTATTTATAATCTCGGTTATATGCATGTACCTAGTTAGCATGAAGAGCACATGGAGGTACATCAACGATATTACAAATGGCTTTGAGACTCTACTCTGGCAATCTGCTGAAACAGTAGTAACTGTGGGTGGAAGTTGATGAAATGAAGAATTGGAAAGCACATATACGTTCTATTTCATTCTTCAAAACTTATCATCTGTGTTGCGTTGATGAGAGCGTGATAAACAGAAAATCCGACCATGCAAGATTCCTCCGCACTTTGGTGACTTGAGATACGGCCCTGCATGTTCACACAAACGTTCCTACGTGGATGCCTGATTGAAACTGGATTGGCCAGTCAAACTCAATTGAAGCTGATATGCGAGTCCCGAGACAACCTCTGTCAGATAACGGTAACCAAAGATCTGATCAGATTCAGGCAGCTACAGCCTTGAGATGTGAGTACACGTAGGAGGTTGTGATGCGAAACTGACGCTGCACAGACTGCAGAAATAACGCCACCATGTCTACACACATACAATAACAGAGACTCTAGTTGGATATTTACTTCAATGAATGTGATGGGAATTGTCAGAGATTTGGCTTGGACATTATGAAATGAGTGTTGATGTGATCAATTGGCAATCGTCGAGGTTGAATAATGGATGGACTGGTTACATGTAGTAGCCAGGCAGGGTCAGAACATGAAGCCGGCAAGCCAGAGTGGGTGCTGTAAAAAGTATTGGCGGGGCGCTAAGTCAGGCACAGGGCTTAGCGGCCCACTGGCGCGGGGGCCTACAGGCACTTGGTTGCCCTAGCGGCACCTAAATTACAGAAGGAAGCGGAATGGAACAACAAAAGAGAAGCGCGGGACACTGTAGAACTGCAATGAATCAGGGAGGTAGATTATGTATTCTTTGCATGTAGCAAAGGATGCATGGTTTTGGAAGATAATATTGGTGGATCGATCTAGTCGCCGTAAGTAGATCTGATGGATGGATAGGTATAAATCTTGTACTGTATATGTACTCATATTGGAGAAGAACATGAGTACATGTACCAAGGGTGGTTCCACTAGGCGCTTGCCACTAACAGACTTCGCCCTGCAGCGTCGGAGAATGTCTGACACAGATTCAACGATGCACTACAAGTGCCAAATTCATGCTTGAACCAGACATCAAGTCCGAGTACACGATGAGGGGCCTGGAACGTTACAGGCAGCTGTACTTGGAAGTGCCAGTGAATTGATCCACGGCACGTGAGAGCTGCCACTGAAGACTGGATGTGTGCCTCAGGCAGAACGCAAGAGGACAAAAGACTGCTGCAGCAGATTGAACATGAAGGCAGAAAGATGATGTGCTCTCCTATCTACATGTACATGTACCTTGCCATCTTCAAAAACTTTTTTTTTTTTTTTTTTTTTTGCGAATCAAAATTCTGATGTTTGTTTCATCCGATACTCGACATTCTTCCCTTCTCTTCCCCGTCCGATTCTCTCCCTGTGATGCCTTACCAACAGCTCGTCACACCAGCTTCTTCTCCAACAATGTCAATACAGGCTTGCTCGCAACATCCCCAACTGCCTCAACTACCCCTGGCGGGAGCATCAACTCCCAGTAGCCAGGTCTGGTAATGAAGAAAAGCAGGACCTGGAAGCCCTCACGTCGCTTCGGTCGGGGCGACTACGCGTACAAGTCTTGCAGCTGCAACTCCCGCTGCCATCTCTGGCAGTGGCGGAGAGAACCTAGAAGCCCTACGTCGCTTCGGTTTGCGCGAGCATGCTTATAGCATCTGGCCGCCTGCAAGTCCTTCTGCTACCTCTGGTGGTGAAATGGACTCTGGACCTGGAAGCCCCCCGTCGCTTCGGTCCATGCGGGAGCTGCAGCATTCGGTGCTATACCCGTGTTTCAGTAGGTAAAATCCCTTCTCCTATTCTCCGACCAGTGTTTTCTTTCTTCAATAGCGTCACGAACCACGCAAGTATGCCAGACTAGTGAGTATTTCCTTTCGAGACTTTCCACCTATTGTTTAGGTGCTCTCATTCTGGTGTAGTTATCCTTTGAGATTTTGTTTTGCCCACCGGGCTCTTTCCTACACATTTCTTTTACTGATGAATCTCCCTTGTATGTGGCAACAACTTCGAGATAGAAATTCATTCAGATCATGTGTCGACACGCCTTCTTTTCGTACGTTTTGCTCTAGCATTTTTCCTCCTCTGACAGTACGCTGGTGACCACCGAACAGATATCCAACAACAACGACACGCGTGGACAAAATGGTCCGTTTGTTAGTGGCAGCGGCCAGATTGGTGAACGGAGAGACCATTGATGGAGATGGAGGAGCAGTATGTCCACTATAACTCCCTTATGACTGATCACAACTCTGACATTTACCGGAACAGATATAATCCAAGCTTGCAGTCTGTCACCCAAAGATAGAAGACAATGTTGACCCTGGCCATTGACCGAGCTGGCTTGTTGTGGGTGTTTGCCTCCGTCCTTATGAAGATGAGATGGAGTAGCAAGAGCAACAACTGCAACAGCATCAGTGGCATCGACAACAGCGAATCCAACTTCTGCAGCACCAAATCGAGCTGCAAGACCTGTTGCTCTGACATTAAAACAAGTTGATTGCGCAGCAACAGAGGCGGTTCATTCGGCTACAACAGCAGCTTCTCAATCTCGAGTAGCACGAGCAGGAGCAGTGAGAAAGGGGATGTTAGAAGGAAATTGGTTGCTATTAAGAGCAGCAGAAATATGGAATTTGTTAGCTTGAGAATTTTTTTTTTCTTGCCCTTTGGGTGTTTTTGGGAGTGAGCTTTGCTCTCCTCTCTCGTCCATTTTTACCTATTGTAGAGATACTAGAAAGATTGAAAGACAATTCTCCCGAGACGGCCAAAGACGGCTATTTGCTTGGGATAAATTTGGACAATCTCTTTTTGAGGTAGTATGGGTGATGCAGAGGCCCAGAATGCAAAGCAATTGCAGGTACGATACGACAAGTCCTCAGAACAATCATCCACCAAGCACTTCAGATGAGTGCTTGGAGATGCTAGAGATCACCATGCCGAGCTATTGGAGATGTATAGACTTACGACAGAAACTCTAAGCTATCGTGTATATCTGGAGCTAGTAGGGCTATCTCGGCTAGTAGAGCTATCTACAGCTACTACAGCTACTACAGCTATCCAGAGAGACTACATATATCTAGAGCTACTGGAGCTATCTACAGCTACTGGAGTTATCTTCAGCTACTCCAGATATCTACAGCTACTACAGATACCTAGAGATACTATAGATATCTACCTCTATTGCAAATATCCGGAGCCAGCATCTAAAAATCACTACTAGGTACTACTCAGTCCTAGGTACCTAGTAATCAATTTTCTGCATTCAGGGCATTGCCAAATTGACGGACAGAGAGTACGAACAAGGTGAAGGTGGAATCCGCCAAGTCACGTTACTCCGCGTAATTCGAGGCCTGCCAGGTGCCTGCCATGCGCGCACCAGTGCTTTCCGACTTGTACCTTATTTTCTTCTTCTTCCGTTTTCCTTCTTCATCTTTCTTCATATTTCATAATGCCCATCAATTTCCGTCAAGCTCTCTTTGCTGACCATTGGCATTGGATATCTCTGCTTTCCTCCTGACTGGAATTTTCGGCTTTCTTCTTCAACACCATCACCACCCATGCAAGTGCGCCCATCTTTTCAAAACAAAGTTCCATCGCTGACTATTGGTACTACAGTTTCTCTGATCGTGTTTATTGCGCCCTCTGAGTTTTCTGTACGCATTTCCTCGGGTACCATGTTTTGGTATGGACCACTAACCGTCACAATAGAAATTTCCAAACAATATTGACTTGTGCCCCCCTGGGCTGTTTTTGTATGTATTTGCCATACACCTGTGTCCACTACGCCTTACTGACGGTAATCTCTATATCGTTGTCGCCGCAAGTTTCGACTCTATCCCTCAGAAGGACAACACGCACTAACTGCTATCATAATAGATGTCGTTCAAGGCCAACGATTTCGTCAAGATAGTGGGGGCCGTGGATCGGTTTTTGGGCGGTGGGGGCCGTTGATCGGTTCTTGGGTGGTGACCGCGGTGGCCGCGGTGGAGGACGACGTGGACGCGGTGGTATGTTTACGTTGACGTATATTTTTATTTCAAGCCTGACATTCAAAACAGGACGTCTTGGTGGGTGTGGGGGAGAAGGAGGAGGAGGAGGAAGAGGAAGAAGTATGTTCCCAACCCATTCGTTTATTCACAGTTTCGAGCTAACAGGTATACCAGATGCTGCCAACAAAGGCAGCAGCAACAACAACAACAGTACATCACCTCCATGCTCCCCTCTTTAATCGAACTGGAAACTAACAATACTGCACCAGACAACCAGCAGACGCCTGCTGTCGCCGGTGGGAGGGGCCCGGAAGGTGCTCTCTCCCGCCGCCAGAAAAAAATCCTGGCGCGAGCACAGAGAGATGCCGGCCTTTCGGCCGAAGAAATTTTTTTCGCTGCCCCCGAGCAGCACCAGCAACAGCAGCAGCAGCCTCAGCCTCAGCCTCAGCAGCAGCAACTCCTGCTCCCGGCCCCTGCCCCGGCCCCCGCCCCGGCCCTGACTCTGACTCTGGCTCCGGGGGTTGTTTTTGCTTGCTCCCCCCCCCCCCCCCCCCTCCCCCCCTCAGCAGCAGCAGCAGGAGGAGGAGGACGTGGAGATGGGTGGGCTTGGGGCTCCGGCCCCAGCCCAAGAAGAAGGAGACCAAGGAGAAGCAGGAGAAGAAGGAGGCCAACAGGCCAAAGAAGAAGAAGAAGATGATGAAGACCAAATGGTCTTCGAGCAGCAGTTGGATGAAACCATAAGATGGAAGGAATAGATGTTCTTTTATTTTCCGTTTTTTTCTTCTTTTCTTTTAGCCATCTAAATAGAGAGTGATAATAGAAGGTAGTAGAGGAATACAGTAATGATGGGACAAAGTAGCGATAGTAGAGAGAGTAGCGATAGTAGAGAGAGTAGCGATAGTAGAGAGAGTAGCGATAGTAGAGAGAGTAGCAATAGTAGAGAGAGGAGCGATAGTAGAGAGAGCAGCAATAGTAGAGAGAGTAACAGTCGTATCAGAAGCACATAGCCAAGGAACAGTGGGTTTATTTCAATAAGTAATGGTCACAAATATCTTTCCCCCACGTCTTAAGTCTTCGTAATAGCTGGGATGCTGGATGAACTTGTCGCTTTCTGAGTCCACCACGGACCGAGTCAATGTTTTCTTTTGCGGCATCCTCTGGAAAAGTACAGGCAACAGGCCCGAGGTGGATATATTCTGGAGAGTACTCGGGCGGTAAGGCCTGTTTTGCAGACCACATACTCTGGCTACAGGTTCAAGGAGGGCGACGATGGCTCCTTTGGCGCATCGGCAACAAGCTTCGAGGCTCGGTTGATAGACATCCCATTCAAAACAGTGGGAGGTATGTTCAGACATGATCTGTTCGTAGTACCATCACAGGGGGGATACAAAGGAGGAAGACGAAACAGGAGGAGAAAAGAAGGGGAATGTTCGTTTTCTTACTTTTTTTACAACGTTATTGTACTCTTCTCTCTTCTTGAGCATTGACTACTAATAGAGGCTGGACTTGTTCAATGAGAATGTGGGCACTAGGTGCTGAACAATGTTGCTGTTGCAAGCAAACTTCAGGTCTATGAAGGAGAAGTGGCACCCTTGGGAGTCGCTCAGAGATGGGCGCCTTCAGCATTGAAACAGATATATTTTTTACATCGACAGGCCCTGAAAGAAGGGCAAACAAGATGTGTCCCTGATGCAGATATTTGAAACAAATCGGATACCTGCAAAAGCGTCCGTGGAGGAAGAAAATCTGCTGCTCTGACTGTTCGGTGTTGCTTCGTTCGGTTGCGGCCGTCGTGTTCAAAAGAAGTCATCTAGATTCGCCTCAGTCAGCGATGTTGACCAAGGTGGAGTTCATGTAGCTTTTACTCCCCCAGCGCGCCTACTACATCTTTGCTTGCGAGCCCTTGATTGACTGATGCAGAAAATATCGGACTCACAAAGGCATACCCTCATAGTAGCTGAGATTCGCGTTGCACCCTCTACCGGATACAGGCCCTTCATGGCAGCACAACAATCCTTTGCAGACAACCCACTCTTATGCAAGTCTACATAACCTCTTCTTTAATTTCAGACTACAGTCCACGGAGTACAAAAAATCCGCAATATTGGGCAAATTCATCCTCACTCTTCTCTTCCTTGCACTACTCGATTTCACAGGGTTCCCGCTTTGCCGCGACGCATACGACTTCAAGCATGATGCCACCAACGCCGAACCTACTCGCAACAACGTAGCCTTTGAGTCCATCTCGTCGTGTCACTGCTGGTTTAGGCTGGCTTGATTTGGACTATAAAACCGACATTTCAGTAGTGGCTACCGTTGAAGATGTGTCTGACAACCACATCACTGTAGCCATTTCGCCCCAGTCCAGCTCCCTCCAAAGTCATCTCGGCTGCCTGTTCTTGGCTTGAAGCATCAGCCCCTGAGCCCGAAATAATGACGGATCGGTGGAACCTGGCGTCCACAGTGAGCGATAAAGAATAATCGTTCCGAAGCACGTCTTTCCACGACCGTCAAGTTTGACACCTGCTGTGAGGGGGGAGATGCTCCCACTGTTGTGGCCCTGTTCTTTAGTCTCTATCTCGGCAAAGACGAAGTAGAGGAAGTAGACAGAGTAGACAGAGTAGACAGAGTAGACAGAGTGGACAGAGTAGACAGAGTAGACAGAGTAGACAGAGTAGACAGAGTAGATAGAGTAGACAGAGTAGATAGAGTAGACAGAGTAGATAGAGTATTATAACAAAAGATTGGCCGCAAGCGATAGGCATGAAGCAAAGCACAGAGCACAAGAGGGAATAGTGAAAGACTGAAATATGAATCGGAACAAACAAGCAAATTTGAATTAAATAGACGAAAAAAAAATCCCCAATCTTTCCCTGACTGCACTGGTAATATATATTCCGAACCATAAAGGGGAATAAAAACTCTCATTTGTAACGCCTGATTATCCCTTGACCTTAAGACAACGAGAAGTCGATGTCTAGCTCCCCCACAACGGAGGGAGCAATCTCCTCTTCCTCTTCCTCTTCTTCTTGGGCTTGGATTTCTTCTTCTTCTTCCGCTTCTTCTTGGGCCGGGGCCCCAACCATCACCACATCCTGTGGTGGCTGTTGCTGCTGCTGTTGCTGCTGGCCGGAGCCAGGGACCACGGGGGCCGGAGCGGGAGCGGGAGCAGGAGTAGGAGCAGGAGCAGGAGTAGGAGTAGGAGCAGGCGCAGGCGCTGGGGCGGGGGTGGGGGCTGGGGCTAGAGCAGGAGTAGGAGCCGGGGCTGCTTGTTGGGTTGCCATTGGGGCTTGAAGTCCCCGAGTTGATAAGCGCGCGAAAGGGTGCCATTGGCACCGCGGCCTGAGAATCCGGGGATTCTCACTGCCCACCCCGATCATCTGGGCCTGTTTGAATAGTGTCAGCTGGTTGAATGATAGAAGGGTTAGAGAGAGTGGCATACCTCCTCGGTCTCGTCCACTCCCTCCTCCTCTTCCCCCTCTTCCTTCTTCTGCTCCTTGTTTTGCATATTCTTCATAACACTCGTGGTAAAAGCAAAAGTCTTATCTTTAGGACAAATAAAAATCGATGTCCAATTCCCCCATATTTCCCCATATTCCCCCACTACAGAAGGAGCGATCTCTTTTTTCTCCTCTTCTTCTTTTTTGTCTTCTTCTTTGCCTTAGGTTTCTTCTTCTTCTTCGAGGGCCAGGGCCCCAACCATCTCCACGTCCTATAGTGGCTCTCGTTGCTACTGTTGCAGCTGGCCGGGGCCGGGGGCCACGGGGGCCACGGAGCGTGAGCGGGAGCTGGAGCTGGGGCGGGGGCTGGGGCGAAGAGAATAGCAGCAGCAGTAGCAGCCGGAGCTGTTTGCTGGGTCGCGATGAGGGTTTCGTAGCCTTGGTTGAAGAAAGTACACGCTTGAGAGCGCGAAAGGGTGCCATTGCCATCGCGGCCGGAGAATCCGGGGATTCTCACCACCCCCCTCCCCCCCAAACGTCTCGCCCTGTTCAAATACTGTCAGCTTGTTGAATGATAAAAGGGAGCTTAAAGAGATACAAAGCGAGTGGCATACCTCCTCAGCCTCGTCTCCCTCTTACTCCTCGGCCTCCTCCTCGGCCTTGGCGACGGCCTTGGCCTCGTTGGGCCCTTTCTCGCGCCGTAGGCGCCGACAAGATGCGTAAAATACCCTCAAGTTGATCGATGATGGGCATCCTAGTTCCCAGTTATTAGTATTAAACACCGTATCGCAAACATAGATGGACAGTGCTGCTTACTTTGTAAAAGAATTTGTTTTTTAAAAACAAAAAAAAAAAAAGGCCACTTAGGCAAATTTAGAAGGCTTTTCTCATTCTCATTCTCAAATTAGTAGGGTGCTTGCGGGAGGGGAGAGGGAGAGAAAAGGAGAGGGAGATGCCGTTGGGGATAACGGACGAAAGAAAGAGAAAACAAGCGATAATCGCGGCAGTAGAGATGCCATTTTGGTGGAAATAGTACTCCGGAGACGAGAGGGAAACGCGAGGCGAACCTGAAGTTTTTGCACTGGCGACTACCTACCTGGTACCTACCGTCAATTCAGGCGGCAAGGCGGTCAGAGCTGGCAGTCTGGGCCTGCAGTCGGTTGCTGGCCAGGAAGGTACGGAAGTGCGCGGCCAAGTTAATCCTTCCAACTGGGAGCTGAAGAAAGAAGCAAAGTGATCAATATAATCCATAGAGCACAAGTTGACGAATAGTACATAGGCTCAAATCCGACAAAGGCGAATAAAAACTTGACAAAGAAAATTACATCTCCATTGGTTCTCCCACATCTTCCTCCAATTGGAGCTCTTCAGGAAGCTCCTGCATTTGTTGCATTTGTTGTTGGATTTTTTGCTGCTGCTGGATCAGCCGCAAAACCTCTCTCCGGGTAATTACACCCATTCTGATAGCGTATCTCAGTTGTCTTTGGGACAGTGTCCCATTCTGGCCGCGGCCCCTGAAGGTGGGGATGCCGCCGTGGAGCGTGAGATGGGCTGCAAGGTTGTCAGTCTTAAATAATACAGATAGAAGGATGAGGTATATGAGTTGCGTCTTTGCCGCCGGGGCGGCTGTTGTTGTCTGCGTCATCGTTGTCTTCGTCGTCTTTGTTGTCGTCTGCTTTGTCGTCGTTGTCGTCAGTAAATTGGGATATAATGATGTTGATGGTGATAATGAGGATCAAGATCGTGATGGAAAGTAGCTTGGCAGTATTTCACCTTGTCTAGCCGCGTAATAGGCTCTGTGGAAAGACGAACTATGGAATCGACGCAATCGGGCACTCCAAGAGTTATTGTTTGTTCTTTCTCCAGCGGCAATGTCGAAATGGATTTCTTCGTAGGTGGTCGGTGGGTAACTTCTTGACAATGATTGTCGCGGGGGAAAGTGATGCTGAAGACATGAACTGGTAGCAGGGATGATAAGAGAGAGTGTACGATAAACACCGGCGAAACAGGGCATCCGAGGTTCAAATGTTTGCATGGCACTTGGAAACGGCAATTACATGGCAGTCGGAAAAGAGGGCATTCATTGTACCATGAAAAAAAAGAAATTAAAGACAAATTCGACAAAAAATTGGGAAAAAAAAAGGACACAAAAAAAAACAATGTGTAAAAAAAAAAAAAACACCACATCCATCCTCTCTACTGCTGCTGCTGCTGCTGAGGCTGCTGAGGCTGCTGAGGCTGTTGGGCTTGTTGTTGCGCCTGCTGCTGTTGAGCTTGCTGTTGAACTTGCTGCTGGGCCTGTTGTTGAGCCTGTTGTTGAGGCTGCTGAGGCTGCTGCTGCTGCTGCCCGACGATTTGCTCCGGGTGGATAAGACCCGCCTCCAATGCACGTCTAAGCTGGCTCCGGGACAAAGTCCCATCACGGCCACGTCCCACAAAGCCGCGGAGTCTCACCACGCCGCCACGATTTCTGCGGCCAACTGCAAAAGAAACCATTAGCCTTGAAGATGGCATATAGGCAGAGAGAGTAGAAGGAAACATACTGCCGCCGCCTCCCCTTCCTTGGCCTCTTCCTTGGCCTCGTCCTCGTCCTCGTCCACTTCCTCTTCCACTCCCTCTTCCTCTTCCACCACGCCCTCCACGATCTAGTCCAACGGCGTTAGCTACAGTGTCAACTCAAGAGATAGTAAAAGCCATACTGTTGTTGTTGTTGGTGGTGGTGGTGGTGACACCACCATCACCGGCGCCATGGTGGCCCAGAAAGCCTCGTAAAACACGCCGGAAATTCGGCATGTCCTCGCTATCCGTCCCCAAAATTGAATCCGTGATTGTTTGAAATGACTAGTGTATTTGCATATTAGTAAAGTGAGAAATAGTAGGACATCGGCACCAATGTTGTAGAGATGAGGCAGAAGTTTGTTGAAAGAAACTGGTAAACGTACGTCGGACATTGTGGTATGTCTGTTAATATGGAGTTAGCAAGGTAAACACTGTTTTCAGGAAACTGGGACGAGACTCACGAAACAATTTTTAAAAGAAGTGAAGATCTAGATATTCAACGATTAGTATTTGATCGTAATGAACTCAGAGGTCAGGGAGTTGTAGCGATGATGGTGATGGAGAGGGTGGTGTATGAAATGAAGGCGAAGTCGGACATGGACACGGCTATGAAGGGGAAAATAGAAGTAATTGTGAAAAGCGGATATTAAAACTGGATGTCAGAGGGAGGTTGAGGAGAGATTTGCTGAAGATGGTGATGGCGATGATGATACGATGGGGGAAACGGGCTGACTTACGATCGGCGGTGGTGATGGTGATGTTGACAAGAAGAAAAACTTCCCAAGGCACGACGGATGGAACTTTCTATTCGCCTTCACACTTGGCGCAGCATTTTTCACTTCCAGCTGACAATAGTAGTGCACGATTCGTTGCTTCAAAATAACGCCAGCTGGCAATGGTCATTTGCACTCGGCCACGTCCCACGCCCAAGTGCCAATTCCATGGGATTATTATGGCATTAAATACTTGTATAGCTAATTCCTGGAAGGCTCAATGTTGATCTGAAGTAAGTATATACACTTTGAATGATAGCTGTATTAATAGAGGCGGTGCCTCGAATGATGCTACAAATTGCTATCAATATCCTCAGGTAGGTAGAACTATGACGAGCCAAGGCATTTCGTAGCGCACCAAGTCAAAGTTCAAAGAGCCAAAAAAAGGCGCTAAGAAAAGACAGTCATCCATGGGAGGAAAGAGGTAGAGGAAAATAGATGTCGAATAACAGCCAACAATGGGACTCCTTTGTCCGGCGGTAGGCGTTGCAGCAGTTCCTCCATTGAGGATCGAGTATAGGCTGACAGCACTGGAAATATCCGAGTTACCACGCCATTTTAGCATCTTTGTTGAACTTGGTAGCAGAGCATATGCTCTTTCACCCAGCAATAAGGAAGCCTAGCAAGTGGGCGATCAGCCGTCTTTGGACGCGCGGGAGCAGTGGTTTCGGTTGGGAGGGAGAAGCTGTCGGTGAAGAGAGTACCTGTATCTACTGCAAAAAATAATCAGTGACTGGCACTACATCAGATTGCTTTCGACCAACTGGGGATGTTTCAAGGGCAGCGTCATTAATTGTCTTTTCCGTAAAACAGACTGATGTGCAGGCATGACGATTGGTGAGCACAGAGCAATGTCCACGCTGCATCGGCGAGTTTCTCTTCAAAGGTCCTGTTTATTGGCGGGCAAACGCGTGGTCGGTGGGCGGTCTCTGGCAGCGAAATGGTGGTCATGTAGTGTAGGTAGTTTGAGCTTAACATCGCGGGAAGAGCATCAAAGGCACCATCAATTGAATCGGCTAGTGTTCCATGCAACTAAGATTCGAGTCAACAAAGACTGGCAGTGTCAGTGTTTGAGTCAGTTTCATAATGTCACATGGAGTTGATTAGTGATTACAGATTGCCTGCTGATAACTTGAATGATAGGCACCGGCGAAACAGTGTGTCCGCCCGGATACATGTGCGTGCAGACCATCAAGGTGCTCAACACCAGAATGCCTTTCTTTCGCGATGGAAAATTGGCGAGCGATGACGGCAGTCGGAATCTGAACCATCTCACAGTCGGTGACTGGCGCTGGATGAAGCACGCAAGTCAGGTCAGATGCAATTGACCCAGTCCATTGGCTGATCTGATATGTCTTTTCGCTGAACCCTCTAACCAGGACGCTCACATCGTAATGCACAACATCCGAAGCATCAACGCCCTCTTCGCATCATCAACAGCAATGCTTCTCAACACCCCCGCGCCACAAGACCAGAAGACCAGATAAGAGATGGCCACAGCCATTGTTTCGCTAGCGTCGAGCCAAGACGGGAAGATCGGACAGGCGTCTCGCATTAGCTCAGAGCTCGTGATTGGGCTGCCTGATTGCACTACACAAATGACAGCGAATGACGGCGAATGATGCACCGGCATCCTACAAACCTTAATCGGGTGGCGCGCGGTTAACTGCCGGTGGAAGCCAGATAGCCCAAGGGAGGTCGACGTCATCTTGCCCATTTCACCATCACCGCTACTATCTCCGGCATCAAAGAGAAGAGATACCATCATGGCCTACAACGAGCTTTACCAGTATTCCGTCGTCTCGTCGCTCATGGAGGGCATTGGGGAAACGGGACTCCCGTATAGCCAGCTCGTCAAACACGGCGACCATGGGCTCGGCACATTTCGTCGGATGGCCGGCGAGATGATCTGCCTGGACAATGAAGTCTACCAGATGAAGTCCGATGGCTCCATTGTCACTATTGACACCTCGAATGGTACTGACGTAGCTCCTTTCGCCATGGTTACGCGCTTTCAACCCTCTGTCACCGCCAAGATTGCGTTCGATAGCAAGCATGGCCTCTCCGATGTCATGTCCAATCTGTTCCCAAAGACCAAGAATCGCTACCTGTCATTCCGAATAGACGGCCTTTTCCAGTCAGTTGCAGTGCGAACCGCAGACGGCCAGCGGTATGAACACGAGAAGCTCAGAGAGCTACACAAGCGCCAAACGACAAACGAGTTTACCAATGTGCGGGGCAGTCTCATTGGATTCCGATCGCCGGAATTTTTGCAAGGCGTCAGTGTGGCGGGCGATCATTTACACTTCATTACCGACGAACGAGACCGAGGCGGCCATGTGCTGGATTGCAAATCTGAGGGCGAAGTCCAATTCTCCGGCTCGATACTCAGTGCCGTGCATCTGCAGCTCCCCGACGACGATGAATACAACGAAGCAGAGCTCAACCTTGATGCTGACGGGATACGCAAGGTGGAGGGCTGATTGGGTCTTGACTGTTACAAAATGCTAGCGACAGTGACTGGCTGGGAAATGCTCCTTGAATGGTATACCTGATTGAAAGGGTTGAACATCACCATCCCACCAGCTTTGTCTCCCTTTCAATTACCGTGTTGTGAATTGCAATCTGGTCTCTCCCTTCCCTTCCATCTCAACTATTCCAAGCTTCGCTATCGTAGTGATTGAATGTGCGGTAATCGCCGGTCTTCCTCTACTATTCCACCCATTTTATTGCAGCATATTCCATTGTTTGGTAAAACTGTGCCTCTTCGCTCGCGGCGAGGACACTACCAGGGCTACTCCCAGCAATCTTGTACAAATCGGGGCTGACACGAAAGCGAAATACATCGCCGGTGCCCTCTAAATATCGTCAGTCGAATTGTCGAGAATAATATGAGCGATGCAAGAGCGGGCTCTGAGAGTATTAGTCCCATTCTCGGTGTATTCAGGAGCTAGTTACGGGTCAAAGTTCCTCTAATGCCATGGACTTTAAACTTGGAGATGGTAACCAAGCCACTACGAATTCCGCAGCCAACTGTAAAGGCATTGTCAGCATTGACCATAATCATGTGCTCTGTATTTCCTCTCACCCTTCAGTACGCCGGGAACGGCTTGGTGGGGGCGGCAATCCGGCAGACACGGTTGATTGCGACTGTCGAAAAACGAGCGGTACTGAAGAGCAAAAAGAGGCGCAAAGCAAACAGGATGCAGATGTGGAAGAAGAGAGGTGGCATAAGACCTGAGATTGGAGGTTCTTACCGGTAGTATCAGATAGTAGATCAAAATATCTCTAGTAGCTCTAGATATCTCAAGTAGCTCTGGAGGCCATGGGATAGCATACCTAGGGGAATGTGCCCTGAGACACCTTCCAGCCAGGCCAAATTGACCGAGGCTCATCTTTCCACAGATATTTCGCATACCGGGGTCTTCGAGTCTTTTAATCAAGGGCATCAGAAAGGGGCTTTCTGTTCCTCGACAGGCTGATATCTCGTGTGCCACAATACGGCTCAGTTGGTAGCGCATAGAAACTGGAGAAATCTCTGTGTTAGTAGATGTCATTGTGTGTAGATTCACAAGAGATTGGATTCACCTTCTAAGAGCGCCCTTTCCTGTACCAGAGCATTGTACAATAAACTTCAAGTCTTTGAGTCGCGAGACGTGGACTAACTGAGAGAGTGAGCTGCTGTGTCGCATCGCCAACTTAGTATCTGTGCTTCTGCTACATTCGGCCCCATGGATCGAAATAGTGCGGCAAAACGCGGGATTGAACATCGTGTGGCTGTCTTCGGCGGCAGTATCACCGATCTAAATTGCCCACAAAGGCCAAACTCGAATAGGGCGTCACAGGCAAAGTTCTTCTACACAGGAATAGACCACCTGCGTAGGGGAAAGATCATCTTACAGAGACAAACCATCTGTACAGGAACGCATCGTCAAAAAGCTAAGCTCTACACAAGAACATTGCCAATCGTCTGCAGTGCCAACCCCGACACAGTAACATTTCTCGAAAGGATCCAAATGTCTTGAGCACTCTTCGTGGAGCAAATATCAGCAGCGATGCACCTTCTGCCTCTTGACCGACGCCCGGGGAAGATGTCGTGATTTCAGCAAAAAGCATAACAAAAAAATAGATCTCATCAGCAATCTTGCCAACACCAGATTATCAAGGGGATTTGGGACACTTTCCAATTTGGCGCTCATGGAAGAAACCGATGCTCGTAGACGCAGCGTTAGGCGAGGGTGAGTCTCTCGGAAACTATGTCTGTCGGGATAAAGAGCTAGGCAGAAGGATATTTCTTTACGCTATTGTCAGAAAATGGTAAGCATGGATGCGTCAAGTTGAATTTGGGAGACAAATCTGGGAGAAAGTAGGAATACAGGCAAGGGTAGGGCGACAAACGATGAAAAGACTGCATAGATTTCTGTCAAACTAGCAGTTCTCTTTCGACACAATGGTTGCGCTCTCAAACGTGAAAAGGTGGCGGATGCAAAGGTACATAGAGAGAAGAGGTAAGATAAAGTAAAGAAAAGTAATCATCATGTGCCAGTGTCCCGTTCTTTTGTTGGTGCCGAGTGCCTGTGGCTGAGTTGAATGGTGTCCATATGAAATGGCACGACCTCAAGGCAGATTGGAACTTACCTGGGAGGTTAGGAACTACACGAGCAATATTGAAGTAGTACTACCATAATCCAATAAACTACTATACTAGGTAGCTATTGGTGCTGATTCCTCTACAGCTGCCGGCAAGTCACAGAAAATTAGCCACCAGCCGCATCACGCGTAGGAACGCGCTTCAATGAAACGCGTGAATCATGCAAAGCGCGCCGCGTGTGGAAGTATGACGTACTGGTTTTTGAGTTTACCATTGTTGGAGCGTCATTGAGGATCAAGAGATATCTGATGAGGTACCGATAGCTGCGTTCTGATGAAGCCTTCCCGTGCATCTACTTGGATTCCAGCTATACGTAGAACGTACTTACGAAAGCCATGTACACCCAGCAGATAACATTTACTGTTTCCCATGGGATACTAGATCCTACTATGTAAGTAATAGGTAATACATTTACCTAGATTGCAGGCCATTGAACATGTGAAAATCTTGGCTGCTAGAAAGTGAATGGAACAACGTGTTCTCTTACTTTAGGCACATTCACAGCATCTGTTCAAATGGCATTCGCAGTTAAAGCCACAGAAATCATGTCCACTTCATACATCTGCCCAATAAATATTACACATGGATGCCGAATACAAGCTCATCAGAAGAATCTGGGCGTAATTTGTTGCCATTTAGGGTAGCATCGCCAACCTCATTCTTGGAGTTGCGTACAGTACAAGGTACGTAGTGCGGGCCACCAAAATTGGACGCACCAATGATGAAATTGCGTCCCGCCAGCCGGCATGCTATTGGTCAGCCGTCAGCTGTCAAAAAATCGGAGCTCAATTACAGGGCTCTGATTATTGGATCAGAGCTGTGGGGCGAGCATTTTACACTAGAGGCTAGTACTAATCCAGCTCATGCGACAGAGTACATACCCAAGTACATGGCATGAGTGTTATGGACTCTCAGTCAACCAATCGCTACAGAATTACGCATATTGTGCCTCAAATTCATGCGATAGAAAACAATTACAGACTTGCAGAAGTTCGAATGTGAGAGCGTCTTAGTTTGATGCCAGAATATTGCCGGGTTGGTTTGTCAAACTCATGATGCAAAGTTCATGGCCATGACTGCAGTGTGGCGAAGGATGCCTCTCAGCAGTCACCAACGGTTGGGAAAAAACCTCTTCTATAAGTGCCATGGCTAGAATTGTAAACCGCTGTCCAGGAATGCCGAGATATTTGGTAGAGCCCAGGTGTTAGATGCAGAGCGACTACCTTCAATATACCTGTCGTGATGCAGCAGTCAACCTCTTTCCCAGCCGGCGCTTCAAACGCAGTGAACACATATACCGGCTTGGGATTTGGATTGGAGGTAACCCACCTACCTAGGAACGTCATCTTTGGAACATTGCTGCAGCCAGATATGCAATAAACAGGCGGAATTGCTCTCTTTTTCCTGACCGAGAGCGTTTGTTGGATTGATAGACTCTCATACAAGGAACAGAGCTGTAGCTATCATAAACGTCGGGCAACCTAAAGCTTTAAGGCTTGGCCCACGCGCCGGTACGACTTAGTGGCAAAGACTTGGCAGGGGTCCTCCACTTTGCACCAAGCCAAACGAGTGTGGATATTTCTCACAGACAAACAAGGCTGGTTTTGATATTCAACAAGACCGTCTACAGGCACTCGGGCACCACGGCGAAACACGATGAGCTCTTCTTCACTGCATCTCTTCGACTTTCAGACTACAGCTGATACAAGTTGAAGGTACAAAGATACTTGCACCTGCACGTTAATTCGAAGCGGAAATCGCTTAGTCAGTCAACAGGCGGCATCACTTTTTTGGAAATCCAAGTGGCGTGTGCGCGTTTCTTCTCTTCTCTTCTCTTCTCCCACATCAAGAGACTTTCTTTCGATCGATCGATTTCCTCGCCAACCCTCCTTCGCCGCTCCAATGTGTCAGATTATTTGGTGATTCTTCAGGTACGTCTCCCCCTCCCCCTCCTCTCCTCTCCTCTTCTCTCCCCTCCCCCTCCCCCTCCTCTTTCCCTTCCCTTCCCTTCTCCTCCCTTCCACTTCCCTTCCATTTCCCCCTCCCCCACTGGTTCACAATGCCTCGACAAAAGCCATCCTCTGGACAGAAGCGGATTTCCGACTTCTTCCAGAAGGCAGACACTCCCCGTGCCTGCTGCAACTTCTTCACCTGGTGTGAAGATTGGCTTTGTCGATGAGCAGGCTAAAGAGGGAGCCTCTCTTTCAGCCGTACCATCGAACAAGGGGCAGATGATATCTGTCTCTTCGTTTGATGAAGGCCGCTCTAGGCATGTGAACGGGGAACACAAGTCAGTGACTCTCGCACTGATTTGAATGACAAGACTAAAGTGAGAGAGTTGGGTATACCCTTGTCTCCCACAATTTCGTCTTTCGAGACGTTGACAATGAAGGTCCGCCTTCCAAGACGTTGACAATGAAGGTCCGTCTTTTGAGGCGTTGACAATGAAGGTCCGCCTTCCAAGGCGTTGACAATGAAGGTCCGCCTCCCAAGGCGTTGACAATGAAGGTCCATCTTCCAAGGCGTTGACAATGAAAGTCCGTCTTTTGAGGCGATGACAGTTCCGTCTGAGGGCAAAGGCAATTCCGTCTGCAAAGGCGAAGGCCATCCTGCTCAACAGGCGACGACATCTATTCGGCTTCAGAGTCATTCCCGAGTCTGAAGACGAATTGGGCTTAGGGGATAACTGCATTGGCAAATCCAACGCCCTCATCATCGATTATGGGTACAATGCTGCGCGAATGCAGCTTGTGGGAGCCCTCGTCGATACCTCAGGCTAGAGAAACTTGTCGAAAATTTCGATGCATGTCTCCGGCGCTGCATCCGCTGTGGTTGTGGCTATTGCCGCGAAATGGCGGGCGGCTACTCACTGTGCCACTACAAGTGCATCTGTGGTGATGATCAGACAAGTATCCGCATCCCCTGGCGTCTTTGACATTATCCAGGGGGCCTGAGAAGCCTAGGCCAAGTGGCCGGGGTGGAGGCGCCGGCATTTGATCAAGTGGTCTTGCCGGTCCCGAGACGATGACTGATACCTCTTCGTGGTGTCTCGGATTAGTAACCGCGGCTCTCTAATGAGATCTAAGGCGAAGCTAAGAGCAGTCAAATCAAGGTTGAGTGGTGTTTACGGATGTTGACAGGGCCGATAGATGTGCGGCTAATCTTGGTGACCCAAAGCGCAACCCTAAGCAGTCAAAGCAGTCAGAGCAAGAGATATGCAGGTAAATCCCAGCGAAGCTCTGTGGCCATAATGCGAGTCTCAATAGCTGACCATCTAGAGATGATAGCAACACAGAGAGGCAACTGGACAACACGGGAACAAGTCGCCGATCAAGTGCAGCTGCAAGAGAGCAAGTGGGCAAATAGCCGAAGGAGTCAGAGGAAATGTAGATGACAACGAAATACTAATTCTGCCTGCTTCTCCCACCGCCCTTTTTCTTCCTCTCCCCCGCGGCGGCACCGATATCAAGACTGAGGAGCCTCACTTGTCGACGAGCACAGATGCTACCGCACGTCAGCCGACGAGGAATGTGCAGCGCAACTGGCACATACTGGAACGAGAAGAATGATGGCATGTGGACTTTCAAGTACAAGAGAGCTGTGGGCAGGGACGGAAGCAAGGGCAAAGGCGTGGACGTCGTCATTATAAAGGTGCTTGGAGCTTGGAGCTTGAAGCACCCGTTCCACTCTGGGATATTGCTGCGTCAAGCTGCCTTTCTGCGCTCGAACTCTGGTTACTAGTACAGCAAGGCTACTGATCTGCTCCTGGACCGGCGCTGTTTACAAGTTAGATGGCGCTTTCAGGAGGATAAGCTTGAGTATTGCTCACAGAGATGGGGAAGTCGCTCACGGCGTGCTTGTTGGTTCAAATTGCAGGGCATTTTCTATTCCACGACAGACAGAGGCGTCACAAGAATAGTTGTACTAATGTCAGAGAATCTATAGGCACAGTTACCCTCTATACAATGCAAGCTCTACAAGCTCTCCATCGACTCGATATTGCGCTGTCACGTTTTGAGAGTGATGACTCTGTCGTCGTCACTTAATTCACTTGTCCCGTGGCGTCTCCTTCTGGGACACTTCAGCCACAGCGAAGCGAGAGTACAGGCCACACCTGTCTCCCTATGTCGTGTTGACTTCTGGAATAGAAAATGCCCTACAATTTGAACCAACAAGCACGCCGTGAGCGACTTCCCCATCTCTGTGAGCAATACTCAAGCTTATCCTCCGAAAGCCATCTAACTTAGAAACAGCGCCGGCCTAGGAGCACGATTGGTAGCCTCTTCTCTTCCAGCACCCAGTTATCGCATCCCGCCGCACCATCAGCTCTTTGCCCGCTCCAGTAATCTGGAGCCATATATGACGATTACCCCCATGATCGGCCGGAGCCAACAAGAGGCAGATGGCGGAGTCCTGATCTCTGGCCGGCGAGGGCCCAGCTTCTGTCGGTGACACACTCTGTCGATATCGCTACTATCTTTAGATATCTCTACTATCTATAGATATATCTACAGATATCTACTGCCTCTAGATATCTTCATTGCCTCTAAATATCTCTACTATCTCTATTCAGTCGAGCTTGAGAAGCCTTAGCGAAGTGACAAAGTGTATAGATATCCGCAATGCAGTGGCAGTCCGAGATGATGATTGACACCTCCTCGTAATCTTGTGGATTAAACCCCACAGTCTATGAGTAGATCTGGAATAAGGACACGGCTACTTAATTTTTAAAGAATGAATAGTGACAACCCCAAGGATTGCTGGATTAATTTGACAATTACTGTGAGGAAGCCCCTCAAGAAGATCAACTTTACGAGAGCTTTGAGCAATAAGGGTACATATGCATGAAAGACAAATTAGGCGTCGAAGAAGTATCTACTGAATCCAGGTATGTTACGGCTTCGAGCGGAAGAGGCGGGCGCTAGGCTGGCACTAGAGTCTAGGATGGCTGAATCATCTTGTGAGCTATCTACCCAGTGGGAGATGTCTTCGTCGTCTAGTACCTGATGTGTCACGCAGCTCTTTCGCACGTACGTTGTTTCTACTGACGAGGTGGGATATACCTGTATGTACTCACGCTTGTCACTACGCCTGTAAGCATTGACGGTGACGTCCTGATGAATCAACTATTCAGGACAATGAATGGGATATAGAAGAACATTCTTTTCTTTGGACGACCGGGCGCTCACAAAACTTTGGGCAACTTGAAATGTGGCCTAACCCACAGCAGCACGCAGCTGCTAGACATGATGCCTTGCCAAAGTAGGTACTTGGGAAGGACAGTTAATTAGACGGTGTGTCGGATTCTTTGCTCACTCCTCGTGCCGTATACGATTTACGGGAAGCAGCCTTCCGTTGCGGCTGTTGGGTTTCGCTCGTTGATCTCCACGGGCCATACGGAGTGGCAGACCGCCTAAAATCGTGCTGTACATGACGGTACCTAGCAGAGTGAGCATTGTTAGTGCCGTCTCGGTAAACAAAGAGAGGTATCTATCAGTATTGAATATGCTTAAACTTCTGTATACAAACAGGAGGTGGTGCCAATGTTCCGCTGCGAGCGCGTTTGACTCATCGATGCCAAGCAAACTTTGATTGCGCATGACAAGGGGCGACCAACTCCGTTCATGGCTTTGGATTATTTCAGCTGAACCTGCGAGGAAGTCCTTTCTGCGGCTTGAGCGTGATATTGTTCAAGACATGCCCGGCGTGCTTAAAGGGCCCTTGGGAAGGTGATCAAAAAGCGATGGAATGCTGGGTATTTGAGAAGCCTCGAGGTTCGGATTTTCTAGCTCCAGCCGATTTGGTAGACAGGTGGCAGGCCGGAAGATCGGCATCTCTATATTCCATGCAACAGTACAATTTACCTTGATTCAGCTTCACTTCTCCCTCGCAATGGATCCGACGCAATTGACGGCAATGTCGCACCAAAGCCGGTTTTTCACCTGCAGGATATGCAATCCTTCGCTCCAGCCCCGGGAGACTTTTGTGTGGTCTTTGCTCACGAGAACTCAAGGACGCCTTCAGTTAGGTATATGTCAACGATGCTGGAATTATAGTACATTCGTGGGTTCTCGCTGACACTGGCAAGCAGTGGATGTCACAGTTTCGACGAAGATGATGTGCCCGAATATTTACCCACCATCTCAGGCGACGATGGGCAATATCTGTGGAACTAGCCAATTTCCGGACTGAAATCCAATCGAGAACAAACAAGCAAAGTTACCACAGTCGATCCATTTTGTTTATAGCCCTTTCGCCGTCAGAGGTGGAAAGAAAATGAGTTCAAGGTTCTTTTCGTTGCGTGAATACATGTAGCTATTATGGCAACTTCGAGGGATCGTATTGCTGCAGGCAGGCTTGACTACTCCAAATCCTGAGAGCATTTCAACATACATGTAGTATACATCCCAAAATCCCCCAATAGGCACAATCAGAGTGTTTAGACTCAAATTTGTTGCGAAATCAGTGATGCTGTAAACGAAAGAAACATCGTGGTGAAACCTTGGAGTCTGTACGTGGCAGAGGAGCGACTCCAAGGTCTCGGAGATTGTCAGCTGTGTAAATACTTCATCTGGGAAATAAGGACTGGTTGTAACGCCGCTACTGATGTCATGATGGAGAATACAAATATGCCTTGAGATGGGTATTCAGTCGGTCGTGTTTATTGTGGTGGTCCCAAGAGAGCGGAATCGGGGAGTGCTCAGGAGTGGTTGGGGTCATTAACCAAATTTCGACGAACATTGGACTCTTGTCGGTATAACAGCGGAATATGAAGCCCAGGGAGGGTTATATGCGAACCTGTGTAAATATATCATTTGAAAAGCAGGAACAGGCTGATAATATAAAAGAATATGACAAAAATATCCGCCGACGTCGAGGTAAGGAAACAATCGCCGCCCCTCTCATAGTAGTGCACAGCCCAGAGGTTTCACAACAGGATAGATATCACATGCAGTACTAAAAAGCACAATATTTATCATCAAAATATACATTTATATTGATTTTATATACAGATTTTGTGTTTACCTTCTCCAAAGCGGTAAACAGGTGCGGCTCACGCCCATATTCAGTCCTTCGCCGAAGTACGTACCTTTTTGCGAATAGCTTCACATCACCACATCTAGCAGTACTGGCAAGCTCCCTCGGGGCAATAACTAAAAGCAATTAGCTGAGTTCTAATGAAGAAAAGAAGTAGTTTTTCTAACCCGTGATTGCAACTGAAGGAGCATAGCCCAGAATAAGCAGCGGGTTCTCCAGCAAGAGGACATCCGTTTCGGCCGTTGCTCGGGGGAGCCTGAGGGACGGTGCCGGTGGCAGTGCACACGCATGGGCCGGGAGGGCAGTATCCGTAGCTGTTCCATATGTGAGCATTGAGATAGAAAAAAGGATGAAACACTCCGAAACTTACTTGCAAGAAAAGCTGCAGAGACCAGCAAAGTTGCCAGACTCACCGGGAGCAACGGTACCGGCAACGCAGTTGGTAGGGTTTGAAGGAGCAGCGCTGCTGGTGCGAGAAGCAGGAGGAGTGCTGCTGGTGGGGTTGGCAGGAGGGCTGGCCGGGACAGAAGGGTTGGTGCCCAGAGAAGGCTTGGGCTGGCAGGTCGTGACATGGAGACCGGAAGTCAGGGAAGAAAGACCATCAGGGCCAAGAGGGTCGGAGAATCCAGCAGGGAGTGTGCCGACGTAGGGGTTGAAGTTGTAGATACCGCAGTTGCAGACGTTGGTAATGTCCATCAGAGAGGTTCCAGACAGGATGTTCTGGCCGCCGCGGTTGACAACAAAGCTCTGCTTGCCGAGGCCGGCGGGGACGGTGAAGATGTTGGCACCAGCAGGGGCGTTGAAGGACTGGGAGTTGCCGCCAGAGGTGACACTCAGGGTAGCAGGAGACTTGAGCAGAGTGACGACGTAGACATTGTCGTCCATGGTCTGCCAGCCGTTGGGGATACCCTCAAAGTAGTTGCCGCTGGCGTTGGGGGCAGAGTGGCCAGCAGTGGTGTCGGTAGCATCACAGTTGAGGGTCTTGAGGTTGCGGCGGTACCAGTAGACAACCTTCTCGGTCTGGACGTAGTTGGCAACGTTGGTGTCTCCGTTCTTGTAGGCAGCAATGAAGGGAGTGGACAGGTCGAGGAAACCGTCGTGGGGCATGTCGTTGGTCCACTTGGAGTTACCGTCATCTCCGTGCTTGGAGCTCAGGGGGCCAATGTAGTGAGACTCGCCATAGTCGTTCCAGGTGATGATCTCAACCATGGGGAAGCCCTGCTGGATGACCTGCTGCCATCGGTTGAACAGGAGAGCGCCACCAGGGAAGACCCAGTTCTTGCTGTAGGAGACCTCGGGGCCGTAGTGAGTGGAGAACCAAGGAGAGATGGGAGCAAGATAAGTCTTGCCGCTGCCGAGCCAGCTCTGGTAGCTGGCATCACCCATAGCGACAGTCACGTTGGCACCAGGAGTAGGGGCCTTGTTGTTACCGTTGCTGTCCCAGGCCATCCAGTTCAAGGCACCGTCAATGGTAGAGGTGGAAGACTGGCCGGGGTGGAAGTTGGGGACGAAGTAGACGTTGGTACCAGCAGCAGAGCGGACGGCGTTGACATCAAGGCCATCACCGGCGAAGGAAGAAGCGAAAACACGGCCGTTGACCTGGAGCTGGGCGGGCTGGTTGGCGTACTGGGCAATCAGCTGACCGACACGGGCAGCATCGGTGCTGGGGTTGTACCAGTTGAAGTCAAAGGAGATGAAGACTTTCATGCCATTGTTGGCAGCAGACTGGTAAGCATAGTTGAGCTGGGTAACGGTGTAGGAATCGGTTCCGATGTTGAGGGCAAAGGCATCGATACCAGCAGCCTTGGCACGCTGCATATCGGAGTCATAGTCGGAAGCACTTCCACGATCACCAACAATGCCAATCTGAACGAAGATTAGCTTTACACTGACTGTAATACCGAGCATGTCTTTTACTGACCATGAAGTGGCAAAAGACCAGGCGGTTACCGGCGGCAGCACGCTCCTCCAGAGATCGGACCTGGATGTTGGAGGGTGCGGCACTGGCCAGAGAAGACAGAGCTGCAGCAGCAGCAAGGGCGCTGAGCCCGAGTTGGCGGAGGGAGCCAGCAATCGACAACATTGTCAATGTGTCGAAGAAGTTGGCTTGGGAAAGATGTGATGGACCCGTTTGGCGTGAGGAGCTCTCTCGAAACCAATGGCTTCAACCAAGACCTTTATATATCTGCCTCGGTCCCCTCCAAATACCCATGACAGCTGTGGACGAGGATCAGGTGGGCAGCGGGACCATCAGCTCCATGTCACCTGTCCGGCTTTCAGGAATGAAGCTTCTCAACGATAGTCAGAGAAATAGTCCACACCCCCAGAACCTTGAGAGGTTGAAACATGCCATTGAGATCGGTCCGAAGCGAAGTTGAGCAGGAATTGCCGGGGTGTGAGTGACATCCCCTATGAGCGTCCCTCAAAAGCTCTAGCGTGGTAACAATGAAACCCACACAGCTGGTCAGTCTAACCGGAAACCATATACTCGTCAACGAGACGCCTCGCATGGCTGCTGGAAACGTACAAGTCCAAGCAATTTTTTTCCAGATTCCGATTCTTTGGGCTTCATCTATCGGTCAGGGCGAGCCACCGACTTTGAGTAAACAAGTAAAAGCGCCTAGTAAACGGGGCACTCATCGTGGAACGGCTTACACTTGAGATGGGGTACTAGCACTATACTAGGAGTGTCGAGCATAAACTCATAGCCAACTAGGGTGCTCCTGGCACGTATTCCTTTTTTTCTTTTTCCATACATCTAAACATCATCAGCTCACGGGGTCGTTGTGGATCAAATCTTGGTTGCCGGTTTCAACATCTCATTACTAGACTACTCCCTAATTAGCTAAGAACGATCAGAGATTTGGAAAGTCAGAGGATCGTGACTTTTGGTGGCCATAATACCGAGCATCCTCCGAGTAAGACTGGAGTTGCAGTTGTCAGCTGTACGGGCCTTGTTACTTATGAATAGACACAATTGCTTCCTCTTCCAATAGAGGGTTGAGCCATCCACACAATGCGCTCCTGCCGGACTCAGCGGTGTTACTGTAAAATGTCAGGGACAGACAAAGTCACCATTCAGGGCCTTTAAATTAGCGAGGGGGGCCAGATCCCCATAATTTGTCGTCTATTCAAGTTAGTTTGGCCGATTTTGCCACCAACGAGAAGCGCCGATCTAGATACCAAGAATCACTTCGCACTTGAAACGGGAGCATAGGCTGCGGATTACGGACGTCTATAGATTCCGTAGCAGTGGCACGGAACGCCGGCCAAATCGTCGTTCCTATCCAACTAGTATCCTAGCCATCGGTCGTGGCCCGGATCGACGAGCTGTATAAGTCTGTGAGCTCGAAGCTAGTACTCGAACAAGGGAATTCAGCGCAGCTGATCCCCCCCACATGTTTCCCGTCTGTCCAGAAGTGTTGACCTTGCGCCACAGGCTTTCAAGAGGTCCGAGGGTTGAGATTGACATGGTATGTAATAAGCCATGTCAAGAGTCGTGAACATGTGGCTGTGCGGGTATGCTTACAAAAGTAGCCTGGATCCAAGATAGTGATTTGTCTCCATGAACTGTCTCTTTAGAGCGCGCGCTTCTTGCCGGATGAATTGTGATTACTTGTATGAAGAGCGTCTTGCGCTCCGCAAGGTCTCCGCAATTTTAACATTCTGGGGTAATAGTTCCGAGCCGCGAGGTTCGCACATACTGCCTCAATTCTGATACGAGCGCGCGGCCGGTCTGTATTCTGGAGAAGACTTTACAAGTAACATCGGCTTTAGAGAGACTCCGTAGTGTGGAATCAACTGCGACAACTCTGAAAGCCGCCACCACTTCACATCTCAGGTGAGCTGCCCTGGTGGTGTGAAGCGTAAGACGCGCTCCTCCTACCGGACATTTACCCTTGCAGTGCGAGGCTGACGATGAGTGATGCCGCTTGCCGGGCGTTTCCTATATCACTTGCTCTATATTGTCTAGTATACGAAGCCATCCGCAGACTATTCGACGCCACCCAAACTGCCGTCTTTGGCGATAACCCTCATGCCAGGCGGACGGTGCTGCCACGTCGTATTGGAACCTGCAGGTCTGCATAAGTTCATGCTACTAGCTAGGTATAGGGAAATATCAGACATCCGTGCCTGTGGAGTGCCGGCATCAGATTGCTTCTGCCTAATTAATTCGCCGCTCAGGAGAGAAAAGTCATGAATCCTTCAATCATACCTAGCTGACAACTTTCCGCTGGACTTTACAGCCGTATTGTTTACAAAAACGGCGGCGATCGTCTGGCAAATACATGTCCCAAGCAAGGGCCAACAATGGCATTGACGGACAGGATCTTTTGCAGGCATCATGCAACTGTGTTCGTCGTAGGGTAGGGCTTTGCGCAAACGGGAAACATCGCGATCAAAATACATACATGGTCAGCCGCTAGAAGTTGCTCCATCCATGCTTACAACGCCCGCCCTAGGCCTTCCCGTGACGGCACGATTCGGCAGTTCCATGCTGGTAAAGTATACAATTACTTATTATGCTTAAGTAGAATTCTCCATGATAGTCGATACGCAATACTCATGAAGGGCCATGCATTCTGTGGCCGTGGAGAGTTCTTGGGGCTCGGTGCTCCATACCTGGATAGACACGACCAGGTACGCTGGTGATACGCCGAGATACTTTTACGAGCGCGACGAACATGACTCGCCTGCAAAAGTTCACTTACAGATAATCCAAATCTTGCCATAGTCATACGTGCAGGTTTCCAAAGACAGAAGGACGTTAATTCGCATCCATGGCGTCCATCAGCAAAATAAGCCGCGTATCCGTTCGGCAGAGCAGAAATCGACGCGGTTTGCAGGTCAGTAGGCCATGCTATGGAACGCATAAGCAAAATTGGCCAATCAGTTGCACACGGATATATCAACGTGTATTTTTTTTTTTTTTCGCTCAAGCGCCGGGAAGACCTATGGCGATCCCTTTTCCGTGGCTGGTTTAGCCCCCTTAATATGTGATAATCTCACGGTGTTCACACAGCCCCTGTAACACCACAAGCGCCCAAACAGAGGGGCGTAGAGTAAGCTGAAGCAGCTTTTGGCACTAGGCAAACGATTACTATTCGTCCAGGGCTTCGTACACCGGCGTTTAAAACTGCTCAAGAGCCATTACTGCCTACAGTACGCGCATGAAGCCGAACAATTGTCAACACCTCTGTGTGGAATACGGAGCAGTGCTCGGCGCGTTGTCATACACCCTCTTTCGACACCCTACAGAGTAAACGGCAGCTGGAGAAGAAGGAGAAAAAAAACTTGGAACTCTTGCCCCTCCATTTCCCCTTTCTGAAGTCTCTTCTTCACAACCCCTGCCCGGATACGATTAACTCTCATTGGGTATCCAATTCCGGATACAAACATCGTAAACCATGCTGGATTTGTTCAAGTCGTTGGTGCGGAAGAAGGAACGGCAGTGGTGCGGTGCCTGTCTCTTTGAGCTCAATCCGACGGCTAAATCCCTCCAGTCCGACATAAGCGGGCGGTACGAGTACGCGTTTGCAGAAAGCGATGACCACGAGTTCAGCTTTGCGGATTTAATCAAGTCCTCTAAGCGCGGCTGTGATCGGTGCAAGGCTCTCGCCTCGGCATTTGAAAGCCTTGGAGCTGCTGGCTTCGAAGTGGCAAGGTGGCAGCCACACCTTAACTCACCTGGGAGCCCACTTCTGGAGATTCTAAATGACGATGAAACCAGCCAAATCTTCGAGATTTGTAGCAGCGAGGCATCGTTGGAGAAGGCGGTTTTGTTTGCAGATGATCCATCACCGCATGCCGTACTATGCAGAGGCTACAAGCTCTCACGCTCGACCGGAGACAACGAGGCTCTCGACCAGGCGGCAAAGTGGCTTACGGAATGTCGGGCCTCTCATGAGGAATGCCGAGTAAGCGATGCGGCGTTTGTGCCTAATCGATTACTCTATCTGGGAGACGACCGGACAGACAGTAATACCCTCGAGCTTGTCGAGAAGCCGGACCGTCCTATACCCTATGCGGCGCTGAGCCATAGGTGGACAAAAGAAACGCCGGCAAAGTCCCTCCTCACGTCCAACTTATTGGATCGGAAGCAACATGGTATGCCTATAGCAAGTCTGCCTCGAATGATGCAGGATGTCGTGTTGGTACTGCGTCGATTAGGCATCCAGTACATATGGATTGATTGCTTATGCATCATCCAGGATGACAAAGACGATTGGAAACGAGAGGCTGCCCTGATGGCCTCCATCTACACAAACGCTGAGCTTACTGTGGCGGCTTCGTGGTGCGACCAGCCTGACCAAAGTCTCTTTCGAGATCACAGCGCCCCCCATGAACTAACTGTAGATGTCGCTGAAGCAGATGGTCAGTCCATCTTTATACGTCGTAGAAAGCATCATTTCACCTGGCTCGGCATCGAGTCCAGCGCCGATGCCATGGCGGCCGAAAACCCAGACGTCGAGTGGCCACTCTTGACCAGAGGCTGGGTGTATCAAGAGCAGTTGCTGTCGCGCCGAATGCTTCACTTTACGCAGAACGAGCTCATTTGGGAATGTTTTGAGACAACTCATTGCGAATGTGGATGGTATGACAACAATACGAGCAGTCACGGCATTCTAGGGTCGTTTAAACAATCTCCTGTATCCAAATCTTGGGCCCAAATAATTAAAGGGTATGCAAAACGTCCCCTCACTGTTATCACCGACAAACTTCCAGCCTTGGCAGGCATTGGTAAGGCGATTGCTGCGGCAAATGATTACGATGCAGCGGAGTATCTCTGTGGGTTCTGGGAGAAGGAGCTTGAAGAGTCGTTCTTTTGGTATCTCAGCGAGCCTCCTCGCTACGCACGACCAGAGATTCGTATGCCAACATGGTCATGGGCATCTGTGATTGGAGGTGTTGAGTGTTGGCAAGTCTCTCTGGAAGGCATCGAGTTCTTGGGAAGTGATATGAAGTATTCTGGCGATCCCCTTTTAGGTGACGTGGTGGGCGGGACGCTGTCTCTCTCTGGACATGTTGCCTCTGGTATCGTATACCACGGCCAAGAATGGACAAATATTTTGGAGTCGCACAAAAGTGCCACAGGTTCTTCCGACATTATGACCGACAGTAGGGCTACCGAAGAGTTCGGGTTGAAGATTGGAGGGCAGTTTGCCACCTTCAATCCAGACTACAGGTTAGACTTGCCGGGGAGCGGATTCATCCCCTCTGGCTCACAGGTTCTCTGTTTACTCTTTGGCCGGACATGCTCTAGCGAATACGACGATTCCGGGGAAAGCACTGACACTGTTACGACGCACCTGCTCATCTTGCGCTGTACTGATGGAGTGCCTCTCCAATACGAGAGGATAGGCGTAAACGAAACGTGTTTTGAACTGGACGTCTTCATGAGTCAATCCGAGAGGCAGCAACTGACTCTAGTATGATTACATATTGTGTTACGCAGTTAGATAGTAACTTCTAGGCAGCAAGCACGCCAAGTTGGCTACACAGCATCCCAGTGACTACATGTGCAACACAGTGGCACCGCAGAGGGGCTATTTGTCCGGGCTGGCGACATGTCCTCCCACTAGAGGCTGAATAAAGCCCGAGCAGAGGCAGAATCTGGCTTCCTGTCCCAGTGAACCGCTATTTCTATGAGATAGATTACTTGTTAGAATACTACATTTTGGCTCAGATTCTCTGTGTCGCGGTTAAACTTCCCTGGGCTATTACAATTGCTTGGTAAGGGGAGGCTAATATCGCTGTACGCAAATCCAATGTTGTAGTTATGTCGTAGATGCCTCGCAATTTAATCCATAACCTCTCGAGAACATAATGAGATGCAGAAAAACGTTAAATGAACTACTTGTGTAGCATATAAGTACTTTCTTGAGAATCTGCGACTATTGGTACTTTCCTATGGCATCTGCTGCTATCGCCACCTTGGAAAAAGTACAAGTATGTGTTGTTATCACTAGCATTTACTTTGGAACACAGGATCCTGATGGCCAACTTGGAGGGCTGGTTGGCAAATCCCTACATTCGGAGTGCTGGCTCTTGGCCCTCTTACGGCTACGTGTAAGGAGCAGGAGATGCGAATAGTAATCTATAGGCAACAACAAAAGGCATATTGGACTGCTTTCAGAACTCCGCTGTCTGCGATGCGACTGCTTTGCATAAAAGCCGCCCTGCCATGAAGGTTTGCAGAGAAAGTCATGCTTGATAGGAGACTCCGTGTCCCAAGCTATCTTTTCACTCCAAGTTCATCTCAATCAATACTCGCTTTGCATCACCCAAGCATTTGGCCAACAAACATGGAGACTATATCGCCAAAAGTCCGACGCAGCACCGAAACTGTGTATGATATTGCCTTCGACCTAGTTAAGAAGCTCAAGGACGCTGGTCAAACTCTTGGAGTGGCCGAATCTCTGACAGCCGGTGGAGTCATGGCTGCCGTGACATCTGTGTCTGGTGCGAGTTCAGTATTTCGCGGAGGAGTTGTATCTTACGCAACGCCCCTCAAAGAAAAGCTTCTAGGTGTTGATGGCAATCTCATTGCTCTGGAAGGAGTCATCCACGCCGATGTCGCCAAACAGATGGCAGAAGGAGCGCGTCGAATAACAAGCCTTGACGGCAGCCAGACAACTTGGGGAATCGGGACTACAGGTGTCGCAGGTCCTGGCCCTCAGGATAACAGACCAGTCGGCATGGTGTATATTGGGATCGCTGGGCCTTCTGGGAGTCGTGCTTGGGGACCATTCAGCTTTCCAGGAGGGAGAGAACAAATCCGTGAAGCTACGATTGTCGAAGCGTTGCATCGATTGCGGGAACTGGTGAGCGCAATTCCGCACGACTAATCAGGATAAGAGCGGGTTTCATCCCGTACGGAGGATGGGACGGAGCATGATTGGCTGCCCTACCAAGTGTGCCTTGTTACCATAGCATGAATACTACCACAAGGGTATCAACGCAAGATCAATGCCCAAGTCAATCTCATTGTGCAAAGTGACCTGCGTCCCGCTCCGGGTGTGGCGGCTGAGTGGCCAGCCCTTGGGTAGGGTCAGGCTTTTTGGCATTTCGCCTTGCTGCAGAGTAAAATCTCCCCGCATGTGTGTAGCCGCATCCTTCATCCATCGTGGACGGACTATTTCATCCTTGGCAACTAGTAATACAAGGGGCAGATGTTTGCCTAGTCATATTTGTAAACATAATTTTTTATTTTTATTTTTGCCAAGCTGGAAAAATAAAAATCTTGATCGTAGGGCCGTATAGAGCTATAGAGGTACTCTGGAAGGCGACAGCTCCGAGTCAGGCGTCAGCACTTCAAAGCAGAGCAATGGCGATTCTTGGGAAAAACACTAAAAGGAGACTAGCATGTGGCCTGATGTTTATGCTCTAGTGCATCAAACGAAACGAAACATTTGTAAACGCCGGTCAGCACTTGCTGTTGAGCCTCCACGTGGGTAAGCCGGCAAAGACTCGGGCCCTGAATGAAGCTGTCCATGTTTGGATGCCATCCAGAGGGCACCCGCGAGGCTGGAGGGCGGTATGACGTCGCGACCGAAAATGGCAATATCACGAAAGCAGAAGGAATCGCAGGATTGAAAGCCATTGAGCTGAAGCGACGAGGAAAAGACTTGGATGCTTGCATGATGCTGTTGGCTGTGAGCTGAGAGGATCCTGGCGATGCTTGTTGGTCGACTCTTCACGACACGAGTAAAGTTACATTTTGCATCCCGTCGTGTCTATTCCTAGAATGCTTTGTAAAGCGGTGCAGCATGAAGCAAACAACACAAATGCAAATAGCTTCCCATGCAAGCTTATTGCCTTTACGGTATGCAGCTAGACCGCACTTGTGATTGTTTGTCAAATGAGATTGCCTTTGTCGACTCCATCGCAGGTTGGTTTATTCATAGTCCCAAGTCTGGACGCCTTAGTCAGTGCGCTGTCCTAATAATAGGATCATCTCTGCTGTGGCTGACAGCAATTAGCTTATCCAAAAGACGGAACTAGCCCAAGCCGGTGGCTGCGCAGCTCAAGCTAGTGCATTTATGGTGCTTACAAGCCAGGCCAAGTTCAAGCCCAGCGTTGTTGGTAAGTCTTGCTAAAGGCCTAAAATTGGGATGGTTCTGAGAAACGCCCAATCATGTTTCGCCCCAGGATAACTAGAGGTTCGGAAGATGGCGATGTTAGTGCTGAGGCGGGTGGATTTGGTAATGCCCAAGATGACCAACTGACTAGCACTTTGCTCGGTTGGGACACCAACCGAGAGGCTGTACAGTACTGCGACTGCAAATTTAGCCATGATGTTGGCTTGGGACATAGAGTCGAGTCTGCATCGAAACGGTGTATATATATGGAGCGTAGCTCCGTTGAAGCATCAAACTTCTCATCATCATCATCATCATCACAACAATACTACTACTACTACACTCTTATATCAACAACCTTTCTCACACTTCGATCATCGACTCTCGATTACATTAAAGTATTCGATTACCTACTACAATCTCATCTCCCCACACCTCACACATCAAAATGATTGCCTCCAGCATCTTCACCATCTTGGCCGCTGCCGTCGCCAGCGTTGCCGCGCTTCCCAAGGGCACTCCCACAGAAGGAAACATGCTTCCTTCTCGTACTTTCTTGACTGGTGTGACCCATTCAGTCGTCGTTGGACGCGGCGGACTTCACTTCGACCCCGAGAATGTTGTTGCTGAGATCGGTGACACTATCGAGTGGCACTTCACTGCTGCAAACCACTCCCTGGTTCAGTCCGACTTTGCTCACCCCTGCCAGCCACTTGCTGATGGCACTGGCTTCTTTTCTGGCTTCAACTTTGTTACTGCTGAGGGCCAGAACCCCAATGTCTACCAAATCACCGTTGTCGACAAGTCTACCATCTGGTACTACTGCCCTCAGCCAAAGGGAGCGCATTGCGTGAATGGCATGCTTGGCGTGATCAACCAGGATTTTAGTGGGGATAAGACTCTTTCGAACCAGAAGGTTCTTGCGAAGACTGCCGAGCTCATCATTCCTCCCGTCATCCAGGGCGGCCGCGTTGGTGGCTTCCAGAGGGCCAACCCCAATCCCCTCAGCGGTTTCTAAGCTAGCTCTACGACTGTCCTGCAGCGGCAGCTGAGCTAGTTTCTTTAAACTCTATTTTATCATCTATTATGGCATTTGTCTTTCTTTTTCATTATTGGAGCGCAATTCGGATTTGGACTACGGGGGCGGGTTTGCAACCAAGATATCACATTGAGTTATATAGACTAGACTTTCATTCACCACAATATATACTGATTCAAAAATATACTAAATAATCCAATACTGTCCCGACTACAATTGATCCAATTAACTTGCAAGCTTTGCATTCACCAGTCTCTCTTACAAAACATCGCTGTCAATCCCCAAATTTCCCGAACAAAGTCGGGGACCCGGCCCCACATAATCGGAGGTTAAACCTCGGGAATCTCCAAATGACGCACGACAGCCCAATGACATCATTTGCCGCGGTTATACCGATGCATTCCGAGGCATGTTCTCGCCATGTCTTTTCCCATCACTGCACGTCCAGATCAAACATGAGAATCTCTCAAGCAAATCAAAACGGGTGATCGCAATCACGATTACGATCATGATTGACTACATTAAACTACTCTCGGAAACCCTCAGCTCTATCTGACCAATTGACGGCTGCCGGACCGCGCGACTCGGATTATAAGCTGACCTTGGTGAAAGTTGTCTACATGTATCTTCTCACCACGGTAGAAGGAGATGAAATATAGATTCCTACATTATAGGGACAATATTAGTACGAGCGCCGACGACAATGACTTTCTGGCTTACAGGAGTCTCATCTCCATCGAAATTTTGTTTATTGACACTAACGATCTATTTACGCAGCGAGAATCCTAAAGCTCAGGGTAGTAGTACTGGATGTAATTGTTATCTATACTGATGATCAAGCACTACACTCACCTTATGCACGATTTTTACCGACTGCAACATCTAGAGGATCAGCATTCAATTTACTAATTATATCCGTAAACTTATTCGTATTGTCATCTGACGTTGATCGAAGCTGTAGAAGACTAGCCATGCTTGCCCCGCGACCGTGTTACAATGCAGCCCCTCTTATAATTGCATGTATCCATCCCCGGTCCATTCCAATCCAGCAAGTTCCGCCACACGATAGAAGCGCTCCTCTTCACTCGGCGTCAGGCTACCACCAGGGCCGCTTCCAGCGATCCAAAAGTATTCGGGGCCAACGCGAAAGCGGAACACATTACCGCTGCCCTCTGAGTATCGTTAGCCGCTGGATTGAAGAAAAGATGATATAGATAAGGATAGAACATACCCCCACGGTGATAGTAGAGTATGGTGGTTGGGTGGTGGTGAGATTGGCCATTTTGCTGAGTTTGCTGAGTTTGCTGAGTTTGCTGCTGAGATGTGGCTGTCTCCAAGTTAGGAGGCATCTCCAGGAGGAGAACAGGGTATATTATTGCTCACAGAGACGAAGCAACCGCTCACGTCGTGCTTCCTCATTCACGTTGCTGGGCATTTTGTATCTAGCTCAAGCACTCAATCAGCTTTAGGCTCAATATACACACGATGCGAGCGGTACATGAAGCTTGGCTTTGACGGCCTCACAGTGGACTCGGTAAGGACGATGCGGATGCGGTTTCAAACGAGTCTGAGTCGATTTAAAATGTGTAGTTAGAAATGAGTAGGTTGAGGCGAAGATGCGATGCAGAATAAGCTTGCGAAGTAACATAATGTTGTTTGTGGAAGATGCACGTCAAGTAGTGAATCAAGGCTACATATACACACCTGTATACACCGCTCGGCATATCAGTGCACGAATGTCATGCTTCTAGCACAGCACTCTGACCTGCACAGCGTCTTCAGTTGCAAGTATCGGTACGAGTTTCTATACGCATTTCGATGTTCTTTTACCAACTGTATTTTGAGTAGTTTAATATCGTCCCGAGGGAGCTTTTTAGTACTTCTAGATGCCTTGATGTGATTTACCCTTTAGAATCAGTATAATACATGCACAATCTTGGATGGTCAGTTACATGGGTTCAAGCAAATATATTAAAAGCGACCTACTTTCAGAGCTCATTGCAAATGACTGAGGCGGACTTTGAAGATCATCGTGTATTTGCGCCATCCAATGGCTAAATAGAATGCTTTCCTTAATAATGGACAGCTAAGACAGCTATTCCCACGCCTTCTTCAAGCTTTCTGTCTATTTTGCTTAATTGATAATCCTGATACATTGACCCTTTAGTCAGAGTCTAGTTTCTCAGCTTAGAAAAGCGGACAATTATTTAAGCTAACTCGAATCTGAGCCGGATCTAGGTAGACTTACGTGAGGTCAGGAATCGGATTAGATGCTCTCTTACCTGAAACCAGGTGATGATGGACCTGTGAGCATGATTTATTACATAGCGTTAATTAAATGCGAGTGATTCTCCATCCTTAGCGAATTTTGGGTGGAAAGTGACTCTGGAACTGTTTCACGTAAAGGATACAAAATGATTGCTGGGAGAAGAAAACTCTGAAGATGACTTGATGGCAATAAAATAGGAAACTTGGTCAGCCTACAACCCCTGTCGTCTCTATTTTCTCCTGAGCCCCTTTTCTTACTTCCCCTGTATTAGTGAACTAGACTGATTGGGGAGCTGTAGAAGGACATTCTATACAGTAGTTCACTCAACCCAAATATCAGAAGTTAATCAAACTACTGGGAAGAGTCTCAGCTACACATCACGTTCAAGTTCATTTGCTTCGATATATATCTCACAAATAAGTAGCTTACATATACGAGCGAAGTGCGGTGCCTCCTACGAGAGAACGATGAATAACTTCTCGCATTCGTGTTACTCCGTACCCACCTTCGCACATGTGCAGCTTTAACGCGTCCCAATCACGTTAACCGCATCGACCCTTCTACATTTGCCGATGCACGATCTACGTAGTCTCTCCGAGCCGCTATTTGAGACATTGAAATGTGCACCCCCGCCTCCCTATATTCATACAATAGTACATAGATGTCGCTTAAGCTGGATTGTACTGATCACTTTCACGGTGTTGAAAGTACCTGTAATGTCTTGTCCCGAATACGTTGTCAGCCGTGAGATTTATAGATGACATGACTCGTCCGGGGAATTCACACCGCCAATCAAATGATGTAAATAGCTCCCATTTATCAACCGGGTTACAAGACAAATAAAAGGCGTTGAGATCTTGCCCATGGAGTGACACACTAGATCTATGTACATGGAGCTGTTAGCCTTTCTAGCGGATTACATGCGAGGAACTAGCAGGAAAATATCTCACAATATTGTCTTCACAGCGGGCTGTGTCTATCACTTCCCCAGAGTCGTTCGCAATATACACCCGACAAGTCTTCTTACACCCCGCGGGCCCTCGCCCAACAAAGCCGGCCCATCTCTTGCTCCCGACCGAGCGGGCGGACAAGGTTGGGCTGGAAGTTTTTCGCGAGGATCCAAAGCCAGCATAAGCTAGCCAACCCCGGCCCCCAGCCCGATGCGGGCTAGCAGGCTGCTTAATATAGCATCAGAAACGTGCCAACCTTGGAGCCATTCGCCTGGGAAGAAGAAACCCCACCGACTACTGCTCCTCTGGGATGTCTTCGAGGAGTTGCTGGGAGAGAGCTGCATCCACTCGCCGCGTGCTCATGTGCAGCTGCTCGATGGGCTAGGCAACAGATCGGGAAGAAAATCGTCCCTTGGTAACCCAGAGTTATGCCGCGTCTGGATCCAGCATGTTTGATTGAGCATGGCGGCCTCTTGTTTGCTATCAGATGGTATTTGGAATTTCGGAATTTCGGCATCGAAAGACTTGGCTGCATGGTACAAAAGGCGTCGGTAGCTCGTCCATCTGATAGCGAGATTCTCGAGCTTGGCCAAGAGCAAAGAATCAAAGCGACAGCATTCTACATTCTTGAATTGTTTGGGATACTCGATTTCACTCCTTAGCTATCAATATGCGTGCTACAACTCTCTCTACCGCCGCCGCCATCGCGCTGGCTTCCCAGGCCAGTGCAACGACCATTCGAATCGATGTTGGACAGAACGGCGCTCTTGCTTTTACTCCCGACAGTGTGAAAGCCGCTGTTGGTGATATTTTGGACTTTCATTTTCATGCAGTCAACCACAGCGTTGTAATGGGCGACTTTGCAACCCCTTGCGCTCCAGCTAAGACGGGTGGCTTTTTCTCCGGCTTCATGCCTGTTTCTGGAAGTGGAGAGGCGGTACGTAAACATATGTTTCAAGAACCTTATTATATGTTTCAAAGCTATTTCCACTTATAAACACACCTTGTTTTCACGTGTCTGTGGGTCTGCATGTGGTTGGTTCTCAGCTAATAGTATCTTGTAGGACGACTCGTTCCAAGTCACCGTCAACTCGACCGATCCCATCTTCTTCTACTGCTCACAAAACAAGTTTGAGCACTGCAAAAGTGGCATGTCTGGTGTGGTCAATGGACCAAGCAGTGGAAATACTCTTGCAGCTTACCAGAGTGCTGCTAAAAATGTCCAGAATGCTTCAAACCCGCCCTCGGTTTTTGGTGGCAAACTTGTGACTGCCTCCAGCGCCACGACGACATCTGCTGCCGCCGCCGCCACAACTTCATGCACTACCAGCACCAAGAGCGGTAACGGTAGCGGCTACAAGCGATCTGACACTTGCTCTGGTGCAGGCTCCGTCCAGGTTTCCGTTGGCATTGTTGCCGCTTTCACTTTCGGCATGGCGATCCTGTTGTCCTAGATTGATTTACAGGCGGGATAGGAATTTCCTATCCATGGTTGGATACCCAGATTGGCATTCTATTTATACATGATAATAAACCTAATGAATAATTGACAACTTATACTCGAAATCTATTGAGCAACATTTTCTTGATCATGGTGTGAATCATATGTTCTTGAATACGACATCTATTTACAATCCGGCAGCAATCTTTTGTTGGAAATTTCCATTCTTTACAGCCAGTTGGGCTTCCCAAAGCATAGCTCCACCATAATTGGGGAGATTCATGTTCTTCACATCTTGAAGAGAACTAACCAAAGTGTCGGCATCAACGTAGCCCTGATCTCCATCAGCGCCACTAGCCAGAGCCCCGATGAAGAGCGTAGCGTTGCCAATGCCACTGCTCCAGGTCTGAACAGAGTTCTTAAAATCAGACTGTGCAATGTTGCAGTCGCCGTTGTTGTAGAACTGAACCCAAACATAGTCCAGCTCTTTGCAAACGTCAAGAGGCTCTGATGCGTCAGGGAATGGGCACTGAGGTGCGGCCGTGAGGTAGTAAGTCTTGCTAGTGTCCGATTGGAAGTTGGATCTAAAGCGCTGTGTCATGGCCAAGTAGCCAGTAGAGTCACCGGATTCGTTGTCTAAATAACGTTAGCCAAGTCAACCAAACTAGATCAACCTAAATTACATACCTAGATCGAAGCCGTCGAGCTTAATATCTCCGAAAGGGCGTAGTTCAGCGTTTTCGGTACCACCACCAAACAGGTTCCAGAGCGTATCAGCAATCTTCTCTCCATCAGAGTCTGATTGGAGAGTGACATCGGCATCGGCACCACCAAGGCTGAGAATAACTAGCTTTCCGGCAGACTGACACTGCTTGATAGCATCTACGAGGCCGCTGCCATCTTTGAGCCCAGTCGCGCCAGCGCTCTGCTGAGCATCAGATGAGTTATCCAAGCCGCTCATGCTAATTTCGGGCCAACCACCGGCAGCAAAGAACCTATTGAGGAAAGCAAGATTCACAATGCCGTAGGAGTCATCTGAGCAGACGTCGCTGAGTGTTGTGCTGTCATCTTCAGCACCCCAGTAAATGACTAAACGAGCATTGCCGGCGTCAAGAGCACGCTTGGCTGGCAGTGCGTTAGAAAGAGTGGCCAAAAGGCCGGTAATGGCGACTGCGTTTCGAACAAACATGTCGTGAAGGAAGTTAACGAAAGGTCAAAGAGTGAGGTGAATAATCCGTATGTACAACGTGAGTCTGCCTATAAAGAACGGCAAAAGGAGTGTGATATATACAATCCGAGATGGGAACTTGGTCTCTAATAGAGTGAAATGAATAAATGTTGATAGGGTTTGTGCGAATTTATATATTCTTCTACTCTTCTTGACTTTCTGCAGCGTCTCAGTCTCATTGCGATCATATTAACGTAACTTGGCAGGTGCCATTCAAATTCACACTTCATTAGCTACAACACACTAAATAGAGGGCGGAACTGCAGATCCGGAGATACTCAAGGGACGGATGTTACAAGCTTAGCAACTTGAGTTGTCGATCTTTGCTCGTATAAGCGCTGAGATGACGCTAAAAGGCAGTCGTGCTGTTAGAATGAAACGCGACATAATCTTGCCGCTGTTGGACCACAAACTGTTCCATATTCGTAGATGAAATGGCAAGATACATGGTGGAATTAAATCGGCCCTTTGACAAATGCGACTGACGATCACGGAAAAACTGCTTCGTGTTGTAGATGCGACTTTTCTTACATCTGCCTACGGTTTGACGGTTACATCTCGTTGTTCGATAAGAGGGATGCATGATGGATGCAGCATTTTCTGAATATGAATTCCACCATTGAGAAGAGCATGTTAATATCTTCTTGGCAGCCATATTCTAGCATTAGGCTTTCGAAAATGAAGCTGGAATACCGTGCAATTCTGCCACAGTACAGTCGTTTCCAGTGTCTCTATTGGAGGGATAGGGCTTACACGGCTTTAATGCCAATTGCCTTATTAGGAAGGTAACGTCTCAAGAAGTCCCACAACGGGCTCCGCGGTGGCAGAGACAATAATAAGCTTTCCGCTGTCTCAAAGCACTCAGGGCACGAGTAACTAAAAGGGCTGTGTCCACAAAGGGTCCAAGGCAATGCTTTTGTAGAAAGATCTACATAAAACGCCCCTGAAGGCAGTTGGTTCTCAACGGCAGACGCGGAGCAAGTGACTAAAGTTGTAGAATCGACAGGACCGAAAGCCGGGCATTTCGTTACATTCAAGAATATGTTTCATAGGCACCTTTCCAAACACTTTAAGCACTCCCGCTTCAATTCTACCGTCGACAACAGCGAAACGTAGCTACACAGGTAGTTTGCACGAATTAACACTCTGTCACAAGTTTAAAGACTGATATAAATAACAAAATGGCTGGCTAAGCTAATACAATTTTAACCAGCACATTGCAGTGTGACACTCTTACTAGTGTCTGCATTGCTACCGCCATTCTCCAGCAGAGCAAATGTATAAGATCCCTTTTCCAGCTCCCATTTATTCGCTCGATTGAGAATCATCAGATATCGGTCAACCTCCAGTTTAATAGAAACACTCTTTTTCTCACCGGCATCCAGATATACTCGCTGGAAACCAACTAGCTGTTTAACCGGCTGAGTAACAGTTGACACCCGACCTAGTAAGTAAATCTGGGCAACATAACTGCCAGAAACGGAGCCAGTGTTTTCTACGGTTACCGAGAACGTGATCCAATCACCACCGCCAAAAGTCTGACCACTAGCCAGAGCATCGAAGTTGGATCTCTTGGAGCTTGTGCCCCTAACGGATGCAGTGGGAGAAGAAGTTGAAAAGGTGGTGTAAGATAAACCATATCCAAATGGATAGGTGGGATCCGATGGAATGTCGAGATATTGGGCAGCTCGGGCAGATGGCTTATAATTGTAATAAGCTGGGACCTGAGCAACTGAATAAGGTACTGTGATTGGCACACGTCCCCCTGGATTAAAAGTGCCAAAGAGTACATCCGAAATGGCTTGTCCTCCAGCTTGTCCGCCAAAGAATGTGCTCAATACGGCGGACGACTGCTGGTAGTGATCAGGAATGGCAAAGGGTCTTCCACCTTCAAGTACAAGAATTACGGGCTTTCCAAGTGCGTAAATCTTCTTGGCTAGAGCATCTTGACTTGGTGCAAGATCGAGTGTTCCGCGATCGCCACCTTCACCATCACTATTCCAGGCAGCTCCCACTGCGAGAACGACAACGTCGCTATCTTTGGCAACTGATACTGCCTGATCGAGTGCGTCACCGTTGGGCGATACAAGATTCCACCAGAAAATGAGCTGTGAGTTTACCGAGTTGACATTTGCCGTCTTCTTGTAGTTGTTCCATGACTGAAACTCGATACGGACTTGATGCTTAGCGCCCTTCTTGAATGTAAACTCAACGCCGTCTTGAGGAGGGATGGAGTGATTCGCTTGAGTCCACCCATAACCCTGGATATTCCCTATAACGTTTCCTTGAGGTCCGTAGCCCTTGGATGTAATCAACTTGCCATCAACATAGAGCTTCGATGTGCTGTTTGGTCCAATCGCAATTCCGATCCACCCGTTGACGTCGAGATCAGTAGGCGATTCAAATTGGCCTTCCCAGACAGCGCTAAAATTATTCGAAGAAAGTCCTGGTGGTGGATATAAACCCCAGTCTTGGGCAGGAACTTCTGACCGTGACGCTTTCGGGGAGGTGAAATTTGTCTCACCATAGTACGTCGCCTTGAGGCCACCAGTCTTCCCGTTTGACGACAAAAGATATCCGGGAACAACGTATTGATTGTTGTATTCCCAGCTATTGGTGCCCCAGCTTGACGAAATTTGCGCTCCAGAGTGGCCACTCTTCTTCAGATGGCTCAACATGCCCTGGCGGAGCGTGTCTGCATATTTAGCTGGATACTGCCCTAGAGCTCCAGAGTAGTCTCCCAAGTTAATGGTGTCAGCAAACGGTCCAATGAGTGCAATCTTGGTGTTTGATGACGGATTCAACGGCAGTGTGTTGTTGTCATTCTTGAGCAGTACGATACTCTTGTGTGCCGCCTCCAGTGCAACGTCCTGGTGGCTCGCCACAATAGCAATTGGATCGATGTTCTCGGGAATGTAGGCATTCTTAAAAAGGCCGAGGTCCCATTTGACCCCCAAGATTTTCCGAACGTGAGATTGGAGTGTCTTGAGAGGCACAGTTCCGTTGGCCACAAGATCTTTTGTAATCTGTCTCTGGTCAGTAAAATTGCCGGCTAATATGATTCAGTGCAGGCTTACGGTAAGGTAGGAGTCCAGATCCCAATCGTAAAAGTCAATCATGCCGCCAGCATTAAACCATTGCTGCATTGCATCCGCCTGAGAGTTTGCCACTCTGTGCTGCGTAAGAATATTTCTCATGCAAGTATCATCCGCCAGAGTAAAGCCGTCAAAGTTCCAGTCCTCTAGAGTCTGGTATAGCATCGGGTGAACAGCTGCAGGAATTCCATCAATCTCATTATATGCCCTGAACGAGGTTAGCCATGTCTCTATAAGTAAGTCACAGTTCATACATCATTGCTCCCCTAGCTCCTCCTAACTCGTAGTTGGCTTTAAAAGGAACCAAAAGATCCTCCATAATCTGTCGAGTTCCGAGGCCTGTGAACGGAGCTGTGTTGTGACCAGCTTGAGCTGCGCCGTGTGCGGCAAAGTGCTGATTCGTCTTAGTGGGAGTTACAAAGTATTCATTGTAAACTATACCTTCATGATTGGGTACACCGCGTCAGGATCTGACCACGACTTGTTCTTGGATAAGCCAGAAGAGTAAGCAACTCCAATATGAGATGTGAGAACTTTGTCTTCTCCAAAGGTTTCTAGAAGATGTTAGTCAACACAATGAAGCCGCTAGTGCCTAACTTGCGCACCTTGTACTCTCCCCCAACGAGGATCATGAGCGAGATCAAGGACCGGTGAGAAACAGCCGTGTATTCCAATCGACCTTGCTTCAGTTCCGATGGCCCTTCCAATCCGGTAGACGATATCGGTGTCAAATGTAGCTGCCATTGCAATATTCTGCGGAAACAGCGATTGCTTAAACGATCCAACACCATGAAGACACTCTTCAACAAGCATCATAGGGACTTTGATGTGCGACTTGTCTAACTGAAGCTTTTGAATAGAGTTGAAGAATGACTTGTTCATGGGGTACCTGATCAGATGTGAGATTTAGATGGAGTGCCGGTGGAAGTGTACAAACCAGTCGTGTATCACACCAATAGGAGATGTCGGACTAAGATGCATCGTTTGATCTATAATCCGTCAATTGTGCTCTTTGACGTGGGTAAATTTGGACATTACCGTAAAGTTCATTGTGAGAGTCTTTTCCAACAATGTCATCCCCAAACATGAGATGCAGCTGCAGGACTACGATATTGTTATTATATCACGTCATGATCCATTTCTTCTTCATCCAGTACTCACCCAAATCGCTCACAGTCATCTTTGATATCAAAGAGTCAATAAATTGATCTTTATTCTGAGGTTTAGTTGCCGTTCCATCATTGCTTCGCTTGGCCAGCCCTTCAAAATTCAGGAAACCAGCATCGACGTGGGAGGCGGCCGAAATCGCCAAAAATGCTGCAGCCTTCCAATGTTTGAGCAGCATCTTGAAACAACTGGTTACATTGATTGAGATGCTCTACAAGGACCGGCGCATAAATATAACATCATATATTCGTGACATTTTATATTTACAGAATGACTGCCGTATATACGGGATGTCATAAATGGCGTTACAATACAGGTAGAGTGAGGGGGATCGACAATCCGATCAATGCGGGGAGGTATCCGATCGGTGTTTATGGCTAAATTGAATCGCATTTCCGGGTCAGATGTGCATTGAAAATACTACCCTATCCAGGGATCTATTATCCTACGGAATATTTCTCGTCAAGTCAAATGCCGTGATTCATCTCCACCTCGTTCGATGAGCCGATTGTAAACAAGGTTATGTCAAACGGAAATACAAATACATACTAGCTATTCCGGATGATTGCCTGATTTACGGATCAAGAATTAGCCTGAAGACGATGGTTTGAATCCTATCGTTCATGTAATCCGAATCGATAGAATGATCCTGGCCAATAAGCCGAAGGATATAGATGTCACAAATAAGAGTGTATAATTAAAAATAACCTTCAAAAGAGCGTCACACCGCATATACACTTTGTTTAAAAATGGCATTGATTTGCCGTCATGGTGACAGCTATCTGAAGCAATAGCCTGTCAGCAGAGAAGCATCACACTTGGGTTGCATTTCATTTGGAAAGGTAACGTATCAATGCAGGCACAAGAGCTGAGAGGATGAGCTATATCGGATGATTGCGTGCCAAATATGGAATTTTATCAACATACATGTAGTGATACTACTCAATTTATGACGTATCTCATGTAATACAACCATTGCAAAGGTTTCTTAGTTGACATAGTATTCATGGGTGGTGATTTCTGCAATACATTTAAATCAGCCTTTCATATTTTTTATCGTACCATATCCTAATTGTCAATTTGGATACAAAGCATCTTCTGAGCACAACAAGTAGTCGAGGAATTTTTGTTTAGGGATTCATGCATTCTTGATTCCGGCAAACAATTGGATGACCTCATTTGAGAAGAGAGTGGGGGGCTGGTGGGGGTTCTGTTGCAACACCTCTTATTTCTCTTTCGAAACTCGAGTCTGCTTGCTGAACATAATTAAGAAGAGGATTCTTGCATACAATGGTACAAAAGTCTACCAAGATTCAAGTCCAAGGCAAGTGGTAGCAGCATGTTCTAGTAAGGATACAAAGAAGGCAATTGAAAATACGATTTAAAATTGATGATGCTATTCTAATTCTATTTTTGATAGAGCGTGTAGCTCCAGTTCCATTCATCTATAATATCACAACTCCCACTGTTTATCTGTGTTGATGTGTTACCCGCTAGACAGCTATGCAATTATACAATTAATTTATTTGAAGGGGTTAGTCTCGGCACCGGCGAGGGCAGTCTTGTACATGTTGTTGTCAAGAATCTCCTGCTTGCGGGCAAGGAGCTCATCGACGTCCCAGTTGACCCAGACGAAGCGTCCGTCCAAGAAGCTGGCCTCTTCGGAGCCTAACCAGGCGGTGAAGTCACCGGTTAGGGAAGCCTCGGTAACGGTCAGAGACTCAATGACACCGGCACGGTGGCCCATGTCGGTGGCAACCGCACCTGGGTGGACAGAGATGAAGCGAGCGACATCCTTAGGGACATCAAAGGCGACCAGCTCCATCAGACGCGCAAGAGCCGCCTTGCTAGATCCATAGGCGGTGAGGGCCGGGATGTCGAATTCGTAGGCGGCGATGGTGTTGAGAGTAATGACAACCGCAGTGCCGCTGGCGCCCTTGGCAGCACGGTGTTTGAGGAAGTTTTGAGTGACGTTGACGGTGCCGAAGACGTTGATGGTGTAGCCAGACCACCACTCGTCAAGGTCGGCTTCCTGGAACTTGGTAGGGGTTGGCATGTAGCCGGCGTTGTTGATAAGAATATCCACAGCGACGTCGAGGCTGGCAAAGAGCTTCTTGACATCGTCCTGGGAGGAGATGTCGGCAGCAACAGGGATAAACTTGGTCTCGGGGAATTGCTCAGCGAGCTTAGCAGCGCTGGCCTGGATGCGGGACTCGTTACGGCCAACAATGACGACGTTGGCAGCCTTGCGGGCAGCAAAAGACTCAGACATATTGATACCCATGCCGTGGCCACCGCCGGTGACGAGGATGGTCTTGCCGCTGTAGTCGGCGCGCTCGAGAGCGGCAGTCAGGCCGGCGTAACGGACAACGTGCTCCTTCATGTTGAGAGTTGGTTGAAAATTTGTGTGAAGAAAAGGGAGGGTAAGATGTTGTTGAGATGATGCGTTGTTGTGTGTGATGGTGAGACCGATGCCATCAACAACGGTTGTCTCTGGTCTTTATATCTCCTTCAACTCGACTCTAATCTCAATAACATCTTCAAGTTTCTATCCCCTTAGTCCATTACAAAGCCTCGCAACACGAGGCTATGGACACGAACCGCTTGGTAATGCCATCAATACCCGTATAGATCGTAAAAGCAGGTTGTTGTTAATCGCCGTTATAGCAGCGATTGAGGGCAAGTTCTGACTAGTCAATTAGTCAAACTCTAGAAAGGAGGGAAAGTTTTGGCGATGCTTGGCGAGAATGGCTTCAAGCCCAGCGAGTCGAAGAAGACACGTCACTACGACAGAAGCTGGCAAATGGTGATTTGTAAAACCGTCGTAGATATTTCCGTAGAAAATAGGAGAAGCTCAATCACAAATATCGACGACCAGCTGGTCGGTTGATATAGAGAACTGGGTTGATGCAGGCAACTGAAGCTCATCATTGGGTACAAATCACGGCCTATCCCTGCAACTTTTTGCGTCTTGCCCCTCCAGGACCGCTAACCGCTGGAAGCCCCCGTAAAAACGAGTCAAACGGGTAATTGGTGTCAGGTAGCTGCATTCGCCAGCACAATAGGACCCCTAAGACAACATACCTAGGAGGCAGCCCTATAGGTGGCTTGTGGAGAGGCTTTTAGGGACTGTTACAGGCTGCTACAGGCGGCTTCGGCGATCGGGCCTCGGCAGCCTTCAATGTTCTTTCAACTCCCATCAGCCCAGGTTTTCGACCCCACGAGATTGTAACTTGTCCGCAAGCTCCACCATCGTTCTAGTGTCCACTGGCTCATCTAAGAGTAGAATTAGAAGAGTGGAGAAATTTAGGAAAAAAAAGCTATCAATAATGATCCCGCCACTCAACTCAGCTCCTCACCATGAATCGTCTTCCCACTGCCGGCAAACCAGGGGATTCACCTCATCAGTAGATCCCTATCTGCGCCTGAACTAATCTGGGAAATCCTACATATATGTTTGAATAGTCTGTGAAACTCAAATATCACTGTTCCTACCCGCTTTTCTTAGAACTCCCCTTATCTTTAGGACAACAACGAAGCCTGGTGAAAGCCCCAGTAGGCAGACAACCACGAAACAGGAAGCTGGTCCCTGCTGCTAGAACATACCTACTCGTGCGTCTTACTAGTCAGATCGCGGCAATACTCGTATGCTGCACCGGCGGGATTGATCCTCGGAGGTGGAGTGTTGAACGATACGACGGGTCAAACTTCATACATGTACATTCATTCCACTTAGATTTGGAGGTAGCCATAATTCTGGTCAGTCTGCATTGTCATCATGTAGAGCAGTTTGTGCCCATTTTTCCTTTCTGGGGGCCTAATAAAAAAAAGATGCAACCTCATCTCACGTTCCAAGCGGACGGACTTGTATTGTATTCTCGCCATTGCTAGTGCACCTTTCCCTTTCTTCACGTATTCTGTAAGACCTTCATCCATCAGTGCTGGAATTGCATGCTGCCAGTGGAGCCCGCATGCCTGGGCTCATGCGTTATCAAAGGATTCCACTGGATAACAATACCACCAATTTTGAATAGAGTTTCATTGATCATAATAAAGAACTTAAACACATGCACAGTAGCATACGACACATACATCAATGTATGATGGCTTCAAATTCCACAAGACCCTTGGACTAGACCCTTGATGCTTATGACGTAGCCCAGTATCCACTCACGACATTGAGAGCTGCGTCAAGTGCGGAAAAGCGGAAAAGGGCATCACGTGATGACATGAGGTTCCCTCTCCTGCTCCAGGGCAGCTACCCGTGATCAAGCAATTTCAATGACATTGAGAATGTTCGAGTCTGTCTTTATTCAATTGAAGACCAGTGAATATTCAATTCACTAAGACATGGGCAGAGAGCCAACCAGTGCCAGCTGCCATACATGTCGCCGCCGCCGGATTAGATGCGACAAGGGGAAGCCATCGTGTGCCCAGTGTCAAAAGTCCAAGTATGAATGTCTCGGATACGAGCGAATCCTGCGAATCCAAAGCCATGGAGTTGGGCTGAGCAAAGAGCCTGGCCGCCTGAGCTTGGTCAAAATCGGTCAATCGGATTCCTTTCCTACCAAGGTGCCGATTGGCAATGATGATTCCCCAGATTGCAGACAGAAGAGGCATCGGCGGCAGAAGACTGGCGATGCTTCACCAACAGCAGCAATCCACTTACCGCAGCCTCTAATCAGTCAATCCATACGACTAAGTCTGGACCCATTCATCGACAACATCACCTTCTCCTACTTTTTCGATGCCTACAGCTGGATCAATGTTCACAGCATCCTCCTTCAAGACACGCCGATGCGCCAGCATCTCACCGAGCAGAGAGACGAGCTAGGCTATGACAGCCTTCGTGCGCTGGCATATGGGATCTTTGGTCGAGATCATCAGGTCGAGGTCCTGCAGCAAAAAGGCGAGCGGATCTACGGCACAATCCTCCAGAAGCTGCAATCGAGGCTCATCACAGCGTCCAAGCCGGAGTTGGCAGCTCTCATCAAGCCCATATCCATCATGGGATCGTATGCGGTGGGTTAAGACGTCTCCACATATGGAACCTCCATCACATTGCTGGTGAATAAATGAGATTTGTGAAGGCTAACCAATGCATCCTCACAGATTGCCGTGGATTCCGACCTCCGCTTCATTCACCATCAAGGGTTGGCTCGTATTCTAGAACATTGCGGGCCGGAATACTTCCAGGATCCTTCGATTCTGCCTGTATTCGAGTCTTGCAGATTCACAATGGTGAGCTGCCAGATACATTTACTCAGCAAACATACTGATCCATGTTAGCTTGCCAATGCGCTTGTTCAACGCCATGGCACATTTCTCGAACAAGACCAGTGGAAGACAGTCCCGTGGTCGTCGTCTCTGGAAACGAAGACAAACACAAACAAGCTTCTTGACATAATCTCCGGCCTTCCCGGTATCATTCAAAAAACTGACAAGGTTCTCAATGAACGCTCTCAATGGGTTGCAGGCGATTCCGGCATCGTTCGTGAGGAAACTCCAACCACGGTTTCCGATCTTCAAGACCAGCTAGAGTCCCTGTTCTTGGACCTAATTGCGTGGCGCTATCACTGGTCTTTGGACAACTTTCCCACTGCACAAAATATCCTCGATTGGGCATTGTTTCGAGTCAGCGATGAATCATATCGACCCGGCATCTACCATGTTCAAGGCCCCGACGTGTACGGATTGAACCTCGGTGCGACCGTCGATCTAGACATTCCTTTTGGATTGACAAACGATGCTCAAAAGGATCTTCATGCAAATACCAATACCTTTGCTCTAATGCAAGAGGCTTCGCTATACCTAACAGCTCTGATTAGCATAGAGCGGCTGCGCAAAAACCTCGCCGGAGCCGCTCGTGCCGCGGATGCGATTGACTTCTATAATGCGCCTTTCTTCTCAACATGTCGATGCTACTTTGACAATCCTGGACCATCACGACTTTGCCAGATATTCCCAGAACCGAGTGACTCTATGAGCACTACTGCGTCATGGAACATTAACTCCGCTAGAATAGCCGAATCTCCCATCAGATCATTAAGTAGCGATAACAGCGGGACATTTGCCCTGCCAACAGGTGATTCATCCGATGGGGATGCTCCCTTGGGCATCACTGGAACGACACTTCTCCCCGGAGATGGTCGCTTCTCTGCACAACTGCGAATATTGAATTGGCTGACCAAACATCTGCCGGAGAGTCGAGCTCATGTTTTGGGCACACTCGCGGCAATGGGGCTGAGCCACTGTGTTCACGACGTTCGCCCATCAGAGGGGAATGAGTACATTGCTGAGACCGTCCGCGAGACAATGATGAAGTCGAGATTTGGAGATGCAGCAGAAGTCTTGCTAAAGAAATATCGGTGATCCAGTCAAACTCAATGCTCCTGTAGCGGTCATGAATGCGACTTTCAGTAGATGGCGTTGCCCACTATTTACTTTGCCGATTCAGTGTGAGGCGTTTCTACAAGACCAACCAATAACGCCCCATGCTCGTACCGTAGTCTTTTCCTTTTCATCCCTGTGGCCTAGGTATAATATGCTTTCCAGGTTCTGTAATATCTCATTTGGGTATAAACAACTATCTATGGTCTCAAGACTCGGTTTTTAAATTGACACCCAACTGTTGGTGCGCATCGTAACTCATCCTGATGGTGGTAAAGATTGAGAGGGTGATCCTCTGATAGGTAGCCTCGACGTTTCCACAAAAGAATGTTCATACAATACCGATGGACTCATGCGGGCTGGCCCGTACAACTGGGGCTCTGACGGGTTGTGGTGGCCCAGCAAACATGCATCTACGCAACCCATTCATTATAGTAGGCCTCCCAGGTGACACAACCATGTCAGATATTGTAGGCCTCCAAGGAGACGTATACAGTCAGTTTATTGGAACGAATAGCTACTTACTCCAAGCCATTCGTAGTTCAGCTGACGCATGTTGCCCATCGAAATCTCGGCAATGTGCATATACGAGGGCCATCCATGTCCCGTGAAGGAAGCGCCTCGCCAAATTTGATGAAAAATGACGAAACCATCATTCCTGCTCGACTTGATTATCTGGAGGAGTCGCGGGTAACAGCAATCAACGCGTAAAAGCTCTACAGTGGCGGTGTAAATGACACGGAGTAAAAGTTCCGGGTTGAGATCGGGTTGCGGACGTGTAGAGAAGTGAGCGCAAACAAAAGTGACTTGAACGGAAAAAGGAGGCGACATGGTAAGAGTATTCAGATTTCAAGGCGGGCGCCTTCTACCGATGCTCCGATTGCTCGACGACTGTAATGGAAATAATATGACAAAATATGATTAAATGACTATGTAGAGTCGAACCTGATAGTCTAAGAGACCTGTAAGATGAGAGAACGCTGTAGCATCATATCCAACATTCAGTGACGGCCAAAATCCATCCCACAGAGGTATATAACCCTTATGGGCCATAAAATCTCGAATCTATTCCCAAGATCTATCAGCAGGTATGCCGGTTCAACTACCACTCTAGATCTTTACTATCCGAGGAACAAGACGACTTGTTCCAATCGTAGATGCCTCCTCGTTCCACAAATGCCTCTTCATCCCAGAAAACTGCTTGCAAAGCTTGCTGCACGCCAACTTCCAAGATGGACTTTGATGGTTGTTGGCCATTTCTATCCAAGAAACGCATGTATTCATCGAGTATGAGGTAGGATTTGGCCATCAGCCGGTTGGGTTCTGGGACAAGACACGTTTGGCTACTATGTCTCTCGCAAAAGCGATCAAACTCGTCGTCAGAAATGGTTAGGCTATGAGCGTTGCGAAGGGTCTTATCGGAATCATTTTCTCCAGTTACAATGAGCACTTGGAAGCATTTCCAGCGAAATGGCTGGAGTGCATTGAGGTGATCGTTCATGTCCTCCAAGTGGTTAAATTTGTTCACCACCGTGTTGAGCTTGAACTTGATATCGTATTTCTGGCACCAAGAACCAATCTCATACAACTTTTGAACATTGTCGCCGGATCCTCGCCCAATCTTTATGTTTGTGGCCTCGTTGAATGAATCGCAGCTGACCGCCAAAATGTCGATATTACGGCCATGCTTCTGAAGGAACTGCTCCTTGACAAGGCTCCCATTGGTAACAATGGAGACAGATTCAAGTTGAAGAGTTTCTTTGCAGAAATCTATCATCTCCCCAAGAAATTTTGGGTAGAGGAATGGCTCTCCGCCAGCAAAGTTAATTTTCTTCATGCCGGCTTGCTTGAGGAGAGTCAAACCTCTCTTGGCATTTTCTGGCTTTTCGACATGGGATGTGGTTGCCGTGTGAAAACAAAAGAGGCATTCCTTGTTACACTTTCGTGAAAAATGATAGTTGACAGATACTGGAACTTGCCCAGTGCGAACGCGACCCTTGGTAATAAGGAGTACGATAGTAACTATGATGATCAAAATGTAGGTGGAGAGATCCATGGTCAAAATTTAGGATTCGGTAAAGTGAAAGTCGAGGCTTCTTAAAGTTAACATAAAACGAATAGAAGATTAAATAAGAAAGAGAATTCGGCAAAACAAACGGGATTTTTTTTCCGCATTTAAAGAGAGCAATAGCCACCCGTGCACTAATGTAGCACAATCACATCTCCGCTCCTACACAACAAAACACCGACTCCAGACAGCGGTGTTTTTCCATTACGATCCAACTTGCGAGACTATTATGGAGCCAGTTGAAGGGAAAGTAGTATTTGTGCTTGGTAAGTAAAGTTGATATGCCTCTCGCTTCACGTTCTAACACACCTCGACCAGGAGCTCCTGGAGCAGGAAAAGGAACGCTGAGCAAAAAGCTCGCCCATAAATATGGGTTCAAGCATATATCCATAGGAGATCTCTTACGACAAGTCGCGGCTTCCCCAGACGCGGATGAGAGGGTCGTCGAGTGTGTTCGGCGCGGAGAGCTTTTGACCACGGAGCTTCTCTTCCCAATTTTGAGGCCGCACATTGATGGAGGCGGAGTTACTATTTTGGATGGCTTTCCTCGATGCCTTGGCCAAGCAAGGGATTTCGAAAACCAAGTACGTATTGCAGGCCCCCATCCATTATATGGCTACGTTACTAACACCATCTCAGTTCCAGCATCCTGCGGTTGTTCTCTTCTTCGATTGTCCTAGAAAACAGGCCGAGATCCGAGTGCTTAATCGAAAACAAGGTCGCGAAGGAGATAATGCAGAGACTTTCGGAAAGAGATACGACGAATTCCAAGAGTTGAACCCCTCTCTGCTTGCTCACTACGGGGAGGCTGGAAAGCTCATCACGGTATGTGACCCTCTACGATGACTATGCTTTTCATTATTTCGCGGCTAACTTGTGGTAGATTGATACGAGCGGTTACACCCGCAGTTCCTATTCAAGATTGTTGAATACTTTGCGGTTCAACCAGAAATGGGCATCCTTGACTGAGGAGTAACGTGTCACGAAGGGCACGATGCGGCAATATGATGCTTAGTCCGGTTACAGCCACTGCAAGGAGAGGGTTTTGTAGCATGTACGTCAACAGAGTCAGAGGTTTTGCGTGAATTGTTTGCAATGGGCAGGCGAATTTCCATCGTAGTCGGAAGTAAGATCAAGTCATATCTTCCGTGGTATACACTGCCTAGCCGATTGGCCTTGTTGGCATGGGATTTACCCCAAAGGCTGCAGCTTCTTGATTATCTTTCATGGGATAAAATACCAGGAAGCTACTAAAATTTTGAGTGACAAGCAGCTGAGGATCCTGACTTGCGATCGTCTTGGCAGTAGATACGGTGTAGACTCTACCAAGAATGACCTGTGGATGTTTATCCGACGTGGATGAGGAAAACACGTCTGCCCTTCTCCCTCTATATCTCCACAGCATCCATCTCTCATGTAGTTTTTCTTCTTTCCCGCTCAAAGTATGCCGTCAATTTGCCCGTTGGCTGGCCCGGAGAAAATGCCCAGGCATAAGTCTCCATAAACGAAGCCACCCTTTCATCCATAAGCTGCACTTCGTTTTGTTTCTGATGCTCAGTCGGCTCGCCAGCCAAGACCTTTTGCAACTCGACTTCGCCAACTTGGTGACCAAAATCCATCGTATCAAGCACAATATGGAACTCGTCATCGGCTATCCACGTTTCGCGAGTGGTGGAAAAGATGGCAATGGGATCAAGGCCAAAGTTTCGCGCCTCTCGATCATCGATGCCGGTGATGCGCTTGATGCACGCCGAGATGTCGTCAACATGTGTGAGCTCTTCGAATCTTGAATTTGTGAAAGATCCACCCTTTTTGACCTTCGCTTCCCACCGGTCATCTCTCTTCCGGATCCAGACTCCAGCTGACGAGAGGAGATTCGATTTGTCGTAGTAAGAGTCTCGTATTATTCGGATCGGAAGCTTTTGCAAGCTCTTAAAATGAGGAAGACCTCCATATTGAGTCAGTTTGGGAACTGCAAACGAGCGGAACTTTCTCTCCACTTCCAAAATGCGAGACGTCGGGAGGCGTCGGAATGCCATGGATGAACTGCGATCGGTTGCTCAGGCTAGCTTTGAGAGGAAAACTACGCATAGTTAGTCTGTAATCTATACATGATATGCATCCGGCAAATGTCCATGCATGCTTGTCGCCGTAGTTGAACACACTCAATATCCAGTGAATACCTTGCTTCTGTCAGGGCTCTTGGTTAGGAAACGGAGCGACAGCTGCCAGACAAACAAAGGGCTCAGGTTTCACAATGTCAACACAACAAACGGACGACTGTGGCCCGTGCACAGCCAGAAAATGATGGATATTGAGTTTTACACACAATGTTCAACTGCTGAGTGCTTTCGGCTTGAAGTCTGCAGACTTCGTGTTGGAAACCACGCTTTGAGTAAAGCCGGTGCATGCATGCTGCTTCTCTCCGCTTTCTGACTATTGAAGTGAGTTGAGAATCTGCGTAAAATTGGCGAACTGCGGTGGTTCATTGTTAACTAAAACCTACCTTCATATATTTGGTAGATGCCTTCGTCTCAGTTCTTGTGGGATGCCTTTCCTCTATTTCTGCCTCCAACTCTACGATCTATATTCAAAACGCCCCCGCTGCAGGAGCGATTAAAATGAACACACTCGAAAACGATCACCAAGGGTAAATACTAAGAACCTTGGCAAAAGATTAAGTTGTTCTCCTATCTGTATTGACGAGGGCGCAAATGTGATAACAACCAGAGATGACTCAGTTCCATTGATTCATCTCTATATTTTTAATACCATCCTGCATCCCCTATTCTCCTTTATTGAGTCGCTTGGTTATACTTGCAGTCATTTTTTCCCTTTAGGTGCACTGTTCGTGGAACTTTTGGTAGCTGGAATATCCCGATGTCACTGGTGGTAGTCTATGAGGTATTACTGTCCATTTTCCCCATTACAATTACCTTATAGCGTATTTTGAGTCAGTTTAATGTCTTTACAACATGATGAGATAAATAAAAAACGCCAGATATCCTGAATTTTGGGTTTGAGTGAGGAGGAGTAGACCAGTGTAAGGATTTGGTGCGATCCATCTTCATGCAGGATCATGCCACCTTCGTGAGTTAGCCATGCATGTGACATCCATTTACTTCATCTATAGATGGAAATATACCTATAGTAATTAATGAAAGAGGTATGTGAAGACAACGCAGGGTAGTCTGTATTAAAGGAAGGAACTATAACGGCGAGATCTTGATAAGGTAAAAACAGTATTCATGTCTACATGAATACACACACAGTAACCAACAGGCTACAACAGTGAGCGGAAGCCCCATTGTCCCATTGCTCTTTTTGCCCCAAGTATCAAATTACCGTCGTGTTTCCTGCCAAGACTGGGGCTGAGATCCCGCATCTTGGCGATCCTCCGAATGGCGATCCTGTAGGATTGACCTGATGTGTTACGTCCCGGTAGCTGCCTTTCCTAGATAAATGGAGCGACGGGCATCACTACAGTCAGCTGAAAGGCGATCATTCCCGTTTCAACATCACTATGAATAAGCTTAATGATGTGAAATCTGACTCTGCATCTAAACTATTCGGCACGATCAGGCCGTCCTCTTAGAATGTTTGACGAATGTGACAGCTCCATTAGCTCACTGCTGACATCTTGACATCATATGGTTTCGTCATGAAACATGGCGCACATTAAACGCCAACCACGATGAAGCTTGTTGGAACAAGCGAAGACGATCGTTACATCGCCTCATTCAACAGGCCATTTACCCACTGATTCCTTCAGGAACGTGACGATCACGGAAAAGCCGAGGCCAACTTGAGTAACATGGGACGCAAGGGATGAGATTCTACTTGATCTGCGAGGGCGATTTGAGGACATAAAAGACGGAAAAATCCCCTGCTCTCAGGGAAACTATATTCAATCATCAATCCCAAGAGTCAATCCCTTTAGAAGCATCACCATATCAAAAGCTTCGCGCACGATGCATCTCACCAACTCAATCGCTCAAATTATTCTGTGCCTCTCAGTGACGGTCCTTCCTGTGGCTCAAGGCGCCATCGCCATTGGTAACCAGATCAGAGAGGGCGGTACTCACTTCAACGTCGCCTGGATCGAGGGAATAGACCCTTGCATTGCCGATGTTGCCATAGCCCCCGAAAGTGGGAAGGTTTGCAATCGCAACTTTCGACTTGATGGCACCGATTACTATCTCGTCGGCTGCACCGCTCCTAACACGGGTTATGCCCAGAAACCACAGAGGCTTCGCCGTGTTAAGGACAATTCGCTTTATGGGAATTGTGCCGCGGTTGCGAAGAAAGAGATTGACTGCAAGGGGAAAACACACAATGTTGTGAAGCGCTATCTCTGCGGTTAGGCTGCTCAACTCGTGACAAACAAGAGAACCCAAGAGCTCGTTAAGAAGGTTTCCTCTGACAATATGATGGAATGTTTGGGAATGCAAATGTTCTGGGTGATAGGCGGGTGACGTTGATCAGGGCTGTGTTATTGGGATGAAGAGAATGTTAGGCTTGTGGTGAAGTCGTGTATGGTGTATATGATGTAGACATGTATGGAAGGATCCAAGTTCTGCCTCTTCTGATAATACAGCCATTCAAGGCCCAAATCGGCTTCCCATTGTGTTTTTGTGTGTGTAACATATTTGCAATCCGCCAGCTAGGGCCAATGTTGTCTAGGGGCACCCTACCTTGAGGATTTCCTAACCTCGGTTAGATATCCAGTAGTCATGAAGTATTTCTTGGCTCAGTCTAGAACCTCAATGTTTGACTCCGTGCTTCCCGGCTCTGGCAATCTTGACATACGAAACTCAGAGCGCCATCACCTAATTTCCTCGTCTACCAATGTACAGTTTCTGTGACTCTGTTTTACATCCGTCTTTTTTCCCCAGTTGTCAATAGTTGTCATCTTAATACAATCGCGGCCATATCATATACATACATCTTCAACTTCCAACATAGGGAGAAAGCATAAGCGATGGCTTCGACATATCCGATCGCATACACGATGCCCACGGAGAAATATACTGGACCGCGCCCTATTACATGCTGGCATTGGACAGAGAATGGCGCCAAGCTTAATTACTCCGCGACTCCGCGACTCCCCGATGCGGGGAGAATTACGTTTTATTTCGGGGAAATACCCGTACAGGCTAAGGGCAATGCAAGCATCACCTCTTGTGACTACGGTCAATTGTTATTAAAGGGTTGATTGAAGCGGCAGAATCGGCCTGGCTCTGTGATTCTTTTCTTCATCACCGCTCAAGGGAGCACGCGATACAATCATGGCCATCACTGAGACTCAGACCACAGTCGAAAGCGCGATTGAGCTTACTGATTTGACGCAAGGGAGAAGCCGTGATGCTGATCCTTCCGAGACGGAACCCGCGCCAGGGCCAGACCAACGCCTCAATAAGTCGCTGTACTTGAAGCTCATTAGCGCTGGCTTCTCTTTCTTTGTAGCTGGCGTCAACGATGGAAGCATTGGAGCCTTGATACCTTATGTGATACGCGAATATGATATTAGCACCGCAATTGTATCGAGCGTGTGAGTGTGAAGCACCGTTCCGCGGCTGGTAGTGAATGAGATAGATTCACTGACAAAAGGGGTTCAATGAATGTAGCTATGGCGCCAACTTCCTCGGCTGGCTGTTTGCAGCCTTTGCCAACACTCATCTCAGCCAGTATCTTAATCTCGGCGCCATGCTGGCCCTTGGAGCGGTGTTCCAGATTGCGGCACATGCCCTCCGCTGCTGGGACCCTCCGTTTGGGTTGTTTGTCGTGACGTTTTGGCTTGTGAGTGTCGGCCAGGCATTTCAAGATACCCACGCAAACTCGTGGGTCGCCAGCGCTGTTCCCAAGGGCGCTCACCGCTGGCTGGCGTTTATCCATGCCATGTACATGGCGGGTTGCTTGGTTGGACCGTTTGTTTCCACTGCTATAGCATCCACGGGAGTCGTTTCGCGATGGTACTTGTTTTACACGTTTCCGCTAGCTCTTGGAGTTGTCAATCTTGCACTGACTTGCGCCGCATTCTGGGATACCCTTGGGCTTCAACACAAGACTGTTGCGAGCGAAAGCAGTGGGAGAACCCTGGGTGAAGCCGTCGAAAGCAGCAATAATGCAGTTTCGAGGAACAAGGAGGCCACACAGCTCATCAAGAAGACTGCAAGCACTCCTAGTGTCTGGCTGCTGAGCCTCTTCTTCTTCTTCTACCTCGGCTCTGTTCTTACAGCTGGCGGCTGGGTCGTGGAATACTTGGTCAATGTTCGTCACGGCAACCTGTCGCAAATGGGCTATGTCCCCGCTGGCGTCAATGGCGGCGGTCTTCTGGGGCGAATGCTCCTGGCAGAGCCAACGCATCGGTTTGGAGAACGCCGAATGGTGTTTTTCTACATCATTGCCGCGATTGTCTTTCAGCTGATATTCTGGTTGTATGTCCCGCCCGGTCTCAAATTTGTCGTGAAAACCAGGCTCATAGTGAAACATTAGGGTGCCGAATATCATTGCTGCCTCCATTGCCGCGAGCTTGATCGGTTTCTTTACAGGGCCATTATTTCCAACTGTACGTCTTTGCTAAATTCTGCATGTCTTATGTTAATTTCCGCGTCGGCTAACTCTTCTGCAAAGGGCATCTCTCTTGGGTCAAAGCTTTTCTCTCCAGAAATACGCTCTACTGCGCTGCCCCTGGTGTTTGTCTTTGCTCAAATGGGAGGCTCAGTATTTCCCATCGTCACAGGAGTGGTATCTGCAAACGCTGGTGTAAAAGTGCTCCAGCCGATCTTGATTGCGCTCCTGGCTACCACGGCCGTAAGTTGGCTGTTGGTGCCGTCGCCAAAATCGACGTCCAATACTGCCCTGCATCAAGAGTGATGATGGCTATCTGATTTAATACAGGACGTTGCTATAGTGACACACAAAACCATAGCATTGGAAACGCTATTGGTAAACGCGTGCATCGAGCAAGTATTTGTAGTGGAGAATTTGCGTGTACAAGAAGAGCTTCATATCCAATTTACAGTATTCTTTGGACAAATCTCTTTCAGTCTACCTAAAGATAGCTGTGCAGTGCTAGCCAGTCCTTGCTTGAATCAATTTACTGCCTTGTTCGGTGCACAAGTTGGCACATGCATGAGGTGCACTCGTCACACAATGGGCAAACGCGTAACACGTTCGAATACATTCAACTGCTTCCAGCTCCCAGCTACGAGTACTATTTATCAAGTGAAACCATCTAAGCGCGCAGTCCATCAACCATTGATGCCTCCCCCTTAGGCTACACATGTCAAATAACATCCGGAACCAATCGGAGCATTGCGCAAATGATATCTGCCCATCGAGAGAGTTGGAAGCCGGACTCTCCCTTGCATGCCGCGGCACCACCAACGCTTCCCGCCCCATGCACATTTAGATTTGAGCCAAGTGCTTGACCGAGAACTTCACAGTCACATCGCCTGGAGCAAACACCTTAGCGCATTGTTTGTGACGCAAGGATCATGCGTGTCTCGCAGCCTTGAGGGGCGACTTAGTCTTTTCTCTCACCGCGTTCCGAGATAAGGGGATGTGCAAGTACCATGTACGAGTATTGCCGCCAGAATACATGCACAATTGATGAGAGGCTCAGAGAAGCATTTTGAACTGAGTCGGGGTCCACCAAGAGCCACTTCATTCACAGTCACTCCATGAAACGGCCGCAACGGCAACCCGGTAGTTGAACAAGATCAAGGCTAATCAAGAAAATCAGTCATCTGTCAAGTTTCGGGATCGGATAAACAACGTGACACGTGCGGGATGTGGGTTAAGACTATCAATATCAGCGTTATGGGCATTCGGCTACATGTATTTTGCATATGGTGTTGGAAGTGGGAGACTGAAAAGCGTGTTGCTTTGGCCACCTTGCGGTCGCAACACGATCTGATGACATCGTCTACAATAGGTAACCCTCAGTGTTAGATCGGAATTATTAACAGGAGTATCCCTGCTCTCACCGCTGTCTACCGCATGCCACAGCTGGTCGATCTCAGTGTTACAAGGGGAGATTGACAAATACTACTTGTGCACCCACCAACTCCTTGCAGCTGCGATTCAGCCGTATGAATGTGATTACAGCTTAAGCCAGCCGTGTTTCATATAGTTGTTTCTTCCACTGCTTATAATATTAATCCCGTCTTGAGACAGAAGCATCATCCTTTGTCAGAAACACAATGTACAGTGTGGAATGATCAATGGGTTGAAGAGCGATGAATATCTGGTGCTAGATGTTCTGACACTCGCCAATGACTCAAAGACAAGATAATAGCCATGTATGACCATCAATAACTATATTCGTACATACCCGTACTTGCTAGGACAAAAGAATTCCTCTTTGCATCTAGCCGCCGCTAATCGCCCATTAGTGAAGCATGAGGTAGCCTGAAGTAGCGCTAAGAGCGATGCTACAAGACACGGGAAGATTGGGGAGGCGGGAAATATAGCAGGGTTATGCTGGTCAGCCGTATCTATCCGAAGAGAAGACGTTTGAGCAATCGACATATTTATGGATACACTATCTTCGTAGCCCAGTTCTCTAAATTAAACAGCAACGGATGAGATCAACCATTAGCGGACGATCACCCGAGTTCAATGACGGTTGGTATAATATTGAGCTATCCAGGTGCTTGGCATATCCAGAAGCTTGATTGAATATGTCGTTATGGAGTTCTTGAAACTGAGGCCACGATTGACGTAGGGGTTCATCGAATTCAAACGCTAATCTTGTAGAAGGGAGGTAATGGGCGACCAACAAGGACACCGTTACACGTACGTATAGAAGGCCATATTAATACCAAGCATACAAGTAACTACTCGTGTGTATGTATACGGAGTACCACCAATAGATACAATAGTCTACGATCTGCTTCAAATGTGCATATGGAGTTATTCAGAAGGACACACAAGCAGCAGACACATGCATGCATACATGCAAACGTGTAACTCGGATTCTCTTCGCTGTCATACCGGGGTCCGATTAACAGTCCCGGCACCAAGGAAGGTAACGCAAGGGAGACGGTTTTGTCTTGCAGCCGCCTGCAAGGGTTTTTGGACCCGACAATGTCAACTGTGTCTCAAAGACCATTTCCACCCCCATCCACGCATGAGAGACAGAGAGACAGGGTCATTCACTGCTTCTCGGGAGCTTGCACGCCCGCTTCTGTCACCTACAACGGGAAGCTTTGGCCAGTAGGACAGAGGCAGGGTTCAAGGGATGTTGGACGAGATCGGCGGCCGACTTGTGGCCAGCTCGGCACTGGCGTTTATTGTGCTCCGGAGGAAAAGAGCAGTGGTAGAATATTAAACCAACTAGGTTTGGGTGCCTAGCTTGCTCATTGTTCTCGGTTAGAATCCCACTGATTCCTTACATCAGAAGCGTCACCAATAACATAAACGAACAGCAGGCCGAGATAGGGGCAGTCGTCGATGTGACGAGCTACCCAAAGCAAGTACTTGTACATGTAACTGCACGAGATGAGACGAGGGTGGGAGGGTGAACCACTGCGGCCCAGAATTCTGGCCCAACACCCCCTCTTGTGCTCAAAGCGCATCCAGTCTCTTGTTTCTTGTTCAGCTCTATGCCACCAGAAAGGCGGAAGGGCATTGTAGTCATCCACATCCACGGCACGCCGGTCGAGATTAAAAGTCTCCCTCCCGTCCTAGTCTTTTTTTGCTCTCTTGATCAGTTGCTGCCCTGGGCTTTTTTCTTCTCTCGCTTCGTTCACAGATACCCGTGACCCACAATCTACAGACGGAGAGGCAACGAGCAGCGTTTGTCTTCTCAGCTCTTCCGCTCCATACCACAGTATCTGCCGGCCGCTATTCGCCACCATGGGCTCTGAGCTGGGCCTCACGGCCGACTCCAAGCCCGCGGCCAGACTCAATGGCATCGGAATATGGTGGATCTGCTGGGCTACTGGATGGACGTTGCTACTGCTCTGGGGTATGGGCTTTCTCATCTACCAGCGCCATATGCCGATGCTGAGGATAAGGGGCATCAGTCTATCGCTCTCAGCCATCTCACTGCTCCATCTCTACTGGATATCTGTGCAACTTGGGTACGTCCTAGGGCCACTCTATCCTGGGGATACGCAGTATTGGATCATGGGCACATACCTGCCTCTAGGCATTGGCCTGTTCCACGCTTCAAACACCCGCTTTCTCCACGTTGCACAACGCCAGAAGCAATACATTGACCGGGCCGATACTCTCAACGCCTCGACTGCGGGCAAGGTCACCAACAAGGGCGGTATTATCAGCAAATTTCGCAGACTCAATCACACTACCAAGGTTGTCGTTTTGGTCGGCTCTGGAATGTTCTTCCAGGTCAGTGCATTCTCATTCGTCCGGTGTTTTTTTAAGTTTCACATACCACGAGCTAACAATGGCCCACGCAGCTATTCATGGCAGTCTTCATGTTTCTCATCTCCCGCAAATGGCATAGCTCATGGGGCATCCCAGGCACTGAAGTTCATGGCACGGAAATGGAGCAAAAGGTCCAAATGGGCAGGGGATGGGAATGGTGAGTCCTCCAGGCAACATCGGCTTTAAGGACACCCGTGAAGCTTGACAGCATCGGCCGCTTTCGTTCTGACACAAGCTTGAATAGGTGGCCCTCTGTCTTGTGGCTGTTCTTCTGGGCCTGGATTGTTGCGCCTTTCACGCTGTGGCGTGCACGAGATATTCGCGACACCCAAGGATGGCGAACTCAGACCATTTGGTGTGCGATTTCCGGGTTAGTTGAACATCGCATGGAATCCAGTTGCCTTTTACTGATGGATATATCTGTGCGTATATATAGGCTTCATGCAGCGCCCATGTGGCTTGTTGCTCTTTATGTCCCAGGGATGGAAGCAATTAATCACCATTGGATTCCTCCTCAGTGGTATGTTCTCAGTTTTATCCTGGCGTCAAACCAAATTACTCACTACTGCCATAGGATTGCCGTATCAATTTGGTTGATGGAAATATTTACCGTCTTCCTCCCGTGTTGGGAAGTCTTGTGCCATCAGACCCTCTGTCAAGAGACGCTGAACACGATTGAGCAGTGGGAAAATAACAAGACAGGTCTGGGCAAGGCCATCAGATCTTTCAAGTCTAAGTCGACAGTGATAGAGTCCATCAAGACCGGGTGGAGATCGACCAATAGTTCCATCCAGACGTCTTCCGTTGAGTCAATCCTGACGCTGAGTGCTCTCGAGTACGTGCTGGAGAGGAATCCCAAGCCTTTACAGCAATTTTCAGCCTTAAGGGACTTCTCTGGGGAGAATATTGCATTTTTAACAAGCGTTGGAGAATGGAAGTCCTCATTCCCTGTTTCGGTTCGCAGTCGCAGCGGCGTTATGGCTGAGGACATAAAGCGAGACCTAGTCCGAGAGCGATTTAATCGTGCTCTGCGGATCTATACCGAGTACATCAGCACAAGCGACGCCGCATTTCCGATCAATATCTCATCCGTCGAGTTGAAGAAACTCGAGTCCATCTTTGAGGAGCCCGCGCGGTCCATGTATGGCGAAAAGCAAGCAGTCAATCCTGCAACTCCTTTCAACTGCCCCGAATGGAAGAAGCCCAGCTCTGTAGCTTCATGCTGTGAGGCTCCGAGGTCGGATTCTGAAAAGGACAGTGTTGCTGGCGATTGCGTCCAGTACTGGGGCGAGATTCCGGACGAGTTCGACCACGGCGTTTTTGATGATGCAGAGAAGAGCATAAAGTATCTGGTTCTAACAAATACTTGGCCCAAGTTTGTTCGGGATCGACGAGATTCCATGGAATCCTTCGAGAATGCCGGGAGCACCGAAGCCGGCAGCTCAATGTGCTTCCCCCTCCCATGTAAGCAGTAGGTAATTGGCTAGACTACATTATCCTTAATAGGTTCAAGGCGTTTTTGGCGGAGGGATCGGACTTGCGGGGAATAGCATCATAGCACTTGTCCCATACTATTCCATTTGTATACTCGTATGTGGCTCGGCGCCATGATTGTTGATCGAATAGCCCCGAAGGCGCACCAACAGATACCAGACATTATTAGTGCTCGCATCTCTTAGCGTTACATAGAGTTCCAGGGACGGATAAAGACTCGTGGCCTTATGGCTTAGTGGCGTCAGCTTTTTACATGAGTCAGTTTTCGCCATGTCGAAAATGTCGAAAAAATGTCAAGCGTACGCCTTAGCGCGACATGTTGCTGGAGACATGGAAGGGTGGAATTGCTTGGAAGACTGCCATCAACACCATTTCGAGGGCGTTGTCTTCTTACTTTGAGTCTTTTATAAAAGAGAACGTCAATCCATTGCAATATCTGAAATCATCAGAACAAAGAAGAAAATACCATCTAAAACAACTTTCCCTCGATACTCTGCTATTTCGTGTGCTCCACATACTCAACCCACTACTGTACCACACCATTGGTTACTGATTCTCACCAATTATCGACACCAGTGAAGATCACTCACACTCATATCCAAAATGGCACCGATTTCACTCTCCATCCGCAAGGCCACTCCGGCCGACCTCCCAGCTGTTCTCGCACTCGTGCGCTCAGCATACCGCGGTGAATCCAGCCGCGCAGGATGGACAACCGAAGCAGGACTCGTCGATGACCAGCGAATCGATGAAACAGGACTCTTGGCGAAGATCAATGAGCCGCTTGGAGCAGTACTTGTTGCTGAGGACGAGGCCGGCGATATTTTAGCCTGCTGCGAGGTTCTGAAGCAAAGCGACACTCTGGGATACTTTGGCCTTTTTGCCGTAAATCCGCTCCGCCAAGCCGGAGGGATTGGACGCACTGTTCTCACCGCAGCAGAAGAATATGCCAAGCAGACATGGGGTATAAGAGAGATGGAGATGAGCGTTATTTGGACTCGCGAAGAGCTGATCCAGTATTATATCCGACGAGGATACACAAGGACGGAGAAGACGAAGCCTTTTCCTTATGCTGAGTTAGTGGGCGGCAAGGCACTGAGAGACGATTTGTATTTCTCCATTTTGATAAAGGCTCTTTGAGATGTGGATGAATGCACAGGCGCTTTGGTATTTCAGCGAGGTTGAGTTATGCACGGAGTTGGGTTATATGTAGATGGCGTCTGATTTTGAAGCATGAGCATGAATTGACGATATATAATGAACGGTCTTTCACAAGGTTCCATGCAACTGGCATAATTTGAGCGCAGTATGAATGTGGGAGTTGACGCCGTCTCAACATATCGCAAAGCAAAATACGGAGTAGTCCTGCAACAAATATGGCTCCATTTAAAAATCGGCTAGGTAACACTGTAGTTACCAGTTTAAACGCTTAATATGAACCGCCGACATGCGGTCTCTCACAACGTCGTGGCATTCCCCCTTCGTTTGGGAGCAGATCCAGATACATGACTGCCTTTGTTTCCACCCACTCTCGTAGATCAACTCCCTCCTGACCTGCATCGATCGTGTGTCCGTTAACACTGAGATACGAGCCTTGGTGAGGATTAGTAGCACTGAGCTCGACCTCTTTGGGTCTCCAGGCCTTGACAGAGACAATGCCCGTCTCAGAGCCAGATTTAGCACCAACTAACGCAGCTGTTTCTGGCAAACTAACATCGACAACTTCCCCCTCGCCGTGAAAGATGAAACACCGTACCGCACACGTCTTACAGTAGAGGAAGTGTAGCTCCTCGTCGTTGCACAAATAGTCACCGAGACTCTCGAGTGGGTCAAGTGGCGATAACAAGAGGAAATCGTCAAACGCAGAGGCAGGGCGGACATGGAGGAAGCCCGATTTATGACAAACAGTGCAGTTGCACCTATAGATGCGCTGGACTCCTCGAGATGGCGGCGGCTCTGAGTTGAGAAGCGATGCGGGAGGGAGAGTTAGAAAGACAATGTAGCGAATCGCCCCGCAATGGCATGAGCCCGTGTAGGGTAGTCGTTGAGACTGAGCCAACTCTTGATCTTGGGGTTGATGGCTCATGATGATATTTGTCTGATTTGGATGATAATTGTGTGTTTCAGAGACGTAAAGGGGTTTGAATATTCTCCCAATGGGAATAACATATGCTGTTTGACTGAGAGTGAAAGTGCAGGATTCACGATTTCGTGAGTCAATTCACAAGTTCAGCTCAGCCGCTCTAGTAGTAGTAGTTGTTGCAGCGTTAATTCCAGCTGCCTAGCGACAATAAGCTCGGGGATCAACTTCTTGGTAACTCATGTTCCCCCACCAAAAGACAGAAAAATCGTGTCCATTTTGGTTGTAAGAAACGTTCACCTTTCATCAAGACGAAGCCATAACAAACAATCTTGAGAGATGAGGTTCACACAATCGACATCCCCTGACGCTTCTCAACAGCAGAATATAACAGGGTCGTTTCCCCAGTTATATCCACTCGTTGATTCGTAACAGATCACATAACAACCACCGTTATCCAATTTGCCCCGTTTAGGCTTAGATCTTCTCCGCAGCCCGCTCACCTCCAAGGAAACCATCGCCGGCGATTACTAAAAGAAATGGTCACGCCCAAGACCGATTTTTGGCCGAATCTGGATGCTCTCGCCGGATCTCGCTTTACATCTCTCCATCTTGCTCTCCAGCTCGCGTCTTTCTTCGTCGCAAATCGGCATAACGTCAGCTGTTCGAATTTTCTCATCAGGCCACAGTTATAGCGGACAATTTCCCCTGTGGCGACCGGCTGGGCTTCTGGAACTTGATGCCTGCGGTGAAGCACCCGTGTGTCCAGTGCAAAGGTCCGCTCTCAACTCATCTCAATGTACCCCCTTATTCGTATTCCATAGCTGACTTGAGCCCTGCCGATAGAAAAGCACGTTAAATGTGAGATTCACCGTCCCGCTGGCTTTTCTCCGGCCCTGGCTGTCGTGATATGGCGCCTCCGCATGAGATTCATCTGCGCTCCATAGATGTACAAACAAGACGTGCTTCTCTCGTGCTGGGGTAGCAGACGCCTCATCTGTGGATAGCCGATGTGCCATACTCCATGAAACCTTTAAAGCGGCGTTGCTGACATGCTGCCATTGGCAACGCATCGTAGGTGACGAAGAGCGCCCCAAGTGTCGTCGGTGTCAGTTGAAACTCTTGCCATGCACACGTCCTACTAAGAAGACTGTCTTCCGCCATGGGTCCGCCGCCAGCTTTTCCAAGGAGCAGAAATGGGTCAATAGCGAAGTGAAGCACTGTATGTAGACTGGGACCATGGTGGCCCTTCTCCCATGAGGCCCAAACTTGCCATCCCGCCACCTTTCCAAACTGGTATTGAGTAACCTTTGATGATTTGGTCACTGACTGTAAACGGAAAACACAGTTCGCTTCCATTCTCAGGGAGGTGGCCCCGTGGCAAGTCAAGAGAGTCCTGATCAGCACAGGGAATCGGAATCGTGGGTTGCGGCTACTCCCGGCGCGACCAATCAGTCCCCATATCATGTTACCTCAAGCGGTGGCCCCTCAGTTGACTCGCCTTCAAATCATTCGCCTCACCTGAGCAACCAATCCGAAGACAAGACCCCAGATGCCGCGCCATTTCGGTCCCTTGATCCATATGATGACCGGCCGCCTGCTCAATACAGGAGCACATCCCTTGGCCCCCAAGTCCGGCCTCGTGGACAGGGGGATGTTGACCATTATTCCTCCGCAGCACACTCAACTACAACATACCCCATTGATGATGGCTCCGCGTCGTACGCTTCCTTGTATGACCGTCATGTGCCAAGCGTGATATCATCGCAAGAGGACGAGAGTCTCCGACGACGGTTCCCTCTAGAAGACACTCGGGAGGCTTGCCTTTTTCGATACTTTGTCGAAGAGATTGCACATTGGGTAAGGCCTTGTGTTGGATATGAACATGGTATAATGGATATGGTTTGCTTAGATGTGCTGACTCTCATCGATAGTTTGACTTGTGTGACGAAGACCGCCATTTTCAGCTTGCCGTCCCTCGGTGTGCCCACCACCATCCACACCTCCTCAACGCGATATTTGCAGTTGCCGCCCGTCATCTTAGTCGTCTTCCCCAGTATAGGACGCCCGCTGGTATTCTCTATCACGGACAGCTTATTCCCAAGCTTAGCGAGCATGATGCAGTCGAGTACATGCTCAAGTGCATTCCCGCGCTGCGGCACTTTCACGATATTGATGACGATGATTATCGAGATAGCATCATTGCCACGGCCGTTATCCTCCGTCAGCTAGAGGAGATAGACGAGGAAGAAGACGAGGCCCCGGCAAACGACAGCAGCAACAGCCAAAGTGACGACGCGCATTTCCAATCTGGCAAGCAGGTCAATTTCCTTCCCATCATCAACGCTGTATTGAGGAGCTCGGCCTCTCAGGCGTTATTTGGTCGAAGAAGTCTTATTCAAGCTGCATATTGGATGGCTCTTCGACAGGAAATCTACCACTCTTTCACCCGAAAACAACCACCGCAGCTGTTTCCTTCGCCCGATTTATGGCATAGCGCCTCCAAGGCAAACAAGACGGTGATGCACACTGTCCAAGTGGCCAAGTGGCGCTGGGAAGACGGATCCGAACGCGAATGGAGTAAGTCGGGATGATTCGTTGGGTTTCGGTGTATATTGCAACATACAAACTAACCGCAGATCATTTAGTGAGGCTTATGGACCAGCAAAACTACCTCGAGTTCGAGATTCTGGCCAACTTCCGGCCCATCTTTAAAAGGACGGCAGATAAAGCCAAGGGGGAGATCTTTCCTACCATCTGGTACGGATCAAATCTTGAGGTCACCAGCATTCAACAAAGCATCATGGCCAAGTCGGTGCTGGTCGCCGAAAATCCCTTTCTCAAGTAAGTCGTTTGAACACATTTGCCCTCTTCTCCCCATGCGGCTGATATTGATGCTTGATTCTTTAGAGCACCGTCGGCGTCGCGTGCGAGCTGGAGAAGGGCGGAGAATGACGTTCGTCTGCTGTTGCTAGAGCTCTGCGGTATCGCTCTCTGCCATCCCGCCTCGCCTCCAGCGCTTTTGAATGCCGCCATTGGCATCCAGCTGTATGGCGACTTTTTCACGGACCGATACGAACGTCAAGCGCTGCGAGGGGTAGTAGAAAAGTATCGAGATGCGCGAGCCTGGCCGGTCCAGAAGCTGTTGGAGATGTTTAAGGAGTAATGGCAATTGATGGATTGATTCAATTGCCTGATGTGTAATCTCGAGCTGGCGGATATAAACGGCGTCGTCTATAGAGGCGGGTGGGTTTTGGTTGTATCAGCAGTGATGATTTCTATTCGCGGCTTTGATGCTGCTGGTGTTTAGCAAGCGTTTCTGACTTTGATGTTTCAAGATGGGGTGATGAAGAAGATGAGTTGATGTAGGGTTGCATTGGAATGATGCATCTGGTGTTGAGGTTGGCTGCCTAGATCAAATGCAGGGCCCAAGGGCGCTGTAACGACATCTGCTGTAGCAGCCCCTTGTAGGTGCTGGCTTGTGCTGAAAAATGGTGGCTCAGGGACTTGACGGGCTGTGCGGGCTGCCTTGCTTGAGAATTACGGCGCCCCTAGGCTAAAACAGCCCTCTCCAGGGCTGGATATCTGGTGCCTAAGCCACGGGTGCTTCTGCCTCAACTACCAGACGATAAACCGTTCATGAGCTTCAACAGACCGCAACGCACCGCATGATTGGTTTTCCTTTTGAATGCACCCAATTGAATTACGTGTTTGTCATCCTCATCTAGTATCAATTGGACTGTCTTTCGCTAAAGTGACAACGCTGCTGCTCGCATTTGCGCCGGAGACTCCCGGTCATATTCACGGTGACCCGAAGTAGCATGCAATAGTGAGCCCCCCATTTCTAGCTGACATGGCTTCATCCATTGATGATTTCTAACTGGCGACAAGATAGGCCAGGTAGCATTAGCAGAAATGTCAACTCGCAGAGTAACTAGAGCGGCAGTAGCCAAAGCTGCGGCCGAAGCTGCGGCCGAAGCTTCATCATCACCAGCCATATCCAACACTTCATCCAACAACCTCCTTACCAAGTCCAAGTCTAAGACTATCAAGCTAGAATCTAAACTAAGTTTGACTTCATCAGCATCATCATCTACCGTACAGACCCTCAATTTCCCATCTGCCTCTCACTTCGACGCCTGGCTTCTCGACTCCGGCTCCTCAACTCCCTCCGGCATCTGGCTCCGCTTCAGCAAGAAATCAATCATCGCCAAACTCCCCTCCATCAGCTATCTCGAAGCCGTAGATACGTCTCTGTGCCATGGCTGGATCGACGGCCAGCGCAAACGCCTTGACGAAAACTTTTTCTTACAGCGCTTCACGCCTCGACGGCCCCGAAGCCTATGGTCTCGCCGCAACGTCCAACGCGTCCAGATGTTGACGGCTGAGGGTCGGATGAAGCCCGCGGGCATAGCTGCGGTAGATGCCGCAAAGGAGGATGGGCGGTGGGAAAAGGCCTATGCAGGTCCGGCGACGATGGAGGTCCCCGAGGATTTCGAGGATGCGCTGGCAGAGAACGAAATGGCCAAGATGACGTTCCAGGGGCTGAGCAAATCGCAGAGATATTCTTTCCTGTGGCGTATTCATACTGCCAAGAAGATCGAGACGAGGGAACGAAGGATTCGGGAGTTTGTCGACCTCTTGGCAGAGGGGAAGGGATTGTGAAACGTTTCTAGAGGTGTCATGATATATTAAGATAGTGATATGTATTATCAGGGATTTATTATTTATAATGGTCTATAGAAGACAGCCCAGTAACCTATTATATTGAAAGAAGGGTCAAAAGACCATATGCGCAATCCAAATTATCCAACAAATACCGTCCAAACCCCGTGGAAATTCCCATGTACGCCGAAATAATTGTTCCGTCAAAATCATTCGTAATCAGATTCGTCTGATTCCTCTGCAATGCCGTCAATAAGATCGTCTTCCGATCTTTCTTCGTCCTCATCGTCATCCTCATCATCCTCAGTATAGTCTTCTGGATCGGTACTCATCATATCGTCCTCAACTTTTCTTTTGTGCGACGAGGAATGGTGTGGTGGCACAAGCTCAAGCCTAGTGGCTAGACTCAGCTGCCTTACATCTGTAACCTCCTCTTCCTCGTCTTCATCGTCATCATCCTCTTCATCCTTTTCTTCATCGTCGTCGTCTTCCTGGTCATTGTTGTTCTTTATTCCACTTGCAGCCCCCACTTTGTCTTTCCTGCTACTTGAGTCGATTCTTCCGTTGACTTCAGCGCTAGTGTCATCATCGTCACCTTCGTCGTCGCTGTCAACAATCGTTGCACGCCTGCGACTCCTCCCAGTACCGCTGGGCTCGCTCATCCCTTCATCCTCCGTGTCTGACGTAACGACTCGCGCTGAGAAACGACCAGTGCGCGCGCGCTTCGCCCCTGATACCTCAGGTGGATCATCATCATCCAAGTCGGTGACGATTCGTCGTTTACGAGAGCCCTGCGTCTCCGAGGTAGAGCCTACGTGACCATTTGGTTCTGGTTCTGGTTCTGGACTAGAAAATACGGGAACAATTTCTCCCACCTCGTCTCCATTCAGGGTGTCTTCGTCATCATCGCCATATATTTCATCTCCGGACATGGCATCCTCATCACTATTGCATTCGCTATCATCCTCAATAATCTCGGAGTCGTCGATTCCCTCGCTCTCGTATTCGTCAGGTTCAGATTGGGAATCGGAACCGGAGTCGGACGATGAATCAGAGAGTTCTTCGATAGAAATGCCGCGCGTATAACTCTCCTGCCACCTTGCACGCACCTTGTCAAGGGCTTTCAAGCCATCTTGACTATCAAACGCAAGCATTGGGAGGAGCATGATACCACGAGTTGGAATCAACGGACGACCCTGAAAGGGCACACCTTCCAGCTCTGGGGTGGGGATCTGGTTCCGAACAAAGTCGTCATAATCGTCTGCATTTGGCCAACATCTTTTTGTCCAGAAATAGCCATTGCCCCTGTCCTTGATGGCGGTGGTGTGGGTATAAACGAAATCCGAGCCGCACCAGAGCTCCTCATGGCTGTCCAACGGGATGGTGGGGTGGGAGAGAAGAAAAATCCTCTTGAGGTTATGGAATGGCTCCATGGCGTGGTTGAAGTACCTGTCGGTGTCGGTATTTGCGTCTTGATCGTCAAAGGCGTCGCTGTTAATTGCAAGCTGCACAACATTTTCCGCGAAGCCGTCGAAATGATATGCGCTATCTTCCACGCTCTCATCAGGAGCCCTTGGATTTATATGCTCTCGTTCATATCCGCTGATGTAAACAACGTCTCGATCTCGGTTGCAATGCACCATTCCATAGTTGTTTTTTGCAGGGTTCCGAATCTTGAGAGTGTGAGGCAGAATCGTGAGAGCAGTGCCTCGAGCCTCTCGGCTGACGGCCATGATGGTGCGCGTCTGCTTAGTTACGCGGGCCAAGTCTTTGCCAGGACGGACTTGCCAATCCCGAAACAGACGCTGGATTCGGTCGCCAAACTCGGTTGTTGTGAAAACGCCGGGCATCTTTCGAGGGATGGCACGAACTTCGAACTCCAGGACGCGAGGCTGCGCTGCTTCTACGAGACCAAGCTCCCAGATTCTGAGGCGCAGCTCTGGAGGCAGTTCGGAGAACTTGTGGAAAACGCGTCCCTCGTAGGGGTTCTCGTCCCAAGGATCTCTGCCATTGTAGAATTCGTCTTCGACGGCCGAGTCGTAGCTGTCGTCTTCGGTTTCTTCTGCGTATCGGAGCAGAAGCTCTGAGGGATCCTGCATCTTGAGGGCGCAACAGAAGCCAATCGACCTCTTGCGGAGGAGAAGAAGGAAAGGAGGAAACCGCCTTGCTTGGGGGGGAGACGGGATGTAAATAAAGGGAGAGTTGGCGCTTAATATTAGTCGGATCAAGCAGTAGTAGTAATATTTGATGGCCCGTTTGTTTGCCTTTCAGCTATGGTCAACTTTCCTTGACTGTGACGTGCTGATAAGATAAGGCGCTGCCGCTGTGTATCACGTGTTTCTATTCGGCAGCCCGCTGTAGCGCTACTTGGTGGTTGACGCGGGAGATGTACATTTTACACGCATGCCCATATGATTTCTAGTGCCAAAGAGAGAAGATGAACCTTTCTGCAAGGGACAGCAGCGGCACTCTGCGTACAAGTACACACAAATGCATCACAGCTCTTTTCCAACCGAGTCTCTACTCATGAAGCTTGACTCATTATACCCATTTGCCTATTATTACATATTCAACACCCGCAGTTTTACATGAAAAACCAATGTCCATTTTCCGTTTACCAGTCTATACCGATTGCTGCTCCTCTATTCCCGTGAGCTCTTAGATGCTATCAAATTCAGCGCGCCATCCACCCGCCATCCACCTGCGTCTCAGTTAGTCCAAATGTCCACATCTGTCATGTAAACGTCGATTTCAGCGTACCACAATAGTTTCCCCGGAGACGTAGGAGCTGGCATCGGAAGCCAGGAACACGGCCGGTCCTTTGAAATCCTCGGGCTTCCCCCAGTGTCCCATGGGGATGCGTGTTAGGATAGACTGATAATACGTCTGATCTTGGTTGTTGCGCGTGTCTGTGTTCATGTCTGTGGCGATGTATCTGCAATTTACCTTGATAAGTTTAATACTGGAATACAGGATAGGCACTCGCAACATACCCCGGCGCAATTGCGTTGACGCGAATCTTGTGCTGCGCCCATTCGTTGCTCAGGGCCTTTGTGAGCTGGCCGACGGCGCCTTTGCTGGCCGAATATGCAGCCATTCTCACGCCGCCTTGGAATGTGGAGAGACTGGCGATGTTGATGAGCCGGCCGTCGATCTTGTTATCGATCCAGTATCTGCCCATGTCGCGGCACAGAATAAAGGGGCCGTTGAAGTTAACCTCCATGACCTCGTCGAGCACCTCCTGTGATATCTCGGTTGCGGGGAACCTCCGCATAATTCCAGCGTTGTTTATGAGGATGTCAATTCGATGCGTCTCAGTCACAGAGGCAATGAGACCATGCACGCTGCCTCGGTCGCTCAGATCTGCTACAACAATGTGGCATTTGCTGCCCAGAGCGTCGATGCTCTCCTTTGTGGCGCTTTCCTCCGTATTCCGCTTTAGACGTTCTGGCACTTAGCCAAAGACATGATCTCAGAGCATCTGAAAATGTGTAGTCCAACTCACCTGGACAAGAACAATATCTGCCCCAGCTTCAGCAAGTCCGATGGCTATGGCTTGGCCAATACCACGAGTTCCTCCCGTTACTAGGGCAGTCTTTCCGACGAGAGAAAACAGCTCCATGACTGACTGCAGTTTTGCAGGCGATTTCTTCTCTAATATAGTTATAATGAATGTTAATGAATTAATAAGATACAGACCACGCCACTTATTTTGGTCTTTGTACCTGTGAGAAATTTCACTCCCCAACGACAATATTCAGTGAAGAGGTAGAGATTGAGAGTTTGCCTGCACTAAATGCTTCACTTGATGCCCACAGCAGCCCACTGTGTTCGGCGTTTCGGCACTACGACTCCAAATGGCCTTCTCCTCATTCTCCTTCGGCCCGACCAATATTCATCAATCGGCATCATAAAGCAATACATTCAGTTAAAAAAAAGACATAAATAAGAATACTAGAATTAGTAGAAAAACACCGAGTGCGATTAAGTACCATCAATCCATCGCCGTTTTCCGTTTAGAACACCTAGAAGCCACAGCTTAACGCCTGTAGCAACCATGGCTCCCAACCAGCAAGATGCTTCTTTCAGCATTCATCCCCAAACGTCTTCTGAGTTGTCCGCCCAGGAACAAAATACTCAAGTCATCATCATTGGTGGCGGGCTGAGTGGCTTACAGGCTGCTCATGATCTCCAAGAGGCGGGCATTTCCTGTCTCATTCTCGAAGCGCGAGATAGGGTTGGTGGTAAACTGTGGTCTCTTCCTCTGGGCCCTGGGAAAGGATATGTTGAACTTGGAGGGGCCTGGACCAATGATGTGAATCAACCCAAGGTTACTGCACTGGTTAAAAAGCTGGGGCTGGAGATGGTGAAGCAGAATATTGTTGGTGACTGCATCATGGAAGATCATGGAAGGTTTCCCTATGGGAGTGATCCGCCAGTGAGTCCAATATCTGCGGCCTTTTCCTCCATATGGATGTACACAGAGGCTGATGGTAAACTCCAATAACCAGCTCTCTCAAGAGGAGAAGGTAACATTTGCCGAGATCAGAAATCGCGTCGAGGCTCTATGCCACACCGTAAAAGCGACAGAGCTTGGCCAATCTCTGACCAAACATGGCCACATGAGCATGGACGAGTTTGTAGTTTCCATGGGCGCCGGCGATATCGTGCGTCGCTTGGTTAACATTTGGACTGCTGCAATGCTGGGCGTCGAGTCGAACCAAGTCAGCGCCGTCTTCTTCTTGCACTACTGCCAAGCTGGAGGTGGCCTTATCCAGATGCGATCAGACGGCCGAGGTGGTGGACAGAGTATGCGTTTTCGACACGGGTCACAGTCACTGTGCCATGGGCTTCGGCGTGGGCTCAAGCCAGACACGGTTATATGCTCAGCCCCTGTGCAAACGATTGAGCAGGATCTCAGCAATGGATGCTCAGTTACCACTCGAGACGGAAGACGTTTTCGCTCTGAACGCATCATCTCTACCGTTCCAAGCGTCTTCTTGAATCAGATAACTTTTTCACCGTCTTTATCAGCAGATAAATGTTGGCTTAGCGCTCACAGCAAACTTGGATTTTACGCAAAGGTATTTCTCGTCTACTCAAAACCCTGGTGGCGTAAACTCGGTCTCTGTGGCCTGGCCCAAGGCTTCAGTGGCCCAGTGGCTCTGACAAGAGATGCCTCGAGTGATGAAGATGGCCTGTTTGCCCTTATATGCTTCGTGGTAGGCCAAAAAGGTGCAGAATGGGCACAACAAGATGCGCACGATCGCTTGACTGAAGTGATTGACCATGTGGAGCGTATCTATGGGGCAAATATTCCACGGCCGCTGGAGACGCGTGAACAGATTTGGAACGAAGAAGAATTTTCACAGGGAGCACCCTGTCCTGTGGTGCCCGCCTCTTGCTTGAGGAGCCTCAGTCAAGATCAATGGAGGCCGGAAGGCTACATTCACTTCGCTGGAACAGAGACAAGCACCGTATGGAAGGGATATATGGAGGGAGCTCTGGTCTCCGGCAGCAGAGCTGCAAGAGAAATTATCGATGTATTGTCTACAAATTAAGCTGCGAGAGACAGATGAAAATTCGCCAACTGATTTGGAACATCATAGCTACTAGCAAACTGTCCCTGCATTCTACTTCTAAATCATGGTACACTCCTTGGCGGATCTGGCGGCTGCAGATTAAGACTGCCCAAGGAGTCTCGCCAATATAGAGACTCCCATTCAGAAGAGCTGTCCTCCCATCTGTTGGGTTGAATGTGGAGATCTCCTGGCTGATCTTCTTCAAATGAGAAAAAGTTGATCCACTCTCTGTCCTCAGTTAAAGTTTCTTGGTCTGCGTCTCTCTGTTTGCTCGCAGCCTGGTTTGCAATCAACTGGGGTTCTTGATCCTCCAAGTTCTGCCCCGAGAGATTTCTGATGTCAGATAACGCTCCTTGCGATGCTGTTTCTGTGCCATATGTTCTCGGGCCAAAATGAAACAGGTGCCATACTGATGCTGCCATGAGCCAGTGCTGGGAGAGGTGCCGTAATATTCGCAAGCCTGAAGTATAGGTTTCTTGGGCATTGAGCGAAATAATAGGGTTTTCACTTCGCAATTGAGCTTGAACTTGGACAAGGGCTGTGAATAGCGCACTGGGAGCAAAGAACCAGCAGTTTTGTAGAGCGGAGAGCTTATCGATCTCTTGGAAAATACGAATAATGTTTGAGGCTGCTTCTGTGCATATCCGGTCGTTATCTAGCAGATCCACCGTAGGCACATCGTCCGATAAAGATAACCGTAGGCGGTGGACTTGGACCAAAGCAGCTTCGTATGTGAGGAATAGCATGGACTTGTGTAAATTTGTTGGTTGGCCACGGTCCCGAAATCCAGTGGGCAAATTAATGAGCCACTCAGCAAGTTTGAGATCCAGAGATTGAAGAGAGTTTCTCCAGTTGCTTAGGGATTTCTGGGTTTTAATGGAAAAATGAGTCCTAAGTAAAAGGGATATATCCGCGCAGAGCTTCGCGTGGTAAATGCAAAAGTTTGCCTCATCCCCACTGGCAGAGGCATCGAAATCTTCTACGCCAAGGGGCGGCGTGTCACAGTCATCCAAGTTTCTAAACAAAATGATCAGATAACCCATCCAAAATGGTTGGAAACACTTGGATGTTCAAGAGCCCAAACTCACATATTCTGCGGTCGACCATAACATAGAGACACGAGCACGTCGAATTGGACCAAGCACCACCAGATCTTCCTCCAGGTTGTTTTGTCGCGTTCCAGCATATTGCTTGGGCCAACATCTCGATGCATGCCCAATCCAAGAGCAATACGGGATGCCACACCAATCCACCACCAAGCATTGGCGCACACATCATCTCCACCATCAGAAAACCAGGTCAAGAGCAGGGCCGCTTGTACCATATGCATACGGTCTTCCTCGTATCGCCCATCGAACAACGCTTTTGCACGGCGAAAAAGAGCACTTTTTAGCTCTTGAGTGTTTTCAAGCGTGGAAACGACATGACTTCCTGCTAGACATATGGCATGAAACAGGAGTAGCGGTGGTGCTGAAGTCGGAGCTTCATACTGAGCGAGGAAGTCTTCTCGGTCGATGATGGGAAAAATGCCGTGAACATGTTCAAAATATGCCCCAATCAGAACATCAGAGACATTTTTAGGTGGAAGAACAAAGGCATCTTTGGGAATCAGGTTGGGCGCTGGAACACCTTGTAGTCGTCCAGGTATGCGTGGTGCGTAACTATTGGAGGAAGGGTAGTGGTGAACATGCTGATTTGTCGACTGCTGGCGAACAAGATAGCCAAGGGTAGATAGATCACTCCCAATATAGGTAAGGCGTGTTTGTATGGGTTTCTCTCGGAGGTTCTGGCTGAAGAATTCCACTAGGTTCTGCTTTGCATATTCTGCATCCGCCGTTCTATGAGAGATTCCGGGTCGAGAAGACTCCTCCCCATGTTCCTGGGCACTAGAGTCCCCAGAGATAGGCTCCGATTCCGCTGCTGCTCGCTGTCGGTTCGAAGCTACAACAGTCAATCTCTTCCCTCCTTGTGCGGAAGACCGGCCAGACGCTTGGGCTCGGCGCTTTCGCCTCTCAGGAACAACACAATGAACCTTTGCTAGCCTACAGTTGCGACAGGGGAAGCCATTAATAGCACCGTCACACTTAACTTTTCGCGCATGGCAATCTCCACAAGCTCTCTCTTCAAAACACCAATGTAAGCGTAACTCCTGATTACCGCAATTGCCAAATGTGGAAGCTCACTTATAGATCTGGTGATTCGGAGTGCTGGGCTGACGCCGGGATCACGATCGGAGCTGTTCGGCATAACTTGCATGTTTGGCTAGGTGTGATTCAGCCCCTTGAACAGGGCTTATGCTTGCAAAGACCTAGTTATACTTGGTGAAATGCTGGCGTCGCGTGAATTTCCTTTCACGTCCAAGTACATGTATGTTCAGGTGTAGCTTCGATCTTCATGCTCAAATCTGGCCGAAATGCCGAAACACCGAAACGCCAATCCAATCATTACATAAGCCTCCCATGGTATGTATTTGTATAGTAATGCACTAGGTAGTAATTGAGCAATGCTCGATAGGCAGGGTGATGATTTACATGCTGTGCTAAGAATTGAAGCTATATAGGAAATAAATAATAGTCTACATATATTTAAAAAAAAAAAACAAAAAAACAAATAATGTGAGTAAGCCAATGCCGTAGATGAGGTTGAAATGACTTCCTAACTTCTACTTTATCCACCAGTGTATTTGAACCTTGTAACGCCGTCCCACCCAATCCAATGCTGAAGTCTGTCAAAGCTATCCTGTTTCAAACAGATAGTCGGGGTTTAGTCAAACGAACAGATCCAAATAAAAGCAGCCGTTGCGCTGCCCAGTAAAATAAGTGTCACAATAACAGCTCCGGCTTTGTCCGCTGCCCCAATTGGCTTCAGCTCGACCTCTCCATTGTCTCCTCCATGACCTGCATTTGGGTTTCCTTTGGAAATACCTCCCGATGAATTGGTTACTGGCGGAGGTGCTTCATTGATTAGAAGACTGGAGACTGCTGCTAGGACATTCATGGCTTCGCCGGCGCCGCTGGTATGATCGACGGCTGTGTCGATATACTTCCCTGAGCTCCAATAGAAGCCGCATCGTCGGCCTGAATCGCCTCCCGTGCACTGCTTGACAGCAGCTTCTGTTGACTTTCGTAAAATAGGAAGGATCTTGTCCTTGGTGTGGGGGGCAATTTGAGCCACCACAGATAGCCAGCGATGAACGTAACCTTTGAATGAAAGCATGTCTGTACTGCATGCACCTTGGCGTGGCTCGCAGGCAACCTCATATGCGATCCCCTCTGGAAAGAATCTCGCTAGGAGAGAATCGAGGAGCCTATCTACGCGATTCTTCCAGATTTCTGAGCCATCGGTCTGGGTACTAGTCAGTTCGTCCAAGTCAAGCTGAAGGGGCAAAGCAGATGACATACATAGTTATACATAAAGGCAGCTCCATGTGTAAGAACAGCTGCATTGTAGGAAAATGTGGCGAGATTTATATCAGTGCAGTTCTTTTCAACATGGCCGCCATCATAGACGAGCCAGCTTTTGTGATCAATGTATCCCACTCCCCATAGCCAGTTCCAGGTATCTTCGGCGCGCTTCGCATACGTCTCGTTTCGTGTATATCGAGCAAGTCGGGCCCCGATATTGAAGAAGCATCCGTTGGCAATTGCTATAAGGATAGTAGTCATGTTAGCAATGCGAAGCCTTCAGTCATAGGTTGCTTTTCCCTACTATTTTTATAATTGTAACCAGCATTTGAGAAAGGAATCTGCCATCTCAATCCACCATTGCAAGTCTCATCGTGGCGACTAGGATCCGCCTGGGTGTTCCAAACAGCCTGGGCCAAAGCAAGCCACTGCGGTTTATCCGCCGGGGGGTTCGGAAATTTATTCTCGGCAGCCAGCATTGCGGTCATACCCCAGAAACCTTGATCATCGTTTCCGAGAGATGCGGTATGGTTGAGGGGCATGTAGTTTTCGTGGTCGCCTACTTGGTGAAGCATTCCCTCCATCACCACGGCATTGTAGCTTGTGTCGCCCGTAAGATGCCAATAATCGACATACGTGCCCATCATAGCACCTCCTTCCCACCAGTAATAATCTCCCTTATTCTCCGACGGCGGGCCGGGCAAAATACCAGGGATTTGTCCTGTCTTGTTGCCTTCGTACTGTAGCATTAGGTCGTATGCAAGCCCGCGGGCCGAGTCTCGAATATTATCTATGTATTGAGACTCATCAGGGAAATCCGTCATCTTTCAGTCTTAATTGGTAATTACCTGCATTATCGATACGATAAATAGCCTCCACTGTCGCATAGAAAAAACAAGTCGCAATGATTACAAATGACGGTAACATGGTGGAAACGATTGGTGTGCTTTACGCTGAGAGGCAGCAGGAAAACGCGAGACGTCAAAGTCCTCGACCTTGAGAGGACTATTTTAATACTGATACGAAGGGGGGAGTAATAAGATCTGAACGAATGACGTAGAAGGAAAAAAGGCCAAGCGACGGTATATTCGACGTCCTACCAGCAGACGAAGAAAGCACAACCAACCTGAGATAAACGAGGCGCCCAGGAAAGAAGTGAGGTGCGAGTGCTTTATTTCCCTCAGAGAAGCAGCCGGGACTAGAAAAATACAAATCAAGAACCAGGCGGCGGAATAAGGGCCTCTGGTACTTATAACGGCTCCATGGAAACTAAACTCTGTGCGACTCAAAACCTGCGGGCTCGCGCGGTGGCGCTTGGACATCTTGGCTTACTGGCAACAAGTATGAGCAATGACATCGAAAGAAGTTATAGTACATCTTGGCTGCGGCTGAGCAACTCTCCTCGTCTTGGCAAAGTTTGAAGATCGGGCAATGACTGGATGACCCGCGACGCCTAAAAATTCGTGATCCATGGGAGTGATTCACGCGATTTAGTGCAGCTTTGCTATGGGCAAGTGGATAGTGAGAGGATAACAACTGTGTATAGCGCGATTTTTATTTTGCCCAGAAACAAAGAATGCGGACCCAAAAAGAGGAGTTTATCTTGTGATCGTGAGCGCGGGGACAATCGCTGGCCCTTGCTTTTAGGAGCCAGTGGATAGCGGCAGGGCAATTCCCGCTTGCAAAGGGAACGGATTTTTAGATTCAACTGTAATCTCAAACAGCAAATAAAAGAGCGGGACGCGTAATCCAACGGATCCCTTGGCTTGATTGGCGTTGGAGGCGCAGCATCGAAACAACTGAAACCCTCATGCGGCTTGGCTGTGATGACTAGCGGCAGCCTAGCTTTAAGGTTCTTTCTGAGCTTAAAACTGATCCGGTGATCCGGGTTTTATAGGTGATTCAGCAGCCTGGGACATGGGACGGTGGCCAGGTGGAAATTGGAAATTTGAGTTAAATAACAGACAAACACCAGTCCAGTAGAGGTGGTTGATACTATAGGGAGGGGTGTGAATTGTATGTAAGCCGGGTTGGACGGACTTGGCGCTGCAATGCCACTCGGCCGTGTGACATCCACTCATTTGCCCTCGGACTATGCGGAGTAATTCGACGATGCAGCAAGATGCTAGTACAGAAGATGATTAATACAGTCAATGTTTAATATAGCCAGTTTCTTAATAATCACGCTGGGCGTCATAGGGGGTCTGGTTTCTACTGCACACGGACGCTTGGTGTGTTATATCACGTCACTGTTCAGGCTCTTACACTGCCACCTTCTTCAACCACGATTTCAGGAGTGATCCAGGGGGGTGGGAGGGGGTTACTTCATACTTTCCTATTATTAGCACAGGTGTGGGCATTAATTCTAAGTTCAGAGGGAGCGGGAATTGGAAGAATGCAAAATTTTAGTGTTCAAGCCTCATCCCCAATAACACGAGACAGCCATCTACCCTATATTCTTCTCCATGAATTCGATTTCGATGCCTCATACTGCAGATACTTATACTTGTAGAGGAATGATTCACCGAAAGGCAGTTGTAAATAACTACATGTACATACCAACAATTATATAAGATCGAGGGAGATGACAGACAGCAAAGAAAAGAGACAAGCCATCAGGACTTATCATTGTAGCCACCAGCAGAGTAAGTTTTCTATCGATGTGCTTGCGACTAGAAAAGGGATACGTAAGCGAAAACTTCTTGCGGCCCCTTATTAGGAGGGTCAGAGAGCAATGCAGCTGTTGGCATACTCTCAACTGCTGGCTTAATGTTAGAGATTACCTGTCAGAGACAAAGGAGCTTTCTAGCAGCGAAGACGCAACAAAATTTAAACTAATGATTGTGGCGTCATAACAGATATCAAGAGGAAGTGGTTTTCTTTGCGTTCAAAGAAGGTCAGAGGTAAATGCAGTCTTCATGGTCTACCTAGCTGCGAAGTCCCTGCTGGCTTGCTGCGCTTTACCTCTTTGATCCCATCGCTCTTCGCTTTGTGCCATGACTCCTGACATTACCCATAGCTATTCCACTCCTTCATCTTTCACTGCTCGTCTTTATGAGGCTCAAATATAACAGCTACAATTATAGCTGAAAAGCTTTAATATTCACAAAAGGCATCATTTCGGCATATATGCTTTTTTTTTTTTTTTTTTACTAATTCGTAAATTAAAGGAAACGGCGCAGGCTGACGTCTAAGAATAACCGTCACGACCGTCACCCGCTGTTGATAGAAAAGGAGAACCAAACTACACGTACTCAAGTACTCCTATGGATATCCATAAATACCCGTGTTGGTCTTATCTTTGCACGTATTTTGTCGGATATCCGATTCTGATAGAAAGATATGGAAAATGAGAGTGTCATCAACTCACCTTTTCAAGGGCAACGTCATACTAATCGCTTATACATTAAAAATGATCATGGAAATTATCTCCACCGCAAGATAGAGGTTCCATTGTAAGTGGTGTCGCTTGATAGCCATTTGAATTTCTAGATGAGATGACTCCCTCTTCTCTATCAATGGGTGGTGCATGTAATTAAATCAGAAGGTTTGTGTTGATAAGAGATGACAATAAATGACTCCCCAAAGACGGATACGGCGGCATTAGATGTGTTGAATACACAGATGATTTCTTCATCCGAGCGGAGTTGCAACGGTTATAGTCTAGTACCTAGAATAGGACCGGTTATCTTGATTCTTAGGTTTCAATGTCTGCCCAAAGTGGAAGAGTTGGGCCGGCCGTCGTCAGCATCGTGCACACACACACGTGATTGATATCATATTTTGCTATTCATTCCAAGATTTTGTCGCTGTCCGAGCTCCCCGAAATACTCCACCTCGCGATACAAAGTTGCCACTGTTGCGGCGCTACCTCGTATTGTGAGGACATGCGTGACATGCGTGCTATGACATTTTGATGAAAGAATGGTTTAGAATGAATCCATCTAGACTAGGCGGTATGCGAGTTCTTTGCATTGGCAAGTGTTTAATATCAGCTATCCTTTGCCTAAAATAAATACGGCCTTGAAACATTAATCAATAATTACACATCCCTCATCATACCTCGTCTCTGCATTCGATAGCGTGGCCTTTTTTAGCTAGATTCTATCCTTAGCTCTTTTGAATACTAGTAATATTAGGGTTTTTCGAGCCTCCAGGTGTGCAAGTATCTTCGTTTGGCCGAGGTCGAGGTTGTGTTACATTGCAGGTGGCACACGCAGCCAACAAGTACGGAGTACATATACGTACGAGGATAGTGCATACTGGCATGGGGAAACCTGGCGCCTACAGAAGGTGACCTCATCAGACATTCTCCGTACGACGTTGAGCATGTGTCAAGCAGATGGCGACAAATTAATGGAACCTCAAGGAAGGTATAACTTACAGCCATCCCCATCATAACCTAGCAGTGTGCAGGGGCCGGACAGCCTACCGAGGGACTGAGTACAACTATATACATGTAGTTATGATTGCAAGGAGCGGCGACCTATATCTGAGAATCGAAACTTTGAGGGATAAATTAGAACTTCCTCTTTGGTGCCAAGGTTGGACTTCTTTACTTATACGAGTATGCCGTCGGGTATTATTGCGCCATTGTCCTGGATTTTGGACCCCTGCTCTCTGCACTCCAGAAAATGCTACCATAAGCTTAATGAACTCCGCATCAAGCCACAAAGACGTGAGCTTGGCCGCAAGGTAGGCGGAATTGAAAGGCCATTTGGTAAGTAGCTATCAGCCTTCAAATGCCGGATCCCATTCTTTTCCACTCGGTCCCTCCCACATAAAGCCAGCCAATAGTCGTGAAGGCGGCAAACAAAATAAGCTTGGTATCAAATCTGATTCGCGGGGAAAATGGTAAAATTCAAAATGCCCGGTCACAAATACCCCCTTGCCGCCCCATCAGTTAATATACCGAGATGTCGCACTAGCTAATAGGTCCGACTCCAACCCCCAGCAGCCATCAAGGCGGGATTGCTGCCTTTGGGGCAAAATCCACAGAAGACAGTCACTAATCAGCTTTTTTGGACAGTTTTTCAAAGCGACGTTGAGATTTGGCATCAAAGCGTACATGAAGCTACGCGCGAACCCGAAATAGAGAAGCTCATTCCAAAGATAGGCGACCGATCATCCCCGTTCCGCAAGCCATGCCGGATGTGGGGTGTAAGGAACAGTCGGCGATAATCCGCGAACACTGCAACCTAGACCGGTAGAACGATCACTTCTGTTAAAGAAGCAGATGGCTGCGGGAATGCCGATCCTCCCCGGCAATGTGCTTGGCAACTGAGATGAAAGGGCAGTGATTCATGTGCTGTGGCAGCAAGTAGATTGCGTCCATATCATTCATGTTCAAGGGTTACTTTACGTGTACATACCGTACATGGAACGGCCTAATAAGAAATCGAATGTTTACTGTGTTCTGTCAGATGAGGAGTTGTATCTACGGGATACGGAATTAAGAATAACCCAAGTGCTCCGGCCTAGTATCAAATAAACTAAAGCTAAATCGTGCTACTGACAGTTCCTGACATGGATCAAGGAAGCTTGAATGCTTGCTGACAGGACAACAATCCAATTGGCTGAAAAAAAACGGAAGCCCTACCCATACATGCATGGGGTATCATATACGTACGACTCAATTCACACAGCACGTCCGTATGCGGTTTCACCACCCTTGGGTTGACAACATGTTCAACTTGCAAGCCATGTCACTCTGACCCAATCTAAAAACCGAATCATTTCCAATCAGTCCCTGCAACTGTCATTCTCGGCCATGGTAGTGATCCTTTGCCCGTGGGGGAATGGTTGGCTGACGATGGAAATTTGCCTTCCGGGACGAAACTGTCATGAACGGCCAGCCACCTCCGCACACTCCGTCTTTGGGCGCTTCCCGATGCATACCCCAGACTTTACAGAGGTCCCATATCCCTTTTGGCACTTCCCCCCCTTGTTCCTCCGCGATCAAAGAGCGAGCCGCTCTCCACAAAAAGCCCCCAGCAAGGCAGACGAACGGCCACTTCACGAATCAAGTTCAAGCAGCCCACGCGGCAATGCTGGAGATCGGTTGCATCGCGGCCATCTTGGCCTGCAGTAACCTCACCTCTTGACCCCGCTGTCGGTTTTTTTTCTCGGCCTTCTTGTTTTGTTTCCATGTTTATCTAGTGGGCACCGCAGAGAGCAGCCAATGTCTCTCGTGCCCACACCAGCGTTTCGGCGCATTGTTCGGCGGGCCACTCATCAGATGATGGTGCGGTGGGTGAGGAAGCCAAGCATACTCCTTCATTTCGACCTCAGGGTGGCATTTCAGACCCTCTAGGCTCGGACCGATTCCGGATCTGCGTGGCAATGTCAAAGAGTTTGGTCGTCCCCGATGGAGCTGTCCAGGAACGGGAATAGCCTGGCCGATTAGACAACAGGGAAGTTTTGTCACCGGCAGCGAATAGCCTATCTATCTTGAGAGATCCAATGAAACTTGTTTCGAAACATGCCAGCGTGGGAGGCAAGGATGCCGAGTGCGAGCATGAGAGTTGAATGGGTCGGAGATAACATAGGGAACAAGAGGGCCAGGGGGGCTTCGAAGAATAGCATCTCAACTGGTATATAAACCACCGTAACTCCCCAACTTTGGAGTTGTTGTTCACCAGGTCATCAAGTCGTCTTCCAGCCCTCGACAGTACTCCTCTTCAAGTCACTCACGAGCAAAAACCAGCCAATTTTTCAAAAACCATCACCATGTCTCTTAAGCAGTCCGCCCTCGTTGCCCTGGTTGCTGCCATGGGCGCCCAGGCTCAGGTCTTCACCGTCAACTGTGCTCCTCTGACTCAATTCCGAGGTGACCCTATTGTGTCTCCTGGTGTTCTCTCTTCCCACGTCCACGCTATCGTCGGTGGCACTGCCTTCTCTCTCTCCACGACCCCTGCGCAGGCCCGAGCTGCTACAGCCACCACCTGTGACAAGATCCTCGACAACAGCAACTACTGGCAGCCTCAGCTTTACCACCAGAGACGCGATGGCCAGTTCGAGCTTGTCACCTTCCAGGGCAGTGTAAGCAGCTTAGCAATATTCAAAATCATCTTCTTTGGCTAACAACAAGCTTAAGGCTACCTACTACATCGCTCGTGCTTGCGACTATGCTCCTGGCCGACAGAACTGCAATGGAGCTCCTCTCCCCATTGCTCCTCCCGCTGGCCTTAAGATGCTTGTCGGCGACTTGAACCGACGGTATGTAAACTCAAGACTCAAAAAACTTCCCATTCTAACATCAAATTAGCACTTTCAACGCCTCGAGCTTCGAGGACCGTGCCATCTCGCACGTCTGCCTCGACACCGAGCCCGTGCCCGACACCAACGGCTTTCCTACCCGCCAGTGCCAGCGCGTTCGCGCCGAGACCTTCTTCCAGTCCTGCTGGGACGGTGTCAACTTGGACAGCGCCAACCACAAGGACCACGTATGTCTTGCCCCATTGTTTACAGTACAGCGTGATGCATCTCCTAACAAAGCCATAGGTTGCCTTCCCTGCTATTGGTGATTACAACACTGGTGTGTGCCCGCAGTCGCACCCCAAGGCCATCCTCTCGGTCTTCTACGAGTTCTTCTACGACACCGGCGCCATCCAGAACTTCAACCGCTTCGTCTACGCCACTGGTGATGCCACCGGCTACAGCCTGCACGCCGATTACTTCCAGGGCTGGAAGGACCAGAACGCTCTCAACAACGCCATCGCCACCTGCACTGGCCCCAACGGTGTTCTCGACCGCGGCTGCAGCTTGAACGTCGGACCCAACGGAACTCCCGGTTCCTCTGGCCCCCAGAAGCTCCAGACTCCTGCTCCTACTGAGAACATTGGTCTTAACGGCCCCCTTGCTGCCCTTCCCGGCAACAACCCCATCCACTAAATTACTCACCAAACGGGTGACAGCTGAGGGAAGCTCTCGGTTTATAAAAGAAATTGGGAACACGCAGTGCCGAAAGCGAGGACTCAGTCACCCATTTGATGTAGCCAGTGGCTGGAAACTGGTCTAGCAATTTGGAGGAAAGAGGCGGACTGGATGAATGATGACAAAAATTGGAACTCGCACGAAGCTGTGGCAATGGCCCCTTGTAATTATCTACATTGCCTTTAGTTCTCGTTCGAGATGTTGGTCTTTTATCATGCACATAGTTAGCGTTTATCACATAGGCAATGACGAATGATGTATATATGCATTTACATTCTATGCACTTGTGCCACATTTCTAGTACATGGGTCTGTATTTACAGTCTTGTTGTGGCAATCAGTATGGAGAGCCATACACGTGCAAGACACTGAACTTGGTCCAGCAGGGGATATTCTCTTTGGGGCATGAATATGTGTGATTTTTAACCAGGGAGAGCTACACTGTGAAACAATTGAATTGAAAGGGGTCCCGTTGAGTGCAAAGGGTGAAGTATGTCACAGTATGGAATAGTGATTAACGCCGTCCATATGTTAGTGTATTCCTATGGAAACACCGTTTTCCCCGAGCGAGGGACTGTGAGAAAATGTTAAGAAAAAAAGGGGCAACATAGCGCCCTTCTTCCTACATAACTACTATCCTTTGTCTGCTTCTGCCACATTTGTCTTTCTTTCATATATCAGAAACAGGGGAATACGAACCAAAGAGGGCCAAAAAAAATTAAGCCGCTGCTTTGCGCTATGGACGAACGGGGAATCGAACCCCGGACCTTTCCCAGTGAGAAGCTCAACCGCCAAATTATTTTGAACAGGAAATGCTAAGGGAAAATTATACCACTAAACCATCCGCCCATTTGAGGCGCTCTGATTGGCTTGGCAGACCGCGAGAATATTCTATTCATGAATGATGGCCGAAGAGATTGATCGTAAAAGCGGGCGGTATATGAAATCTTGAAAGCGGTTGGAAGAGTGAACAAATGGGTAGAATACTTTGAGCTATGTTTCTGCCATCTGTAGGGTAATATCTTCATTGATTCCCATGTTCCATCATAGCTCGGCGAGAACATCGTGGGTGGTAGGCGAGGCATCCAAAGTACTGGCTATGCAGTCTGGTAATAACTGTTGAATACATAATCTCTTTACTTTAGCCTGTTATGGTTGTCACGGTTGTTGTGGCTATGCACTCGCTGCATTAGAATTTACGTATGCTCTCCGTGCTCCGCTCTCCGTGCTCTCCGTATTATACGATACGAGTAACTACATTCGTATCCTGTCTGTACTCCTGTTGATCATGCCAGCTGACCTCGGGATTTGGCTCCTTTAGGGTAACACGATTATGCGGGGAAGAACGGCATTAAGCTGACCAGGGCCGTTTGGCGTCGGCCGGGCCTGCGTATTAATCCCAGCTGATCATGGACCATTCTGTTAAGTACATTACAAAACAAGGATAGCCGTATTGAATTCCGGAACAAATGTCTGAGCACAGAATAATCCGTATTACTGACATGACGAATGCAATCGCCGCACTGCGCCTACTACCGTGGTCACAGACTACCCGGATCCTCGGAGTCTGTTCTGCTCTGCTTGACTTCAAGTTGTCAATCTTGCAGGGAATGTATGCCGCCAGCAAAGACATGTGAGCTGTCGCCTTGGCTTGTCGATTGACGCGTCTCGTGCCGATCGGGTGTTGAGAAAGCATATTAATAACCTTGGTGGCTCGGCTTTCTATTTCTTCCGACAGGGGTTTACTCATAAAATTGCATAACGAGAACCTCCACTAATTGTACGGACATATTTAATCTAATGTTTTTTTGACCGCTAGACTTGATGCTCAAGGGAGCTGCTCTTGAGCAGCATGAATCGCTTAGGATCCAAGCCTCACCTGAGTACAGAGGAGCTTTTCGTAAACGCATTGATCTCCTGCGTAAGTTAGGGGTGGCGCTGCCAAATGTGGCAACCGTCTACTAATACTGGTTTGACCCCATTCCTAGAATACGAGCCGCGGTAGATGCATCCCTGGCGAGAAACCCCACATGCTTAACGCACATCATGAGATGGCCAAAGAGCTTAAGCTGTGTAAACCAACGGTTGAAGATCTGGCAACGTTACAGCTCGGCATCAGCAGCACAAATGACTGAATTGTAGCGCAAGACATTTGAGAGACATTACATCACTGAGCCGTGTACTCCGTAATATGTCTCTTGCTCATGTTATGTGTCATGTATTGAGACCTGGGATCGGCCCATCGCCGTTGGATATGTGGGATGACCCCCTGCATGCCATGCTGAATGGCGATGGCCAACTGTGTTGCATTGCCACCGCAACATCGGCAGACAGCCTTACCAGCAGGTCTCCATTCACGATACGAGATGATGCAAGGGTGCCGAGCCGCCGCTGCAAGCCGTGACCGCTTCCAGTAAGCTGCTCGGGTGATCGCAACCGATGAAGAACTCTCCCGACATCCCTGGAACAGGACAAAAGCCAAGTTTTCAGGTTCTAGAAGATATTCAGATTGCATTGGCATGAGTGTCTCTACTCCACTTGGATTGGCTCCCTACCTATTACTAAAGTATACGAGCGCAACTCATACAAGTATATAAAGAGAGCAGCCACGCCCGTTGCCCATCTGTCTTGTCTCTTGTCCATCACCATCTCACCCATCTCCTACTTTGCTACCACAAACCAACACTGACTCAAAACAAGTCCTTATATACAGACACCTATAATCAGCCACCATGCAAATCACCAAGACTCTCGTCGCTACCCTCTTCGCCGCCTCCACTGCCTTCGCGGCTCCTACTCCTGCGGACAAGTCCATGATGGCCGCTGTTCCCGAGTGGACAATTACCAACCTGAAGCGAGTGTGCAATGCTGGCAACACTTCCTGCACCTGGACCTTTGGCGTTGACACTCATCTCGCCACTGCCACTTCTTGCACATATGTTGTCAAGGCAAATGCCAACGCTTCCCAGGCCAGCGGCGGCCCTGTCACATGTGGTCCTTACACCATTACATCCAGCTGGAGTGGACAGTTTGGCCCCAACAACGGCTTCACCACTTTTGCTGTTACCGATTTCTCCAAGAAGCTCATCGTCTGGCCTGCCTATACCGATGTCCAAGTCCAGGCTGGCAAGGTCGTTTCTCCCAACCAGAGCTATGCCCCCGCCAACTTGCCATAAATGAGGAGAATTTGTTTTCGATTTGCTTTTTAAATGGTCTATTTACTCCCAACGGAACAATCAGGGGCAATTGGATACGGCGTTAAATCAGCCACGGGGAAATAAATATGTACCACGAAACTTAAGCTTAATGTAATAATGATTGACTATAATAATACATCATATTTATTATGTGCCTCCTCTGTTCACTATAATCTTTACCACTTGTCTCCTACAAACCGATCGTATGCTGCAATTGGATATTAAACTCCTCGGTCCGCGTTTATCGTTAAGCCATCAACGCCCATATCCATATTGTTTGCATCTGCACGGATAAATCCGAAAAGCCACACTCGAGCGCAATAAACCTTTCACACGTTTAGATTCTCGATTGACTCAGTTATACTCCACCTTGGTGGTCTAACTGTATTTAACTCACGGTTTATTAAGCTATTCTATGCAAAATCTAAGAGGATACGACGCCATGTGGCATTATAAAATTCACAAGCTCGAGGGATCCAAAGAATACGATATCTTCCATCGAATTACTTCAGAAAAAAATTGTGCTTTTTTTACTTTGGAAATAAATTTTTACCGGAAGGAGGTATAAATTTCGAGAGCTTTCCTGTTTGCAATTCCTACTCCCTGCGATCTCTTCTATACAGACTCTCCACATTCAGCTGCACACAAACAACTCACTCTGTTACAATGCTTGGAAATTGATAACAGTGAAAATGAGACGTTTTGTATTTTTTCCACGTATTGAAACGCCGGATGGAAATCTGGCCTTAGCCAGAAATGAGAATAGCCGCATCCCACGTCGCTATTCCATCAATGACAATGCTGTTCTTCGCCGCCGTTCCCACGCCCCCTTACCGCCGTTGATGATAGCCAACATATATTTCCCAGTGCGGGACCAGCAACGAGAAGGAAGTGCGCAAGATAATGGCAACGACTCACGGTCAAATCAGATCCAACAATATGCTCCTGCTACAACAGGATCTGGAAGAACAATAGTAGTCCAGCGGGGATCACAGATCTCGGTAACTGAAACGGACGATATTACTACTAGTATCCTCTCTCGCGAAAACAAGAAATACAACCCACACGACCCTAAAACTACAATTACCTATGATTACTCGCGCCGATGTCCACTTATAACAACAGTATTCACCTCTCTTCTTTTCGTGGGTGTGCTGTTGGTATGCTCCTATGAATCCTAGAGAGAAGGATGTGGGCGGAGATGGATTATATCTTGCTTCGCACGTTTAAAGTTTTTATATATACACTTCGGTTGCTCGAATAGGCTTAGAAGGGATCGCTGCCTCGTGTTATTCTGTTGATCACGATTATGGACCTATTCAATGTCAGGCGCCTAGAAGCTAGAATGCTGAAAGGAAGCGCCTAGTTCCCAGCTAGAGCTTTGTGGCTTGAAAGGGACTTATAAAAGAAGAGGTTTCCCTCTTTATTGAACAGAGGTTCAGAGATAAATACAGTCATTATTGAATACCTAACGGCGGTTTAGTAGCTGATTCACTGCCTGTTCCCTTCTTTGACTCCATCACTCTTCTCTTTGTGCTCCAGCTTTCTGACATTCAACTTCAACAACGATTCGATTATGATGATTTGGTGCAAAATACTTCACAATATGGCGCTTAAGCTTTCAATTCCAGTTTTCCCATTTATTTAAGCCTTGATGCTGTGACATATTTTTTATCCGACTCCCATCTCTCTATAGAGAATGACGGAGATCTGGTGAGATGCCTGTGCTACTTGAAATGGGTGGGAAACCTGTGAGGCGATCTTTAAATCTATGGTTTGGTTAAGTATTGCAGGCGAAACAAAAATGTCTAAATCTGTACACCGACGACCAACTTCCGGTGTTGTCATCGGCCGGTGCAAAAGCGGATACGCGGCAGACAGTTTGCTTTTGCTACTGCCTTTGGCGGAAATAATATCCGTCATTTGTTCTTGGCCGCTGTCGTAAGTCGCCATTGGACGAACAGCTACGCGATTTCAGGAACGTGAAGCCCATTTTAGCCCCCAACTTGATGCAACTCAGAGCATCCGTACGCATCCAATTGGCCTGGTGGTGTCTATTTTGTTGTGGATCCTGGCGCTACGCCATGAAGAGGAAGCAGTGCGCAGCACATGGATGCGAGGAATAAGGATAAGGATGGAAAGACGATGGCCCGATCGACTCAAACTGCCGAAGAGGCGTAGTTTGACAAATATGTAGCGTAGAGACTATGTATTATCGAGAGAAGCAACATAATACATCCATGCATATGACTTTCTTTCGAGGACCAAGGGCATTCAATTTACTAATGTTTCAAATTGGGACATGTTTCAATTAGTCGATGCTTCTATAGATACTAGGTGCCTTGTGTGATCGACGCGCACGCCTTTACTCATGCGCCGGCGCCTCAACTTGGCGCCTTTTCAGCCGGTTTTCCCAAGCACATCACCTACCGAACTTGACCAAGGGCCCTATGCAAGGACCCATTCATAGCCAGGGATCAAGTTCAGCTCTTAGCTATTCGCCGATCATGAGTGGTTGTGTCGCACTCAATGGCGGGGGATCAATACCCAGAGCTCTAACACACGGGGATCAAATGGAGAATTTGATGCGTTGAGCGAGCCAGTTGAGAGACGCTGGCCGTTCACCCCGGTCCTCCATCCAAGTACAAGTTGCATAATAGATGACGAAATCTGATCCCATCTATTTATAGTGAAATGGCATGATACTGAGACATTTGGGCCTTTTGTACTCCGTACATCAAGATCCTCGTAGAGAGGGTTACATTCGCGCTTCTAGCTAGGAAGTCTTTGAGTATATAAGATCCCTTCATGTATCCGTAGTTCGATAAGTCAAAGAACATCTCATTCTAGATCCTATTGGAAAAAACCGAACGGACCACAGATCTAAGATTTTTTTTTTTTTACAATGAAGTCTCTTGCTTCCATTGCCGTCGGGGTGGCGGCTTTAGCCTCCGTCGCTAATGCATCTGTTAAAGGATTCGACATATCTAATTATCAGCCTAATGTTGATTTTGCCAAGGCATACTCTGATGGCGCCCGCTTCGTTATCATCAAGGTTCGCATTGGTAACTTGCCATCATGGTGTTATAGAAGACTAATATTTCTCGTCCTTAGGCCACCGAGGGTACCACTTACATTGATCCCACCTTCAGTGATCATTATACCAAAGCCACCAATGCTGGATTCATCCGTGGTGGTTATCATTTTGCGCACCCTGGATCTTCCTCTGGTGCCGCTCAAGCCAACTATTTCCTCCAACACGGGGGAGGTTGGTCTTCTGATGGCATTACTCTGCCTGGAATGCTTGACCTTGAGTATGCCCCCAGTGGCGACAGCTGCTACGGTTTGAGCGCCAGTGCCATGGTAAGCTGGATTAATGACTTTCTCAACACTTACCACGCCGCCACTTCTCAATATCCTCTGATCTACACTTCCACAAGCTGGTGGCAACTGTGTACCGGAAACAATGGCTCGTTTGGCAACAAATCGCCTCTTGTCGTCGCGCGATATGCCAGCTCCGTGGGTACACTTCCCAATGGCTGGAGCTATTATACTATCTGGCAAAACAATGACGCAGCTCCTTGGGGTGGTGACTCTGATGTATTCAATGGAGATTTATCGCAGCTTCAAAAGATTGCTCGTGGAAGTTAAATATCCAATATTAAAGAAGAGCTACAATTCAGAAAACGACGTTTAATGGTGCACTGAGGTGATGGTTACATGGGTAGTTATATCTAGCTGTATAGATAGAGCTGCTAATAACTGATTAATACGGAGCAGACTACCAATGGGCTACTATGAGCCTAGATACCTTTTATGTTGAAGAGCGATATTTTACAAGACCTGTAAATCCATGGTTTATCTATGTATTTACTTCCTTCTCACACAGGCCTGACTCTTATCCACGTCATGCCTCACGTCAGCTGAGTACTAGCGATGAAGAACCATTTTCTTGCCTGCAGGTTTCGTGGCAATTTAGAATGAATACTCAGATTTTCATATTAATACGTGCGTCGATAATACTAGATGATAATAGAAAACAAAAATTGGCAAGGGTAACCGGTCTAAATCAACTTTCAACGAAATAGTGCTATGCCAGTCACACGCCAGTATGGTTTTAATCAGCCATGCTGAAGTCTATGCAGTTAGCGACTGATTTTTTCCAGTGATAAGTCGTACAACTTTGCTGCAGCCTTTTCATCATAGGCCCACTCGGCATGTCCTGGATCAATCATCTTCCAGCCCTTCTTCAGCGGCTCGCTGAAGCGATTTCTCTCACAGTATTTCCCACCTTGGCTTTCTAGATCCCTGCTTACAGCAGCCCATACAGATGTTGAGGCACCCTGCGCGGCATTCATCATGGTGTTGAGCGTCGCCATGGGGCCAGATTTGATTACAACGAGCCAGTCCTTGACATCCCACTGACTCGGTGCCTGCAATCCCGTTCGAATACCACCGGGGTGGACACTCCATGCATGAAGTCCCTGCGCGCCATATCGTCTCTCGATCTCGCTAGCAGTGTAAACATTTGCCAATTTACTTTGACCATATGCGACCGATGGCACGTATTTTCGGCTTTCCCAATTCAAATCTGAAAAGTCCATTGGAGCGTTTCTGTGGGCGGTGGAAGAAACGATAATGGCACGAGAGCAAAAGTCTGGGGTGGATGATGCTAGGAGCATCGGCCTGAGAAGTTCGAAGAGGAGAAAGTGAGACAGGTGGTTTGTTCCCCAGTGCTTTTCGAAGCCATCTCGCGTTCGACCGAACGGAACGTGACGAATACCAGCGTTTTCGATGAGAATGTTGAGAGTGCTGCTCTTTGACTTGAACTCATTGACGCAAGATCGAACGCTGTCGAAGGATTCGAGATCCAACTTGAGAAGGTGAACGCGATCACCGCTGAGAATATCGCCAAGCGCGTCCTCTGCCTTTTCCAAATTGCGGGCGGTGACAAAAACCGTTGCTCCCGTTGCCTTCATTGCTCTCGCTGTCTCAATTCCTAATCCAGAAGAGCATCCCGTAATGAACACGACCTTATTGCTCATATTACCCTCTCTTTGCTCGTCTTTGATAATCTGTAGGGCAGTAGGCCGTGCGTCGCCGGGGCCATGCTGGTTGGCATGGGCTTCCGAGTAACGACTCGTTGCCACGGTGGTCATTGTGTTTATAAGAAGAAAATGGGATTCGTGTGGACAAGAATTTGTTTAAGTCGTTGCTATTGCTATCGCTGCCGCGGTTGTCTCTGATCGGTTGACTTACTTCTCAGATGTCGGTCCTGAAGTAGCGAGGGTTTATATATTTCGAAGGTAGTCTCCATCGTGGCAACATTCACATGAAGCTGACTGACTTTTACTTGTCTCGGGAGCGAATAGATGACATTGTGCAAGGTACCTGAAGATAAAGCCTCCGTGGTACGAAATATCCTGTTTGGCAATACGATGGCTGTCGTAATCTCAAATAGGAAATTCTGCTGACGAGAGGAAACGCCAGCGCTACCACCAAAAATTCGTGCTGTAGATTCGCTACTACTACCTCTACGCGGAAATAAAGAATGCAGCCGTTTATCTCCTTATTCCAGGACTCGCCTAAGCATTGGCGAACTAAGCAAGCCTCGAATTCCGCTTTTAGGGTTGTTGCTACGCCATGATTTATAGAGAATTCGAAGAGGTTACTCACTGTGGTAAATAACTTGTTGACGCTGCGAAATGTATTTTTTTAAGGAGGCAAAGCAACGTGACGAGACAGTTGAAGCATATGAATACTTCCCTTACCTGAACGTATGGAGAGCAGGCAGACGGCGAAGAAAAAAAAATATTAGTCAACAGGGGAGAAGATCTCTCTCTACGTGGAGAAAAAAATTAAATAGCAACTGGGGGCAATTGCTCCCGGCAGGGCTTGAACCTGCGACCTTCGCATTACCAAAGCTAGATAAGGCATCTAGTATTAGTACGAAGCTCTAACCAACTGAGCTACGGAAGCTATTTCGTTGAGATGAAACCTGATATACACTCACTATATTTTTCCATTCTCTGACCTGTGTTCAACCCTGTTGCTTTGCCAGCCACCTTTCCCATCTCTCAGCACCGCACCTGTACATATAAAACTGTCTGGCTATATTTAGACTGCTGTACAGTACTTTTACTTCTATTAGAAGTTTGCTCATTTTTGTTCATTTTTTTAAACAATATGTAGTCGAATTACAAACCGTTACGTACCTATAACACATTCGTATATCCGGCCCTTTAATGGAGAAGCGTTGAGACGCCTGATATCATAACGCTGCCTTTCTCAACGTAAACCAAATTCCTTTGAAAGAGATCTTCAAGTAAGCCTAATCTATGCATAGAGTAGCCCATAAAACCTTTGCAGATAGCATCCTCCAAAACACCAATGGAGTTAATCAAGCCCTCAGCAAACCAAACGGGAAATAGCCCACCATAGTGTTAAATAGATGTTCTCTTATAGTGATACGTTTCTACGCCAGCGACTTATACTATATAATAATATTTATCATTTATTTCCCACTGGTGCTAGTTAAGATTGCTGATCTGCGCTTAATATAGGTAACATGTCTCATAACGACGGTCCTAAAAGACAAACAAACTTTGATCTATTTGTACCAGTACTCCGTACACGATCAACAAATCGAGTGAATAGAAGCTCCGAACCAGATAACCCTGCCTATATACGACTAGGCTGGGTATAAAACCACTTGTAGAATCTTGGAAATAGGGGCAGGCACCATATAGGAAGCGTTAGTACCTAGGCGTACAGGAGTTAGTCCAGCTATAGTGAAGAAGGCACGGATGACTGTGGTGAATATTATCTAAAACGAGTGATTCTGTGACCTTTAATCTTAAAAAATAAAAGTTTTTCGCAATAGTATTTCCCAAGGTAGGGGTTATATGCAATCAATGGTCAATTTTTTCGAGCAGCCTTCTTCAGTATAGTATAGAAAATTTCCTATGTCTCAATATTTAAAACAATTCTTTGGGAAAATTGCACAAGTCAAAACACACAAGCTAAAGCAACATACAAGCTAAAATGTTATACTCCGTCTATTTCCAATCATGTATCAATAAATCTGTCGGGGAATAATGCAATCATCACCTCCTACTCCGTAACGCTAGTTCCATTCTCCTCGGCTATAAATCATCCCTTAATGACACCCGTCAGACTGATGTGTCTTCTGCCTAAGCTGAACCCGTAACCGTAACAATCTGCCTATACCGTCGCTGCTTCTTTTCAATGCTTCGAGAGATGAAGAAGAGGATAAGACAAGTAATCTCGATCACTGCTGCTATAATGATAGCATAGAAGCTATAGTTCTGCGTCGGGGATTAGCAGAATGAACTCTACGCGCTAGATTTTTAAACATACCAGTTCAACGCACAGAGGCTCGAAGCTAACTTTGGAGCTGTTCCAAGTCTCATGGGTGCATGACCATGACCAGATGTCCCAGTGCTTTTTGCCTCTGGCGTTGTCAACCTTGTAGTAGACAACGGCGGCGATCCATGCGACAATGGAGAATATGGACGTCAGTGCAACAACCCAGGGGTAGAGCTTGATATATCGTAGGGCGCGAGTCTAGTATTATTCCATTAGGAGGATAGACACGGAGGGCACAGAAGCCAACTTACACCGCCACATAGCGTTATCAAGGACGAGATATGAATGGCACTCGCGATGACACCCGCGCCGATATTCACCCAAGTTGGCCACAGATCCATCTGAGCGGCCCACGCGCGCATACGGAACCCGGTCTGGGGATTTTGAACTGTCTCGTCGCGCGACTGGTCCCAAACACGAGCCACATGTGATTGCACACCAATAATGGAAATCGCAAAAGCTAGTGCTAGAAGGCGCAGAACAATGCGCACAGAATCTAGAACTTGTTTGCTTCGCTCCTCCTTCTGTTTGGCGTTACGCGTGGTGATGCGTTGTTGGCGCAACTTTTCAGCATGAACGGCATCGTGCTCCGCGCTGTGCGGCCGACTGTATGGCTCATACGCCGTAGGCAGATTTAGTTGACTGGAATGCATTATTCGCGATGCAGTTTGTGTTCGCTAGATTACAGCGATAGGTAAAACGAGAAAGTTTGAACTGAGTGTCACTTGGCAACAGACAATAGAGTTGCCTGCAGCTGCTGAGATGAAATACCTACTCTCGAATCTTACTTGGTGGCTATGCAAAACACTTGTGAAAAATTACAAACGTAAGCTTAATACAAACTCACCTTTTCTGCCATTGAATGGGCCTTGCTGTATGGAGTATTATTAGCATTACAAAGTAAGCAACACTATTTATTCATAGTCAATCATGCTTTGTTCTTATGGTTCGACGTGAATATACTGTACAGAGTACAATTGGGGTGGAATTCACGAGGCTAGTCTTTCTTTAGTGTGCTTATAGGTTCAAGCTCATAAGCATTTATTATTTTTAGGGGCTTACCAATTCTTTTAGTGTGAATTGAGTGTAACAGGAGTAGTTGGTGAGAAACATGCAACCCCGAAAGCGGTTTAATCTATCACAATCCCAGTCTTGTACAAGAGTCTGCTTGATACTATAAATAGTTCAAGCTTATAATTAAGTAATTCTGGTGACTGCGTTCTCGTGCTCATTCACGGACGGACGTTGCACTTCCGGAGGCTGCGCCTGGGGGCGGATACTCACATTTCAGGTTTGTGGAGTTGCATCCTATTGTCGTCCATCACTAAAATTCTGCTTACATTTAGTTTGTACTAGCTAAACTGATACGACTTAGAATACTTTAAGGTTGGTCAGCATTATTTATCGAAGCAGTTCTAGCAACTTTGCAACAATTTACATAGAGCAACCTACTCCCTTTATACCCTAGTTACCACTTAATCGCATCCTTCCAAGTCTCGTAATTCCCAGTCCTCTGGGGAACAAACACACTGGGAAGCAGACAAGTGTCCAACTTCATTATTCTCTGCTGCAACCATGCTGCTCAGAGCCTCATGCCTTCTTGTCGCCGTCACGGGCGTGGCCGCTGACCTGTGCATCATTGGCCCTACACCAGTGACTGCCTGTGGGCCTGGGGATGTCAACAAGGCGAACTGGGACAAATTTGGCATCGATAACTTCGTGTTTGCCATGATCCGGACTTTTGGAACTTCAGACAACTTCCCAAAGTTTATCCTATCACAATTAGCGCCAAAGGGTCAAGAGGGCGTAAACGCCAACTTCGACTGCTCAAATATTGAAGACCCGACCAATTGCAAAATTAACGGCGTATTAAACCCCGATGGTGGAAATTGTATATTCAACAACCTTGGGAATACCGTCTGCTTGGACTTTACTTCCCCTGAGGCCGGTTTCCTAGCAGCCAACTGGATCAATCAGTACGACGGCTTGCGTTCACACTTCCTTGCGGTCCGTCAGGCCGCTGACAATCTGAATAATGAAAACTTCATCAGTAATATGGTCGACAAGCTGGCGCCGCAGAAGCAGCCCATCGCTCCAGCTGTCTTCGGACTCATCGCTGACTTAATCGTCGACATTTTACCCGTTGGTGGTGAGGTCAAGGCTGCCACCACGTTCATAAAGAAGTTTAAGATTATCCGAAAAGCCACCAAAAAGGATATCAAGGACGATGGAAAGGACATAATCAGCATCTTAGAGTCAAATAGCGACATCGACAAGCAGGCTGCGGCGACCAAGGACACCCTCAGCCAACAATTAGAGGCCATTGTCACTGGCACGCAGCAGCGTATGAGAGATCTTGTCCAACAGGTGTTTGGACCCAACCAGGATCCGACCACTGTCGATGATGATGACATTGTCAACACTGTCGCCTTCATCAATACCTACCACGGCGGGTTCCTGGACGACGTCCCTTCGGTTTCTGATCTTGTCCCCCAAATGGAGAAGCAGATGAAGACATGGATCGCCTCCCAAATCATCAATATCCTTGGATATGCCTTGTTTATTGATAGTACCCCGCTAGCAGATCCTCCCGGACAACCTGGTACTGTCTGTAATGCAGAGGGAGGTATCCCAGTCAGTGGAGGATGTGGTTTATTCCGCATTGGCGCTGTTGTAGGTTCTGGGAACGTCATCGATGGCGCGCAGAAGGCCAACGATATCTTTGCTCTAAATGATCTTGGGATTAACATGAACGACGTCGTCAACAATGCAAGAGGCTGTCCCCAAGGCAACACTGTCGACTTTGAGGGCTTTTTGGAGATGGATGACACGAACCCGTTACCTAACTGCATGTTCACGTTCCCAGTCCAAGACGTCAAACTATAATCTTGGAAGCGGAGTTGGTCCTTTTATTGGAGAATTGGTATTATAAAGGGTTTCTTTATTTATGTTTTTTACATTATCAGCTTCATACCCGAACTCGCGTCCACGAGAGCCTTTGTTATTTTAGAGTGCGGATGTCCTTCTAGTTTGGGAACTGTAAATAGGATCTACATACATAGTACTAGAATACTTTAGGCAGAGTAAGCTATAAAAGCCATTTATTGCTTAAAGATGAGATCCTTACGCCACAAGATATAAGCATATCACAGAGGATTGCGGTGACGATTATGAGAATTATGAGTATCATAAGCGTCACGCGAACGAAGAAACTATATGAAGTATGGAAGACGTGGGAGTGCAAACTAAGATTTCAATGGTCGGTATAAGAATTCTCACTGGTATCGACTTCCTACATCTTCAGTTGGAATCATTGGCAAATTTTGAATGGGGTAGTGAGCTCTATCCAGCTTGGCGCCCAAAAAAAAGGACAGACAGCTAATAGACTAAAATACATATGTGTGCCCAGGGGTTGGTAGCCCAATGCCCCTTTATAGCATGAATTATATAGGCACAAGTTGTCTAATAGTATGAAACTGAGTGACTAAGATAGAGAATGCTCTATCAATATCAATGAAAAGCCCGTAGCTCATTGACAACGACATTAGTCCACCTCGTACACCAAACTTGACATATTCAACGCCTATGAACTCTCCGCTATCAATGGAAAAAATTATCTCAACCAGCGAATAAGGCTATCCCTAAAAGTGCCAAGCTAGCTTTTTAGATGGAGGCGACGCCTAATTCAGATGTTCAGCTGCGATGTGACAGGTGCAGGATTTGAAATTGTCCAATCAAGATCACAGTTGATCACTTCTGCGCACTACGCTGCCACGTAACAAACGAGGGGTAGTTTTGCTCAGGTGGAGGGGCATCGATACGCAATTACCATTACGGTTTGACATGCGTATGTTGAAGATAGCTCTAGTGGAAACTATATAAAGATGAAATTTAGCCTCACTCAATTTTCTCAGTACACTCTTTCCAACAATATCGATGTGTTAAGCAAAAGACGCTTTGGGACCATCTAAATAACCTGCTTAAAAATGTGTGAGTCCAAGCCTTCAATACTAGCCGACTAATGGCATTAGTGCGATCTCGCATTCTGAAACTTGTTTAATGCTGATACGAACTCACTCATTGTACGCAGCGATATTTATACACAACACAACAGGTGAACCACTTTACCTCTTCCCAGGTAAAAATGATCTGATTGATCCGCCATCCCAAATTGATACAGGCGATACTGCAGAGCTGCGTTACCACCCCGGAAAAGCCACGGCGTGTAATTATGGGAACAAAAAGGGGAACGAGATTTTTGTTGGGCTAGGGAGCCCACAGAACGGAAATGAAGTACTCAATGTACATGGGTATACGGTTACACTTGAGGGGTTTCTCCAAACTGGTGAGGAGACTTATAGGATTGCAATGCAGTAACTGTGGTTAGACCGTTGAGTTAAATTGAAGGATCTATAAGAAGAGTATCAAAGCATATACTATTGTTTCTCCAATGCTATCTGTATGCTGTTAGTGTACTATAGCAAAAAATTAAGTTATACCAACCTCTAAACGACTACAGGGTCCACACATTGAAGCATTATTAAAGCAGATAGCATAAAATGAGCTGAGAAGATGATAACATAGTCCTGATAAATGCTATTTAATATGACTTGGATAACTCTGAATTGCTCTAGTATTTGTTTGATCGCCAAACTTCGCAGTTATCCTGAATAGTCCCTTATATTTATGATACTACTACTAAAGAACAGGAAGCTCTGGAAATGAAGAATTGTTCTGAAAGTAACAAGCTTTTTCCAAGATCAGCAATCTTATCTAGAGGAAGTTGAGGCTTTGGACAGCCGGTGTTTCATGGGAAAGCGAACAACATATGCTAGGAGACAGTATACGAGATAGCTGTATAGTACCTTCGCGGAGAATTGAGGCTTATCAGCCACATTAAGAGTGGTTGTAAATTATATTGGCTTGTCTAAAATAAAACAGGGCTGTAATCCCTAAAGTCTCTTCTTTTCCTCTTATGGTTCTCCAGCAGATCAGTATGGAAAATGAAACAGCGTCCTCCGAGCGTCCACACTATTACGCAACAGACGTATATCTTGCTACGACACTAAGCTAAGTACATGTAGATATAGAAAATAGAAGGTTATCAAAGTATATGACCATACATAATATGAGCAAAAAATATGCTATTATTAGATTACCTGGCCAACAACTTGTTGAATATCCTTAATATTATTATTTCTCCAAAGAGCAACTCCAGCAAATCCAAGAGCCCAAATTGCTGTACCGGCGACTAGCATCATTAATTGGGCATCACCATAAGCATGCTGAATAGCGAGTCTTGTTGCTGTACCCACGGGATAGCTGAGCTGGACTTCCAACATGCTATATATGCTGACAAGATTGGCCTGATCATCAGGCGGTAGATATTCAGCAAGCTTTGCAGGGAAAACCGATTGCCAGATGGCACCTGCAATTGTAAGGCCTATAGCACCACCAATAGATGAGAACATTGATAGGATGGCCATGACAACCGCAATATGTTGATGCGATGCAGCAGCCATCGCAGCCATTTGCGACGTAATGATAACAACTCCAGCGGCTATGGAGATGAATACTTGGCACATGATAATATAACCAATGTTCATGTTTGGCTGTCGGAAATGAATCATAAGGCCCATAAACAAAGTGTAGATAGGTATAGCACCATAAAGCGTAAGGGCTTTGAATCGACCGGTGTACCGGATAACTACGCCTGCGGCAATTGCAAACAGGCTACTGCCAAGGCCATAGATTTGGACAACGTAGCTGGCTTCGGTGACAGTTAGGCCATTAACAACCATGAGAAAAGAGCTAAAAAAGCTGTTCCAGCAAAAGAAGCTGATAAAAAGGACCATGCCGAGTGCGCACGCGCCAATCATATTCCGATCAAGGAGCAGCGAGTAAGGGATGAACGTGACGGGGGCAAAGAACCTCTCCCATAATGCAAATGCCACCATAAGAGCAAACCCAAAGACCAGCAAACAAATAATAAGCGGCGATCGCCATCCCAGAGGTTGCAGTGCGTAGAGATTGAATGGCAAAAGGAAAAGAGCCAAGCCAGCGGTTAATAAAAGCAGACCAAAAGCATCGAACTCACGGCAGTAATGGAGGAATAATTGCCAAGGTGCTTTTGTTTGTTGTTGTGTACTAGTGACGAAGCCTTGCTTTTTCGCCTTGAAGTAGTTGAACATCAATATGCCGAATAAAGGGAGACACATAGCAGGCACAATTATAGAAAAAGCACCAAAGCACCAGCGCCAGCCAGGACCATTGAGGAAAGCGCTCGAGATTGGACCGCCAAGCCAGGTAGTGATAATGTTAGGCGACGAAGTTAGGGCCGTCATCAGGCCACGGTTGTGCAATCTCGTTGTGTCGGCGACGAAAATATTCACGGTGTAGAGCAGCGCATTGTTGCCAACTGTCCAGAACACCTGCGCTGCGGCATACATTTCCACATTGGTAGTTGCCGCCATCATAATAAGGCCGATAGTGGTGATGAAAAGGGACATAGCATAGCCTTGAGGCCGGCCGAAGATGTCGAGTATCTTTGCAACAGTCAGGTTGCACACCCCTCCTATGATGCTGGCAAGGATGCCGACTGTAGGCGTGAGTGAATGTTGTTGGAAGGCTGAAGTGACAAAAGGATTCAGCGCTGCCTCGGCACCCTGTTGCATCAAAACAATAAAGTAGACGATCCAGATCAATATGTAGGCGACTATGAGAGAGGTTTTCGACCAAACTATGGCAATGGCCTCGACTCCCTGAACACCAGCCTGAGCATCTTGATGCACAGCAGCCTCTTTATCGCCGTCGTGCGGGGATTTGGTGTCACAGCCAACATCGTTTATTATTGCGGTTTTCTTTTCGTCGACATCTCCTTTGGTATCTGAGGATAAAGCCGGGTGCTGGATTTCACTCATATCTTTGGTATGGAGAGCAATGGGAAACAGTAGTACTGAACCTGAACACAAAAATCAAGCACAAACGAAGGCTGATAAGTAGTAGATGTTACAGCTTCTCTTTTAACGCGTGTTGGGACATAATGCGCGAGCAAAATAGCCAAGATAATAGGTCATTACACATCGATCTAGCTCATAGATGGGATAATTAGATATCTTTTCCAATATTGAATATCAAAGCAGTTAATAATAAATGTTGTATTACGTACTGTTATTAATTGCTTTATGATACTATTGTACAGTATCTTCCTTAACTATGGAGTACATACGAAGGATTCAATTCCTTGGCTTCCTCCCTTGCATATCTAGCCCTTGTCCTACATTGCACCAATAGTAATTAGCTCAATTTAGCTCTCTGAATACGCTTGGTAATTACCTCCATAGAACTACACACATCACAGGTTTTGTATTTTTTTATTCAGTTTTAGCCCTTTTTCATTCCAATACTAGTATTTTACCGCCCACTACTAACAATTACCTCAATTTAACTCCCTCACCAAGTCTGATACTGACTCTGATCAAGATACGAATTTTCTAATCTAGATGTTTAACGCATCAAATTGAAGCAGCTATACGAAGAACTGTACTCTATCTGTTTCCGGGCTATTCCAAAAAGATTCCTGAATTGATCCATGGCATGTGCCGAAATGATGGAGCTTTGAGGGTTTAAGCAATTCGTATTGGTGAAGCTACCTAAAGAAAGCATAGATACACATACCTAGCTACAATAGCGGATGTGTTACTTTTGTATTTGTCAGGTGGTCTGTTTAGCGCATCATAATTCTTCTTATCCAAGTTTGCTTTGCAGCAACTGCAGCGTGAATAAGTGGCACTCTAGGATTATCCATTCCATCGAATAAGTGAAAGGCTCCCGGCCAGATGTGCAATTCGCAAGTTGAACCACATCGCCACATGTTTGTAGCATACAGCACTGCAGGGTCGCGAAATACCTCGCACTCAGCAGCGTCGATGTAGGTTGATGGAAGATTTGCCAGGTCTTCTGCTCGGGAGGGCGATTGATATTGTGATACCTTGTCTGTCCCTCTGTCTTCCCCAAGAACATAGTCCCATGCCATGCGGTTCGACACACCACACCAAGGACTGCCATATTCAAACTGCTGATCCGAGACACTATCGCATCGATCATCAAGCATTGGAGACAGTAGCATCTGGCCCTTGATGGGAATTGCTGGCGATTTTCTGTCCCGGGCCATCAAACATAATGCTGCTGCCAGAGCTCCCCCGCCGGAAACACCCCATATAACAATCTTGGCTGCGTCAATACCAATGGCGGCCGCGTTCTCAGAGGCCCAAACGAGCCCAGTGTAGCAATCTTCTGCAGGCCCCGGGGCCCGAGTCTCTGGTGCAAGGCGATACTCGACTGATATGACAATGCATTCGATACCCTTCAGGATGTCCAATAGTTCAGTAACTCCAGAAAACCGATCCCCAGCAATCATTCCTCCTCCATGTATGTGGTATAACGCCGGCAGGGCCGCCGAAGTTGGCTCCTTTGGTGCAAATACAGATAGAATCACGCTGGTGCCGTTAGGCCCAGGAGCAATATGCTCGGTATGCTTTAGATGCGGTGCTTTTGCAATGATAGCATCTGAATGATAGTTATTTGTTTCGCTATTCTCACTATTAGAGAGACCGCGCATAAGACGAAGATCCACTTCCTCAGGGAGAAGCCATGAATCAATGATGGGCACGAGAGCGGAATCAATAATTGGCCGGGGAATCTTGATTCTCGAATCTAGATCTGCCGCCCGAGAGTAGGGAAATGGATATGGCAATGGGTTTTGGGCCATTTGAAGAAGTTATGAAATTGCTTTGCTGCGCTCGGAATTCTGCTGCCACTCTGCCCTAGATGCTGCCAGGATGGTAGCGGGTGAAAGAACGTTGGGCCACTGGTATAAATAGTTATCCAGCGCTTGGCAGTAGAAAATGTGGGAACCTCGCTATCTTTATGGACCTACAAGACGCCTTGCTGATTCGTGTTGCAGATTTTACCGGGTTATCTGTTACTTATTACGTGTGTTTGAAGTCTTTCGAGAGAATATAACATTGGGCATACAAGAGACTGGTTCCTTGGGCTCTCGGTTAAGTTACAGTTGTATCACGATTTGGCATACATGAAAACACGGGAAATTCAGTCTCGAAAACATTACAGTGACGTGCTAATGAGCCTGTCCATCGCTAATTAGACTTGGCTCATTAGTTACATGTATTTGTTCCAAGGCGTTGTTAGCTGTTCATTAACCCTGAATTTGGATAAACACTAATTTCTCTTTCCCCCCTCTTATTCCAGCTCTTCGAAATTCTTCCTGATCTCCTGTTTGAACCTCTCTACAAAGTCATCATCAAGTACACCGTCCTGCCAACTAAAACCTACTGTCATTGAGCCATCCCCTCCGGTGGCGACACTGGCAGTCATTGCAGCTCCAGTGGCCAAAGAGCTTCGGCTGAGTAGCACTTTTCCTACCTGCCAAAGAGGCGCAACCTTTGTCTCGGCAGTAACTGCAGAAAAGACTCCGACGTTGGTAACTTCAAACGCAGCGTCGCGAGTCTTTCCAACCATTGAACTGAAGATACTAGAGACATCTGGTATAGTTTGAAGCACAGAAACGGATGTGTAAGGTTCTCCAGATGGTGAGACGTCTTCCAGGTAGCATCTAATTCCCTTTGATGCTTGCTGAGCTCCGATCCAGATATTGTGTGTCGAGGTGGGGGCTTGAGAATCTTGATTAGCCCGCGTGAAGCGCACTCTGGTGGCATCAAAGTATGTGCCAATCGCAGCATTGGCACTTTCACCGGATAGTCGGAGCCATGGCCGTAGGTTGACTGGAATGATACATGTGAGTACCTCAACGGTGGGCGGAAGAATACTAAATAAGGCTGTAGCGATGATAGATGATATGACAGATGCTACAGACACCTCGTTTTCCCTGCATTTGCCAAAGAATAATTTGGAAGTGCTCGACGGTAGATGAAGAGACATCCAGCGAGACTTGCAAGGGTAGCGGATAGAGCTGCCCGTCCACTCATTAGAATTTGCCGAGGAGTGGATGGGGGGTTTGGGATTAATCGGAAGAGGATGCAATTCCTCGAGGGCCGGAAGCACTTGAGTATTTTCATGAAATACGACCCCTTTTCCACTTTGGAAACCAGAAGATGAAGACGAAGAAAGAGCCTCTAGCTCGTTGTAGAACGCCCTGTGGAACACCAAGCCAGAGACCCCATCACCAATAGCATGATGATAGATGAATATGGCGGTGAAATCTACATCTATCTTAGAGTTTCTTAGAATAATCAGGCGCCAGAATGGCAAAGAGCCATAGTCGGCTTTGAAGTCGGTGTTGTGCTGATCTTCAAGTATCGCATCAAGTTCTTTGTCTTCACCTTCATCAAGGCTATTCAAAGGTTTTGATCGTGTTATGAACTTGACGCTTCGATTGATATCGATTGAAGGAAGCGAGGCAAAGTAGGCATTGGGAGTGGCTTCATCGACAGGTACGGCAAATAGTATACGGTGCTTGCTAATCACAGCTGCAGCTGCAGTGTAGACGAGATTAGGTATGTCGGAGACAGCTACGGACGATGCCGTCGGAAGTTTGTAGTGGGCCGAGAGACCGACATTGTTGAAAAATCCCAAGTGATGGCAAGATGCGGACACTTGCTCAAGTTTGCCTGTGGTACCTCGTCAGAAGGGTCGTGATATTTCGTTGTGGATAGAACTACCTAATGCCCTTAGGCTTTTTAGCTGCTCAATATTCGTCATTCTAGTCGTGAGTCTGGAAAATGAATTCAGCATGATTAAAATTTTGGTCAATCATCTAAACCATGCAGCAAGAACCGATACATAGATAAATTTCTCAGCATTTTCACATGCGCGAACCCGCAGGCTAGCCTGCTTGGAAATGCATATGCCAATACAGTTTTCTACCTCAAATCTGCTCTAATCCTGGACAATGAATGGTATACCAAGAATCCACTAGTGCTGACTCGTAATAGTATGCCCACCAGCCCCATTCCTTCCAACATTATGACTTGTATGAGACAATACGGTTGAAGAGCTTTGCTGTAGGGACTTTCCGCGCAGACAAGACCTCATGGCAATCCTTCCCTGTAGAACGTGCTGGATTATTATGCTCTTGAAAGGGATATTCATTAGAAATTCAATCGTAGTTACTCTTCGCGTGTCTCCAATATGCATTAGTATGAGCTCCCTTATCTCCAAGCACATATAAACCCTTGTCCCAGTTAAGACCGAGCTTGTCCTACCTACCGCCCACATATTGTTTGACTCGACCTACCCACCAGCTTTGTACTAAATTCCAATACCAAATTATTGGTATATACAATTTCTTGAAGAGCTGATAAAATGTCTTCCAACCAAATGTCTCATATGAATCTCATGGAGGCAAACCCAATAGATGACAACCAAGCAATGACGACCGACAACTCTCTGGCAAGCACCTCGCAAACCGGCAGCAGAGTCCACGAAATATCTCGCCGCATATTAGATATAATTTTTGAGTATGCGCTCAATAAATTTGACGACTCAAAGGAAAGATTGGAGAGGGGTGCGGATAACTTCCTGTCACTCATTGCCAAGTTCGTCGCAACGGAAAAGCGTGTACAAACATGCCTGCCCGCCTTTCCCTTCAAATCTGCAAATAAGATCTACAAGGTCCTCGGAAGCCTGCCAGATAAGGCTGAGGAGCTAGCACTCGGCCGGTTGAATACCATGTGCGCACGTATACAAGAAGTCTACTCGCCAGGAGCCCAAGTCACCATCATATCAGATGGTATTACGTACAATGGTATGTTGCTAGCTCTCAATATTTTCAGTTCAACTTGCATTCATCAGACCTATGGCTAATGCTGCCGCCAAATATCGCATTTTCTAGACCTACTGTGCATATCTGATCAAGATACTTGGGCTTATGGAGAGTCACTACGAGAGATGGCTGCCGAGAAACAGTTTGACTATATTAGTTTTGCTCGAATGAAGGATCTTCTTGATTTCCCTTCACCTGAAAAGATGACCGAGATCATCTACGTCGCTAACTGTACTGCTTTCCGCCGACTACTCCTGAATCAGTACGGCAGAGACGATCTGGATATAGACCACGAAATTGCAACAAATGCGGATACAAAGTTAACATATCTCGGATACAAGAGATTTTTGGAATCTGATTTGAAGCATATATTCCCTTGTGGCACTAATCGAACTGCAAACAAATATAAACGAGATTGTAAATATCTTGCTAAGCAGATGTTGATTCGAGGAGATGTAAGTGAAGAGGCTATCGTCTCTGATACGCGTCATGTCTAATGAATTAATGACTATTAGGCTTTCGGACGCGCAATCATGAATGCTTTCCCCAATTACTTGCGACTTTCTATTCATGAGTCAACAGGGTTGAACAAGCTTTCTATCTGCTTACTCAACACCAAGACTGGTTACACGACTCCATGGCATTGTAGTGTCGCTCAATTAGCCGATGGAGAGTGGATTAGCGCACCCATGGCTGAATTTAGCAAAGATGCTAGATTTGAGCTCATGTACGAAGACGGCCAGCCCAGCCACTTCAAACAGAAGCCTTGTGGACAAGATGCACTCGGCATCGGAGAGATGGCATCAGGCTACCTCCAAGAAGCCACACCACGCAGCGCTAGTGAATATTTCAGCGAAGCATCTACACCCTCTCTGGCTTCACCCAATCCGATCTCACAGAGCAACTCTCCTGTGTTCTCGCCGCGCAAGACTATGGCAGCTAGTGGAAGCATTACAGCAGAGTCCTCTTCGCCCCCTAGCCCTGCATCGAGTGGCGTGGAAGAATCGATCATTATCACGTTATCGAAAGATATCCATAGCTCTGCCCAAATCCCGTATGGCAAAAGACTCCTTCCTCAGATTATAGATAGGCTAGCAGCTGTTGAGCCAGAGCGTGTTGTGTTTTCGCTAGCATCACTCTCGGGTGATTCGCTGAAATTTGACGGAATTTCTGCCCGGGTGTTCAGCAAGGCTATTGACAAAACTGCCTGGTTGCTTAGTAGTCTGGTTGGAAAGCCTGACTCTATCCAACCTGTCGGCTACATCGGTCCACGTAAGTTGAGCTGTTTACTATTGACAACGTTTACCGTGAAGTGTTGGCACTGATTATACGGCTTGCAAAGATGATTTACGATACGTGCTGTTAACCTATGCATGTGTTAAAGTTGGATATGCGGTAAGTATCTTAACACCTTGCATAAATTCACCATCATTCTATAGTTTGCTGATTGAAACAATGTTGCTGCTAAAGGCCATGTTTCTCTCGCCTAAAAACAACTCGGAAGGGGCACTGGCGGTCCTTGAAGCAGTTAAATGCAGTATCTGGGTCAACGTCAGCGATGTGCCCCCCGTTCCATTAGTTAAAGAGATGCTTCAGAAACGCCCAATGAACGTTCTGCAACTCCCTTCACTCCAAGAGTTGCTTGACATCGCTGATGTTCAACATTTCCCGTATACAAAGACGTTTAATGAAGCCATGAATGACCCTTTCTGCTACCTACATACTTCTGGAAGTACGGGAGTGCCCAAGCCTATCCCTTGGTCGCATGGTTTGATCGGCACAATGGATGCGGTGAGATTGCTACCTCCTGTCAAGGACTATGACGATTTACTCCCGTGGACATCGGACTGGGAGTCAGGCAATACGATATACTCGTCATTTCCAATGAGCCATGTATGTTAATTCACCTTACTCTGGTGTGGCGGATTTTTTGCTGACTACAATGACTATAGGGTGCCGGCATTATTATGGATATTCTGATGCCCGCTCTCTTTGACCTACACTGCATCTTGGGCCCCGCTGGTGTTCTTCCCAATGTCAATCTTGTAGAAACTCTCGCGGAGAATGCCAAGATTGACATCTGGAGCATGGTGCCGTCTCTTGTTGATGAATTGGGCGAAACGCCTGAAGTTCTTGCCAAGCTTAGCCAATCCAAATTCATTTGCGCATCCGGTGGGCCTGTGAGCCCAATAAGCGCTGCAAAAGTCAACCAGACAATCAGAGTTCTGAATCTGACAGGCACAACGGAAGGTCTTTTTATCGGCAACCTTGTAACAGCAAGGGAAGATTGGTTCTGGTTCTGCTTCCATCCGTACTCTGGTTTCGAATTTAGAGAAATCGAAGAGAATACGTATGAGCATTGGGTTCATCGAAACGAGCACTGGCCTCTCTTTCAAGGCATCTTCCATACATTCCCAGATAAACAATCGATCAACCTTAAGGATTTATATATTAGGCATCCTACTAAACCTAATCTATGGGCTTTTAAAGGAAGAAGCGACGATCTTATTGTTCTATCAAATGGGTATAAGATAACACCGTTGGAGACGGAAGCTTACATCGCTACCCACCCTGCTATTGAAAGCTGCCTAATCTTCGGAACTGGGAAGCCCCAGGCTGGTGTACTGATCGAATTGAAAGAATCCTCAAAGAAAACCGAGGAACTGCTTGATAGTATCTGGGAAACAGTTAAGAAGGCCAATTCCATCTCTCGACATAAAGATCAGCTTCTCAGAGATTTCGTCACTTTTGCGGAACCCAACAAGCCCTTCATTCGTACAGATAAGGGTACTGTAAAAAGATCTGCAACCCTGGCACTCTACAATGACTACATTGAGCGTTTTTATAGCTCACGGAACGACGATCTTTGCTATAGTGACCCAATTGATACCAGCTCAACGGAGTCAATTCAAGGGGGTATTCGTGAGATCCTCGCCTCTTCCCTTCCCGTAATTCGAACGGCATCTCCGGATACAAGCTTGTTTGATCTTGGGATGGACTCTCTTGGTGTTTTTGCCGCCGTCAGGGCAATCAGGGCAGCTACAGGACTGGAAGAACAGATTGCTCCTCGTCATGTCTACGCCAACCCCACAATTGCCAGTCTATCTCTATTTATTCTACGCCTGGCTGCCGAAGAGACGAGCACAACGGAAACGAGTCTACCCAATGACTCTGTTAACGATGAAGTGTCACAGATGAAGAGTACCATTGCTCAGCACAGAGCACGGCAATCATTTAGGCTGAATGCATTCGATTATGTCAATCCTAACCACGGAATGGGTTTAGTCTTCTACTTTCCCCTGCGAAAAGATGTTAGCTACGGTGACGTATTCGCCAACTTACAGGAGGGTCTCAATCGTACATTCGATTTAATTCCAGCACTAAGCGGTAAAATGATGAATTCCTCGGAGCAAGAGATTGGCTATGTCAAAGGAAATCTCTGCGTTACAATTCCTCCTCTCTCTATGGCATCTTCCGCGCAAAATCGTTTGGTCTATAAGGATCTCTCTAAGATTCTTCCGTCATTCGACGAGTTGCGAGACGCAGGCTTCCCACCATCTGCCTTTAAAGACAGTCTCGTCTTGCGAGATGATCCATTCCCGAAGATGCCCGCCGATATTTTTGTCGGCCAGGCCAACTTCATCTCCGGCGGCTGTATTCTAGCGGTTGACTTGAATCATTGCTGCCTTGATGGAGTTGGTGCAATTATTGCTATCAAGGCTTGGGCCGAAAACTGTAGATATTTGCAAGGGGATAAGTCTGCAACTTGTCGATGGTACGACCCCGAGAGCTTCAACCACAGCTTGCCAGAGATTATCCACCAGCAAGAGGGCCGGGCCCGACCACTGCATGAAATCGACCCTGGTACATGGGGCTTTCTACCATTTGCTCCCCCGGATACTCAGACAGGTGTTCTGCCTGCGAAGAAGACAATGATGACGACCGAGGATAATCATCTCGTTTCAACCCAGGGTCCAAAGGAAATAGCTCTCCCGCCTCGTCTCACTTTCCCGCTTCATCCTATTTGGCCACTGCCACGTGCTGAGAGGAGCCTGAAGACGACCTTGTTTTTGATTACTCCTGAAAAATTAGAGAAGATGAAGCAGGACGTTGCAGCTGATATCAGGGCTGGAGAGACACCATCATCTATTAGCGATATTGTGCAAGCATTTTTCTGGCGCGCCGCCATCAGAGCAAGATATCGCGTGGCCAGAGAAATCCGCAAACAGACTTTCGGACCAGATGATATCTCAATCCTCGAGTTGCCCACTGACGGCCGCCCATATTTTTCGTCTCTACTACCTTCAACATACATGGGCAGCTTACTCATCCTAAATCGATCTAGCATGTCTATTGAATCACTTTGCTCCCCGAAGACAAGCATAGGAGACGTTGCGTGCTTGCTCCGTCAATCTGCTAGGCGTATTACACCCTCGCTCATCCATGATGCCTTCTCAATCCTGCAGTCACTTCCAGACCATACGAGGTTCTCAACTGCCAATATGGGCCTTGAGCATATGCACGCCATGATCTCCAACATGATGCTATTCCAGACCAGCGAGATCAGATTTGGAGACAAATTCTTCGCCAACGGAGGTTCCCCCGAGTCTTTGAGACCTCAGCTTGAGCGTGGAAACGGCCGTTTTAGATTTCTGGTCATTTTTCCAATGAAGAAGGATGGAGGCGTGGAGCTTGTCATGGGCACTCATCCCGAGGAGCTGGAAATGTTGATGACCGATGAGGAGTTTACAAAGTATGCAAGCTTAATAGGCTGTAGCCAATAACTGACGCAGTGAGTTTATCTCTTAGAGGCAGCTTATTGATATACCTATTCGTATTTACTTCAAACCGAAATTTCACAATGTAAGCACTGTTTTCTAAACACCAAAAATGACATATTCAGCATTGGCCCAGATACCGAGGTACTGCTTAATGCAATATGTCAAATCTATCATTGCAACTCCCTATATTCGAAGAGACCTATATTCGAAGAGAACATGTCCACAACTATATATAGTGTTTCAATGCCAAAAGATACTTAGCCTTTAAACGCTTTTAATAAGTCAATAAGTTGCTATTACTGTTGTCAACATATGATCATACATATGTGCGAATATTTCTCTGTGATTCACGAAATGAGGCCTTCAAATTGGAAACGTGGAAATTCTTTGTACAATATTACTTAATTTATGAATATTTCTAAGTAGAATATTTTCGATTACTTTAATACGCATACTCTAGTCCCTACATCCCTACATAACGAATTACGCTATACTGTTGGTCCCCTGGGGGTGAGCAAGTTATTATGGACTAACAAAAGATGAGCAAGTTTTCACTGTTAACTTGCTCGACAGGGATTATTAACGCATGCCATTCACATGCGTCGATTTCAAATAATGACTCATTCCTTTTTAGTAATTAATATTCTATCCTTTTGACACGTGTTAGCTGAGAAATAGCATTGCATGTAGTGACTACTATATCTTTAGTATCCTGGGCAGAGTCTCATCTGTATGCTAAGAGTCATCCCCTTTAAACTTCAAGCCGGCAAAGGCAAGTCATGAGGTCATCATCTCCCGCTTCCATCATCCGGCAACCTCAAACTAAGCCCCAAAATGCCCTTTTCAATGACGAAAATGTGAACCTCCTCGATAGCTTCCGCGACAGCAATGACAATAACAATCTCAACGACATTTATGACAATGAAGAATCCACCGCACATTCCGATATACATTCCAATATCAAGGATAATGAGACCGTGATTGTACCATGGACATCAAAGACCTTGATCTTCGCCTATATCATGATATGGTTCACATACTTCGTCGAGGGCATTCTATCCGCTACCACTGGAATTTTGACTCCCTACGTCACGTCTGACTTTGCCTCGCATTCGCTCACACCTACCGTCAACATCCTGAGCAGTGTGATTGGAGGTGTCACCAACCTTACTCTCGCCAAGATCCTTGACATCTTCGGTCGGGCATACGGATATCTATTCTGCATCATTCTCGCAACGAGTGGTCTTGTTATGATGAGTACTTGCAACAGTATTCAAGCCTATGCTATTGCTCAAGTCTTTCAGACGATTGGGAACAATGGCATTCTGTATAGCCTGACTGTGTTTGTCGCCGACAATTCTTCAATGCGCAATCGAGGTCTGATACAAGCCGTCGTTAGCTCACCCAATCTTATCACACCCTGGCTAGCTGGTCCTTTATCGTCAAGATTTATGAATGGGCCCGGCTGGCGATGGGTATTTGGCTTGTTTGTGATTCTCGTGCCGTCTATTACTCTCCCGCTTTTCTGCCTTTTGTTTAGCAGTTATCTCAAAGCCAAAAAAATAAGCATGATTCACCAAAGGGATAACGAGAACGATGGTGGCCACACTATTCTGCAGTCTTTATTCTACTATTCACGGCAGTTCGACGCCATAGGACTTGGTCTACTCTCAGCAGGTGTTACACTTCTCCTCGCATCACTCAACCTGTACGCATTGCAAGGATGGGACTTGCTATATATTTTTGCATTGTCAATCACTGGCAGTCTCTTCCTCATTTCTTTCGTGTTATGGGAGAGATATTACGCTTCTACCACCTTCGTGTCCTATTCGCTTTTTCTTGATCGTACCATTTTGGGCGCTTGCATCCTATCCACTACCTTATTTATTAGCTTTTGGTGTTGGAATAGCTTCTTCAGCTCGTATCTACAAGTTGTGAACGATCTCAGCATTGAAAATGCCAACTATGTGGTGCAGCTGTATACTGTCTTTGCAGTTGTCTGCGCCATCGCTGTTGGCGCCTTAATCCATTACACTGGCCACTTTAAGTCAGTATGCCTTTATGTAGGAGTTCCCCTAAGTCTCCTGAGTTTAGGTTCCATGGTATACCACTGCAATAACGAAAGTAGTATCGGGTATATCATCATGTCTCAAATTTTTGTTTCTATTGCAGCAGGGATCATCATGATTTGCGATGAGGTTGCAATCTTAGCCGCTGCTTCTAACCACGAGGTTGCTGTTTGTCTAGCTGTGTTAGGATTGTTTGGTAATATTGGCGGTGCTGTTGGCCTGACTATTGCATCAGCAATTTGGCAAAACGTCTTCCGCAGGAAGCTAATCGAATTAATTCCTGCTGAAGAGCTTCCAAATCTGGCCAAAATCTATTCGGATATATCTACCCAGCTATCATATCCAGTCGGTTCTGCGACTCGCATTGGCGTTCAACATGCTTACGAATATACTCAAGGAAAACTGTTGGTCGCAGCTATGGTGGTGTGGGCTGGGGGCTTCATTGGGGTTGCTATGTGGAGAAATATTAACGTAATTCATATAAAAGAACATACAACCCATAATTTGTAATGAATTGCATAGTAACTAGAGTCGCGATACTTATTCGCCGAGGCTCTGGCTACTTGGATTGTCGCCTTTGCATTTAAAGAGGCCATTCAGATGGCTTCCATGGCATTCTAAGAATTACTAAGAGGGTTTATATGTATGAACTGCTATTCTTCGTATTTTCTAAGGATTGTTTGAACAAATTCGATATATCTTCCCCACACTACCCTTGCTCCAAGCACGGAACCATCCGGAGAATAAACTCACGAAAGTCAACCAACAGCAAATGTAGCTCATAGATCCACATTACCCCCATGCTGATGCATTAGTCTTATCTGTTTGCATGTAGAGCTATCACGTATCTCAAAGATTATGTAGATTGCTTTATAGATAGCTAGGAAACATATCCTGTGCGACTTATGGCGTTTGTGAGGCTAACCGGAATGAAGTTGCTAATAGTAGACATGTGCAATCGTTCATCTATTACGCGGCGCAACTTTCAGCATTTGCCTTGCCGGCCTGCTGAGAAATTACGGGTACGCAGTAAAGTAGTCACAAACAGCCGGCACAATCGTGTAAATGGTTGTAATTGCTTCATTTCTGGAGATACCCTTAACACATCTTCAACCTTGGAACTCTCGAGCACGGTCAATATCCCTTGATACCTCAACGTTAAGCTTCTTTGTGTAAGACAGTGATTTATTTACCAGTAGAACCAAGATCGGGAGGCGATAAGTAGCATCATGATGAGTTACGATCACTGTAGTCCTTGGGGAAAACGCCGAGTCCTACATGTTGCTTGTAGATAAGACACTATACACAATACATAAATAACGTCTTTAGGGGGTAATGAGGTCTGCAAATCGTTAGAGACCCCCTCATATCGTAGCACCTATGAGAAAGAAAATACTCTTTGACGTTACCAGAAAATTAGACATTGCAAAAAATAGATAGAGCATACTGGCCGTATAAGTACAACCACCGTACCTTTGCGTACAACACTCTCGTCTATTAGCTCCAGTGTAGTCAATGAAGTCATATTGCTAAAACGTTTTTTTTTTTTTTTTGGCGGTGAATTGGCATAGATGTTGAATCCCTCATTACTTAGTTTGTAGCGAATATGCGAGAGCAGGTCGTAAGTCCCTGATGCCCTACGATCCTCGCACCTTTCCACAAAGGGGCCCAAGCGCCCATGATGGCGGTAATACCGGTGCAGAGAATCATGGGCCCGTATTTGGTAGCGTAGCCCAGCGGCTCCTCTGTCATAGCTTCCTTTATAGACAGAAGTGAGCCACTAATGGGACCACCGAGTAGGTATCCAAGCCCTCGACCTCCTAAAAGAAGACCAAAGACAAGAGAGGTCTCCGCAGTGCGATCATCTCTCTTAATTTCATGCAGCATACTGGACCAAGTCGAGCTAAAACCCCCAGCAAAGAAGCCATACAATATAACGAAAGCCACCATGGTACTAATTTGGCGACCAAGCCCCCAGAGAAGGAAAACAGGAACGGCGCTGCCAAGAGATGAAAGGAGGATCACTTTCGTCGCCGATAGTTTATCGCCCAGCCAGCCATGAATTAATGATCCGGGCACTGAAGCCATAGAGAATAATGCAAGCAAAATGGGACCCGTGACAGATGAGAGGCCAATAGCTGAAGCGTAGCTGGCCAAATATGTACTTGGCATGAGATAGCCGAGAGATTGAATGACGATTCCAAATTGCATCATCCAAAACGAACTGTGGCGGAGAAACGTGAATGAAAGGGGTCGCGAGCGAGACACAGAAGGCAATGGAATGCGCGGCCTAAGAAAGACGAGGGTTGGTGCTATCATGATTGCAGAAGCTACAGCCCACGAAAGGATCGTTGCGCGAAGTCCAAAGCGTCGCAATAAGCTGCTAAAAATGAAAGGCATGGCCACACCTACTGATGATTTGCCAGACCACATAATTCCATAGGCGAGGCCTTTCCGTTGAATGAACCACTCATCCATATAGAGCGAAATGGGACTGAAGAGAAGACCGCAGCCAACGGAATACAGTGCGCCTTGCGTCGCGATCAAACCCACGATATTGCTGACGAAAGCTGAAGCAGATAGGCTTGTCACTGTGATTAAAAGTCCGACAGGGCCGCACCAGCGTCGAAGATATGGGTATTTGTTCAGTATCACGAATATGACAGGCATCATGAGATACATGATGCCCATTTGCATCGACCCCACAGTGGCGATGGCCCCAGCAGAAGCATCTATGCCGTGCATGGGATCACTGTAGTACTCCTGGAAGATGCCAAACGATACAGAGTATCCTGTCATATCAGATCAGCATCTATCGTGATAGATCAATTAGAAGCTGAAGAGCTACCCCAGATGGGAGCTTGTGCAATGGTGCAACATGCGAGAGAGAGATATGCTCCGCGACCGTGGTCAGCTGGGGGTAATGTTTGCGCATTTTGTATTCGATCTTCGGAATTCTCTTCGTTGCCGTGTGTATTTATAAAGATACCACTCAACTCATTTTCTTCCTGGGCAATAGGGTAGGCCATTTTGTTCGGCCACAGTAAACACGGACTGTAACGGCTGGCGGTGATCTTTCTCTCTCCCTAAGAAAAGTATAAGGCTCGCATATCTACCTCGTTTATATGTTGGTGTACTTAAGAAGAATGCTCTTTGATCTACAGAGCCACGTGCGTCACCGGTCCGACATCGCAGGTTGGGTCCTGGCTGTGAAGGGCGCGGCGAGTGATTAATAAAGCCGCACCACTGTATACTAATAGTGACTACTACCTTGCCGAGTTGCTGCAAAACTTGAAACTAAAACTCATAGTATCTGAAAATCCGGTGATTTGACGAATAGAGAGCTTCACACGGCACACGACCACTTGCCTAAAGCAGATGCTTCACAAGTTTAGAGATGAACTTCTCCAAATGCAGTGACTCCGCGCGACTGGAATTGATCTTGTGTCTTTGGCTACGTCCGGGGAAACTCCGTTTGTCAAGCGTTGATTTCCCTCGGAGGATTAACTCCAAATCCCTGTCTTAACACCACCACATTGTTGTTGTTGTTGCTTCGACGTTACATGTGCTTCGTAAAAGAGTCGCTGCGAGTGGGTGTGGCCAGACTCACTAACAACCGCGTTTTATGCATGTGTGCCCAATGCTTCTACATATACGGGGTTAATTTCACCTAGATTTGCATGGTTACATTTACTGTAGTATTCATTAAGCTGTGGTGCGCGGCTCGCAACTTCTTGCCGACAAGGCGGCTCCGTGTCTTGTCGCCTGAACTGCTTTTGTCGAATAGCTGCAATGGCCTCAATGTCAGCCCTCGCTCCACGTCCAATCATACGTGACGTTGTAGGCAATTTATACCCATTTGGCGAGCTGCATTGCTGTAGCGGCAATGACAACAGTATCATCAGCAGCTTGGATTTCTCCTACTGTACGCCCGCTACCCCCCTTAATTACAACGCCGCCTCTTCTATGGAAAGCCCCTGTATTAGCATACCAACATAGTATTATCAAATGCTGGTAGACGATGATGTCAGGCAACTTATTATAGTACCGTGACCGTTGTATTTCTTACTCCGTACTCCGTGAATAGGCACTTCATCCCCACAACAGACAGGCTTTGTGCCGTAGCCAGCATTTCGGGAGCTAACGCGTGTGTCAGTCGTTGGCCGAAGCTACTGCTGCTTACATGCACATGTCAAGGTTCTAGATCTAGCGGTGACTGGTCCAAATCCCAGGGCTAATTTAGATCTGCCTGCACCAGCACTCGCTTGCTGGGGCTGCGTAAGTTTTTCCCAAAATGTATTTTCATGCGATCTGGCACAGAGATGTCGCTAGCTAATGATGCCATTGTTACCACATGAGCTCCGTACAGTTATCAGTCTTGCTACGCACTTACCGTGTTATCCCCGCCATCGTCGCATGCGCATGCGGGAATGCCGCCTCCTAATTCGACATTGAACGACAACACATGGCGGCTGACGGCGTTATTGAGAGCCTTGTAGCGGCGGCCTTGAGTCCGAGCGAATATAATTCCATATGGAGTAGGTATGAGAGGGCTATGTCTAGGGGGCAAGGGGGTCTGTGATGTTTCAACCTCCTTTTACAAGACCGACGGCTCTGCACTATTTGTGGAGTGAAGAGAGTAACACCAAAGTGTCATCCGAGGATGGCGAAGGTTCAATACTCGTGATTATTCAACAAATTCGCGTGTACTCCGTACTTTTGTCCAGAATGAAGCAAGAACGCTTACCAACATTTCGGCACATATGCTACCAGTGTAAGCAGTCTTATTAGTTTACGCACGGGGCAGTAACGCCAATTTTGAAGACAAAATAAATGCAATTAGCCAATATGATTTTAAGCAGCTAACACTGGTGTTAGTGGATGGCCGGCCGCTGTAAGCTTATAGCAAAATGGTTGAAATTTGCCCTAAATTCATTCAGAGTCGGCATCTTGAGAAATCCAGTAGCCGATCGGGTCAATTCGGTCTCGACCAAAGATCGATCTGCGGGCGTCTCGGAGGTGGAATAATAAGGAGACACGGCCTTGGGAGCGAAATTGACAAATATCGGTCAACCACTGAGTGTCATTTTTTATGATAGTTGTATTTCATAATCCAAGAGCGCATTTACCGCACCATCCGAATACCTACGAAATACAAACGTCATGAGAGGTCCACGAAGCGGGATGAGACATGTTGAACATCTGCTTTCCCGGACGGCTCGTCAGGTATCAACGATGCCAGCTCCCCAGATCAAATCAGCTGCGGAAGCAGCGTCTCATTTGATGGAACACTTCGCGCACAAAGTCACCAAGCGTAGCCAATACATCGACCCGAATCAAATACAGAAGCTTGCAATAATGCTCGGTCGACCAGTCCTCAACGGCCACGACACACGCCGGATGAATGCGCCCGCGGGCACACCAATCCCCCCTGCTCATCACCTTGTTTATTTCACGCCTGACGATCTCGAAGCTCAACTTGGTGCTGACGGGAGTGACCGGACGTTCAACGCGCCTGCCCCTTTTACAAGGAGGATGTGGGCAGGTGGTAATATGAAGTTTGATAAAAGTAACCCCCTGAGAGTCGGGGAGGAGGCGGAAGAGCACACAAAGCTGATCAGTGCGGTGGCGAAGACGAGTAGATCTGCTGGTGAGATGGTACTCGTTGAAGTAGAAAAAAAGATGTATGGATCACAAGGATTGGCATTGGTTGATACACGGTCATGGGTGTTTCGTCCAGTGCTACACTCCAATTCTCGAGAGGGTGTAGCGCTTAGGAGCGTCAACGGTAACATCCTAGCCCCGTCTTCTATTTCTGATGTAATAAATGATAGTACCGGTGAGTATTCCACGTACTTGTCAAGGCTGGGTTTATACGACGCCTGCTTCGGCTAATCCCCTGATTACAGTTTTTCCTGTACGCAAACTGTCGTGGTCGCCTGTTGGCCTTTTCCGATTCTCGGCTTTGACATTTAATGGTCACAAGATTCATTACAATGAGGATTGGACTCGAACTGCCGAGGGTCACCCTGGCGTTGTGGTACATGGGCCTCTCAATGTGATTAACTTGCTAGACTACTGGAGAGACGTTCATGGAAGCGGCACAGGGCCCGATGAAATCAGTTATAGGGCCATGTCACCAGTCTATGCTGGTGAGGAGTATCAGATACGAACTTTGGACATACTGGAGGCTACTGACAGCAAAATATTTGAAGTGGTAGCAGAGAAGGATGGAATTGTCATCATGAAGGCCTCGATTATCAAAAAGACATAGACACACCAGTTCACTTCACTTGAAAAGCTGCTCAAAATTGAAACATTTTGACACATTGAATTATATACAGGTGAATTTAGTAGAGTATTGTAATTTCAGGTAGTTCTACACTTGCTTCTCCTTTTAGTCTATGGTACTCTGGCTCAAAGTATGCCGTATTTTCAACCAAGATGTGCTTTATACCGTTAGGCCACAATGTCACGTTGACAGTGGGCCATGTTCCAAGTGGGAATCCGCCGGACCTAATCCCTCTAAGCCTCAGAGCTTATTAGCTAACGAAATGCTTTGTGGAGACCTTCGTGACAAAGCCTATACTTTTTGAGGCCGGAATATTCGGTAGAATGTACTCCGTGTCCGGTAAGGTGGCATCTGATCTTACGCTGGAAGTCGGCTACTTGCATGTTCGAGGGCCACCTTGAACCAGAAACTCTTCTATACGGAAAGGTATCAGAAATTGGCTTCAACGAACAAAACTTTTTCCAATCATTTTCCATGAGCATTTTGTTGATTCAAAAACAAGTTAAAAGCGACTAGTTCTTCGTCAACAATAACTAAATTTCATCAGGAGCTCCAATGAGCTTCTGTCAGGCTACGATGATCCGGGCGGGGGTCCTGACTCGACTACCAAAGGTCTGGTATCACAACTCAACTAGCTTCTCTCCTTTTTGCGCAGAATTTGATTGGGGACTCAGTAACTAAGATTGCCCTTGCAATAGGCCAATAATGCTCGGCCCTCACCTGCGAAGCAGCTGAGACGTCTTACCTTACATGGCTATCAGACGCAAGACATACTCAGAGCTGTGCGTTGGCTATGCCCAAGGTGATTACTAAACGCTTACAAGAAAATGTTAGCACAAAATTCCAGTCCCTCGCGGAATCTTGGTGCGGACACCTCTTGAAGCTCAGGACGCAGTGAAGAGTTTGGGTAAGAACTGCATTTTTCGAGCTCAAGTTCTATGTGGGCACTCGGGTAAACTCCTTTTTGAGGATGGCCTGAGAGGGGGGATCCAGACAGTCGAGAATCTAGAACAAGGACTGGATCTGGCTACGAGAATGCTCAACCGCCAGGTCACTTCGGAAAATATCCACCACCGGTCCTTGACCGTGAACCAAGTTCTGGTCTCCGAAAGCCTGGTCCATGAAGATCAGTGGCACTTGGTCATGACAATTGACAGAGAGAATTACTGCCCAGTGGTTATTATTTCCAAATATAACGATAGTGCCAGTCAGGATGAGCAGATGCCTCAAAATGTTTCTGAAAAGGAGTTTTCATTCACCTTTAGCTTCTCCCAAGGCATCACCGAGGATCTGGTCTCAAGAATATCCACATCGCTCGGCGTTGGAAGAGAGGAGATGACAAACCTCGCGGATGTTCTTACCAACTTGTACAAAATATTCCGAGAAAAGGACGCCACGCTGCTGGAAATCAGCCCTCTGGCGCGACTGAGCACTGGACTCTTCGCATGTCTCGATGCCACACTTGTGGTGGACGATGATGCAGCAAAGCGGCAGCCAGACATATTCCGCCTACGCGATACGACCCAGGAGGTGCACGATGAGGTCAGGGCAGAACAGCACAGCCTGGTGTATATTAAAATGGACGGCAACATTGGAAACATTGTCAACGGAGCAGGCCTGGCGATGGTAACGAACGATGCCATTGGGCTTCACGGCGGGGCTAGTGCTAATTTCTTAGACGCCGGGGGTCAGGCGACCAAGGAGACGATGATACAAGCTCTCGGAATCGTCATGGGAGATGAGCGGGTAAAAGCGATATTGATTAACATCTATGGAGGTGTGCTTGGAGACGCCCATGTTATCAGAAGCTGAACTGACACTGTGAAGGAATCACTAGGTGCGACATGATTGCCGAATCCATCATTGGAGCCGCGCAGGAGATGACCCTGGCCGTCCCACTTGTCGTGCGGCTTCAGGGAACTAACTCGACGGAAGGATTGAAGCTGGTGAGTACAAGAACCAGCAGATTGGTCCTGGCGGATATGCTATACCCCCTTGTTTCACCGCACTTTTGTGACAAATGACTAACTCATAGCGCATTATGACAGCTCGCAGATGCTAGGCTTGGGCTCCATGTCGAATCGGATTTTGGGCGTGCGGCACAGCGAGCTGTTGAGCTGGCTCAGCCGTAGCCAGAGAAGGGTTGACGACAAGCCAGGGGTAAGCAAACTACAGGTAGTACTGGACGGCTCAGCCCTCGTACACGTACAGCCTTTCAGCAATGAGGCATGCTACCTGTACAGGTATGCTGCCAAGTGCCTGTAGCGCGATTTACAAGGGACGCGCTCATAGCGGACGGGAGCCCCGTGCTTCGTATAACAAGTGAAACTCATCTCAAAATGGTCTCTGAAAATCCCCACAGCGGCGGTGGGGAGTAGCCGGATCGGCCGAAAGCTGAGATGGTATTTCCGTACAGAGGGTTGTTCATGTACTAAGTCTCGTAGCCTCCTCCTACTGCTAGCGGTTGTTCTTCGGACACTATCAACATCCAATTTATTGATCCATTTTGACTATGGGATCCTAAAAGTAAAACGGGTATGAGAGGGGGGTGCGAAGGGGGAAAGGGTGTTGCTGACTGGCTCCAAAATGCCCCCGCTGCTGAGCTCGGGCAAACGACATGGACTATGAACACGTTTGTCCTCGCTGGCATAAGAGAGATTCGGTATATTATTGCGGAGGACTCTTCTCGAACCGAGTTTTCCTTCCCCTCTTCGTTAGAGTTTCCTCATAGCCTGGCCATCTGGTGGTGATTTTTGACTTGGAAAAATAAAATCGTCTTTGTTGTCATGGCTAGCACGGAAAAAGACCCAGCTGCGATTGAGCACGCAAAGACTCTCACCCACATCCCGTGGTGTGAAGATTACGAAAAGATGATATCAGGGATGCTGTAAATCCTCCCGCCTCCTTTGCATCCGCCTAGTCATACGCGGATTTTTAATCTCTGCCTTATAGTTACAATTCTCAAGCTCCGGAGCTCATCGAGGGAAGATTTCGGGCTCGGAGACTTATGCACAAATACAACAGCTATTTCCCCGACGACGCCACGAATGACACTCTAGTGGCCGAAAGGGAGAAGATCTTGAATGAGATGCTAGGCAAGATCGGAACGAACCCCTTCATCGAGACGCCCTTCAACATCGACTACGGGTGTAACACATCGATTGGAGACAACTTTTATGCCAACTTCAAGTACGTCAAACGAATGCTAGTGCTTTGCTGCTGGGTGCTGACTATAGCTTGTGCTTGTGCGACTTCAGCCTGGTGATTCTTGACTGCGGAATGGTCACAATCGGCAACCGCGTTCTATTCGGTCCCAATGTGTCAATATTTGGCGCAACACACGAGACCGGAGTGCAATCTCGTCGCAGCGGAATCGAATACGGCGGCAGCGTCACTATCGGGGACGATTGTTGGATCGGAGGCAACACCACCATCATGCCGGGCTTGACGATTGGAAAGGGGTGCACAATAGGGGCAGGCAGCGTCGTTACCAAGTCGATCCCCGACTTTTCTGTTGCAGTTGGTTCGCCAGCCAAGGTTATCAAGAAAGTTGATCCGGTCCCAGATTTATGAAGACTCGAAATCGAAAAAAAAAAAAAGATATAGACTGCATATGATAGAGACGACATATTAACGAGGCAATGAATACTCACATTTAACACGATTTACAAATTACGTTTTTTTTGCATCTCCCGAAGCACCCTCTTTGCTCAACGCCCACTTCCTTCATGCCTCATGTATATACTACAACAGATACTGCAAATCATAAAACTCAACAGGAAGCCGATTCGTGCCGACCGATACCGACCGACTTTCCGCTACTACAGCTTCAACTTTCTAAAAGGCCTTGCCATTAGCCATCGCCTTCCAGAGATTGTCAGCACATAGATGAGCAACCAGAGCTTCCCTGGCAACGGCGGATCTGAAGCCCTGCCGAATACGATATAGAAACGAGGGGAAATGAAGACACTGAAAATACCATGCCGATTGATCGTTTCGAACATTGTGTTGCTGACGCCTCGCATGACGGCCGCCAAAGTATCACAGCTAGATAAACAGCGCTCGGTTGGTCCTGTCTAAAAGACACTGTCATCGAAGACGGTATTGACAGGAAAGATGAGGTGTTGGTATTACGGTACTATAGATAGTACAATGAACTAATGTGCTCGTAGAAAGTTGGGCAGAAAGTTGGGCCGTGCCCTCTCAAGTCGAAAACAAATACACGAATGACAACAAACTAATCGCAAGAAATCTCTCAAATCGGCGTTCCACGACAAAATACCTTGATATATAGCATCGTAGTCGATTCTTCTCTACTGATAGTCAACTGACCGCCCCTGGTTGTAGGATTGCTGTAGGAAGTAGTAAACATGCCGAAGACCACTAGTCGCCAGGGAACAAAGAGAGAGATAGTGCAGACGGAGGAGCATCCATGTTTCTAAAGAAATATCTCGCAAGACCATGCTCTGGAAGTTGATATGTCACCTTGTCACATCGCACTGAGGCTGTTGGCTTCAAGGGAAAGAGACAATGGTGCTAGGCTGCTCCTAATGCCGAGGTCGCGTCAAACGCCTCGGCGACCCAAAAGGCCCTAATCCTCCCCCCTCGCTCTACTTCCGTGGTGGGAATGAAGAATATTCTAGGGGTATCGCTGATGCCATTCCAAAGTTTATAACGTGGGGGTTGACCAATTCTCGTGAGCCGAGCTATGTGTTGATTTCTATGTGTCAGTGTTGAGTAAACGGAGTTAACCGACAATGCAGGTTTTCTTATATAATCTGCATATACATCTTGCAAGCAGCAATAAGACTATGAGACTCAATGATTCTACCTGTTGCAAATACAGGGTCATCAGGATGAGCAATGGATACATCGATTCAAGCTATAAGCTGTGGATGGCAGCTAGCAAAATCTCATCCTCAAGGAATGGCAGCCATTTATCACTCTGTATTCGTACTGTATCCTTGGAATGATGACAGTAGCAATAGCCGTTACAGCAAGGGGTGCGGAAGCATCTGGGCGATCCGCAAATCGCTGGCGGTGCTCAAATATGGAGGGTCCGTGTAGAATCGGGAGTCATAAATGATACTTGTCAAATCAAATAGTGCCGAATTTGGTGAGCTTTTACTGGGAAAACAACGATGCGGATATAAACAAATGACCTCTAAGATTCTCAACATTAGGCGCGTCGACAGGTAATGGATTCTTGGAGAGAAATATTGTCCCCTTCAATTCTGGAAATCTGTACTCCAATTGATCTATGAAACATAAATTATTAATGATCTGCAATTATCCACCCCACCGAAAAGCGACACCAAGATCATAAATGCTTGCTTACAAATTCTGGAATCTTAACCCTCAGCCCTAGTATTGTTGGCTATACGGATAATGTCATTCAAACCCCTTTTAGAACAGAATCCACAAATGGGACGCTGTCTAACGCATCGGATTTTCCGCTATCGGCAAGCTGAACAATTTTGGCGACGCCATATTAATAGCTACCGCTAGACTTCACACTAGGTAGAATGCATGCTTACGTGGTGTGTCCTGGAATATTGCTTCCTCCCCGTGTTTGGCGAGTCGATCAAGGCATGTTTCAATAAGGGATAATCACGACTCCTAAATATCACGTCATAGGATACACTGTCATAGGGGGCATATCGAATTATATCTTGTCAAAATGAAACCTTGCTCATGAGCAGCTTGAGTTCCACTTTCTCCAGCGGAATAGCCTAATATTGACACTCAGAATGATACAGATATCTGGCAGATTACCAGAAAAAGTATACGATTTCTTAGAGTAAGCTATCGAACCCCGCATGGGTGCTGATGCAAACACAATATCGCGAGCTGAAACGGGGGCCATAGCAAAACAACACCAATCATTGGGATTAAGTCTCGATGAAAGTAGCGACTGCCATAAATGTATCTTTATAAACTAGACTTCATTTTGTTCATCATTGCTCATGGGTTGCTTCTCTGGTGCCTCATATATACCCAGTTCGCTTGCTTTGATCTGCAATGCCAACATCTTCGAGTACGTCCGACATAGAGCAAGGCTACCACCCATAAACCAAAAATTGGGATGCCCACTGTATCGCCAAATCTATGGAGTAAAAAGTTTGTCAGATCGAGTACAATTTTAACGTGATACGTCAGGAGTCTTACCGAATTTATTTCGCCTTCTTCATTCAAGTCCCAGACCTTTCCTAGCCGTGAGGCGACTTTGTCTCCAAAAAGCTTTTGCGCTGTGCTGCGCATTGTTTGGTAGCCTGTCGCCATAACGACGATATCTGCCTTGAGTTCAGATCCATCTGCGAGAAGCAACCCGTCCGGTATGAAGGATTTGATCCCTCCAGGATTAGGCTTCACTTTGACCTTTCCATCAATGATGAGCTGGCTGCATCCAACATCGATATAATACCCGCCTCCACGGGTAATGTATTTACGGTAGATGCCACTTCCATCTTCCGCATAATCGAGCTGAAATCCGGCGTTGATCAGACCGTCTATGATATCCTTGTCGACGGTTTTGATAGCCTTTGCAGTAAAGGTGTTCAGTGCAAACTGAACAGGGATTGGCATGCTCTGGCTATTAACATCCAAATCTTCAGTTGGTGGTCCGCCTTCTTCGTACGTTCCTGAATGAAGCATTGGGAGGCCTTTCTTTGCCGTCAAGATATAGCTACTACCACGCTGGAGCATCGTCACCGATGCAGCGCCGCATTCGTGAAAATTCTGGCAGAGATCATGCGCTGAAGTCCCTGATCCGATAATAACCACGTGTTTAGTGGAGAGGTTGGGATGTTCCGAAGCATCCTTGTGCTGGCTCCCGTGGTATACAGCTCCTTTGTACTTTTCAATACCCTCAAAATGAGGGATGATGGCGTCACCCGCATTTCCGGTCGCTAGAACAACATGCCTTGGTTTAAGAGTACGTGTTGCGCCATCAAATCGTTTTACTGTCACAGTCCAGACTTTGGTAGCCTCGTTGAATGAGGTGTTCAAGAGTTCGGCGTTGCACCAAACGTTGAGCTCCATCAAGCTTGCGTAAGCTTCAAGCCAGTCGGCAAGCTTATCTTTGGGCATAAACAGCGGCCAGTGGGAAGGGAATGGGATATATGGGAGATGGCAATATTGAATCGGGTCGTGAGTCATGAGAGTCTACATGATTTTAAGTGAGCGTGTGTAGAATAGCCTTGGAATTGGAGAGGGCCATCATGTCATACCTTGTAACGTTTGCGCCAGCTATCGCCAACACGGCCATTTTTCTCAACAATTAACGCTGGTATTCCAAGTTGCTGCAGGCGAGCGGCAGTAGAAAGACCAGCTTGGCCGGCACCGACTATGAGCACAGCTGGATCTGCATCGAGAAACTCTTTTTGCCTCTCGCGTCGCTGCTGCCAGTTGCCGCCTGCTGTGTCAACATAGCCCTCTGGACGAGTAAATCCAGTTTTCTCCTCATGATTCTTAATCTCTTGTAAGGTAAAATGTATTAAGTAACACTTCCATTGATCTCCATCGTCGCCGTCCAGGACTAATCGAAGCATCCCTTTTCCATGGCCGTGACGTGACTCGAAGTCGAACATACTCTCGACCCACTGCATATCCGGGTACGGCTTCTTGAAGATAGGCTGAAATGCGCCATGGTCGCGAAGTCGAATAGTGCCAATGCTGGCATTGTGGTTATTTTGAAGATAGTTGAGGACGTTGTCGCGACCTTGAAGAGTGCGGAAGTCCCAGGTGAAAGACAGTAAGTCGCGAATCCAGGCATCTTTGACAAACAATTTTTCCAATGCTTCTCTATCGTCTCCTTTAAGCGCATGCTCAAAGTCTCTTACCCAGCGCTCGGCAATGTTTCTTGCGTGCGATAGCGAGACATTGCCCTGTTGTTTGAACGTGGGTAATGTGATGATGTGGGCCATTTTATCGGTAATGAAGTCGGTATAACAAAAGCTAAGAACTGCTACCAATGAATTACATTAGAGTACATGGAGAAATAATTCAGGTCATGAGTGTGGGCTATATATACTGATACCGAGGGGACGCTTGTTCGGAGCCCACGGCAGAAAACAACATCAAAGAGATGCATGTCATGATACCTCACAGTGTCCATGTGGGCAGGCAATAGCCCATTGGTGTCCGATATCGTTTATTGCAAGACGAAAGCCACTTTGCATCTAGACCGCTGACTGCGATATTGTGCTCTCCAGCTAAAGACTACCTATGCAGTGGTGATAGCCAGCTGCGTCGGCATACATGGCCCGGAAACGACCCGAGACTTGCTTATGGAGAAGAACTCTGCCCAGCCAATTGCTATTGATTGATACTACATGTACACATGGCTAGCGGTAATTCGTCCCCAAACAGTGTATGTACCCATAAGCCCAAGACACAAGTCTAGTGTGATCATTGAGCACAACTTGCATTGTGCGCTTTTTGATGCACTGCGTTGGGTGTGACAATGATGGACGTCACGGATCAGCATTACCACTACGCATACAAAATACACATCATGTATTAGTCTGCTAAACAATAGTTTGGGTCTTCCTCAAGGCCTGGTTACTCAAGTTAGATTTCCCTTGCAGGTATTGCAAGCAGTCAGTTATGTGGTCATGAGACTGGCTGCGGATATCGATCTCCGCTATCGCGCTCTTCAGATCTGACCCAAAGCAGCACCTCCGCACCGGCTCCTCTCACCTAAAGCTCAATTATGGATCGTCTCCAGCACGATTGAATTGCCCGGGTCCAACTCCCCCGCACCCGAAGTCGGCCATACATGGCCCGAACACGGCCTGAGACTTGTTGATCTAGCACAGATGATTGAAGGTACTGTTTCTAAAACTGTGAGTTGGTTCAGCTGTGAGTCGGTTTTAGCATTTTATTTAACCAACGGTATCGATCTTTCATTCCACCATTGCGTTTTTCTCAGTGGACGCCAGCATGACGATTGGTGTTCTCAGTTTGACAGATGCATTGCGCTGCGTGTTTCGGTCGCTGGTCACTAGAAGTTGCAAGAGACACTGACGACGGTTATTCCACAAGATTCCACAGTCTAATAATTGTGCTTTTCTGTTTTCCGCATGAAATCTTCACTAGAAATAATTTGTGTTGCTAGTTGATGTTGTCGTTTGTCACGTGTAAGCTACCATCATAGCGTTCAATTTCCGGCCTCACTATCAAGAAGATGTGCGTTAAACTCGATTCTTTGAACCTCTTCATATCGCAAGTTTTAGCCGCAATTTCCATCTTTTCCCCAAAATCTCAAAGACTCCAAACTACTGAACATACTATGGATCCTGAATTCCAGTCCGTTGTTCCAATTTTAAGAATTTTTGATGTCAAAACGGCCGACGAATTCTACCTCGATTTCCTCGGATTCACGGTGGACTGGGACCACCGTTTTGACAATAATGCACCATTGTATCGTCAAATTTCCAAAGGCGGCCTCATTCTACACCTCAGTGAACATCATGGAGATGGGAGCCCCGGCATAAAAATTCGCGTCATGATGAAACGGGGGATTACTGGATATCACGAGTGGCTTATCACCAAGAAGTATCGATATATGAGACCAGGGATAGAAAAGGGGTATGGGGGACCGGATTCTCAAGAACTTACTGTGATTGACCCATTTGGCAACACAATCACGTTTTGCCAGACTGAGAAGGATGAATAATATGTCGACAAACCAAATTTCCATAACTGCTTTCAGTTTGGATGGGCTGCACATATAATTGATCAGTTGGGATCTAACAAGGCGGGTAGATTATGCAACCAACGCTGATTAATCCAGATCATTTGCATCAAATACGAAGGAAATAACGTTATATTGTATCCACCATTGGGCTGATATCCCATATACAAACCATTGTTCATATTCTATCTCGTGACCTGATTTAAAGAGCACTAAACAAGAGTGATCTTTATCTTTGGGACGGGAACGGTTTACGTCCACGAAACACAATTATGCCTTCTTCTTCTTCTTCTTTGTCATCTGGTTCTCCTGCAATGCTTCGCCCATCCTCTTCTTCGATGGTGTCGGGAATTGCCAAATTTGTAATTCCGGAAACGAGCTCACTGATTGAAGTTTCAGTCGCGATGGATTTTGAAAACGAGTTTGAGTCATGCACCCGACCTTGAGATATTTGATCTTCGAGTGATCGTATTGCGTCTTCTCTAGTTCTCTGATTGATTGCGTTGAGTATGGATGTTGTCGATTTCATTGCATTTTCGTCAAAAACGTCAGGGACGCGCCAGTGAGGGTAGAGATTCTTGTGGGACTCGCGAACTTGCACTCCACCTGGATGCTCAATGAAGTAGTAATGGCAGAGTCGACATGTTGGCTTGCTGCTCCCAATATATCGCCAGTCATTCCAGAAATCAGCATCACTAGAGCCATGCAGGTAGCTCAACAAATAATCCAAAACAAGGACTTCAGCATGGACCATGTGCGTCTGGGAAAGGTCATTGCACTCGGTCAAGATTTTTTCGTCTAGGCCGTGTTTTTGCAACTCCACAGCCATAGAACGGTGTCGCTCTATAATCTCTTTGGAAGAAGACATTCTTCCCATTATTTCGTGGGCATTTGGTCTCCTTCCACTCAATGGATGTGGGATGACCCGAGCTGATGGAATGACTGTCACTTTGATATCGTGAAACAGCCGATCCCAGAACTTGTTCGCGCGAATTATTGTCTCAACGGCGAGGTAGTATGAGTGCAAGCGGCCAACAAAATGGCGAAGCTCCATCCATGGTTTGGAGCTGTTTATCTGGCCATCTCTTGCTTGCTCTGAAATGGAGTCTCCAAATTTTCGACGCTGAGCATGGTGAATGAATGTGAAGAGCGTCTCACAAGCAGTAAAATCTGTATATAACCCCGTCAGCGATACGTAGTTTCGGGCGAGTTCACATGATACAGTACACTCTTGTTCCTCAAGCTGTTTGTCCTTCTCGAATTTGATCAAATCTTCCAGTTGGGAGAGTTGTGCCCTGAACTGCGATGCCTCCGATGCTATTATCCATAAAAAAAACATAAAAGTTAGTCACATGCTCATTGCAGGTGGCGAGGCGACTCACCTAAAGAGGTTTTCTCATATCGTCTATCGTAATCATCAATGCACTTGGACAACCAATCTGCGGTACCCGTAAGGTAAAACCTGACACGATTCCCATTAAATCTGAGTATATGCCACAGAGCCTCTCTTTGTACTGGCAAACTGCCATCTGCAGGTCTCCCTTTTGGTTTCGCCACGATGGCCAGCAATTGCTTGACAAAAAGTTCAACCTCAGGCAGCTGTGACGCTCTTCGATTGTTGAATCCAATGATATATCGGACACCATCAGGTTCTTCCAACACAGCGATGCTGGCCACGGTGGCTCCGTTTTCCCCACGAACATTGTCACAGACTTGGGCAAGCCTGTTGACAAAGCACTTGAAAGTTTGCTCCGCGCTATCGGCATTATCATTCATCGTGTTAGGCTGGCGTTGAGAAGTGGAGAGGGCTGGCGGTCGAATCTTCTTCAATGCGACCTCGAGGAGGATAGGTTCATAGAATCGGCGCGAGAGCTTCACTTTCAATGGAATAGGCGTACGCATATTGACGTTGGCGCCTTCAATACGAGAGCTGGTTAGTGTAGGAAGTATAACATGATGGACTGCATTGTTGCATACGGGTGACGGATGGCATGCTTGCGATACCCTTATCCAAAGCCAAACGGGCTTTCTTCAAGCTGAAATTTAGTTACACCAAATAGAAAAGGCGTTTTCAAGGCGTAATGGACCAAAAGGATAGATTTTATTCTCCATTATTCTTGGTTTAAAGCCGGTTTTCGTGCACAGGGTCGCCTCTTCTTAAATTATTCGAGAGGCGTTCCTAAAATCGTGCAAAGCCGTGGCTCAGCCATGCAGCTCTTGCGTAGTATCATCGTACGTGACCTTGCGTATTGCAAGGCAGGACATGATTTGGGGCTAATACGGAGAGTATGTCGTATCATTGGATGCCGTGCTACATAGTCGACTGTTGGGTCAGCCTGTAGGCCGCCCTCTCCGCAATCTTAACCTTTTCGCGTCTCAGACATATTCGGGCGGCCTACAATGAGGACCTTTGGGCCAGGCTGTGATGGAGCCCACGGAATCCCATCGAATTAATCGAGACCATCCTATTGGGTGAACAGACCGCATGCGGGTGGTCTACAGCTGCGGGGGGCTTACAGAGTATAAGCCAGCAAGCCTTGCGGGCCTCTTATGCAAGCCTCTGGTCTTCATACAGCAGCGTGCAGGGGTTACATGTGTTGGCCAGTGTTTGGTCCATGGCGCGCAAATGAGGTCTTGAAGTCATTGTCGGTTGAATCAACACCATTGTCTTTTATCTGGGGGGCATATTGGGCAGATATGCACTGACAGGAGATGCAATGCAAGGCATTCTGATCCGATACGAGGTGAAAACAACGAAAGGAAACTTCGGTTAGACGGGGTTCCCAAATTGCTAGGCGAATAAAACATCAACAGCTGCATCAACCTATCAGCATTCGTTGTGCTCCCTCATCTTGTAGGATATGTCTCCACTGCCAAGTTGAAGTAGGACTCCGCTCTCGACAAGGATTTATTTACTTATGATGGTTGGCCACCCGCGTCAAAGCAGCCAGGATTCGCAGCTCACATCCCACACCAGCTCAGTCAACGACTAACACCATTTTGCCGAATACGGTGTACACATTTTGGCATGACCAAGAATCGAACGGAATCTACATTGTTAGGTCCTAGATTGCATTTGTCGGGATAGGTGCACTTAAGAAGACTCTATCTCTCTTTCGACAGAACCCCGTTCCCATTATACGGGATTCATGTATACGGTATATATTGTTGTTAATTCCTTAGCTTAATCCATGCTGATTTGAATATTCGTTTCTTTCTCAGCTTATGCCCTAGTATCTTCCCCTGTCGCAGCATCAAAGATACTATTATACAAAGCTTGGTGAGGATACACTGTGCCCTCTTCCTCAGCTGAATACTCATTCCCAATTTGGTCTTTGTAAGACTGCTGCGTACATGTAGATGGTGTGTCACTCCATCAGCTGGAGCATTACAGTTCTCTGAAGAGCAACTACGCCACCGGACCTTGCACTCTAGTCAACGGCACTTGAAGGGTGGATTGCATTTACCCACTCAATCTTGGCCCAGATACTCTCAGAAGTAAACGAGGTGGATCATAATATCGTCGTGGTCGGCATCAAGCAGGCTATTATTGCATACACATGACACAAACCTGGCTATGCACGCTTGAGCACCGGCTCTAGGCAGGATATTACACAAATGGATTCCATTAATAAACTGGCCTTTAGGGACGGCGCCCCCGATCCCATGCTTGGCGATGAAACATATGTTGAACAGGATCAAGCCTGCCAGGTTGACGAAGCGGATATAACTGCGCGTCAACCTATCGGAATCACCACACATGGCGCACAGGAATGGGAAGGAGGGTCCACCACTATCGACCCAAGCCGCCTGCTACTAAGCATGGATCATACGCCCCTGGGGGTTGGGGAATTGACTGGCCTTTCTGTTGACACCGATGGTTACCCCGTTTCGTCTCAAATCGTCCGCTCCCAAAAGGAGACTTAGACTCCCTATGGCGACTCGCCGATGGGAGACCGGGTGCGAGTGAGCGATGATACGAACGAAGCAGAAGATCATACGTCTGCTGTTGACTCTGCATCTCCTTTATCTTTTTCATTGTCTGATTTCTCGTCTTCTGTTAGTAATGAAAATGACTTCGACGCCATGGACTTAGACCCCTCCGGGCCTTCAGCTACAGGTCTTTTGCCGGAACATCCTCCTTCTTCAGGGGTTGATGTGGACTCGTCATCTCCAACTGGATCTTCTACCATGACTCTGCCTTTTGTCTGTGATAGAGCTGGATGCTCGAAATCTTTCGAAAAAAGATACCAGCTCAAGTAAGTTGACCCTTTTTCCCACCATGATAATGTTTTAACAGTATTTCATCTGTCTTATACTGTCGGCTATATGGAAGAAAATTTGACTAACGCTCAGTGATCCTACAGTCGTCATATCGGATGGCATGACAAAAAATTGAATTGCCCATTACCAGATTGTGACAAACGTTACCAGTACCAAAAAGAACTTGAGAAACACATCTGGAGTCATCACCCAAAATGGGCGGAGGATACCAACCGTAAGCCCATTCGAACCAAATGCAGGATTTGCCAGGCCATTTTAGAGAGGCCAGACAATGCCAAGCGCCACATGGATGAAGTTCACAAGAAGATAAAACGAAGACGAGGTCCCGGGGGGTAGATAATGTTCTGGCTCTCTGCTGTTTTGTTTCACGTCATCAGTTTATGCATTTCTGAAAGGTTGCTACGCTAGTCATGTTCTGTTATTTGTATTTCGATCTCTTAGCTATTTGTTTACATCTCAAGCAATTTTTTCATTGCAACTCCCATGACCCCTGGATGCGGAACTACCACTGCACCAGCATCCTCAAGTGCCTTTGCTTTGATATCCGCAGGCATGTCCCTAGTGGTAAGCACAGCACCCGCATGGCCCATGATCCTTCCAAGTGGAGCTGTCTTCCCGGCTACCATTGCTACGATTGGTTTGGGGCGAGGAGTCAACTGTCGATATTCTCGGATCAGCTCAGCTGCTCTGAGTTCCGCTTCTCCGCCAATTTCCCCGATTACAATAATGCCCTTCGTCTCTTCATCTTCAAAGAAGAGTCTGAGGCCATCTGCCAAGGTAGTGCCTACCAAAGTGTTAGCCAAACTCTTCAAACCTGTGTACGCATAAGCCCAATACTATCTCTCACCTGGAAGTAAATCACCACCCATACCCAGTACTATGCTCTGTCCCAGTCCGGCTGCAGTCGTTGCACCCACAGCCTCGTAGCTTAAAGTCCCCGACTTGGACACAATGCCTATGCTGCCTCTCTGATACTGTTTATACGGCATAATTCCAACGCGGCATTGCTCTGGAGCTATAATCCCGGGGCAGTTTGGCCCTACGAGCCGAGTTTTACTCTGTGTACGAAGTATCTCATGTACTCGTAACATGTCATGCACTGGAATATGCTCCGCCACAGATACAACCAGGGGAATTTCGGCCTCTATAGACTCTATTATGGCTTTGGCTGCAAACTGAGCAGGTACAAAAACAGCACTGACATGAGGTCGGACCGTTTTCATGGCCTGCGAATAGCATGAGAACACGATTCCCTAGGGGGGTGTGCCAGAAGTTGGAGGGGGGAGTGGTGCTCACTTCCTCGACGGTATTGAAGACTGGTAAATCAAGGTGCGTCGAACCTCCTTTCCCAGGTGATACGCCACCCACTATGCGAGTTCCATAGGCAATTGTATCTTTGGCATTTGCAGTGGCCTGAAGGCATTGTCTCGTCATCAGTATGACATTTCACAACAGTGAGGGGTCCTCGTATTTACCGCTTTTCCTGTAAACCCTACACTGTGTAAGTAAAGTGCACGCATTTTTGATATCATTTTGATTACCTTGATATATGACAGGCGTGTTCTTGTCAATTCTCAGGTTGGAGATTGTACTGTCATAGCCATTTGAGTATCTGGCAACCGAGGTCGAGAGCTGCCGTCGCCAAGCTGAGGGGCTCCAACGAATTGCTCGAGAAATTGATACCTTCATCGCATATATACACGCTCTCATCCGCTAAAATGTCTCATAAAGACAAGAAATAGCTAATATCGAATATCGTTGGGTATTTGTATATTGCTCATGCATATGTAATATGGATTGGATACGTGGCTACCAAAGACATGTTGCCCAAGCCGTCAGGACATTAACTATGGCGAGCAGAGCCCCATTTTTATACCTAACCAAATGGCTATATGCCATTTCATGGATATGACAAGACGGCTATTCCCAGATTTACACAGGGTGTCCACCAGGCCTTCGAGCGCGCTGGGTAAAAAAAAGTATTTACATGACAAAATAAATGGCGATGGAATGTGATTCGGAAATCCATTTCTTTACTAGAAGCAGCTGGTATAATGTTGGCTGCTCCCCAGCTTCATGTGCAGCAAATGGCTGGGTTCAGGGTAACGGTAGTAGTGTGCGAAAAGGGAAATGGTAGCAGGAATTTGGCGCTCTCGAGATGTGCATGCTCTATTATGCCCTCCGAATGGTTACCCACTGCCTACCTAGGCTCATATAGGTTGTTGAAAATATACAAAATGAAAAGATAAAGACGGACAACTCTGGGCGACAGGCAGACTTAATAGAAGTGACACCTTTGCACGTTTGATGCCTGCGTGAACGATGACGCCAGTTTTCCCGCCCGCCAATTAAGAATCACTCCCTGCATCTAGTAGCGGAAAACTGCGTCATCTGATTGGGATGAATGTCATCTTTCAGAGCTACTTCATCTTCTATCTCGCCAATCTGAAGCTATCTCCGCCTCTTAACTATTAGGTACATGTAGTTAAGCCCGCCCTACGAACTCAGCGCTGAGGTAGAGTTGTGGTAAGGATTATATACCGATTTCTTAAAACAGTACGAGGTACTCGCCTGGTGTGGCTGTGATCATCTGAGGATAAACGTGGGAGTTGCAGGGCAAAGTGATTGAAACCTGTTGTCTCGCACAGGCCGATCTCGGAAGAATTCGGCAATAATTTACTGTTGCCTTGATATGCCCTAGAGACAGAGTATGCAAGGAGAGTGGCAGAGCAGATCTCAGTTGCTTACCTGCACGGATCTTTGATGCGCGCATCTTGCATGACCCCCATTCCAACGCAGTAATAGCCTCCTATTGGGATGGACATGAAGCATTCGTACAATACCTTTATGTACTCTTGAATAAATTAGAACCTCGGCATCTGGTGATTACAGTGTTCCTAATTGCCCAATCGCCTCCTCAAAGAGGTTACACCGGACGCGCCGTAAATGTAATATGACTAGTCCGACCTTGCCGACAGCTTCACGTTGGTGCTCTCTTCGGGTAGGACTTCGAGTTGGGAGACCTAGGGAATGAGTCTTTTCTTCTTCACGGACGCTGCCATAAACCCCTCCAGCCAACATTCCTGTGATAGCGAGAGGTGCTATTACGAGTACTAGTAGTTGTCACTATATTCAACCCACACCAAACCTTGTGCATTGCCCCATAAGAAGTTTGCAAAGCCACCGTGTGGCTGGTTGGCTGCTCCCACACTAGACATCGTCTCACCCACCTTCGAAGCCTGGCCTCGTGCTCATAGCGTCATGCCGAATGCGTCCTCGTGCTCTTGAAGGCAGCAGGCTGCAGTGGCTATGGACTGACTGACTGCAGCAACAGCATCAGGATGAGCTGAAGGGCCGAGTCAAGGGCTCGAGGCCTTCCCTTTTCTTCTTCTTCTCCCTTCCTCTGTCTATACACACACAAATGCATGTGTCGACAACACGAGACGCGCAACCTTCCAGAACAAGATCCCATACCGCCGTGAAATGCCATTACCGAACCGATGCCTCGCAGCAAGCTGCCCTTTCGATCGAGCTCTGTCAAGGCGATGGGCTCTAACCTTTTCTCCCGAAACCGTCGCGAAGATGCACAAAAGGACTTGACGAAGCAATCGGGCGAGCCACGGCGTCGTCGAGCGTCTATTTCTGCGGGCGAGCGCCCGACTCCGGAATTCCAGCGGCCGACTGTGGCGAAGGAATTTAGGTCGCACCAGGAAGTTCAGAGACCGACGATGCCGCCTCCATCAGCTTCATCCAGCAGGGTTCGAAGCCCGCCACGACGGGAGTCTCTATCTCGAGGCTCCGTATCGCCTCATTCTCGCCAACGAATGCCAGGAAGCGGAGATGGCCACCATAGTCGCCAGTCGCGATCGCCTCCTCGACGTAGGTATTCCTCTTCGGAAATCCCTCGACCACGAGATATGACACACCAACCTCAATCGCCAGTACCCTCGCGATCGCAGCGGAGCGAGAGTCATGAACGGCGAGATCGACACGGGTATGGAGGTGCAGCAGCTACAGGTGTACCTCCGTCCTCTCCACATCTTGCGCCTAAATCTGAATGGAACGCCTCTTCAAGGGAGGCCCGGCAGGAGGCCCGACGCTATCCGCCTTCAGCATCAGCAAATAATAGGCCACAGCCTGCGAAGCGAGGCAGCTCTCCCTATCATAGACCGTCTGCTGCCTCGGATAGACATCGCTCTGCCTCCGTAGATGGCTATGATAGAAATTCCCATTCTCAGCATAGCTCTGCCCAGCAGCCAATCTCGCCCTCGCGCCGTCCGAAGCATGAGCGCAGGGGCTCAGACAGCTTCTTTAACAAGTTCCCAACGTCATTTGCAACATACGCGGGGATTCGGGCGCTCTCTGAGCATGCCGACAAGGCAAAAGAATGGGTAGAGTGGTTCAACAACGTGAACGACGCCCCAGATGAGATCCGCGCTCTCTCTACTAGGATTTCCACCACGCGTGACACCATTCAACAAATGAAAGAGTGCTTAGAGGCTAGGCCGGACCTTATTGAGGACGAAACCGGACAGGTCCTCAAGTCTCACATTGAAGACGCCATTGACAGCACAAGTGAGACATTGAAAAAGATGACGAAATTGCTGGCGAGTTTTTCCGGCGCTGCCAAGCAGGATAGCACAGCTCTTGGCCGCCTAGAGGGCTTCTGGCATTCATACAATTATAAGAATGAGGGTGAGGAGCAGATTAAGGCTGCTGATGCGGAGCTGCAACAGCAGTTATTACAACTCGGTACTCTCATGTCGAATATCTACGCGTCCGTCTCTTCCCTCCTTTCCCGTTGCCTTGCTATACTAACGAGCAGCAGTCGAGCTTTGAAGAGACCATCACCGGGCATCGCTACACCGAATGCACCCACGCCCCCTCAATCTTCTGCTAGGCTTAATCCAACCATAGACGCATCAATACCGATGCAACAGCCGGCAGCCTCAATACCCAACCGACCTCCTCCATCACCACAGCTGTCTCCTAAATCCAAAGGACACTTTGAGACAACGGGAATTCCTCCAAAAGTCGTGCCGAACCCACCGACTCCTCCTCGCTCAGAACCATCCGTTGAGCAGCCTCCGTCACATGGCTCCGCCAATGCAAGCACAGCGGGACTTGATTCGCATAATACAAATCCACCTCCGAATCCAAAAGATGTCTTACTGGATGCTGCGTGGGAAGGCGATGTCAAAACTGTGGCCAATTGTCTGCGCCAAGCGCCTCCCGACTCATGCGATCCTCATGGACTCACACCGCTGCATCTCGCCGTCGAGTGTGATCACATGGCCGTCGCCATGTATCTTCTTGATCATGGCGCGGATGTTCACGCTCGTGCTGATGGTGGCTGCATGCCTCTTCACTTGGCTGCGCGTTATGCATCTGCTGCTACTGTAGAGATGCTCATTGAACGCGGCAAGGCCGATCCGAACTGCCAGACCACTGATGGAAGAACGCCGCTTCATTATGCTGCTAGATCTGCCGAAGATGGAGAGGCAGAGCGACGAGAAGTGATCCGCGCATTACGCGATTTAGGGGCCAATCCTACGATCCGGAATAGAAGAGGCGAATTGGCCAGAGATGTGGCTCAGAAGAGAAACTACTGGGATGCGGCTGCAACATTGAGTAGAGCTGAACATAAGTGGGAGCAACAACAGCAGCAGAAGCAGCGAGATCAAATACAACAACAACAACAGCAGCAGCAGCAGCAGCAGCACTTGCAAAAGCAACAGCAACGTGAAGAGCAGCAGCGAGAGCAAAAGTATCAACAGCAACTTAGAGAAACAACCACAAGAAACACAAGAGAGAGCAATCCACCAAAAAAGGAGGGTAGTTGGCTGCAAAGATATAGGCTCAAGAAATAACGAATTACGACGGCTTTGATTATATATCTTCTCTTCATATATATTCAATTATGACATGGAATGCATAGATATGGCGCAGTTTTTTTTTTTGGTGCGGGCATACGTTTTTCTATATACATGTAATTACCTATACACGAGCGATGATCATATCTATTATCTATACCAACTAGATTAATGCCAATTGTTTTTGGTTCTCTTCAACTGCAATACTTTCTCAAAAGAATCTCCATAAAGAGTCGGCGTGCCTTGTGCTCTTGAAGCGACTATAATAGAAACAGGCTGGCCACATGATGAGCAGTAGAAGACACCATAGCACAAAATACGCAAAAAGGTTGGTGATGCCCCTGGTGCTTCCTGGATGCATGGGATCTGAGTGCCCGGCTTCTGTGCCAAACAGGTTTTTGAGCAATGTCCCCACAGGAGACATGACGATGTTTAGATGGACCACATAGAAGAAAAGGGATGATGTGCCAAAGCTCAAAAGCATACCGAACTGCCTTGCAACGTGCACAGGGATAGAGCTAAACGCTCCGAGCAGAAACAAGTTGCTAGCTAGGGTAAAGGCCCAAAAGGCAACATCAGGAGGGTATTTGATAATGTAGAAAAATGATGCTGCCGAGGCAAGATAGGGGTTTTCGTTGGCAGTCTGGACATCCTGCGCAGGCGTATGCAGACAATCCTCCGAGAGGTTGCCTACACGCAAAAGTCTGGTGAGAACGAAAAGGATGGAAAAGATGATACCTGCAGATGCGTGGCCGATGGCAATAGCAGACGTTGTCCATTTCCTGACAGAGAGGATGCGGCCGTAGAGAAGTCCAAGAATGGCAAAGGAGAGCCACGCCAGAGGGGGGAAATTTGACATGACGTGCTCACTGGAAACGAACCAGAACCAGATGGCGAGTAAAGGATGCTTCGATGTAGGGACGAATTGAGTCGACGCGGAACCGTCTGATCCCTCTGTATCGACGCTGCAGCGGCCATTGTCTTCAGACAACCAGATATTCCACCAAATGGTGACGACGCTAAGAATGACAAGGAAGATGTTGTGCACATGCCAGGATAGCGATGAAGCTGTTGCTGCTCTCTCGCTTTCTCTGGCAGCGTGTCTTCGTCCAAGTAGTAAAGGTTGGCTAACTCCTCCCTCTTCATCTTCATTGTCATCATCCCCGGCGACGTGCACAGCCCCAGATCGCTTATCCATCATCAAAAGGCCTCTCTCCAGCACGCCGCTGAGCCACTTCTCAGTCCGGTCCATCAACAGCCACATCATTCCTGCCAAAACATAGTCGACTGCCAGTGAGAATAAGACCACGTTCATGAACCATAGTTGACCTCCAGACGCTAGAAATCCGATCGCCGTCGTGACTGCAGTCAAAACGAGGCCTCTTATAGCATAGTACTGCATCAGCCTGCCGGCCGACCATCCGAGACGTGTGCGGGACTGAGAGAGAAGGACAACACCCATTCCCAGAAGAAACGTGAATCCCGGGGCACAGAGATGGGTCAATGTGCGAACGACATAGGCAGTGGTGAAGTTCCAGCGGCGCACTATTAGACCGTCCATCTCCCCATCAATGTTTGTACCATGTTGCCAAGTATTTAGACCGAGAGCGAGATGGTCCATGGCCATCAAGGCCATCAGAAGGCCACGCTGGAGATCGGGGGCAAGGAGCCGGACCATCGGCTTTGCTGTAGGAGCGGGCGACGATGACAGTGAGGACGATTCGTTTTGTGAGGACGCATTCGGATCGGAAATTGAATCATAGCGGTAGCCATTTTCGCGGCGGGAGGAAGTCTCAGGGGAGGAAGCCATCGTGGGCGTTGGTCATGGACGGGCTGTCGCCAACCCAAAGCCACGCTGTATCAAGAGCAACTTGAAAACAAGATACAAGCTTGGTTGTCCAAGGGTAATTACGGCAGAAGATATGTTATTAAGAAGTGAGAAGAGAAATCCTAATGCTGCCTAAAGTCCGCCGAGACTCCGCCCGCCTCAACAGCTCCGGCATGAGATAACACTCGACCTCCATGGCATTGTCCGACTTCCGACGTCAAACAACTTTAATGACGAACCTTCCTGGTGGGATCCTTTGCAAAAATCCGACTGGGGAGGGGGCAATAAATCCTTTGACCCGCCCCGACGAGTCCGAGGCTAGACTGAATACATAGGTCTAGAGGTGATTAGGCCGACTAAGCGCGCGGGCAGATTCATAATGCGAATATACGAGTATTACTGCTGCCCTTTTTTGTTGTCAGCATTGTAATAATGGGCGGTCCCGAGATAAACTTCTTATCAATCAGGAGAATGACCAAGAAGAGGCGTAAGGAACGTGCAACGAATGTAAGCACTTGATCCAGGAGGGCAACGCTGTTGATGCTACTTACTCTAACATGTGCCAATTCATTCTTACGTGTTTATGTCCGTGTTCTTGTAACCCTCTCCACATTTGCGGGAGCACAGTATTAAACATTAGACGGAACAGCTACCCGCATCAGTTTGTAATTCGTAAGGTGTGGTAAGAATACTAATCAACTAAAAACTATTCCGTAGCTCGTATTACAAAACGTTTCTTGCATCGGTTAGCTACCCGAGTTTCTTACCCGTACCGAACTAACACATGCCACAATAACTTCAGCTCTTGCAAACCTTCGCCCAAATCTTCCCTGTCCCCCAGTAACCCATTGTAAGCAACCATATCTCTCACTGCCTCTCCAATAACACGTGCATCCACGATGCCGTTAAACGCAATTCTAGCCGCCAAAGACGGCATCGTTGGCCCTCGGAAGTCACTGGGAACATTCTCTGATGAAAGCTGAAATCCGCGATGCACAAAGATGGGGAATCCATATGTTTGGCCGAGAGCCTGGAGAAGGGACCCAGTGTTGCTCCGCTTGAAAAATGACGGATCGACCACTAGAGCTTCGACATCTCGTGAAAGAAGAACATCGCCGTGAATCTGCGCCTCGATCAAATGATCTAGGTTACGGCTTGGCAGTCTCTGGTAAATATCTTCTATGAGAGGCGATTTGCTCAATGCGTCGATATACTCCACCAATTTCCTCGGCCTCATGTTTTCTACTCCCAGCGCGGTGTCTCGCGTGAAGCACTCTTCAAGTAGAGCGGCCAATATCGCGTCGAATTCATCCACTGTGCCCCTTTCTTTTGGAACTGCCTGCGAACCACCAAAAGTAAATGTAGACCGTGACGAAACCTCCGGTCGAAGTAAGAAATAGCAGGACCCAAATCGCGGCGCAGGACCATCAGAATTACGCATCAAGTCCAAAGCACCGTATTTCGGTCTTAGTGTTGGATTGAAGGTTTCCGCCACAATGTCTGAATTGCCAGAGCCATGATAAGCTCCGCTGAAAAGACTTCGCTCCCATTCATCGCGCGCTCCCCCAAGCTGAGTCGCAACTAGGCCGTTGGAGATGCCGGTTTCGAATTGATTCCGGTATATGCCATCCTCTAGAAGAGACTCAACGACGATGCGTCCGCTATGAGACGGGCGATCGGGGTGAAAATGTAGCGCAATGCGGGCATGCTGAACAATAGTGTTTCGGATATCGCTTAACCTCTCTATCGGGATGTTGGACATACGTAAAATGTGAGATATGGTTTGGAGAGCCTGTGGCTTAAGGATTGCTGCTTCGGTTTTGATGTTGGCGATAGCAGCTGCTTGGGGAGGATACAGTGCCGGCATGACTTTCTGTGAAGATGCCATCTCTACCTATTATGGCATATCAACATGAAAGTAGGTGTTGGTGAGTGAAGATACAAAGTGCAGTTAATAAGAGCAGTCCACCGGCTAAAGGCAGTCAATGAGCTGATCGCAGTGAGTCACGGCGACATCCATGTCTGTAGGATTCATGGGATGGAACTAAGCTTGTAGCTTCTGGTTATTCAACATTTAGGTTCCTTTTAGTGAGCTGCGCTATTGCTTTTGCCCCCAATGAAAATGCTTCGATTAACACCAGCGTGCACACGCTACAGTTTCTTTGTATTATCTGGTGCCGGTTTTGTTGAATACTTTGTTGCGGGAGATCCTGCCTCTCTGTTCGGATCCTGTAGCCTTGCCAACTCCAACAACAGTCGATACATATACACTGCCATGTCCTTTTCCCGTAGCGCCTGGAAGAACCAATCTCTACTTTGCTCTGCAATTTCTCTGGCCCTTTTTTGGCCAGCTTCAGTTGATGTCAGATAAAACACCAACTCTGGAAGCTCTTCCAAACTTTGACTGACTGGGATATAATGGACCCAGGGCACAAGACGATCATCATGCCACTCTCTGAGGAGTGTTTGCTTCATTGGTGCCGACTTTGATGCGAGCAGCTTGTAGTAACGACCACTAATACCGTTTCCATCAAGGTCAAAGACGAGACGCGATTTGAGTGCCTTGTCTTTATCTGCCCAGCCGCCAACCTTGAAGAACCTCTTCTGATCTCTGCAATATTTCCTGTCGCACTGAAATATTCTGGTAAAGGCGACGTCAAACAGGCGACCATTCAGAAATGATGATGCAACACGCTGGATTATACCGCCCATCTCTCGCAAATAGTAATACTCCCGTCGTTCCAGATTCTGTGCTAGCTTCACAAATCTTTGCCTCTGGTAGTTAGCCCAGTTGGCGTCTGTGGCAAAACCGCCTGTGGTGGACCCAGCCCAGTAGAGGTTGTTGCGCTTTTCATCCCAGCCAACCTCTTTTGAGTCGTCGTATACAAACTCTCCTTCAATGTATGCAGGACTCGGGAGTAAAATGTCGCCCATTGTAGAAGGCGAGCCGGTTGAGAGGGCTGGGACAAACCCTTCGACGAGTGAAAACGACACGGGGCTCATGAAGAGGCCGTGCATATTGCGGTACTCTGGGTGTTCACATAGATTCATCGCAAAGGATTGATCCATGACAAATGGCAGATCAAACACCTTCGCTGAAGATTGTGTCTTTGCCTTTTTACCTATATCTTTGGACGCACAGAACTTAGTGACCTCATTCCAAATAGGTTGATGTGACATGTTAGTGATGTTCAACTGTGGATGGTTACGGGACTCTTCTGCTCCCCACGTCGGAATTAATATCCGTGGTTCATCGAAATGATTAACCAGAAACTTGACATCAGGAAGAGCGCCATCCAAGCCCTGAAACAGCCTGTCGAGGAGAAACCCCAGATGCCTGTCGAAAACTCGATATGCATGAGCGCAATCTGTCGTAGCAGATTCTCCATTAAAGTTGCAGAACCACATTTCACTGTTCTGTGCGAAGTGAATCTGGTTCATAGTCTCAATCACTCGCTTTCCGCTGAGGTTCCAAAACGGTGAGATGGCATGATGGATCGCGTCGAAATCGTCGATTATAGGAGATTTTTGGCGAACTGCGAATTCATACCAAGCTTCAAAACCTGGTGGCGGCGCGGCGTAATATCGGCGCTGATATTCCTCGACAGCCTCTTTGTATGTTTTAGATTGAGTCTTGAGAAGACTCTTAAAATTAGCCTTGCCGCTGCGTACGAGGCCCTCGACGGGGTGTTCTCGCTCAGGGCCAAATATTTTCGCCGATTCTTGCGCATCTCGAATCATCCAGAAGTTTGACAAAAGGGGTACGAGCGATGCGAGGCCAAACACCCACAATGTCAGCCTGAATCTTGCTTGTTTTGGCAATAGAGCGATCAATTGGCCCAGAGTGATGACTGAAACGAAAGCGTAAGCCACAGCCTGAAAATCCGATGATTCATTTGTTGGATTCGTGGTGAAGGAGATACTATATGTGGTGATTAGAGGTGCAACAATCCAAGAAGCATCTCGAGCCTGGGCAATGGTTAGCAACTCAACAGCTTTGGATGTAAGCGAGGAGACCTACCGCCTGTATGACAAAAGACCAAGACAAGGCCTTGACAAAACCTAGGAAAAATGTCCTGATTATGCCAGTTGTATTGAATCCAAAAAAAGCAAGGTCAGCTCCCCATATGATTAGGAGGAGGACAGCAATGCGAACAGAAAGAGGGCGAATAACATTCTCAAGGTTGATGGACGGGGGAAATGTGGATGTGCGATTTCTTGGTAATAGAGCAGTATATACAATGAAGAGGAACGCGGCTGGGATGATGGAGAATAAGAATGATCCAATAGACCAATTCGAGAAAGTGAGAACACCAAAAGAAGCACCCAGAATGGCACCCCAGTTTGTGCTCACCAAGGGAGAAAATAAGCCAGCAGGTCTTGGAGAGGATCCAAGGTACTTTTGAGCCGCCAAAAGCAAAGGCGTCAGTGCGGGCTGTCGACATTTAGTACAAGCCCTAATCATTCCTGAGTACATATACCATTCTCCTTACCAAAAATTGAATTAAGCCAGTCTCTGACTTGAATAGTGAATAGACAGCAGCGCTTCCAGCTACAATCCACAAAGAGTACGTCGATGTCGATGTCCCCTTCGCTTTGCCGGAGACTACTGGTCTCAACAGCGATTTAGGCTGTGGCTGGCTCAGGGACTTGGCCAAGACTGGCAGAAACGCCCAACATAAGATCTCTGTCTCGAGCTCAGAGTCTTGCGAGGAAAGCCATTGTGCCAGCGTAGCAAAGAGCAGAGCCGCCCCAGCATAGCCAACACTGGCCCCAGCATCGTCGGCCTTTGGCAGCCACATGATGATGCTTGACGTTGTGAGCTGTTGATCCAATTTCCACGACCAACTGCAGGGAAAATGGCGAACGTGGCATGGTGCCTGTGCAGCGCAGGGGTCTAAGCCTCCCTTGGAAAGCTCCGGTTCGTATTTAGCACCGTGTTTAATGTGGCTGAACTCATCGCGTCACGCTTACCGAGCGGATCCCTGGACATTGCGACTAAGTGGGAGGATTTGAGCGCCAAACTGTCTGTACACATCAAGGCCATGTTTGCAGTTATTTTAGATGTCTAACGAAGCGTATTCGCAATGCCAATTTGCGTCGAATAATCCTCATGAGACAAAAAGATATAGACTTTGAATCGGACGTTATAGACTGATTTTACGATTCCCACAGCAGTCTATTATTTGGTATAATCTCAATTACTTCGAATATCCCCCTCCAATACAATCCTAAGTACAAACACAATTGCGTGAAAGTAGCCATCGATAACTCCCATCAACTACCGCCTAAACATCATCGTCAGCTTAAAATCTTCAAACAAGTGTCCATAGAACTTACCGCAGCCAGCTCCTCCTCCACAACCCCCTCCTCCACCTCCACCAGCACCTCCAGCGCCGTTACCGCCGCATCCAGCACCACTTGCTCCGCATGTCTAGAAAATGGTCAGAATTGTAAAGTATGTTTAGGGAACTCAAGTTGAAACATACCCCCCCGTTTCCATTGTTGCATCCACCGGGACCGCCGCAAGAGCCTGCTGCTATACCCCCGTTGCCACAAGTCCCTCCGGCACAGTTCCCCCAAGCTCCTTGGCCGTTATGAATAGTATATGGATCCCATCCATAGTATAGCGCAGGAGTAAACCACGGATGGAAAGGATACGGGCCATTAACTGATGCAGGGAGTCAGTTTCTAGGCGTCAAAATTTTTAGTCTCGAGATAGCCAGTGGGCGGAGACTTACTGGTGTACTGAGCACCCCAAAGAGTGAAATAGTCCTCCTTGGGTGGGAACTCGCGGCCCTTCTTTTCTGCCCTCTTTGCTGCCTTTTTGTACTCTTGGTCTAGCCATTGACGCTGTCGAGCACGCACCCGCGCGGTGACTCTCCTCCGATCCGCAGTTTCGACCGTGTTGACAGCGTTATGGAAAGATATGTGGGGGGATTTATCTGGTGGGAACGTTTCCGCCGCCTCGGATTTGTGAAAGGATTCTGATAACTTCTCATTGGTTGACATGCCGAGAAGTCTGCCCACACTAGATATTTGTGAGGAACGAATTGCTGCCGTGAAGACGGAAGAATTAGCCTGGCCTGCCTTGCAACTTGGAGCTGATAGACGGGCGGTGCCGACTCACTTTCACAGTACCAGCATGTGCATTCGCTGTACACAGCCCCGAACATATCTTGGTATGTTTTTGTTGTCCATTCAAAGCATCTACTAAGCTTGTCCTCGTCGATTTTATCATCATGATCGACAAATTTCCCAGTTTTCGAAACTGTGTAGTAGTAATAATGAGAAGGTATAAGCTGGTGTGTATGCCAAGCCAGATCGATATCCAACGTCGGTACGACAACCTTGCCAGGGTGCTTCTTCATAATCTGCACGAATCGTTCGTATTTAACAATGAGTCGCGTCATGGTATCTCGTGCAGTCGGGCTGTGAAGCCAATCTATGTTCACCATCTTCTCGATGAAGACTCCCTGGCGCATAATAGCAGCGCAAAGATCAAGCCCAAATGGAGAGAAGTTCAGCCAGTATCGACTCATCATCTTGCGGATAGTTATGCCGGCCCAACCGTGTATTTGATAGCGAGCAAACAAACCTTTGTCTGAATCTATGTTTCGGATCTTCTTGACACTGGATAGAGTATCTTGAATCATGTTTCTCACTGCATTCATATTTAAACGCTCCGGGGCCTTATTTTCCTCTTCTTCTTTAGTTTTGCCCTTTTTCTTTATCTTGTCTTTTTTGGCTTTGGTCTTGACTTGTTTTGTGTTAGGTGTCTCGGACGGAGGCTTGATTAACTCGAGGATTTTGCTCCGCAACTCTAGTTTGATCATGCGATTGGGGAATGTCCTATAATACCTTTCGCCGGCGGTTCCTTCAGGCACAAGCTCAGGACGGCCGCTGCCGGGATCAAGAATAGTGCCTGGCATCGGCACAGATTGAACAAGTAGGGCAGAAGCATCCGAAACGAATTTTGATACGGATAATAGCTCTTTGTAGTTTTCGTTTTGGCAATCGGGACACCTGTGGTTAAACTTGCCATCTCCATAGCCATTACCGATCAAACCAGTAAATCTAAGAGCGTTAAAATCCGTGTAATAAGTGGATCAATGATGAAGACTGAATTTGACTTACTCAATATCTTTCACATCTTCCTTCATTCCACATGTCGTCCATGGAACTTCGTACTTGCTTGGACAGAAGGGGCACTTCAGTATCTTCGTCATGTCGTCATCCTGATTCCGCCAGCGATGCCCAGTCTTGGCGACCCAATGTATTTTTGCTTGGTCAGACACATTATAATTGAACTCGGTATCGATGGCCTGGTGTATTAATTCCCACGGCATACCAGCGGGCCAAAACGTGCCCATTCCATGTCGCATTGAGTCTTCAAGGAAAGCTCGAGGATTGAGCATGTGCGTATGAAGAACCATCAACACATCTGTCAGGGACAGGAAAAAGGGGGAAAAAAGGTCAGTTCACTCACTGGTCAAGCTCAAAGGGGTCTTGTAACTCTCACCTAAAGGTGGCAGCATCTTTTCTTTCCATCTTAGCTTATGGCCGTTTGGAAACTTTCTATACTTGGGGTCATCAGGTGTCGCCATGTCCTTTTCAGTAAGCATGTCAGTTTCCGCAAGAGAATGCCACCATGTCTCATATCGTTCGACCGCACGAGCAATAAACAGCGCCCATCTCTTCTCGCGAATTCTAACATGGCCAGCCTTCATCACAGTTGCTGAATTGGTCTTTTCGAGCAGACGAATCATTGGCCAATCGCCATCAACGCGCAGGTCATCCAATGCCCATTTGCCACGGCTATCCCAGAGGTTCCATAGCCCGTCGGTGTAGCCAATGTCCTCTTTCATAGCTTGGATAGCATGAAGAAGCTTGAGATGAGCGAGACACGAATCTTCCGAAATGCCATATCTGACGTCAATGTGTTCAGCTGTGCTTCTGGCGAATGAGAGGTTCATAAAAGCTGCATTGACGTCTTCAGAAGCCTCACCGATATCGTCACCATTCGCGATCTTGGGGGTCTCGGGAGCAATTGAAGTACTCGTGGAATAGACGGGTAGAATGTCAGAATACATGTAATCGCCACCAGATGCCTGCGGCTCTGGCTGCAGCGGGGCGATCTTCATGTTTGCTCTTTGTTTCAAGTCTCTTCTAGCGTTGCACGCGGTGAATCGACCAGAGGAAGATCGTTACGCGAGGCTGCGAAAACGACGGCAATTTATTCCCCCTGGTCTTCCAACGCGCATATGATGATAAATGTGAGCGTCGACAAATAAGGCGAAAGACGGCTAAACTTGAAATGGCACCTATACCCGCTTGTCATCATCCACTGGCCCTGCAAGTGCGTGTCCCAATATGCATGGCTCAGTTGAGCGATTCGATGAGAAATCAGGATACTTCCGAGACGCCCGATAGACGAATTGTCCAGATATTTGCACAGCCCATCTCATCCCAGTTCACCAATCGATTCTGTTTCTCCGTTCTCGCTTGGGATAGACTTTCACAGATGTAGTATCACTCCCTGTAACGGGAGTCCGAGGGGCGCCGAATTGATACCCCGGTAAAGGGCTCCTGTCATTTGCCATTCATTTGACTTTAAAGACGGATTTAAACTTAATCGCTCCTCTCCATAATGGAATTGGGTGCTGATTTAGATCGGATGAATGCGTCTAGCCTAGCGTTGCACAAAAACATGCCCATAAAATCATTCTAGAAATGACGATAAACTCGACCTAGAAGGCAGGTCATGGGGCCGTTCCAAATCAGGCCTCTCCAATGAATGATGGCCAGTTTAGAGATGCCAAATGCCATAATAAGAATTGATCAAATAAGGCATGCTTTCGCTTGATTGGGGAAGCTTCCTCCGCTCTTCGGAAATGTCAATCCAAATACGGAGTACGGAGGGGGGGAAATAGCGCTCGCCTCACTTTGAAAGATAGACTACGGTTATCGTCCTCACTATCACGCCAATGGCATCCCAATCTACCTTGTTTGAGCTGAAAATTACGAGTACGCGTCATTAGAAATGCCCCGATACGAGGCTGACTTAGCGGCATTACGGCACGCAACGAAAACGCCTTGTCAATCAATATTGGGGCGCAGAAGCACTTGTGGAACGGCTGGATAAGATGGTCTGTTGACGGTCTCAGCACTTCTCCCCGCTTCGTGTTCCGCAGGCCGTTGGCGCCAATTTTGAACACTGTGACAGCACACATGAACGTGCGAACCAAGAGATTTGATATGGCGGGTCAAGCTCATAAATTCAAACTAGCTGAAGACAGGTAAGATAATAAAAAGAGTATTGAGGAATGCCAATAAACCACTGGCCTTCGTATTCGAAGACGACGGCATTCCCATAGTGATAAAGAGGGAAAATATAATTGACGAGACTATAATCAAAGACATCATAGCCCTGAAACGTCTGGAATGCTGGGGCCGCTGGCTCAGCGCTCCGAAGTGTCATCTGCTTGGTATTCTTCTTACTATTCTTGCCGCCTGCCTTAGGCTTCCAGAAATCCTCTCGTGCCTTGTGCGCCCACTTCTCGAAGTCTTTTCGCTTCAGGAAGTACTGCAGCACGACCTCTCTGGCAGCTAGCACATCTTCTAGGTTGTCGTGTATTCCACCTCCACGACGTATTTGGATGCCGAGAAAAGTCTCACACAGTTCTTGGAGTCCCCACCGCCGGCCTGGTTTCTTATTCTCATTCTCACTCTCAAAGACAGCATCTGCTGCAAGAATTGCCGAGTCCACAACGCGGGTGTGGATTAGACGAAGAACTTCAAAGTCGAATAATATCGTTTGCCCAATAAGGATCGTTTGTTCATCAATATGCTTCCACAGCTCTTCCCGAGCGGCAGCCCAACCATGAAGAACTTTCTCTTGCTTTAAAGCCTCGATTATTGCTGTAGCATCTATGCCGTGAATTTTCGCTCGCCAGTCGGTAATTGGCCGCGAAGGACTGATAAATGAGTCAATCAGCGTTTCGCCGGTTAGGAAGTCAATCGCACAAAGGCTGATCAGCTCATCTGACCCGTCAAAAGTCTCTGCCATCTCGCAGTCAATCACAACAGCACGCCGCTTGATGACGGCAGGTTGCATCGGTGGTGTCTGCTGAAACTCTGCGAGACTTGGTCTTGGCCTTGGTCTCTTTGTTGTCGGTCCCTTCGTAGCATCAAGTATATAGCCTTCATCCTCAAGTCTCTTCGTGGAATGACAGCTGGCGGAGAGCTGATTGAAAACCACATCTTGCTGTTGGCACCCAAGGCTAGTATAGGTGACATCGCCAAACGCTAACTGGACAGCAGGCAGAACATTTGTTGGACTCTCTTCGCTATCGATGGCTTCGGTATTTTCAGGATGTGATGGCTTCGCCACCTCTTTGGCGTGGACTGATGAATTTGCGTGGGCTGCTAAGCTCCCCTCACTGTTGAACCATCGCAAGCATGCTCGGCAACATTGGTTCACGTTGTGATCAGTCTCGAGAGCATGGTTGAATATAAGAGACCTGTTTTCAAATCTTCGTAGGCAAACGCTGCACTGAAATGGTGCCATCGACTGTTTGTCTTCAAAGTATCGTTTTATTGGAGTGGGTGATTCAAATGAGATCAAGATGTAAGAAAGAGCATACTACAAAGAATCTGTGGATTCTTTCGGGTACGAGTTCTGATTGAGATACATAAGAAAGGTGAAGCACACATAGGTTAGTTCGGCTGACCACTCCTCATAACGGCTGCATGTAGGATTGAGGCACACAGCCATAGCAGCCATTGACAATGAGTTTCAATCCCTTGCCTGCAGGAAGCTTGTCCAATATTCATCAGCCACGTACCTACTACTACATCGATGCTGTTGGGCCGCTGCTGCAACTAGCACGCATTATGAAATGCCGCAGGTGGGAGACCTATGAGAGACCGTGGTGCGAGGACCACGAGTGACCACTTATGCAGCCCGCAGCCTTGTGTCTAAAAGGCAGCGAGCAAGTCGCATTTCAATCGGGTTACACTGTCTGCACTATAGAAGAGTATAGGATAGCAAACACAAATGCATAGACAAATTGTGGGATAAGAGCGAGATGCTGAGAAAGACGTTTCAAATACAGCATCTCACTGACGAGACACAAAACAGCGAGCCACGATCAATCAACCTTGACAAACTGCCATAGAGTAGTCACATGCTGTCGCAACACCACATTATCCGAACCTTCCAAAACGCACAGCTTCTTTAGCGTGTGCCACCAGTGTGGCATCAACAATTCGTAGCCTCCCTCCGGATGCTTCCTCACCGTCATGAGCTCCCAGGCCTCGTGATGGAATGTTGCCGAGTGCAGCTTATCGGCATTGTTGTGGCCCATGAATCTGCCGGAATGGGTATTAACAAAACCAAAATACCCATTCTTTTCGGCGCACAGCCATGTTTGTTGCTTGTTCACATCGCAGTCGATGTCGTAGACATAGAGGTCACCAGCATCGTTCGAGCAAATCACTCGGTTGGTGTCATTCATAAAGATGTTGTATTTGTTACCGGGCCAGGGTATTGCATATCGACGGCCATCCCAGGGCTCACCAACGACTGTTGGTTCAGACGTTTCCGGCGTGAACTGGGTAAACGCAGTAGATGAGTCGTCCGTTTTTTCTGTCATAGTGCTGCTTTGACGTGTGTTTTCTCCAGATTTGCGGGGTTCAGCACGTGTTAATCCTTGATAGACTAGAGACTATGAACAGTAGACATGTTAGTAATTTTACGTCTTGAGAGAAGTAGCGAAATAGCGCTCGCCTGGAAGTAATAGTGTTGGGATTAAAATGGCTACCAGCTAACTGGGGGAAGACATTCAAGAACAGAATTATTCGCAAACGAACGCGTGTCGGCAGTTATATGGGGGGCCCAAGACATGTGCCTATCTCTAGTGGATATTTGATTGGCCATCCGTCACCCAAAGTTCAATCTTCTAAGTCTCGGGCCTTCTATCATCGCGGCGAAATGGTTTTTCTAACAAGAGATAACGATTTTGCCATGATATATCGTCGCTAGGGAAAACTTGGGCTATTAGAGATATCTCGCCTTTTCCAACATGTTGCGCAATTTCCTACTCAGACTCTTGATCCAGCTCATAACGTCGAAGACCAAGGGGACAAATGTTATGCCCACCAGAACAATCGTCACTATAACCCAAGTTTTAAGCGAGAGGTTCTTTAAGCCTATGTCCATGGCGAAGAAGGATGTGGTGAACGACATTGGCGCAAACACGAAAGCCAGGAAAGTGAGCTTGCCGATGCGCTTAGATTGTTCGTAAGAATTCTTGATCTCCTTCAAATTGATGCTATTCATAAGACTGGAGATAGCATCCTGACATTGAGCTTGCAATGTTTTGACACGTGTCTGGAGATACTCATATCGTTGGACCACTGATATTAGCGCCTGAGCTGCTTTGGGATCTTCTTGACTGGTAGTGCGCCAGCCAATTCCTCCGTGAAGCTGGTAAAGCTTCAGCCAGGCATTGACCTGTTCAAGTTGCCGTTGCTGCCGATATAATATGTCTTTACTGTAGCGTAGGTTGGATAGCATGTCAAAATTGTCGTAATGCTCGTCGTCAGTGAATCCAGCCAACTTATGCTCGACGAGGTTAAGATATTGGTTTAAGGAGGCTGTGGTAATATTGAACACCTCAGTCAGGGCGTAGAGCGGGTCGGTTGCCATGACATTTGTATACAAAGTTCGGCCATATCCAACACAAAGTTGCGATGCCGCCTCTGCGCCCCTGATTGGATGTTCATACCCGTGGGAAGTATATTTCTGAGCTTTAAGGCCAGTACCCGGTTTGTAGTCGATGACAGGTGCAAGAGATGTTGCCTCGGTCTGGAATGCTTCCGGAAGGACCTTGAGATCCAAGATAGACTGGATACTTGGTCTATGACCTGCGTCTGTCCACACAACAACTATTCCCATGTCAGGTATTGATAGAAGATAATGAGAAGCGACCTACCTGTCCATTGAACGTCTTCAGTGTCTTTTCTTCTGAGCGGTTGCTGACAGATCCAGATGCGCTGTTCGAGAGCGAAGCAACTGTGGTCAATAATAGCAACATCTCTGACTATAGAAGAAGCCACTGCGATATCATATCCGCGTAGGTGATCATGGTGCTCTTGAACTTTTGAACTTGCTTCCTTGCGCATGCTATCCACTTCAGCCTGATGTACAACACCTGGAAGAACTTTTCTTTCCCCTATTGTTATTATCGGAAGCTCAAGAATATTCCATGTTGCTGTCGGTAGAGCTGGCAAAGAATAGTTGACAGTGGATTCTTTCGCTGGTTTAAAATGCAGAAAGCGCATGAAGATTTCCGAATCAATTTTGTACTTAGCACCGATAAGGCTCAACCACTCCGCAGAAGGGAAACCGCGAAGAAAGAGTAGCCTGCCCAAAGACTTAGAGGTCTCTGAGCTTGTCTTGTCCACAAAGTCAAAGCATGATTCGTATTCTATAGCAGAGCTGAGGGCCCATATCGTTTCGCTCTGAGCGGACCTCTCGTCAACTGCTTTATCTAGGGGCGCTCAATTGGCATATTATACAAATATCGTGCATATGAACATAACTCACCAAATGTATATGCAAGAGCAAAACGCTCTTCTTGGTGGCAAATAATTGTTGAAGATGATGCATGCGATAGCAACCTCCCGAAGAATCGTGCGAGTAGAGCGTGGTTGGCACCTCGACCATCGGGTAGGTTCGAAAATTCACTAACCAGCTTTGCATACTTCACAGCTGCAGCCGCATGGACCTTTAGGGATGAGAACAACTCATACAAATATGTCTTTTTCTTACCTTGATGTGCTTCATTTGTAGATTTACTTCTGAGCAATGAGGGATCCATTGGAATAAATGAATCGGGATGCGGTATATTTAGACCTTCATTTATGTGATCAAAGAGTATTCGGAAGTGACGGTAGCGTCTGCAAAGAAAGTTTTCATAAGCATACTGAGGTAGGGCTTCCTTCTTATATGTGTGGCGTATCGAGCATGTAATCTCCATGCGACAGGTTGGGCACTTATTAATGTCTTGCATGTAATAATCTTACAACATGCATACAAGTTGGGCCTCAATAATAATATTATCGGCTGCATGCATAGTATTACGGGCTGTATGCATAGTATGACTGGCTGCAGACATATTAGTAAACACAATATCATTAGCCATGTTTCTAATATCACTGAGCCTGGAAGTATCCTTATTGCAGATGGTTATGACATTCTTAGCTGCATATAAAATCTCGTCGGCTGTATGCTGGATCTCGCGTACAAGCCTTCGAGCCCTACTAGGTACTTAGTGAGGTAGATCTCGAGCTCTATAACGCCAGCCAAGCTAGACACCCGGATCAACGAGACATAAATATCACCAGCTCGTCGTAATCTTTCTCTATAAGCTCGTCCCATGAGCGAATGTCTTGCGGTATTAAGCTTTGGCGTTGTTTATGGGCTGCTTTGAATGATTGATCAGCTTTATCCACATTGCCGCTTGCCAAATACAGTTGGCCTTGTTTAAAAGTTGTTCGAGCATGTTCGTGTCTGTGGTGTGGGCGGCGAGCGAAGATTCTAAGTGCTTGCGTAAGGTATTCCCTGAGATCAAATTATATTATCAGCAACTGCTGCATTAGTATATTCAAACAAACTTACTGCGCCCTCTCAAACTGTCCCAGTCCCATCAAGTCTTGAGCTATCTTATGGCTTACATCACCAATTCGATGATGTCCTCTGCCTAGAGTTTCTGACCACTGGCTTAGAGCTCGGAAATGATAACCTAGTGCATACTCTAGATCTCCAAGAGACAGGTAGACGTTTCCAATGCCGTATAGAACTTTTCCTGTCCTATTGAGATATTAGCTTCGCTTCTACTTATTTAAAAAGGGACATACTTGAAGGATTGTCTATCATCACGGCCGTACGCAGCTTCGTATATGTTGCGCATGCGGTGCAGTGCCTTCAAAGCCAATTTGTGATTTCCTTGGATCCAATACATCATCCCAATATTCGGTAGCGGCCACCCAAGCCATTTTTCATCGTAGTCAGGGATGGACATATATGTAGAAATGCTCTCCTTGAAGGAGTCAATTGCCAGGGGATACATGTTGTTCATCGCATAAGCAACACCAACTTCATTATATGCACAACCGAGTTCATAGTCAATTATTTGCTTGCCGTCTGATGATTTCCTTTCGCGCATCAAGCTGAGCCATATGAGATTGTGACGCAGACTTTCTTGCGGACTATTAGTCTCGTTTGCAGCCGAGCCCTGGTTGTTATGGCATTCACGTAGCAATTCAGCGACCTTCTGAGTGGGACTCGTCTGCTGAAGTGACCGGCAAATTCCTTCTGCGAGTCTGTAAAATGGCTTTGATTCATGTGGGACTCCTCTCTCAAAGCAATACCTGTTGGAAATTTAGTATTATAAAATGGAATTTCATCTGGGACATACCATCCAGCGTCGTTGAATAGAGATGCCGCCTGTTCTGACGCTTTGATCTTTTTGGATCTGAACATCTCCTCGTAGTAGTGATAGATTCGGTCTACATGAGGAAAAATCGCAGAACACACTTCATATCGTGCGGTATTGAAGCGGTGCTCAAGTGGCTGATACACCCAGGCCTCTGAAATGATCTCAAGAGCGGTTAAAAGTGCCTTGACTCGCACTTCGGGACTCAACGACTCTCGCACGATGTCTTGGTAAATTCGATGCATACGAATGGTATGGGTGAGCTCGTTGAAAATGATCAAAGAAGCCTTTTGCAATTTATTTTGAGCATGGCTGAGCTCGCCATGGTTTTTTGGAAATGCGGGAAGTTGTGCTCTATCAGAACTGTCGATGAGGAATTTTTGATGAATACCTTCAGGGTTCATAAATGAGATTGCATAGATTAAACTCTGTGTGCACTCGTCTAAGTGCGCAAGGCCAATCATTGAGGCAATGGATACGGATGCGTCTTGCACTGAGCGCATCTGTGGTTTGTTATCGACCGAAACGGCTTCAAAGCCGTTCTTCTCCAATAAGGCCAACATCGAATCGTAGGTAAGATTTCGAGCTGACATTGTGCTTGCTATTGCGGAGATGACAAGAGGAAGTCCACCAGCCCACTCAGCGATAGCCTCAGCAGATTCTGACGAGCCCTTGAAATGAGTCCGAGAAACAGCACAGAGGAATTTGAGAGAGTCTGATGAAGATAATGGGTCAAGATCCAAGCCGTTTTGGGCAGTAAAAACGTGCGAGCGTGACAGCGGATCACGGCTTGTGATTAAAATAGATCCTATACCGGTGGTTGGCCAAAAGTCTTCGACGATACCCCAATCATTGACATTGTCAAGCACCAAAAGCCATGAGATTTCGTTACCAGGGCTACTGAGAGGTGATTCGGCATTTTTCACAGGGTTGCAGAGCCATCCTTTGACCAATTCGCAAGCCTCTGCCAGATCTCGTGCTTCACTCTTCTCTTGGAGACCAAGTTCAACCGCAATACGTGCGAAATCTTCAAGCAAGACGTTGCGGCTCTCTGCTGTAACCCAAAAGATGGCAAGATATTTGTCTTTCCTGGTGAAAATATACTCAGAGGCCAGTTCAGTCTTCCCAATTCCTCCAGCGCCACATAATGCAAAGGTCTTGAGGTTTCCGGATTTCCGGGATAATTCTTCATCAATTGGCGATGGTATACTCTCAGGAAGCAGGCTTTTGTCGATTGACCGAAAAATGTCATCGCGTCCGAAAAATGGAGATTTGCGAGTCTGTGATCCTACCGAGAAACAAGGGATGCGTAGTTTAGGCTGCACTGTCTCAAACTGATTGGTAGAAGGCACAACCTCGTATGCGAAATTCGATGAGTGACCAGCGCTTGCAGAAGGCGTCTTACAATCCTGCTTGGGTTCGATGCTAAGGAGTGCCGAGTCGCAATTCTGGCTGGTGTCCTGGTGGCTCTCTATACCGGACGAGCTCAAAGCTCCTGTAATTGGTTTGGCCATTCTACTTCTATGACTCCGTAAACTTTGTATATCCCATTCATCTAGGTAACCGCTATCGGTATGGATATCAGAGCGTTCTGTATGGGCGTCAGAAGGCATCTCATTGACAGGAAGTTGACCTACCAGTAACGACTCGGGTTATAGAAAATGATTTATGCTTGAGTACAGCGGCATCTATCATCTGAGCTATGGCTTCATACAGCTTGCCACCAATTTCTATCTTGCACAGATTTTCATGGTTGCTGGGAATCCCATATGTAATGGCTCGAGGATTTGAAGGTAAACTGGCTTGTTCTTCTGTCACCACCTGTTGATGTATTAGCAGTGATTCATCAATAAGAGGGAGTATGAATAATTCTACCGCTGGGGGTCTTGAGAATTGGACCCTCCATGTCAGGCCTCGATATTTACTTTGAATGGTCTCAAATGCTGAAATAATTTGACCCTGAAAGTCTGAGAAACGCTTGGAGATCAGCTCAACCGCCTTATTATCATCTTGTGTGAACGACGAGGAGTTAAATGGAGCCGCGCTCGCTCTCACTATGGCCTCAACAATATTGATGTCAAGTTGGCTCGCATCTTCAATGTGCGGGGTTCCGAGAAATACAATGCCAAAAACGCGGTCCAGAACGTTATTGTTCTCATGCCTTTTTTCAGCCATGTTCGCATAGGCCTCAACGATGTTAGCAGAGTCACAACACATACTTTTAAGGAAGACGGTATTACTTGTTTCCATGTAAGTCCGCCAAGGCTATGGCACACGATCAGCATCGCCGCACAGGGGGACTGTCTACCTTAGCGTCGTCTTGTCTTAAGTACTGGGGAGCACCTACATCCCTTGGGTTAAGCTGGTGAAGTTTTGTCGGAAGTACATGGCTCTGTTGCATTAGTGACTGTAAAATAGGCTGCCCTTTAATCACTTCGTATTCGAAATGCCAGATACGGACTTTCTCGCTATGCTTTTTCTGCAGTTCTCTGAGCCACTCTCCCGATGAGTGTCTCCAGTCAGCGGGGCGAGGAAGACCAATACCAGGGATGATGACAACGCTGCAATAATCGATTAGCGAGGTTATAGCCGCAGTGATAAGATGAATTCACTTGAGCGCAGCATCAGTATCGGAGGATATAGCTGGAGGGTGGAGGAGATTTAATGCCATAACTTGGACTACTATAGATAAAGAGTCAGTGATGGAAGCAGAACTAAGAAAGAAAATTGGGCTGGCAATGTACTGTAGCCTTATATAGGTACACGCAGCACATGCATCATGCCACCGCACAGCCCTAAAATACAAGCATATACGGAACAAGCGCGGACCGAGAGCCAATACACAAGGATTGACTTCATATTCATATCAGCCATGCAGGTAACCCCTCTTCATGGATCATACTGTGATACGTAGCGAGCCAACGTATCATCCCCCTGTGGACTGCTATCTCCACTCATTACAATATGTTATATAAGAAGCTTTGTAAAGACAGCAATTAGACCGGCTAGGGGCATTTATTATGCTAGTTATAAAATGATTGCCCACACAGCAACGCCCCAGCAGTCACCAAAGAAACCGTGCCTTAGATGGGCACTTTGGCGCATATACCATCACCACCTTGAACACGAGATGGAATAACACGCGGGGGAAAGTAGGCTTCGAATGCACTCATGAACTGAAATATTAAGTCCTCTCTGCCAGCCTGAGCCATTATACCCAGTCCATATGGTCTTCCATCTGCCTGAATGACTCCAGCGGGCATCGTCGCAATTGGATACCCTGCAAAGTTGTTAGAATAGTCTCGCTGAATGTCTTGTTGAACCGTACCTGATGCAGCTGATATGAACACCATAAGGCTGTCCAGAGGAAAGGCTAGTATATTCAAGTTCTGCTCGCGAAACAGTTTATCTATGCCGTCATCTTTTGACACTGTCTTAATCCTCTCCTTGACAGCCTCATAAATTGCTCTCGTCGGTGGGTCTCGAGAAGCTTTAAGCAGCTGGTTCTGATCCGGGTGGTCTTAGGTTTAAGATGTCCCGTTAGAATAGTGCTATCCGGAATGACAGTAATACATACTCTCAGGCAGCTCCTGTTGTTGGTGGTCCAAGTTGAATTTGATCACATCTTCTATTGTGCTTAAGCCAGGAACTTTAGCTTCGCCTAGCCAGGTCTCGAGTGCCTGTTTGCCTTCGTATGCTTTTGGATGTCAGTATTTAGCCATGGATCTCTCGAGATACCTACATATGATCACGTCGATTGGATTCCGCCCCTCATACCATAGGTCCGTAGCGGGTGGTATATCGACTGGATATGTCACAGATGATTCGATACAATGTGTTTTTATGCGTTCAATGACGGCGAAGTATATGTCATTCTATAGAAAATTTAATTTTAGTAACGCAGACAAAACTGGGAAACTCACCATTTCTTGCAATGTAGCCTCGTCTAACTGCACAATACCGGGGTGAAGAGACCATTTCGTAGGATCAAGAAAGCCTATCCGAAGCGAGTCAAAGGTTTTGGTTAGAAATTTCTGATAGCCTTCTTCTGGCAGTAGATTACGCTTCTCCTCGATCAATGCTGCCTCACTCAGCAGGGCCAAGTCTGCTGTAGATCTAGCAAAGCCGCCTACAACATCCAGCTCCAAGGAGCTTTTGAAAACTCCATCCATATTCACACTGTTTAGTGCGGGCTTGAAGGCATACAATCCGGCTCTGGAACCTGGCATGACTATGGAACCAATTGACTCAGTTCCTAAAGCTAATGGGGCATAGCCTGCCGAGACGCCCACTGCGGAGCCTGTGGAAGAACCACATGGATCCTGACAAATTATGTGGTCAGCTTGGAGCCTCAAGAAAGGTGACGGATCGTACACTCTGCCCAAGGCCTTTCTCATCCTGCTTGAGAGCAATATAAGCGGATTGTGTTTGCCCCCCGACTGCTGACCATCCGTTCGAATTTACATCGGACCTATGTTTATGTCATGTTAGACTTGAAAGCATAGCTGGATCGTTATAACACACTTGAAGTTGCAGAATTGCTATATGTCGTCCATTAGTGTATGTCAAAGATCTCCCGAACGCCCAACATTTGCCTCACTTACATTCAAATTTGTTTTACCTAATACGATGGCGCCCAAATCCTCTAGCTAGGTATCATGTCAGACTCTCCAGGAACTGTATGTGGCATCTCTATCCTCTGACCTTGTCGACTATGTGGGCATTTTTGGGCATAAGCGAGTCTTTCAAGGCAAGACTACCCAATGTCGTTGCAAGTTCGAGGGAAGGTCTTGTCGCAATGGCATCCTATGCAAAGTTAGCAATATTAGGCCGTAGTGGAACATCCGGAAATGACAGACTTTGACGAGTATCGGTATGCCGTGGAATGGGCTCCTGACGAGACCTGCCGCTCGCTCACGGTCAAGCTGTGCCGAGCGCTCCATCAGAATGCGGTTTGGAACGATAGAAATCATCGCATTCAGCTTCGCGCCTTGCTGATCATGTTTGCCAATTTGCGCAAGACATGCTTGAACAAGCTCGACGCTGGTAAGCAAACCAGCCTCGAGTTTTCTCTGCAGTCCTGCACAATCCAAACTCAGTAGCTCAGTAGTTGACAGTCGCGCAGCCATCTTGACGATGGGATTTGTGAATGGCAGAAGAGAGCAAGATGATGTAAAGGCAGTGCCAGAGTGAGTGATCAAGGTTGCGGGGTCGCAGATTTTGTGAAATCCATACATGCACCTGTAGGTAGGCAAGCATGGATTCACTGGCCACTGCAGGGACTTGCAATTTCCCCGAGCCTGGCCAAATTTTCTGGCGCAACCTCCTTGTGTACATCCTGTGAATCACTGATCTTGGCCCTTCCAATAAGCATCACTCGCTAAATTGCGCATAGAGTCGGCCAATAAGATAGAACCACGTTGCGTGCTGCATGCCAGCAGAGGCTCGTGCGCGATTCCAGCATGTCAAGATGGTGTTCGGAAACTGCGTAAAGGAATGCTGCAGGTCCTCTTGCGGATGCTCTTGGACTTTTTTTACTACTTTTCTACTTTCCCTTTCTCACAAAAGCAATTATACACCAACGCCATGACCGCAGCGATCTCGGCATCTTTCTTTTTCCTCCAGCACGATGAGAAGTGGGTTACGGAAAAGCCTTACCACGTCTTGTTCGATCCTCCAGAAGGGCTGGAAAAGAGCAATCTGAATCTACAACAAGTGAATAATATTACAGTGAAGGATATTCGGGAGCTCGACTCTCCACCCACCATCGAGAAGAACGGCTTTACACTGATCAAGATTAACCCTGGACCCTTAAAGTCTGAAGAATTCGACGACAACCAGAAGGTCGCAAAATTCTTCCTCCCACAAGCCGCTGCAGCCGTGAAAGAAGCACTCGGTGCATATCGAATCCAATTCTTTGATACCACAGTACGTCGATGCCTTCTTGCGTAGTCCATTTACTCATTCTATATCAAGGTACGAAGACGACATCCTGATTTCCCTATTCACGTAGGAGGAAGCTATGCTCACCTGCAACCCACCTCGATCGCACACATTGGTAAAGTAATTCTACTTAACTTCATGAATCTACTCTGAATTTTTATAGATACTACTGAAATTGATGCGGAAGGTATAATGTTCAAGTTAAACCCACATGAGGCGGTCGAACTGAGCAAAAGGAAATACCAATGGTTCAAGTATGCCTTTTTGTACTGGATAATGCTCGATGATACGCCGGCGGCTAAAGCGTGCTATAGCATATGGATCCCATTAAAGGGCCCAGTACGCGATTATCCTCTCGCATTACTTGACATTAGCACAATAGATCGAGACGCAGACCTGGCGCATCAAGACACAGTCAAAAGCGATGTGGTGCACGAAACATACCAAATATATAGCAATAGCAACCACCGTTGGTACTATGCTAAAGACCAGATGCCCGACGAGGCCTGGTTATTTATTCAGGCCACCTCAGGCGACAACCCTCCACCAGGCAAGATAAATGCCGCCCCTGGCCATTCGTACTTAGCTCATGCTGATTACAATAGGAGTTCCACATACATCATTTGACTACCCAAAACGATCAAACCTTGACTCTCTTCGTGAGAGCATTGAGTGTCGCGGTTTTGCATTCTACGAATAATAGCGTACCTACCTATGTATCAATTGCAAATCTGGTAAAGATGCATGTACCTACCTACCTACTTAGGTATCTAGGCATCAATAAATTTCATCTCGAGCTCTGCATACATACATACCTATCTAAATACCTACCTAGGTACTAGATGGGTAGTAGGTACGGACAGAAAATTTGTAGAACTTGAGTGTACCTAGGTAGGTACCTTAGGTAGGTAGGCATTTACTTAGCAGGCAGCAGTTACAGCTGTATTTAACCTCTCATTTTGCTTATGTATTTAATCTCTATACTTGATAGGTGGGTAGGTAACGAGATATACATAAATATCCTCCCCATTTACTCTTCCGTTAGAACATTTTCAGTAGACCTCCATGTTTCTCTCCATCTCCACTTTGCGCACTGTTCCTCATAGCTGATAACGGTCATGGAGTCGGAAATTGACAGCTTCGCAAATAGATTTAGGCATCTGTGTTCAGTTCCGAGTTTGAGTCGTACAAAATGCGCTCACTCTCGCCATCATTGCCGCTGGTACCACCTAGGGCAATTTTCTGGCCTTTGTTGAAGCCTTTGAGCTTGTCTGAGTAGTCGCCTTTGGGCCCTGGCTTCCAGTGTTCGCGCCACGGCTGAATACGGCCGTCATTTGTGCCAAAGATAATTTGCTCATCAGCTTTGTCGTTCTTGCTATCTTGTTGCTGCTCCATAGTGTGTGGGTGGTTTAAAAATGTATAATAATAGAGGTAGTATTGTACTTCAAAAGTGCGGGATAGATAATTTTACTGTGAAACGGGCTTCAAGGCTAGACGTGGGAGCTGGAAATTTCGGGTCTTTATGCTTGGGATATGCTATGTCCCTAGTCCTTTGGGAATGTTTGTTGGGGTTTTGTCACTTCCTATTGTTCAAAGAAGGAGGGGGTGTTAATATATTCTGTGTAACGCTCCGCTCTCTCCAACCACTTAGGATGTTGCTTGTTCACCGCTCTTCAAATATGAAGTCTGTACATCCAATAGACTCAAAGTTCATGATAAATTAATAAAGTTGGTGCCTAATTCACCTGAAGGTGGCGCACATACGTGGCACTGTCTGCAGCTGCCTTACCTCCAACTTACGTGTCCCCGAATACTGCCTGCTCGCCGATCTTAGACTACCATACTATTTCTTTACTAATGAGGCTGCAGCTTATTGAACCCTATAGAGAACAGGTGGCTACAAAAAAGGACTGTCTGTTTTTTTTTTTTTTTTTTGGTGGAATGGTCCAACGCAGTCAGATACGAATCACAATGGCACAATACGATGATTATGGAGCGTTGTACACAAAACTAAAGAACAGGCCTATTCCAATAATGCAAAATAGGTATGCCAGTGAGGCTATGAATAACCTTACCGGGTTAAGGGTCTTGGATGCAGCTTGTGGAACTGGATTCTACTCTCAAATGATGGCCGGTCAAGGAGCGGCTGAAGTTATCGGCATCGACATTTCCTCCGGCATGATTGAAAACGCCAAGAAAGAGCTCCCTATTCACTGGTCAAATGGCCCTATTAGATATTTTGTCGGTGATTTTGAACAGGCAGATCTCCTCCAAAGCCTTGGCTTGGATGAATTGAGAGGAACTTTTGATGTGGTGTTTGCTGCTTGGTTGCTCAATTATGCTGCTGATTGGCAAGGTTTGTCGAGGATGCTGGATAACATTTTTGATGCGCTGAAACCAGGAGGAAAGCTCATCGCCCTGACACCGAATCCTTTCTTGCTTAAAGAACATGGGCCGGAAATGACGACGGAAGAAGGCCTAATTGGCGACAGGTGGCAAGTCACCGAAATTTACGACTATGGTTACAGAGTTCATATGATAGTAAATACTTCGCCCAGTGTTGAATTTGATTCTTACGTTCTGTACGTGTCGGAATATGAAAAGGCTGCAGCAGCCGCAGGATTCCCGTGTCTATCTTGGGAAGTTGGTACGTCGTCTTGTTTTGCAGATTATGCGGCTACAGCTTGATAACCCAGACTAATTAATATCACTCTTAGTGAGCATTACAGCTAATCATTGCGAAAAGCAAACTCTATGACTAACTTCGATAGATGGTACCAACAGAGGCCGAATTCGAGAGAAATGATCGGAAATGGTGGAAGCCGTATATTGATCGACCTCGTGGTTGCATACTCTTTGCAACAAAGCCAATATGATGCCTATGTAACGCTGATATCTCAATACCTCAACTTTGTTTTTCTATAAAGAAAAGGACTTCTTAAATTTGCCAATATATTTATATTTATCTAGGCCATCGAGAAGAAGGAGAATCCTGTTATTATTTGCTACTAGTTCTTTGGGCAGTTGTGGCTTGTTCTGATCCGTCCTTTAGCAGACTAGAGTCCTTTCCACTGAGGAGGCATTTTTAATTATATGTTGGTCTCTTGATTTGTTATAGCTCACATTCTACAGCTTATGTCGATCGCACACATTCACCACATATTCTGCTCATCATAGCATGTCTATAAAGCTCGGGGATGAATATGTGCAGATACACTATGTAGTAGTTTATTAAAAAGTGCTCTGGAACAGGAGTATAACTATACCAGGGATGGAATATTCCTAAGTACGAACTTATTACTTCCACCGCAACTATTGCATTTTTGTGCTTACATATATATGGATGAGAGTTCGTTTATAGTGGAAATTGCAATTCTGAGCGAGAGTTTTGTACATAGAATGATAAGTCGGATGACATATTAAAGCATAGCGGAGGAAAGCCCTTTTCTACTGCAGCTGTTTTAAAACATATGTCCGTCATGGTGTCTAACGATGTTTCGAAGCTGAGGTCATTCCAAGCATAACAGAGTGCATCCAGCTGAATTGGGATTCGCACGAGGCCCTGAAGCAGCCAATGGTCTCGAAGGAAGGACTCAATTTCATTGACTTTTGGCTTTATGTCCGGGTCAGCATAGAGATATTCTTTCACTTGCTTTGGATGAAACCCGATCGTCTCTAATTCCAAGTCTATTGCGGACTGAGTTTTGGTAGATGGTCGGGATGTAATAATAACATTTGGCTGTTTCAAAAGATCTTCGAGGAAGAGAGACATTGCATCTTCGCCTCTCAAATAATGTGACACTTCGTCTAGACCATCGAGAAGAAAGAGAGTCCTACTATTGTCGGCCACTACTGCTTTGGATAATTCTCGAGCCAGTTCCGGCTTGCTTTCCGGCAATGAGAAATATTCATCGCTGAAGAGACATTCATAGTTAAATCCTGGCCTCATTCTTTCTCTTAGTTTAAAATTCCGCAGAGGCACCCAAAGGATGCGGTCGAAGATTTTGTTCCAGTCCGGCCATGCGCCTCGATGAAACTCATGGACAGTCATTTTGCACAAAGTAGTCTTTCCCACTCCTGCGGATCCCCAGATAACAATTCTTCTTAGACGTATGATGCAACCATCTTTATCTTTACGCTCATCAAAAAGTGTTCCCAAGTCAACTTGGTTCTTTTCCTTGATCATATTATTCGAAGCCTGAGCCCTTTGTCGGGCGAGTAGCGAGAAAGGGAAAGCCAGTGCTGAAATAGAGTTGTATGCCGTTTCTCCCGGCCGCGCCCCAATAATAAGATTGATAGTAGCATTGCTTCATCGGCAATTTGTCGCCAGAGAGTCGTTCAATCTGGAGCCTGTTGGTCGTGTAATGTTTATTGTTGATCCAAGTTTCCGCTTGCCGCGGTGGTCTATCTCGAATTGGCTGAAGAAGTGCCTCAAGCTTTCCGGTGACGGTAATATAATCGAGATCATCGGTCCCGCAGAATTTATTCATCATTACGTGAGATCGTTCGAGTGGCAGATGGTTTGAATCAATGTCTAGAGTTGCCGAGGTACTATTAACCAGCTGCCCAAGCGTTAGCATACCATTAAACCCATCGTATGGAACAACGGCTGCATAAATACAGCCATACATACGTACAGGCTTCGATTGGCCAAAAAAAGGAAGGAAATAAGACGGCAAAAATTTTCTCGGAAGAACCGTCCCTCGTGTTTCAGAAGGTGTGCACTTTGCAAGGATTATTTTTATCTTGGTATAGGCGAGTGAAAGTGCGCACAAGTTCCTCAAGGTAAAAGGTCGATCCTTTCACACTCTCAAGCAGCTGTGTCACCGATCGGTTTCTTGACGGCGTCGTGCGGGTTGAAAAGTTCCAGCGCGATCTACCCAGGTAGCTATATCTTGGAATGCAGTCCCCCTGAATGGCGTAGCGAGGAAGATAATGTCACGCGTGGCCTTCCGAATAAAGATGTAGTCGCTCTGTGGATTATCAGCCATCGTGAGAGCCTCCATCAACATGATGCCCCCGAGGCATGACGCGATAAAGATAATTGGCCGTTCTCTATCCTGATCATCTGTTGCCAAGTTAAGTCTCATATTCTGGATACCAGCAAGCAGGCGCCGAGCAAACTCTTTGACCGTCCACGGAATTGAGTCTGCGTCTTGGAATAAGTCGGCCGGCCAGTCGCAAGTGAAGATTCGAACTCTTTTCATCTTGCCTGGAAGCATGTTGGGATCGCCTAGCCAATTTACATCAGGTCTATTCAAGTCCTTGGATAGCCATGTCCACGTTTCGGGTAATTTTGTGTCCAGGCCGTGAACGGCAATGATGTCGACATCTGGTTTACCATCGCGCGAGTTAGCTATGTTGACTTGATTAAGGACAACGCAACGTGATTGTTCAGCCATCTGAGCAGAGATGGGTGGTGATGTAGTGCTCTTGGCCCCGTTTCGCTGTGAGGGTGGAAATAGTATATTTACTTCAAATAGCTTCTGGGGGTTTATCTATTTGTCCTACACTTTAACCAATGGACTTCATCATAGAAATGCGGAAATGTGCACGCAACACTGCGTTGAAGCGGGTGCTAACCAATTGAGTCTTGCAATACTGCCCAATGGTTTGGCGCCTCGCCTGCATAATACTCTCATGTGGCCCTCCAACAATACAAAATCATTTGAGGGGTAGTGGTACAAAATTTCCGACATGGAAGAGAGATAGAGCCCGTGAGATACCTTATAATCGCTCATTTTTACATATTGGGAATTCGGAATCGACGCCTTATGGAAAGTCCTACAGTAATAGCCTTGAGAAGTAACATATTTTGACATATCAAGGATCGCGACTTTCGACCGAACAATATATGCAAACTCACAAGCTGTTCTCTATTTTAATCGTCCTCTCCCAGTCTCTTTTAATCTCATCAAGAAGCCCCTCTGTCAACAAAACATCTAGTGCAACTCCAGCCAGCCCCTTTGCCACCCTCAGAGTCCTCGCATAAGCATCGCGTGTCCCGGCAGCCTCAGCAAACTCTGGATTATGCGGACCTTGACCTTTCGGCCCAGGCTGCAATCGAAATGCAGGGCTCAGACTCGGCATCGCGTGGCTGATGTCGCCCTGATCTGTACTTGCCTGTGTTTTGCCTCGCGTCTCATCGATGTCCTGATCTTTAGCAATCTTACCCGGAGGGTCAAGGGCGTTGAAGTACCGTGTATAAGATCGCGCCATTGTTCGGTTAGGCACGTGGTTCTTGTAGCCCCAGCGTTCGGTAATAGTCACTTTGGCTCCGGTGGCCAGAGCACCTGCTTTGAAGCAGTCGTATACTTTCTCCTTGAGCTCGTCGAGACGCCTTTGCGTATCTGATCTGACAACGAATAGCCCCGCAGCGTAGGCATGGATGATGTTAGGGGCAATACCGCCATCGGTGATGTAGCCTTGAACTCTGTCCTCGGGCATGATCTGCTGTCTAAGTGCCGAGACGTTATTGTATCCAGCAATCAGGGCGTCTAGAGCATTAATTCCAAGCCACGGATTGGCCGCAGCATGCGCCTCGCGACCAAAATACTCAACCTTGAACTGCAGATACGATGTTGTCCGCATCAAAGCCGCGTTTGGGGTGATTCCAGGATGCGAAATGAGGCTCACATCGACCTTGTGGTCAGAATAGGCTCCAGCATTGAGAAGCCTGATTTTTCCTCCGCCGCCTTCTTCTGCTGGTGTGCCGAACAAGACGACCTTTCCGGCGGCTCGATAATGCTCCATCACTCGAGCAGTCGCGACAGCGCCAAGGACCGAGGCGGTGGCGATGAGATTATGGCCGCATGCATGGCCGATGCCTGGGAGGCAATCTGTCGCGAAATAGAAAGGTTAATATCGGTTATCTGCTCCGCCTCAAAGAATTGCATGGCGCAAGCGAAACTCACCCATCTCCGCATTAAAAGACACAACAGGACCGCGTCTTCCTGTATCAAAAACGGCAACCCAGGCTGTGTCCATGCCATAGGCAGACGGGGTAACAACCCAGCCACTCTGGGATTTCATGAAGCCAGTCAAAGCATCGTGGGCGATGATTTCCTTGAATCCTCGCTCCGGGTTATCGTGAATCTTTTTGTTTATTGGCCAGAAGACCTCGTCGAGACTGTCTACTGCCTGGCTGATATCATTGAGGTACCGCAGCTCCGACAACGCGTTGCTGGGACCCGCATCAATTAGATTGGCATCTTTAAAAGCATCATCGCCATGTGATATAAGAACGAAGCCATCAACTTCCTCGTCAATTGACGCCATTTCACGTTACTTCATACAACGATTGCAAGCTCCCTTCGCCTAAGCAGACAGCAGTGCAAAAGGTACCATGTAACCATCTTGCCGTCCTGAGGGGTCGTCTGAACGCGCCTTGGCCTGCTTCATCCCATGTCTCTCCTTTCCAGGGTAGCACCAAAGCGGGCAGGATTCGCTGGCCCTGGTTTAATCCACCTATCAGATCATGTTGTTGCTCAATGAGGGGCATGTTCTATTCCAGGAGGACATGCAAGGCGTCGGGCTTCATCACGTGAAACAAATCCCATTGGATGCCGAATGTTGTTGGATCGAGCTGGTCGTTAATAGAAGCGGTTCTCGCAGCTTGAGCATCGGAATGTTGACAGGAGTCACATCCCGTTAGCAAGAGATTCCCAGAGCTCAGGAGCGCGATTTGCCGGCGGTTTGTTGCGCGCAGAACGCTTCAGGATTGCAAGTATCACAGAGAGACCGCAGCCCGGCGCTGTCAATTGCCGGGGCTCTTAAGCTGTTGGGCGTTGTGCAAAGCGATCGGGTTATTGAGCCGATTGCGACAACGGCGTGATGCTTCCTTTGCGCTCGCCGCCAAGCAAAAGATCGATTCAGCCTCCTGAGTTGCGATAACACCATTTACTTGTTCGCTGTCCCTTTTTCCTTGCCATTTGTTTTGGCTCAACGAATACCACGATATCCCAGCCACTATGCCTCAGCCACAGCACAGCACAAGTCCAACCACGTCTGATGATTCATCAGTAGACTTACATGAATCTCCGTCGGAGCAAGGCTCGTCAAACGAGGTGGTCCGCAAATCTAACAAACCGCTTAGTCGGCGGGGCCACTTCAAATCACGCCTCGGATGCTTCAATTGCAAGCGCAGAAGAGTCAAATGCAATGAATTGCGGCCATCTTGTTCGCCATGCTGTCGTCTCGGCTTGAATTGCAGCTATCCGACACCGGCCTCAGCGTCGTCCTCTTCTTCATCTTCTTCGTCGTCTTCGTCTTCACTTACTCCACGTGCTGCTCTATCAGGTCTTGCGTTGGAAGATTTGCGCTTCTACCACCAGTTCCTTCTAGCTGCTTTTCCAACACTACCTTTAAAAGCCAAAGATGTCTGGATGGATGCCGCCGCCATGTCACACCAGGTGAGATTACCACAGTTGCGAATCGCCTTCAGCCCTATGTCATCTTACATGCATGACTAACAAGGGCGTGCATACACTTGCTAGTATGACTATCTCGCACACGCTGTTCTTGGCCTTGGAGCCTCGCATCTATCCCAACACGGCAACGTCGACTACACGTCGCAAGCCTTGCAGCATCGTGTTACCGCTATGAAGCTTGTCAATGAACAGCTCGATCACCCGCCGACAAAACCCGCCGACCAAGATGCGCTCTTCGCGGCCGTGATATGTCTCGTCACCCAATCGTCTCTTATGCCGGACAGCATGGTTGACTACATCACAACAACGAGAGGCGGTAATTTGGTAGCCTCAACCATCATTACAAACTATGAACATTCCATCTTCAAGTACTTTACGCCGCTAGAACATGATCGATCCCTGGAGAGGCTCATCTGCGAACAGCCAAGGGATTTTGAAGCCATCGAAGGCTTTCACGCATCCGCTCTGCGTATAAGGCCGTTGTGCCAGAAGTTTACCGAGGTGGCATATTGTGAATCCATGATTAAATGCATCAATAATTTACGCACCTCGTGTCTAGAAGGTATGGCGCCACTATTCAGGTACTACCTGTTATGGTGAAGTACATGTAACTCTTATTTCTGAGTCAGCGCTGACAAGACTTTTACTCATTCTATAATATAGCTTGGAGAGAATTCGTCATTTTGTTCATCTTGCCGACCACTTTTAATAATCAAGACTTTATGGAATTCGTCGACTACGAAAATCACACGGGCCATCTCTTGCTCATTCACATGTTTCTTTTAGACTACGTACTTGGTAATGCGTGTCTCTCTAAAGCTGACGAGCCCGAATATCCTGGGAGGAAATTCGTCATTATCAATTGGACTAGAGATTTAGCCCGCAGGCTACCGTCCTCGTATCAAGTATACACTGAATGGCCGCTAGAATACTGCAAGTTTCTAGCTGAACGAGATGCACGGTACCTTCTCAGCCCCTGATCCATGCAAGTTTCTCCATCTTTGGAGGGCGGTCATTACCCTAATCAGTAGCCGTTGTCACTCCGTATACAAGTCGAGATGTATCAAGGTTAGAGGCATCCGCTGCATACGCCTATTATCCCAATGGCGGTCCTCGGCTGTCATTGTACAGCCTTTCGGCTGCTATGAAATTTGGCTCAATGGCAGATGTTTGGAGCTTGCTGCTACATGTACTATTCAGCCACGTGAGTATTTTCTCCTCCTAAGAAAGACTTATTGACCCTGATGTAATGATCAAGATATAAAGATCACATTTTACCTGTATAGTATTAAAGTAAGGCGTATGTATGTCGCCTTTATTATGATGAGACTAGGTACATATACATGTAGTGCCTACCTACCTAGCATGGAGTATGTAGAAGACTGGCAGAATATCTGCATACAGCAGCATACGCCTGCATAACTTAATAATTTGCCCTTGGCCTGATTATTAGCTAATGACAAACAACTTTGGATTAAATCTCAGCATACTCTACCCAGTCATCCACTCAATAGAAAGGTGCAGGTATATAGATGGCATGATGAATGAAGGCATTCGGAAAATTCATTCTTCACTCCTCTCGTTCTGTGTAGCCTCATAGTTTTATTTGTGAGCATCTTCTTTCAACTCATCACGTGATAGGTCTGGTGGTCTAGTGGTATGATTCTCGCTTAGGGAAAACCCTACAGCTTATATGCGAGAGGTCCCGGGTTCAATCCCCGGCCAGACCCTTCTTTTTCCCAGTCTTTGTCTGGGACATCTTTTTTTCTGCTCACCGAGAGAGCGATATCTTGATGATGCCATTATGGTCACCGAGACAGACATCACAACTCCTCATCGGTCTGGTGGTCTAGTGGTATGATTCTCGCTTAGGGAAAACCCTACAGCTTGTTTGCGAGAGGTCCCGGGTTCAATCCCCGGCCAGACCCTGTATAATTCGGAACTCTCTCATAGCGGTTCTTCTTTTTTTTTCTTCAACTCATTGTCCTGCCCTCTTTGTAAAGAATCGCTCTCTTAGTATGAAAGTTTTTTTTATGAAGCATCCATTATCTTCATGTCTATGCTATTACTGCGGTTCTGCATTGTTGTGCTTCATAGTAATAATTGATGTATACAACTCGTAGGCCTGTCTTTCTCTCATGCTTCATGCTATTCTCCCAGGCCGGTTTACTCGCCCATCTTGTGTATATGTACAAACTAGTTCGCAACGGATATTCTGTTTCAAGCCAGAATTGTCCACGATTCATACCCTGATGCTGTATAATGATTGATACAAAGGAAAGCAAAAACGCTTCTGTCAGTCCTTGGTGCCTCACTTCTTCTTGCTCTTGGTCTTTAAATTGGCAAAGTATGCGTCCACGATATCCTTTGCTGTTTCTGGAATATCCTTTCGGAGGACCCACGAAGCCTCTGAGCGCTCATATCCGACCCATTCGATGAGCAGTTTGGTGCGGTTCTTGTTGTGCTTGAGAATGGCAAAGATCTCATACATTCCCGGGTTTGTCGGGTTCTCGGGCCGTCCTCCTTGTTCGCGCCAGTACTTAATGAGAAACTCGGGGGCATCTTCGTGCAGACTTCTCTCGGGTTCCCAAGTCATTTTGCCCTCTTCCCAATCTTCAGCGCCTTCCCATTCCTCACTGCTGTCATGTTCTTCATCTTTCTTCCATTTTACCTGTAGCTCGATTGAGTCGCCAGCCCAGCGGTATCCCGAGAAGCCGACGAAATCGTACATTTTAGCCTCGTCCCCTGGCTCCTCGGGCTCTCTTGGTTCTTCTAGCTCTTCTACACCGATATCTGCCCGATTCAGAATCTCTGATATGCGTCCAGTGCGAACTGCAGGCCTTGCTGAATCGGCTGCCTTTTTGCTGCTGACGGCGGCGCTCAATGAGCGGATAGTCGCACGAGGAGTAGATGCTGATACCACCTCGTCCTGTTCCAGCTGCACTGAGTCTCCCACCATCTCACTCGCATTGTGAACTTCGCTGTCATATTCATCCTCCTTTTGCAGATTTTTCACCCCCTTTTTCGCAAATGACTGGGGCGTTGCTGATCCCGGCGTGCTCTTTTTAAGCCGCGGTGTACCAGTTCGGGGAGTTGCACCAAGCGAGGTCCGTGGCGAAGATCTGGTTGGCTTGCCGGGGGTGAGGATAGGAATAGCAGCCATTATAGACTGCATATTGACGGGCCACTCTTGTATTGTAGCTGAGACGGAATCTGAAATCACAATTGAGGATTTGACGATACGCGGTTGTCGAACGTTTAGTCTATAAGCGGGCTGTTTATCTGTTTACTTGCCGTGGGCGGATCTTGCTGTGTCAGCAGTTTATGGTTGGTGGTCCGACCGCTTAGTTCATCTTCAGTGACGTCAAGATACTCCTTTCCGGCGCGGAAAAGAACTGGGGATTTCCACGTGATGCTTCTTTTCTTCTTCCGGCAGATGCACAGGCAACGCCTCGTCGGTTCCGGATTCGATTGGCAGAATCCGCGATGCGATGCTTTTTTTGCTACTCGTCACATGGATCGGACCAGAGAGGGGTTGCAAGACAGCGGGCGGGGTTTGGTGCAGGTATTCGGAGGTTGCATCCGAGGCTCGTGTTAGTGCTTGGATGAAACACTAACAAGACGAAGGCCTGCATGAACAGACAGCCAGTGAAAGACTGCATGCGGACGGTACGTCGACTCTCCTGGAGGATATTGATATAAGGTCATCTACCGTCCTTGGCATTTCTCTTGCTCTTGTTTTGCTGCTCGCTCAGCACTCTTCTCTCTCCCAACCTACCTAGGTACCTGTAAGACTAACTCGTGTACTTACTTGTACAGCGTCTCCAAGATGGCTTCCTCAGCTGTGCCATCATCGAGGTCATCACGGCCCATCCGAATCGCCAATTGCTCTGGTGCTCTAAGTATGGCCAAACCGATATCTATGACTCTCGTCCCTTTCCGCAAATGAGTACTCACACCGTCAAACAGCTGATCCGGGCATCTTAATGTACAACCAGGCCAAGTATGGCCCTGTCGATGTCATCACAGGCGATTACCTCGCAGGTATGTTTGAGCATTTGCTTTCGGTTCATTTGGTCAATAATACACATCACTCACAAGTGGTTGCTGACACCTTTGCTGTAGAGGTGAGCATGGCCGGCAGTGCGATGCAGCATGCGTCAAATGGCACGGGCTGGATCAGATCCGCATTCGATGGAATCCAGCTGTCCCTGGATCTTATAAACGAAAAGCGAATCAAGGTAGTCGTCAACGGCGGAGCCATGAACCCAAAAGGTTTGGCGGAAAAGATTCACGAATTGGTAAAGCTATTCTACACTCACGTCTTAACACAGTCTTCATTGCTAACAAACCGGGCAAGATTCATAGCAAAGGCTATAAACTTCGTGTGGGTTACGTCGAAGGCGACAATTTGATGCATAAAGTCCATCATTTACTCTCTAACCCTCTCCCTCATCTCGACGGCGCAAATCCCAACGTTCAGTATGACAAAGACACTACATCGTTTCTGGATTCACCCGAGGAGATGCCAATTGTCGCAGCCAGCGCATATCTCGGTTATCGTGCAATTAAGAAAGGCCTGGATGAAGGTGCAGATATTCTCATCTGTGGTCGTGTTTCTGATGCCTCACCAGTCATCGGTGCCGCTGCTCATTGGTATAACTGGGCTGAATCCGACTTTGATCAGCTTGCCGGGTCGCTTATTGCAGGCCATCTAATTGAATGCTCGACTTATGTCACTGGCGGCAACTTTTCTGGTGCATATAAACACCCTCACAGTGATTTCCTGCGTCTGGCTCCGGGCATTGCGGAAGTTCTCCCTAGCGGCGAATGCATAGTTACCAAGCACGATTCTCTGAATGGATTTGTTACCCCCGACACAGTCAAATCACAATTCTTGTACGAGCTGCAAGGAAACATTTACCTCAACAGCGACGTGAAAGCGGATATTTCCAACATAGCAATCGTCAAGGAATCCAAAGATCGAGTCCATGTATCTGGCGTCAAAGGCTATCCACCTCCGCCTACGACAAAACTCGCCATTTTCTACAAGGGAGGGTATCAGTGCGAGCATTTGCTGAATGCCAACGGATATGCAACAGACCACAAATGGGACATGCAGGAGTTGCAATTAAAGGATACACTTAAAGAATGGAAAATATTGGACAAGTTCGACGTCTTAGACTTCCAAATTATCGGTACACCGATGAAGGACCCTGATTCGCAAAACGCTTCTACCACATACATGAGAATATTTGCTCAGTCTAAAGACAGAGACGTTCTGACTAGATTGCACAAGGCCTGGCACTATCAGTTCATGGCGCATTTCCCGGGTACTTTTTCCGCATGACTTTAGTGATATAACAGAAGCTGACAAGATGCCCTTTAGGAATGCACTATTCGATGGATACACGTCTACTAACACCTAAGCCGTTCCTTGGCTACTACCCAGCTATCGTATCTCAAACCGAGATTGAAGAGACCGTTACGATAATCGGTGACAGCTCAGCCGAAGAGAGGATTCGCCATCTTGTCCACCCACCCAAAAAGACAGAGCCGCTGTCACCTCGGGAAAATTACGAGACAAGAGATCCTGTGCCTCTAGAAAACTTCGGCCCGACTGTCAATGTTCCACTGGGGGACCTCATCCTCGCTCGATCAGGCGACAAAGCAGGCAACATCAACATTGGCCTGTTTGTACAGACACCGGAGCAGTGGGAATGGTTCCGCTCATTCATGACCAAGGATAGGCTGCGCTCCCTGATGAGGAAAGATTGGAAGGACTGGTATTTCCTGGAGAGGGTCGAATTCGCAAATATTTACGCCGTTCATTTTGTCATTTATGGGTCGCTGGGAAGAGGTGTAACTAGCTCAAGTCGGCTGGATAATCTGGGCAAAGGATTTGCAGAATTTATTCGGGCAGTTCACGTTGATATCCCTCAAAAATTTCTCGAGGAAACTGCCCGCTCGTCAAAACTTGAGCACCTATAGATATTAATTTCCAACTATTCAATTCTCATTGGTCTAGTGGACAAATCTAAAGTCTAGACGCTTCATTCCTTCATCTTTGGTGTTGAGAGAATAGTCTTCCTGCTCTTCTTTCGTCATGGCGTTCCATTGCCTCTCTCTTATTTTGTTTCGCCAAATGTAGAATAACTTGACAAGATAGAAGAGAACAATATTGAAACAGTTGATAGCGAGTAAGATCTTATTGCCTCGCCTATAAAGAGGTTGGTCATCGTCTCGGTAGATGTTGGAGGAGATGATATTGCCACTCTGCACAAACATGTTATACAGAGCAGCGCTAACAGCTCTTGTACGGACGGCATTGCTGTTCTTAGCATTCCAGCTGACCACAATAGCGTGACAGTATGGGTAGCTTAGTAAACCCGTGAGAAGAGCGTATCGTATCCAAGGGGACGCATCTGCTTTGAGAGTAACCAGAGCGATGAGCCATGGAAATATCCAAATATTGGAAATTGACGAAATTATCGCGCGTTCCTTGAATCGTTCAGATACCCAGGATATGATGATTAGGTTGACTGCGAACAGGAATTGAGACGGGATAGTGAGCAAGTTGGCTTTGAACACCGAGAAGCCAATATTTCGAAGGATGTACGACAGATATGTGCTTGGGGGACCCGGCGGGATGTAGACGACAAGCCCGAGAAGGTAGAGCGGCCACTGTTCCCAATCCTGAAGTACTTTGAACAAAAGGCTAGGGCCCACGCCTTGTCTGCATTTTTGTGAGCTTTTGTACAAGATAAAGTGAGACGGTTCACGTATTCATACCGATTGTTCATATCACCTTTGCTTGGGTCGTCACGTAGAAGCCTGTTGACCATGATGTACTCCTCCCGTTCGTTGAACCAACCATCTTTGCCACGGAACCAATTTCGCGTCTGACAAGGCCCAGGTGGCATGAGGACCCAAGAGAATGTGCCAACAATAAGAGTCAGTATACCCTCGATGAGAAATCTGTAAAAAATGTTAGCTAAGATTGTTGGTGGGCAAGAGTATTAGAATGCGTATAAGGTATCTTACAGCCATCGCCAGCCTCCCCAGCCTGCAATGCCTCTCATTTGAAGAACTCCAGAGGCAATCAATGAACCGACAATGTTTACGGTGCTCAGAGCTGTCCAGAACCAGGCCAGCCTAACAGGAAGCTCATTTGACTTATAGAAATAAGTAAGCCAAAGAACAATATCACTATATCATGTTAGCTATTATGCTTTTCGTATTCATTTCCAGCACTTACGGAATGAAACCACCCATAAGCAAGCCAAGCAAAGCCTTTATAACGAAATAAGCTGCTCTGCTGTGGAGGAATGCTTGACACCCGGCAGTAATGGACCAGCCCATCATGATGAATGGGATCCATCTATCAGCCCCTATTCTCTTTGAAATGAGACCGCTGGGAAGTTCAGCAGCTAGAAAAGTCACAAGAAATATCTAGTAAGGGGGACCTAGTTAGTATCATACCCAAAGAGGAGTGTATGGGACAAGAAATAACCTACTGTCTGGCCGTAGTTGAAGTCATTTGTGTTCATGCCTATTTCCGGAAGCTAAAATGTGTTAGTCGAAAGCTTATTTATAATCATACGGTATCTTGTTTTTTTCTCTCTTACCATGTTATCTGAGATGGCACGATTAATATTTCGACGATGGAGGTCCAAAGCACAAAACATGACCCATGCCCACAGCATTATTCTGAGATCAATCTACTAACACGTTAATAAATCAATGTGACACAGCGTATAGGTTGCTACAGAATGGCTCACCTTTCTGACCAGTCTCCTCTCTTCTTCTGCCGTCCACTTGAATTCAGGATCGAACCTGTGTCTGTTTTCGTACTTTGCTTTTTCATAAATCTCTCGCCAGTGTGTAGCCATAGCCGGATCGGTGAAAGGATGATCGTCTGTTGAGCCAAACGGTTCATCTTTACGCACTGGAGCTTCCTCCGTCACTGATGACTCTTGGGACGACAGCACAGCAATATCAACGATATCCGTCTGTTTGCCATCTTGTGGCACCGCCGCCGTGCTGTGAGACATTGCGGCGAGAGCTACGTGTTGTTTGTTTGCGTTGTTCCACAGAGCCTGTCTCAGGGGTGATACTCAAACCGCGGGTGCTTCACATATTTATATCGGCGACGAGCCGGCAACCATTACCGCGTTGTTGGGGCATCTATTACACCATTAAAGAGTCTAAATTGGCCGAGGTTACGTACCATAGTTGTGCATTTGGAATTTGCTATGCCAGGTGTCGCGATGCCCAAGAGTAATCACATCATTGCTAGGATCTGCAGGTTTGCAATAGGCAATATGAGCTGTCATTGGTTCCTTGGCTAATAATGAGTGCGTGACGGCAAAGATATACAGACTAGCCATTGCCTTGGTCGCATGCAGGGTATATCATAATTCACAGTCGGTTTATCAGTACAACCACAAGTAACTGCAGTAAATCTAAGACGCGATAGGAAACAGTTCAACGCCATACCCATTAATTTGTCCATGAGGAGAAAAGCTTCCAACGATAATCTCACACATTGGGGGGGCTAAACGATAACGTTGCGTGAAACTAACCGGGGCTCGCGATGGCGTTAGATCTTTGCATTGTGATGGAATCGTGCAGCTCGCTCTGCGATTGGATCACGGCAATAGTATGGCAGTATCGGGTGCCACATTGTGGACTAAAAGTGTTCGGTAATTGAATTTAAAAATACGGCAAGGTTAGTTTAACATTATAACGGCGGTTGAATAAGCTATATGCTTATTGTGGCGGTATTCTACTATTTCTTTACGGGAGGTTGAGTTACGCGTACTATGCGCAAATATGATATCTGGAGCGTGGTGTTGCCATAACTGCCCACAAACGGCCATGCCAAGAGGAAGGGGCTTTCGCAAGCATATCGCCGTGATATCATTTAGGTAATTGCACATCAAATAGAAAGGGCTCTATTTGACAACATTACTTGGCAGCGCTACTGCGATGCTCCTCATAGCATATAGTTGGCACATACATGTATGCAAAGTCATCAGCCCATTGGGTGCATCAACCTCATACACCATTTTAGACAATTTCAACACATACCACAAATAATTGCTAGCATAAACCAATTAATTTTTATAGCCTAAATCAGATAAAAGGACCAGATGGTCTCTATCCTGAAGGGTAAGCACTCTATTAATATAGCCATGCCGCCGTTTATCTGATCATTGCCGTCGGAAGGGTATATTTAGCGATGATCCGTGTTAAACGGCCGAGCTTGTCTTCACTTTTACCTTTCAACTCTGTAGTCGGCTTCATGCCGTTGGACCTATCCAATTAAAACGATTGAGATATACCGTCTTTTATTTTCCAATAATTTCTCACCTGTGCCTGCATAGTAAAATGCGTAGTGCTTATAGCACCCTTGAGAATCCATCTTGGTGAAATGAGCCGTAGCTCAGTTATTAGCTACCTGGCTGACGAATTTTGCATTGCTCTCCTATATAGCATGCCCCTATCCCATCTTATAGATACTATTTTTATTCATACTCGCTACCATCATTCCAGCAGGATTCGGTCGGCTACTAGAAGTCAGGTTATACGACATTTTGTTCTTGGAGAGTCTTAACAGAGAAGTGTAGTCAAGTTTGATTCGTTTAGTACACAACACAGCCTCTGCCTCAATTGGTATCTTCTAAAGCACCTAGAGCTAATTACCAATGTATCTCTGTGTCCTCAGACTTATGGCCTGGTATCGAGTTGGTGCTATCTACGGTATGTCTGCACAATATGATATCGGCATCTTATCTCCGCAGTGTGAATAATCACTGGATTGAAAGGGCCAAAGAGTATATCAAATAATAATTCAACTGCCTTGGATCGCAGATAACGCTCTATTAGCATAAGTTGTACTCGGGCTAAAGGCTTTCGAAAAAACTTACATGAGGCCAAGTCCCTATTATACTATCGCATTCGAACCTACTCTTGCTTCCAGAAGGCGTTATATTTCCAACATTGATCATATCATTCTTCCCCATGTTGTTTCTCACTAATATCACTTCCTATAATTAATAGCAACTAAGAATGACCCTGATCGCATGCATATATTAGCTTGCAGTGGATCCTATTAATCCTGCTATACCCGTTTGTGACTACTCACTTCCATGTATGCATAGATATGTTGTGCATTTAGGTTCATGACCTTTTCTTTAGTCACCAACAGGGCCTTGACTGTTAAGTGTGTATTCATTGTTTGTTACTTACTGATTTGTATTAGGCTGTCCTGACGTTCCATTCTTATGATGAGTTAATCTACTTGAGGGTGTTGATGCATGTCATTTTTTTTTTTAATTCCTGTGGCGTAAATATTAGTAGGTGATGCGGCATTATGTTATTAGCAGATATATGAGCATGTATGTAGATGAACGCCTGCATGGCTCGCTCCTTTCATAAAGAATCATTGGGCTCAACTCCATCTTCAAACTTTAACCGCTCGAATCACTATTCATTCACCTCAATTAGACTCAACAATCGTATTACAGTCCTCCCTAAGCGCTACCCTGAAGCGTGCCGCCGCCGAACCCCCACACAGCAAGAAATGCAAAACAGCTAGCCATTCGCAGTGGATCCGTAATCTTCACAATCCCGGCATACACGTGGTCTCACTCATGCTTCTCATTTGAGGCCCCTACCTCGATCGGATCGACAGTTACTTGCACATCCCCCAATGTGCGCCAAGGACTAATATGGCCAATGTTACAACTCACTTGATGCTAATTCGATTCTAGGCGCTTTCCATTAAAGTTATCGATCAAAATCGTGGGGCGAAATAGAGATGGGGCGTGAAAGAGGCTTGAAATTAAGGTGGATCTTTGATTTCGGGAGAGATTTGTCGTGATTGGCAAAAGCAACTGAACAACAGACTGTCTTAGTGTGTCATTCGAGATTGTAATCTGGAACAGAAATTCGATTTAATACTTCACACGCAGACAGAGACACAATACTTCTTAGCATGGTAGAAAGGAAATGTATAGTGATATGTAGTTCGTAGTAGATAATTAAGTGGATAAATAGCCAATATTGAAACCTTGGTATCTGAATTATTGTTATCGATCATACCCTATCCTTCGGTCGTCCAAGCATAGCGATAATACATTGCAATCAAGCATAACTTCATAAAAACAAATTGTTCCCACATCCTGTGAGAAGATGCCATTCATCTGGGAGAAAATCCCATGTTGTTAAATCATGTGGAGCTGCAGTCTATCTCCAGTAGATTCACGCACTTCAAACATGCCGACATGGCCATCCAAGTCGCCAACATTCAAGAATTTTCCGTCGGCGGAGAAAGAGAGCTCTGTGACTCGCGCAAGGTCATCGAATTGCTCAAAACCCGGCCGAGGAGTATAGTCAATAGCTAGAGCCTCTGGGTCTGGCCAGCTCCAGACCTCCTTGCCTGTCATGACATCCAGAATGACGATGCTGCCTCGGGCTCCAATGTCAGTTCCGGTTGCATGGCAGTAAGCCACAAAGCGGCAATCGGGTGAGAGGCAAGACGTCGTATTAGGAATGCCAAAGGTTCGGGTGGAGTTGGCTGCAAGATCCCAAAGCAAAACATAGCGGTACGGAACAGTGACGGGGCTAAGATTGTAGCCCGAACCGCCATTTGTAGCGGGCACGGCACGGAAAGTAGCAGGGATCCAAATAGAGACACAGACACTTCCATAGGTGACCATGTCGCAAGGAATAGCCGTATCCAGCTCTTTGTGCTGCCACGGCCTCGCCACTCGGTAAGGCTTGTCTGAGGCGCCTTCTGTAGTGTCCCACGCTACCAAAAGCGTCTCCTTTTCTGGAGGAGGGTGACCTTGGCGCGGAGGACGTGGTCCGGCACCAATGACAAGCAAAGGGCTCGTCCTTGATAGTGCAAGCTCTGGATACTGGGGGACAAACGGAAGATCAACCTTATTTAGGTCAATGGTACGCGTCTTGACAAAGGGCTTCTTGTCTGGAGTCGCTTTGTAGAGATCAATTATCCCCTTCTCACCGCCATAAATGGCAAGAGAGCTGAGAGCGCCGTCGTAAGACTCGATTTGGGCTGAAGTCCACCGATCAGCATTGTCGATTGACTGCAGGTTCTTCTTCTTGGCCCAGTTCCAAATTTCAATGTATCTGCCAAAACGGGTGGCAATGGCAATGAGATTCATAGGTTCTGAGAGAATGGCATGACTGCGAATAAGATACTCGCGAGAGCGAGACTGGGCCGCGGTGTAGGAGGAAATCTTGATGACCTGCTGAACAGTGCCTCCCGCCGTGGACCAAACCTTTATGATGTTGTTTCCATGTTTGGTCGCCAATGTGGCAAGGCTAGAAGACATGTCGAGGTAGTGGATAGGGCCATTCTTCTTATCGTCAGACTGAAGGCGCTTCCAGAACACAACCTCGGCAGGACGAGACGATTTTCGGGGTGGAGGAAGAAGTTCAGAAGGATCTGGAGGTTTATAGAAGTTATGAGGGACCCTGCTGCGACGAGGGGTCCCCGGTGAGAAGCTGACAGAGGTAGCATCAGGTGTTGATGCGGTCGCTGAGACCTGAGAGGAACGATGAGTGCTGATAGATGATCGATCTGAAGAGTCTCGGGAAGGTACCCGATAAGTGGGAGTGGTGGTAGCTTTAGGAGTGGGAATTGGTGGTAGCGGCTTTGAAGGAGCAGGGTAGAGGCTGTATCCTGCCTGGTAGTAGTTGGATGATGCGTTGGACGACTTGCGTTGTGAGTTCACTGACTCTCGTCGAATAGATTGAGGCTGGTCCCTAGACGGCGGTCGTCGGGGGAGGGATCCTCTCGAATCTCTCTGTAGGGGCATGTGATATTCATCGACTACATCATCGCTCTCCTCAAGCCATTGGGCGACAGCCTGGCCCTTGGATGGGGGAGGCATAGGGAAGTCGCGAGAGGAGGAGACATGGTAGCGAGGTTCTGGGTTCATGATGTCTGAGTTCCTTTCGACAGCAGTGTTGGGGTCAAAGGAAGGGGCATTCTGTCGCGAGGAGTGGGATGAAGCACCAGTGTCAATGCGACGCAGGGTGTCTCTGAGTTTATAAAGAAAAAGCCTGTATTAGCCTCATGGATCCCTGCGGTTCGAAAAGGCACTGTAGGCTACGGCCTTGGTCTGCCCAGAATGGTCGAGCCCCGGGTCAAGTCCAAGACTAAAGGAAGGGGGGTGTTGAGGCAGACTCACGCTATCCGATCCAGATCTGTAGCAAATGGCGGAGACTCCATGTTGGCTGGCTGGGGGGATTGCTCGGGCTGTGGGACCTGATAGCGGATAAACAGACCGAGATGGTGTAGAATAAGAGAATGTGGTCTTTTTCCCCGCGGGGTCGACAAACAGGAGATATACGCAGATGTACGAAGAAGGATGCGAGAGGTGGTTTGATCAGTCGACAGGGAGCCGGAAGAAATGCCTTGTCGCTTGTCGACTTTTGAACTGGGGTAGGAGCTGAGAGGAGGAGAAGCGACGGTGTTGAAGGTCGACAAGGGTGGTTCCAAGTGTGCCGGCAGGGACAAGCTCCTGAGTCGAAGGACCCTTCCGGTTCTCGAATGCAATCCAGTTTCTTCCAAGGAGGTTTTTGAAATGAAAATAAAATAGAAAGAGAGCCTTCAATGGATGGCTAGACCAGCTGCGGACTGGGACAGACGATAGCTTGGGGAAAAAAACCGGACCGAGAATGCATCCTCCGCTAGAAAGCGTTGGTAGCGTCTGTGTGCGAGCACTTGGTACACACGACGTCCTCGTACTTGGATATAAACGGAGAGGCTTGATGGGGACGCGCTACGAGACCCATGTCCAATATGTACTCGTACTCGTGGTGGCAGCAGTACGAGCGCTTGTACAAGTATGAAGAAGCTTGTTGGTGAGTTCCCCAAGTAGTCATGGAGGTGCTAGTTATGGGGAAGAGATTTTGGCCTTGCAGACCCTCCGGACCCTCCAGTCGGGGCCCCAATTTCGCTGGATCAGACGCCACAGCGCCACTGGTCCGCCCAAGACCCAATTGGCCGGAGGAAGGGCTGCGTAGTTTTTTGATAGGTGCGAGTTGAGCTTTTGCGGGACTATCTCGGACCCCCCCCTGGACAGCCTTTGGTCGTGGCGCCTGTACATCCGGGTCTGCATGCATATTGTGTGAGACTTTTTACCCGATGAGGGATCCAAGTCCTTGCCGTATGCCTTATTTGTGCGTGCCAGCCATACGAGTAGCCGTACTTGTACGAGTCTGTCTCCGTGTACGTGTACTCGGCGTAAAGTAAGGATATCAAGCAAACTTGCGCTCGTCTCTTGCAGCGTCCGGGTACTTGATATGCAAGTCCCATGCAAAGCCCAGCATGCAATGTTGCAACGCGCGGCTGCATGTCTGTCACGAACTGCTGCGGTTTCAGCAGCTGGCTAGTTGCCGAGACGGATCCGGAACGACGGGAGCGAGTCCGACGCAAATTCATGCATTGACCTGACCACAGCGTATTCTATCCTGAAAAGAATTGACTTTTCCATGCAAACAAGAGACACGGCTTGTTTACGAGCGAGCAAGCGGGAGAAGAGACGCAGGTACCGGGGAGCGTGGAAGAACGTGTCTCTCCGCACCAGTGAGCCATGCGGCTGCGGGGTGCGATTCCGAGAGGGACCGGTCCAGCGTTAACGATTCAGCCAGCCAACCAGGATGGCGAATCAGCTGCTTTCCGGGGGTGTCTGTGGCCTCCCCCAGTCGTTTGGACCAACGAGAGGAGTGACTGTCGAGTGGCGATGCGGCGCTGCGAGTCTATTCAAGACCAGTAGCATGTTTTTGTCATCGTGTCAGCATGTGAATTCGCGACGGTCCCCGGTGACGGAACAGCGCCAGAGGATGAATGAGAGTCGCCATCCCATCCCTCGATGTGACGAGGCCGCGGATCTGCCCTCTTTGGTCCTCCTTCGCGCTGCTTCAGCCATCCGTCACGGGAGGGTGAAACGATAGCTCACTAGCTCACCTCCAAAGAGACGACAGCCGAAGCCCAGGTTCGCCGCCATGGGTAAAGAGAATCCCTGCCTGCTTGATCCTGGTGTTTTGTGCTTTTCCGAACATAGCCGGCCAGTCCAGTCAGCCCTGCGGTGAGGGATTGCAAAAGAAAAATTTGATAACGTGACGCCAAATAATGTTAGCAGACAGCTTGAGTCAGGCCACCTGGTAAGTACCTGCTCTAAGCAGGTTGGAGAGCGACAGTATGGGCGAGCAGGTACTGGATACAACCGCACGCTTTATGGAATTAAGCGATTCCTTCCGCTAGCAGTAGGTACATACAAGTACAGTAATAGTCGCCTTCCAACGGCGCTGGACAAGTGCTGTACGAGTAATACAAGTACATGCCTCGAAGCGAAGCCATCCCTCGGTTTGTTTCGCCTCGCATTTCCAACAACCGCATGTTAAAATTTTTTTAATCTCACAATCCCCTTTATTTTCCCCATGAGCCGCACTATTACGTATCTGCCGCGGTGTGGCTGTCGGCAGCAGAGCGTGGCGGCGTCTTAGCGGCAGCTTCACATGCTTCAGGCGGTACACGGCGAACTCAGCAGGGCATCTGTATCTGCTTACCCGCAACTATGCACATGCCGGGGCGCGTCCCCAAAGCTCAGGTCATCTCCAGCATGGCTCTTCGTCTCCATTCCCTGCATTCCTCGCAGCTCCCCCGCCAGTCCGTCCTTGGCAGCTCAGTGCTACAGAGTTTTAGAGCGGATTACTGCCACTAGCAGGTACGGAGTGCGTGTGTTAGCCCGAGCTGTTGCGAGGCTAGAGCGGGAGCAGTTAGCAGAGTCCATGGTGATGGGATCGGTCAAGCTGACTGTCAGATGCGATGCTGCAGAGAGAGAGGGAGAGGCTTGCTGCTAGTTGTTCTGATCCCCTGCAGGCTGATCGTCTCACCGCGGATTCAAGCATCATCATCGTCACCATCGTTGTGCTACTCCATCTGTCTCTCTCTGTCTCTCTCTGTCTCTCTTTACCTCTCTCCCTAACCCCCCCTCTCTCTATTTCTCTGGACACCGTATAACCCACAGCCAACAGCCGTCCGTGCCTGAGCACTGCATCTCACTCTCACACGGCAAGGAAATTGGACAATGTGTCGTGGGTGACGATGCCCCGCAGCCACCACCAATGCCATGCCGGCCTCAATTTACATCGAAATTCGTTTCTCGCCGAGCTCACCAATGGCGGCCTTGTGCCCTCCCCCCTTGGCCGAGGTCAAGTCTGTCTTGGTCAGAAATTTTAAACCCTCTACGGCTGCCGCTGGCAGCTAAAATGATGTGCCCCGTCAGTCCACTTAGGAATCCTACGAGTACATTCAAGGCGAAAAAAAATTACAAGACAGCCTCCGCTCAAAGAGTGGAGTGGCCCAACTCTAGCAGCATCCCGCTTCATTAACCCCAGGCACCTAGAACACTATTCAGTGTCCACTCACACAGCCTGCGGGAGATGACATGAACTGCGGAGAGCCAACAGAATCCGGGCGAGAGGGTGCTGCAGGCATCTTTGCTGGTTGGATGGCTGCTCGCTCACCACACGACACTGGGCATGACAATGGCAGCTCAAAGACTGGAAAGGAAAGTTGAATTGGACGTCATGCCATCAGCCTTGCCCCTCGGCGGCGTCTACAAAGTATTCCGCAGCAACACGGGGTGCACCACTCTCTCCCCCCTTCCTGAGCCTGTCTATTAAGCGATCGTATAGGGGCTGAATTCTCCAGGTGTGCAATCCAAGACAGACACAAGTTGGCGCTAAGATGCCAAGCACAAAGTAGGACACCATCACAACAGCAGTGCTGTCAACCATGGCCATTCTCAAACAGCCAGCCATTCAGCTATCGTGCGGCAGCAAGGTGCCTGTCACTGTTGTCACCCTGCAAGCAGAAGCAGGAATGCCGCCGGCTCAATAACCACACTCTCGTCCAGCCAACACCCCTCAAATTCAACCCTGTCGTATTCTAACAGTAATTATCCAGACCAGTTTCTCCGTGCTGTTGGATGAATCATTGTCCATGTCTCCCACGAGGGATACCACGTTTCATTGTTCCATTCCATCCTTCTAGACGTCCGTATTGGAAAATGGCCCAACCCAGAGTTGGAATAGAGAATAAGGAGAATGCAGCAATATACGCTAGAAAGCCTGCATCGTCAGCACCGGCGGCGGCGGCGACACGGGCTGTCGACTCGGCCCGCGCTACAGAACACTAAACCCAGGAAATTGGGATTCCAGATAGGCAAAGGAGGTCTCTCTGTCTGAGCTGGTAAATGAGCAGCCTGATGGAATCCAATGAAAACTTTCTCACATGTCAGCTTATTGCTCACCACGCCTCTCACTGATACACAGGCATCCAAGACAGGACGACTGGCAGCGGCCGTTTGGCTGTGTCTTGTGTGTGGCTGCGCTGACGGGACGGACCGATCGGGAAATTTCTTGCTGTGATGATGACAATTTTGTTCGGGTAGCCCTTGGCGTGATTCTGGCATATTTGCGTCATTGAATTGCTGATAGAGCAAACAGATTCTTTACACAACAGCGGTGAGAGACAGAGAAGCAAATTAATAATGAAGCTCTGCTGTCCGGAGCCGGAACTGGGTACCCACGTGTAACTTACAGTATTGCTGATCCTTGGATTCTGGGCGACAGCCACTCATATAATCCGTACAGAAGATGTCAGATTCATCATTCTTGATGAGATAAACTCGTACCACGATATCATCAAAGCCTCTATCGCAATCCCAACCTGTTGCGCTGAACGTCCAGCCTGATAGCTGCACAGTTAGCAAGCAGATGAATGTACATGGATCATTGCATCTCACGTGCTCAAAATGCTGTGGTGTAACTGAGGAGCTTCCCCTCACGCACGCCCTGATTAACACAAAAGTCATCGAATTGGGTACCATTATCCGTGCTATTCTCCAAAAAAAAATAAATGGCTGAGACAATACTGCCCGCGTTTTATCTAGCATACGTCCGACAGCCCTCGTGATTGAAGCCATTAAAGTCTCTTCCCCGCAGTTCTTTCAGCTTCATCTTTTCAAACAAGGCGAAGAAGCTGCCAATTTCATCACGACAGTAGCAACCATGGGAAGTGAACTAGATTACAATATCTTCAAGCTCGGAGACTTCAAACTCGTCTCCGGCGAGACCATCCCAGATGCTTTCATCGCCTATAAGACCTTTGGTGACGCCTCCTCCCCAGCCATCATCTACCCCTCGTGGTTCAGCGGCGCCATCTCAGACAACGAATGGCTTATTGGTGAAGACAAGGCTCTGGATCCCCGTCGATACTTCATCATTGTCCCGGCTATGTTCGGCAATGGACAGTCCAGTAGCCCATCCAACACTCACCGGGAGCCGCTCAGGCCGTTTCCTAACATCACTGTGAAGGACAATGTCACGGCACAGCATCGCCTTGTAACCGAGGGACTGGGCGTCAAGCACGCACGAATGGTACTGGGGTGGAGCATGGGCGCTGGGCAAACCTACCAGTGGCTGACGCAGTATCCCGACTTTATGGATCTGGGCGTGCCGTTTTGCGGAAGTGCGCGCACTTCGCTGCATAACCAGGTCTTTCTCGAAGGCGTCAAAAGTGCACTACTCGCCGCCAAGGGGGCATCTTCCGCTGGTAGCGCGGCCGGTGAGTTAGCGCAGGCGTACCGGGCGTGGACTCAAGAAGAAAAGGTTGCTGGATTGAAAGCTTTTGGTCGTGTATATGCTGGTTGGGGCTTCAGCCAGGCGTTCTACCGGGAAAAGGTCTATGAGACGGAGTTGGGATACAAGAACCTTGAGGACTTTATGATCAACTTTTGGGAGTCCTGGGCCCTATCCAAAGGTTCGTTCAGTAGTCTGTCGAGAATCGTAAACGTGCTTTGCTGACACCCCTCTCTAGACCCTGAGAATCTTCTCACCATGCTTCACACGTGGCAGGCTGCTGACTGCTCAAATCAAGAACCTTACAATAAGAACTTTGAACTGGCCATGAAGAGCATCAAAGCCAAAACGCTAGTCCTCCCAGGCAAAACGGACCTCTATTTCCCACCAGAAGACTCGGAGTATGAGGTGCAGAATATGACAGAAGGTGTTGGAAAGTGTATTCCATTCCCATCTGTCTGGGGCCACTGGTATGTTCATCTTAAACTGATAGTACGTGGGAACTTTCTTTCTGTACACAGAACTAACAAAAAGGTCTAGGGCCGGTGGTCCAGGTGAAAGCAAGGCGGATGTGAAGTGGCTCGATGACCGTTTGAAGGCTCTATTGGAAGATGAAAAGTGGCTACTGGATACCAGCCAGTTGGAATAGCATTACGCCATGCCGTATTTAGTCAAATGAGAAGCTTTTGGAGCGTTTGATCTAGCAGAGGAGTGTAACACGCCTCTATTCCAATGCATGCACACTCTTAAAAACCATGTCAGCGAGGTCCGGCAGACTCGCATTTCCTGATCTATCGATCTGCCGAATACCTGAAATGCCGCTGGCTAGTCCAAAAATATTCCGGCAAAATGCAAAGAATCCCTTTATCCGAGCTCTGCTTACATTACCCTCTCCATGTCTGCAGCCAGTTCTTCGTCTGGAAAACACCAATGTGGAACTTCATGCTACTGTACTGCTATTAGCTTACGAGGAGCGACGGTAGTGCGGATCGTCGAATTACAGCCAGCAGCCAGCTCCATCATACGATTTGTTCCACCTAATGCACCTAGCCCAACAGAGCATCTTAATTCAGCCACTTTTCCAATCCCCGGAATAGCTGTCTCCGCAACCCCCGTATACTCAACAGGCAGCAATATAAGACTTAATCCTTTGTGTCTCGTCAGGGTCGTGTATAGTTGAGACAAGTGCGGCTCTCGGCGAACTAAAAACACACCAACCCCCAACTTGGCTTCGAAATTCAGGCGTCCGTCTTCACTAGCCAGGCGCAGCTGCTCGCTAGCTGCAATATTTCCCTTACCCTCCCCACGAAACTCACTAGGGAACCACCGGGAGCGTTCCCGTTGGATCACGGATTAGAGCCGCCACGTTTTCTACATTCAGCACTCCCCCCTGGATCCTTCGGGTTGAATAGGAATGCTAACACGATTAATTACTTTAAAACACTAAGAGGAAGCCAAAAACACGGGTGTGTTTGGGACGGATAGCGAAATACGCTTAGTTAGCTTCGACTGCAGACTGATTCATGAGCGCGAGTCATACACCTTGCATTTGCGAAAAGGGAACCATGTACGTAAAAACGTGGTCATAGGCGAAGCAGATTTTGGAGAAGCTGAATTGGTCTCAATTTTTAGTATTGATAGTTGCCACTTGCCAATCAATAGGGGTGGTGAGAATACAGTATAGGGGTGTTTGAAGAAGTAGAAATTTGTATCTTCAAGTATACCGTATGCTTATTTGGTCGATTTCTAGTTTTGGATAGCCGTTAGATTAAGGAAATGAGGGTTAGGCTTCCATTACTGCGCATTGGTAATTTTTGAAAGGGAGAAAAGGAATAAGATTGTTCCTGCGGCTGATGGAAGATGTGTAAGAGTTTAGGCAGTCCCTTAGAAGCCATTGACGCATTCGGCCGAGGCTGTATTAGGAGCTTGAGTGTAGTGCCTTGTTTTAATATAACCTCAGAAGTATGCTTGGGCGATCATATTTATTACACCGGATCCATAACGTAGCGCAAAGTGTCTGGTTGTCCCATCATTATGTAGAGTTTGATACGAAAATCGAAAGCGTATCACTGCAGTCTAACATGTAGTAGATCTATATTCTCCAATACAAACATCGCTTTCGCTTCACTTCATATGTCTTCTATTGACGTATTAGGTTATACCTCTGCAGGACGGCTTCCATTGGAAGCTATACATAAACTATGGAATGCAGGACCTGATTTGTTCAGTTGTTTGTAATCTGTGAATGAGACAATAGACATGAAAAATTGTATCCTTGTCTAACCCGGTCCACGAATGTTATTTGAGTCGATTTATTTCTGTTTCCTCTAGAGATGTCGTGCTCAGCCTAACGCTTCATGAAAATACAATGAAGTAATTACACGTCCAGTAAGGAGGTATCAACTAAACCTAAATTAAACTCCTTGTTATATATCTCTGGTTCTACGTTAGATCAATGTCAAACCTTAGTTCAGTTTCATTACGGCTTGTTAAATGTTTTGAAGGCCTAACAAGTTGGAGGATCACCCTGTTACAGTGTTACCTCATTAGTCGCAGTTCCCATGGCGTACATCATATCAAGATCAACACAGTCCTGTTCTTTCTGATAACTAAAAAATCTGGGTTAGCTAGAGCTGAATAAGAGAGAATAGTGTTCTGTCGGCCCTGCTGTGCGAATACTCGTTTTGTACTTTTTCTAGAGTTCTTCATAAAAGCAGGTTACTCTATAGTAGGCATAGGGTGGGATTCCGAAAGGAAGAAAATTGGTGTTAAGCAGCTTATCCTTGCGACCGTGGTAATATTACGAGTTCCGAACAAAAACGGAACTCGGCAGCCATATGCTGCTATCGCTGCAGCCACATATGCAAAGGAGCTCTTATATGTTGTGCCCGGGCTTAGAGATGCTCTCCCACTCAGTGAAGTTTACAGTGAGAAAATATTGGTTCATAAAATTCCTCATATAATAAAGAATATATGTAATAGTATCTTCCAATATATGCAAAAAAGAAGGAGGCCTCCCGGAAGATGCTCGAAACAAATTGCCAGAAAGGTATGTTGAAATACGAGGCCTCTCGTAACATGGAGCTCTTCTAAATGAGTGGTTATGTTAATGATCGAGTCGTTAGAGTTTCCGCAAATGTATCACTAACAACTTGTGATTAGGAGTCCCCATCAAGGTACTGGGCATTCGCTATCACAGGACCCGGGCTACCGGGCATAATTGGATGGCGAATACCGTTTCCTCCGGATCGTGGGAAACGCTGGGTTTGGTATATTCACGTTGATGAAGCACACTTCAGAAGAGCTGCAGAAAGGCTCTGACAAGGGTTTATTAACCGTCGCATCTTTCTTCTGTGATGCGTCTGGTGAGCCACTGGAGAAGTCGAGTACTGGGCTTTTGCAATCTTTCCTGTACCGGGTTTCACCCACAATCGTCAACTGCTTGAGGATCTTATGATTGCGTCGGACAGTCGCCGCGTCAAAGGACGCAATTTGAATTGGAGGACTGAAGAGCTCATTCGTGGGTGTGCTAGAGATTTCATCAGGACTTCCGAGTTGGAAACCGTCGATATTGCCCCTTGATGGGTGGCGAAAGTTCCGTGGATGAAGTTCATCCTTTACTGAAAATTTCCAAACAACAAATTTGTCCAGCCGACTCCAAGAAACCGTTCTATAAGTAGAGGATATAAAGATTTGGTAGGTTTGCTACCGAAATGTACAACTGGTGTTGTCAATGGGGAGTCCTAGCCTCCGCCCTGGCATCAAGGGGGCAAAGATAATACAGTCGCAAGAATTTGAACTTTCCAGAAACTAAGAGCAATGAATTACGACTATTTGGATATGTTGCTAAACTTCCTAAGACTCAATGCGTGTGTGAGTATAACGATAGGCAACATGGATCACTCTCTATATATGTAATGACTTGATTGGAAATGATCAAAATAGGGTCAGCAAACCGTTATATAGTTTAAATGATCATTCTTATACTGTTTACTGCTGTAAGGTTTACAAAAGCTTGCGGTTTTGAGAGTTTTTATTTTGCACAAGCTCTAAGCCGTTTTTCAGAAATCCACAACAAACTCAATTTCTATGTGGGCCTATAGTATCGTGGTTATCAAGCTATTAGTTGTCTCCTCCAAGATATTGCCATCATCCGCCTGGTAGTACACCGTGATACTATTACCAGAACCCCAATTGGTCGCCGAAATGTGTGTGCCAACGGGCACAGGATTTAAAGAACCTGTAGACTCCCAACCGCTGGACCACTTGTAACCTCTCAACAACCCATAGCTGTCTTGCCAGTATAGACGGAGCTGCACTCCAGCTCCAGATTTAACCCACGAGGTGGCAGTGATAGCAGAATTCTTGAGCGCAACACCGGGATTAAAGCCACCTAGAGTGATATTCTTAGTTTCTATTATACCTATTAAATAACAAAGCATGGATACCACTTACCTTCAGACCAGCCACCGTCATAACAGTGCTCCTTCAGACTGAGATCCGGAGCTTGATAGTAAACTCTCAAGTGGATTTTGCCACCGTCTTCAAATGACAAGGCCGCAAGGTTGGATCCTGAGTCAGCGATTGGGAGGGTAGCGCCTCTCTTCCAAGGGTTACCGACGCAGTATTCCTGGATGGTTTTGCAATTTTTCTCTGTTCGTAGTAAAAACTTAGTTTGCATTGCATTGACCCATTATGCAAGAATATTACCTTGGCAATAGACTCGAATAGCTGATCCATTCCAGTTCGTAGCGGCAATAGAAGAGTTTGGTGCAACGACAACCTCTAAATTTGTAAGGTAACCTGGGCTCCAGTTCCCATTGATGCCGCACCATTCTTGAAGTAGTCCCTCCGAAGAGACACAGTAGATCCGAACCTATACTTTTGTCAATGCTTGCCTGAATATAGCGTAGTAATAAAGGGCTCACTTGTTTTCCCTCGTCCCAGCTGACAACGGCAAGCGGAGTTGAGCGCTTGGCAGTGAATAGCGCATCGCTGGAAATGGACCAATTTCCATTGGCAAAAATGGCTTCACGGATGCCATTCTGCGTATCTTGGAAATATATATGGGACGTAGAGGCGGATGTGGCTGTAGCAGCCACCGCAGTTCTAGCGTTGACGGTGAATGGAGTGGCCATGGCTGCTTGTATAATAAATCCGACTAATGGAGAGTGATGTGTTATTAATGATAAATGTTTGCACTGTAGAGGAAACAAGGGTTATGAGGAAGGGCTCAGACGGCTATTTTATATTGTGAGAGTTTTAGGCATCACTCTCAATGTACATTGAAGCCGACGAATCAATGAATGCATTTTGTCCTGTGCTGTAGGCCTTCAAAGCTCACATAGTGGATGTTCACTGCTCATCGCCTATAGGATTGACCAAGCAAGGGACGTAATTGAGTTTGTGGGGGCCGAGGGGGCCGTATAAATGCAGCTATACGAAAGGAGTAACTGATTGGCATGTCTCAGCTATGCTCGGGAGAGCTTCACTATCCCGTTTCAATACTCACCTATACCTTTGGCTGGACAGATAAATTATTGATACGTCGCCTTATCCTCACAAAGGCACTGCGGCATGTGTAGGATAATTCACTGCGATTGTACACATCATGTTATTCCTCAGATACCTCTTATTGACCGTTTGACGTTTGTTTTAGGCGATTTCCTTTTGAGAATTCTTTCTTGGTACATATGAAAAATAGTCCCATTATTGATCTCTCATCATGTGTTAGGGCTCATAGACTACATGGACATGCACTCTACTCATCCTAGCAGGACCAACCCTGTATTTCAATGCTTGGCGCGGGGAATCCAAGTCATCAGTAGCAGTGAGGCTGTGCTTGCTTGCATATAACCCAATCGACTATTGCGAATACTTTGGCCAAGGATTTCAGTTCTTATTGGTGAAGTCGACGAACTGTGGCTAGCTGAGGTACCACTGCCATATCCACAACGTCAGCTAGCGATGCTTGTTTCAGCCCAATCCTGCTCAGACATCGTTCTACCCGACGCACCCTTGGTATTGCAAGTTTCAACACTTTGCTCTTTGTGCTAGTTTATATCCTGAGGCTTTAATTGACAGTCTAGTGAACTTTGTTTTCCATTTTCCATATATTTTAACCGCTTGCTGATCTCGTTACTCTTTTTGACGATTTCGAGGATTTTTATTACATATTAATATTTGACAATGAGAGAGACTGAATTTTTAACCCATGGCGATACCTGTACGTATATAAACCGACCCAATATTATAGCGGTTATAGCGCCATGTATGGTCATTTCAGGACCCATCCCAACACCCAAAGATATTGGCGTATGCTGCCAAAAGCAATCTGGTATTTCAACCGCCGAGGTGCCCAAGGCAGGCTGTTAAAATGTCATGTTATCGATTAGTTAAAATAAAGTACGCGCTCGATTTTCTAAAAAATCAACATGAGACATTAGTATAAGAGCTAATCGTTATTTATCAGTGCATGCCGTAAGATTCTTCTACCTGTGCAATTTTTGCCGCTCTTCTGCTCGTCCGATGGAAGTGGTATATCAAAAAGTCGTATGGTCACTGGTCCACTGAGATCTGACAAGTAGCAACTATCGGTAATTTGCTTGGCCTCTACATTTACTCATCAATATCTTTTCCTACATAACATTCCAAGTCCTCATATCTGGGAATAGCAATTACTTTGAAGGTTTTCGTATCCGCACCGAACGGAATATCTGCAACCTTTAATACCTCGAAATCGTCTACAGTAATCTCGGGACCAGTATCCACTGATGGCCTCTCTGCTGACGACGTCTCGCCCCCAAGAATATGGCTTGTGCGTGACTGTCCTGCGATACCGAATCTCGTTCAGCCGATAGGCAAAGACAAAATCTGACGACTTATCAAACTCCTCTGAATCCAACCTCTTCTCTTCCATCTTCGTCTTTATACCCGCTGTTATAGAGTCGTCGGGAGCACTGGTCTGCAGAGATGTCTCGAAATTTGTAGAAGTCTGATCTTTAAGACGCATGCGTGCTCCTCTCGCGATTCGAATACCAGTCACCATGTACACACGTGTTTTAAAAAGCCAGCTCTGAAGAGTGGCTGATACATCGCCGTGTCGCATCGCTTCTCTGGCATAGGCTAGCGATGGTGAAGTCGTATAACTTTCGAGCTTTTCGAAATGCCAAATATACTCTTGCAACCGCTTCTTGGATATATCGGTGAAAAGGTTAGCTGGAAAATGGCTCAGCTTAGTCCACACGCCAAATTGTCCGCGTAGTATGCTCGACTTTCATATCTTCATGAAGTTTGAGGGGACCATTGGGCTGCAATACGTATGCTGGGTCCTTTGGTTTGGCGAGAATCTGGCCCAGCTGCAGCGTTCCATCTGGAGCAAAATCGCATATTTTAGTGAAGATCCAGCGTTTGTATTCTCTCGGCATTTTGGCTTTGCTTCTATGTGCGTTCCCTGGGTGCAAATGACAATATTATGTGCAGGAGATCTGGAGAAATGGACAGCCGGTAGCCATCCGTGCCCAATACAATCCTCCTCTGGGGGTAGATGAAATAGGAGGCGCCAGAGACAATGGGCGCCATCAACTTCTACATGTAGTCCTATTCAAATGCGCTAGGGCAGACGTGTTCTACATCCAACAAGGGACTGAACTTACTATAAAGACTGGAGACTTGGTCGTTGTAGAGGCTGAAGGGGGCGACGATATAGGAACTGTTGCGCGTGTCAATGTCGATTGGGAGACGGCCAGGGAGCTTACAAAGCATTACGAAGAGGAACACTACAAGTGGCTACTGATGTATGCGAAGAATACAGTCGCCGCGCAAGAGGGTTCAGGCAATAACCTACTGGCTCCATCTAACAGCACTCAGGCCAACTCGATCGGTGGAACGGGCCCGCATAAGCAAATTATCATACGACCACTCTATCCGGGGCTCGTGAAGCGCCTTGCTTATGACCTTGAGATTAAGTCATTACGAGATAAAGAAAGTCAAGAGGCCAGAGCGAAGAAGATTTGCGTGCAGTTGGCCAAGGAAGAGGGTCTTGAAATAGAAATTCTCGACGCTGAGCTACAGAGGTACGTCTAGCACCAAAGAAATTTGGAGAGATTGGAAGAACTACTATGATATAATATATATATACTAATGATATTAATTAGTGACTGGAGTAGAATAACATTTTACTATCTTGACGATAGAGATACTAATGTTAGCTCGTTGATTACGGAGCTCTATAAGGTCTATAAGACACATATAGCGATGTCTGCAATCAAGCCATTATCGCTCCCTGGTCCACACATGGTACCAAAATCTGCGGAATTTGGATTGAGCCTTCCCTTTCAATTACATAATGAGTCACCTTCTAATGAGTTATCGCACGACGCATCTGTTTTGAAGTTGAGGAATCAAAAAGGACGCAATTCACCAAAACAAACCCAACGGCCATTCATACACTCACAGGCTTCTGACTCGTCAGTAACCTCTTCAACCAGGGCATCGCAACCAAGCAGGTCGCAAGAACGTATAGATAACTCATTTTCTCCTCACGACGGGGATACTGCCGACCTCGTGCCTCAGCTATCTAGTGATGCTCTCGCCGAAGATGACCGGGCTAGTCTCCGCTCATTTGAAATTGAGTATCAGGAAAATCCAGAAAATCCAGAAAATCCAGAAAATCTAGAAGATACGAATATCCTTACCACTCCACTTAGTAGATACTTCAATCTATTTAGGAGCAGCGACACACCCAAAAGAAACCCGTAACGGAGAAGCAGAAAAGAATATTACGAAGGGGCTAGTCACACAAGAATGGCGGCAGATCCTCAGAGGTCTCATGGAAATAATGAGGTCAGATTTAGTGATTTAGATGGTATGGTTCTTTTACATGTCAGATACCTTTATCTATTCTCATCATTAGTATACTGATCTATAAACTTATCGGCTACCCAATCTCGTTGGAGGTTTGAAAAGATGGGCTACAGTGAGGGTGAATTCACAAGCAGAACTGAAAACATAGAGTAACAGCCAGCAATTCTCTGGCTGGTCTACCATAATACCTACCAAGAGCGACATAACATTTAGACACGAAATTAGTTCAAACCTTCGAACACACATCCGATGTTAGTATTATGTAAGATGAAAGAATTAGATCTTCACAAGAAATATTCCTCTGCTAGTGTATTCAAGTAATAGGACGAGCATCAAGTTAGCTATTATCATTGTAGCGGAAGGATAGGCTTCTCTCAATGAATTAGAGGCAATACTAGTTCGAACATTGCAGTGCGTCTAAATATGCAAACAACTGATTGTCACCTTACGTCTCATCCTACTGAGAAGCTAACTTGTTTGATACTTGATCATCATGCGATCGAATAACATCTTTCGAGACTTTTGCGTCTGTTGTAATCGTCGTCGTGGACTCAACATATTTTCGGTTCACTAATGTATTTTGTTAGGAAGACTGAACGCGAGAACCCTCAAGATGGCTACATACTAGGAGCGCGGTGGTATTGGTCAATCCAAGTAACTTCCGTGCCTGTAGAGAGCGCGACTCGTTGGACAAAGTTGGGGTCTCGTAGAAATTCTCGTGCGACGTGCACAACATCGGCTTTTCCATTGCTCAAGATCTATCGCGCATAGTCAGCCAGTTATCCAACACATAGGAAAGGAAATCAGGGACAGATATACATCATGAACAGTGGCGGCATCTCGAATCCAGCCAACAGCAGCCACAAATACGTTCGGCAACTTAAGATCCTTGACAGCCTTTGCGAATGGGACCTGATATTGCTGGCCAAGCTGAACCTGCTGCCTCCGGTCGGTACCTCCACTTGAGACATCAAAAAGATCAACACCCTCAGCAGCGAGAATGGGGATGTATCGTAGAGTATCCTCCAACTCCCACCCTTCTCCCTTGGGCAGCCAGTCTACAGCGGAGATCTTCCAAAAGACGGGCATTGTCTCTGGAATATTTCGTCGTATAGCACGAATAATCTCCACACCGAATTGGATGCGGTTCTCAAAGCTTCCACCCCAGCGGTCTGTTCGTTTATTGGTCTGCTCGCTGGTATAAGCATTACTTTTAACAATAAGCTTGTTGTAATGTACTCGATAGTCTTACCGCAGGCGATGCGAACGAATGCAACAAATATCCATGAGCACCATGAACAGCAATCACATCAACACCAGCCTCAACAGCCCTGCGAGCTGCCTGGCCGAAAGCTTCGATGGTCTCAAGAATCTCATCTTCCGACATCTCTCCAGGGGTTGCATAGTTCTCATTCCAGGGCTCGGCGGTAGGGCCCTGAACTTGGTTGGCGTACCCATCGAACTCGTCAGGAACGAGGCGGAGACCCAGCCATGGTGGAGTGACGCTACCTTTGCGACCAGCGTGCTGGAGCTGGATTGCGACCTTTTGAGATTGCGAGTGGACAAAGTCAACAACTCTCTTTAGAGGTGCTATATGGGCATCAGACCAAATACCGGCATCCTGGGGCGTGTTGCGGCCCTATTTTATTTAGTTAAAACACACTTATAGTATAATTAATAGAGGGCCATCCTACTCTGGCTGTCACTGCAGTCGCTTCCAAATGGATCAAAGCACACCCTCTCATGGCCCACTGTCCATAGTGGGCCACATGAAAGTCACTAAACATGCCATTTTGGCAGCTATACATGCACATCGGGGCAACCCAGATCCGATTCTGGAACGTGTTACCCCGGATTGTGATCGGTCTGAAGGCAGGGGTGATGGATTCCTTGGTGACGCCATTCTCAGGAACGAGAATCGCCGTGCCGACTGGTATCCTCTGCTTTGGCGTGAAGAAAGAAAGGCCAGCCACCACTTCACTGCGGAAGTCTGAGTATTGGGATTCCTGAATAGAACCCATGGTGAATGCGTATTGACGAGGACAGGCAGAGTTGAACAAGTACTGGATTAAGCAGGGACAACAGTTCAATGAGGATTCGCAGAGCCTGATTTTAATAGCCCTCCAGATTGCATCCAGCGACAGTGTCAATAATGTTTACATATTATAAATCCAGGTATTGATTTGTCTGAAATTCGACTTTGAATTACTTGCATCTCGTTAGAAGTTAGATCATTGTATCGCTTGGAAATCAAGCCGTCACTCTCTCCTCCTCATCATTTCCTACTGCATTTCCCTTTCCGGTAATTTCCTCTTACGGAAATCTCCCCCAACTTCCCTTTTCTACCCCAACTTTCTACTCCAACCTCCACCCACCCCACCGCGCGCCATCCGATACAATCAACAGGATCATCGGCTAGGAGATGCAGGCCGGGAGAGAAAAGCCGGCGAACTGATAACTTCAGCTGAGTTGTGGCCATTGATGGCGTTATTCATGAAGACTCGTATTGGACCCCAAAAGTCACTGAAAAGTCACTCTTCGCCGCACTAAGAAACGCCTGCATCATCAGCGTTTTGGTTTGCAAGTATTTTCCGGCATCCTTGGCGTTATCTCAATTCGAAACCATGGCTCCAGGACTCGCTCGCAAGTATGAAATCAATGCCGATATGGGCGAAGGTTTTGGACGATGGAAGATGGTAAGTTTGCATATTCTTGGCTCCGCCTATGCGTCTCTCACTAATGCGGACTTCAGGGCCCTGATGAAGAGTTGATGCCCTTCATTGATGCTGCAAATATTGCTTGCGGCTTTCACGCTGGCGATCCTTCCATTATGCTCAAGACTATTCGTCTTTGCAAAAAGCACGGCGTTAGAGCCGGCGCTCACCCTGGATTGCAAGACTTGTTTGGCTTCGGTCGGAGAAAGATCGAAGTCGACGTCAATGACATGTACGCCATGGTTCTCTATCAAGTCGGTTCTCTCAAAGCCATGCTAGATGCCGAAGGTGTAGAGCTGTCTCACATCAAACCCCATGGGGAACTCTTTTTTTACATGCAAAGAGACAAGGCCATCATGAGAGCCGTGTTGGAGGCATGTGCGACTTTCAAAGTGCCCGTTTATGCCTCTCAGAATCCTGAACAAGAGGCAATGTGCAAGGAGATGGGCATTCCTTTCCAAGGAGAAGTGTATGTCGACGTGGATTATTCACCAGAAGGAAAACTTGTGCCTGTGGCACAGTCTCAACAGGTTACGCCAGACCTTTGTTATGAACGGGCATTCGGGGCGACTATGGCTGATAGTGGGAAGGACATCAACGGGAACAAGTTCAGCTATGGCTTTGAAGGTCGGCCTTTTAGCATTTGCCTTCACTCAGACGTGCCAACGGTCCTTCAGAACGCGAAGGTAGTACGCCAGGCAGTTGATGACGCCAACCGGTCCAAGTTTGCGTCGGAAATTAGTAAAGTTAATGGTAGGCTATAGAAAACAGGATGAGAAATAACTACCCTTAACATTAGACATATAATTTACATATAAAATCAATTCGAAACTTACAAATTCGCAAGATAATTCTTAGTCTAAGGCATTATTACATTGCAATAACTGTAATCGGAATTCATGCCATAAGATTTCCCGTACCATTCAGCTGTTTGCAAGTACGCTTAGGGGTCGTATGGAAAGAGAGTCCACACTCAGGGAACCCCAGGAATTGCCCGATGACCCGGAAAAAGGCTGAAGTTTGCCGGAAGGTCGAGACTCACCGGGGCCAGGGCCGGGGACGCACAAGCTATCATGTGGGGTAAAGCGCCTCACGCCATCAAGTCTTATCTTTTAGGAACCGAAAGATACGCTATTGATAGCTCGGGGTAGAAAGGCATAGCTATCGTGGACCGCTAAACCTCCTAGGATTGGTTAGGATTGGTAGGGAATACAAAAAGCTGATCAAACTCCCTTGATCAACACTAATATATTATTACCCTGCGGCCTGACAAGACCACACTTTTCTTCTCTATCCTGAACATTCAGGGAAGACCTTAAATCGTGGGGGGGAAACAAATAATCTCCTCGTATTTTTTTTCTCTCTTACCAAACATTGTCTTCTATTCTTCCCATTTCTTAGGTCAACCTTTCAATTCTACCAACGCCTTCAATCATATATCTATCTTCTAGCCTTCACTATCTATATCAAACAATTCCAATGACTTCTGAAATCCCCATTCCTGGAACCGTCCAGCTTGTCGATGTCCAAGGCATCTTCAATGTCAAGCATGGCCAGCAGTCTCGGGATATCGTCCTCGTTCCGCAGCCAACTAATGACCCTGGTGACCCTCTTCGCTGGACCTCCCAACGCAAGACTAAGAATATTATTTGTGCCATGGTTTGGTGCTTTTTTGTCGCTGGTATGATTTCAGGATTGTCCCCAGCGTACATCTTGATTGAGAAGGATACTGGTATTTCAATTGCCGACTTAAGCACTGGTAACGGTATTCTCTTCCTCTTCTTGGGCTGGGGGACTATGATCACACAATGCCTTGCGCTTAGCAATGGCCGACGCCTTACACTTCTTGTTTCTATCGTCTTGACTACTGCTGTGACTCTCTGGACTGCCTACGTTCAGACAAGAGGGGAATTCTTCGCCAACCGCATCCTCCTCGGCATTGTTGCATCGCCGCAAGAAACACTTATCGAGGTCATCATTGGAGACCTTTTCTTTACTCACGACCGAGGCTTTTTTATGGGTGCCTATAGTTGGACCTTGTGGTGCGGTGCATTTCTGACGCCAGTGGCCTCCGGTTATGTTGCACAGGACCTTGGATGGCGATGGATTCAGTATATCTTGACATTCATCGGTGCGGGCGTTACCGTTGTCACATTCTTTTTCTTTGAAGAAACAATGTTTTATCGAGATCACCATGTCAGTCACATGCGTGATACACCCGGCGTCGACCCAGCAAATACTGCGAAACCTGCTGTAGATCTCGAGAGCAACCCCCAGGTCACTTCAGACAAGAAAACCAATGAGAAGTCCATAGAGAGAGAGGATAACTCTATGTCGCCTTCTGAGCCTTCTGCATATGATGAACAAGAGAGCACAAAGACATACCTGGAGAAACTGAAGTTTTGGGGCTTCCGCGACCCGCGGCAACCCAGTACGTTCAGACTTTTCTTCTTGCCAATCCAGTTACTGTTCATGTTTCCTGGAATGTCCTTTGGTGGTCTACTTGTAGGCGGAATTCTCGCTTGGTATAATGTCGTTGGCGGTTCCTTGGCTCTAATCCTTGGTAATGCGCCATACAACTTCTCTGCCAACAATATTGGTTTGACGTACCTCTCTTGCGTTGTTGGGGTTACTATCGGTTGCTTCCTTTCGGGATGGATGGCCGACACACTTGCCCTTCGTTTGGCGCGTCGGAATGGTGGTGTTATGGAGCCCGAGCAGCGACTCTGGACGTGTCTTATTGCCCTTGTCATGCATCCCGCTGGCTGTCTTCTCTATGGAGTGGGTGCATCTTATCACATTCATTGGTTCGGAGTTGTTTTTGGTCTATGTTTGATCTCTATCACTCTCCCAATGGGAGCCAATCTCGCATTCACTTACATTCTTGATACATATAAGGAAGTTTCAGGAGAAGGTCTAGTCTCAGCCATCCTGATCCGCAACATGATGGGTATGTTACTTCACTCTTGATAATTGCTCTAGTTATAATTGACTGACTTGATTAGGTTTTGCTTTTGGATATGCTGTTGTCCCCATGATTAATAATCTGTCGCTTCGTTATGCTTTTGTACTCATCGCGATCTTGGGGTTAGCAGTATGGTGCACAGCTATTGTGATGATCTACGTGGGCAAATCTCTGCGCCGTGGGACAGCACAGTCATACTGGAACCTTGTTGAACGATATGGTGCAAAGGCTCATTGATCTCACCGTTTATGGTACAAAATTTGAGAGATGTTGGTTTGCACATTCTGGCACTCGGATGACCGCCATTTAGTAGGTGAATCTGAGATGAGGAACCTGTGAAATGCTTTAGGTATTCGTAATTTCAATATTTTAATTGCTGTCAATTGCTCCTATTTACTTTTCTATCCAAGTGCATTCGCGCCATCTTTGCCTCTAACAGGCATGTGAGATATTAAAGCATTGCCGTATAAACTCTACAAATTATACCAAAAGGTTATGGAGTCATCAGATGGGACAAGTCCGGTTCGCTTCAGGGTACCTAGAATAAAATAACACCAGAAGATAAATTAGCTAATATCTTGTATCTTGTTACACTTGCCGACCCCAGACTTTTTCCTAGCTCATTGGTCTTGCTAACTAAAAAGGTAAAATTTTAAACATATGACCAAAATTTGGGTTCAAGATGGCAACGGGTGAAGATAACGGACCGGGTACGGAGTATTAGTGTCGGCCTCACCTGTATCGTTCGTCGTACAAGAAAGCGACACTCCCACAGTGAAACTAGACAAGTTGATAGAGTATTTCCTATTCTGTATACCCCGCGTTGGGGTAGAAAATCTAACCGTCATAGGAATGATTAGCTGCGGGCAGAATGCTTGATAACACCCCACCTTTATCATCGGTTCTTGAACAATCCCTGGAATGTTGGACCCCTGAAGTATATCTAGAACACACTCTCGTTATCATTGGGGCCAGGTCTATCACTTATGATGTTATTTCATTTTCACTCAGCTATTTGTGTCTTCCTTCATTGCTGACAATATGGGCTCCATTGACTTAACCTCGCTGCGCAACATTCGCAAAGTGCTGGTCGCCAATAGAGGCGAGATTGCCGTCCGTTGCATCAAAGCTTGCCGCGAGTTGGGAGTTCATAGCGTCGCTATCATAACAAATGCCGACGCAACTTCATTACATGCCACATTAGCAGACGAGGTAGTCTTGCTACCGGGTGAGGACAACACAGCCTACACAGATGGGTAAGCACAGCGTTGTTTATTGCGAGTATCTACTTTGCTAAATGTTTGTCTCAAAAGTGACGCGATTCTGGACATTTGCAAACGAACAAATGCAAACGCTATCATCCCTGGATACGGCTTCTTGAGCGAAAATGTTGAATTCGCAAACGCCGTTACTTCTGCAGGCATTACTTTCGTCGGGCCCTCCTCAGCATCGATCAATGCGATGGGGCTGAAGCACGAAGCTAGAGCTATCGCCCAAGCCGCAAATGTCCCGGTCATTCCTGGCACACAGCTCCTGGCATCCGCTGGGGCTGCCGTGGAGGCTGCAAAGAGTCTGGGTTGTCCGGTCATGCTGAAGGCCACTGGGGGAGGTGGTGGCATGGGATTACAGATTTGCCGCAGTGAACAAGAAGTCGAGAAAGCATTCGCCATGGTTGAGAGCCGCGCTAGCACGCTCTTCAAGAATAGTGGCGTCTTCTTGGAGAAGTACTACCCGAGTTCACGCCATATTGAGGTCCAAGTCGCCGGCAACGGAGAGATTGTGGTCGCCTTTGGAGAGCGTGAGTGCTCACTACAGCGGCGGCATCAGAAAGTAATCGAGGAGTGTCCCAGCCCCTTTGTGGAGCGTCACCCTGGTCTACGCGAACGGATGCTTCAAGCCGCTGTCAACTATGCGTCACAGCTGAAGTACAAGAGTGTGGGCACAGTTGAGTTTCTCGTGGACGATGAGACAGCCGACTTCTTTTTCCTTGAAATGAACACGCGATTGCAAGTTGAGCATGGAATCACCGAATTGTGCTATGGAGTTGATCTGGTACATCTCATGCTGCGACAAGCTGACTACGAACGCGGTGGCCATATTGGGATTCCATCTGATGTCCTAAAAAGCCTTGGAAGACCCCAGCCACTGGGATCGGCTATCGAAGCTCGGGTGTATGCTGAAGTACCACTTCGTGACTTTGCCCCTAGCCCTGGAGTCTTCCAACACGTACACTGGCCAGAGGGCGAGGGTGTGCGGGTCGACACATGGGTTCGAGATGGCCAGAAGATCACGCCCCTCTATGATCCATTAATTGGAAAGGTCATGGCACATAGCCCTGATGGCCGGGCTGCCGCCCAAAAGAAGATGATTGAAGTACTGGCTGATACGGCTCTTCAAGGCACACAGTCCAATCTGGAATACCTGTCAAAGATTCTTGAGTCTGAGATGTTTATGAGCGGCAACACATTAACCAACTCTTTATCGACGTTCAAGTTTGATAGCTGTTCTTTGCAGGTAATTGACCCTGGTGTTTTCACGACGATTCAGGACTACCCGGGCCGTATTCAGACGCGTCATGGTATTCCGCCCAGCGGCCCAATAGACGATTTCAGTGCTCGAGTGGCAAACATTCTGGTCGGTAACGACCACGGAGTCGAGTTGTTGGAACTCACTCTATCTGGTCCAAAGCTGTTGTTCCACGAAGCAGCTGTTGTAGCAATCTGTGGTGCAGAGCTGCCCGTCACCGTCGATGGTGTATCTCAAGCTATGTGGTCGAGGATCCTCATCAGAAAAGGTCAGATACTCGAGCTCGGCAAAGTGACCGGTAACGGCCTACGAACATATCTTGCCGTGAAAGGCGGGTTCCCCCAGGTCCCCAAGTTTCTTGGATCCAAGTCCACAGCCCCGGAGCTCGGCTTTGGCGGTGTGCAAGGGCGAAAGCTCCAGATTCACGACATTATCGCTCTATCCCCACAATCAAGGTCCTGGGCCGCAGAAGCCACACCTCTATCTTTGCCGTCAAATTTCATTCCCAACTTCACTACTAGTGTGACCGTTTGTTGCATTGATGGTCCGTACGGATCTGAAGATATTCTGACCCCCGAAGGACGCACGACACTGTACGAGGCCGATTGGACGGTCAGTCATAACAGCAGTCGAAGCGGCATACGTTTAGAAGGACCGCGGTTGAAATGGGCTCGAGCATCTGGGGGTGGCGGCGGATCGCACCCGTCCAATGTGCTCGACTATGGTTACCCTAATTGCGGCGTCAATTTCACAGGAGAATTTCCCATCATCTTTGGTCCTGATCGTCCGGACTTGGGCGGTTTCGTCTGTCCAACGACTGTCTGCTCTGGCGAGATGTGGAAGATTGGCCAGTTAAAGCCTGGTAACACTGTACGATTCCGTTCTGTTGCTTACGACACTGCCCTTGAGATTTCGAGAAGAAAAGATGACTTTCTTCAAGCTCTTGTAGCATTTTCGCAGGGAAGTACAAGCCGGATATCTCCTCTCCTTGTCGAGTTCACGGATGAACCCCCGTCTTCGATTTTACACCAGAAGCTGTCCCAGGGGAGTCATCCGCGGGTAACATACCGTCAAGGAGGTGACACAAGCATCATCGTTGAATATGGTGATCAGGTGTCGGATCTGCGCAATACTGCTTGCGTACAGTTTCTCGCCAAACAAGTATCAACTGCAAACCTGCCGAGCGTGTGCAGCGATCCCAACTTCGCCTCTCTCACTGTTCGCTTCGACCCGTTCCAGATGGACCGGTCCAAACTCCTTCAGCAACTCATTCAATTCGACGATCAAATTGGGCAGACTACGGGCATTAAGATACCCGCCCGACAAGTGCGGCTCCCCGTCTGCCTCGACCATTCCTCACTGCAAGAGTCTGCGCAACGGTATATGGACAATATCAGACCTACGGCTGCCTACATGCCGGACAATGTCGAGTATCTTCGCAAGAACAATGCACTCGAGACCCGCCAGGAAGTCTTTGATGCGCTTCTTAAGACACCATGGCTGGCCGTCGCCGTCGGCTTCTACGTTGGAACACCAATATTGTTCCCACTGGACCCTTGGCACGTATTAACCGGCCAAAAGTATAATCCCAGCCGGGTTTATACTCCAAGCGGCTCGGTCGGCCTCGGAGGCTCACTTGTGGCCATCTATCCTGTTGCCGCGGCAGGAGGTTATCAACTTCTTGGTCGAACATTGGGTGGATGGGATGGATCAGGAAGCCGCCCAGGTTTCTCTAGTGAGCGGCCTTGGCTGTTCAACCATCTCGATCTGATAAAGTTTTACGAGGTCTCTGAGGACGAGTACAACAAGATTGAGCGAGACTTTGAGACGGGTCGATATGTTTTTGACATTTCAGAAACAATGCTAGATATGGATGAGTATATTGCCAAATTTGAAGCAGCTGCCAAAGATCCCGCGTATCAAGCCTGGAGGAAGCGTCAAGTCAAAGCGGCCCAAGAGGTAGGAGAGCATGAGCAGCGTCTGTTTGAGGAGTGGACGGCAGCAAAGAATGCAAGAAATGATGATGCAGCTGCTGAGGGTGATGACGCTGATTCTGCGAATGCCGTCTCCATCGAATCGCCTATTAATGCCAATGTTTGGAAAGTGCTTGTCAAGCCTGGTGATGTACTAGAAAAGGGTCAAACAGTGGCGGTACTCGAAGCTATGAAGATGGAGATTAATCTGATTGTGGACGATAGTCAGGCTGGCGCTGTAGTAACGAAGATCAGCCAACCGCCGGGAAGCGTTGTCAGCCCTGGGATGGCGGTTGTGGAGGGTCGGAGGCAAGACTGAGGCGAATAACAAGGGATGAAGAAGGCTCTACAAATTGAACCGTGCCAAGTTGTGTATTAAAATATTCCTTTTTTCTACTGTATAAATAACGGTCTAAATAATTTGGTCGGAAATTCCTCAATTCAAATGGGAATATCTAGACCAATCTCAGGGGTTATCCTGCCTCTCTTTGAAGTGACCCTGACATACCGAATTCTACAACTTGATGAAATCAATGATCTAGGCTAGTGGGTGGTTCGTCCAATCTGATGAGGAACAGTTGATTCTCGTCACGTGCCATCTCTCTTCGACCGGGCCGGTCCATCTATTGTCTACCCGGGCTCTCTTATCTTTAACATATGCACACTGAATTTGCTACTTAATTAGTTCATTGTCATACAACCTAGTAGTGCCTCTTCACCCGAGCTGCAACCGCTCACATCACTCTCATCCTACACTATCATAATCATCCGTCATAACATTGTGGTTGCATTCGGCATTGTATCCACTTCGAGATCTCATACAGCCCGCCCCACCCTTGCATCATGAAGGGCCGCCCTCGGTTCCGTGTGGCTCCATGCAGGTACTGTAACAAGGAGTTCAAGCGACAGGAGCACCTGGAGAGGCACATTCGTACGCGTAAGTATCAAGTACCGCGCTATTGTATTGGCTTTGATGCTGAGACTTGTCTAGATACTCGGGAAAGGCCGTTTGGTTGTGCCTGTGGCCGCACGTTCACAAGACCGTAGGTTATTGCCTCCCCATTGTAGAACCAGCCCAACATACGTTGATAATCGAGGTGCTCATTACATATCATCAGAGATCTTCTAAACCGCCATCGTCGACTATCGCAATGTTCAGGCCCGGCTGCAAGCATATCTCAAGACACATTTAGCAGAGGGCAAGAAGCAAATCCTTCGCCTAAAATTATTTATCAGATATCTCCAACAGAACCTGCTGTTATTTCTCCTTCATTTTCCAATAGCAGCCATGGGAGAACACCTCCACCTCCCGTTTCCTATAGTCCTGATCCTGACCCTGGAGCATCGTTTGTCTTTGCGGGTATTAATACCGAACTTATGACCCAGACATCTGCGACACAAAATGCCATTACAGAACCAACCACCAGGATGAACAATGCCGCGCCTATAGAGTACTCTCAAAAGCAGCTCATGGGTAAATTCTCAATACGCGACCTGGACATGAGCAGTCAGGATCGACAACCAAGCCACATCCCTCGTAATAGCGGTGTTTCGGCTCGCAGCGACGATGAGATGGGCAGGACCATCGAAACTTGTTCTGACTTTATGCCGCTCCAGCTTTTTGATATCGACTTCCTGGCCAATGAACCAGACATGATAAGCGGATACCTCATGGATGTCTTTCCACCGATGGACCACCATCAGCCAACGATTGAGGGCGCATCCGACAGTTACAATGGTACTCAACCACTTCCCGCAGCTCTAGATTCCAATGCTCTAGAGCTATCGACTCTTATGCAAACAGAAATGTCACCATCACAGACCAGGGCTTCTGCGGTTCAATTGGCACCAAGCCAGACGAATCAGGCGCAAAACACGATCGGCCATTCACTTGACACAATTGACGACATCGTAGCAACAAATCCGTGGACTGTGTCGGCAGTGGCTTACGAAAAGCTTACTACCGAAGTTGCAAAACACATCAATGTGTTGCCTGAACCATTCACGCTTCCTAGCCGGCAGACATTATCGAGATATGTTGCGAGTTGGATGCGGAGTTTTCATCCTCATCTACCTTTTATTCATATACCAACAACTTGCCTAGAGTCCAAGGCGCCAATGCTTGTCCTGACTCTTGCAGCAACCGGTTCATTTTATGGGTTTGAACACACGCATGGTTATGCCATGTATTTTATTGCAAAGTCTGTCATTACCCACGAGCTCGAGAAACGTCGCCGAGCCTCTACTTTGCACTTGCTTCGGACTTTTCCACGCTATGCCGGGCTTCCCACCAGTTCTCCTGATGCATCCACGCAGTCATGGGTGACGCCACAACCTGCAACACCCGGCTCGGTCGATATTGAATTGCTGCAGTCCCTATTGGTGCTTGTACTTACCATGGCTTGGCTTGATGGACCGCTCGCACAAGATGCACTTGCCATGAGCAGTCAACTTACCGAGCTTACTCGCGAAGCGTTCAAATATCCAGTTCCAGAAATTGAAGCGGGAAACTGGAGGGCTTGGGCCCGTGAAGAAGAAAGGCGACGTACTCTATTCTCTGCCTACTTTGTGATCAATATCCTCACCATCTGTTTCAACGTACCACCTCAAATCACCAGCTCAGAGGTCAACCTTCCACTTCCATCCTCGGAAGCAGAGTTCAAAGCTCCCAATTCAAACGCATGGCTTAACTTACGGCAAAAGAGTAACTCGCGTCAGCCAGACTTCCAACTCTGTCTTCAGCAGCTGTTATCCGGGAAGTCGCTTGCCAAAGAAGACTCTACCACAGAGTTTGGAAATTACATGCTTGTTCAAAGCCTGCTGATACAGGTGTATTTCGAACGCCAAGTATCATCCGCTGTATTAAACTCATCATCAAGTCTATCACCAGCCACTATTTCACTCTATGAGAACGCCTATAACGCCTGGCAGTCGTGTTGGGATTCGGCTATCGAGTCTGCTTTGGATCCATCTTCTCCTCATGGCCCCTTGGCCTTTAACTCGACTGCCATGCTTCGCTTGGCTCACGTCCATCTCGCAGCTGGCCTCCAAAGTCAGTGCGCTCTCCGATCGCGCGATCCGAGGATTGTCGCTCAGGCATTTGAACCACACCAAAACCCCATTCCACTCCGGTCCCCTCATCTAGATCAAGCAGTTTTTCATGCTATCTGCGCACTGAGGATACCGGTGAGGGTTGGAATAGCGTTTGTCGCGCGCGGCAGAACGGGACATTGGAGTGTTCAGCATGCTATTAGCAACTTTGCATGTGCGCTCCTGCTCACTCACTGGCTCGAAAATCTCTTTCATATGGTATCTACTGATGGAATTGATAGCCTTCGATATGAGGAGAAGCGACTACTATCCATTGTCGATCGGTTAATCGAAGAGACTCATCTGGAGAGCTCTCTAGGCTCAAAAAATGATTACCCTCGCCGCATCCGACGTCTGGCTATTGCTGCAGTAAGACTCTGGGCAGAGACATGCAAGGGGATCCAGGTATTTGAGATTGTTCATGTTGTGGGAGAGACTTTGTCTCTTGTCGCGGAGTCATTAGAAAATCGCTTTCAGATTTGATGAGAATCCTTCAATGAGTCGGGGTTGCCACATATTGATACCACTGCCGCTCTACTGTTTTACTACTGTTATTAATAACCCTCAAACCACCTGTTCATGATGGCAGATTGCTTCTCTTAGTGGTGCTGGAATTTTCTGCCGCTACAATACTAGAGCAGTCTACTTATTACCTTTCGAGTCGTTTAACCATCCGAATAAGTGAAGAAGAGTGACTAGTATTTGATGTTGACTATGATGAAACATGTGACTCATTAAACTTTCCAGAAAGGCTGGATTACTTCTGCCATAAATACCACTTTGCTAGATGTATTCCGATATGAGAAGTTATGTCGGTAGATGCGTAGTGATGCGAAGAAAAGAAAGCATGCTGTTTCTTATCAACTGCAACCTGCATCCATGGTAGCTGTGTATTAGAGTACATGTAAGTTAATATCCGCCCAAGTATCAAAATCGCCGTCGCATGGTACAAACCTACCTTCATAGTAATCCCGCATGTTGTTCCTCGTATATGGCTTGACAACCCGTATAACTGGCCAGTTTCAGACATCACCATCTCCTCTCATCAGATGTGCTTTAGTATGAGTCCAACCTCGGCTTCCGCAACCTTCAGAATATGCTCAGGAGCAAACTTGGGCACCCACCCCAGGGCTTCCGTGCCGTGCTTCAGTGTGAATGTGCATCTGACGGTTCGAATGAAGAACGCGAGCAAACCAGCTATCTAATTTCATGCCCTCAATCACAATAGCAGGAATCCGCGCCTACGTGCTTCCTTTATCAAGTAATCCATGTACGGAATCATAATACTCACTTGCCAGCCAACTGCACCCGCACATAGGCTTTGGGGCATTTCAGCCCACAACTCATTGCCTCAAGAGCTGCATCATCCGCCATAGTAACTCTTTCGTCTTCGATAATACCTTTATTCGCCAAAGCTACCGCCATATAACTATTGAGGTCGTCCCAGGCTACGCTGCCAGGCGAAGGTAGGTAGTAGCCCCGTCGTCCATACCCAACAGTTGTGCTCCCAGAGAGAATGGCGGCAAGCAGTCGAATATAGAAGTCATTGTTATCGCTAATGTGGCATACAGGCCAAGTCTAGGCATTTTCATCATTAGCCCCGCCTCTTCAGATACGAAGACTAGGGGTGGACGAATGACTTACCGGAGAGTTATCGTTAATACAATAGACAAGCCTTACCTCCTTGGCCGCCTTGACAATAGACACAATTTGGCCGGAAATCTTGTTACCGAACCCCAATCCTTCGCCATCTTACATAAATTTAGCACTCAATACCTAATCTCGGACATGCAGTATAACCACGGCAAATCCATGTCTCCAAAGGCAGGTAGAACTCACACACAATGCATGGGGCAACGATGTAGCTCTTAACATCAAGTTCCTCTGCTAAATAGATCACTGTTCTGTTCGTACTGAAAGTTTGGGATGCACAATTAGGCTCGAATCCCTTATATCCTATATGTTAATGTGTAGCCTCAGGTCATGGCCTCTTAGAGATCTGTCCTACCTTTTGGGGTGCCGGGTGAGGTGCTCGGTCTTGCTGCTCCCTCTGGATCTCATACAGTTCGTTGTCTGTATCCAGCAGTGGATCGTCTGTTGGGGCTCTTGCTAAATCCGAGAATAGTTTCGCACCCGAGGTCTAAAGATTGATGTCAGTAGCATGGTATAAAAATGACCGCTTAAAAACAGAGTCTTCTCTAAGAAGACAAACACATATTGTCTCAATAACATAGCCAGCTTGTCCCCCATATATTTCCTCCTCTCGCAGAGTAAGCATCAGGGAGGAGCCGTTACCTACCTGCAAGAAATGAACTCCTGGCCTGTCTGTCGCTGCAATTTGGCTAGAGCTCGGATGAACAGCGTCTGCCTCTCGACGTTCACGACGTCAATGAACAAAACCACGACTGACACCTCGTGGTCTAGGATGAAGCTCTCAATGGCAACTTCATCTCCTGGATCAAACCACGCAGGCTCGGCGCCATAGTCACGGACGGTCTGGGCTTGATTATCGCTGCGAACAAGTCGGTAGATTGTCACATGGACTGGCCACCCTATTCTGTCACTACTAGAATTGCGTAACTGGGCCAGGATGCTGCCGCCCAGATAGCCGGAGGCACCAGTTAGGAGGATATTGTGCACCATTCCTTGCTCCAATTATGCGATGGATGGGAACAGTTTAGCGGGCTAATTCGCAGAATTGATTAAAGCCAACTTGATGAAAGTGAACAAAGATGAATTTCGGAAAGAAAATGAATGTGAATGATCCTAGCTTTTGACTCTGTAATGGAAAATAGTATAAATTTCACACATGATGCGGCTTATTGGGGGAGGAGCCAGAACAGCATTTCTACGCTTTTTATCTTCAATGACGAACGGAGCATTGTAGTTCTAGCCAATTACGTAGTAGAGGCCTGCGACGACTATCTATTACTTTTATTAGATGAAGAAAGTGGGCGTTTACAAATCGACGATTCTTTCCCATGAATTGGAAGTAGGTGTTTACAAATTAATTATCTCTTACGAATGGAAAGACAATGTCGACACATCTAGTGTCAAAACATATTCCCTATATGAAGATCTCAACAATAGAAACCTACATGAAATTATGTTGTGTCGATTGAATTCATAGTAAAAGTTAGGGTGAACTTGGCTACTTCAACTGATCGAGCATGTTGGCACACAATCCAGTCCTTGAAGTACTCAGTCAGTCTTTTTGTCTTGCGCCTGGTGCAGCTCAACAATCATGTCATTGCGGCATTGGTGACTTTGTGTCACATTGACCCTGCGCAGCCAGCATTGGAAGGAATTGATCCAGTCATTTGTTGCTATCAAGTTATTGTTGAATTAAAGCGTTTTGTAGTTGCAACGCGGAATATGCCAGTAGTATAAATTCCCCGCCGTAAGATGAAAGAAAATAATAATAATCTTCAGTCAGACGTCTGGTGGAGTGCCTAGCATATCACAATACATGTAGAGAGTGTCAGGTGGTTTTGTATTGTGCCCTGCTTTCGTATATCCTATCTAGTTTTAGCTAAAAGAGAGTGAAAAGGGCAAAAAAGTCCACTGAAGGTTTTAAGCGAAAACAGATGAGGGTTATAAGTACCCCAGCGTGGAACGGGTGCATAATACGCACCAAGAGTGACGGCGGGTTCGAGATACCCGTTGGCTCCACCCTTCGTGACCAACTGTTCGCTACGCTTACAGTTAGGCCAGAAATTACTAAAATAACTAAAAAATTAAAATATTTTAATTTATAAAGGAAATATATTAAATTTAATATTAATTTCTTTATTATTAATTTATAATTAATTTTTTTAAATAATTAAAAATTATATTAATTTATTTTTTATAATATTTTTTTTTAATAATTTTTTTTTATATTAATTTAAATAATAATTTTAATTTAAATAAAATTAATAATAATAAATAATTTTAAAAAAATTTATTATTAATATTATTAATAAAATTAAATAAAAATTTTTATAATATTTTTTATATTATTTTATATATTTTTTTATATAATTTTATTATTTTTATTATTAATATTATTAAATAATTTTATAATAATATTTATTAAATTATTTATTATTATATTTTAAAAATATTTAAATATTTAATTTAAAATATATAATTTAATTAAAATTTATTATAAAACTTTTTTTATATATTATAATTAAAATTTTAATATATTAATAATAAATAAATTTTTTTTATAATTAATAAAATAAAAATATTTTTTATTTTAAATTTTAAAAATAAAATTTTTTTTATATTTTTTTATAATATTAAATTATATTTTTTTTATTATTTTTTTTAACTTAATAATTTATTATTTAATTTAAATTTTATAATATAATATATTAAATTATTTAAATTTAAAATTAATAATTTAATAATTTTTTTATAATTATATTTTTATTATTTTAATTTTATTAAATTTTTTTTAATTAATTATTTTATTATTTAATTTAATTAAAGTTTATAATAATATAAAAATTATTAATTAATTTAATAAAGTTTTTATATTTTTAATAATTTAATAATTTTTTAATATATTAATTTTAATTAATTATAAAATAATTAATATATTTTTTTAATATATAAATTTTTATAATTATATAATTAATTTAATAAAAGTTTTTATAAATTTAAAAATTTATAAAATTATTATATTTTTTATAAATATTATATATTAAAATTAAAATTTAAAAAAATTAAGTTTTTTTAAATAAAAAATTTAAAAATATTAAATTAATATTTTTTTTTATTATTATAAAAATATTTTTATTATTAATAATTATATATTAAAAAAAATATTTATTTTTTTAAATTTTAAAATAATATTATATTTTATAAAATTTTTATTATATATTATTTAAAAAATATTAAAAAAATCTTTTTTTATAAAAATAAAAATGTTTTTAAATAATAATTATTATAAAATTTTTTAATAAAAAAACTTAAAAAATTAAAAATATTAATATTAAAAAATTAAAAAATATAAATTAAATATAATAAAAATATTATAATAATAATATTAAATTAAATATAATATTTAATAAAGTTTAATTTTATATAATATATAAAATTATTAATAATAAAAAAATAATATATTTTTTTATTTTTAAATTTTTAAATAAATAAAATTTTATATAATAATAATTATAATTTATAAAAGTTTTATAATTATATATTATAATTAAAATATTTATTAAATTTTAATTTAAATTATTATATTTATATTAATAATTATTAAAATTATATATTAAAATTTTATTAAAAAAATTTTAAAAATTAATTAAAAAAAATAAATTTATTAATAATATTAATTAATTTTATTATTATAAAAATTTTTTAATTATTTAAATTAAAATTTTTTAATTAATATAATTATATTATATATATAATAATAATTTAAATATATTTATAAAAATAATTAAATTAAATATTATATTTATTTTTATTTTAATATTTTAATATATTAATATATTAATATAATAATTTATAATAATATTTTTTAATTTATTAAAAAAAATTATTAAATTTATTATATTTAATATTTTAAATAATTTTTTATATTTTTAATAACTTTAATATATAATTTTTAAATTTTTAAATAATTTAAAAATTATTAAATATATATTTTTTTTATAAATTTATAATTTAAAGATTTTTTTATTATTAAAAATTATTAATAATAATTATTATTTATAATTTTATAAAAAAAAACTTTTTTTATTAAAATTATATTATATATATAATAAAAAAAATATTTTATTTTATTTATTAAAAAATATAATTAATTAAATTATTAAAAAAAAAATTAAAATATTAAAAAAAAAAAAATTATATATTAAATAATAATAAAGTTTATATTAAAATATATAATAATAGTTTATATAAAATATATTTTTTAAATTTTTAAAAATTAATTATAATTAATTAAAATAATAATTATAGTTTTAAAAATAAAAGAAAAAAATTTATTATTAAATTTAATAATAATTTTAATTATTAATAATATATTATTATTATTATTTTTATATAAATTATATAAAAGTTAAAACTAAATTAGGTTTATTTTAATTTTTCCGTTGTTTTAGTAATTTCTGGCTTGACTGTGAGCGTAATGAACAGTTGGTTACGAAGGGTGGAGCCAACGGGTAATAAGCCCGACGGGAGCACCGCTCCTGGAAACAGCAGACTCAGTCAAAACTACGCAGAAACCGAGAAGTCCACAACGGGTCCCCACCACAGTTATACGAGACGACGACCTCGTCCAGTTCGAGGTCTTGGGACGCTGCCGATTTTTGGCCAATGGCGTCGACAAATTGAACAGTCTTAAGGCCAACAAAGGGGGCCAGAGAGACTAGACCCGGCTGAAAGAAGAGTTGAAAGCGAAACCGTCGAGGGACTCAAGCACCACGGCACAAGCAGCCTGCCTAGGCTTCGCCATGGACATGAGAGAATTAGTCTTCATGAGAAAGGAGACACCAAAAACCCCAAGAGGCCAACAGCCCACAGAGGGGCGGATCTATCCAGAAGTCAACTGCAACAACCTCAAAGGCATCGTGACAAAGAGCGAGCCAGCTCAGACAATGACTGGGCAGGCCGTGATTCCACACTTTCTGATGACCGTGCCGTTGAACCTCAAGGCGGCAAAGAAAATCGTCTCTGGCGCTGCCTTGGAAGAGTTTTGTACCACTCCTCAAGAACAGGCCTTCTACACACACGCCACAGACTGAATAATCGAGAACATTAAGAAGGGGAGGACATGAACTCACCAACAATTATTTAGGTATAATGCCACTAACGAACTTTAATAATTTTTCTGCTACTCTCTGCTACTACCGCTACTCTCTGCTACTATCACTACTTTCTGCTACTATCACTACTTTCTATTATCGCTACTCTCTGCTACTTTCTGCTACTTTCTGCTACTTTCTGCTACTATCTGCTACTATCTGCTACTATCTGCTACTATCTGCTACTATCTGCTACTATCTGCTACTATCTGCTACTATCTGCTACTATCGCTACATGTACTTTCTACTACTATCGCTACTTTCTGCTGCAGGTGTGCTCTCTGCTACTCTCTGCTACTATCGCGACCCTCTGCTACTCTCTACTGTATGCCTGCCCTCTGTCGAGCACTGTGGGGCCCTAATTCTGACTGCCGTCAACTGTGAATAGCAACTTTCAGTGGCCATACCCGCTGAATCCACTAAACCCCACCACTAACTTCGCTGAACCCCGGCTTATGGCCAGCTCAATCTCAACTCCATATTAGTCCACGTATGATGTTTCATTCAAGCTCCCGTCCCCGAATCATCACCTTCACTCGCCTCCCATGAGCCCATAATGTCGCCTCCAAAGGACACCAATCTGGAGCCCCCCAAAGACATCTCCATCACCAAAACAGACACATCAAATACATCCTCGCGGCCTGCAAGCGCCAACTCCAGCAGCCCCTCCGTCATCAAAGGCGCCTCCCTTCTCATCATCCTCCAGGTAGCATCTCGTCTCATCACCTTCATCGCCAACCAGCTTCTCCTCCGCTTCCTGACCGCGCCTCTTCTGGCTCTTTCCACACAACTTGAGGTCTACTATCTCTCCGTTCTCTTCTTCGCCCGCGAGAGCTTGCGAGTGGCTATTCAGCGCCAGGGGATCGCTGGAGCGGCAAACACAGAGGATGGCGTTGCTGCTGACGAAGCTGCTGTTGCGCGGAGAGAAGGGCAGGCGGTGGTGAATCTGGGGTATATTGCTGTGGCATTGGGCAGCATCGTCAGCGTGGCCTTGGGATGGATGTATCTTGCGTCTGCTCCCGCTACCACTCTCCAGACGCCCTGGCTCGTCGAGTCGCTTTGGCTCTATGGCATCGCTGCCATGGTCGAGCTCCTGTCCGAGCCATGCTTCGTCTTGATGCAGACGCGTCTTCAATTTGGCACTCGCGCGACAGCTGAATCCATTGCAACTTTTCTCCGCTGCATCGTCGTTTTTGGTTCTGCTGTTTGGGCCTCTCAACAGAGCTTGGATATCGGCGTTCTCCCTTTTGCGCTAGGACAGCTCTCATATGGCGTCTCCCTTCTTCTGGTCTATTTCGCCGCAGGATATCGCCTTGCACTCGGCACCGGATTCTCACTTCTACCAACACGACTCACTTCCAGCAAAGGCGTCGTTTTTGTGCTGTCATACTTTTACAAGCCGACCATCAGTCTTGCGGGGAGCATGATGGCCCAAAGCGTGGTGAAGCATCTCCTTACGCAGGGCGACACCTTTCTCATCTCCCTCTTCTCTACTCCAGAAGTGCAAGGCGTATATGCCCTAGCGAATAACTACGGCAGTCTTCTCGCCCGTCTACTCTTTCAGCCTGTCGAGGAAAGCAGTCGTAGTTACTTTTCACGCCTTTTATCGTCACCGTCTACATCCAACAACGGCCAGCCCTCGTCACAGCCATCCTCATCCGTCAAGGAGGCGAAGCGCAACTTATATACAATCTTACGTCTATACATTCTCTTGTCCGCCATCATTGTCAGCATTGGGCCTTTCGCAGCCCCCGCACTCCTTTCCATCGTGGTAGGCAGCCGCTGGACTGGTTCAGGAGCTGGCCAAGTTTTGGGAACGTATTGTTTCTACATCCCCTTCATGGGACTCAACGGAATTACCGAGTCTTTTGTTGCTTCTGTCGCCACTGAGGCTCAAGTACATCGCCAATCGTTTTGGATGGGTATCTTCTCAGCCGTTTTTGCGGCATCCGCCTTCCTTCTTATGAGTGTCTTTCCACTCGGTGCCCAAGGTCTCGTTTATGCCAATAGTATCAACATGCTGTGTCGAATTATCTGGAGTGGCACCTTCATTATCGGCTTCTTCAAGTCTCACGGCCTCGATTTTGCGCCTGCATCACTATTCCCCACAACCACAATCGCCGTCTCGCTATCGACGTTGGGACTCTTACAATGGTTAGGCGTTCAAAACGATGGCGAGGAACGACCATTTGCAACGCTGATCAAGATTGCTGGCTCTGCCATTCCATTACTACTTCTAATGTACGTCGATGCATTTCTACATGCTATGCTTTTTTCTCTCTTCAAGATACACAGTCGTCTAACATGGTGCTGTAGTGTATTTCTAGAGCGCAAGTTTCTTCTCGAATGCTTCCAGTCTATCCGAGGTCGCAAAGCAAGCAAACGCGAGTAGTAACAAAGTAACACAAAAAAGAAAGAAGAGAGTAAAAGAGACCCATTTCCCGTGCAAAACATACCCATGCTTTTATATTAGTCGAATGTAATCTTTGTTGCCTTTTGGTTCGGATCGACGTCCTTGAAGAAGCCGCCGTACATGTCGTGCGTCTTCTTCTTGACAACGGTGCCAAACTTCATCAGCTCATCGGGAACAGGCTGGTTAGCGCCCTTGAGGATGTTGATGAGACTGTTTACTCCACGTCAGCTTTCCTCTCCTACTATGACATTGTAAGATGAGTTGGGGGCTACTTACGATCCGGAGTGCGCCTTGTCTTGAACAGTAAACATTGTGATGGCCTCACCGGTCTTGCCGGCTCTGCCTGTTCGTCCAATACGGTGAACGTAATCCTCAATGGTCAGAGGGAACTAAGGGGGAAACAAGTTAGAGACTGTACAGATTCGTGATTCGTGGCCAAACTTACAGTAACGTTGATGACCAGCTTAACTTCGGGGATATCCAATCCTCGAGCAGCCACATCCGTAGCGACCAAGACTGGTGTCTTGCCAGTCTTGAAGGCCTCCAAACTTCTTGTTCGCTGCTCCTGTTTCAAGTCACCGTGAATGCCACCGACGCGAACGCCCTTGCGGCTGAGGAAGCTCTCGACACGGGTTGCCTCCTTCTTGTACAGGCAGAAGACCAAGATACGGTCATCCTTTTGCTTGCCCTGCTGGTGTTGCTTGATGATTTGCAAAAGTCGGAATTCCTTGTCCTTGCCATCCATAACCTCGACCTTCTGCGAGATGCGCGTGTTAGCCTGGAGCTCAACGGAGCCGTTCTCAGTCTCCTTGCCACGGGATCCGATGGTGATCTTGACTGGATCAACCATGAAGGTGGACGCCAGGCTTTGAACGGACATGGGCCATGTGGCAGTAAACATGAGCGTCTGTCGCTCCTCCCGGGGAGGGCAGGCACCAAGAATCATCTTGATATCCTCCTCGAAACCCTTGTCCAGCATACGATCGGCCTCGTCCAAGACGGCAAATCGGCAGCCGCTCAGGTCGACGGTCTCATCGGACATGAAGTCCTTCAATCGACCAGGAGTAGCGACAATGATGTCAGCACCCTTCTGGAGTAGCGCTCGCTGATCATCCTTGGAGGCACCACCGTAGAGACAGACGCACTTGAGTCTGAGCTGGGAAGCCAGACGAGCCAATTGCTCATGAGTCTGCATAGCCAGCTCTCGGGTGGGCGAAACAACAACGGCCTTGACGCCCTTCTTGTTAATGAGAGAAATGGACTCAACACAAGGGAGAGCAAAAGCCATAGTCTTGCCGGAACCCGTCTCAGCAACACCGACGACATCACGCCCTGAAAGCGTAGATGGCCACGAAGCAGCCTGGATGGGGGTAGGGGCTTTGTAGCTAGCAAACGGCGACGGCTTCTTCTCCAGCAAGTTGGTAGAAGGCAGGTGGTGGAACTCGGTGACAGGTCGCAGCTTGCCAGTGGTGTTTCGGGGGTCAGTGATGACAATCTCGTTCTTGGAAAAGTACTCGTCGATTTCGGATTGCGGAACGTTGGACAGGCTCATCGTCTGGACGTATTCGCGACCGTTGGAGGATTCTTCGGACGTCTTGCCGTTGGTCTCCTTGGCTTTGCGCTCTTTCTTGGACTTTTTCTTGTCTTCGGCGGGCTTCTCGGCTTGGTCGACGTCCATGCTCTCGGACTGTTCCTCTGTAGCCTGTTGAGCGCTTTCATCTTCATCCTGAGACTGCTTGGACTTCTTGTCCTTCTTCTCTTTCTTATCCTTCTTTGACTTCTTCTTTTCCTTCTTGCTCTCTGCGTCGGCGCTCTCCTCTGCGGGTGCGTCATTCACGTCCTCATCCTCGGTAGACTTGGACTCCTCCACCTTTCTCTTCTTGTCTTTCTTCTCTTTCTTCTTCTCCTTCTTGTCCTTCTTCAGACGCGCCTTTTCGGCATCGTCACCGGCGCCGGTAACCTTGGATTTCTTGACCGGGCGATTCTCGGCCGCGCTGTCGTCAGCCTCGGCACGGAGGTGCTTGGTAGCAGCCATTTTGAATAGTTGATTGGAATGAGAAAGTCGAATCGATCTTGCCTCAATTGGTAACCCAGGATCAATCGTCTCTCTGGATTGTTGCGACGAGATGGACCGATTTCTGCGGCGCAAAAGCTGGTGGGTCTTGGGCGATGATAAAAAAAAAAGTTGGGAAAAAGTCGTTATCGATAGCGATCAGGCCCCACTTCGTTTCATGGTACGACCGCGATCTCTGCTGACTAAGTTGTTTTCTGTCTGAGTTGCTTCAATATCCATCCATAATGCCTCAATGGAGCACTAGATGGCTTCACAATTAGAGACCTGATATCAACGGCAATCCAGTTCCTCTACACACATAATGACCATTAGTTATCTTTCACTGTTCTAATTCTTCCCTCCACGACTCCTGACCTCTTCTCCATGTTCAGTCGTGACGCCTTTCCTCTGATGACCCCTCCTTGCACATGTCTTCCTATAAGGTACACAAAGCAAGCATCAATAAACTTGTGTCCACACAATCGTTATATGTGGTCTGTGATGAAGCATATATACACGCTACTTATGATACATTTCTATAACCAACTTCTCCTGTGATACTGGCCCAGCTGGGACGTAACTTAGCAGCTCTTTCGCATACGATGCCGCGGCCAATGCTGCGAATCCTTGCCACTTCTCATTCTTATGTGAATCGGCATAATCACAGATCCCCCGGACGACGATACAAGGAAAATCCATCATCACACCAGCCGCCTCCATGTCGTAGCAGATTGCTCCTGTTTCCTTGCGAAGTTGCTCTCTTGTCCCCCCGTGTCTCATCTCTGCGTTTCCAGACGCAACAATACCGTAGTGTACGTGGGGATCAGCTGCTTCCCGTCTATTTCTGTGTTCTTCCCAGTCTGTCAGACATCCATCACAAGTAGGTGCAGTCTCAGGATGCTCATAATGCATCTGGAATAGTCGGTCGGCTGACGAATCAGGACGACCAAAATTCTGACGAGTTCGTTCATTTCTTTGAAGAGCTTTCTCCATGTATTCTGGAAACCTCGGATCGTCTGTCAATGCAGCTGCTCTCATATTTGCAACCGCAGTGATAAGCGACCGAGGTGGAGCATTCAAAGAGCCGGTTCGCATTAGTTTTCCCTCTTCTACAATTTTCCCCATGTCATACTGAAGTACGCCGCCGCATGTGCCTTCTGGGTAGCTGACGATGATGTCGCCAAGCCGAATGTCACGGACCAAAGACGGGATGCCCGATGCGATGCCCACCATCAGCCCGACCCGTAGAGATGGAGAAAATGTTCGCATCATATTGATTACTACAGCTGTGGCTGATGTAGTTCCAGATTGTCCTAGGCCAGCAATTGCAACATAATGTTTGCCAATTCGCCCCAAGGTGTAAGAGTTCGTATCTCTGCTGTCCTGCTCATCTAGGATCCCGAAATTCGCATCCAGCATCTCTATAGCTGCGGCAACGTCGACTGGCAAAGCACATATCCAACCGATCTGGAATTTCTCGCGAGCTGGAAGCGACATAATGATCTTTGGAAGGAATTCTACTAACGGTGATTGGTTGCTACAGGTCAGCTGGCCGGACCGCGCCTGTCAAGAAGGGCCTCTCTCGTCAAGCTATGTACTTGGGCTCAATGGTGTGAATGGTGCGGGGTTGCAATTACCAAGGCCTACGAAACTCATCTGGTTACCACCATTTATCTACCTATATACGTGATCAAACGTGATGAGTTGCCTTTGGAAGGAAGTGGCTAGACTGGATTGGGCCAAATTGACCCGCAGAATCAACTTATTAGATACGTTGAGGAATTATGGGGAGGCGAATTACACGGAAACATGCCAACATGCCTGGGTAGGCTTACTTTTGTTCTCCATTCTCGGTGGTAGAGGTAGCGAATCATAAATCAAGAGGTCCAATTCGGTGTCATACCGGCGAGTCTGAGTGTAGTATAGAGCTGTTTGCCAGTTTACTCCTAGTAATATTGGTCTGATAAAACAGCGCCTCCATCACCCCTCTATGAAAGCTAGAAGGTTGTATAAACTACCTAGTAACAGCAAGACGCTGAGCAGTGTACATATATTTTCTGTCTCGTTTTTATGTTGAGCACATGCTAATAAATCATGTATTATTTACATACACCTCCTTGGTAGCTATTAGTTGGTACTTTATCCATGAATTTAATCGTCTGGATGAACACTGCAGGAGATTCTGAGGGTGAGTTTGGGGGGGTTGTTTACATGTATGTAGATAACTGATGTACGTACATGTATGTATACGCCTGCATCATGTGTCGTTGCATCTATTGTCTCCATTGTGCCCATAGTATGGGGCCAAAAGGAGGTAATATTTCATCCAAGCAATTATTAGAGGATAGATACCCTTCATCCCTACCTGCCGGTGTCATCTTCTGATCACTCGACGCCCTGCCACGTCTTATTCTAGGCTGTAGGGAGACTTTTTCTATTTTAGCCATGGTGATGCCGCTCTGCAATGCGGCGCCTCCGTATTGGTTAGAATTCATCATCTGGAGAGACACTCAGCCGCGCCAGTCAAACCAACAGGTTAGAAGTACATGTATACATATCCCCGCCCCCAAACCCCCAAGTAAATGTTAGAGCTGGTTTTCCATCTGATTCATCTCTAGGGCTCTTCAATGATATACCCACATCAAGTTACCCCATATAGCAGAAGCTCATGGAGATCGACCGCTTCACAAAGTATCTCGCTGCTACCGGCCTCTCAGCTCGGGAGGCTGAGATCCGGACATATGTAGCACAAGGCGCCAAAGATGTACGCGCCATCATGACTTCTCCATTATCGCCTGACGATTTACAGCAGATCGCGGCTCGCGAGGTTCACCCAACCACTCGCGGACGCCAAGTCGCTGGTATCATCTGGTATCTCACTTCGCTGGCGGTTGAACGAAACCAGGCCTTTCTGTCCGGCGCTTTCCTCTGCCTTGACCCTCATGGCCAACTCTCTGCTTTCTTTTTGGCCATAGGTACTCCGCGAACGAGCAGCCACCTCAGACGTCACAGCGCGCCAGGCTGTACTGGAGGAGTTGACCTCGTTGTAGACGGTACTTTGCCGCCAGTCGCCAACGATCACCGACATGTATTGTTCATAGCCATAGCTAATGACAAACATCGTGGTACCTGCTTGTTTCTCAAACCTGAACCCTATGGCGTCTCCGGATTCAAGGACTTTGGCCACCATGCTGATCGCTACGTTCGCTCACTCGCGCGCCGGTTCCGATTTGGTGGCAACGATCGCGACGGCATGTGAAAGGAACGTATACCAGATCGTTTTGTCAAGGCCTTTTCCGAAGCAGTGGCCCATATTCCAGATGGCGTGAGTGCTATTGAAGAGGTTGGCAGAAAGGGAGCAGGCGAAGGCATTGCCGGTATGCATGCCTATCTTACCACCAAGACGCGTGACAAGAGGCTCTCAAAGCCTTCTATGGTGGAATTGCTGCGTCAACTTGAGGCAGAGTACGACTTTGTCAGTTTGCGATTTGGCAACGAGGTATGCTTCGATCTCGGGGCCGAGATTTCCAGGCCACTGCCTGGAGCGCCAGGAGTTCTCGGCCCATCACCGTCTCTTTTATGGCTCAAGGTTGGAGAACCAAAGACTGAGATTTCTGTAATAACTACAGAAATGCTTGAGTCAGTCACAGGTCTCTAAACCTGTATAGGATGCCCTTGACTTATAGCCCATGTTGCTTCAACCGCGGAACCATTGCTCTGCCATCTCCCTCGTCGATGCCTGTGTTCTTCGGACGTTGACGGGAAAATGTCTGAAGGCGTTCGTTTCTAGGTAGCTTCAGAATAACAAGGCGCTATTCGTTAAGTTCATACCACTCGCATCAATGTATTTTTCGTTGGATCTTGAGCACTGTTCAGCATCCGACTGGTGGCAATGTGGGTCACGGATCGGCCGTTGAAAGAGACGGAGTGGAGCTAAATCGAATACCCATTAGTTAGCTGTTAAGGCAGGCTTCAGAGGGTCTACTTAAGTAGTAGCTGACTTACATGTCAATATAGAGCGTGAATCTCTCTCGTGGCAGATGCTGTCCATACCAACTTATCCAAACAGGGAGGCTCGAGCCTTATGAAGCGCTTACTTATCTGCAAAGGTCAGTTAATACTGCAGCACGCGTCATGCAGTATCGGCGTATTTATGTTCCTTTTCCTGGCGAAGCCAATAACAAGGCTGCGCTTCTCCTCAACCCCCGTCCAATATTCTCTCATGTTTCATGCGTCGTACAATGCCCATCATGGCACCTCTCGTTCTGGCTCCTAATGTTGTCCAGCGTATTATCTATTTCCTCATTCACAATGATTGTCTCCCTGTCGACCGGCACGCCAAACGTGTTCCAGATCTTGCAAAATATGCCACGATCAGCCGCATCTGGCAAGACGGGATTGAACGTGAGACTTTCGCCTCCTTGCGCCTCGATTTCGGACGACTATCAAAGGCCACATCCATTGTAACATCCCAGCGCCGTCGATACGTTCGGACTATTAAACTCGACGTCGCACTACCTAAGTCTGGGCCTGTGGAAAGTCCAGAAACTGATGAAGAGAAGCTTCGAAACAACCGCGCCCTCCAAGCTACCTTTGAAATGTTTATGCAAGTTATGAGTCTGTGGGAGGCGAAAGATGTACAGCGTGAAGGTATCAAGCTATACGTTGATACATCTACCCCCGATGACGCTGTGAGCGGGCGACTCGACTCTCCAAGCTCATGGAAAAGACAAGAGCAACTCGAGAGAAGACGTGTCTTATCGTTGTTGGAACTGACAAACCCCGGTCGCATTACCGACTACCCCCCAGTTGTGGCTATAACTGAGTACAAAGGGAATAGCTCAGAAATAAGTATTCACATCTCTGCAGTGGCGACTTGCGTTCTGCTGTCAAAGTTACCAGCCGTAAAAACGGCGTTTATCGACTGGTGGAGGTGTAGCCACTTTTCGAGAGTTCGGCCAAGTATGTTTCTCGTTTTTGGGAGATAGGTTATAACGAACAACTCATATGACTGACGTATCGAAAAACAGGTCTTTCAGCCGCTATATCTCAGATTAATCAACCCATGGATGAGTTGTGCATCTCGGACAGCAGTCTTACATTCGGCGATTGGCTTACATTTACTCCACCATCTGCCACTTCAATGCAAGAATTAGATGAGCTTTCTATCTCTATACGCAATTTTTCTCAGCGTCTAAAGAGGCTTGAGCTTTATGACATCTTAATCAGCGATGAACTCTTCTTTCCCGGAACTCTTTCTCTGGGGATGGCACCCCGATGGGACCGATTGGTCAAGCTCAATTTACACTATCTACCAGTCACCCATGCTGGTGAATGGCTTTTCCTTCCTGACCCAGATGCATCCAGCTCTTTCGAAGGAGAATTGAACAGTGGTGGCTTATCATTATCTTGTGGTGACATGCCGATTGGAGAGTCACACCCCAAACCAAGTATTGCTGCGCCTGCCATGCAGCGATTTTATCTGTCTGTGGCACGCGCGGCTCTACAGATGCCACAACTGCGGCAAATGAAGCTTATAGCGCAACTTGAAAATAGCATCAGCTGGCATAAGTGCTGGCATAAGTTCCGGTATTATACCACGGAGCTGGTGGCAGAAGCACTCTGGACGAGCAGCTCGGGTTTTGTCCCTGACAATGAGGTGTTGGATTGCTGGCGAAAGGTACCGAAAAAGCACCTGAAGAAAGAGCTCTTGGTGGAGATTTCAAATGATGAGAATGCTGTGGAGAGCTTAGGAGATGATGAAAGCGACATGGAGGAAAGTGATGAGAAACTGGGCGTTGCTTAGTCCTAAATTTGTTATGGTTCATTGAAGATTATGAGGTTGTGCATGACATAGTGGGAAGCAGCATGATAAAGATAACATTGAAGATGAGCCTACTTAACCACAGTGTCCATATCATTGTCCACAGCAATGCCAAATGTAGGAACCAAGCATCAAGTATCTTCATGCGGTTGGTTTTGCCAAATTTTTTACCCATGTTGACGGTCAAGATATATGCTACGATAAGGTCTTCAAGTCAAAAAGCGCCGTGAGGTCACACACTAGGAGAAAGCACACTGTAGACATAGATTATGAAGTTTTTCATGCAGTTCCCTTTTTAATCAAACTTTTCTCTCTTTCAATCCCATTTGAACTGGTAGAGGTAGTCGTAACTAAGCTACCTACTATTCAATCTGGAAAAGCTTAGCTGTGTGTCGTCGCACACTACATCCACCCCAGAAATGATCCTACATGCCGCCTTTTCGTGAGAATGCACCGGAAAAAAACATTGCGGTGTATGAATGGAATAAACACAACTAATATCTTTTGCTTTCTTTTTTGATGATTTAAATTCCGTTTGCCTTCTCCTCCAGAATGGATATGACACTGGGTGTCTCTTGAGGAGCAGTGATGGCAACCGGCTTCAGCAGTGGGCTAGTTGGCCGGCTAGTGAGGAACTGCAGAGATTAAAGGACATGGTTAGCCATCAAAAGGTTTCTTTCTGCTGCTGTTCGTGGGAGAAATACTCACATTGCTTGCCGCGCTCAGCATGGCGAGGAGCGAGCTTTGTACCACATCTTCATGGATACCGACGCCCCAGACTGTCTGCTTGCTGCCCGTAGGCTTGCACTCGATATATGAGGCGGCCTTAACACCTCGTCCCTCACCGATGGCATGTTCTTTATAGTCGTGAACGTCCAGATCAATGCCGACTTGTTTGAGCGCAGCCGCCATACTAGAGATGGGTCCATTGCCGCGACCACGCAACTTAATCTCTTGGCCATCCAGGAGGATAACGCCATCAAAAATACGAATCATGCTCTTCGTATCCTGAGTTTTGCCAGATGCGGAAGGCATAGGAGACTGCGATCGGTCGGGGCTGATGCTATAGTCAATAAGGCTAAGGCGGTGGTTCTCGTGGAGGAAATAAGTCGTCTCAAAGAGATTGGTGATCTCGTTAGCCAGAAGCTCTCGTCCAAGTTCCTCGGCGCGGCGCTGGACAATTTTGGAGAAGGCAACTTGGAGACCGCGAGGGAGGTCGAGCTCCAGTTTTGCGCGCAGGATAAAGGCACTTCCGCCCTTTCCAGATTGTGAGTTGACGCGAATGATGGCCTCGTAATTGCGTCCGATATCCTGAGGATCCAGTGGTAGGTAGGGCATCCCGAGCCATGGGTCTTCGCTGGATAGGCCCAGGTTCTGGCGGTTCTGGAATCCTTTCTTGATAGCATCTTGATGGCTGCCTGAGAAGGCTGCGCATACGAGACTACCGCCGTAGGGAGCACGCTGGTGGACGGGAATCTTGGTGCAGGATTCGACCACCTCAATGACTGAGTTCATATCAGAGAAATCAATTTGCGGGCTCACGCCTTGTGTGTAAAGGTTTAGAGCCAAAGTGACGAGATCGACGTTGCCCGTTCTCTCTCCGTTGCTGTGAAAGGATTAGTACATTTACCGTCTCGTAATCGCAACGACAAAAGCAACAAAGGTACAAACGAACCCAAACAAGCAGCCCTCGACACGATCAGCTCCTGCCATCTGGCCTAATTCTGCTGCTGCAATACCTGTTACCACGTCAGCACCGCACCGCACCGCCAGAAGTGGATATACTAACTGCATCCGCGATCGTTGTGAGGATGCTGCCGAGAATTGTTAGCATGATGATGGTGATACAGGCGTGAGAGGTGGAAAGGGTATGACTTGCCAGAGACACGCACACACTCTCCCTGTCTCCAATGTTGTTGCTGAAATACTCCACCAAGTCTGCATAAACATTGGGGGTTGAGAGCTCGACTGTGGCGGGCAGGTTGAAGATGATTTGGTCTCCAGCTTCTCCATTAGGGCCCCACGCAGCTTTCACCGCGCGGCATACCCTCAGAGCATAATCAGAATCGGTGTCGGAGAAACACTCGGGCGAGAATTCGAACTGCCATCGAGTTCCAGAAGCCTCGGGATTGTCCTTGGTCAGAGACCTGACGAGCTTGGTGCACTCCACAGCGAGCTCCAGGGTCTGTTCTTCAGTGTAGCCGAAGACGACCTGCCGGAAGCACTCGCTAGTAGCGAGATAGATGTGGATGATGGCGTTTTTCGCACCGCGAACTGACTCTACAGTCCTGCGGATGAGATCGGGTCGGCAGGGCGAAAGAACCTGTAGGAATACGTCGTCTGGCACGGCGCCGGGGGTTTCGATCAAGCGGCGAGTGAAGTCGAAGTCGATCTGGGAGGCAGAAGGGAAAGAGACCTCAATCTCCTTGTAGCCAAGAGCACACAGCATCTGGAAGTAGCGCCACTTCTCCTCACCGTTCTGTTTGTTGACCAGCCCATGTCAGCGCCGTCGCACAGGTAGGTAGGCATGTAGGTATATGTTGGATCGCGCGAGCGGCATGAAGAAGACGTACCATTGGATCGGGCAGACTCTGGTTGCCATCGCGGAGGCAAGAGCTTCGGAGGAGATTAGCAACGACTCATGCGCCGAAAGAGGAGGTGTCTGCGACATACGACAGCCAGCGAGGAGCTTTCTCGATGACCTTGTCAGGCCATTGTCGGTTGGGCAGATGCGGCGGCTAGGCATTGAAGTTAGTTGACGGCTGAAAATTGACCAGCATGCAGGTATGAATCATGGCTTACCTTGAAAGCCTTGTACTTCTTCCACGGTTCCTTGAGCCTGTAGACGATGGGATTGCCAGGGTTAGCTCTGCATGATCCAGGGCAGCAGCTCAAGCGACCTACATCGGCATCTTGACCTGTGGCGATGGGCTGGTGGGCGCAGTGGGGTGGTGATGACAGCGAGAGGACGAGAGGGCGAGAGGGCGAGAGCAATTGCTTTTCCGATCCCAGCAGAAAATGTCCCCAGACAGGAGGAGGTGCAAGAGGAGTAAATAAAGACGACCCGCGGGAGAGGATCAACAGATTCTGAGTCATACAGAAATGTCTGGAGGTTGCAGGTTTGGAGGCGAATTATTCAAAACCAAATCGCAGCCTCTCGAATTGGGCGCTCCCCATTCGCCTATTCGCGGGGAGGCTCCACTGAAATCTTGCTGCCTCCGACTCCGGACCCAAACATTTGAAGTGACGGCAGCGGCAGCCGGTGATGTCGATGCTCCACTGACGGGAAACAGCAAAAGATGACTACATGTATTTTATTTTAATTATGTCATTCAATCTCTCTGTCGTCAGCGCTTCCATTGGCATCGTCTTGCAAGCTACCTGTGTTGTTTCCGAGGCTGTTTTTAAGGCAGCGCCCATGTGCGTCTCATCAGCTCTCGGCACATTCGGGCATTCAACTGTACGTTGCATGTCTGTTTAACGCCAGTAAAGGGCGTGGCTAATAATACTTGCACATGTACTCCATACTACGTATTTTAATGTATTTGCTCCAACTTTGATGAAACTGTGGCGGGTGTGGCTTTCGAGAAAAACAGCTGCGGGCTTGTGCCCCTTCACCCTTCACCCTTCACATGTTTCTAGGTACCTGTACTTTACTTCACTTATTTTCTTCCAAGCCATAAGAGGTATGCCGTCCCTCCTCCCTACAAATACATATGGCACAATCGTTATTAGTAGGTACTAGGTATCATTACTACTAAAAAGCCGTTAGTATACCCATCTACTCCGTACCTAGGTAGGTGAAGACATAGAGGGGATATACATGTAACTACGCCAAGATGAGGGGCTCAATACATGTGCGTGCCGTGACTCCCTCTTCATCCGCTAAACCCGCATCTGTATTTCGAAAGGGCGCTTTTGACGCATACACAATAACCTCAATCGGCCCGCCGCACATTAACATGCCATTGGCATGCAAATATTACTGCATGATTGAGCTGGCTGATTGAATAGAGCCTGTTCGGCGGGTTGACTAAGCCATCACGTATTCTGCCGTCTCTCTATTATCAGCGAGTCACCCCTGCTTACTACATAATCCACCCATCGAGTACCTATATACTAATACTAGTAATTATGTAATTTGGGATCCTATGATAATATCGGTTTTATTAGTAGTATTAGATGTATTTAGCACTCCGAGACAGCTGCATTATATTTGGTATTGCACCTCACCTCTGACAGTCTGGTTCGTGGGACATCGGGTTCTGCCAAAGACCTGGAAGTGACATGCCAAGCTTCACATTCAGTGGAATGGATGGTAAGGCAATTGTTGGAGGAGTCAATTCCTTATTTTATTTTATTTCCAAGTTGTCAATATGCAGTCAATTGAACCTGCATCTGAGCCGAGCTGCAGCCCTGGTTGAGAGGAATCTGCGAAACAACATAGCTTTGCACGGTGCTGGTAATAATTAAATGGTGGGGACGAAAGGTCGGTTATCCAGCAACCCAGCAACTGCGTATTAGGTAGTATTTGAATGTAGGCGTAGGAGATGGATTCATAATAGTTCCTTATGTTCACTTACAAGCAGTTTTCGGCGTAGCATATATGCTATATGAATATGGGACGATATATGCTTTTTCTACAATATCCGTCACTTGAGACGGCACACCGCCTATTCAATCATTGGAAATTATAACTGTAAATAATGACTGAGATATGGGAGTATAGAAATCCGTCAATAGTTAATGAGCAAAAAAGCTCGTCATTGCCGTATGCATATCATCACCCTTGTCTAGACTATATCCGTTGCCTGCCTAACTGAGGGGGAGTTTTTTTTTTCTTAGGTAGGTTCTCAATATCCAGGTCCCCGGCTATCGTCGCACCATAGTATACGGTGGATTCAAACACTGCAGTCAAGACAATGAATTCGCAGCATTTGTCCAGTATGGAAGCAAAAAATCAGGAGCCTGGCATTGATTACCAGTACAAGTCACTTAAAGACGACACATCAATCCGACTGCTGTACCTGCATCCAGACTCATTGAACCAGCTGCCCATTAAGGCCTCCCTCCTAGAATACCCTGTTAATGCCTGTCCGAATTTTGGAGCCCTGTCTTATACATGGGCAACAGAAGACGGGGTGGCTACTCTGTCCCGAGAATTGCTCTGTGACGGGGCTTCTCTCAAGATAACACAAAACTGCGAGGCCGCATTGAAGAGACTGCGACGGCCGAGGGAAGACCAAGTGCTCTGGGTCGATGCAGTCTGTATTGATCAATCCAACCTCGAGGAAAGGAGTCTCCAGATTGGCTTAATGCGTCAGATCTATAGCCAGGCATCTTGGGTAGCGCTGTGGGTTGGCGAATCATCGTCAACCGTCGATGAAGAGTCTGGTTTACCGCTCTCGGATCTAGGTATGGATTATATTCACGATTTTGCAGTTGAGATTGCAGAAAGAATGAATTCGGGTCGTAATGTTAGTGAGGGGCCGCTTTATCAAGAGTTCATCAAAGATCGACAGGCATTCCAGCACTCTAACAGCAAAGTCTTCACGCCCCGTGTTCGCGGCCTATGGGACGTATTCCATAGGAAGTGGTGGGGCAGGCTATGGGTTATCCAAGAGGTTGCCCTATCCAAAGAGCCGACATTGATTTGCGGAAGCAAAGCAGAGACCTTTCACAACCTCAAGATTGTCATTGAGGCTCTCATCAGGCAGGAGCAGCCTGTTGAGGTGATGGAGTTTAATACCAACTTCATCGCATCCACATTCCATCAATTTCACATACGACATATGATTGAAACTGGTGGAATGGGAAAGATATCGCCTCCTGGGATCAAGGCGCTTCGAATTCTAAACGCCACCCGCAATGCGAAAGCTTCGGATCCACGGGACAAGATATATGGCATCCTTGGATTCTTCGGCCCATCGGGAACGGATCCTGAGAACATCTTCCCAGAACCGGACTACAAAAAGACGCCTGCAGAGCTATATGCAGATGTTTCACGAGCCATAATTACCAACACTGGAAATTTGGACGCTCTGAGCTCGTGTTACGGCTTCTTCAGGTCGAGCATTCCTGACCTTCCTTCATGGGCGGTGTCTTGGAACGATACTCCGCTAAAATATTTTGACGATGAAATTTTCAACGCAGCAGGCGCTTCTTCTGTCATTTATGAAGATTCCAATGACAAACTGCACTTGCGGATAAAAGGCAGCAGGGTTGATTCTCTGAAGCTCACGGGCGTGTTACCGGATTCTATAGGGTATAGTAACGAAGCATGCATAGAGATATGGCGATATTGGTGGAAATTTACGTCTACCTTGGAATCCTACCCTACTAAAGACACCGTTTCAGACGCATTTCAAGATACGCTTTGCTGGGGTTCGGATCTAAATTATCACCGCCTGGGGCTTGCAGAATACAAGGAGACCTTTAATGCCTGGCTCAAAGTCTTGACAGGGCCTGATGATACTGCTACTACTGCCAACCATATTTTCAACGGCAAAGAGCCATTCAAGTATGCCCACAGAGCCAGTTCAATCACCTGGGGGCGTAATATGGGTATAACCGACAAAGGCTATCTAGCTTTGGTACCGATAACGACCAAAAGCGGTGATGAAATTGTGCTATTCCAAGGAGCGAAATTGCCTTTTGTCGTACGAACTGAGGACGGCAAATCCAAGCTTGGGGGGCCTTGCTACATACGGGGCATGATGGACGGAGAGCTTGCTATTCATGGGGATGCAAAAGCGGTGGATGAACTCGAATGGTTCACGTTATGGTGATATATATATAATTCTATATACTTGTTAAAGATATCGACAACCATATCATTCTTTTAGGCAAGCTCGAACACAGCAGTGTCAACAGCAAGATCAGTGTTGATAGTTGGGCCTTCGCCAATAGGCATAATAGCAAGAGCCTCAATAGAAACGTAAGATGCGGGGGCACCGGTGGTTTCGATGTGATAAGGTCCGAATCCATCTTCAAGAGTGTGGAAAACGTACAGGTCTTGTTCTCCGCCGGATAGGGTAGTCTGAATCTCAACAGTTGTGTTTAAGGCCAGCTGGTTGTCGTAAAAGATAAGATCAATATCAAAAGAAGACTTTGTGATCTTCTGCGACCCTTGAACTTGGAATTTGAGCCTTCCATTTCCGTTGTAGAGAACATTAGTGCCGGAGGTAGACCACGAAGAATAGGCGCGAGTCTCCTCTTCAGTTGGACAGTTGGCGGTCTGTGTGCTGTTCAAAATGCCGATTCCGCCACCGCCAGAAATAAGGAAGCCCTATATTTCGATGATTAGCTCACCACCAATTATACTAAAGAAGTATTGATAGTGGTGACTTACATTATAGGCTGTTTTCTGGCTCAATGCCGTCTGGCCGCAATGCTTGTCGTTTGAGACGGCGACATCATCAAACTAACGAATATTAGGCAGCTATTTGACAAATGACAGGAAGTCGGCTCACATTCAAAGTGACGGTGGTAGCAGAAACACCTAAGGCAGCAGCAGCAGCAACCAGAAGAACACGAGACAGAACAGCCATTGTGAATATTGTTGAGATTACAAAACTAGAGCTTTGGTAAAATTGCGTTGTTGCTATACATTACATGGAGAGAAATATTGTCGATTATATACAAATTTTCTTTGAACAGATCTCTCTCAACTTTGACAATTACCTCTTGGATCGGCTCAATTCACAATCCGATGCGTCAATATGCAATCCGATTCGCGCAGGGGTTCTATTCTCAAAGAAGCAATGATCTGCTACCGGTTCATCTGTCTGCTATCTTGATGCGGAATAGAATGGGAGATTTACGCAGCAATAACCACTCCATCCTAGCACCTACAGGTCAGCGTGGCAATTTGCTAAAGACAAATATTACTCTGCATATAGCTTTCTCTCTCCTTTTGGTCGGGCTGAAGATTGTTCCCTATCGTATATGGTAGGAGATAGTTGACAGTAGCATGGGTGTAGGTCGTGTCAGATTAACGGCAGGGGACCCGATTCATCTCTTCATAGAGAAGGAGTAAATAACATAATAAATAAACTCCGCTATGGAGCTTACTTTGGCTGGTTAGTAGCATCGTCAGCTACCTCAGCGCTATGCCAGATGCATATACAAGTATAAGGTTAATATTAATGTTAGAGATGTATTTACAGCCCATTGTGGGCCCCATGAAGATGCATCTTGTGGCTTTCTCACTGTCACTGGTTGTAGTAATTACGGTTCATAGAATATTATGCATATTATCCCATGGATTAATGATTGTGTAAACCTTCTGACACAGCTCTTGCATATTCATCCTGTTGGCTCTTCTTTTCTTGAATATGCCACCTTGTCAAATATGTTGAACAAAATAGCTCATGGTGCGTGAGCTAGGAATGCCCGAAATCGTATGTTTGGGCTGGGGTATTTTTGACGGACGCTTACCATATTGAGTAAGCGATTGTAACTATTACTCTGTAGTTAAAGACAATATGCCTTTGGTATGCTGCTGCTGTTATTAGAAGGTGGTACTAGTATATATGCATCAAATGCCGGGACGAATTACGCCGCTCAACAGACTTGTCCAAGGTCAACTTTTCTCGTATCCATAATATTGAATCTACTCTGCAATACAACATATTCTCGGATGTAGCATTGCACCGATTGAAGCGCACGGTGGAACTTTTACCTATGATGTGAAAATGTTTTGCTTTGCTTACGCAGGTAGTATTTCTTAGTAAAACCATGCCTTAGTAGCGAATGGAACCTCAATGATCTAAAAGGATCCTCTTCAAGCCATTTATTTTTGAAGAGCCGTCATTTTTCTCTATGGTAAACAAACTTCAACGGGGAGAGAAGGGGAGAGCTATACGCAGAATGAAGAACTATACGATACTCGATAGCTGATGATACAATGGACTAGGATATTAACTATCTACATTCCTATCCATTTATGTGAACTGGTCCACTGCACCTAGCCAGGGATGTCTCAAAAGATCCATTGCTGAAGTACGCTGTTGGGGATCGATCCTCATTAATAACTTCAGAAACGAGATGCTCCCTTAGACCTTGGCTCAGGCCAGCTGTGAAATTTTCAGTCATCAAACTGGGATGGTCCAAAGGCTCTGCGTCTTTGATAAATTCATCATCGTTGAATAGGTCACGTATAAGATCGTGGTGTCCTTCTCGAGTAGTGTCTTGGGGAACGGTTAATAGGCTCGCAATGTACGTCCGGAAGAGCTCTGCCGCTGAACATTCGAACAGCGCGGAAGACTTCAATCAGCACAGCGCCCAAGTTACAACAGTTGGTGGACGCGTCCCAAGGAGCTCCGATAATGACCTCGGGAGGGCGAAGAGCTACTGGTTGGATGATCTCACTGAGATGCTTCGTAGTCCAGCTAGAAACCCCTCAGTCTCCCAACGTAGTGCCAAATTCATTTGTACTAGTCCTGTCTGCGTCGTTGAAGTAGAGCCATTGAAGTGGCTGGGACTAGACTGGGTGTATTCCCCTTCTTCACGGTCTCGTTGTGGATAGAAATTTCTTTTAGGTAGCCAGATTCGATCAAAGAGAAATCACGGAACTTGACGAAGACGTTATTTGGCTTGATATATATTCAAGAGATTTGGTGAGCGTTGATAGAAACCTTGGGGTTGATGGTGCCATGTCAAGGCACTATTCGTACCTGTATGAATTACGTTGTGTCATGAGCGAAATCCAGTGCAAGCATAAGTTGAAGAGTAAACCTATGTATGACCTGGTATGGAATCATGCCATCAAAAGGAAAACAAGTGGCAAAGGTGCGAAGAGCTTCGCCCATGACTTCAAGGATAAAACACATGTGAGTACCGTTTGGGTCTTGATGCTCAAAATTATCTCACAGGTGGCAGACTTAGGGATAACCCGCGTTGTCGCTATCGCCATCCCGAAGATGCGTCAAAATCTCCCTTCAAACGTGTCGGTACTATGGCCGTAGCAATCAGCTCTCAACTCCTTGAGTGCGCGGTACACACCTGATGCATCGCCACCAGGCTGGATGCGGCTCTGCCCTCTTTAATGTCTTCTGTTACGGCATTAAGCTGAGATGCAGTGTCCTCTTTCGTTTTCTCAGCCTTTCTAGGCTCTTTACCGCTTTTGAGACACTTGGCTCCCTCAGATTCAGCTACAGGCTCAGGGAGCCATATTGTCTCCGATACTGCAGGCCCCGCAGCCGCAGCAGGTTGCTGATCTGGTGCAGTATCGGGGTGGTCGGGAACCAAGTTTTCCTGGCTTGTCACCCGAGCTGCGGATGATTTCGCTTCATTTCGGCTGCCAACCATCTTTGTGCGTATCGATTGTTAGGGAAACCTGTGACAGCTGGTCCTATAAGTAGATAACTGCCCTCGGAGATAGGTCGATACCTTTGCCACAGGCAGAAATAGTTTTTGGCCCCCCAAGTCTCAAAAACCTCCATGTGGTATCGATTCTTACCGCGCGGTAATTTTCTCTAGGTCCCCTTGTTTTGCAGCGCTTATATCAGAGCAATGAGCGCAGAACACATCCAAATTATCTGTTGGGTAGTGTTATTACTGCTCTCATGTGCCATTGCCGACTCGCTATTACATTGAAGCGTACGTTGTTGCTTTCGCCCGCTGCAACAGACCCAAGAATTGCCTCTAAGAATGCGTAGCCATGTGAAGAATAACGGCCTGAATACTATAACAGGTCTACTAAAGAATTGTAAAATTCTCCTTATTTGTCACTAATTTAATACACATTAGACTCAATAGTTTCAACACATCTGAATGTATTAAGTAAACCCTCTGCTTCTACGTGGAGGAGAACGTGCTGTAGGCCACTACTCCTGAATGTTCTTCTCATATATCTTCTGAAAGCGTGTCGCTTTAGTTGAACCCAAAATACGTACACAATGTCTATTATTGTATTAGGTATGTACTGCAAAATGTGGAAACTCTCCGCGCCCATGACAGTGTACATCTATACTAGTGGCCTGGACAAAAGCCGCACTCTCTATAACTTTGGGAGGATTCCCAAACTTTTGAAAGATCTGAAATATTTCGGGAGCGCCGACAGTCTGCTGAGAGTCAGCTACCAGCGTAGTGTCCGAGCTGGCAACGACGACAATCATCAAACTAGGATTATGTCAATAGACTGGAACTAGTGAGATTGGCTGTGCTAGCAGGGCCAGACATCGCTTCTGGCGTGCGGACTAGTCTGCGGGTTAGCGCAAGATACCATGGCTCCAACAGGCGAGCTCTTAGGGTTCAATTCAAGTTGTTCAGTATACAAGTGCCCAAGACTTGTTCTCGTATTCACTTCAGATGCAATTTGCAAAGATATTATTAAGCTTTTCTTGGCATTTATGCTAACCCGGTTGAGCCGTAGTAAATGCAACTAACTCCTTTACTATTATAATTTTGTGCCATACTACTAGCAGGTGTCAATTTCTCAGAATTTCTGTCCCCTTGTTGGTAAAGAGCCATATGACTTTAACAAGTAATGTTATATCAATATTTTACTTTAGGGCAATTTAGAGTTGTACATAGGGTCCTACGCTTGCTGTGACTATGAGTATTATTATATTCACGCTTGATTGGCTTATGATTCCAGCAATTCTCCAGCCAATGTCCTATGTTGTGAACTGATAACATTACTATTGGAAATCGTACTTTCAATAACGTGGTTGTTTTCTATAATGAAAAGTCTAAGATTACAATCTGAGTACTACAAGCGGACTTATGAGGCACCCAATTTTCAAGCCCGACTCCAATAGTTGCCAATCTCTCTCAAATCTTCAATCAAAGCTGGTGGGTTATCGAGACCTGGGAAGTGACCTCCAAATTCATGATCTAGCAAAATATTAGATTCACTGTTGCAAGGTAAATAAGCGAACCAACTCACTTTTATACATGACCAGGTTTCCAACTTTCTCTACCAGTGCTTGGGGCCAAAACGCAATGTTGTACTGGAAAGCGCTAAATAGGAGAGGCGCATCCGTTTTGGCCTTAGTATATACTGACTTAAATCCATTAGGGTTTTGAAAGTAGATGTACACTGAGGAGAGGAAGGAGCGCGTGAGGTAGTAGAGCGATGTAGACAGCAAGATCTCATGGTTGTTCAGAACTGAGGGAGCTTTTCCTGCCCTTGGGTCAGACCCTATGTATTCTGTTAGTAATTTGCTCTTTAGAAGCAACAAATTAACAAAGCTAAGGAGGCGAGATTAACTCACAAGATATGAACTTTTCGCCCATCCACGCCAGCTGTCCGACTGGGTTATCCTGTAGTGCAAGTCCGATTGTATTGGGCTGTTTGCCTGTTAATAAGGTCAAATGAAATTGCGTACGTTGGCCTGGCTTACTTTGGTAGCTTGTTCAGCAAAATATGCATTCCCCGTGGTTACCCAGTTTACAAAATTTTGTTCCTCTGACTGCTCCAGCTTTGAGGAAAGCGTTATATTTTGTGCTGCCAATTGATCTGGGCTCAGCGGGAAAAATGGTAAGAAGGCGAAGTGTGCGGCACGCGTTGACGAATTAAAGTTTTCGTAGAGACTGTAGGCTGGTCCGGCGCCAAAGTCGGTTCCAAAAGTTGCAAATGTCTCATAGCCCAAAACCTTGGTCATTAGGGTATGAAACACGCGAGCTGTGTCGTCAACCGTCCAATTGGCTGGTGGGGGTGATGAGAAAGTGAATCCAGGCAGCGATGGGATAATTACGTGAAACGAAACAGGTTTGCCAGTCGAAGTGGTCGCCTTCTCTGTCAGATCGTTTATTACCGGCAAGAATTCCAAAAATGAACCCGGCCAACCGTGGTTAAGTAGAAGCGGAATCGCCGCTTTATCGCGTGATCTTTCGTGGATAAAATGAATTGTCAAATTCTCGATATCGGCCGTGAAGTGATGATATCTATATAAAGGGTTAGGTCATAAGAAGGAGAATCAGATTTTGTGCCACTGACTTGTTCAACTCTGCTTCTTCCTTGTGCCAGTCAAAGTCAACAGCCCATTCTCTCTGCAAACATTTAACAACATCAAGCCCAATGCCGGCTGAAGATCCAAGCCCTGGATATTCCTCTTTATCGGGCAGCCTTGTACCCTTGACAAGTTCGAGCATTCGAGGAACTCCTTTTGAGAGATTGATAGAGAAGGGCTTTAGGTTAAACTGATTGCCATGCTCAACCAGAGCACTGAGGCAGACAGGTATCAGAGCAGTGAGCCCAACGAACTTCATGGTAAGTGCGTGCGAAGAGGACAGGATGGGTTGGTTAATTACTTTGGGGGTTTTTCTTCTTCCTTTGACTGTGTTTATCATATGAAGGGCTTTTCCACTGCTGACTTGAGCTTTATATGTGTTCCCTCAGACTACCAAATGACTTAACCTTACAAATGCATCCTTGAACTCCTAAAATGCCAATGGTAGTCATGAATACTCGCCTCGGCAGAGCTAAAACGAGTTGCCACACATCTAGGGCGTCATATTACGCTTTCCCCCTGCGAGTCTACTCCCGCACTAGTCCGCACGCCCGCATCAATCCTAGTATTCCTTCAATGAGCTAGGCCGCAACGAAATGTTCAGATTTCAGCATCTGAACAAGTAATTAACAAATAAATACTATCGCGTAGTTTGCTGCACGCATTTGCCTCGGATATAAAACGTCACGAATAATTAAATAATCATAAATTTATGATTTATAATTCATGCTCACGATTATCAAGCTGGAGAATCTCAGGTTCTTTCCGGGTGTTATTGCCCGTGGACGGATTAGTCGAGTTTACCACAAAATCTTAGCCTACTATTTACCAATCTATAATGAAATCGATGTATAGAGCCTTCTGCTCCAGTTTATGCTTCTGGTTTACTAATTACCCTAGCCTCTTATGGACATTATATAAAATGTCTGTAATGGGTTTGCCACATGTGCCCTTTAACAAGTATGTATTGGTGACCCATCTATGCCAAATTGTGCCAAGCCCGGATGCTCGCCTTTCGTCTTCTTGCAGAAACAATGATGCCGATATTTATAGTGTATTTCAGACTGTATTTGTATGCACAGTGGCACAGGAACTCGAAATTAAATTAAATTCCATCCAAAACCAATGTGATATCTCAAACAGGGCCAACGTCTTGGGCCGGTTGATCTCATTGTGCTGCTACATAGACTACGTTCTACAACCTACTTCCTTTGCACGCAAAAATACGCGGGTCCGTTAGATATTAGGTGCAATTGTGGATAGATGGGCATGTGAATGATATGTTGTTCTGAGATGAGTTGCATGCAGCATGTTTATTACTGCTAACAATCCACTCTGTCGCCTCCTCGCGTTGTTGCCGAAGTAGAAGACAGGTTACCCGCTGAATCATGTGAGGGAGACATTTCTCAATGACGAACCCGGGGATTTCGGCGAATCAAAATCTCCGGAAGCCTCGGCCAACAGCGAACGGTGAGAAAATTTCTAGCGGTGTGGTGCATCTTCACCACAGTCCACCGCACAAATGATTGATCATTTTCAATACAACATTGGCGTACCCGCAGAAGAATTGGCCAAGTATTACCCTGGAGGCTACCACCCAATTCATCTCGGCGACATACTCGATAGGGGGCGATACCGAATTCTGGATAAGCTTGGGTTTGGGTCATTCTCCACTGTCTGGCTCGCTCGAGACGAAGTGTAAGTTGCATCTTGTTTGTGAAGGTAAAATTCACTTACATATCCATAAGAAACGATAAAAATGTTTCTATAAAAGTCGTAGTCTCAGAGCAGTTGCGGAAGCATTACCGCGAACTGGAGGTCCTTGAGGCCATCAAACAAAATGGTGACCCTGCTCATCCAGGTCACAAGTATGTGTCTCATCTTGTAGACTCATTCTACCTTGAAGGCCCAAATGGACGCCATCTATGTGTAGTCTTTGAGTTATTAGGTCCCAAGATATGTTCAGTTGCCAATAGGCAGCCTAACTACCGCCTCGAAGGCAAACTTGCTCGTCAAATTTCTTCACAACTCCTTTTTGCTGCAGATTATATCCGATCCTGCGGTGTGGTACACGGAGGTAGATTGAATGTGAGCAGACCGTATTCCTTCTCCTGCTAACCGTAACTATCAGATATACACTTGGGCAACGTTTTATTCCGACTGTCTAATCCCAACAGAACACCAACTGTCGACGACTTGCGGATAGGAAAGGTTTCGAGAAAGGATGGGTCAGCTAGCGAAAAGGGTGTTCCGGAGTCTCTTGTAGAGCCTCCGGAATATACATTTGACAAAAGCGAGCTTCTTGACGAGGTCCAACTTGTCGACTTTGGCGAGTGTTTGTCACCCATCACTTAACGAAACAAGCCATGCACTGATTCCATTGTTACTTCTAGCGTTCTTCATCTCCAATCCACCTAAATCAATATGCACACCGACCTCGCTCCACCCACCGGAACTGGTTTTCCGGCACTCGCTAACTGGAGCTGTTGACACCTGGAATCTTGGATGCACAGTAAGATCAAATGAGTCAAATTTGCACATCAACTAATCAAATCAAAGACCTATGAGCTTATCACTGGGCGCACACTATTCGAGGCAGGTTTCAATGATCGCGAGTTGGTACCGCAGTTCCAGAAGGTACTCGGAGGGGTCCCTGAGCAACGGATCCAAGAAGGCCTAAAAGCAGGCGTGCTCACCGAGGAACCAGACGGTTAGTCTGCAAAATGTTACTCGGAATCTAGCTAACTGAAGAAAGAATCTGCTGCGGACGGGTTTCTGCCTCTTGAGGAGGAAATACAGGCGTCATACATCAATGGCTACAACAAGGAGACACTTGATCTTGATGTGGAGGATCTTGCGGTATTAGGAAGCTACCTTCGGAGGATGTGTGTGGTTGAGCCGATCAAACGAGCAAAGTTGGCGGAATTAATGTTGCATCGATGGGTCCAGGCGGATAATGGAACATAAAGTAGAAAAGAGTGAACGGAAACTAGAAGTACTTCTTGCCGGAAGACGGTTCAGGTTGCCTCAAATGACGGAGTAGTATTCTCTATATCTGCGACGCTTAAACGCAGCTATTACACCATTTCCGCATCCCTCGATGGCCTCAAGCTTCCTCACCTTACATTACCGCATTTTACAATCAATCAATCTCGGTCAACTTTTGGATCTCGTATTCATCAGAATTAATTTCATATAACATTTATCCACAGCTTGCAGCTTCTCCCTCTAGGGTTACATACATACATACATACTACGGAGTATGCGTACTCCACCCTCTCTTTGAGAAGGTGGTATGACCCCTGCCCCCCCTTTTAAATTTCCATGGAAAAATGGAGGACATCCTCACAGCAATGAACGCAATGCACGAGTTCCTTGATCGTTTGACGGCTCAGATCCTTCCGACCCCACAAATATCGCGGCGGCGGACACGAATGGCCAACGTCCAGCCCATGGAAACATTTCCATCAGTTGTTGAAGCCATTCCTATTCGCCTACAGTCCTTTTTCCATCGGAGAAAAGAAAGGTGGAGCGATTTAGTCTCTGTAAGAACCCTTTTCCCCCTAAAATTGGCTCAAGGGCCTACAACACCGATTCTATGAAGAGATTAGATTAGTGGTCTCACAATGAGGGGGCACCTTGTAGCTGATGATCGGCGCGCAAACAGTTACTTCCCATGCTTGTGACGGGCCCACTCTTGTGAAGCCATTCTTTGATGCGGAGTCGGCGTTTATGTTACTATACGGCCGTGGTGTGATGCAGCGATGTGACCAAAGGGCATCACCTACCCCGCGGACATGGACGGGCGTTTCGAGGTGGAAAAGTCCTTTGATGAATCTGTGGAAAGAGTTATTGTACAAATAACTATACGCCTCATTTGTACTTTTATACAAGTTCATACCCATTACGACTTCAGCGCGTCTGGATCTCTAGTATCTGTTGGGTTTGAGCGTCAGCGTAGAGTGCATAGACACTGGCTCTGCGTCCACAACTTCGAACGAATGCGAGTAAGTTTGGAATAACATGAAACTTACAACTGCTGTTTTACATTTTAACGTCTGTCAGACCGCCACTGAGACCTATTAGCACAAGACAATCACGAATCCATTCACCCTACAACAACACCAATGATAACGAGAGAAAGCGCCGCAAAAGCAGCTGGCGTGTAAAAGTATGAAACCTCATAATTGGCTTAACAAATATATGCCACATGACTGATCCGACATTAAATAATATATGAAGTAGGGATAACTTATCGAAATACCAATCTAGACATAAATGTGAAATGGTTGCAGTTGAGACGCTGTGCACAAGGAGGCCCACCGGCTAAGCACGAGATACTACCTTGTGTAAATGACGGTATTCATAACCTCCGACATTTCGCAATTAAAGGCATGATACTTATAAAACTTAGGCTAAGTTTCCGCGGATACTCCGGAATAGGTTAACTCCAAATACCGTTGCAGTTACTCCTCATATGTTCTGAAAGGAATATAAGAAGTAAACGATCTCCTCACTAGGACAGTGAACCTATATCGAGCTTGAATACGATAGTCAAGCTATATATAGAGACTTCAGTATGCTGTTAACTGCCGAAAGTCTATTTTTTTCTCTACGGCCTGGAGTCGCTCTCGCGGCATGGCTCATTATTCTTGTAAGTATATCTTAACATTCATTCTCTGCTACATTCTCATGCTCCTATATCTTGGCATCTACAATATGGCTAACGTAGCTGGCATAGGGGTTTGCGTACCTTATTTCAATACCAATCTATAATGTCTGGTTCCATCCGCTTCGAAAGTACCCTGGTCCCAGACTGTGGGCCGCAACTCGGATCCCACTCACCCGTATGATCTTCTCTGGAATGTCCCACCGGAAAATCTACGAATTGCACCAGACTTACGGAGACGTTGTGCGAGTAGCACCTGATGAGTTATCTTACATTAACGGTGCTGCCTGGAATGATATCATGGGTCATCGAAAACGCGGCCAGGGAGAGAACGGGAAAGATCACATCTTCTTCCAGTCGCATAAGCACAGTGTTATCAGTGCTAACCGCGAAAACCATACTCGAATGAGAAGAACCTTGTCTCACGGCTTTTCGGCTCAGGCAATGTTAGATCAGCAGCCTCTTATACAAAGCTACGTCGATATGTTGATAAGCAAATTACGGGAGAACTGCGCCGATGGTAATCAGCCCATGGAGATGACGTCTTGGTATAACTGGACGACATTTGACATCATCGGGGACTTGGCCTTTGGAGAGCCCTTCGGCTGCCTGCAAAACTCCGACTATCACCCTTGGGTATCTCTCATTTTCCAAAGGATTCGTGTGAGCTCCATCAATACCGCTTTACGCCGATTCCCGCTTGGAGATAGTCTTATTCAGCTGCTTGTTTCAAAGGAAGCACGCAAAAATTTTGATGCGCATTTTCAACTTACACAAGAGAAGGTTAACAAAAGGCTGGCTGAAACCAACCCACGGTCAGATTTCATGGAAGTCATGACTAAAAGGGAGGGCGACATGGTATAGGATTTACCAATATGGCACCTCTAGGTGATGGTTCTCACTAACATTCTTCACAGAAATTCTCTCGTGCTGAGCTCTGGGACAATGCAAGCCTGCTTATTATTGCCGGATCAGAGACAACCGCCACGACCTTGTCTGGAGTCACTTTTATGCTGTTGACCCACCAAACAGTCTTCCAAAAAACGATTGACGAAGTGAGATCCAGCTTTTCAAATGAATCTGAGATTGATCTTCTCAGTGTGCAGAAGCTGAGTTATATGACGGCTGTGCTGCAAGAAACACTTCGGATATATCCTCCCGTCCCGACCGCCATACCACGCAGGGCACAGCCTGGCGGCGACGTGATTTGTGGACAGTATGTTCCAGAAAATGTAAGTATCATCCGACGTCAAGGAGGCGATTTAGTAGGCTCTAATATAATTACAGACTCTCTTGGGGATTTGGCAATGGCCAATGTATCATAATGCAAAGAACTTCACTTTGCCTGATTCCTTTATTCCAGAAAGATGGCTTGGTGATGCTCGCTTTTCGAGTGATCCTCGAGAAGTGCTTCAGCCATTTTCTTATGGACCAAGAAATTGTATAGGAAAGAAGTTAGTAGTCATCCTCCCAAACAAGTTATTCATTATCAATCTAACTATCTATAGTCTTGCGTATGCCGAAATGCGCTTGATTCTTGCAAAAATCCTGTGGAATTTCGACATCACTCTGCATCCCGATAGTAAGGATTGGCTCCAAAAAAACATGGCTTATTCACTCTGGCAAAAGCCAAATCTTAACATTTACATCAAGCCAAGGGTGGCCGCATAGGACGTACATTGATTGTTATTCATGGTGTAAGGAGCAGAAGGAGTATAAATATATGAACAGCCAATTTGAACGCTTCTTTAAAGTCTCTTGTGATAAGTAAAGTCTACCATTCTCATCATATCAGCGCTTAAACTTCCCTTTCTAGAAGGGGGTTTTTTGGTCGGCGGAGTTGTTATCAGAACGGAGCAAGTATACAGGTATTGAGCTATTGGATAAAATGTAAAACTACATGTATATTGACTATAGTAGCGTAAGAACATGAAGCACAAGCACGTTGCCTTGGATTCCCTCATGCGCATTTTAAGAAGGATATCAAGGGCATTGCCTATAGGACAATCTAGAGGCGTATAGCCACAATCGTGGTCTTACATTAGGCTCAATTTGGGCCGTGGCCACTGTTCCGAGCCAGCTGAACATGCAATGCAACATAAGAAGCAATGCTGTGGAGACATTCTCTAGTGTCTCGGTGCCCAGCGAATAAAGGAGAGAAAATAGCATATGATCACAGAGATATTTGCTTCGAGTCGGAATTGATGGATGGGCCTCGACTTGCGGAGATTGATGGCCATAGCCTGCTATCAATCGCCACGGGATATTTTATGGGAGGGATGCCCTCCTTGCCGATGCCCGAATATAGCAACACATTTACTCTCACGATTATTGCAGGGCGTGGAGTTGCGCCAATGCTCAGATAACTCGGCTGTGGGATTCGTTCGGATCGCGACGTTTTGTGGTGTTGCGATTCATTGATGTCCTACCAGAGAGGAACACGTGTTTGTGTGCAACGTAATATACTTTATGAAGGGATTCCAAGACATGCATTTAGAGCTACGCTTTGATACATGTACACAGAATGGTACGAGTATCCCGCCTGGGTCCCTCCCTCGCATACGGTATTGTAACAGTCCTGCTATTGGCTAAATATAACCCGAAGGCCCCGTCATCATAACTCTGGATGTCTTACACCCCTCCCATTTCCCCCTCCCGCCCCTCTTCTGATGTGCATAGGTGTAATACTCAGCTACTAAAGAGTCTGCAAGATGATGAAATAGCTAGTGAGTTACTAGCAACCGCATTCATCTGAACCACTTATTTATTTAAATGGCATCTCCTTGTATCTGACTCTTCTTGTCTTGCCTATCCTGCCTGCGTATTCCCTTTGTGACGGTCTATCTCTTGAAAGCCTACATTGCATAGCCAAAGCATCACAAACAGGCTAGGGAACTTGAGTTATACACAACTCATGATCCAGAGAGAGCAGTATACTGGACTGCATCACTTGGGTCGCACATCAACTTTCAATATTCACCTGACCTGCTATTAGCAATAATCTGAGTGCACGATGGTTACAAAAAGCCAACCCACAGTGCAGCCTACCCTACCAAGGCGCCCAAAGCCTGACGATCATCCTGGTGCAGATGTGGGCAGCAAGTCTACTGGAGGTCCTTCGATTACTTCATCCAGGATCCCTACGATATCTCAAGTTGATGCTTCCGCTTTTTCGAGCGGAAAGGGGGGCGGCGCGTTAAGATCCATCGATCAGAAATTTGAAGTCAACCCTTGCAACGGAACTCTTACCTTAGATCTGCCGTTACATCTTACGCAAAGCCGGCACAATTTCCACCCAGAGCTCAATCTCTCTTACAACTCGGGAGCTGGAAATGGCCCTTTCGGTATCGGTTGGAATCTATCGTTCAATAGCATAACACGCAAAACCACTTTAGAGATCCCGCGCTACAACGGCTCAGATACGTTTCTGCTATCTGGCTTTGATGACTTGATTGAAGATGGTGAGCGGTTCCTGTACTCAGCATCTCTTGGCAAATATGCTGTTCAGAGATACCGCCCCAGAGTCGAGAGCGGCGACAAAATGCGCATTGAAAGGTTCACAAGCACAGAGGACGAGAATGATGTGTTTTGGAGAACAATTTCCGTCAACAATGTGACAAGCTTCTACGGCCGAGATAACCAATCTCGGGTTATGGAAACATCTGAGTCTGGTGCCAATCGAGTATTTTCGTGGCTGCTTTGCGAAATCCATGATCCTCTTGGTAACGCCATGCTGTTCTCTTATAAATCGGAGAACGATGATGGGATTCGTACGCCCGATGGCTCCCTTCCTATCTGGGAGGCCAAGAGAGAGCCATCCACTCGCACGCGAGCCAGATATCTTAAATCGATCAAATATGGCAATGCCACCCCAACCAGAGACTTGGAGTCGTGGCAGATCATACCAGCTTCTAGCCAGGAGAAATGGATATTTGAGGTGGTTTTCGATTTTGGAGAGCACGATCCTGTAAAGCCGACAACTAGTGAAACAAAAGCTTGGGATGTCCGGAAAGATTCATCTTCGAGTTTCTCGGGCGGCTTTGAGATACGCTCATACCGCCTTTGCAAGCGCATACTTTTGTTTCACCATCTTCCAGGGAAGCTGCCACTTGACGACTATCTAGTGTTCTCCTATAACTTTCAATACGATGAAGCACCGTCAGGGTCACTCCTTAGCTCGCTCACATCTACCGGTCATCTTTGGAATGAGGAGAATAAGTCTTACGATTCACAAAGCTTAGCACCATACACCTTTGTCTACGAAAAAGTCCCTCCGGTAGATTCTCTTCCGCTAAAAACCATGAAAGTGGAATACCTGCAGACTATTTTAGTGAACAAACCAAACGCCCAGACTCATTGGATCGATCTCAATGGCGAAGGTTCGCCAGGATTCCTGATCCAAATTGACGGAGCATGGTACTACCAGCGAAATGAGAATGCCATCAACATGGCCACCGATGACGACGGCGACAGCAGCGATGCAGAGGAGACCATGCCTGCTTCGCCGCACGAGTTTGGACCAGTCCAACTTGTTCAGTCATACCCTTCTGTTAGAGACTACAGTGCCTCGTACTTTGAAGATCTCGATGGCAATGGCCACCAGGACCTTGTACTGTGCGATGAAACGGGCCGCACTGACGGTTACTACGAGTGCTACTCCAAGGATGAGTGGGAAAGTTTCAAGCCCTTCCCTTCGCGTCTTAACTTTGACGCTACCGACAGCTCTCTTCGTAGGGTTGACTTGACTGGTAACGGTCGAAGGGATGTGCTTTGTAGCATGGACAACGGCATCGCCTGGTACCAGTCATTAGGCAAAAATGGATTCGACTTCGGAGGAGCCTGTAAGGGTCAAGATGGCATCCAGATGATGATATCACATGATGATAAGAGTGCACTCTTCTTTGTGGACGCTACTGGTGATGGTTTGGCGGATGCTCTCAAAATCTCCAATGGACACATTTCCTATTGCCCAAACTCGGGCTATGGCCGGTTTGGAACCGAGGTTGTCATGGGAAATTCGCCTATATTTGACTCCGAGGATCAATTCACGTTCCAGAGACTTCATCTCACGGACATAGACGGCAGCGGGACTACAGATCTGGTATACCTCACTTCAGGAGGAGGGGCCGTTGCCTACTTCAACCTCTGTGGGAATGCATGGAGTGATGGAGTGCCCATTGATTGCTTCCCACAAATAGATAACCTGTCTTCGGTCTTTTCTCTGGACCTTTTGGGAAACGGAACCTCTTGCCTTTGTTGGGCTGGGCCTGGCAATACAATTGCCGATGAGTTTGTCATTTCATATCTTGACCTTACCAGCGGAGTAAAACCACACCTATTGAAACAATGGTCGAATGGTATTGGCCTCAATACTTGTGTCAAATATACCCCGTCAACCAAGTTTTATCTCCAGGATGAACGTCAGGGCAGACCGTGGAAATCCAAGCTTCCCTTTCCAATACATACGGCCAGCCGCCTCGTGGAGAGAGATGACATTGCCTTGTCAGTTCGAACCACAAAGTTTCGTTATCATGATGGTTACTTTGATGGTCGTGAGAGAGAGTTTAGAGGATTTGGAATGGCAGAGAAGTGGGAGTATGAGGAATTCACAATCAATCGAGAGAGAAAGAAACTCAAAACGCCAACCTGTTACACGAAGGAGTGGTACCACACAGGGGCCCAGGAAATGGGTCTTGGCCCATCTAACTCGGACACATTCGATCAGAGCCGGTTTCAGTCAAGCATTCCCCAGGATTTGCCTCATGACAAATACTACGACGCATACAGAGCCTTGAAAGGACGGCAGCTGCGCTCTGAGGTTTACGGACAGGATCAATCTGCTGCCGCCGATATACCATACACTGTCGCTGAAAGTTCGTACGACGTTATTCTCCTTGGTGACGCCAAGACCTTGGATCAGCCGGTGACCTTTCGGGTGCAACCACGTGAATCGCTTGTGGCTCACTACGAGAGGGGACAAGGCTTGCCACGTATAGAACACGAGCTCACCGTGAAGACCAACCTGTACGGAGATATCACCAAGTCCATGAAAGTCTACTATGGGAGGCAAAATAGCCCACCCTCTACGACTGAGACTCAAGCTGCTCAACAGAATCACCACATAATCTATACTGAAATTGACTATACAACGAAGGTTGACAGCGAAGGCGATGCTGACTGCTATTACAAGCCTATGCCCTCTGCAACAACCATCTCTCATATAAATGACTCCCCAAAGCCCCAGCTATTTGATATCGAGGAAGTTAGAAGCAAAGAACTGGGTGCTGTTGGGGGGACTGTTCATGCTGGCCAACGAATGAGAACATATTACCGAAGTCAAGATCTGTCACGTCGGTTGGAATTTGGCGTCTTTGAGAATTTTTCCATTGTCGATCAGCAATTCCAACTCGCCATGGACAAATCCATGTGCGAAAGCCTTGTTAAAGACAAGGGCTTTGTTTTCTACCCACAAGATATGCTCTTCAGCACTTGTGGATACGTCGATATCTCTAAAGACGGATGCGCATGGATCCCATCGCCTGAAGTCCTGTGGGAGGCCGGCGATGGCGACGACGTTCTCAAACACGCTCGCAGGACGTTTTTCACTCCAAAGAAGTCCCGGGATGCTTTTGGCAACGTCTTTGAGGTCAAGATGGATGATTACAGTACCTTGCCGGTCCAGAGCATTGACTCGATGCAGAATATTGCAACAGCCGAGAACGACTACCGGGTCATGCAGCCCACCCTGGTGACGGATGCCAATGGGAACCGCACTCAGGTGATCTATGACGCCTTGGGTGAGGCAGCAGCCCTGGCTCATATGGGCAAAGTCAGCGAGTCTGTGGGTGACTCGCTAGACGAGACACCTCTCATTGTCTCCGAGAGTGAAATACGGTCCTTTATCAGCGAGCCATCTCGCGCTGCCGCAGCTACACTGATCGGCAAAGCGGGCAGTCGTACACTCCATTGCAGATCGAGGCTCACTCTCCCCTCTTCGGAGAAGATACTACCAACATTTCGCCTAGATTTGGCTCGCACTGAGCATGCTATGACAGATCAGGCTAACCCAGATGACCTTGGCGATATTCTTGTCAGCATCACCTATCTTACAGGACGAGGTGCAGAGTCTCAAGAGGTTAGGCTCGTGGATTGGGACGGTGTGGATAATAAATGGCGTGTTACAGACAACACAGTCCAGGACATCGAAGGGAGGACGATACTAAGCCTAGAGCCTTATTTCTCTTCAACTCATCTTTGGCAGTCACACATCGAACTGGAGTGCCCTTTCCAGCTTTCTTTTCTAGATGCATTACATCGAAGTGTCGGCACTCTCCATCCGGATCACACTTGGACTAAACAATGCCTCAGCCCCTGGACAAGTACGTCGTATGATACAGGCGATACCATCCTCGTGGCGGATCCCAGATTAGACCAAGATGTCGGCTATTATTTCGCCGCTTTGGACCCGAATTTGTTTTTGCCAACTTGGTATGACCTACGATCCCACGCAGGAGACAAACCATCACAGGATGCTGCTGCTAAATCGGCCGAATACGCGAATAAACCTCGTACTACTCATTTTGACAGCCGCGGTAAGGCCATCGAGATGGTAGAGCAAGGTGAAAGTCACCAACGTTCAGTTCGCTCAGAATACGACGTGTTTGGTGATAGAGTCGCCGAGGTTGATTCCCTAGGTCGTCAAGTAGAAAGAAGAGAGTTTGACGTCCTCGGTCGCTTGTTGGCTAGCCACAGCATGGACTCAGGAGTGCGGGCAGTAGTGCTTGATAGTGCTGGCAAGCTTGTATTGGAGAAAGACGGTGCTGATAGACAACAACGCCTGGTATATGATGCACTTCAAAGGAAGACGCAAACACGAGTGCTGGACCCAAAAACACAGAGCGAGGTGCTGTGGAGCGAGATATCATACGGTGACCAGCAGGCAGATGCTGCGTCGAAAAATCTCCGTCTGCAGGTGTTTCAGGTCTCTGATCAGGCTGGATTGCATAGAAACGCTATCTATGATTTCAAGGGCAATTGCTTGTCCACCGACACGTATCTTGCGCTAGAGTATCGAACTACGTTGGATTGGCAAGGAAAAGTCGAAATACAAGAGAAGCCTCACACATCGACATCTATTTTCGACGCCTTGAACCGTGCCAAAATAACGATCGACGCAGTTGGACGAGTTTCTAAGCGCACGTTCGATCTTACCGGTGGCCTCAAGGCCCTGCACTCTTCAACTTCTGAAGCCGCCGCAGCTTTAACGAAAGCCGATGCTTCCTGGTTATGTCATGTGTCTAATGCCGTGTATGCTGCTGATGGTCAACCCCTTCAGGTAGACTATGGAAACACTTCCCATTGTGCCTACACATACGACGAGAATACACGCCAGCTGACGCGGAGGCGGACCTGGAGAGATGATGGCACCGTGCTAGAAGATCTGACCATGGTGTATGAATGTCTAGGTCGAGTCTCGAGCATTGAAGACGCTGCTCAGCAGACAGAATTCTTCCGAAACAAACAAGTCGTTCCGGTGAAAAATTATCATTACGACGCTTTTGGGCGACTGGTAAGCGCAACGGGCCGTGAAACAGTTGAGGCCGGGGCCAACATATCCCGCAGCTTGCGGCAGGTCTTATCTCCCAAATACCAAGCGTTGCCCTTTGAGCAGTCCACCGAGGTTTGCAACTATGTCGAAACATACATCTACGACGACGAAGACAACATCCTTTCCGTAGATCATCAGTCATTAGACGCATCTATTAGCGGTTGGACGAGAATCTATCACTACAACGAACCAAGCCTGCTAGAGCCGACCAAAAGTAACAATCGGCTTAGCAATACCCAGATTGCTGGCCTGACGGAGCAGTACAGCTATGATGGCGACGCTGGAAAGAATGGATGCATGACGTCCATGCCGGGATTTTCTCGATTGGGATGGGACCGTAACAACAAGCTCCAATACGTCGCACGGCAGAAGGTCAATGACGGCGTCCCAGAGACGACTTGGTACGTCTATGGTGAGGGCGGACGAAGAGTACGCAAGGTAACGGACGCTGTGAGTGCCGAGGGCTCCGAGCCGCGAAAGCTAAAGGAAACCATCTTTCTCGACTCTCTTGAGATTTACCACACGTATCAAGGTGATGGCCTGACGGTTAAATCAACCACAAATACCTCCTTAATCAGCCCGACGGAAACTCAGGAGGGACCAGCTGTGGTCAGCATCGAAGACCCGATCCTGGTTGCAGACAAATCAAAGGCGGCAGCCACCCCGTTGTTTCGCTACCATGTAAGCACCAGCTTGGAGACTGATGAAAAGGCCCAAATCATCTCGTACGAAGAGTACAGCCCATTCGGCGTGTCGGTGCTGCAGGCCTGCAAATCTGACATCGAGGCACCACGGAGATATCGCTTCGCTGGGTATCGGCGTGATAATGAGAGTGGCTTCTACACCTGTGGCGCCAGATACTACGCGCCTTGGCTCGGACGCTGGACATCATCTGACCCATTGGGTACCATTGACGGATACAACGTGTATGCGTATGTGCGAAATGACCCCGTCAACTGGGTAGATCCTGATGGTACCACTGGCAAAGACAAAGACAAAGACATGGGTGCTGGACATAGCAAGGAACGCCGTGGCGGCATGACGGACTGGTATGGGCAGCACAGCAATCATGAGGAGACTGCAAAATTGCGTCTTGCAGTAGAAAAGGCAGAAAAGAAGCAACAAAGCCTCAAAACCAGGGTCAAAAACAACTTGGAGGAGAACAAAGCATTGTACCCGATAAAAGCCGCCAAGACGGGAGTAAACTTTGGCATATCGTTAATACCTGTGCCATATCTCCCTTCCGTGTTAAAATTCGGCGTGAACCAAGCAGTCGGTTATGGGGAGGGCAAGATTAAGAAGAAGATTAAGACCGAGAAGACGATAAGGAGGATGGCAGACATGGCGTCTACAGTTGAGCAAGCCGCTAAACAAGACGTTTATAAACAAATTTTCGCCATCGATGAAATGCCAGGCCTTTCTAAGGAGGAGAGATATGACCTTATCATGAAACATATTACGGAGAACGCCTATCTAGATCCAAATCGCGAACAGACACGACAGCAAGAGGAAGAGGACAGAGCACAAGACGAAGGGGCTGTCGGGGGACATAGTGACGACGACACTCTTGTAGGAGACAATGATGATTGGGTTAAATATGAAGAAGAACCTCGGCCAGGTGGTTCGCGACGCTCCGCCGAAAGGGAAGAAAGAGCTCCCAGACCGCTTCGGCGTGAGTCATATAGAGCTGCTATGAGAACCCGGAGTTCGTCATATACAGCTGCTATGAGAAACCCTATCACCCACTAAGCCAGAGGGGTAGGGGGGTATCGAGGAGAGGTGAAATGAAGGGAGATCAAAGTGTAAGTAGAACCCATCGACAAAACACACAAGACAAGGAGCTCACAGTCGAGTTTAGAACCATCAAAGAGTCGCCTTGAACGAGATTCAAAGGGTATCTCTGCAGCGTATGGTCGAATTGTGGAAGTCCTATAGAAGATGAACATTTCAATTATTGTTTCCATAATCCGTTTCATAAACAGAGCTATTTCTCCATTTTCTTTTTGTAGACCTTGGGCTATTCGTCCACTTTATGCCTGTTATGTCACTGTCAAGAGTATATATGTGATTTTGGTGTTTAACTTGGCCGTAATCTATCTATTACAAGCCCGCCTAAAATACCATAACTAAACCACCTAATATATAGGTATCCATGTACCTGAATGGTGGGGTAATCAGTACCTAGACTAATATAGTAATCGATCCTTTTCGCATCCGACGCATGTGAAAGAGCGGAGAAAGTCGTGAGCTGCTAACATCGCCGATCTTCGATCGTTCGTATGCCGGGTTTCTGGCATAAAGCACCCGCGGGAAGAGTGGATACGGCTTAAAGTTGAGGATGCTCGACTTCAGTTATTTTCGATGCCGGTGGTACATTGCGGCGACAGTGCTCTACAAACTAATGGTTTCAATGGCCCTGAATGCCAATTTCCGTCCGTTTCAACTTCATTAAAGCATGTCCCAGTTGGCCCATGTTCTGACCGGAGCTATGCCTGTTATAATGTAAGCCCTAGACTACTCTGTGCCTTCATTCGGGTTGCCGAATATGGGTGTGTTTAGGTGAATACCCGGCACAGGCAAGCTAATGGAGCGTCTAGTGCTAAGTGACCGGTTGGTAGCCCTGCTTAGAGCCCAGACCGAGAAATTCATTACCGACCTTGAGGGATATATCCCTGGCGTAGGATCAGGTAAGCGTAGGAGTGCTAAACAGGCGTCAGCGGCTTATAAGAGACACGTACATCTCCCATGTGGTCCCTGCCTGCGTCACGTATACTATCTGGTGGTGTATTTCCCCTGCAGGTAATTCATCTGGGGAGGTTTGTAATGTGCAATTGAACATGGCGTCCTTGTCTGAAAAGTACACGCTTCTACGGGAGTCTAGTATGCCAACCAACGCCACCGACAATCAATGAGCAAACTAACATTTAGTGTAAATAGGCATCTACGACCGCATGTTCTACTGCTTCCACCGCATAGGCGTCCAATCGAACATTATTGTCTCAACAAAGTATTCATCTCATGAGGGAACCTTGTCGGATAGTGCTGTTTACGCCGCTCTTGCAACTGTAATTAAAGCACACCCAGCCTTATGTGCCATTGGTGTGAGGTTGCCATCGTCCAGGCCTGGAAAGCATAGTCTCCATCGTGCATTACTCCACAAGATTGACTTGCAACAATGTGTGGTGTTCATGGATGACGACGAAGCTACGGAAGTTGACTCAACGATTCTTGAGAATGCCCACAACCAGTGGGATTGGACCGACGATGAACCAGACACTCCTTGGTGGAAAGTGCTAGTTGTGGGAAGAAAACACGTCGTGTTTGTGTACCATCATTTTGTTGGTGATGGCATGTCAGGCAGCGTATTTCATCGCGAGTTTCTCGCCGCCCTCAACTCTTTACCTCTGGATCCGAAACCGATGCAAACACAGATCCCACTCACTTGGACTTCCACCATTCAGCACCCACCTGAGCCTACCGATCATTCAAATGTTAGGCCATCTATTCCTAGACTACTCTGGAAGATGATGATCTGGTTTCTCCTCCGCCTCTTCTTTAGTGAGAGACTTCTCTTCTATGATCTTCCCAAATCCCGACCATATGTTCAAGCAGCAGCGGCGAAAACTGTCTACACAAACCGAACAATCACCAGAGTTTCGAGCTACCGCATACCCTCACACAAGATGCGTACCGTGCTCTCTGCCTGCCGTGCGAATCAGACAACCTTCACTCCCCTACTTATTACCTTGCTGAATCTCACTTTCGCAACTGATTTTTATCCCCGGGCAAAGTTTGGATCGTCGCGATTCGCCTTTGACCTTCGACCTTATCTCCCAGCGGCCCAATTTGGCGACTTGGCTCGCACCGGCACTGTGATGAATGCCGCCGCAGGTTCGGCACTTATTGATCAAATGGAGCCTTACCGCAAGGCTGTTGCACAATATAGCGACTCAAAGGAGGACGTCGGCAAGGTTTCCTTATTTCGAAGTGCCGTATGGAAGCTGGTCCGAGAATACAAGTCAAGGATGGACGGTGATATTCGTGGGTCTATCCAGGACTGGATGGCGGGTACACTGATAGGGAGTGATATCGAGGATTTCATGACCACCTCGATGCCAAGGATAGGACAGCTAACCAGCGATACATATCTGGTGTCCAATATCGGCGCTTTCTCGAACTATCCGAAAGATGCTGCGGCGACCAGCGGGACAAAAGAAAGCTGGTCTATTGATGATATGCAATTCTCAGCTGCCGCGACAAACGGAAACGCAGGGTCTCGCGGTGTTATCTTCAACGTTGCTGGCGTGGCCGGTGGCGACACAGTGATCAACGCCTCATTTGAGGACGGTATCATGGGCAGGGAGACGGTAGAGGCAATTCTGGAGAAGGCAATTGAAAAGCTGGATTTGCTTTTAGATTAATGTAGCGCAGTACAATATCCAAGTTTGATCGATTACTATTCATGAGAAGATGAGTCCTTCTGGGCCGAATACTTAATTCTGAGGACAAGTTACATGTATGCAATCATGTATCTTGTACACATATCTATCATTGCAAAGCCGCCTCACTCAACAATCCAAAGTGGAATGAGGCCGACTGCATGTAATCACTTTAGAAAGCAGGATGAGACTCATCACCAAACGGTTATGACGAGAATATCCTCACTATCCTTCAACAATTCGAGCGCTTCCGTAGCTCAGTTGGTTAGAGCTTCGTACTAATACTAGAGCTTCGGTTCAAATATTGGTAATGCGAAGGTCGCAGGTTCAAGCCCTGCCGGGAGCAAATGCCCCAGATGCGTTTCGAACACTTCTTTTTTTGCAAAATTTTGCTTTTTTAGTGTTTTTAGTATGAAGTTATATTGCTGTGGGAAAAGCACACCATCTGCCCCTCTGTGGGGTTTTGCCATCTTTCAAATCGATCCGAATGAGGCTTGTCCCAGTTAGGCCTTCGTTCCGGTGCTATACTCAGATGACAAGCCGCTATATTTTAGTGCATCTGTCTCCATTTTACAGCGGATATCCCACTATACCAAGACAGGTGCACCACTAAACCAACATCGCTATTTGTGAAGAGCTCAGCTATTGATTGATTTCTCGTTTGGAAAATGAAAATGATTTCACGACTGCAATACATTCACTTCTAACAATCGCAAAATAGTTGCATGAAATTTCCTATCTCTCCCCCCCCTTCATTCGGGATATATTTGTGTTTGTTCAATTTCGTGTAACAAGCGGCCTCCAAGTTTGTGGACGCAATACATAGGGCAGCTTCTGAAACTTACATACATCTACCTATAGGTTAGCAGCCCTCGACTTTGGAAAAACACATCATGAGTCCAGTCTTCATACCAGTACTCTCGTGAAATGAATACCCAACAAACAGGTTGCACTTGGGCTGTGACAAACACATGCCCTTTGTTTCATATCTCATCTGCCAAATCCATCCAGAAAGGCACCGTGTCCATGAACCCGTGATGATGCCCTTTCGCAGCCTCTCTTGTGTCACCTCGTCCAACATTGATGGCGTGTCCGCACTGACACCAACTCGCCTTACCTGCCTCTTCCGCCGCTTGGACGATGCTGGACACTGTCAAGCAATGCCCTGGGGATGTAACATGTAAGCGGCACCGGAAAGCGGATTTGCTTCGCCTTTGCCCAACCGGACATGAAGCCCGTCTGTTAAGGTTAAAAGACAGAGCGAAAATCCGGCCTGCAGCAAGGCGAGTTGCAGCAAATGACCACGTCCACGGCCTTTTGACTCATTTGTTCAATTTTCCCATTTCAATATTCATAGAGACGGACGTCTATATCGCAAACCTCTTACAATAGCCATGGAAAATGTCTGCTGTGATTACAGCCTTGCACGATGATCTCATGTGGGCGAGAGGGGCGTCCTGACATGTACGGTCTGGGAATCCGTCTCGGAATCTATCTCCAGTGGTTTGGCGAGATTCTTGTCGAATTCTTTGACGAAGCAGACGTCTCAGACATTCGATTGCTGGGCCTGCTTCTGTCTGGCGCCATTGCTCTGGCGTTGCTTGTCGAGATTGTGGATCAAAATGTCCAAGCAGCAGACATTTACATTGTGCTTCAGCTCGCTGGTGGCTCATACATCTTTCTCGCACCAATGTACGTCTGGAGAGCACTCACATGCTGTGATCGAAAATGGGATCCGTTGAAGTGGACGAGAGAAATCTACATGCCGGTCTACGGTGTTTCGACCATGATGCTTATGGTAATCATATCAGCTCTGCAGCTCTGGTTCTTTAGCACCTATATGCCGACCAAGGGGCGCCATTGCGATTATTACGGCTTCTTCTTCACCAAAGTCAGGCTCGATAACGTCGCATTCATCGTGGTCAATATTGCCTTGCACATCATCGTTATTCTGGTGTGCGTTGGCATTGCTCTATCATATACAGGCTTTTGGGATGGACAGTTTCGAACACGCAGACATCGACGTCGAAAGAAGCATCATCGAAGACAGTTAGTTAGCCTCCCCTCTCAAAGCCTATGTTGGTACCCAGTAATGCATCTGACAGGGACGCATCAGGCCAGAGCAGGATACCCAAGAACGCATGGTAAAACGGGAGCGCGCCAGACAAGAGCAGAAACATCTCCTACGCACCATGCGAAGCATATCTAACGTAGTTGTCTGTGGACTTCATATCACCGCCATTGAGCTGACAATACGATGGAACCAGTTTGACAATATCGACGGAGTCAACACCAGTGGGCAGACCATTCCGCTCCTGGTGAGCATCGGCATCCTGATCCGTCTCATTGTATCTCACTATGCAGTCCAAGCCGGCGGGACATCGACGAGTGCTGGGTCTCGTTCTCGACCCGTCGGCTCTGGCGGAGGAGGATCGAACCAGCAAGCTCCAGCCCCGGATTCAACTCCTCAGATGGGCGATTTAGACGAATTCATAGCTGGAATCACTTTGGACAACGTGAGCGAGTATTTCGCCCATGGTTCGGAAGCCTACTGGTACGCCAGGACGGCGATCCAAAGGCGTGAGGCTGCAGAACAGGCTGCGGCGAGGGATCGGTTGGCGGCAAGAGGAGTAGTCCCTCGACCAGCACGGATTTATTCGAGGGGCGTGACGATTACGCAGGAGGTGTAAGGTGGAGAGAGAAGACGGGAGTTTATGGTGTTTGGTAAGGACATGGAGGCCGTAGCAGAAAGATCAACCAATACCTTGGAAGACGGCACGTGATTTCAATCCTGTGTAATTTAGATGAATCAGACTCGATTCCAGAACCCGACAGTCTCTTTATTCTTCTTCACAATTGTCGTTTTGTCGTAATACTTGCATTACAGTATCCCAAGTCCGTTTCTAGGCCATCCAGGCCATCAAGGTCTTCTGCTGCCAGGCGCAAAACCGCCTCTGATTCGACAAACCCAGCTGGCGACCCCGCAACGCCGCATCGCCCAAAGTAAACAAATCAGCTAGAACCACCTTTTTTAACTAAGGTAGATCGGACTTGGACTTGAACCTGCCATCGTCATCATCCTCTCAGCTCTTCCTCCATATATCCCAAGTCCACCCTCAGCCATGGACAAGGAAGCAAAAAAACCCTCCTCCAAGACGGCGTCATCGAAAGACAAACGGCCCAAGGACAAAGACAAGGCCAAGGACAAGGCAACGGACGAGTCCAAGGTGCACAAGCTGTCGCTCAAGGGCAGCTCCAGGCTGGTTGCTGAATTTGTACGTCTGACTTGTAGCTCTGACTCCCTTCAATTGGCGCAAATGGACAGCTTCTAACTGCATTATCTTCTTTCCTTCAGTTCCAATACTCGATACACACAATCCTGTACGAAACGAACCCGTCACGCTCTCCCATACGATCCGCATCGAACGAAATCATTGATTGACCTTGCTCTCTTCGTGACAGATTCCAACGAGGCGTCTATCCAGCAGAAGACTTCACAGCGTACGACACACTCCTCCCCAAAGCCCCAAACCATCCGACCAAACAAAGCACCAGCTAATTCATCCCCGAAACCACAGCGTCAAGAAATATGGCCTCAATATGCTCGGTACATCGCCTCTTGCCCCAAGACATCGCTCTCTAAAAAAAGACACACAAACTGACCTTCCGATCCGCGCGCTCTAGTCTCGGCCGATGACCAAGTCAAAGCTTACATCAAGAAAATCATGAGCCAGCTCGACAAGTGGATGGTTGGCGGCAAAATCTCCAAGCTCGTCATCGTCATCACCGACAAGGACACAGGCGAGCACGTCGAACGATGGCAATTCGATGTACGACATCATCCCTCCACCACCCTACAACCCGCAAACCACAGGAATAAAAAGGAAAAGAAGAAGAAACTAACAATCATTTCTCACAACTGCAAAGGTCCAAATCTCAGCTCCGCCCCCAAAATCCAAATCCAAACCCCCCACAGACCCTGCCGCCCCGGCCGCCGAAGAACAACAGCAACAGCAACAAGAAAACACGTCCTCCACAACCCCCCTCTTCGCCGAAAAGGACAAGCCTGAGGCCGAGATCCAGGCTGAGATCGCCGCCATCTTCCGCCAAATCACCGCCTCCGTCACATTCCTCCCCCAGCTCAGCGGCGACTGCACATTCAACGTCCTCGTCTACGCCGACGCGGACAGCGACGTCCCCGTGGAATGGGGGGACTCGGACGCAAAGGAGATTGAGAACGGCGAGAGGGTGCAGCTGAGGGGCTTCAGCACGGCGAACCACCGGGTCGACACCATTGTCAGCTACAGATTGGGGGACTAACGAATCGATAAACTATAATTTGGACTGGTAAAGAATGGGGCGCCAGGTTGGAGTGGTTGTAAGATTACGGCTACGGTTACGAGGCCTCTCCCTTGACTGGCCGTTTGATACGAGACAATGGGCTTTGGTACGGCGTTGAACTGGAATAAATCGGTGCATCATGCAGCTTCACGAGGACCTCTCGCAGGTTAGGGATATATATTGATGAATATTCTCTTGTTGGTATCGATGCCTCTGTGGTATTTCATCTATATCGATTTGCAAATGGGCAAATCCCCATATTCATAACCCCTTAAACCAGCGACCAAACTCATCACCAAACAGTCTCCAAGCGTTACCATACGAACAAAGCAACGCATCAAACGCCCGTCTCTCCCAATGCACCCATCACCTACAAAAACGTATTGACCGCCTCTTCAAGTCCTCTTGAAAAAGTACACATACGCAAATTTGCGCATTTCCTCAACGTCGTGAGCCTCCACCACCTTCTCATCGTTGAAGAGCACCCATGTCGGTGACTCTCTGCCCTCCAAGGACTTTCGAATAAATGCAACGTAGTGGCTGATGAGACGTGTTAGCTTGATAACATACGAGAGACACAAATGTATAGAGACACTTACCCAGCGTGAATACTCGTTCCCTTGTGGCACACAATGGACTGCAGCTGGAATCTTGCCGGCAGTGCTGCGCTTCCAGCAGGCTCCTTTGACGATGTCTCTGCTGCCGCACCCGAGCTCTCATCCTCTGTGATGCCCTGGTCGTCAGGGTGACTGAAGAGCCACTCGACAGCTCGCTCGACATCACCGCCCGTTTCTTTCAGTGCCTTCTTGGCCTGAGGAGCACCGAATCCCATGGCGCCAAGCATCTCAATCTTTTCGGGGTCAGCGGTGCCAGCATCTCCCGACCCGGACCCCAGATCGAGCGGTGCATCAATATCGGTATCGTCAAGGTGTGCAAACAGCCATTCCATGGCTGCGTTTGCATCGGAGTTACCCGTCGCGTGCAAGGCTTTCTCAGCACGGTTCCGCGGAAAGCCCATGGCCTCAAGCTGCGCAACTGCTGTTGCATCCGCTACAAATGCCGGTGCCTTGTTTTCGGGCTCATCGGGCAGTAACTCTTCTGAGGGCTGGAGTCCTTTGGAGATGTATTCATCCAACAAAAATGGCTCGTCTGGGACAATGACAGGGACATCAATCTTGATAGGTACCCAGTTGACAACGGCCATCTTTCGTGCATTGACGGCCAACACGTTGGGGAACGTTTTAAAGAGCGACTGCTTGGTGAAGCCTGCTTTGCTGCCGCACGATGGGCACGTCAGCTCGACTTTCTCGGCGCCTGTAAAGTTGTCCAAACATTCCTTCAGGGTGACTGGCTTGTAGGCGTTGGCTGTCTCGCCCCCCTCGCCTGTCTCCTCAAGCTTCTCCAATGGCACATCGATGAATATGTTGTCCTGTTCATTAGAGCTGTACCTAACTTTGTGGCATCCGAGACACTGGAGCCGCTGCTCTAGGACGAATCGGAACTCGGCGGTGGGATCCTTTTGGTCGGCTTCGTTGTGGGGTGATCGGCTGATGAGTTTGAAGAGATGCTGGAACAGTTCAAAAGCATCTTGCTGTCGCATAGTGGAAAATTCCTCATGGCCTCTGCCAATCAGATGCTTGAACATGGCAGGTGCCAACCCCCTCTGGTAGGCAATCTCAGATCCAGACCCTACGGAGGTATCAGGCTCCGAGTATCGCCCAGATAACAGGCCGTGAGCAATCTTTCTCAGTTGAGTTTCGAGGTCGGCTGCAGGCTCTTGGATAATCGGCAAATCGTTGTCCGCACTGTAGTAGCGCTCCCGGAAAGAGGGCATGTCGAATAGGCACTGGATGATGCTGGCTAGGTAGCAGCTGTTGCCAAGGTTCTTCAGTCCAGTGAGGCCGGGTCCAAAAACAGGCTTCAGCTCATGGCCATCTTCCGTAGTCATGCTAAAGTCCCACTTGAGATTCTGCTCAATCTGCATCTCGGTCAAGCTCTTCTCCGTCTTTTGGCGCTCGGCCAGGATAATTCCCCAATGCGCCAGATGCTCGCCGAGAAGCTCATCGATACGTTCCTCGTCGCATCTATAGCAGTAAATATCTGCGGTACCCTCCGGTGTAATAGATCCGAGCTTGACAGCCACACCATGGCCAGATTCAGTGGCATGGCCCAAGGCGTGCGAGTTGCCGTCAACGCCACCCATCTGCTTCCGGCCACAGCCCAAGTTTCCACATTCCAGGCAAAGCCAAAGGTTCTCTCTCAAATCACAGCCCGAGCAGTGGCCAAGCTCGCCCTGCTCGATCTTGCGGGATGGGTGCTGCTGCATGGTCAAGATGTGCTCACATGTCGTGAGCTCTTGCTCCCACGCTTTCACCTCTTCCTTTCGGGAAAAGGTGTGTGCCTTGAGAATGCCATCGACGATGGGGGCCAGCTTCGCATTACTTATGTCCAGTTCGATTTGGCACTCGATGCATTTGGCGGCAAGGGCAGTGTCGTATCGGTCTTCTTCAGTCTCGGCGGCGATGGCGAGCTTGGTCATCTTGGCAGGAGGTTCGTCACGATGGATCGTCTTCCGGGTGCGGCGGATGTTGAGAGCAAGCGGGTGACCCCAGACTGCATTGTGAAGCAGAGAGTGCTCTCGATCACCGGTGCAGCCGCCGTTGAAGCACTGAAGGCACACATCGAGGCCGCCAGAGTTGTCCTAGAAAGAAAGAGAACAAGATGGTGAGCTCTCGCGGGGTCGCAACCTCAAGAAGGAAGCAGGCAGGCGGTCCAAACACATACAATAGAGTCGAAACATTGCGTGCAGTCTTCCTTGTACACAGACTGCACGGGAGTCGGCGGCTTGAGCTCTATGACGACGAAACATGAGCCTTCTTGAGCTTCACGGCAGCTGGAAGAGCTGCGAAGCTCAAGCTGGCGGGGTAAGGATTTGACGTACCGATAGACTCGAGATGCGGGCACGACATGTCTTTGGGCGGTGGACAGGGAAAATCAGAGAATTGTATCGCGGCAAAGAGTATGGACGGATGGTAAAGCGATAGAGAGGCAGTCGAAGCAGGCGGTTGTCAAATGGAAGAATCAACAGCAAAGTTCTGTCATCGGCAGGCACTCTTTTCGGGAGTTGTTCCAGGAACGTAGTGGCTGTAGCGCAGGGTGAGGGCGCTATCGATTGTGATTAGTGGGTGCGGCAGTGAAGCTCAGCGCCTACCAACAGTTGCCAGGCACCCACTATTCAGGCTGCCCCTCGATGACGGTATCTTCTATAGTAGGAGTAGTGGAGGGGCAAAAATGAAGATTTTGTGTCACCTATATGTAGTTTGCGTCCAGTATCAATAAATCCGCCACTTCATATTGTCATTCCTAGAGTGTGAGAGGCGAGCCTGGGCTGGTCGCTACCTAGTAGTATTATGATACTCTCCAGCTGTTATCCTTCTGCCATCTTGAAACGGTAAATTCAGCAAGTTACTGCTGCTGTACTCCGTAGTGTAGAGCGTCTCTTCATATATGACATCATCCCGTACCCATTCTCGATTGGCAGCCAACAGCGGTCTGGTGTCAATTTACCAAGAACAGACATATAAATGTACAGTCAATAATATTAGATCTGTGGTCGTCAGACTGCGGGGTTGCAATGCTGACTGATTTTTCCGCAGTGTGATTGATTGGTGAGGGTGTACATACACCACGCTGCAAATGCGACGCTGCCCAAAATTAGCAGTGAGATATTGACCAAATGACAATTGCCGATGCCGTCAGTCAAACAATCGCTGTACCAGATATATCAGACAGACACGCCATCATGTTGTTCAAATCATCTACGGGATCGGCGGAACTAGGCGTCCCAAACCCCGAGACAATTCCAACCGGTCCTTATTTATACCGACCGTACTGTACTGTACCATATCCTTTATTACTACTGGGTAGGTACTCGTAAACTCGGAGAATTCAAACTCATTCGCCTTGCACAAGGAATCCTCCCCCATCTCGCCGCCCTCAAGCTACTCTGCATCCAGTAAAACGCGTCGGCCAAAGGGTAATACGGAGCAATGCTAAGGTAGTTGCAGCCCTCCTCGGAGGACGTGTCCAAGTCCGAACCGGCTTCTGAATTTCGCGTCCGTCTGTCGCCAGGCCACGTGACCATATCCCCGTCTCACGTGCATCTTATCAGATTGATTTCCAATCTTTTTGCGGAGCTTTCACCATCATTTACGTATTCGCAAGGAATCTGATAGATGACTCAGCGGTTCTCGCACCCTCATTGGCTGCCAGCTCCGACAAGGACCGAGCTCCACATCTCTACACAGACGTAATGGCCGAGAGGGGCGACGGTTCTGATTGGCCACTTGCCAGACGCACTTGGCCGAAATCGCCATCCGCACCCGGGGCTGCTTTTTTGCTTGATTTTTTGGGGACATTGATTAAGCGACTGCTCCTCACCTTGGACCTTCGTCATTTATTCTCATCTTCATCTCCATCTTCATCCTCACTCTCGCCCTCTCACCCTTCCATACCCAAACCTGCCTGTCGCCTCGCCATCAATCGCCTCAATTCGCCGCAGCTCCCTGAGATCAGCGCACTTCGCTCTCCATCAGCCGCATCACTCCCGAGCAGGCTCTCGTCAGTCTTACAGCTAAACTCCGCTCCGCCCGCCCACACAGAGCAGCACCAGCGCCCTGCGAATCCAGATATTCGCCTCTGTCCAACCCAAATCAGCCAAAACCACCCTCCACAGCCGTTCAAAATGTTCTCCAGAGGCCTCCGCGTCATCTCACGGCAAGCTATTGCTGCCCCCCTCGCCAGACCAGCTCTCGCCGCTCGACAGCTCGCCCCCGTCGCATCCATCGAGGCCAGGCGTTCGTACCACGAGAAGGTGCTGGACCACTACGCGCGGCCGCGAAATGTCGGCTCCATGAACAAGAGCGACTCTGACGTCGGCACCGGCCTTGTCGGCGCTCCTGCTTGCGGCGATGTCATGAAGCTTCAGATCCGAGTCGACCCGGAGACACAGAAAATCTCCGAGGTCAAGTTCAAGACTTTTGGCTGCGGCTCGGCCATCGCCTCCAGCAGCTACCTGACCGAGCTTGTCCGCGGCATGAGCCTCGACGATGCCGGCAAGGTCAAGAACACTGAGATTGCCAAGGAGCTCTGCCTGCCTCCTGTCAAGCGTATGTATCGCCACTTACCACCAAATGGTCTCCAATGTGCTCTTTATTTTTTTGCTAACTCCATGCCGATAGTGCACTGCTCCATGCTTGCTGAGGACGCCATCAAGTCGGCCATTTCTGACTACTACACCAAGAACCCCTCACGGAAACCCACCGATCTGAGCGGCACCGGCATGAAAATGCCGACCGCCGAGGCCGTTGCCGCTTAAGCGCATCGTCGACATCGGTGAGCTTGAAGACGATGAGAAAAAACATTAAAATATCAAAAAAAAAAAAAAAAAAAAAAAAAAAAAGAATGTCCACTCTCTGTTTGCTACGAGCTTCTATTTTCACCAGCAGTGGTACGAGATGAAGAGGAAGCAATACAATCAAACAAATTGTATGTGGGAGTCGGTCGAAGGAAAAAGAGAGAAAGGGAAAGATCCCGTTTGAGAGGCTTTCCCATCGGGATGCTGTTCTGGTTTTGCTTCTTTTTCTCCATTCGCTTTTTTTCCACGGTTAAACGGTTTCGGAGATGAATAATGGAGCGTGTCCACTACTAAAAAAAACAAGTAGTGAAGGGGTTGGGCGAAGAACAAAACGATGTATGTATTTTACTTGCGGCTCTTGAATAGCCGCTTGGGGGAATTCACGACGGCAAGGATGAAACTGTAAAAGTAGAGACGCAAAAGGCTACTCTTAAAAAACATTTGATAACCATTTACCTACTGGTACATTCCCTTCTTCTCCATGCCGTGCTTCCTCTGCTTCATCTTCTCAGCTTCACTCACGACCCCCCAAAACTCGCTCATTTACTTACTCTCTTACCCCAGGAAATCTGCGCTATTGCTTTTCTTAGTCCCAATCCGTTACAGCCGCGGCATGCGCATAGACCTGGGCCGCCAGCGAGGAAAAAAATCTCGCATTTCTTTCCCCGAAAAGTCCGAGCTTGTTCCCGACAACATACCGAATCTGGGCAGAGCGTCCACAAGGGATGGGGGTTTGTTAGATGCCGGGATCGAGCCGAAGATGGACGTCTTGATGCTCGTATACTTTCTTTTACTGTAATGAACTCATCGCTTCTACGCTTCTCATAGTCGTAGTATTAAGGGCAAAGCTGTTGACAATGAAATAAGCTGCTTCAATCTTAATTACTCAGCTATGCAAAGAAAAACTCGTACCATATCCTCTAAACTCTCATGTGTGTATCCCTCTTTCCCTATCAGTTCCAATCGTAGTCTCATCAAGTACTTTATCAACAATCAACTTGTTCGAATGATGAGAGTTTTGCTCCTTATTGCCAACAGACTCGAAGAGCTATAATTGTAGCCAATTCACGTCATTTCTATTAGACACCATTAATATCATCGCTATAGTAAGCGTGAAACAGGTAGATTCCAGGCCGAGAGAGTTATTGCATGGGCTCACAACGCCATTACCACCGGAAACCACTTGCCAATGCTGACCCGTGACAGAGGCTGCGGGCACGAGGCGTGGGCGAACTTTGCGCATGGATGTACTCGTGCGAGTTTCTGTATGGCGACTGTGATTTTGGCGACCGTGTTATTGGCGACTGCACTTTTGGCGACTGTATCTCCGATCTCTGTGCCTTTGACGACTGTACCATTAACGGCTTCATCATTGATAACTGTGTCTTTAAGGACTGTATTTTTGATGATGGTGTCTTTGGCGACTCTCTCTCTGGCGAAGGCGCCTTTAACAACTGTCCTTTGTATGGTAGTGACTTTGACGACTCTCTCTCTCTGGCGAAGGCGCCTATGACATCGGTGGCTTTGACGGCAATATCTTTGACGGCGACGGTGGCTTTGTTGACTGTGTCATTAGCGACGGTGCTTTTAACAGTGGTATTTTTGATGCCTGTCTCTCTGGCGAAGGTGTTTTTGATGACTGTCTCTCTGATGCCTGTCCTTGTAACATTGGTATCTTTGACGACGGCGTCCTTGACGAGGATGTCTTTAATGGCAGTGCCTTTGATAACCGTGTTTCAGATGGCTGGATCTCTGACGTTGCATCCTCTCTCCACCTGCAGTCATAGGCCCATTTCTCCAAGCGGTCTTGGTGAGCGATGGGGATGTTATTGATGGCCAAAAGCATAGAGGCAAATCTTTGCTTCTTGAACTTTTCGGTTAGTCCCATCGCCGGCTCCTCCGTTTCATCTAGGGAAGCGGCTCGCTCATCGTCCTCGTTGTTGCTACATTTGTCACTCAGACTGGCAACCCTGTCACGCCAAGGCAGCGCCAACAAAGACAGAGATTTAAAATGGTCGGCCATGTGCCTCAGCAACTCGTCAGGCTGAGGAAGTGATTCGAGGCAGATGAAACACCATTGCGGTAAGGCTACCAGCTGTCCTCCTTTGAAAATTTCCTCGGCAGACAATAGGTAATAGTTCGCATGCACAGCCTTGTTATGCTTCTGGACCTCTTCCACGGTAGAGAATCTGAATGGCGCCTCATCAGTTGCGCAGCTGTTTGCGTGCTTTGCGTGTGAAGAGCACTGCCACCCTCGGTAGTGAGGCTGGCTAAGATGTCTCTTCCAGGCTGCGAATGAAGAGTACGTCTGCTTAGGCGTTGTGCAGTTCGCAAAGAGACAGAAGTACGGCGCAGGTCTTCCATGAGATGCCGCTCCCAATGCTTCGCATTCTCCCGCACCGAGAATGTCTTGGCCGGCAACATTAGATAACAGTAGGGACACGACTTCTCTTTCTCGCCTCCGACGAGCTTAGGGGGTGGCGGTACGTCGAGCAGCCGTCCGCCTCCGAAACCCTCATCTGCCTCGACAACCGCAGAAGAGGATATAGCTGAGCTTGCCAGTGGCGGCTCGAAGTTTGTCATAATCGACTCCGAAACAAATGTCTCTTTCCAGGCGTGATTGGAAGGGCTATCCGATAATATGTGTGTGTGGTTGATCTTGGGATTCTTGTACACACTGTGGAGCTTATTTTGGTGGCTTCGGAAATATTCCAGTTCCCGTCTGCGGATTGATATAATTGATGAACATCGCTCGAGAAGCGTTAGCCGGTAGCCTTTCTGTTCGTCGTCGAGATCTTCCTCGTTCCTTGAGCTAAACAGAGGACATCTATATTTCAAGGCTTGTCGAACAAAATCTTCAAACTCAGATCCAATATCGGAATGGAGGTCATCAACAGGGGGTTCCATATTGGCACCATTATCTCTTCGCTCTGGAAGAATGGCATCCTGCGTGTCAAAGTAAAGGAGTTCGGGGATCTCTTTCAAGCCATTCCCATACATCTCTCGTTGAGCGCCAAGAGAGAGCTGGTTAATTCTGGTAATCATGTCTTCGACAAGTTCCAGCTTCTTCACTCTCATGCTTTCATCAGAAGTTGACTTTGACAACAGATTTCTTGCAATGGTCAAGACATTTGATCGAGGGGCCGCGAAAATACCACGATATTCCTCACCAGACACTTCTGGAGAACCTTTGAGAACTAAGTTGAAATGCTAGTTAAGAAACATTCCTTCAAGACTTTAGGTCAACTTACTTGCCAAAACGTGTCCGCAGACAATTTTAAGACTTCCTGCCATACCATATCTGAGAGGGGACGTCCGGAGTTTGTAGTCGAGCGACGCGTGCTGCGCTTTAAAGACCCCATGATTAGAGACCCACGCGTTGAGGCGGGCCAGTTGTTCTCCCGCCAAAAACCGGGACTCCTCATCTGTGATTTCTTGACAACAAACGAGGAGCTGGCGTGCTCTTTCAGCCAGGTCTGCAATCGATCCATCCTCCATCATAGGCGCAATAAACTGTGGTGATGACATTATAATCATGAGATGGAGCAAGTGCTGTGTGGGAATTAAATCCTACTTATACCTCGTGTGAGAGGGGGCAATAAAACAAATAAAATCCTTGTTTGGCTGATCCTCATGCTGAATGACTCCTATGTTGGAGGATTGTGCGCCCCAACTCAGTAGCCACAAAGCTTTTCGCCAATGAGGAAGCAGGCAACATGCTAGGCTTTCCGCTTTTGACACCCCGTTTTCTAGTCGGTCAAACGAAGTCTCTGATGTACTTCAGCCTGAACTCTTCACAAGTACCAGGTACATGTAGACATCGTACGTACTATACACGGCTTGTGTTCTCATTTCCAACAAATACCTACCAGGTACCTACCTATAGGTAGTCACCCCTAGTTAATATTAACAAAGAGAACACACAAAGAAAAGACATGCCAACAGTTTCACTTTTATCCTGCTACCCAGAATCATCGAAATGACATATCAAAATATAAAAGATACCAAACAGCCAATATGTGCCATTTTTCTTCTTGTCGAGCATAGCCAGAAGACTATCTCAACCGAGTGCGACATGAGCGCCGGAATTAACAAAGGCAAAGTTGTTGACAATGAAACAAGTTGCTTCATTCTTGATTATCAATTTACTCAGCTATGCAACAAAAAACTCATACTAGATCCTCTAAATAATTTAATGCTCTCGTGTACATCTTCCTTTTTCCTATTATCTCTAATCGTAATCTCATTCAATGCATTACCGGCAACCAACTTGTTGGAATGGTGAGATTTTCGTTCTTATTTCCAACAGGCTCGAAGAGCCATAATTGTGACTTGCTATCCTCATGGCAGAAACCAAGGGGCTTTCTCGCAGCAAAGACGCAACAGAGTTTGAACTATATAGTTGTGGTGTGAACGCAGCTATAAAAAGGAAATGTTTTTTCTTCTATTCAAAAGAGATCAGAGATGTATACAGTCTTTATTGTCTACCTAGCTACGAAGTCTGTGAGGGCTCTCGGTGTTTCGTCTCTTTGATCTCATCACTCTTCTCTTTGTGCTGCGACTTCTGACACGTCATCCATATTAGACAGCATTAATCTCATTGTTGTGGTATGCGTGAAATAGAGGTAGATTTCTCCCAAAAGAGGTATTCCATAGTCTCACGACACCATTGCTTACGCAAACCACTTGCCAGTATTGCGCCGTAACAGAGGCTGTGGGAGCGAGACACAGAAGTTCGCTTTCATCACAGCGATTCAGACTGTAACACGATGACGTGTGCATAGTATGAACAATGAAGCTTAGCAAAGGCCTTTGTGTTGAATACCGCCGAACTTGGCTTCGCAGGTAAGACTTGTCTGACTAACTTGGCGCGGCATTTAGAAAATAGCTTCCGCTAGCTGTTTTGATATCTTTTAGATGCCGAAATGTTTTGTCGATAATCTTGGGTACCATGATTCAAGATAGATCTACTCACATGTCTCACATTGTGTGTTGTATTAATGAAAATGAGAACACAAGCTGTGTCCGTACTATCTCTACATGTTCCTGGGTACATATGAAGAGCTCAAGCTGAAATTTCCTTTAATAGAACAGAAAACGACCCAAGTCACACAAATATCTCCAGTAGTATCACCGGCGGAAAATACAGGCATACTATTTGCTTCCTCATTGGTTGGTCAAAACATTGTAGTTGCCGAGCTAGGGGTATAAGCCTCCAACAAGGCATCACTCATCACGAAGATCGCCCAAACAAAGTGATTCTTTGTTCTTTGCCATAATTCTACGATATAAATCACCTAAGTACCTACTAGTAGTCATAGCGGGATATGAACATCATGGTATAGCTCAGGGCGGAATAGCCTTGCTAATGCGACGCTCTCAAACTCCGTCAGCAGCGATCCACACAGATTTTGGTATTGTCTCAATCCACAACTACCGAAATATTCCATAGCTGTTTAGGCCGGTTCTTACACTAACTTCTTGTTTCTGCAGAGCTGCTCAGCGACCTTTCCAATATGGCTCCCATGCAAAACTCTTACCTGTTGACCCCTTTGTGGAATTTAGACCCATCTATGATTACACTCGGATGTGTCATCGCGGATGTTAGAGACCCTCAAATATTCACGTCGAATAAAGATCTACCAGCCGAAATCGACACAGAAATACACACTGAAGAGGTCAAGAATTGTTCAGGCAAGATAACGTACAGCCATCAACAGGGTATTAGACGGATCATATCCTTTATAAAGGGTATCGCTGGCTCGAGGGAAGCCTACTATTCGATGTCGTGGGAAGTTGAATACTCTTGCGAGTCCATGGAAACACTAAAGTTCACGCCGTCACCTGAGTTTATCGCAAAGGTTACAGCCGATATAGCTGTCAAGTCTCGTCTCAAAATCGGGGGCATAGGTGACTCCAAAGTATTTGTAGTCACCGGCGTCAAGATTGCTAAGGGGTTGGCTATTACTTCAACCAAAGAGACAGCGCAAGACATATTCATCGAATTCGTCAATAGTGGGAATATAGTAGGACTCAGAGCCCTAATTGGTCATACGCATTATGAGGAAAATACACATACGAATGATGCCCCCATCGTATTTGCCCTCCAGGTCGAAGAGCTTCATCTTAACTGGAAGGGTGTGGGAATCACCAAGGCCTATATTGGACAGAGGGCTGATCAAATTGGTCATTTTGTGGCGGTTGCTGATAGAGACCTGGATGACGAGAATGCGGATGGTTTTGGTCTTGAGTCTTGCAGTGGGTTTGAGGAGGATGGCAAGAAATGTCGATTTATTATTCCGCATGCGTAACAAGCCGGTATTATATCACCTGGCCCTTGTTCGTTAGTTCGTTCGTTCGTTCGTTTATTTGTTAATGAGTTGGTAATGAGTTTACTGATTGGACAATGCAATTTACTTAGCTTACCTAGCACTATAGCCTATCGCCATGCTACTAAGAAAAGTGTAGTAGTAAACAACCTTGTGCACCCTCACAGCCACCAAGCTGCTTCTACTTCTATACAACGACCAGAGATGATTTTAGACAGAATCAGCCAATACCACAACTTCCTGGAAGACAAAACATAATGTCGATGAGGTGCAATCTCACTGGATTGTCTGGTTTAATACACAGCTTCTATGAGAATCCATCGCCCCAGACTATACAAGTTGCAACGTGCGAATAATACCCCACAGGCGTGTGATATTCTCTCATTCATTTACACAAAACTCAGGTTATTGCCGGCTTATCCATACGAATTGGTTTAGTATTAGATGCCAGGATCGAGACGGAGATGAACGTCCAGCATACAGGCGAATGAATATTTCCTACTCGATATCTGTCTCGTGAATATTCGTTCTCATTGTGTAAATGTGCCTATTCCCATAACAGCATGATGGCAGGACAAACGAAAATCTACGAAGATCATACAGCATCAAGTAAACAACATGTATCAATCAAGACTGCCTGGATATCAAATATGCAAATACAACGTCATGCCAACACAAAATAAAGATCCAGCATTTCATTCTCTCAAAGGCGTCCCTTAGCCTGATGCGCCCCATGCAGACTAATCGGAATCGCAAAATCCGCCTCTGCCCTACCAACCTCCTCCATCGTCCTCGCATCCAAACACAGCAAATATGACCTCTCCAGCGTTCCATCCAGCACCACCGACAACAGCACCCCGTCATCTTCCTCCGTGCCTCCCGGTCGAGGGACGAAAATCGCCTCTCCGGGGGAATGTCCCTTGGGTCCGCTCCAGATCAGAGCCCCCTTGGTGTGCGTGTCCGTCTTGGCGATGGAGTCTGCAAAGACGTAAAGGCCTCTGTTGTTTACGGTGTAGACGTATCGGTATGGCTTGCCAGCACGATTAGGGTGGATGGTTGGAAGCTCGCCGACATGAGGAGCGGGAATAGAGAGCACTTCTTCTGCCACGGCGGACGCCTTTTCCTTGGACGACTGTGGCTTTGATGGGATTCTGAAGCGATATCGTGATAAGCGGTTCTGAGTGGTTTTGTAAAACTGCTTGTCAAGCATAGTCTTCTTTGTGGCACCGTCTCGGTCTAGAAGGATGTCGTAGTAGAACATGTGCAAGATGTCGGTATTGTTGTACGAGATTGCATCCATGTTAATCTCCGTATGACTGTTCCCGCTTTCATCCTTTACAACTTCTTCAAAGGCATTGGCCGAGTGAAAGAAGAAACCAGCCGGGGTAGAAAACTCTGCGACAACTCCCTTGCCATGTCTCCTGTCCACAACTGCCCATGTGCACGGAATAGTAGGATCAAAAGGCTTGATGGCATCGAGAATATTCCTCTCCCAGAGAATCTTCATGCCGGACCAGGCATATTGCGTCGACTGGACACAAAACACAATGTAGTTTTCCGTCATGAAGAAGCTGTGCATATACGCCGCCGGATAGTTCTTGCCTGAGATAGTGGCGAGAATGTCGACACTCCCATCCCTTGCATTGACGCGAAAGATACGATAGGTAGGATGAGAAGAAATCTCCAGGTTGAAGTTGAACAAGTCTCCAGTTTCGGGATCGCGCTGCGTGTGAGCGCAAGAAATTTGACCTTTCAAGTCTGGGTGAAGCGACGTCTGTCTAGCATTGCCAATAGGCTCAAGAGTCTTGGGGTCAAGCTTGCTAAGAGTAGCGCTATCGGTGAGGACATACAAGGCCTTGCCTTTGGACGCATCTCCTTGCTTCACGTCGTCGCCACCAGGCATATCTGGGACGACAGTAACGTTATTGTTGGACTTGCCAGGGACAAAGATGGTCATGACTTTTGCGAATAGTCCAATACACGGGTCAGCCCGTTGAGCAAATGAGATGCTCGTTTGCCAACCTTTCTCTTTAATCTCGGCAACGGCGCTATCAGCATGTCGACGGGAAGAATACGTAACAGTTGCGCTGCCCTCGGCTGATTCAGGCGGGATGATGTCGAATCGATGACTATGGGCAATGCCATCAAACCAGTGCTGGATAAAATGCGTGCCCTTGGATGTGCCCTCCACTCTGTCCAGACCCGGCCCGGTTCTGAATAAAGAGCCAGCGGCCCAAGATGGAATGGTGCCTTTGACCTTCAGCTGGACTGGTCCACGGTGTTCCTCTAACCCTTCAAACTATGGTCCCGCAGTCAGTATCTTTATCAAGTTTATATAAGAAAGCAAAGCAAGAGAGGGTGCAGGTTTACCTGAGCCTTTGATGGCCACTCTTTCCACGATTCGTTTTCCCAGTTGCTTAGTCTCAACTGCACATCCTTGTCTACATCTTGCGCCGTGCGAGAAATGATTCCCTCACCGTTGAGCGCCATGGCTGAAGAGAATTTTGGAAACGCGAGAGGTTTGAATGAATGGGCTTGCTTCCTCCCAAGATGGCTCGAACGTACGAGAGACAAGTTCAAATGGCTGTAAAGTGCCGTTAGACGGGGACGGCTGTGCATGGAAAGAGCTGCTCTGTATACTCGAATAGTATGACAGAGTCAAGTGAATGAATGGCAGTTGTTGATTTAACTCTTGATTAAGATAGATATCACTCCATTGTTATGAGAGGAACACCCTCATTATATATGTGACGCCTGAGGGGGCACAGTCACAAGCCACCAGAGTGAATGCACTCGTTCACACGACAAGCCACGTACTGCAAAACGTGTGGCCTTTCTCCGCTTGACACCAACAAGTACGATCCCTCTGTCCCATCCCCCCGTCCCATGATGGCTCCAACAACCTCGCATCACACTCGTCTCGCATTCGTTCGAGGGGGTTGCCACGAAAACAGAGACGGCGTCCAATCAGGAGAAGGTGACATGCATCGTAGAGGCCGAATAAGCTTGTAAGCATCGGCAGCCACAAGTTAAATTTGGCCCACATGGCGTCGATGCGCAAGCGAATGCGAACTGAAAAGTGCCGAATTATCGTTGAATTGGCAGATAATCCATGCAACATAATAGATAGCCATGAGGTGTTACGGTGGTAACACCAAGTGGCAATCTAGAGCAGCCTTTGACGCAATAAACTGATTTCTTTTTGGGAGAAGTTTCAATGTTTTGAAAACGTGATTGTGGCTTTTCGACTTTTGTCATTCGTATGGGCCTTTACCAGCGCTCTCTTGTGTTGTTTGGATGAAAACATGTAGCAGCGCATGGGAGTTTAGCATTTGATACAAACATTCAATGAACCGAGGTACGAAGTGACAGTGTTGTATTCAATCATTTGTCACAAGTCATAACCAGCATGATATGCATACTGGGGAAGCAAGAGTTGCTCCAATCTGCACCCCGCCACAGAAATCCAGTTCGTCAGAGTTTGGACCAACTTTCCGCTTTAGGCAATGAATTCGAGGGTGCAAGGATTAGCCACGATCATTGCGCGTAAACCACGTATTAGGATGGCGGGACACATCCATTACCAAATCCTTCGTGTCCTGCTCTGACTTTGTTGCATCTGACTGGCCCAATTTAGGGTTGCCAGCTTTAGGACCCATTGGGGATTCAAGGCTCAATCGAGTCTTCACAGTTGTGGGAGAGTGACATATCTCCATCTGGAGATTTGGGTCGCATTCCTTTCGCTTACTACCCCCCCTTTCACCAGTCTCGAAAACAAGAGGCTCTGTAAAGGAATCAATGCCAAGTCCTCATGGAGTGACCCCTCTCGCCATTGTATTGTGCCGGGCACTTCCAGAAGTCGAGTATTCGTAACCGTTAGAGTAAGACGGGAAGCAGCTGCGTGTGAATCATGCCGGCTAATCTCGACGCCGCCTGAGCTGTCAGACATGCAATGCGCTTCTGTGAAAGAAGGCCATGTTACTGCGGCAGCCTTTGTTGTGGGCGACGGCTGGAAAGATGCCCATCTGTAGATGCAGTCGCTTTACCAGTGTCCGCGTGACTGGTTCCCGGTGAAGTAATCCTGTACGGAATCATACCCCCCTCGTAAATGAAGTTGGACGGCTTCGAGCTCAAGATGGAAAGACGCGTCCATCTGCCAAAAACTCTTCAATGTGTCTTTTTCTTGCCTCGGTCAAGGATTTGAGCTCTACTTGGCCCGAATCCCGACTTGTATCAGCATCAGACAACTTGCTTACACGGCCGGCAACCCGCGCAAGGAGAAAGCGCATCTTTTCAAGCTCCTTTTCCACCGGACCATCGCGAGTCACCAGATTCTCCTGGATGCCGACGCCATCCGTGGTCCGAAATGATTCGACCGTCTTTTGGAGGCTGCGGAGGCGCTCAACCCTCTGCCTCAAATCTTTGCGCTGCTGGCTGAGGTCGGTGAGCTGACGAACGGTCTCGGCATAGCGGGTGGCCTCCATGGGATAGGCCTCGACGTCTTTGTCTGACGGCCAAGTTGCGGGCAGTGTTTCGATGGCGTTCTCGTCGACTATTTCAAGATAAAATACTGTCAGATACGGCGTCTTGAGAAATTGGGACATGAGACATGAGATATGGAAGAAGCAGCAATACCTAGATCAAGCTCCCTTCCAATCCCGCCCTCAGCATCGTCCGGGTTCTCCATCCTGCGTTCGGCATCTCTCGAGTACAAACTGCTGATCTGCTCAGCTACGCTTCGGTTTGCCTGGGGCGCATAGACGCGGCGACTGTGTTGCTGAATCGTGCGATTAACGCTTGCGACGGCATCTTCGACGAGGCGGTTCGGAATCGCATGTTCGGACGCGTCGTTAGAGGCGCGCCAGGCTCGAGACGGCGCAATCGGCTGGGACAAGAGATTGGTCTGCGCAGCGACAAACGTCTGCTTGACGGAGGTGACTGTAGGAGCAGGAGGCATTTGGTCTCTGCAGCCAATTCGGGTGGTCGTGAGGAGGGCGAGTGAATTGAACTTTGGAAGTATGAAGTTATCGCGATTGAAAGCTTAGGAGCTATAGAGCGTAGAGCTCCAGGCCCCCCACTGATAAGGCTCTACAGCGGCCTAATTATGTCAATAGAGGGGCTGATGGCGGGGTGTATTTTGCATGGAGCAGAAATTGAGCTTGAAGCCTCCTAACCTACAGGTTGTCGATTCATACATGCATTCGCAGACAACATTGTATGTAATTTATTCTGTTTCTCAATTCCACCGTATTCTCATTCGTCTCTCACATGGCCTATTGAAATTTGGGATAAATATTTTACTCTGGTTTTCGTGTTATTCAACACAATCATACAACTAAACCGCTCTCTGCAATCTATACGGTGCTGCATCAAGTCTTAATCAACAAATCCATATCAACATTGAAGAAACACCATCTAGTCCCCGGGTTCATCAGAGTTAGGCATTTGAAGCATATGCTGACCCAAGATATTCACTTAATCTAAATAGACTCGACTAAATCCTAACAATGTTGTAGGCACATCGTCTGAACGATCATTTGTATCTGCCATCACATTGGTACTCCATATCAAGGCTGGCATCGAGCAACTCTTCTGGAAAGCATTTCTCGAATACTTTGGCGCACACATACTCTCGTTGCGTCCAAAGCAGTTTTAGTAAAGCATGTATAGTGTAGCCACCATCTCCGTAGCCTCAAACGCGTATACTCCTTTTCCATAGAGTAAATTCGTCCTTATCATCATGGCAATCCCGGGTAGAGCGGCAAAGAGCAGGTCGGAGACAGCCTCATGCAGTACCACGTTTTACACGGCCCCCAATTCCAAGACCAGTGCGACTATGCTTGAGCCAATTGTTAACGGGTGTGAATAAATGTCTGGCACTCTCCGATGCGAGTGGCAGGCTGCAACCTGCATCTGCTGGTGCGGAGCTGCGGAAATTTATTGGTGTCTTAGCCAGCGTAAGACAACTAAAGGGCCGGTATCATGTTTCTAGGTAACGTCGTGCTCACTAGAGCTTTCCCAAGGATTACCTACAAAGAACATAGATCCAATCATCCGAATGTAAAACGAAGGACACACATCCTGGTCGAAGAAGAGAGGTGGGAAAGGAGAGACTAACATCAGTATATGCATGCATTCGTACCGTGGTGGGTTGGGCCCTGATTGGGTTGAAATGTGCATTAAAAGAGCTGCATGACATGCAGCCTTGTTGCCTATTCTTCCTCTAGTATTGTATTTTTCTTCCTTCTACAAATCTTATTGACTCTAAATTGAATCAAAAAGTTGTCCGGATTGATGAAATCAGTGCCGCACTTTGGCTACGACACGAGCGCCAATACTACTTCGATCGCGGATTGTTAGACATCGATCCAGACTTGCAGCTTAGAGTCAAATATTTCCCTACGCGGACGCCCGTTACATCCGCCGTTCCGCGACGCAACTTGCTGCGATAATTGACTACTACTACAATCGTGAGACATTCTAATCCCATCATCACCATGGCTCCAAGACGAGCAGTTGCCGATGCCTCACCGAACCCGCTTCACCGACTCCGGGTCCAAGCAGACCAGCCGCTTCGACGCCACCGGATCTCCCGTCGCAAAACCCAGACACTCTCGATGAAGGAAATTCGGCGCATTGCGATCCTATCGGAAAGATATGAATCGGCAGCAAAGGAAGAGGCGGATAATGAGGCCGAGACCGAGACCGAAACCGAGACACGGTGGGAGAGAAGCACTCGTGGCGACGCAAGGGCATTATGGGTCGAACAGCTGTATCGTTATGAAGAGCTGTAATTGATGCCCCTCTAGTCTCGGGATGACGACGGACCTTTTTTTGTTTCTTTGTTTCTTGTTTACTTGATATGGAAATGCAATGCGGACGAGACCATGTGTGGCTAGATGCGGCTGAACATTTGATGAAGACAAAAGTTTAGTTATTTGAGAGATGGCATCGGTTGAAGGCCAAATTGTTTCTGTCTCCTCATGATATATAACGATTAACGACTAATATCAATGAATGATTACGATTGGGAGATCAATAATAGTTGCCGCCTCGCTGGGCATTTCTTTAATATATACTCATGTGTGTTTCCCGGTAACCCAGCTGAGATGGATGCATGTGCCCAAGACAAAGAAACACACCCATTCCAATATCAAGTTTCGCTTCAAGCTTATTACCACCAACCTCACATATGACCACTTGTAAATCTTGGCCTAATATTGAATTCTATATCCATCCAAGGGTTATTAATACGATGAACCCCCAAATATCAAGGCGGGGCGGCGGAACCCCTCCCCCACTCTAGAGGGGCGGCATTTCAGCTCTCTGCGTATTTCACTTTGCCTTGAAGAGCTTTGTGTATTTCTTCAATTTAAGGACTCACTTTCTGTTGTAGAAACTAGATCGTTGGTGAAGATACGTAAGCTGAACGACTGCCATCATGACGTCCACCATGGGAGTTGCCATTATTGGAGGAGGCTTGTTCGTCAAGGGGTCGCATCTGGTATTTATCACCACAACATGGCCTTTACTGAGCCCCTTGGAGTAACTGGTCAACTAACCGACCTCTCAGCCTGCTGTTCTCGAATGCGAGCTCTTCAGCCTCAAAGCCATCTACTCAAGGTCTCTCAAATCAGCTCAAGAAACCGCCAACCTCATTCCCGATTCCGTCCCTCAGCCGGATCTTTACTCTGAGGACTCTGGCGCTGGCAAGTCGTATCAAGACATTCTCCAACGAGACGACATTTCTGCCGTCATCATTGCCCTTCCCATCCTCAGCCAGCCCTCATTCATAGAGGCGGCCCTTTCTGCCGGCAAACACGTCCTCGCTGAGAAGCCCATCGCCAAAGACGTCTCTGCTGCACGTGCCCTCATCGCCAACGCTCAACGCATTTGCTCTTCTACCAAAGCCACCCTGGCCATTGCTGAAAACATCCGTTTCTTCCCTAGTTTTGCCTACGCCGCCAGCGAGGCTGCAAAACTCGGCAAAGTCCACAACTTTAGCGTTCGCGTTCTGTGGCGCATCGAGCCCGACAACAAGTGGTACAACACCACGTGGCGCCAAAAGCCCGACTATCAGGGAGGCTTCCTGCTTGATGCCGGTGTACATTGGGCTGCTGCCACGAGGCTGCTCCTGACTGGAGACGAGAACAAGCCGGAGACGGTGCAGGCGTTTACCGCGCAGATGTGCGAGCACTTGCCGCCAATTGACACAGTCAACGCCATTATCAAGACACAGTCTGGAGCAACGGGCGTGTTTCAAAACTCGGCTGGATCTCTGCTCCAAGCTTTTGAGTGGAGCTTCTCTTATGAAAAGGGTACCATCAAAATCGCCGGCGAAACGGTCACAGTGCAACCTGCCGGTGGGGAGGAGCATGTCAAGGAATTTACTAGGACGAATGGCGTAAGCGAGGAGGTGGCCGCCTGGGCTCAGAGCATTGTCGACGGCAAGGTTAACCCCTTGCAGACGCCAGAGCAGGCCCTCGCTGACCTCGAGTTTGTGGAGAAGATGTTTACCAGTGGTGATGAGAACGGGTCGACGCAAAAGTATGAACTTCTATAGGAGGAGAGACAGTAGCAGCGCTAATATCAATATATACAATATGACTGCATATGAAGCTACGAAGCGAGCCTCTGACACTAATGTCCAATAGCTGACTAGACGGAAAGGGGGTGAAATAGACGAGAACCAATTGCAAAAGTCAGAGCTTGCTCGCTTCCTTTGGTGGAACGACAGGCCCCAGATGAATCTTATCCAATGCTTCCTTCAAGCGAGGCTCCATCCCATCTTTGGGGGGCCTCCCTGTGGACCTTTCAACAAACACATGTACGAAGCCTCCCACAGCCTTGACTTCATCGCTGCCCCTTTCGAACAAGGCCACCTCATAGGTGACGCTTGACTTGCCCAACTTGGTGACTCGCACTCCCACTTCTGCCACGGCTGGGTAGGCAATGGAGGCCAAAAAGTCCGTGTGGGAGTGCACTGCTAAGCCATACTGAGGCGATGAAGGGGGGTGAATACCGCACTTTTCGACAAGGTAGCTGTTGACGGCGGAGTCGAATCTAGGATGCCGCAGATCGGATGCGGCCAGCTAGTCAGCAGTGCCTTGCAACGTTTCCCAACACACCGTTTGAGTTTAGAATTAGGTGTCGTCTTGAGTCAGGAAAGAGGAGTGGAGAGGGAGGGGTGGATGTCCCCAGGTCTGAAGTTGTCCAGATGGGGTCGACACACATATACGAGTAAGTCTTACAGGAAGTTATACACCGAGTTGTTCATATGATCGTACATATCATTATCGTTCCTGTGGCGACAAAAGACACATCATCAACACAGCCTCTTGGTTACGTGAACGTCTCATCGTCCAATAATCTCTCTGTCCTTTGACGTTCTCCGGTCCTCGGCATCTCGACGGATGGTCAGGAGGAGGATAGCACATAGAAGATAGGATGGAGGGCTCCCATTGAGACAAAAGTTCGCCCTAAGCATTGGGACCGCGTCCAGGCCAAAGTGGAGAGGGGGGTGAAGAAGAATAAGCTCACCATCTTGTCCTGTACTCCAGGAGGTACGGATAGTCCTGGCGGCGGCGTGTCTTGAGTGCGGCGAGGCTCATACTTGGAAATATCCAGGTCTCTTGACGGCGAATCAGGAGTGCATATGCGAGCCAATAGATGGCTCGAAGAGTCGACGATGGAACAGGGTGCTAAGGGGAAAGGCAAAGATACGCTGTGGCTAAGAGGGAGGCAAAAAGCAAAGCCACAAATCGCACGCAAAGAGTGACAGCCTTGCAATTGCCCTCGTCGCCTATTTGGTGAGAGCTCAACAGCAAGGGAGGTGCATTTGTAGCAGCCGAATCGGAGCTTTTGGAGTATGGAGCTGGACCCAGCCGAGGTTCGGGAATACCAGCCTCTAGGGTAGGTGTCTCTTGCAATGGCAGCTAAATTAGTACATGTACCTAGTTGTTAGCAACAGTCAGGCTTCCGGCGCTCTAGGCCGGGCTGCCGGTCATGCCGGACCGGAGCCACAATTGCCCGCCAATGCATCGTTCTGCCCGCCCCGACCGCCTAATTTTTTTGCTGCCCCTCGTTAACCATTTTCAGGCGGTACGTCACTCCGCAGATGACACACAAATCTCAAATACTTGCATTTCGTACGGGGAAGTCCGTATCGCGCGCCATCAACGGAACAACTCGGCGGGTGCGAGGCTGGTGCCTGGACTGTCGCCTGGATTGTTGCCCCGGATCATTGCGCAGTCGATTGGAAAGCCTATCTGCAGCTCTGTCTGCTGATGCTGCGAGTCTGTTCGAGAAGCATCGGCAAGCTAGCACGAAACGGAGCCTTCGCGATGACGACCTCTTCTGTCGCCCTCGCCACCAGCGCCGCAGCACCCGCGACTGGCTCAACCGCATGGCATGATGATTCGATAGATTCAGCACTGCCTGGACCTGATGCTGCAGCCGAAGTGACCACCACGGTCCCGAGGATCAGGAATGGAGACGCAGAAGAGGGGAAGGGAAGCCCCCATGTAAATGGAGACAAGGGCAAGCCACCCAAGCAGAAGAAGCCAAAGAAGCCAAGCCCTAGGGACCGATCCGTGATCCCCGACGAAAAGACGGTCCTCATCACCCCGGCGGGCGACATCTGGCCGCGTCCATACGTGTTCGAGGACGACCTGCGCCGCGTGCAACCCTACCACTTCACGTACAACACGTACTGCAAGGAGAGATGGCGCGGCCGGTCGCTCATCGACATCTTCGAGTCCGAGTTTCGAGACCGGCCAGTCGAGTACTACCGAAGCTCCATGGTGCGAGGCGACATCTACGTCAACGGCAGAGTGGTTGGCCCAGACTACATCGTCCGCAATGGAGACATGATTTCGCATACGTTGCATCGACATGAGCCACCAGTCACGGCCGAGCCTATAGGCATCATCCACGAGGATGACGATATCATTGTCATCAACAAGCCTTCGGGTGTCCCTGTGCATCCTGCTGGTCGTTACAACTTTAACTCTGTCATCGAGATCATGATAGCAGACAGGGGCAAGGACTTTTTGCCGCACCCGTGCAATCGATTGGACCGCCTGACTAGCGGTATCATGTTCATTGCCAAGAGTGTCAAGTCAGCCGAAGCCATGGCTATCAAGATCAGGGGGCGCACCGTGAGAAAGGAATATCTGGCGCGCGTTGTTGGCCACTTCCCAGACGGAGAGGTTGTCTGCGACCAGCCCATATTGCAGATATCGCCGAAACTCGGCCTTAACCGTGTGCGTGCCAATGGCAAATCGGCCAGAACGGTCTTCAAGCGGCTGGCGTACTATCCGCCACTGGATGGAGATGCAGATGAGCCGGCTATGCTGGCGGAGGATGGGCGACCGCACACGCCTACGAATGGAGAAGAACACGTCCAAGACGAGACGCGTAAGCCTTGGCTGAAGAAGAAGGGCTACTCCATCGTGAGATGCTTGCCAGTGACGGGGCGGACACACCAGCTGCGAGTGCACCTGCAGTATCTAGGCCACCCGATCCAAAACGACCCCATCTATGCCAATCAGCGTGTCTGGGGACTCAATCTTGGACAGGCAGACGCCGATGGCTCACAAAATACCGATGAGGACATTATCAGCCGCTTGAATCGCATGGGAAAGGAGGAAGTGGCTGAGGCTGTAGTATATTACGATGAAATGGTGGACAGATACGAGAAGCAGCGCGCAGAGAAGATGACGGGCGAGCTGTGCGATATATGCGATACGCCTCTCTACTCTGATCCGGGGAGTCACGAGCTATCTCTCTGGCTTCACAGCCTCCGATACGAGGACGCCGACGGGAGCTGGGCATATACGAGTCCGCTACCCAAGTGGGCTCTTCCGCCAAAGGGCATGAGTGGACCGACTACCGTAGGCGGAATGGAGGAGCTTGTGGAAGCCGTCAAGGACGAAAATCCTGAGATTTCGTCCGAGGTGCAGGCCAAAGTCAGGGCAGAAGCTGAAGCGAAAGCAAATACCCAGACAGAGCCCGAGAACCATGATGGTCAATCCGGTTCACAGATAGAACAACTTCCCAATGGGACGTAACGAATCATGAGTTATGACACATGACAGTAGAATACAGTTCATAGACATGAAACAAACAGAGGACGCGCGACCGACAGGTGGAGCTGCGAAATCTTGAAGGATTAGAGCCGATTTCTATAGATGACGCGCCGCCATATTAGGCCAATCTACACGTCAAATTTACATGCATCCTCACATGCTTGACCACACTCGACGTTTACAGTTAGAATGAAACACAATCCATCGCTTATAATTACAATGTTTATGCAATGCGTGCTCAACAAAATAGCATTGACACATGCAAACACAGCACCACAGCAATCAACTTGTGAAGATCACAAGTACGAGCTCAACCCCAGCAGCAGTCATTCTCTCTGGCCACGCCCCCCCGGTCCTATCCCAGGCAAAAGCATGGAAGCGGAGATGATCTATTTTTTCCATTTCCGGCGTTAGATTGGGTTGAATTCGGACGATTGGCTGCGGGGGGGAAAGAAAAAAAAAAAAAAGGACGAACATGTGCAAATTTACCCGAAAGGATGTCCAAGATCGCCCTTTGAGAGATTGAGAGAATGGTCCCTGCATGGGCCAGGAACAGTAAGTATTACCTACCTGGGTAGGTTGTGGGCGAGACAGTACATTACGAGCTACATAGGTATGTGTAAGACATGACAGAGGTATTAGTTGCTGCGCACGTGAAGTCTACACGCCCTATTAGCATAAGCAAGGGGGGGTTGGAGAGGGAAATGCATGTGAAAAGTGAGTTGAGTGAGCACGAGAGAGAGAGAGAGAGAGAGAGAGAGAGAGAGAGAGAGAGAGAGAGAGAGAGAGAGAGAGAGAGAGAGAGAGAGAGAGAGAGAGAGAGAGAGAGAGCAAAAAGTGGCCTGTTGCAGATCCGAATCTCTCTCAAGTGCTGCTCCCAAATTGCCACGACGAACGATGGATCGCCTGTCTTGACCGACAGCACCTGTTTGGGGGTCTCTTGGGGAGGGTCAATGCTCATGTTCATGCTCATGCTCATGCTCGAACCCCGGGCAAAAGAGAACATGCGGGCATGATTGAGTAATGCCCCGATAATAGATTGAGCTGGGAGCCCTTCTATGGCTTGTTAGTAGGGGGTGAGAATGGGATGGGATGAGCCAGGTTTAGCTAAACTGGGCCGGCACCGAGGCAAAAACGGGCCCCCCAAAAGCAGTACGAGTAATAGTATAGCAGCAGCAGCAGCAGTGAGATTTGGGATTATGATGAGAATAGAGAGAGAGAGAGGCTGAGACTTATTCAGCAAGTATTGTTTGATGCATGTGCTGCAAGCCCCCCCTCCATCAGCGCAGCTTGGACCTCTTTATAGCATCCATACATCAGGTACCTAGCCCGGTGACTAAAAAAAGAAAAGTCCAAAACGGCAAGGGAAATTTGTTACGTGAAAATGGGAACCGACAGCAAACATTATTAGGCAAAAACAAAAAAAGAAAGCAAGATTTGAAAAAGATTTGACAGCACTCGTACTGTCCGGTCCGGTCCGGTACCCTATTCATGACCGAGATTGAGCAGCCCGGCGGTCTGAGCCAAAGACAGCAAGGAACAAGCTCGCAGTCTAGTAGCAGCAAAAACCACCACCCCCCCGGACCGGAATAGCAGCAAAATAATAATAATAATAATAATCGGCGAGACATGCCCTTTTAGAAGAGTCGGGGACCTTGATGAAGCGGCGGGCGGGCGGTGGTAATTGCGGGTCCGTCCAGTATCTGGAACCATGTCTCAGCCCGGTCTTAAAGAGCGGCATGAGCGTTGAGAGAAAGCAATACAGTATCGTACTGTATCTTTGTCAACGTTGTCCCGTTTTTAGTGTGGAGTTTCGCATGTGTGTTGTTGCTGGTAGAAACCCCAAGTAGTACAGTAGCACGACGCAAGGGGGGGGGGATTCCCCATCGTGGAACTAGAACGAGTCAATCATCTGTATCGCATCGAATAGGGTGCCTCTCCGTGCAAGTCGCATGCAGCCCAAACTTGCATGAGAGATGGATACAACAGGTACAGTACATAGATGCCTAGAGGCAAAAAAAAAAGATGGATACAAGGGCATGTAGCATGTAGTACAAACGATGATCGAGGTTCCCCCCTGGCTCTCAGTCTCTCACTCGTCGCTCTCCCAAAGAAGGGGGGTCCCTCATATTCAACGGTCCGGTCATGTATAATGATGCTGTTTGGGGGGCAGCCTGGCCTGGCCTGGCCGTTTCTTTCCCTGGGCTAGTCGCGAATCTGGCAAATTTGAATCCGGACAGATGGAAAAGGGACATTGTAATAAAAAAAGGAAACAAGAGAAAGTGAAACACACACGTCACTTCAGGCAAGCAGCAATCGCTTTTTGGGCAGCGGACCGACCTTTTCTGCCATGCCGTGGGCTGCCAATGCGTTTGACGCAGATCCCAGTATGGCTGAAATGACGACAGGAACAGACCAACCGCATCTCCTTTATCCGCAAAATCAACAGCGTCCAATGAGAGCTTCAAAGCCTTTGCTAAAGGAGGCGACGAAAAAATTTTTCTCGTTGGGTGCTCTGCTTCTAAAAGAAGGGGGTCACAGGACGGAGAATCTATTTTCTTCCCCCGGCTCTGTGTGCTGTTTGCGATAGGCTCAGCCTTGGGACGAGAGATGCAGGTGTGCAACCTCTTCTTCTTCCCTTTCTCTGTTTTTTGCCTCTTTCTTCGCCGTCTCCCTTGCATGTTGCGAGCTGTTCCCGCCCCTCTGCACCACTTAGAACGGCTCTAGTTGGCTAGACGCACCTAGTGAGGTAAGCAGGAGACGCAGAGCCCGCAGGATTGTCGCCGATACTCGTACACACACAGGCGATAGATGCCTTTCCAAACTCGCTTCCTCATGCAGGGGAGCAGATTCAAGGTTTGCTCATCTGGATCATCTCCAGCACACCTGCAGTCGTGAGCGCTGGTTGGATGAGGTTGCGGTAACCGCATCATTAACGACGGGGCCGGCCATGCATTGTCAGGCGCCAGGTTGTTGCACGCATCAGCAGCTTGTTACTGAATACAGGTAGTCATCTTGAAGCAACAAACAAAAGGAAGAGCCAGATGCACAAGGGGCGTCAGTTTCATCAAGGTCGGCTGAAGGTTGCTTCAACGCCCCCCTGATGTGTGGAGCCAGATGCCAAACCGTACAAGTCAAGTAATACTTGCGGTCGAATTTGCAATACTAGGTTGCCGTTCAGCAGCTTTGCGCATCATCGCCAAACCACGCTATCACAAGGCTCCCCAATGAGCAACTTTGGTCAATTTGCCACTCATTTCCGCGCTGCAATAGTCTCCCTCAACATGTAAGAGCTTCATCCCAATGGCCATATTGGGCTCGCGCAGTAATATCCCGCAGAGCGGTTAATATGTGCTTTCCCCAATTTCCCCAATTCTGCTCTCAGCCGTACAAGCTGAACCGAGATACCATCTCAGGTAACGTTGGAGTGCGTGCCGCCTAGTTTCCAGCTCGGAAGCGCCGCGGCTAACTGCCATGTTTCAATACCGAAATTCCGGCAGGGTTCATTACAAAGAAAAGAACGCAAAGAAACCCAGACTTGCCAGAGTCTAATACCATTACGAGTATACCATGTCAGTTTGTTGAGCAATATCTTAGCCCACATAGCCATGCTGTCAGTGGGTTGCCGTTGCCGGCCCTCTCGGCTACGACTCTCCCGGCTTTCCTCTCGGAATCCAGGCGCAGATCTGGTGGGCTACTAGATAATTACGGAGCGGTTTTTTTTTTTTTTTTTTTTTGTTCTAGAAGAAAGCCAGAAAAAAAGGCTTTCCATTCTGCCAAAAGCCGGCCATCCGGTAGTTGATCGCCCCGATTGGTGCTCGGCTTTCACAGCCATCACCAACAGTTATCTCCCTCCCATCGCCGAGTGTAGAGCACTGTTAACGACGTATATCGGTGCACTGTACGAAACGTTTCCGAACAGCGAGCGCGCGGTACGGTGCAGTACAAGCGTATACCAGGACGGGCGTCAGGCTTGCCGCTTAGTGTTTCTCTGCCCGCTAGCTCACCTAGGAGAATTATTCTAGGACGAGGCGTAGAAGCTTCGGAGAAGATTCTCAGCGTCTTGGAACGGCACAGAGGCAGCAGCAACTGGGATGCTGGGCACACGCCCTGATGGCTCTTCTTCTGGCATTGTGTCTCCGCTCCTTGGGCTGCATGCCCTTGCTCAACGTTCGAATGGTTGCCAGGTACGGCCTTGTCTAGGCCGCGGAGCAGATGTCCGATGAAGAAAAGCCATAGAAGTGCTCCAGAAAAAATCGTTTGAGCCAGAGGATGGGCAGCCACTCAGAGGCGCCACCACTTGCAAGGGAGCCCCCTGTGCTTCCAATGCTTCTAGTTTCCTTCTACTCCGTGCCTCTTCTCCGTAATGAACGAGACCAGGACCAGGAGCCGGAGCTGAGTTGTGATAAGCTGCACGCTAAATTGATTTAATGACGACGAGACAGAGGCCCGAAGCACAGATTAGGTAGGCAAGCGGAGAATAATTTGTGCTCGTACAGGCCAAACGATCGTATCGACAAGGACGAAGGACAACCCCTTCCACCGCCTTTGAGGAATGGGAGGACAAGTTTGCTGCAAGACCGTGTGGACAGACGTGTGCCAGACACTCTGCCCTGGGCTTTCGTGGGGGACCATCCCAGAGCCGTTTTGCTCTTGCAGGAATTCCATGCCGTTTTCCAAGTTGCGACGGATGAGTTTGGAGCAGCCCCCAAACTATTCCTCCAATCTTTGGGAGCCAAAGTCATGTTGCAGATGCCAGGGGCTGTTAGTGTCACTTAGGCAGATTGCTTTCAACGGCATGATGGCGTTAGCCGTCCAGCAGTCTAGCAGGAAGCCACGAGACAGCCTCCTTTGTGCGGCGGGCACGAATGCTCGATGTGACGGGAAGTGCCGCCGATTGCGCCGCCGGTTGTCTGCGAGAGCAAAGCGCATAAGCAACAAGATCGCAGCCTTTCGCATTTTCCTTCTTGTTGTTTAGCAGGTTTTTCGCACCATTTTCCTCTTCCAGCCTTCTGGTGCCCTCCAGGTGACCTGAGATGCTGTCAGCAAGGTTCTCCGCGGAACCATGCTTGGTCAGCCGTGATGAAGCCATGTTGCGGCAAGTCAACCCGCACGAGCCGCACGCTCAACGATAGCCAAAAGCCGTTTTTCGTTCTTGCTTCTCCCTTTCGCCTAATGATGCCGCCAAATCATCTCCGCCAGTGGAGACGCCGGCGTCGCTTGGGAAATCGCCACGCGCCACGCGTTGCTTTAGCACGCAGCCTCTTTTTTCTCTCATGATTGTGCATAGTACAAGTAGCAAGCACTAAGACAAGCAAAAACCTAATGGGGCAACCATAAGAAAACGCAGGGTTCGACGCGATGAATAATGCAGGGCCTGACAAAGAAAAGCCAAAACCAGCCTGCAGAATGATGACATTAAAGCCAGGCTCTTGGAGGGGCGTGCGTGACATGTCGAGTTTGGTGCTAAGCAAAATGCCACCAACCTAAATCTCTGGAGCCTGTCGTGCTATCAGCAACCCATCACATCGCATCCAATCGCATCATATCGCATGTTGAGAGCCGCGGGCCCTCGGTGAAAGATCGGCTGTGCGCTGTTCGGGGGTCTTGGATGGGACTGTATGTATGTAAATGCTGGCTCATCAAGGCCGATCCGGAGTTCTGGAAAGATTCGAAGGCATCTCCAACCGCTAATCCTGCGTACCGGCTGCCGGGATTTGCGGCGGTTCCGGCTGTGGTTGGGCGCTAATGCCGATTTTGACAGATTTGATGGATGTCCAATACGAACTGAGTGCTATTATTCTGTCGATGAAGTCGATGAAGACCGCAGCTCTCGATCTTGGCCGGAAAGATGGCGGACCGTCATGGCATCCCCCCAGCGTTACGTTTTCCATTTCCGTACATCGAGCTCCCTTGGCGTTGCGGACGAAATGTGCTGACATTTGCAGTGGCGAAATGCACGATGCTGGATGTGGATGGGAAGCGGGAGAATGGGTGGTGATGCTAGATTAGTTAGATTAGTTTGCTGGCCCCAAGCATACCATTTGCCCATGCGAGGAAAAAAAGGAATTTCTAGGTTACATAGTATTTGGTAATCAAAGCTGGGGGAGGTTGAGAGAGGGCATGGATTACCTCATTTCTTGCTAATGACGTCGTCCCTGTTTCTTCTTTGCCGGCCCCTGTACCGTTACGCAGTGGCTTGTACTGTGCGTGCAGGCACTACTACAGCACTACAGCGCTACAGCACCTGGAACAGCGCCTAAACAGAACTGGTCTCAACGGGCCTCGCGATGGATGGCATCCATTTGATTTGACTGCATTATGTGATTTCAAGTTACGGTGCACATCAACAGCAATAAGATCACGTAGCCAGCAAATTCTGCATTGCCACCACCCACGAGATAGGATAGGCGACGATGCCTTGACCGTAACTCCCGAGCGTCCAATCCAGATGCTGAAAGCCGCAGTCCAGGCACTTTAATGTACTGGTACTCGTATATCTGCGTATTCGCTACTTCATCACGCTGGAGCTAAGGGCTACTGCTGGGGAAGTTCTGGCGAGGCGGTCAGTGGCCTTAGCCGCACATACCTGCCCAGGTTGCCAATCTACACCGCGCTAACGCACTAAAACTGCACATGCAGTGTGCTACAGGCGCTGCCTCAGTGCCTGAACCTTGCCTTGCTGCTCGACTACTAGGTAGATACTGTACTCGTACTTCGCACGTTTCGACCATCAAAATCTCCCTAGTTCAACCTGACCTCTTCGCCTGCCGTCAGCGTATCGAAATAGTCCTACACCACCAGACGGGGCGCCAGCCGCAGACGCCATTCGCTCTCTCGATTGAAGCATGAAGCGAACAAGTTGAAGGCATAGGCGTACGCCAGGTATCTTAGCTGCAGCTGCCGTCTGCAGTGCAGGGCCAATGGCCAGAATGCCGCAGACGCCGACGGGGGGTTTGGTCCACAAATCATAGCCGGCCGACATGAGAGAGAGAGAGAGCGAGTTGAAGAGAGAGAGAAATGGGGAGAATGAGGGAGAAAGAGCCAGAGAGAATGAGAATGAGCAAGATAACCGCGGAAAAGCAGAGGAGAAAGGGCCAACTCGGTCCCGAGGAAGTGCGTCTTATCTGCTGCTCGGTCGAAGCAGGCCGAGGCATGGCGACGCTCGTCAAATCAATCAATTCTATTTGGAATCCTCGCCTGCCAAACCAGACGCATTTTTCATTTTTCGCAGCAGAGTTTGGGCCTTTGGTGGTGAGTCTCTTTTGTGGCTCCAATTCTCCGTTGTTCTGGAAGATTACCAGATGGCGAGATGGGGGTCTCGTTAACTGCTGGGACACTAACGAGGGCAGCGGTGGATAGGCAATCCGTCCGTTGCATGTCGACTTGACCCATCCGACAAAGACTCGTCCTGCACTGTCCTCGTACAACACGTGCGATGGCCAGGGCAGGCAGAGGGCATCACGGAGTAGTGCCGGAGTAGGGGCTAAAGCAACTACTCCTGCTAGCATTGCAACCCCTCCAACCCAGATCGCGATCCAGTCCATCTGTGGAATACTGTGCGTACATAGTACAGTCCCAGAAAACCCAGCACGACGTTTATTGCCGCCAGTTCGGCACTACAGTCCCAGGTATCGACAAGCCAAAGCCGAAGCGTCTGACCATGCCCGAAGCATCCTAGCAGGCGAGTGCCGTCTTGTCAGCGAGGGCCGCCAGGACGGAGAGCCGTTGTCTGTCTGGGTCGGCAGCACCACACGGGAACGTGTTCTCCAGCTCCATCAGTCATGTCAAGGCCAGCGCGAGACAAAATAGCGTCACAGCAAGATCGGCTTGCAGGCCCCTCTCTGCTTGTGGTCTCTCCCTCCGCTCTCCCTTGCCGTTGGAGTGCCGAGAGCTGCTGAAGAGGCAAAAGACTAATACCGAAGACGTGAGCTGCGCTGCGTTGTGGGCGTGGGGATGGGCATCTTGCGCTGCCATGTCTGATGCCTCCTGTATGGTGCATCATGGCTGGGCATCCTCTCCCACCAATTCTCCCCCAGCTAGCCCAACGCCTCCCCAACGCCCACGGCTCGCCTTTTCTTGCTTGCTTGCATCCCAGCTGCGGCGGTACATGGAGTACGTGCGAATACATGCATGCGTTTCTTCGGCTCTGGCACTAAGGCAGCGCGGTCCGAAGCAGAGGACGCTCTGGCTCTCGTCCTTGTACCAAACGTCCCAGTGGCGTCGATGCCTCACCCCGCAGGCTGGCCATGCCGGACCAAGCGTGGACGAAAGAGTACCAGCCCATTACCGGCCAGCAACCGCTTGGGACGCTCGTCTGCTGGTATCCTGCCAGTATTACGCCACGCCACAGCCCGCGTGCACGCTTCGTGGTGCAGAGCCTGCAAGTCTCGAGAGACCCGGTCGTCCGCTGGCGCTGCTGGATCCATGGATACAACCACGCCCCCTGAGCCCCCTGGTCGTCTCCAAGTGCTTGTCTGGCGTCTTTGTATGCAGACGCCCCCCGGCCTCCCCACCCAGTACAAGTACCTGTGGTAAAGTACCGTGATCCCTGTCCAAGAGGTACGGAAACAGAGGAGACGCTTCTCGGGGTCCACACCACCGCCTCTGGGATGGATGCGCCTCGAGGTGTTGCAGCAGTATATTATAATAATGGTACCTGACAGCATCATCATCTGGGCTCTTTTTTTTCCCTTGTTCCACTCAGAAAAAACCACGTTCCGGATCTCTGACCATTCTCATCCGAAACGCAATTTCCCGTCTTGCTTCTGACTCTCCGTTTGTCTCGGAGCAGCCTTCCAAGCCTTGTCTACAGGCATTGTCGACGTCTTTCTTATTGCTCTCTGCTCTCTGCTCGCTTCCGTGCTGCAATTGCTTTTTGACGTGGCGACCTCCGCGTTTGGCTCCAACGTTCTGCGCATTCACGGGCTCTTCTCTCGTGATTGTCTTGTTGACGCCATTGAATCAACTACCGTCAACGAAAACGAAGCGGGCCCCCGTCTCTTTTCGTAGCGCGACCCACGACAAGCTGCCTCAACTCGTTGCTGGTCCATCGCCTTGATACCCTATTTATTGCGATAGCTCCCCCACTCGATCGCCTTTCACGGCTCTCTGCCCTCGTTGCTTAGGGTTATTGACTGCGGCCCAAAAACTTCATCGACTTTTTGCATGTCCCTCTTATACAAAATTGAACACAACATGCCGCGATCATCTTCCGGAGAACCAACCAAGCCGTCCAAGCGAAAGGGTAAGTCTGTCTCGAGTCCCGCCGTTTCTGCGCTTCACATGTCGACGATTCTTTTTCAATGCCACTCCGCTGGCGACAATCGCCGCTTCTGTTCATTTCATTTGCCTTTTTCTTTTTCCCACGTCATTTCGAATAAAAATCAAAAGCTAATTATCCAATGTCTCTCAACCTCTTAGGCACCAGAAGTGTTTCGACCCTGACGCCCTCACAACTGGCACGCAAGCGAGCCAACGATCGTGAGGCTCAGAGAGCCATCAGAGCCAGGACCAAGGAGCACATTGAGCGTCTGGAACGTGAACTGGCCGAGCTCAAGGGCGTCCAGAGCCGCGACAGAAAGGTGCAGGAGCTCCTCCGTCGGAACAAGTTCCTCGAACAGGAGATTGCCCGGCTCCGGGAACACATGGGCTACACCGCCACGGACTCGTCCTATTCCTCGAATTCCGCAGGTACGCCAGGTACCATGCCCAACAACGCTCATGACCTTTACTTTGGACCGCTAACCCCAGGTCCATCAGTCTACGACGACAATCTCAGCTCGGGCAGCGGTGCTGTGCCGAGTCCGAGGGTGTCGCCTCTACCATCCAGTGATTTCAACCAAATCACAGACTATGCACAGCAGTCGTATGGTCACATTGCAGGCGCTGGCGGCGAGGCGTGGCCAGCATCCGTTGCGCCAAACCCCGTCCTCGGCAACATCCCCAGCCCCTCATCTCCCGCCCATGGCGAGGAGTACAGCGCGGCATACATTCCCACAAGTGTCCCCTCGATGATTCCGGCCACTCTCAAGGACATCAAGCAGGACTACGACGAGATGGACCACGGCAGTATGTATTATCCTTATCCCTTTCGCCACGCATTGAGGGGCACATGGGCTGACTTGAATTGCTTCTCTCCCTCCAGGTGGGCTCAGGCTCAACACCTCAACTCTGCATAACTTGCCACAGGCATATATGCAGCAGCAACACCAGCACCAGCACCAGCACCAGCACCCACAGCACCCACAGCACCAACACCAGCAGCCGCCGCCACCACCACCGCTCCACGCATATTCTCAGCAGCACCAGCAGCAGCAGCCGCCTCACCCTGCGCACAGCGCATCGCCTCACACGCCGCTGCAGCAGCGAACTCCGCAGTGGAATGCCGCGTATTCTTTATACTACCCGCCAGACATGGCCGATGGCCACGCCAACCCCGGCATTCCTCGATGATTCGACACCCACGTACGACTGGCTGTGTCTTGTGTGGCAAGACGCCAACCAACCATGTTCGCGCCACCGGGCAACACTAATCTTGACATCACCGAAGCCTGGAGTTCGGCCACGACAGCCTGCAAGAGGGCATCACTCAACGGCGAATACAATTCCGCAGCGGCCTCCATAGCACATGTGCATGCTTACGACCGTACAACCTTGGAGGCAACAGCCAATCAGCACAACCGTTGAAGGGAGAAAAAAAACAGATTCGACAAATGGCAACCGAATCTCGGGTGTATACTGCATCGCATCGCAGCGGTGGGCACCTAGACAAGTCCCCAGCATCTGTCGCACCAAGCAGCCACAAAGGCAGGGTTGTGTTGGACAAGGCCGACAAGGCAGAGTGGAGCTGATTTTATTTACGTGGCATCAATGAGAAGGACGAACAAAATACTACGTTGAGCGGTGATAGCATGGACCAACGCAGCCAAGTCACTGAGACTGAATATCCACAGCAGTGGCGGTGGGTGAGAAGAGGGAACAGGCAAGGCAACAGAACTTGCGATGCCTGTTCAATGACTACGGAAGGGTGCTCAGGTCTACCCTCAAACAAGGAAGCCTGCACCCATACACTTTATATAGCATTCATCGGCGTTTGGGTCTTGCATATGCATTTCAATCTTTGGCGCACAAACAACGGGACGGACACAGCACGATGCATCAGCGGGGCAAATGGTATTTGGCCGGCTCAAGATGGAAGGGTGGTTTGTTTTTCATTTTATTTTATTCTATTTTATTTTATTTTCGTCTCCATTTGTTATATTCATCTCTTCTCTACCACTTTCTCTTTCTTCACCTTGGGAGATACCATGAGGGAGGTTTACTCGGCGGGCAAGTCCACAGGACTTAATAGACGGATACACTGTTTCTTGTTTTGAACTTTTTTTTTTTTTTCTTTTGTCATTTTTCGCTCTCCTATTCAATGCTTTTACGAAATTTTGTGGATTCCTTTTTTTTATGTTCGTTCATGTATTGTTTATATAGACTGCGCGTTACCACGGATGTTAGACACTTCCTATAGAGGAACTACGAGACTTATGAAATTAGACACTTTTTTGCCAAGTAATATGTGCCGCAAGCGCATGTGAATTATGTGTGTCTTCCTACTAGGTCCCTTTTATATCTCATTCCACACTGTTTCATACGTTTCGCAAATCTGTAGATGTACATGTTGAATTGATGGGGGTGCGAACTAGAAAGCTCAATTTCGCTCGCCTCCGCCAGCCCAAACCCCAGATATCGACGACTTCTATACCGCGACTTACCGCCTCATCGCCTCGCCAAATCTAGACCCCAGCTCGGCTGCATGAAGCTGCCACATGGCGTGGTGCCGGAAACGAAGAGCCAAAGTGCCGGTGGTTTTTGCTGCGCTCTTAGTCCGACTAGACTAAGCCAGGGACGCAAAAACCAGGCTATTGCCCTTACTATGGGCTACTAGCACGGGGGTTTTTTTATTTTAGTAACGAAGCAACAAGCAACAAAGCAACGAAAGCACGCAGGAAGCTCAATTAGGGGGCCGTAAGCGCCGTTTTGCTCGAGGCTATGTTTGTCGAGCCATGCCCTTTCCATGCGGACGTGCATGGCAAGCTTATAGCATTTCCCAGCCACGAGCGACTGGGGGCGTGAGGATTTACCTGTAGCTAGGCCCTGATGTTTGCTGTTGTTGGGGCGCGCGAGATGCTTATATTAACTTCACACGAGCTTGTGGTTGGTTCATGGCCGGGAAAGGATTTGAGGCGTTGGGAGTGGCCGTGAGCTGAGCAAATGGAGCAAGCAGATCTGGGCTGGTTTTTAGTGCTTGGATGCTTGGGGAGGGAGGGAGAGTCCTTTGCGAGCTGGATGGAGAAGGCTGATTAATATTGTATACGAGCAGCCTGTTTCCTTTTTGATTAGCAGGGGAATGTTCCATTTTCAGCTTCAGCCTCACTGCAAACCATGACCACCGCCAAGGCAGTTTTCGCCTCTTGGCGCTCCCTCCCTGTAGCTGAGAGCATCGAGGAGGGAAAGGCTGGGAATTCTGGGTAGGTACGTACTTGCATACATTCACGATTGTACGGTGAGGTATGTGACAGAGAGCGAGAGAAAGTGGAGTTTTGAAGAAAGAGGGGAACAGGAGAAGAGAGGGGCGTCTAAAGGGGAGGGGTGTGAACGAGAAGGGAAAAAAAGTGAGCGTCGATTTGCACTACTGAAAAGCGATGGGTACAACCAATTTGCATGGTCTTGTATAGTAGGTATGAGTAATACAGATGTCAAGTAAGAAAGGGCACATACCTCGTACAGTCCCCAATTTAAACGCCCTCTGTCTGAAGGAAGTCAATCCCATCCAGGTACCACTACATATTCCCTCTTTGGCTTGGATTGGGGTCAAACGAGGGCACGCACGTGTTGAATACGCCTAAAGAGTGCCAAACGATGCGTGTGAGTGATCTGCTACTAGGAGCATTAGCCAACACGGCATGTGTCTGATGTGTGGTCTAGGTGACCCCCAAAGTAGGTAGATGGAGCCGCTCCTTATCCACGGAGTACATCGTCCGTCGCACTACGGCAGGCGGGAAAAGAGAAAGAAAGCGTGGTGGGAATTGACAGATTCGGAAGGGAGTTGCCGAAATGTTCGAAATGCGTTGGTTCTGGGAGAAGAAAGAGGATAGAGCTGCCACTCCCGACCCCCCTGCAGGCCCATGAACCATGCGTCAAGAGCATGACTTTATTTCCCTATCCCCATGTACACAGTACAGTGTGCGTCCACGGACAAACATGTATAAATAGAAAAAAAGAACGCGGCACTGCAACGCCGGAGGAATATCACGACGCTAAGGATGCAGCAAAGAGGCAGTGACCGACCTGCAAGCCAACGCTAGCGGCTCTGTTATATCGGTATTCACCTCAAGCCCCAAAGAACAAGGGTCCAGGCCTTGTCCTTATCTGTGGTTCTTGTGGGCGGGAATAAAAGTAGTTGCAGCATTGCTGCACTTGCTGTACCTTGTGCGAATCAACGGCTGCCCCGATCTGAAGTTGCCTTGAGTGATTCTCGGCCCCCCTCTTTGCTCCCTTCTCAACATACCCCGTCCGTGGCCCATCGGCCTCACTGCGGCCGGTCTAACTCAGCTCGATCTATGCTCTTCAAGGCGAGACAGTGGCTATTGTTCTCATGTCTGGGGTATCCAGGTTGTTTCGGGGATTATGACGGGCGCGGCGCGTCTACAACCCCTACACAGTTAGCAAGGTTCACCATCTCGACGCTCTAATCTCGTTGCAGGAATTGAGGTGCCTCTTAGTACGGCCGATTCGAGTGTCGAGCATCGTGAAAGGAATAGCGGCATCACCGTGTTGAAATAACCTGGGGAAAGGGGGAATGCGTGAGGGCGTTTCGGTTTCGTGCAACTGGTTTACCCCAGCTCTGTTGAGAACCATGTCCTTTTGAACGGGAGAGATATGAAGATGCGTTGTACTCTGTAACAGCTGAAACACTTGCAATGGTATGATGCCAGTGCCAAGAGAAGGTAATATTGCGATTGTGAAGGGTAAGAAGAATGAAGGGCTTCACAGAGCTTGGATGAGTCTCTACCAAAGCTAGACAAGTCGACGTGCGCACAGATGTTGATGGTGTCGTCCTATCAAATTCAGCCTCCTATCAACGGTTATGGGCACCAATCGCCGGCGTATGCAAATGACTATTTGTCAGAGCAACATGGTTTAAGAACAGACCCTAGAAGCAGATACCGATGCAACGGGGATCACCAGGCACGGGACGTTGGACATGGCCGCCGCACATGCAGAATAGCGTTTGAGCTGGGGCAGGGACTCCGAATCTCAATACCGAACCGATTCCGAGCTTCTGTGTGCATTCGAACACGGCTGAGTTGGTTCGGTAATGTGTGGCGTATGTACAACGAACATGGGTTTTAGTCTCGTAGGAGGAGTGAGCAGCGAAAGCCGTGCCCTAAACTTCAAAGACTGAAGAGATAACGGTGACTGTCCACTACCTGGTTTCCATCTGTTGGAGAAATAGAACCAATGAAGAAGGACGCCGAGGACGCCGGTCTAGATAGCATTGGCCCAAAAGGGTAAAAGCTGTCAAAGAAGGGGAAAAAAAACTTAAACAGCGGTATGGAGTTGTCAAGTACAGTAGTATTGTGTACATGCCGGTACAAACAGTACGAGTAACAAGCACGCACAACGACCCAGTTTTGGGTGTCTCATCATTTCTCAGAGGGAGGGGCGTACGAGAATTATTTGCTCTCACTCTCCTTTCGATCCGCCGCGTTCTTTGTTGAGGAGCAGAAGCCCACTCAGAAGCGCCGGGACTCCTGGTCCAGAGAGCAGAGCATATCCGCTTCTGCATGCACCAACCTGGCACTGACCCTCCGGTCCCCTCCTAAAGGGCTGAAAAATAAGAGCGCCCACCGGACCGTTCCAGACGCTGGTTGGACAGCTGGACGTTATGCGGTGGATGTCTGCCAGCGGAGCAGCAAAAATAGTGAGTATCAAGTGTGAAGAAATTGGCCGAAGTTGACCGAGCCGTTTCGGTGGCTGACCAAGGGGGAAGGGCGGGAGAAGCGCGCTAGAAGGGCTATCGAAGCTTTGTTCTTTCTTCTTTGTCATGCTGACCCCCGCAGGGGAGGGGCGTGCGATAATCTCAGGTTGAACAAGAGTCTGGCATCTCGTATGTACAGTACTTCGTACAAGACGGCACTAGTACTCGTAGTACTTGTGAAAGCATGCACACCCCTCCCCACCCCTCCCATTGCTGTAGAAATTTCCACGAGGAGACCCTGTTAGGCCGGTTTTGGCTTGGATGATGACATATGCTGAGAAAGAGGGTGCAAGGAAAAAGGGATAGCGCTGTGGCGAAACAACGAAGAACGAGGAGAGAAAGAAGCGAGCAATCGATCACCGGACAAAAGGGAACAAGACAAAGGAAACAAAGGTCCCCCAGAAGTGCAAAAACAGGTGACAAAGCATGCGAGCCACTGATGTCGATTCCGCGCGGGTCACGGCCCATCAAAAGAAGCGCCTGAGCTGAGACCAACAGCTGGTAGCTGGAATCCGCCGCTGCCCGTAGCTCCGATCACAAAATATCCTCCTCCATTCGGGTTCGGACATGGGGGAATATGTTGGTGCCTGCTGAAAGCTGAAGGGTTGCGACTCCATCAATACCCACCTAATGTCTCCGTACAAGTGCTTTAGTTTGTATGCAACACTGCTCATCTGCGGAGAGGAAGAACAGAGCACTAAACTGCATACTGCGGTACTTGCATCAATAACACAAATAGTCGTAGTAAACTCCCCAACGCCCCCTCCCTCTCATGCGAGCTCCGTACTGTACTTTGCAATTAATATGAGGTCGGTGAGTCCACTAAAAAGACGCATCGTGAGACTCGGAGGCCAACAACCCCGTGGCACCTCACCCCCAGAACGCCATCGCAGAAGGAGAGGGAGCCGACTTGTTTAGTCAGAGGGTTCCCGAGAGGCGACGCGTAGACAAACAAAATGAGGCTGGAGCCTCTCATGAAGTGCTTCGCACGTGCTGAAAAACTGGCCTTTCCCTTTTGTGCTCCATTACTGTTAGTCTTTGCTGCGATTTGCGAGCTGGAAAGATGGGGTCAAGCGATCCAATCCAAACAGACCGCCTAGACCACCTTTGTTTCCTTGGTCGCCGAATCTTGACCTAGAGTTAAATCTTTCACACAGACACACACCCTTTGTGCATTCGTCTGTGTATTCGATGCATGTGTACCTGTACTGTACTGTGCATGCTTCGCAGTCCATACCTGTAGTGCTTCTGCGGCGTGATGCGTCGGCAGTTGAGAGCCAACAGCTGTGGATACGACGATCCAATGGAGAAAGGGGGCTCCGCCAAGTCTGTAACATCGGTTTTCTTTAGTGCCATCCCAATCCATTCAGACTATCGTGTCTAGATAACGGTGGGATAAAGCCATCAGAACCTAGACTGCTCGACTAGAGGTTCTAGTGCCAGGCCGTTCAGGGGCTCTCGCGTCGATCAACGCCAGCTAGTTCCCTTGCTTGAGCGGGAATCGCGCCTATGATTTGTTGCTGTAACTTGTCACAAAGCCGTTGGTCCAGGGTACTTGTGCATCGATTCGGCCATAGGCTTCATCCAACAAAGGCGATAGAGCGGCGATAACAGAGGTGTGAAGGTAGTTTGAGACAAAGGGTAGCATCACTAGCGGAGAGTGCCCACCCAATACCACCTCAATCCCAGATGGCTGCCTTCAATGGGGCACCTTGTTGCCAGTCGGCATCGTTATGCCTCTGCGTGAAGGGAGGCGTTTCAATATGACATTCCGTCGAGGTCACTCTTGGCAGCATTTTCGGACTCCGTAAAGCCACAATGCTTATTCTTCGGGGAAGCGAAAAAAGAAGGCGGTCTCAGATCCATACGAGTATGCTCTGTTCACAAGGTAGTGTGTCCGCTCAGTTTCGCGCCCCGTCGTCTAGCCAGCGGCATTCGCCTATGCCCGTAACTACATGCCACCAAAGTCGGGTTGATGTACAAGACCAGGGAGGTAGCATGACCGGGTTCTCCGCATGTTGCGAGAAGTTTTGATGCAACAAAACAAAAGAGATGCCATAGGTACGAAGGCACGAGTCCTCGCACAAGTAAGACATCGGAATTCGCTGGGGCTACTCAAATTAGCCCTTTCGTTTATGCCAAGTTGACTGGCTTCTTTGCGCTTATTTTCGGTGGTGGCTCTCACGTGGCTTCATGGCTGGAATTTAAGCCAGACCACATCTGCTTTACCTATTTCTTCTTGTGGCAATACAGTTGTAATCAAGCGGGGGTGCGAAGCGAGAAGACGAAACGATTACCGCCGTCCGCTGACATCCCGTACTGCCGCGTAGTTAGGCGATGCGTTCCCTTCGGCGATCAGTGGTAGTCAAATCCCGTGCAGTCAATACCGTCAGATTATGTGAAACAATGTCGGCTTGTCAAATGTCTAGTTGGCCGACTGCACATGCGGGATATTCCAGGAGCTCGTCTTCGGCATCGGCGTTTTAATGGTGAGATTCTCATCGCAGGGACCTGGATCCAGGTACCGCCCGCCCCACGCGGATCATGGCACATGTGATGGATGACGATGATCCATGATGAAGGCCAGCAGAGCCTCGTGCAAGGACCAATTGCCATTGCTTCCTCTGCCCTACCCTGCCCCTGCTCCGTCCCTCTCTGTTACGGCGCCAACAGACGCGCGCGTGAGAGGTGCAGAAGATTTCGAATTGTTGACCTTGAGGCGAGCACCAACTCTGGTCGTAACAATTGCCGCAAAGAGTCTTAGTAAACAGCCGTCGCGCTGAGGAATTCCCCTGTCGAAACGTCATGGATACTGCCGTTCAGCCGCAGGAGAAGAAGATAAGGTAACGGTTTGTCGATTTAGCCCATTCGAAATATCTCCGACAGACAGGTCCCCTGATTAGAAGGCCAAGGTAGCATTGGGCGGGATCTCCAGGATCCCACAGTAAGATCACACATCGTCCAGCCTTACCGGCCCCCCCACAAGCCCCTGCCCGACGCTCGTGGTGATAGTCCCGCTAGCCATGCAGCCTGTACAACCCCAGATTGTCTGTTGTGCAGTAATCAGCGATTTGACAGGCGCGGAGTGGGCAGCCGTCACAATAAAATGCCAAATTCTTCCCGCCTCAACCCGTGTGCAGCCACAAAAGACGTTAGGTCAGGAGAATAAGCAGGGCGGCCTCTTGACGAATTACCGAGTCTGGAGCCATTGTGCGCTCGGTCAGGCAAACACGCACTGCATAGCTGACTGCTGGAGCGCGAATCGTCGCCATCGTCAACTGTAGGAGGCCAGCCGCATGCAGGGAATATGATCCCAGGTTGAAACTGTTCGCTAAACCTGCGTAGTACCAGCACTACTACTGGAAAGAGGCTTTGCATGATATGACGGCTCATATTTCCTAGCCTGACGGCGGTGTTGACACCACACCTTCCAGGATGCACAAGCACCCAGATGTTCCCGGTAAACGTCGGAATGAGTGCGGCAAGTGTGTAGATGATGCCGCATATAAGAGCAGTCGGTAAGGAGTACTAAGGAGGACCTAGTAACCCATTAGCAGGCATTCACACGCACAGCCGCTGACATACTTACTGTAGCAAGGCCCCAAGGTCCCTGAATGCCAAGCCGACTAGGGGTGCGAGTATCGCTGGTGTACACAAAGTACATTAGTATGCCGAAAATCTGTAACTGCAGGGAAGTCATGCTGTTGACAGCGGAAGCACTGCCACCGCGGAGGCCAGATTCAGCCGTGGTGTTTATGCCGTTCATGCCGAATGATAGCAGTGTCTCTCACAGCATGAAGCAGTCTTTGTCCGAGTAAGCTGGTACGTGCTGGCTGGTACGTGCTGGCTGGTACGTGCTGGCTGCCTGTCTGTGATGACGGCGAAGTCTGCGTACCATTGATGTGTTAGCCTTCCAGCGTCAACACCATCAACACCGCCCAAGACCCGATCGCGACAAGTCCAGTCCAGTGCCCACCAAGCCGGCTCCCGAGTGGAACACCCGCGTTCCCGACAGCCGAGTCCAGATCCACCGCGATCGTCTTTTCCATCAGCAGTGATCGATTCGATGGTGGAGTCTCGTTGAGATGCGATATCCGTTCCCTTGGATGTCGATACGGCGTTTATCCGCGGCCAGAGCAAGAGCGAAGGGAATCTCATCATCAGATCTCATCACCGCCCACATGACCTCGAGCATCTTCGGGGTCGGTCGGGGAGCGTCGCTCGTAACTCACCGAGCCGAGACGGCCAAGCCTCTCCGCACCGGCTTTCGCTTGGAGTTGGGAGAACGGATCCCTCAACAGTTGAGCCCAGTTATTTTGGCGGGCCCTTGTGCGGTGGCTCGGGCAAGTTGGACACCGATTGGCTGAGATTTAGCCTCATCTTCGGCAGAGTCACGGATATTCGGCTAAAGCAAGGGTTTACCACGGGTGAACATCCCTGCAATGCAGCTAATGGCGGGGAGCATCGCGGGGAAACTCGTCCAATATCCTCCTCGTGATAAGAAAGTTGGCAAGATGGCGCGGCTTCGGAGAATCCTGCTGCTGCTTTTCCATCGATACGATATTGCCAAGGTGGGCGAGAGGTGGGCGAGTAAGCCCGTTAGTGGCAGGGAGGAGCTGGTTGCTGCTGATTCTTTTACGTTTCTCCGAAGTTCTCACGATTAATTACCCACGGCCAATATGGCGAGCCCACAGGCATTCCCATCTTTGTGACCGACGGCTATATAAGTTGCCTGGTCTGATCCCATTTCTGAGCTTCTGTCGTTGGTCTCTTCATCTTCATCCCTTTCCCAGTGTCTTTGTGACAGACTCTGGCTCAGCTCTCAGTCTTGATTCTTTATCTGACTGCTGTGGCATACTGGAGGCTACCCTGTAGTCCCTTTGACATTATTGTTGTTGTTTATTGAGCAACCCTGTTTTGACATAGAGCGATATACCGCCGTGTCCTGTTGTGTCTCTTGAAGGGTTTCTTCGTCTGAAAGCTTATTTTACCCCATCTTTATTCATATCACTCGCCTCACATCTCCAACCATGGCTGACATCGATGTTGAAGCTGTGCTGAAAAAGCTCACCTTGGCCGAAAAGGTTGAGCTGTTGGCAGGTGAGTTATATACACCAAAATCACATACACAACTACTTGACTCTCAAAAACAGTGACTGACAATTCTCCTAAGGCATCGACTTCTGGCACACAAAAGCCCTTCCCAAGCATGGAGTCCCGTCACTCCGCTTCACAGATGGCCCCAACGGTGTAAGAGGGACCAAATTCTTTGACGGTGTCCCTGCGGCATGCTTCCCATGCGGCACTTCGCTTGGTTCCACATTCAACCAGCCGCTGCTCGAAGAGGCAGGTAAAATGATGGGCAAGGAGGCCATCGCCAAGAGTGCTCATGTGATCCTCGGCCCGACTATCAACATGCAACGCTCCCCTCTCGGTGGACGAGGATTCGAGTCCATTGGTGAAGATCCTTTCCTCGCTGGCCTTGGTGCTGCCGCTCTCGTTCGCGGCATCCAGAGCACCGGAGTGCAGGCCACCATCAAGCACTTCCTGTGCAATGATCAGGAGGACAGGCGCATGACGGTGCAGAGCATCGTCACGGAGCGGGCGCTGCGTGAGATTTACGCGCTCCCCTTTCAGATTGCTGTCCGAGACGCCCAGCCGGGTGCCTTTATGACAGCATACAATGGTGTCAACGGTGTGCCGTGCAGTGAGAACCCCAAGTATCTCGATGGCATGCTCCGGAAAGAATGGGGGTGGGATGGCCTTGTCATGAGCGACTGGTACGGAACATACAGCACCACCGCTGCCGTTGTAGCAGGACTCAACCTGGAGATGCCTGGCCCCCCACGATTCCGAGGAGACACACTCAAGTTCAACGTCTCCAACGGAAAGCCCTTTGTCCACGTCATCGACCAGCGTGCCAGAGAGGTTCTCCAGTTCGTCAAGAAGTGTGCCGCTTCTGGCGTCAAGGAGAACGGCCCCGAGACCACCGTCAACAACACGCCCGAGACGGCGGCTCTGCTTCGAAAGATTGGAAACGAAGGCATCGTGCTACTCAAGAACGACAACAACGTCCTGCCCCTGAAGAAGGACAAGAAGACGCTGATCCTCGGCCCCAACGCCAAGCAGGCGACATACCATGGAGGTGGTTCCGCCGCTCTCAAGGCCTATTACGCAGTCACTCCCTTTGACGGCCTCAGCAAGCAGCTCACCACAACGCCCTCATACACCGTCGGCGCTTACACCCACCGCTTCCTCCCCGTGCTGGGTGAGCAGTGCTCAACGCCAGACACCGGAGTTCCAGGTATGCGCTGGAGAGTCTTCAACCAGCCTCCCGGAACCCCTGGCCGCCAGCACATTGACGAGCTCTTCTTCACCAAGACGGAAATGCACCTGGTAGACTACTACAACCCCAAGGCCGCGGACACGTGGTACGCCGACATGGAGGGCACTTACACCGCCGATGAGGACTGCACCTACGAGCTCAGCCTCGTCGTCTGCGGCACCGCAAAGGCTTACGTCGACGGCAAGCTCATCGTCGACAACGCCACCCACCAGGTCGCCGGCGATGCATTCTTTGGCTCTGCCACACGCGAGGAGACCGGCCGCGTCAACCTCGTCAAGGGTCAAACATACCAGTTCAAGGTCGAATTCGGATCCGCCCCGACTTACACTCTCAAGGGCGACACCATTGTGCCCGGCCACGGATCGCTCCGCGTCGGCGGCTGCAAAGTCATCGACGACCAGGCCGAGATCAAGAAGTCCGTTGCGCTGGCCAAGGAGCACGACCAGGTCATCATCTGCGCCGGCCTCAACGCCGACTGGGAGACGGAGGGCGCGGACCGTGCCAGCATGAAGCTTCCCGGCGTGCTGGACCAGCTGATTGCCGAAGTTGCTGCCGCCAACCCCAACACCGTCGTCGTCATGCAGACGGGAACGCCCGAGGAGATGCCCTGGCTGGACACGACGCCCGCCGTCATCCAGGCCTGGTACGGAGGCAACGAGACGGGCAACTCCATCGCAGACGTCGTCTTTGGTGACTACAACCCCTCGGGCAAGCTGCCGCTCAGCTTCCCCAAGCGCCTCCAAGACAACCCGGCCTTCCTCAACTTCCGCACCGAGGCCGGCCGCACGCTCTACGGCGAGGACGTCTACGTCGGATACCGCTACTACGAGTTCGCTGACAAGGAAGTCAACTTCCCCTTTGGCCACGGCCTCTCCTACACTACCTTTTCCTTCTCCAAGCTGTCCGTCTCCCGCGCCGACGGCAAGCTCAGCGTGTCGCTCGCCGTGACCAACACGGGCGCTATCCCCGGTGCGCAGGTCGCCCAGCTGTACGTCCGACCGCTGCAGGCTGCCAAGATTAACCGCCCCGTCAAGGAGCTCAAGGGCTTCGCCAAGGTGGACCTGAAGCCCGGCGAGACCAAGACGGTGACGATTGAGGAGCAGGAGAAGTACTTGGCGGCGTATTACGATGAGGAGCGCAACGAGTGGTGTGTTGAGAAGGGAGAGTACGAGATCATTGTCAGTGACAGCAGTGCTGTGACAGACGGAGCTGCGCTCAAGGGGTCATTTACAGTAGAGGAGTCGTACTGGTGGTCAGGTCTATAAGAGACATGAATAAGGGGGAATAATACCATTCGCTGTTTGATACTTTGCTGGTCTTATTGTAACATAAAATGATGTCACGGATGAATGTGATGATAGCTTGTTCAATTTGAGTTTCTGTCTCCAGTTTCAACAGCTCATTAGAATGTTTGTATTGCATTAAACTAGGTAAATATCAAGAACCAATTAATCCAGTCAATACTTTGTTTCCCCCCTAAAGTAGATCCAGCCGCAGAAACATTGATTCGCCAGATTTGTCTTTCCTTTACTCCGGCATATCAACCTGCACGTCTTTTTTTGGAACCCGAAGCATACCATAACTCAGAAAGCTGGCCACACGACGTAACCAATAAAAACCTCGCCTATATAAAGATGTCCAAAATAGGAATCAACACTTCGAACCAAAAAACCGAAAACCCGAAAAACAAGCCGGTTTCGCGTCAGAGTCCGCCAAGTAAATCGTCCCGCATGCCGCGCCGTGCTGCGTCAGCCCCTGTACCCTCTTAGTCCCGATACACCTCGCATTCGGGCTCATCGGAACGCAAACCGCCGTGATGTATCCGTCTAAACTCGGTATAAGTCGCTCCCGATCATTGGAAATGCCGTGTACCGATTGGAAACACGCCGGGAACAGCCGCAAGCTTGGAATATCAAAGGACCTCCTGCGAGTCTCCTGCATGCCGCATGCATACTCAGCACACACCTCTTCTTATTGCTGGGGAAGCCAGTCTTCCTCACCCTGGGCTTTCCCAATCGGTGCGTCACTGCATGCTCATACGCCAAAATACTACTCCGTACCAACACCCCTTGATGGCCCTAGTCAAGTCGTAACCCCCGGCTCCGATTTATTCAATCAGCTCATGATCGTCATTGCACCGTACGTTGGCAACCACTTCCGGGATACTGGCCTCACGCAGAATAAAACCATGCTTCTCCACCACAATCTCTCCTCCAAGAGGCCCCTTCTCGTACACCATGCCCCCTTGCTGGTAGAGTCCTCCTCGGAGCCAGCGCTGAAGGCCCAGGGCTGTATTTGCCGCGTTGATGGCAACGTGCCAGTTTTCCAACCCAATGGTCATCCAGCCTACGACAGACAAAGTCTTGATGAATCGTGCGGGCGGTGAATTGTGGCAGCTCGGCACGGCTGCTGCCATGACCCAGATGAAGACGCCGACAGCCGTCTTCCAAAACGGCACTGTCACCTCCCAGACTAGTTCCCAAAGCCTCAGGAAATCAGTTTCTCCCAGAATTTCAGTAGTGGGCACCCGAGCAATGATGGCGCGGTAGTAGACCGAGGCAGTTACACGGATACAGCGATACATGGCGTCATTCTTGGTTCTGGCCAGCCGAGCACTCGCGCTCTCTTCAACAGGGGCAGGTGGCGAGCCGTTGCTAGACGGGCTCCTAGGCGAGGAGGTATCGTAGTCGGAGCTGCTTGCTGGGGAAGTACCCGCCCCCTCGTATCCGGTAGTCTCCCACATGCAGTCATCACCCTCGTCGGCCGGATGACCGGTCCCCTCATTTTCTTCGTAGAGTGGGATGTTTTCCGGCATCCGATCCAGCTTATTTAGCGCCCACAAAGCCAAGTCTGTCACATTCTGCAGCTCTTGCGCGGTTGGTGATGGGGGAAGGGATTCTACCGTCTGTATAATGAGTCGTACATCGTCCAGGATCTGGGCAGAGCTTCGATGAAGTTTTAACGCTGATCCCGGGTCGACAAAGTGTGGCCAGCCAGACAGGAAGGGGGAATTGAAGGAAGTTTGATAGGGCACCATGAAATCATCACGAAATTCAAATCCAGGCTGACCATAGATATCAGGCTCGATGTCATGAGCAATGGCAATGGCAATATCGTGACTAGATGGGGTTTGAATAGTCAGCACCATAAAACCAAAGAGGACGGACCCAATGGCTAGGTAGCAATGAAAAATGGAACGACGGGAGGCGAGATGAAACTGCGCGTTGGCTCTTGCACATGCAGCAGCACATGCAGCAGCACAGCGACAGGCCACGCTTTCAGAAATCAAAAGGGGGTGGGCAGGCATGGGAAAGGGCCATGATACTACAACTAGCGGGAGCAACACTTACATGAGCACGGTTTTGGCTAGAAAACCACCCATTCCGAGGTCCTGGAGGCCGCCCCTCATTTTGATCATGGTCTTGAGGCCCGCCATGTGGGCACGTAGTTCTTCAGTGGTCCCCCAGTACCACGAATCCATGACCATCTGAGCGGCCCCCATGATGGCAGCATCGCCTGTCTGGGTTCTGGTAGAGCTTAGTTGCTCGTTGAGCATACGGTGGACCACGCCTTTGTAGGCCCAGACAAGCATCTTGGGCACACGGCCCGTCTCTTTGAGGAAGCATACTGCCGTATAGAGCACTATCTGAAGCAGAAGGGGATCCTTGATGGACAGCGGAACCCAGTGTTTCATAAAACGACTCTCGGGATCGGGATTCCCGTCTATGGAAGCCTTGAAGCGAGATAGAAGTTGGAGATCTGTGAGGAAAAGTTTCGTGTTAGTGTTTAGTGGCCCAAATTTGATTACCTTGTCCTCGGCTCGACTCTAAGCTGGCCCCTCCATTCTTCTTTGAAAAAGCAGCACGTTTGAAGCCAACACTAGCCCCAAGACTGGTTTCTGCGCTACCCGGGTGAAGCACCACGGGCGATTCTATGTCTCCATGCACACTTGCATGCATACATACTTACGGCAATAGGAAAGAGAGGAGGGGATAAGAGGGGGGGGGATGAGGGTTTGTCACTTACGTATTCGGACGAGCTCGATATTTAACCTGGTCGGCTCCATAGGCAGGTTCCGCAGTTGATCATCCAAGCCTCCAATCATAACGGGCGGCTTTGCTGCCTGCTGTAAGGCGCGCATAAGTTGAGGGCCGTCAATGCTCCATTCGTCGTTGACGATGCGATTAGTAACTTTCAGGCGGGCCTGCAGGATTAGGCGCAGCATGGCAAAGACAGACTTGGGCTTGAGCGTGCCCGTTTCGTCTGTGACTACGACGCGAAAAGGGTCAGAGGCCGACCCGGGAGACGACCTGTGCGAAGAGGCATCCTGGTCGTGCAAAGGGTGAGAAATCAGTTCGCCCTGAGCAACTACCGGTGCAGCCGAGGGCCTATCAGCCATGCCGCTGGCCGCGACGACTCCCTCAACCTGGAGAATGGCATCCTGAATGTCGGACAAGTTGAGATGGGCGTAGGCACCCTCCAGCACAACCTTGACATTCTTGGAGTTGTTCCCTGGAGATCCGGCACTCGCAGGCCTATGGGAATTGGCGGTGATGTCAGCTTATCATCTAAACCTTTTGAAAAGACGGGCAGGTGTGTGTGTGCGTCAGTGTGCTGTAAGAGGCAACGGCGTTATAAGCCAGTTTCCCTTCCCTTCCCTTCTTTTTTCTTTTTCTTTTTCTTTTCCTTTTTTTCCTTTTTTCTTTTTTCCTTTTTCCTTTTTCTGTCAGGGTGCGTGCATTGCCACCCGATTGGGGAAGACAGAGGCATCTGCCGGCGAAGCTCCAAGCCAGGGAGTGGGTTTGGACTTTCGGCCTTGTGGGGGAGCTGAAGCCGTAGTCCTGTCCATTCCCCACAGGAGCTGTCTCCGAAGTCCCTGTCCTGTCTGGCCCCTCCAACGAGATGGATAAGGGTGGGAAGGGACGTGGGATGGTGCAGACGAGTGGAGGGGATCTCGTGTGGTTGATGGAGGGCAAACACTAACCTCTTGTTGCTTCGTTTGATGTTGTATTCGCACGTCGGCTGCGGAAATCGACGGACGCAGTTGCTACACGGTCGGCCTTGGTCGCACTACAAGCCATGCTCGAGTCAGCCATGTCATGTTCTGCCCAAGCACTTTTCTTTTCTCTTCTCTTTCTCTTCTCTGCTTCTTCTTCCTCTTCCTCTTCCTCTTCTTGTCTTTGTCTTTGTCTTTTCCTTCTAAACAGCCACCGGGATTTGGGGGGATTTGGGGGGATTTGGCGGTGGCTTTCACGCTCTCGTATGCTACAGACCGGGCGACGAGGATCCGGACGATGCCCGCCCCTGCCAGCTCCAACCGCAGGGGGTTCGGACATTGACATATATCTAGGGCTGCTGGCGCCCCGGGAGATGGAAAATCGCCCCCAAAGGCTCTGGGGGAACAGCAGCAACACTCCATCTACTAACCTTTTGCTTGCGACGTCGACACTCGGTGCACGAATTGCCCCTAGCCTTGATGGCCATGTTGGCGGCTAACTGGCGACGATGGGGCAGCTGCCCCTGCACCTGCATTGTGTCGGACATTAACCTGAGCACCGGCGCGGCCGATAGTGTAGCGAAACCTGAGGGGGGGAGAGCAGAAAATTGGTCAAAAAGGCCAGAAGCGAAGCTGATGGATGCGGTGAGGAGCAGGTCGAGGGGGAAAAAAGGAATTAAAGCGATGAGAATGTCTAATAAAGCGCGCGCGCTCCCTTTCCACACCAGGCGGACGGACGGAGCCCCAGCTTTTCGTAACTCGTCAGTTCTGCAGCGACCCGAAAGATGACGGTTTTGACGGCTCGCGCCGCACGCTCAGCCGCAGATTCGTCGAGATTCGGCAGCCGGCCTATCGTGTCGGCAAATGGGTGTGGGATGGTGGTTTGGACAAATTGAGCTTTGGGCCCTAGCGTGCGGCTGCAGACTGCAGACTATGTTGCAGGTTGCAGGTTGCAGGCTGCAGATTCCAGGCTGCAGTGGTGCAGTGAGGTCCGACTCTGACGGAGAAAAAGGGTCGCAGAGGTATCGTGTCCTGTCTCAACGCAAAGCCAGGCGCAAGCGGGTCGGACGAAAGCTCGCGCTGCTTGTCGCAAAAGCCTGATGCGCCGAGAGGAAGAGAAAGAGAAAAAAAAAAAGAGAGTAAGAGAATATCAGCCGGCAACAGACAGGCAGCGAGGGGGGAATGAGGCGGAGGAGGAAGAAGAGGTTACAGGAGAGGGTCGCACAGAAGATGACAACGATGGCCGCCTGGAACAATGCAATGCATGCGTCTCGGACTTGTGTCGCTCTCCCTCTTGCCACGCACAGACGAAATGTCGAGCAGAGTCAAAGAGAAAGGCTCAGATTGATGCGAGTCGCGAAAAGTCAGTCAGAAGCGCTCAAGCAGGCGCACCGAAAACGCAATCCAGCGATTCGGGAAACAAAAGGGGGTTGTCGTTTGTTCGTTGCCGTCAGCAGTCAAAAGAGACCAGGTGGTTGATGTTTCTGTTTCCGTTTCCCCGATCTGCTTCTTCTCCTTCTTCTTCTTTTTTTCTCCCGATTTTTTCTTTCCAATTCTTTTCTTTTTTCTTTCCGATTTCCTTCTTGTCCTTTTTTTTTTTGTCCTCTTTTCCTTCAGCACGCTCCGCGCATATTCCTGGATCGAAGACGCGGGCGATTGCAGCGATTCGGATGAGGGCGAGCTGGTCGGGTGTAACGCCAATAGGGAGCAAGGCAAGGATGATGCGATGCACGAGACCCGGCAGCGCTGGTCAAATCTCGATTGCCCGGCCAGGTGATTGGGTGGCTTGACGGCATTCCAGGGAAGGGAGAGAGAATGGACAAGGCAAGGCGACTCGGCCTGTGCCTCTTGTTTCGGCCTCGTGGTTTCGCTCGCTGCGTCTTCCGAATTGCGACGGAGAATTGTTCCGCCTTTCCCTGTTCTGTCCTGTCCTCTTCTGTCGAACCCCCCCCTTTTTTTACTGTAATTCCTCTTCTATTTTTACCTTTTGTTGTCGCAGGGAATAAGACACGGCCTCGTCCAGCATCCAAAGATGCGCACTTCGAAAGGAGGAGTTCAGTTCGGTTCGGTTCAGTTCAGTTCAAGCCAAATCTGCCAAGCGGGTTAAAGCCGACAGGGCGGCGCAGAGACTAAATGGGATGGTCTGATCTGGCCCGTGAGCCGGTGGCTGACGGGCCGTTTATTAAATAAAGTACGACAACCGACTTGAATAAGTAGTTTGTTTGCTGGCATTCTGCAGGTTTAGCGCCAGCAAAATGAGGGGGATTTCGCCTCTTCCTCCAGAGGGTCCAGAGGGTCCAGAGGGCTGCAGCCTTGAATCCAGTCCCTCCAGTCGCCTTTATTGCCCCGAACAGACCTCGACGCATGAGGTTCCATTCATCTTCAGCAAATACACACACACAACAGCGTCCGCAGCGTTAGTGTTGGTGTCAGTGTCAGTGTTGCAGCGCATTTTGCGGTGCCGGGCTGCTGACGCCCCAAATCCCGCTGGGCATAAGTTTCAACGCATGTGCTGCGCATCACCACCACCACATTCTCGAATTCCACTTCTCACTTCCCACTTCCCACTGCCCACTTTAGCTTCATGGAACAGAACAATCCCTTTTGCAGTCATTCAAGCCATTCTGCCACTTCGTTGCTCATGTGGGGTGGGTTTTTTCCGGCCCCCGCGCAGTTCGGCAAACTTTGTTAGGCCGAGCCTATCTCGACATTGGAGCAGATTCGGCGCTTTTGCTGCCCTGCTTTGTTCGAGATGGAATCGTTTTGCAAACTGTGTTGGCGCTTATTCTTCATTAGCCTCCCTTTTGAGCAGAGGCTCAGCCAACGACAGCACAGAGCGTCGGCATCACCCCCATCCAACAGCACTTTGCACAGTCGGGAACTTTTGTCCGCCCAACCGGTCTATCGAGTTGCGTAGATGGAATGTCGTGGAGACTTTGATTGCCTCGGGTAGCATCCCAGGCCGTAGACCGTAGAAAAGAGAAGAAGAAAAAGACATATAGTAGAGGTGGGCGCACGTCTAGATCGTTCTCGGGTTCACGCATCACGCATGTAAGAAGCCAAGCAAGCATAGCCTCGATAAGCTACACGCCAGATCGCCATGTAACAATCCTGCCGTGAGATACCCTGGATCTTTTGGCCGCTTTTTATGGCCTCCGAACATGCACCTTTTGAGATTAAATGATTCATCGTCTTCTTCGGTAAAGCGCGCCAATCTCGTCTTCCACCGTTCATCCTACGGTATAAATCACGCCTATTGCCACGCATGTTGTTGTATGCATGTCAAACACCACAACGCCCTCATTCCAGAGCAATCACATGCCAGAAAGCTGCATAATCATCACACAAACATGCACGCCATCTCATCGTGTTACAAGAAGAGAAAAAAGTTAATAATACGAGTATATGTCCAAGGAAAATGAGAATGCGAGGGCAATTGCGAAAAAAGTGCCCCAATCTAATTTTAGAGTATATGCATCTAATAAGTGGCGTCCAATACGGAGCAGAACATGCCGTCTGACTACTGCTGACTCGTCGATCTGATCAAGCAACACATCATTTTCCATCACAATGTTTCGCCCTCCCTTGCAGCGCGTGAATGCCAGCCATTGCACTATTCCAAATCCTTGCTGGCCACCATTTTATATCCTTCCCCCCCTTGACAGCCACATCTCTCATATTCCCAAAAAGAGTAACTGATTTTGAGCCGCCGTCATCCGTGGTATCGATCAAAACAACATGTTGTCGCAAGAACAAACAAAGATCCAGCCCTAGCTCCCACCTCTCTCTCCCAGAAAAAAATGAAATATAAATATAGACAATGAAGAAAAAAAAAAAAAAAAAAAATTGAATCATGCCCGCGTCGTATCATAGTCGTCATCCATAATGCCGTAGTTTCTTCCCTTACTCCTCATCAACTAATATTGTAGATAATCCGGCTTCCGTGCCATATTGACTGGAGGCGGACCTTGGTCGTCGTCATCAACGGGGTAAGGGGGAATCGACGTCTCCGAATCTCGTGGTCGGTGGCCGTATCCAGACAAGGGTGTCTTTGGTGGCAGAGGCGGCGCTACTTTGGATGGTACCGATGGCGGTTCAACTCGAGAGTACTGCTTGGGAGGCACCAGAGGCAGCTGATACTTTGGCTCCTCATCAGGGCTCGTAATAGCAATTGGGTCATCGGAATAGGCGACCCTGTACTGGCTCGGCGCTGGCGACATGTCCACGGTCCCCTTCTCAGATGCGGGACTGACGGTTCTCCCGTAACGAGAATGTCCAGTGCCTGGCCGGATATGATCGCCAGAAACTCTGGGAGAAGCCAAGGTATTTGCCTGCAGGTGTAGACTGTCCGCACCCGAGTCAAAAGACGAACGGCTCGGTGGGCTTTGCGGGCTATGTGAGAGGAAGCCAACCGGAGAGTCGCCGGGCAGCTCAACCGCAAAAGGTTGCTCATAGTTGTTCTCCGACGTCGACTTAACCAGCTCGGGCACATTGGCAGTGCTTCGCTCCCATCGTAGCTTTGCCCTGTGGATCTTGGCCAGCCTTGTCGAGATGCCATGGATCATCTTTTGCTCGTCTGCTCGGGACATGTATCGTCGAGTGCCAGTGCTGATGTCGCTCAACCGGTTCCACTCGTTCATTCCGAACTCGCCAACTCCCACTTCGACGTTGAGACGGAAGTAGTTTTCGACATTGATGCATCGCTTCGCCAGGTGCTCGCGAATCATGTACTCGTGGATTTTCTCGCAGCCTTCGATTTTGGAAATCATCTTTCTTCGCGCCTCGGCAAACTCTCCCAAGAAGCCCTCATACCACACTTGCTGGTTCCCATCACTTCCTCGGGGCCGCTTTCCAGTGCCAACACTGACAAACACTCCAACATCTCGTCCTGGCCATTCGTTGACGACTGCCTCATCCAGAGCCTCGGGGGCAGGGTTAAAGGTGCCGGCGCCATCATCGTGGAATATTGACTGGCCAATCTGGACGGGTTTAAAAGCAAGGCCAATGGAGCAAGTGGCCCGGCCGGCTTGCCAGATCTTGCAGTCGAATTCCGGCGGTGGCTCTTTGCGCGAATCGTAGGACCGTAACAGCACGGCGGGTGCTCCTCTTCCGGATCCTTGATACATTGCTGTCACAGCACTATATCATTCTCTAGTCAGCTGGGTTCCAAAAATTGTGTGAATACACAAGAGAGGGGGAGGGGAGGGGAGTAGGCTTGGTTCTTACGTCTTGGTCCTATTCTCTCTCGCGTCGTATAATCTTGCATTTCCATTTCCATATTTCAGATTGATGGCTGGCCGCGAAGAGATCTGGCCGGAAGGATGGCGCGCACTGAAACTAACGGTACTGGCGTTGCTGGAATGTCGCTTTGGAGATCCCGATGACCGGCGAGATGAATCCAGCGGGTTGACCACTTCCACCTCATTGTCGTTGCCCTCCTTTCCGTACACGGTGTGTTCCCAAACTCCCTGCTTGATGGCCTCTTCCAGCTTGCTGGCTTTGAACAGCGTAGATCGGTAGGGAATGCCGGCAATCGTCTTGTCTGTTTCGAACACCATCTTCGTCATGCGAACGTACAGCTCCTTGCATGTCTCCAAGTCCAGGCGCAGCCTGCCCAGCATGATTGCGATCAACCCGCCCGTGCCCGTTCCGACAATCAGGTCAAAATGATCGCAAGGCTTCGGGATTTCGTGTCGCCGAGGCGCGCGCCCTTCGATTTCGACAAATGCGCGGTACATAAGTTCCTGGATGATGATGAGCATAGAGTAGCCCCGAACGCCTCCTCCGTCTGTGCGAGTCGGGCATTAGCAGCTAATCGACGCCATGAGAACGATGGGGAAGGGGGGAGCCATACCGAGAGACAGAATGCGCAGAGGCGGCCCTTTGGTGGTGTCCGACCTCCGGACTCCGTACGAGTCCATCATTTTGGAAGCGAAACAGCCGTCGACGGCGTGAGTGTGTCGGGTGATGATTATGAGCGGGGGAAGGCCGAGGGAATAAGCTTGTCGCGATACTGGTTTGTTTGGGACGAGATTTTCCGCCTGGGTTGAGGGTTCTATCGACAAGGAACCACGTTCCTATCTGCGACCAATCAATATCCAGTACCGCCTAAATTCTCTGGTGCTGATTCGCAGTCGCAGTCGCAGCGCGGGCGCAATCACGGATGCCTTGGGGGGTTTGCGATGTGCGAAGTCCGCAGGCTTTGTGTATTTCACGCAGTGGATGGTTCTTTTTCAGATGAACAAACAATGAATCAGGAAATTAAACCGAAGAAAGAAAGCAGGAGACACAGCCTCAGGCAGCACTCGGGCTTTTTCATGATGAATGAATCATTTATTACGACCTACCCAGAGCCAGAGGTGCCGTGACGCAATCGCCCGGCCATACGAAGGGCTACTAAGCAAAAGCGGAGGGGTGAGCGAGGGGCGAGAGGCGCAGCCGAAGAACCGCTAAGCAACGTCACAGGGCCCTTTGGATTCTTGCGGCCAGCGGGTTCGCGGGAACGTCACGCCTGTGGGCCCCCTTTCCACAGCGCTACAGAGTGGGCTACAGAGGGAGCACGAACGGGCTTTTACTTGCCTGCATGCGCTGGAGGATGATCCGGTGCGCTGGTCAGGAACGGGCCTGCCGGGACACGCGAAAGCTTCAAGTACCGAAGCTGCCGCCTTACACCAAATAGGATGAGGTCTTTTTCTTCCTTTCTTCTTCTTCTTCTTTTTTGTGGAGGGGAAGAGAGTTTTAAGTAATGCCTCACAGGGGATGCGAGAGAAGCAAAGCGGAGAATGACTGAGGGCCAAGAAGCTGCGAGAACAACGCCCGATGCCAAGTCTCACTTGCTGCCGTCACGAGGAAGCCGGGTGTGACGGCGTCAACACGATTTGATGCTCGATACATGTGATTTTATTAAGTTTACTTGGCATTATACTACAGATAAAAACTTACTGATGTCCATTTCGATCTGGTAGCTTTGCTCCCTTTCCTTCGCTTCCTCAATTCCATCTTCTTTCTTCATCTCCAAAAACACAACGCTAAAATCCCCCCCATCTCCGTGTGGGTGGTTGTTTCGTGGGGGGAGTTTTTCAAGCCTTTTGGGGCTGTGCAGGTTGGGATTTCAAGGGTACCTGGCGGGGGCAGACAATGTGAGACATGCTGGATGGATGGGAGAATCCAGGCCACGTGATGACCGCATATCGTGATTGACAGGATGCCAAATTGTAGTTTCTTCATGCTTGATATTTGATATACTCGTACCGGACTGTAGACGGGTCAACGCCACAGCTAGAGTGTTGGAGGATGCGAGAGCAATCCGTCACTCTCAGCCGATGTAAGGTGCCAAGAAACGCATACTTACTATCCCTCCAGCTTCCATTGGTAGATACAAACTGTAAGCTGAGAAAGCCTTTTGTAAGGAGGATGGAAAGATTACACACACACACACACACACAACTTAGACTGACTGCGCCTCATATTATTCCGTAAGGATTCATAGCTATGAGCACTCAGTACTAGGTAGGGACGAGAATCTCATCGCCCTTGCAGGACTTGCCGCATGTTTAATTCATCATGGCATTGATGGTGCGACTTACATAAGACGGTAGCACCAGCTTCGTCAAACTTAATACAGGAAAGGCACACGCACGCAGCGCCTTTACGTCAGGATTTCGTACTTATTTGACCACAAGCTCCTTCGCCACAGTCGGCATAATGAGCGTGTGCCTCGTAGGGGATGTTCATTTCAAAAAGCTGAGTTCAAGAGGCGAAGAATCGGTGAGGGTGAGCATGGGTGACTTCGCTTCCCCTAGCGCTGGCGTTGCGAGGCGCAGATGCTGTCTGGTATATACATAATACAGAGTACATGCCACGTACATGTGTAATCGTTACATGTAACTGCAGTAAATGTGTAATCAGCACAATACATGTACAGGCACCAAGCGTTTGTTGTATTGGATGTAAGAGAGGCCGGTAACTTCATGGCACTTGCTTGGTTTCACGACAGAACAATTGAAGACGGCAAAAAAACAAAAATAGAATGTGGCTGCAACGTTAAAACTTGTGGCTGACGATCAAAGTCAATTACGCGTAGCCACTACGAGTTTTGGGGCGCGGTGGCAAGTTTCTTGACGGATTAGTTGATTAGCACCGTTGAGCTCTGCACAGCTGCCGCTTTGTAACTGTAGATATACCGTACATGTACCAAGAAGGGACAGTCAGGAGATGATCATCAACCACTGCGAATCTGAAAAGCGTCTTACGGCTCCTGATTCGGCAGCGTGTGTCGTGCATTGCCACACCTCTTTGGGAGATCAGAACTCCGTCTCCCTTCCGCGGACTCAGCCTCGCTGTACAACCGACACCTCTTGTATACGATCCTGAAGTCCAATAAAATCCCAACATGTCGTAGTGGTAGCATTTCATGAGCGTATGAAGAAAAAAGTACCTAAGGTTGGAAATGAGCATATGTGTAATTGAGTACCGGGAAGTCGCCGGAACACTTCTAGCAGCTACGCCACTTGAAGCTTCAAGGTGCCCGAAGATAAGCTGCATATGTGTTTACAAGTGTTGGCTGACAATTTCAATCCTTTCCCTAGCTGGCACCTCAGCCTTTTCACAGCATGCAGGTGGGATGCCACGAAAAACATACATTCATCATGAGTCGACAACGCCAAAAGATGATATATACTATGGAGAGTTGTACAGCCGTGTGTGCCAGACCTTTGTGCCGACATGCCCCCGTGTGTGCTGGCTACGCTCATCATTGAGATTCAATATGCTACGCTGAAGATAGTTGTGCAGAACATGTATGGCGCCTTGTAGCACAAGGTGTGAGGTGCACCTATCAACAGGATCAAGGCTGAGCGACTAGGTGCAGAGTCCCTCTACTTGCATTTAGACGGTCAGTACTCCGTACATGTAGCTACGAGGCTGCTGTGCAATATGTGGTGTGTGCGCCGTCATATTTCTCATCAATATTTCATGGAGTGACGGAAGCGTTCCCTCCCTCCATTCCAGGGTGCCATGGGATGCCTCACAAATGGGCGTTTCAATGCCAGCTGCGACCAAGCAATAGCCGCAACAGCCGCATGTAGTAATATTGAATATCCGCACGGATCAGGCGTGATCCGACTCTGTGGCGCTTCAGAAGCAATCAAATGAAACCCAGGACGAGCTGAGCCGTGCCGCATTTATTGACAGGATTGCATCCAGCCAGGGCATGTGCCGTCCCGCAGCTACTTGGGGCTTTGAGTGCAAACATTTCCCACCAGCTGTTTTGCCGACAGGACCTGAGATAACGAGCATGTACAGGATGTGTTCTTGATGAGCTGTAAGCTGGCACATTAGCCGCCAACTCTGTGAGCAGCACGGCGAATGAGAAGCGGCAGTGTGTCTGTGATGAATGTAGAACTCATGTGTGGTTTCAGGCGGCATGGCAGACTCCCCATTTGCCGGGGGCGACCCAATGACGTGCAGAGGACTCGTGCTATGGGTGCTGGATGTTGATGCAGCAGGATATACGGTAGCAGCGGTCCCAAGGTACAAAAATAAATCCTGGATAAATTTACTCACCTGCAGAAACGAGTACCCGCAAATGCTCACAAGCCTACATAGTAGTCTATACATGTACCCGCGTACATATACGTGGATACTGATGCCATCCATTTGAATAGACGGCACTAATACTTCGTACTTGTACTTCAAACGGACGGACGACAGCCAAGGCGTTAAGCGATGGCACTTTCAGCCGCGAATGGGAAACCATGAAGCCACGGGCCAGCACCGAAGCTCTGCAGCTTTACCAAGTACCTGGTCGTGCTGAATTGGACTCGAACAAAGTCGCCACTGGCTCCAGGCACGGGAGGCGGGACGGGGTGTGGGTGATGGAGTAGCAGCGGCAACCCCCAAAGGTTGAAAGCGAAAGCGACTCAGCAGCAAGACGGGAATCAAGCTGCTCGACAGGAAAATCACCAGACGGTGAGCCTCGCTCACGTCTTCCGAGACACGCTGATGCCGCCACATTGTTACCCCATACGAGCTATGCCCAGCACAGCCTAGAAGACGACGCGACGTCGAAATGGCAAATTGGCAGCGAGTTTCGGCACCTTGCCAGAGGCCGCTAGCCAGGCGAAGCTGCCAATCAGACGGCTCGGGGCTCGAGACATTGGCTTGATCCATCTGGCCCTTCGTTTTTCGGGCGAGGCTGCGAGGTGATTCGCCTGGGCTGATGGTCGAGGCTAGAGGACGAGTCCTGGCAGCGAATCAAGCAGCTTCGCAGGCAACGCGTCAGCCCACACACGGAGACAATCCGCAGCAGTGGTCTAGCCGAGTCGAGTCAGCTGCGTCGACAGGAGCATGTACGAGGGACGAGGGACTGGAATCTTGTCCTTGTCGTGGTGGCGTGTGTGCCCGGGGCTGCGGTCCTGGGAGCCGGCATTTTCGCTGCTGAAGATTTTCCAGCGGGAACAAGGCAGCATCAAGATTTGTGCGTGCATGAGACGGGCATGTATATACATGTACACATGCGAGGAGGTCGGGGCCAGCCTCTATGTACTCGTAGAGTACGAGCACGACACGACACGACATGACATGTCAGGTAGCAACTCGCCATGTTTGCTGGTCCCTTGCGCGAGACGAGATTGGGATGGACAAGGTGGCTGTTTGGCTCGATTTACCTTGGGGATTAGTGCATAGAGAATGATTCCTCGACTCCAGCAATTACCTTAGTATATCGAAGTTGGGGCATCCATCCTGCTGCTGGGGCCGGGCATCTTTCGGTGTACGGAGTTCCCAGCTGTGCATTGCGGTGAGCGTACATGTAAGTGCCTTGGACAGTGTGCAGGCCAATCAATCAATCAATCAATCAATCAATGGTTGGGCAGGAATACATACATCAATCAATAGATGTCTTGAACGCTGTTTATCCAAAAAGTCAAGGATCAGTCAGGATTGCAATGTGCTGCGCTTAGCAGTGTACATGTGCCTAGTGTATTAGTGCCTGCTCAAGCAGATCGACCACTGTCCTTGCTGCAGCCAAGGATCAAGCCCGTGCCCGTCAACAGTGGTGAGGAGGGTTCCGTGGATCGATACTGTTCTACAAGTAGCCATTGGTTAATGAATCGTATCAATCGGGATCCCAGTCAATGTCTCTATTGAGCTCTGCAACTGGTGTAACTGGAGAGCATCCCATCGTGACGTGAATGGGCGTGCACAAGGCATCGCGTGTGTGTGTCGCACCAGATGCATGGTATGAGCACATGTACATTGACCTGCCCAAGCAGCAGCAACACCAAGCACCCTTGACAGATTAAAAATAAAAATGTCACAGCTTGCGAGCCTCTGCAGCACCCTACCTTACCCTTGCGCTGCGTCGTTTCATCCAAATAAACGCCCCCCCTCCAGGCCCTCCAGGCCCTCCAGGCCCTCCAGGCTCAGAGACGGAAGTACTGGTGCATGTGCCGACCTGCGTGCAGCTACATGCGTCTACATGTACTCGTACATAGTACTTTGCATCTCCAGCCGGCTATTTGTGCGGCACTCAATCCGCTCGACAGGACAAGCAATGCCGTCGAGTGTCATCCAATGTCATGTCGGATGTCATGCTACAGTACAGTATTACAGTACAGTAGTTACAGTACGTGTGCCGTGCCTGGCAATGCGTGCGCGCGATACCATCAAGTCAACCCAGTAAGTCAATTCCAGTAGCCCTTTGCGCGCACAAAAGCCCAGACCCAATTGCAGAGCCAGCACGACCTGTCAAATCAATAGCATCAATCAAATTGAATCCATTGATTGATTGATTGGAAAAAGGCTCCATCCGTCCAGCTGCGCCGGTGGACCAGCCCGAAAGGCTCTCTCAGCAGTCCCCGTCAAACCTCGCCTACTGGCCAATGACAGCGCCGCTGGGGCCTGCACAGCCAGCCCAGGCGGCCCGCCAACTAAAATATAGCGGCTTGCCCTTCCCTGAACGCCCAGCGCCAGAAGCCGTCGGCCAGTGGATGTGGACTGGCAATAGGTACTCGTACCGCCCTTGGAAGCGCATCGCGCAGCGCCTGCCGAGTACAAGTACAGAGTACCAGTGCTCGCCCGCCTGGCAGATTTACAGCCTCGCCGCCAGGCCAGAGCCTTGAAGCACAACTCCCCTCCCCCCCAAGCGGCCGAGCAGCCAAGCAGCCCAGCCTTACCCTCTCTCGCTCCTTTGCTGTCTCACCTCATTCATACTCTGCTTCTCCCAGCCGGCCGTCGTTTTGCTCCTGTTTCCTCATTCCCAGCCTCGAGTCCCTCAATTGCCGCGTGCTGCCTCTCCGTCGCCGCCCTCACCCTCGTCACCCTCTGCACGCCGTCCCTGCGGAATCAATTCAGGATTCCAAGCTGCCGACTGCTCCGCCTGGCCTTGGCCTCGCCCAGCCTCAGTCGTCCGCCCTCTCCAAAAACTGCCACAACCCGTCCCATCTCTCGTCTCGCCTCGCCGTCTCACGTCGCCTCCTCTCCTCTCCTCTGCTCTCCTCTGCTCTCCTCTTGTCTCGTCTTGTCGTCGCCGAGCCCGTCGATGGAACCGTCCAGTAAAAAGCGGAAGCTGGCTCCCAAGGTCAACACTTCTGTGGCTCCCAACCCTCAGCCTGCTGCGCAGTATTCCCACGAAACGGTTAGCCTTGCGTCTCCCCAACCTCTCGACAACCCGTTGCCATCTCTTTCCATCCGCCTCCCGCTCCATCGCCGCCTTCGCCATGCTCGCATTCCTTGCTAACGTTTTCCTTGCCCATTTCTAGCCGCCACAACAACAGCCTTACCCCGTACACGATGCTCCCGTCGCCGAACGACAAGACTTCGAGGCCTTTGCGCGTCACCTACAGGATGCGGCCATGCTGATACAGCGCCAGACGGAGCGCCCGCCTCACAGTGATGTATCCGTCTTGCTATTAAGCTGGGAAGAGGATCGTACGGTGGATGAGGACGTTGCCGCCGTGGAGCAGGTCATGCAGAAGCAGTATGGCTTCACCACTCAGCGCTGGCAGATCCCCACCGTGCCAAACCCAAGCATCAAGCTCGGCGTCCAGATGGCTTCCTTTCTCGAAAACGCAAGGCCCAACCACCTCCTCATTATATACTACGCTGGCCACGGATATGCCGGCCCCGATGGCCAGCTGTACTGGGCCTGGTGAGTTTCATCCTTGGGTGTTCGCTATCCCAACGTCCTCCCTCATTCCAAGTCTCTCTGCTCTGCTTTACATCATGCATGTCGCCATCGTCATAATCTCTAATCACTTGTCCATTTAGCAATGCGCGCGAAGATGCTGCCAAGCTCAAATGGGATGGTGTACGGTGCTTATTCGAAGATGCCCAATCCGACATTCTCCTGCTTCTGGATACATGTGCCGACCCCGAACCGGCAGCCGCGGGCAGCCACGGTGTGAAGCAGGCCATTGCGGCTTGCTCCCGAGAGCACAAGGCCCGACAGGAACCTGGTCAACGCTCCTTCACGTCCTTCCTGGTAGAGGCGCTTCACAAGTTGAGCGGGGGGCAACAGCCTTTCAATGTCCAGAGACTATACGACGAGACTCGCTCCCTGAAGCAACAGCAGCGTGCCAAAAGCCCAACGCCTGCAAAGGGCGCAACAGCCCCCGCCTCGCCCATTATGCCCATCTTCTTCACCCTGACCCCCGGCAAAGGGCAAAATTTGATGCTGGCGTCCATGATCGGCAGGGCGCCAGCGCCTCCCCTGAACGGCGTAGATGCGCCGGATGGGCAGAGTAGTCGCGCTCGTGAAGACCATGTCATCGACCCGGATTCTGTAGCTGACATCAGGTTTGAAGAGCCCCGGATCCTGGTTTGCACAACATTCGTTGGGGATGCGAGTCCAGACATGTCTTACTTTCACCAGTGGCTACAGAACAAGCCGACCCTTGGCGCTGCCATCGCCGTCGAGGGCATGTTCCTTGGCCCACCCACAATGCTGCTCATCTCCATGCCCCACTCCATATGGAATGTCGTCCAGCACGATAAGGTCTGCTGCTTCCTGGGCTACATTAGTTCTCACAACATGATTCACCTGTATGAAAAGCTGATTGGGCCCGCCGGTATCCGCCCCTCTGCCAAAGAAGTAGAGGATGGCCGTATTCTGCTGGAAGCCCGGGAGTTGGCGGCCGGAACGCCTTCGCGAGCTCGACGGGAGCCGGATCCATATCTGCACGCCGCGGCTCGAGATGGCCTTGAGTACAGGTCGCAAAGTAGTCCATCCGGAGCGTCCTACACTCCGGCCGCCCCTCGAACTATTGCGCCAATCAAGCCAAAGGATGAGGTTGAGGATTCCGCAGAGATGCAAGAAGCCGCAGAGCAGCTCAAGGCTCTCAGTCATGTTCGGCCTAGAAGTGACGATGGCCCTGCGCCTCCTCCTGTCCCGGCGCCTCCTCCTGCTACTGCTGCTGCTGCTGCTGCTGCTGCTTCTGTGGCTGTTGCTGCTGTACCTCCCCCTGTGCGGCACCGAACAACGCTTCCAGATGGTATCCCTGAATCGAGGCACATTGAGCCAAATATTTCACGCGACATCAATGAATCTGGAGCCGGCGATGCCATGGCTCTGGATTCGACCCCATTGCGTATGAAGGCGCCTCGACGGTCTCTCCCTAAGCAGGAAACTAGATGTGATCACTGTACGCATGCCCCTTTCAAAGATTCCTCGTCGCTTCGGAAACACATCGCGGCAGCCCATACCCGACCATTTCCCTGCGCCTTTTCCTTTGCTGGCTGCGCCAGTACCTTTGGATCCAAGAATGAATGGAAGCGCCACATTGCTTCACAGCACCTCTGCTTGACGTATTATTGCTGTTCGGCTTGCCCGCAGAGCTCGGCAGAAGGCAAGGGTAATGAGTTCAACCGAAAGGATCTCTTCACCCAGCATCTACGCCGAATGCATGCCCCGTTCCAGATCAAAAGGACCATTGCCAAGGGTGACAGCAAGTTACAGGCCGAATGGGATGCACACGTCAAGGACATGCAGCAGTCCTGTCTAGTTACCAGGCGACACCCTCCACAAAAATCGGCTTGTCCACGAAAAGAGTGTAACGCCCTTTTCGAGGGGCCCACCTCTTGGGATGAGTGGACTGAGCATGTCGGGCGGCACATGGAGAAGGGTGAGGGCCAGCGGCTGGGCATCGACAAGTTGCTGGCAGAGTGGGCTCTTGACGAAGGCATCATCGAGTTAAAGAGCGATGGCGAGTATCGTTTGTGCGCCACAAACGGCGTCCTCGCTGGCGGAGGCAATGGCAGCGTGAATAACGGTGTTGCTGGTTCTTCCCAACCATCTCTGGAGCATAAAGAGTCCACTGCCTCTCTAGCGGAAAATGCGTCTTCAGCCGACGAGACCCAAGCCGTGGAAGTCAAGTCGACGGATGACATGGAAATGGCGGAAGGATGAGCCTTTTCCTCTTGCATCAACCTCAGATAACCGACACCATTTCTGACTGTCTTCATCAAATCATCCTCCCTGTGCATGTATACACGACGTCTTTACTGCGTTTACAAACCCGAGAATGACTCACGAAAGCTACGATACCGAAGCCTGTTGTTTGCATATCTCATTCTTGTCATTATTTTCTTTTCTCTTCCATCTTGTCAGTCATTTCCGTTGCATTCATCTCTGTTATAGTGTACTCTGAAAATCAAAGGTTACTACTGCCTGTGGGCGTTTTTTTCTTTCTTTTTCTTTTTTCTTTTTTCTTTTTCTTTTCTTTTCTTTTCTTTTCTTTTTTTTTTTTTAATCCATCTCATTCCGATTTGGCCTCTAGTGTGATTTTCCTTTTTATATCTGTCCTGCTTTTCTCATGGGAGGCGTTGGTATGGTTTGAAACCGTAAGGAAAGCATCAAACGGTGATAAAACGGAGTCTTGTTTCTCATGCTACTGTTGAATAGTGCTCTTCGAAAGCAGGCCAAGGAGCGTTTCTCACAACATCGGGGTATGCCCTATCCGAAATTGATATGTCAACGGGAAGGGAGGGAGGGAAGAGGGAATGATACAAAGCATACAATCTAAAGAAAAACGAAAACGAAAAAAAAAAGGGGGAGGAACGAAGCGAAAAATGAGAGGAAAGGGGGGGGGGGTTGGGAGACATTTCGTTTGCAATGTTTCATCTATCTATTAGAACGGTAGAGTAAGAGTGCCCAGCTAGTTCGGATCGGCGAGTCTTTCTTTTTTTTTGTTGGTGTGAGATGAATTTCTTCTTCTTTTGGGCATCATAAACGTGTTGTCCTCTTCAAGGTATACTGCATACTAAAACTACTACAACTACTACCATCTAGGCACTGTGTATGAATGAAGAACAGTTCGAAAGCACAATGAGCGGGATACTAGCTTAGGCAGAGAGAGTAAAAATAAAAACAGTTCAACCAAAAAATCGCAATCGTTCCTAAGCCTAACCATACTACGCCCCCCCCCCTAAAAAAATTATGTACATGAAGCCCAAAGGGCGTAAGATGAGGGTTACGCTATATTCATATTCATAGTTATGCTAAGTGAGTGAAAAAAAAAAAAAAAAGACTGTCCAAAGCACAAGGAAAAGCTACTCTAACCGATTCTGATAGACGCAGGACCGCTAAAGGGCAAGTTGACGTTAAAGGTCTGGCTGTTTGAGTTTCCAGAGCTTGACTTGACAGTGGGGGCTTTGCCGCCGATGATGGTCACCTTGGAAATGATGAATGGCACTCGGAGGCTGAAGGAGCCACCCAGGATGAAGATGCCCTTCTTGTAAGTGAAGGTGACGTGAGTGGTGGCTCGCTGTTGGATGGACACGCCGTCGTCGATGTACAGCTCGCCCGACGCAGATCCAGAGGCGTCGAGGGCGATGAGAAGCTCAAAGTTCTGCTTGCGGAGCTCGGTGGTGGTGTTGGTAGACTTGACACGCAGGGGCATGATGACACCGCCGCGGATGAAGAGCGGGATGGACGTGATGTCGACATTGCTGATGAGGTGGTTGGTGGCGCCACCGTCGATGCGAGCGTGGGTGTACCAGTCGTAGAAGACGTCGTCTGGGAGATAGACACTGACGCTGGTAGATCCCTGCTGCGTGACGGGAGCAACGATGAGGCCGGGGCCGTAAAAGTACTGGAGCTCAAGGCCCCATGTGGCCGGGTCGTTGGGATAGTGGAAAAACATGGGGCTCACTGCCGGCGTGCCGTCGGTAGACTGGCGGTACAGAGCAGTGTAGATGTAGTCCAACAGGCGATAGCGAATATCAATGGCCTTTTTGGCACTGCTGGTAACCGAAGGCCAGCGGTAGAACTCTTGGCCAATGTTACCCAGGTCGTTGTGGTTGCGGTAAAAGGTGTTGAAGGCGCCCAGCGAGGCCCAGCGCGCGCAGAGCTCCTCGTTGGTGTTGCCGCCGAAGCCGCAGACGTCCGAGCCCACGAAGCCGAACTGGAAGAGGGATGTAAAGGCCAACATTGTGCGGATGGACACGGTGTAGTAGCTCCACTGCGACATGTTGTCTCCCAGCCAGTGGCCGACCTTGGAGCCCGCGCCGGCAAAGGTGCTGCGCGTGATGACCAAGGGGCGGAGGCCCGGTCGACGAGACAACATGGCATCGTGCGAGGCTGTCGACATCATGGTGCCGTAGAGGTTGTGCGTATCGTACATGGCCAGGCCGTTCTGGTGGATGAGATTCGTGTTGACAGTGTGGTTGGAGATGCCACCTTTGTCAGAGTTCCACGAGTCCTGGAAGGCGGCCTTGTTGTGGATGGCGTACTTGGGATACAGCAGATCCCGACCGGGGAGGCCCTTTTGATCACCCTTGCCACTATGGCTTCTGCTGCTCACCACCAAATCGATGGGCAGGCTGCCGCTGCTGGACTTGATTTGGAGATGCTCAACTTGGCTATCACGTTTGTTGGGACAGCCGCCAGGCTGGAAGTCGCAAGGCCAGCCAGGCAGCGGACGAGGAGGTGCCCGGACCGGCGGTGGGGCCGGAGGAAAGCCCTTGGCCGCGCTGTACGGGTCGTCACAGGGAAAGTTGCAGGGGAAGTTGCTGGGCTCGTTCATGTCGATCCACAGGGCATCAATATCCAGGCCCGTTTCGGCATTGAAAAAGGTCTGGAACTGACCGTTCCAATACTTCTGAGCGTTGGCAGCGAACCAGTCGGGGAAGACGGTGACACCAGGCCAGACGACGCCGATCCAGACAGAGCCGTTGGACCGCAGCAGAAAGACGTTGTCCTCAACGCCCTGGTTGGCAGGTGGATAGTCTTGCCAGGCGACAGCTGGGTCGACCATGACGACGTAGTGTTGGTCGTTTGCGTGCAAGTGGTCAACCAGCTCGCGCATCATGGGCATGGGGAAGCGGGCTGGGTCGACGGTGAAGACGCGGCGGCGGTCCATGTAGTCAATGTCCGTCCACATGGTCTCCAGGGGGATGCCGGCCAAGCTGTAGTTTTGGACGACTTCGGCGACATTGTAGGCATCTTGGTATCCGTATCTGCAAGAAAGGGCAATTCAAGTCAGCTCTTGCTCTTAAATTTCACACGAGAGATATGCATATATTCCTTCTTACCTGCACTGGTGGAAGCCCAGGCCCCAGTATGGCTGCATGGTTGGGAAGCCTGCAAATTCACCATATTGCTGTACTGCTGCTACGGGAGTTGGTCCAGCAACAAAGTAAAAGTCAAACACGCCACCAATGGTGTTGTATTCAAGATACTGCTTGCCGGAGGCGTCCTGGTTGATCATGATGTCCATGCCGTTGGAGTTGAGGAAGAAGACACCGTGAGAACCCGTGGCACGGTGCTCCAGGTAGAAGGGGTGAGTTCCATAGAGATTGGCGTTGCTGGGGATGCCATAGCTGTCCTGGTTCCACATCGTGCGGATGTAGTTGGTTGTCTTGAGGCGGAGAGGGTCAGAATGCTCACCCAGGCCGTACAGGTTAGGGTTCGCGGGCAGGCTTGTCCGGAGGCGGAGGTACTGAGACTCGAAGACAAGAGAGGCGGCCGAGGTATCAAAGAGGACCTCACCAGTTCTGGCCCGTGTGATTTTGAACGAAAAGGGATTCGCCGTGTAGCTGAATTTGAGATTGCTTGACTGAGACCAGACAGAGCCCCCGGGACGTGGGAAAACGGATTCGGGGACTTGGTAGACCTGGTTGTCCTTGTCCTGGATGAGGACGTGAATGCGGTCCTCTAGCAACATATTAGCTTGACAAGCCCAACTGATCGCGCCTCGCGGTTAAAATAAGGTTGTATGGGAGAGCAATTTGTTCAAGAGGATGGTCCCCTCAAACGAGCGCGCCGTGAAACCGGCAGTGGTAACAAGCCATGTGTCTGCATATGCATCTTGACTCACCAGTCTGGTACGTGACCTGGAGAATGAGATTCGTGAGGTCTGTGCCGTACACATTGCAAGCAGTGCCAGCCAGAGTCAGATCGGCCGTCACGCCGGTCGGTGACACGCGAACATTGGAGGCTTTGTAGCCCGGGCATTGATCCAAGGTGCCTGCAGTCGCGCCATCTCTGTGGAAGAGAGCCGCGGCAGAGGCAAGCCCTGCGTACAGGATGGGCTTCCAGTAAACCATTGTCGCTGTCAAGGCGATGGCAATGGTGATGAGGATAGCGGGAGGGGGTAAAGATGCTGCGGATCGTGCAGTGCCGCCCTTGGCAGCGAGAGTCTTGGGGGAACCCATCTTGTATAGAAATATTTGTACTCGTCCGGCTCGGACTCATCCAAGACACTGAATGCCGGAGACCGTGAAATGCTCCTGCCTTGCAAGCTTAGCTCGTCAGCTGTCACCCTCGTCACATCTCCAGCGAGCGTGCGACATGGCAGATCCAAGTTCCAATTCCAGGCAGTGGGACGGGAGGAGAAGACGAGGGGAGGTGCGTGGGGCATGCATCATATCATGCATATACAAAGTAACCCGGCCAAGACACGGGACCCCGGGAAATGGGGCCCGAGTTGGGATTGCTCGTCCATCCTCGGGAGCCAGCATTGCGTAGGTAATACGGCAGTCGGCTTGGGGGAGCTTTGGTCGACTGCAATTGGTCGTGGGTTGGGAGCTGTCTAGCGCGCGATAGAGGCGGAAACGGCGTTTTGGTCGAGAGGAGGCGGGCGCCCAGGTCGGGCGAGGTGGACGAGGCTGGGGTTTCGGAAAAGGGCGCCAAGCAGGAGACGTGAGACAGGCAATCAAGGACAAAGAAGCCGTTGGTTCTTGGTTCTGCGAGGGCGAATGTCGATCTCAGTCAAGGGCAGCGAATAGGTTGGTAGTGGAGGGAGGGCGTCCTCAGGCATCGAACGAGTCACCACCTTTTCGTCGGCCGGAATTCGATAAAGCAACAGCAAGCCCAGCTTCGAGCGGTCTTTGAGCCAGAATTGCAATTTTGCATTTCCACCTTGATTTGCATTCTCATTCTCATCATCTCGAGTAATATTACTCGTAGCATTCGATGCAACCTCGGAGCACAAGGTTCAATGAGGTCACAAGGCACGGCTTCAGTTACTGAGGTGCAGCGCTCAATGCGAGTGGGCCCCCTGAAAGCTCCAGGGCTCTCAGCGGGCTTGTAGTGGCTTGTAGTGGCCTGTACCTGCGCAGCTCCCCAACTTCCCCGCACCAAACTCGCCGAGAAGGGCAGTAAATAGCACCGGCAAGGCACCAGGCGGGTCGGGTCCTTTTTGCCGGCCGAGGCCCTAAAGCCCACTACGACGCTAAGCGAACACTGATGCTAGGCGTTTTTCCGTCGGCAATAGGTCCACTGCCTGGTATCACCGACAGCATCGCAACCTATACAGACAATATTGCACGCTCGCGAGACGGTTTGATGCTGGCCCCATGGGGAATGAAAATACTCAAGGGGAGAACAACAGGCGACGCTACTTTGGCTGCTCCATCGAGGTGCACAACGGGCCGAATCGCCATGGAACTATCGTTGATGGGAGGGAGCTGGAATCAAGAGCAGTGAAGCAATTGGACGCTCGCATCGACGCAGGAAGGGAACTTTGATGTTGTGGTGGATTCATGACATGTCCGTGGAATCCGACGCCCTGCCTTGAGTAGCGTTGAGAAGCGAAATATGATCCCATACCTGTATCCAACTAGGTAGCAGTCGTAGTTCACTCTTGGGGTGATTGTCAAGCAAGGTACATGCGTATTCCATCAACATCTCCCTTCCCCCACATCCAAGTAAAAGCACAAGTATACACAGATCATCCGACTTTCGCAGCGTTGCAGCACTACCATCGATCTATCATCATGCGAGACCCCTTGCGTCCAGCTACGGCACTGCACCCGTGGCCTAAACGTGCAAAGGGTAGCATCTTGGGGTGGGATTGAAGCTTGAGATCAGGATATCGATCATGGAGTTTGTGAATGTGCCCCATATCAGCTCGGCGCATGTGACAAACCATCTCCGTCGTGAAAGCTTCTTTTCACCCTCACAAGTATCATCGGGCCCCCTCCTCTTTCCCCGCTACTCCATCGTACGAGCTTTTCAACTCCGGAAGCCCACCATGACTTGGCATGCTCGCCTGTTCATCGCAAAATTCCGAACTGTGGTTCGGCGTCGAGAGGGTGTGGTGGTTTGTAGTCTACCAACAGGCGAGCTTGATTAGTGTCACGATCCCTAGCTCATGGGATCCCGGTTAAACATTAAGAAAGGGAGATCTTGCGGTTCCACCAGGATTGGAAATATAGTAGAATTTATCCGTTCAACGTTCTACATCCACAACCACATACTGTCCTACACACCAACCACATGCTTCTGACTGTAGTTACTATAGCACGCAGATATAAGTGGTCAAGTATCATGTGGGCAATGACATTGGTATAGCAGCTTTTCCGTTTTCGCCCCTTCAGCAGCCGCGGATCAATCTATACTCCAGCCTCACCTTCTTGTATAGGTCAAGACTGCGCATGAACTTTGTAAAAGTTTACTGTTCTTCGGCTCTGCCTCGGTCTCTTAGACGCGCTGGAGCCGCTTGCTGCGATGCAACCCTGCAGCCTACTATAGGTACCAATCGCATTAGATGTCCTGCATGTTGAGCTGTGGTCCGGAAGGGATAAAGTGGTGAAATATCATTATCTAAATCTTCACTCTCATCGGCATCAATGCTACAAAAGAACCTCGGATGCTATCCACAGCTTGGCGTTCAGCAAAGATATCTACTCCGTAATACTTTAGAGGGATGACTGATTGGACTGGGGCAAGCACCGAAATCGCAAGACCTAACCTAGAGAGCAGCAGGATTCTTGCCGCCATCGCCTTGATTCTCATGGTAACAGTGATATAAAAAAATTTTCTCTCTTTGCATACCACAAATGGCAAACAATAAAGATGTAGCATATGAAATGTTGGCATGCAAGATGCCGTATGATGATCGAGTAGTGTGGCTTTACGTTCTCGGTTGGAAAATAAGCTTAATCACATGAAAGAGGTAGGTTAAAGTGCGGGCAATTGAGCTATGCCATATACCCTCAGCGGCTCATCTCACAATACATCACTGGAACAGGAATGAGAAAGAAAAAAGAAGAGAGAAGAGACAAGAGACGAATTAGACATTAGACGTATAACTACTATGTACAGTTAGAATTGGTGCAGAAATGAAATCCGCATTACGAGCTTGTGTAAATATGGATATATAGGTATTTTCAAGGTGAGCACTGCACGTGACCCTTCACTCTTTATTGATGCAAAGCACATGCTTGCGTCTACAGCGCACAAGGCCTGCAGCGAGACAAAATGAATGGGGTTCATAATACAATGTGCGATGCATAAAACGCATGCACTACGTAGAGAGACAGAACGAAATGATACGCTGCGAGGCGACGAATTGCAGCGCGTTGACCAGAGCGTCCCCGCCATGGAGCCCAGAGCAGGAGTAAGGGTACATGCAATCCGCCCAGAGGCACCGCAGAAACGGGAGTACCTGGGTCTGTATCACTCGTGAGCCAGCTGGCAGCCCCCTTGCATCGCTGCGTCAAAGAAGAGCAAAGGAGAGAGGAAAAAAAAAGAAGTGGAATTGCAATCTGAACCTGCCATTGGCATCCGCATCAGCATCCGCATCAGCATCAGCATCCGCATCCGCTTCCGCATCAGCACTCAATCACTGACTGTCTGGAGCAACGACCGCCTTGAAGCGCTGTTCGGCCCTACTAACTGGACTGGACTGGATGCTGCGCATGGGCAAAGTATTAGCAGCGCCGCCATACGCTGTCCTGGTACTTGCATTGATCCTAGCGAACATTAACCCGTAACAATGGCAGCCGAAGCGCCAGAGCCTCAGATCTTCGCTAACCTGCACCAAGATCAAGCCACGCGCGACATGAGCTTTGCGGCTCCGCTCAACTTGGATCCCCTTGCCCAGCAGCAGCAACAGCAGAACCAAAACCAGATCCAGATCCAGAACCAGATCCAGGCTCAGGCGCGGCATCAACAGCAGCAACAGCATCTACAGCAGCAGCAACAGCTCCAACAGACTCTCCACCAACAGCAACTCCAGCAGCACTATCTCCAACAGCAATATCTCCAACAACAACAACAGCAGCAGCAGCAGCTTCAGCAGCAGGCGCTCTACCATCAGCAGCAGCAGCAGATGAACGGCATGAATGGCGCCAACATGGGCGCCGTCATGCCCGCGCCCACGCCGGCTGGACACCAGGCCGAGCTCAACTACATCTATGGCATGGTTGAGGAGCTGAGTCGACAGCTGGCCGATAACAGGAGGGTCACCGAGGACATTGTCAGCGGGCTGGGCAGAGTGCGCAACAAGGCAAAGGCGCAGGGCCTGGCCAACGGCGACGTCATCTCGTCTGCGGCCGACGACATCAATGGTGCGTCTTTGATCCGTCATCTTTGCTGCGGCTGCGCCTGATTTGCCATGTGCTAACCCTCTCTTCCTCTCTCTCTGGCAGCCCAAGAATCCAATCTCGACAGCATCATCTCCGAGCTCTCAGAATCCTTCGATAGAGCCAAGCACAGCCGTGACGCAAACGCCGCCCTCCTCACCCAGTACGCCAACGCCCTCTCCCTCATGCTCAAGCAGTTCCACGACTACAAGTCCAAGCACGTGGCCGATGTCGCCGCCTGGCACCGCTCCTACCGCGCGCAGCTCGACGAGGCCCGCCGCGAGAACAGCCGCCTGCGCGAGCAGATCTGGGAGATGCAGACGCACGCCGCCCGCGCCAACGAGTCGCTGCGCAAGTTCCGCCGCAAGTACGATGAGGACGAGGAGAGATTTGCGAAGCGCGTCGACGACACCGCGCTGAGGCAGGAGCTGCGCTTTTGGAAGCGCATGGCGATGCCTGAGCTGGAGGATGATGACCCGTACTGGAGCGGGGATGATGATATCATTGACGAGGCTGAGAAGGAGAGGCTGAGGGAGCTGGAGCTGCGTGCTGCCCAGGAACAGCATATGGTGGATAGCCAGGGCGAAGACAGCGACGAGCAGCACCACCTGTCGTCTATGGGCATGATGGGTGGCATTGCTATGCAGAGAGAGGAGTCATCTGGACAGATCCTGCCCATACCGCCTCCTCGGCCGCTCAGTGCGGCGTCCAGTACGGGGTCAACTGGTAGATGACCAAAACAAATTGAACGGGTAAAAAGCGACAATCGTTTGCCAAGTACGAAGCATGAAAGTGTTTACGGAATTTTCAGATGCACCAAAAGTGAAACTTGGAGATGAGGGGCATGAGGTATGAGGAATCGGCGATATCAACATCATGATGCCACAGATGATGGCTATGCTGGGTTATGAAATGTAGATGCATGTAATGGCAAGAACAGTGTTAAGTCAACTGAAGATTACCTTCTCAAAACCAATGAAATATAACGAACATGACGCAAAGATTTTACCACTACATTGCGGGCAACTCTCTAAGCCCTCGTTCTCGTAAGCATCATGTCCGTTCCAATTTGTCTCGCTTTCCAAGTCCTGTTATCCCTCAAACCCTAGTAATACACTCAAGAAAATATTTGTCAATATGCCAGCAGCGACCTAAGCACTCCCCGTATGTATGACAGTCTAGTACCCACTCTGCTCTCGTCTACCATCGCCCTCCTCATCCCCGTTCTTCTTGGATGAAGCAGCTGCCTCGCCCGCCTCTCTGATTCCCTGCTCATCACCTCGCAGCTTTGCAAAGTATGCCTTGATATCCTCAGCGCCAACGGCCTTGCCGCTTTCCGCAAACTGCTTGAAAAATGGCGTGAGCTGCTCCTTGAGGTGGTTGTATGCCATGACGCCTTCGATGGCTCTGACACGATCCATGTTGCGCAAGGCGCTCTCGCCACGATCTAGCAAGCTGCCGCTTCCGTGTGTCGAGCCTCCGTGTTGAGAAGCGCCGTCGTTTGACAGAGGGGGTTCGTAGACCTCCTCCTCTTCCAGTAACTGGGGGTGGGCGTTCAGTTTGCTGTAGCAGTCAGAGCAATGGCAGAGCTTCTCGCGGAAGTCCTCTTTAAAGAAGAGAGAGAAGCGTCCCTTGGGCGCGGCAGGTAGATTGGGCAGCTTGCATGAGGTCGGGCCATCTTTCCTGGCTCCGTCTTCTGAGATCTTAGCTTCTGGCTTCGCGCCATCGACATCCTCGACAGATTGAGTTGTGCCAACTTCTGGAGTAGTAGATTCAGCGACTGGCGCTTCGCTCTCGCTCTTAATGCGCTTCGCGTATGATTGCTCTTCATCTGTGTCGTCTTCGGCCTTGCGCTTCTTGGACGCAGCCGTAGCCGTACTATCATTGGACGGCGATGGTGCAGCAACTTCAGGCTGCTCCAGAAATATGGCCGGCAGGAAGCCCGAAGTTCCTGCATACTGTTTGATCCACGGGTTTGCATCCAAGCACTTATAACATAGGAAACCTTCAAAGTCATCTTCGCTTGGAAATCCGGGAGGCATCGGCGGTTCGTCATCCTCGTCTTCGACGGCGACACCACGGGCGGCTTCAGCTGCGCCATTGTTTGACTGACCTTCGTCCTTCTCAGTGATTGTCTCAAGGATACTCCCGTTGGTATGGCCCTCGGTCTCTCTTGAAGCCAGCTTTGATTTGCTGTTGCTCATCTGCTCATACCATTTGGGCCCCATGCCCACTAGGCAGCCAGGGTGATACCAGTCCTCTCCGCAACCCCCAGTCTCTTGGGTTCCAAGCCCAAGGCATTGGAACATGGTTCCTTTTTGCTGGAATGGATCATAGTCGCACTCGCAGCCGCAGAAACGATTTTTGAAATTGTGGTTGTACTTGTTATTTGCATCCGGCTCTTCGGAGTGAACGTTGCCCTTGGTATTCGTCTCGCTATTGATGCGCAGCGTGCATGGGCTGGTAGACGGGATGCGCGTTGTTCCGCAATCGCAGGTGAAGTTTCTCTTCTGGAAAATCTCGACAAGAGTGTGCTCGCCATGACATGACACGGAGCACGCGTAGCACATGCCTGCTGGAGTCCAAGCGTCTCCAGCTTTGGCCGGCGCAGGGTTGCAGGTCAGGCAGGCGAAGACATTCTGTCGCAGCGGTCCGAGAATCTTGGTGCACGTCTCGATGCTCTAGATAGGTAGTATTGCAATCAGCTGCTTGTACATCGATGACGCTGTGGTATGTCAAGGTGGGATAATGACATACGTAAGGCAGGGCTTCGCGGGCATCGGCTTCGAGAATTTCCTGATCACGAAGAAAGCTATCAAGCAAGTCAGTCAGTCAGTCAGTCGCATACAGCAGTGAATCAAATCCCGGTCGCGACCTACTCGGCGGCAGTTTGAGAGTCGTCCGATGCCCGTGACTGCTGGGAGAAGCTGTTGCTACGGCCGGTGACACGCTCTGTCTTGGTCTCTGCAATGGATGGAGTGTCCATCACAGGCGGTGGAGGCGAATCGCCAGACATGGCTGTAAACGATGAATAAATTAATGGGATCCAATGGAAAAAGCAGCAGCCAAAGATGAGATGGATGCACAAGTCGAGTCCAATGGAAAACACTAAGCAGGGCTGAAGGTAGCTGGTAGCTGGTAGCTGGTAGCTGGCTGTAGAGCGGGAGATACAGCACCGTGTAGCTTGAACTGAGGCTTGTCTAGCGGACATATTAAGTGAGACGCGAGACTCGCTGCAACACGGTGGAACTGTGCTTATTTAATTTTGTCATCTTTCCACAAGAACGAATCAAAACCACTTTACGCGTCGATGCTAAACAGGCTTAGCGTCTACCAATTAACGCGTCTTCAGCGCGTTTAGCAGTGAGCTCTGGCCAATTGCTCCCTAATCTCGTTGCCCCCACAAACCAAGAAGCTGCATCGCCAGATTTCCATCAATCCTTGAATTTTCAGCCTCTTCAAGCAGGCACACCACCGACAACCAGCGGGAGCCCATTGATAGCCGCCACTATGAGGTATGCCAGAATCTTTACATGATCCCTTTCTTTTGCAGCTCTCCCTAACATTTAGCATAGCTCTCCCCTTCGCGACCATCCCGCATCTGCCAATGTCGGCTCTGCCCCGCGATCAGGCCGCAAGCGCTCTCGCCCTGATGGTGATGATGTTTCCACGCCTGGAGGACTGAGCTCTAGCCCGTTGCCATCATCTCCACCTGGGCCTTTTAATATTGCCCATGGAGTCGACGAGGATGAAGAGATCGAAGAGGAGGCGGAGATTCAGGACGACATTGACGACATTGACGAGATGGCCGATGACGACGTTGACCTGTTCCGTGAAGGCTTCGAGGCCGATTACAGAGACAGAGAGAATGACATCTACGAAGGTGCAGGACTAGATGATGAGGGCGATTACGATTCCATGGACCTGGGCGAGAGACGACGACTGGAGGCTCAGCTCAACCGGCGAGACAGAGAAGTTGCTCGCCGGCAGAGGATTCCAGCCGCATATCTTCCCGGAGATGACGATGACGGCGACATTGACCTAACGGCACAGCCTCGCAGACGGAGACATCACTACGATGAGGATCCAGATGATGCCATGGATGCCGACATTATGGACGAGGAGCTTTCCCTAGAAGCTCTCGGTGATGTCAAGGCCTCCAATCTAACAGAGTGGGTGTCTCAGCCACCAGTCCAGCGAACCATCAAGCGAGAGTTCAAGGCCTTCCTGACATCCTATATTGATGCATCTGGATCCTCCGTTTATGGCAATCGTATTCGCACGCTCGGTGAGGTCAACGCAGAGTCGTTGGAGGTCTCTTACGAGCATCTGGCTGAAAGCAAGGCCATCCTTGCTTACTTCCTGGCTAACGCCCCTGCTGAGATGCTCAAGCTATTTGACCAAGTAGCCATGGATGTTGTGCTGCTTCACTACCCCGATTACGAGCGGATTCATTCCGAAATCCATGTTCGCATCTTCGACCTACCCGTTCACTACACACTTCGACAACTGCGCCAGTCGCACCTCAACTGCCTTGTGCGTGTCAGTGGAGTTGTCACGCGCCGAAGCGGTGTTTTCCCCCAGCTGAAATATGTTAAATTCGACTGTGGCAAGTGTGGCGAGACGCTGGGTCCTTTCCAACAGGAGTCTCATGTTGAGGTCAAGGTTACGTTCTGCCAGAGTTGCCAGTCTCGTGGGCCCTTTACTTTGAACTCTGAGAAGACAGTGTACCGAAACTATCAGAGACTTACGCTACAGGAGTCTCCTGGCACTGTTCCCGCTGGACGTCTTCCTCGCCACCGAGAAGTCATCCTGCTGTGGGATCTTATTGACAAGGCCAAGCCTGGTGAAGAAATTGAGGTTACGGGTATTTACCGAAACAACTACGATGCTCAACTAAATAACCGCAACGGTTTCCCCGTCTTTGCAACCATTCTTGAGGCCAACAATGTCGTCAAATCCCACGATCAACTTGCTGGATTCCGCTTGACCGAAGAGGATGAGCAGGAGATTCGCAAGCTGGCCCGTGATCCCAACATCGTTGACCGAATTGTCAACTCCATTGCTCCTAGCATTTATGGACACACGGATATCAAGACTGCAGTTGCTCTATCTCTGTTTGGTGGCGTTGCCAAGACTGGTAGAGGAGCCCATCACGTTCGTGGTGACATTAATGTGCTCCTTCTCGGCGACCCCGGAACGGCCAAGTCCCAAGTCCTCAAGTACGTTGAGAAAACAGCACACAGAGCCGTGTTTGCGACTGGTCAGGGAGCCAGTGCTGTCGGTCTGACGGCTAGTGTCCGTCGAGACCCCTTGACAAGTGAATGGACCCTCGAAGGCGGTGCTCTTGTCTTGGCCGATAGGGGCACGTGCCTTATTGACGAATTCGACAAGATGAACGACCAAGACAGAACCTCAATTCACGAAGCCATGGAACAGCAAACTATCTCCATCTCCAAGGCAGGTATTGTGACAACCTTGCAAGCCCGCTGCGGTATCATTGCTGCGGCCAACCCGCTGGGAGGTCGTTACAACTCAATGATTCCATTCTCTGCCAACGTGGAGCTGACAGAGCCCATCCTGTCGCGTTTTGACATCCTGTGTGTCGTACGAGATTTGGTAGAACCGTCTGAGGATGAGCGGCTGGCGAGATTTATCGTTGGTTCTCACGGACGAAGCCATCCCCTGTCACAGGCCCGCCCAGAGGGAAATGCCACTACCCAAGACACCGCAATGGATACCCAGCAGACAAGCGCATCTAGAGGCCAGCGGGATGGGGAGATTTCCCAGGAACTTTTGCGCAAATACATCTTGTACGCTCGAGAACGCTGCAGCCCCAAGCTCTATCACATGGATGAGGACAAAGTAGCCCGCTTGTTTGCAGACATGCGAAGAGAATCTCTTGCCACAGGCGCCTATCCAATCACTGTAAGTTTGCTCCCATCCTGGTCTGAGAGTCATACGTCTCTAGCCCTGTAACGTGATACTAATGCAAGATGCTCTTAGGTCCGCCACCTTGAAGCCATCATTCGAATCAGCGAAGCGTTCTGCAGAATGCGTCTTTCCGAGTACTGCTCAGCGCAAGATATTGACCGCGCCATTGCGGTGACGGTGGAGAGTTTTGTTGGCAGCCAAAAGGTCAGCTGCAAGAAGGCCCTGGCACGCGCCTTTGCCAAGTACACGCTGGCTCGGCCAGGTGCCAAGAAGGGGGCGAATGGATCACAGAGGCGACCAGAAGCTGTGATGGCTTAATAAATTTGACCAAGGATATGACGGCGGTTGGCATGATACTGGGGACTAGGGGATCTATGGATGTTTTGTTTTTAAAAAGACGATGATTATGCCATGGGCTAGAATACTGAGGGCGTTTGGAATTGACTCAAGTAGCATATGATCAAAACAAGTTATGACTTTTACAATGCTGGGTTCTCACATTCACGAGGCGCTGCAGAGCACTTTATGTGAGCAACCATGACATATTGACACGAATAAATACATGTGTCTCTGCTGATTCACAAGTTTAGTTCATCCCTCCATGTACTTTCGAGAATATCTATTTAGCAAGTGTGGCTGCAGACATTGGCGGGTTGCTATATTTCTTGTAAGCACGACCTGACCGGAATGAATCTGAAGCTATTCATAGAGACTGGCACCGGCACAGCAAGTGCTGCGGTTTGAGTCAGCCTGGCAAGCATTGTAGCCAAAAACCCTAAACTGCAGGTGTCAGCTATATGGTAGCATTCCAACTCGGCAGTTGAAGCCAAAATCTTACGCAGCATTAGCGAGGCAGCCTATTCATTGTATTTGCTTCGTTGTGTTGTGAGTGTCATAGACTATATGCATGAACTAGGCTGATTATCTATCGCCTATTACGTCTATTTTTCTTTAATCCTGGCTCCGAAGCCAGCCTGTTGCAATGAAGTTATTCCCAACCTGGAACCTGGCTCCAAGTATTCATTATGGTCAGGCTTGTGAAACTAACAATTACCCGATTGATATCTGCCTCACCGCTGTATGATGCATATCTTGACAGTTAGGTCTTAGCAAGACTCACAATAACCGCCAGATCATGATTGGTACTGTCTCCCTCAACTACCTCCTTCACCACAACTACAGGAACTGACTTGAACAGCTCTTGATGATGATGTCTAAAATAAACTAGAGCAACAGGCGTCTACCCAAAGTATAAGTCCATCAGCTGACGAGATTGGAGGCTACGCCTGGGTAGGAACGGTCTGTCGCAAGTAACTCCCACGGCCCAATCTACGGCGGCATAGGCTATCTCGTTCTATCATTTGTATTGATACTGAGTCTATAACATGGGCTACAAAAAGCACACTTGGCTGGAGCTCCCAACCGCCGCCAAATTTCCACGTATTCACACGGGTCTGCAGTTACAGGGAAGGGCGTAAGTCTAAGTTTCTGCTCCTTGTTTGGTTCCGACGTAGCCTTGAACCACTGCGTCAAAATTGCCAGATCTGAACAGACAATGGCGACATTCCATCGGTGAGTTTTTATGCATTGCTGACATGTTTACAGAATGAAGAAGGTGAAACAACTATAAAAAGAACGGCCCACCTGCCTTCTATTTCTATAAGGAACCTATTATCCATATTCCGTACAATAATAGAGCGTCAAGATAGAGTGTCAGATAGCGGAGTTTTAGATCTAACGCTAGTAAGTTCTGGAAGCGGGCGCAAGAAAAATTGCGCTGCCCATCGCATACAAATTATTATTATATACGGAGTACACATTACAGTATAGTGGCAGACAGACGGCGTTTTCTTTCCACCGCATGCGGCGTAATTAATGGCCCGACGACGTGTTACAGCTTTAGCAAAGTCAGATGTAATCCTAAGCCAGTCAACCAGTATACTTGGGTATGTCAGACTGGCGAAGGGCATTACAGCAGATTAGAGTAGCATTAAAAGGAGCCTGGTGCTGTTCTTTGGCACTAATCAGGGCCAATGAAGATTACATTAATAATAGGTTCTCAAATGCACAGCAAAATGCAGATTTGCCTAACTGGTAAACAAAAGGTGAGCATTAGTAAGTAAATTACCGTAGAGCTCACTCGAAGAATGAAATGCAAGGGAGCCAAGTGTTGATTCTTGACTAAGATTCCTCGGAAAAGGAATTGCTGCTCCAGATCAACCCAACAAGCTACAGAATCGAGTGGGCAAATTCTGGTCCAAGAAGACGCTGTCCATCACCGGTATTTAACTGGAAGAGGTGCTTGGTCCGTATCCCTGAACCTAGTCGACGTGAAATTCCGTATTGCAATGGGAATAGCGATATTTCCCATCCTTGACAGCTTTGCTAGCGCGACACAGTAAGATGCTTCATTAGGAAGGTTGGTTTAGCGAGTTTGAGCCTGGTTGTAACAGTCTTTAAATATATATCGTCTCTATCCCACTCTACTTTAAATTCCTATTGTCTATTTATCGAGGCTCATCACGCACATAAACACCGCTCAATTCTTATCAATCGCGCAAGTATGACGTTGTCACTCCGTGCCCTGGGTTCTGCTGCTCTTTTGGCGATTACAGCCTCTTGCAAACAGCTCGTCCTCAACGTGGGTTTGCCTTAACCCTTCTTATTGAACATATATTAAGCTGCCGATAGTTCGATGATATCGCTATATCAAACGACCATGGCTGTGCTAATTCGACCCTTGACGCGACAATTGTCTACCATGTAAGTTGTCTTTAACTTTGCTTACTGTTCAGACTACAGCTGATGGGTTCTAGGAAATAGCAGTTTCGAACTCGTTTTTCACAGCTTCAGTTTTTAACGCTACTAAAACTGCAGCTTGCAGCTATGTAATAAGTAAGCAAGTGAGCTTAGCCTTGTTCGGCCGTGCAACCTCGCCTTCCAACGTTTTATTTATCAGCTCAGAGCTGGAAGCCCAGATTATCTCTGGTATAAATTCAGCCTTGGTAAACGAAGCTTCGTTTGATATATGGCCCGTCTTCACAGAGGCCGAGGTAAATAAGACGTGAACATTCAAGGTCAAAACTTTGCTAACGTACTTCGAAGCTCAATTCAAAAAATGTAAACGTCACCATTAGCACCTTGCAGTCTGATTTTGGCAACGTCGATATTAGAAATGACTTTAAATTCCACACTGCAACAGATGGATGGGGTCCCTACCATATCAGCACTACCTCAAATGGCGTCAACTACCAATTCCTTGAGGTTTCAGCAGTGATCCCCACCGGGACTCTGCCGGGACAAGTTCGACTCCCCTCCTTTTTTGTCGACAGCCTCGTCTTGGAGAGTACAGATTAAAAGCTCTGTCAATAGTCAATTTCAAGTCAAACAATGGCGAAATGCGTTTGGCAAATGTCAACGTATAGTGTTGAGGATATAATTGTGAAGATGCTAGCTAATTTATAAAGTGCTTCTAAAAAACTTTGTGATCAAATGTTAGCTATATTTAGGAAATAAGCCTACACCTTGGTTCTCAGCTTTGATCCTGCTTTGGCAATCCTTGCGGCGAGAGCCATCAGTGCTCCAAGAAGAATGCACGATGCAGCAAACATTTGCGCCCCTAAATAGCTACCGTTTTGTCTCTCTATTATAGCGCCGCAGATTGCAGGGCCCGTGAGTGTTGAGAAACTAACAAAGCCAAGAATCATTCCAACTCGTGTTCCTGTTCTACTGGGATCGGGAGTCATGGTTGTGGCGACAGCTGGGAAGAGTGCTTGCAAGGATGCGGCAATCAGACCGTAGACAATGGCGAATGCGTATAGCCCGGCAGTTGATGATACTGCCGCCCAGCAGAATACCAGCAAGCTGGCAGCGAAGCTCATTGGAATTAACATATTGAGCATTCCGGCCCATTTGTCAGCCACGATCGTCGGCAGGACGCGCCCAACAATGCCAACACCATTGAGAACCATGAGTAAATCGATGGGCTCCTTGGTCCCGATCTTGTCTCGAGAAAAGGTTCCGAGATAGAAAAATGCGAAATAGAGGCCCCAGAAGTTAAGAAACATGCTTAGGGAGAAGAATAGGAATGGCACGTCACTGAAGGCCGATGTGTCTGTCCATCCCCCTGTTTTGCGTGGTGGGAGACGAGGCTTGAACCAAATCAAGCAAGGGATATAAGTTGCGAGCATAATGAAGCCCATAATTCGTAGGGTCCAAGGAAACCCGAAATTGTGGTGGAATATGAGCTGGTTTATCAAGACGGGATACACAAGCCCACCCACAGCGGCGCCAGCAGCAGAAAGGCCGACGGCAAAGGCTCGATATTTATTAAAGTACTGGGAGAGAACAGCTATTGCTGGGCAAAACGTCAAGCCGTTGCCGATACCAAGGCAAACAGACTGCGCTAGGAATATCTGCCAGTAAGCCGTGCAGAGCGACGTCATGAAGATGCCCAAGAGTTGTAGGAGCACCCCGCATGTAAATGTGATTCGAAAATACCCAAGGTCCGTCAGACGCCCTGCGAAAGCGCCAATGGAGAAGAGGAAGAAGACCTGGACACTGCCTATCCAGGAGATTGAAGACTGAGATTGCCCAAGAGTCTGAGTGTAATACTCTTGAAAGACGCCATAGCCGTTTGCTACGCCCCAGGTATTGAAGAAGATGATGTGCATGAGCAGAACATGTATCCACGCCGTGAAGCCGCCGTCGGGAGGATCATTGGGCTTATTTTCGAGTTCTTGGCTGCCCGGAGCCGACTGATCTGTATCATATGACACATTTGCATCAGGTTCTACTGCTTTCTTTTCGATGTCCATTATTTGATAATGACTGAGACTGGTAGTTGTGCTCTGATCAACTTCCGTATACATCATCTTCGTGCTAATATGGGCGACGCAGTGTAGAGGTAGGCATGCTGTGTATGCACACAACAAAACCAAGCTTCTTTCCAACCGGAAAATGAGTGAGATGCAAGTTTTTCATTTTTTATAAAGCAATGGAAAATCTCTTTCCATACCGCCATCTTATTAATTGTCAAGAGCAAAACTCCGCCCCGACGATACCCTCTATCCGCTTTATGCGTGATACCCGTTATTTACCGTTATTCCCGCCAACGCTATTTCTCATCTAGTAGGTCCCCGTAAATCAGCCCGGCTCTCGCAAACAGAACCTCGTTCAATGTCTCTTGGTAAATCTATTTCAGTGTCTGAACACAACCAGGGAAAGGTAATCTAAATTAAAAAATTGTCCACCTTACATAATTTTCTTGTGCCAGTTGATTCCTCGCAGGGCTGAAGCTGGAAGTTGTGGCGTTATGGCTCGACTAGAGGGGCGCAAGCGATCAAAGCTCGCATGCCAGACGTGTCGCGACCTCAAGCGGAGGTGTGATGGCGCTCATCCGTGTGGAACATGCGTTCGATTCGAGTATCATTGCAATTATCAGGTGCTTAGAAGAAGAAGAGAACCGGATCGTAACCCGGGGCCGACCGGAGATCCGGCACCGGTACCGGGCCAAGTACCGGCGCCGCCGCCGCCAAGTTTGAAGCCTTCTGGTGACGATATTGTATCATCGACGGCGAGTTCGCATGCTCAGGCGCGCTCAGTGGAGGCAAATTCATGCCCGGCATTTGTTAGGACGATGGCTCTGCGACTCGACCCAAAAAGAAACCCTAGGATGCATAGCTTTGCCTGGAATGCCTTTCTTGGATCACGAGGTACTTCATCTGCTCCGGCAGTCCAGTCGATTACGGACGTGGTGTCCCAAACGAGATTACAAAATCTGACAGCCACGTATTTCCAAAAAGTCGATCCAGTCTATGGATTTCTCGATCGTGAGCAAGTCTTCCAGCGTATACAGCAAAGATGGGCCTCTCGAAATTTCACTCAAGTGCAAGATGCCGTGTTGTGCGGTATCGCCGCCCTGGGATGTTTGTTCTCGCAGATACATGCTGACGCGGCTGAAGTTGCGTTGGTGGAGTTGGCAAGAATCTTGCTTGAGAAGACTTTATCAACCCCTCCGACCGCCGATAGCATCACTGCATGGCTGCTCCGCGTTGTCTACCTTAGGGTTGTAGACACGCATTACGCTGCTTGGATGGCGAGCTGTACCGTGATGCACATGATAGATGCTGCTGGATTCAATATCGATGCCCCCGAGGAAGCTATCATTCCATCTCCTCACCAAGAGGTTAGCCAAGATATAAGAAAGAGGATGGTGGCTATTGCACAGCATCTCAACATATGGATGTCGTTTGACATGGGACTCACCCGTGTTGCTCTACCTAATGCAACCACACCAATACCTTTGGCGAGAGAAGGCGACTTTACCGTCGAGCTAATAGAGTTGCTTCCATTCTCAATAGAACTGGATCCCCAAAGAAAACCCACAGCATTTGAACTGGAATACGCGCTCCAAGTGGTGCTGGGCCGCATCCACTCTAGCCCTCCATCAGTTCTTGCTCAATGCAACTTGGCGCTCTGTCTGTGTCGCCGGCTGCGGTCAATGGACGTTGCTTTGACGGATTCTGTACTCCAGCAGCTACTCATGCTCACGTCAAATGGGATTCGGGCTGCCCAAACAGTATTAGCTGCTCGCTCTCCTTGGCATCAGATGACCTATGTGCCTTTTCAGATTGTCTGTGTATTACTCGCTATAGATACGGTTTCCTCCATCTCTCAGCTGCGGGATGCAATGCAGTGCCTTCAAGACGTATGCGCCGTCTATAACACGGAGGCGACACAGGAGGCGCTGAAAACAGCTCGCTCACTGGTGCTTCTACACCAGAGAGGCAAAGAGATGTTCGCTTCGGCTTTAAGCGAGATATTGAAGAGTCGCCCGATGAGTCCTATTGGAGATGTAACAGACAGTTGTCCTGTACTGGATGATGCACCTGGCATGAATAATTTCACGGATCAATTTTTTGGCCTCCAATATAACGATATAGATCAACTTTTGAGCGCCGATTTCTTCTGGAATATTACCAGCAATAGGTTTTAAAATGCAGCACATGTATTTTTCTGCATCGGGCCTGCAATTCACGCGGTCTCTATGACAAGGTCATGACAAAGTCCAGTTTTCTCATAATTGTACCTATGCTATTAACACTCTGTAATATTAATAACAAAGAAATATTGTTTATTTCATAAATTTTGTCTGGCCTCTCATCTTGGCCGAGTCCAAACTGTGCACTTAGCTCTGTAACTGAAACTTGTAGCCGAGAATCATGAAGTTGATCTTCCTCGATTTGTCCTTGATGTGCGATCTAAGTTCATTCGTTAGCAGAAACTTAGGCCTATCACATCTCTCCAATTCCAAGAGCGAGATTCGGATAGGCTTTAATACCGTAGAGTGAAACAGACCCATATCTAAGGAAGTCAGTGCAATCCACAAACTGTCATTTCTATACATCTTTCGCTGAGGAATAGAACTTGCTCATTTGAGCTCTGGGAAAACCTAAATATCGAGGTCAAAACAACCAATAGCCTGCAAGCTGCCATGGACTGAATCTTTTTATGACTGTGTATTTATTGATCCAGTGTGTTACATTTATAACATATGATACATCATCTGTACATAAAACTTTGACATGTCTCAACAGTAGTAACCGTGGCAAACTACTGAATCTCACTGAGCTCTTTCTTGATACTCTCCCGTAGACTCAGTTTATCCTGAAGTCCCAATAAATCGGCATCATTCTTCCCAGTGTTGACGGGGTCTTTAGAGTCATCCGACAAGAATGTATACTGGACATAAGGGACCATAGAGTTGTAGTAGTCACCTTTTGCCACACTTTCAGTTGCCGCCTTTATCAAGTCGCTGCCCTTCATATTGGTAATTTGGAACTTGGAACCAGACTCTTCTTCAAAAATCTTCAAAACTTCATTTTGAGTGGTGGCGAAGGAGAATACTGACAGATACTTGTTTGCAGTCTCTTCGGGCTTCCTCAAGATGGCGGCAACAGTTTCTCCTATAAAGGAGACGTGTGTTGCTGCGTATGGCTTATTGCCAGAGTCAACAATGGTTCCAGTCTTTTCTTTGGCATTAATTCCAAGTAGAAATTGTGTCTTTATGCCCTGTTTTACTTGTAAGTTGAACATGTACTGCATGCGGTAGATGTTCGGAGTCTTACCCAGTCAAAGAACAACCCAACCGCCAAGCCAGTCCAACTAAACCAAGGGTTTTTCTTGACAACTTCGGAAAGATAATCGGTTACGTTGAGTTTGTTGGCCAGAATCCAACCGAGACTCGTTTCTTCGGTGCGCCGCGTATCGATGCCGAACTCTGATGGAATAAATCGCCGGACCTTGGCGGCGATAGCAGCATCAATGATTGTTCTCTGGTCTCCAAGCGCTGCTGGTGAGATTGTAGAAACGAGAGCATCATGGCCTTGAAGAATATTTTCAACCGCTTCTTTCGAGGTTATATCAACTCTGTTTACGCTGACTCCATCGGCAAAGGTCGCTTGCGACTCGAGCCGAGTAATAGCAGTGACCTCAAACCCGGCAGCCAAAAGTCCATTAATGACATGAGGCCCAAGGTTTCCAGAGCCCTATTATCTAGTCATTAGCCTGACTGAGAAGTTGTGAGAGTGAGGACATATTTAGACTTGATGAACTTACACCCAACACCGCGACCTTTCTGATAGCCGCCATGTTTGTGTCGATCGTAACAATAGTGTTTCCTCAGATAGCTTAGGGAGTTTATTTACTGTGGGTGCTTAACTCGTTTGCTGTTCGTCAGGATGTGGTGCGCCAAACGTAGGTTATCCCATGACTTTATATATTCCTGAGATGCCTGATATATTAATCACATTTAGACGTAACTTAGCGATTCGTATGCAAGTGACGAACGGCTTGCTGCTGATGAAGCATTGCGGAATTACAGGTTACCAACTCCATAGCTACTATGCCAATACGAGCACGGAATGGTACGATATTATGCCTCCTGTCTTCGTTGGCCAAGGACCAACGCACTGGATCCCAATCCTTTATGTCAGAAACATTGTGATGTTGGTAAGAACGAATACACTTTAGTTGATGAAAGGTGGGTACAGGATGAGTAAACGCCCCTATCTAGCCTCAACATTACGCGGTTTGCGCCGGGCTTTTAGCGTTGGTATCGGAGCATGGCGGTCAGCGGATGATAAATCACCGCAATTACCGCAGTATACCGCAAACACGTTGGCTGTGATTCAATATTCCTCGTTGCAACAATGGAACATCAGCAGCCAGTGGCCCTCATTGCCTGCTTTCCCTGCCGCCACAGCAAAAGACGCTGCGATAAATCTCTACCAACATGTCAGCTTTGCATCCGCAAGGGAGTGGATTGTTGCTACCCTAAGCGTCGAGCCCAGAAATATATTGTTCTGCCGGAGAGCAATGGAGTGACAAAAGACACTGTACCGACAGGGAATGATTCATCGATAAACAGAGCAGGTGGTAGCAACCGCTCGAGTGAGTGGGATCAACAATCGCCGTTGGAAGTTTCATATGCCACACCCAGTGTCATCCAATCATTTGGCACGGCTACAGCTATTCAGTTCATCGCACCCAGCATTTTCCGCGAAGCTTTTTTGGAGATTCCGCGTATCAACATCGCGATTCCCAGCGAGGTTGCTGCCCACACAGGAGAATTCGACCAAATTCGCGATATATCTGCTACATTCTTCTCACAAGTTGTCATATGGACTCCCGTTATCTTTCGAAAGAATTTCTTCAACATTGCCCTCAATCCATTGTCCCCCCGACGGACTGAAGGTATTCTACTCTCGTTATGTATGAAGCTGTACTGCACACCAGCCGCCCAAGATCACAGAGATGGGAGAACAGCGCTCTATAAGGCAACAAAACAATTCTACTGTGAAGTAGAAGCTGCTGGAATCATGTCCGTCTGTATTTTGCAATCAGCTATTTTGATTGCCATCTATGAGATCGGACACGCAATCTATCCTGCTGCCTACTTGACTGTTGGAGCATGTGCCAGGTATGGCATTGCGCTGGGCTTAGATAAGCTGCTTGTGGATTTGACTGGAGAAAATAACGCGGGGAGACCTTGGATGGAAGTAGAAGAGATGAGGAGAGTTTGGTGGGGGATTCTAATATTAGATCGGTATGTTTCTCAATGTACATTTGGCAGAGTGAGCGCTCACTTTCTCCGTACGATGATCCGCTTACCGGAGAGATAGATTCCTGAACCTTACCAACCCATTGAGAGGCCTGACCACGAAAGATCCGGAGTATGATGATTATCTTCCAGTAGATGACTGGACATTTTTAAATGCGGTGAGAGCCTCTCTTCCTAGGCCGACAATGGATGACATTGCTAATGGCCTCAACCCTTTTCAGACTGCAAAGCCTCAAGATAATCTCAAAATATCTGCTGCTTTCAATCTTAAAATGGGCGTGTTTACAAGATTAGCACAAGCAACTTATTTGGTAAACCAGGCTCTCAAGTTTGTGTCGTCCCTTCCGCCGCCTAGTGACTCAGATACAGTCGATATTGGGAAGGATACAGCGCAACTACGACGCACAATTTGGGCATTGATCTCTGTAACCAAGACAGAGTTTGACGCTCATGATCTTGCAACTTGCTGTCAAACTGCGATCTCATATTGGTATGTTCTGCTATTTGGAGAAGACTATGATAAGTTCTGACCGATGTTTAGTGCTATATTGTTACTTCAAGATTGCCATTGGCGGCGAGTGCGTATCTCTTCAACTGAAGACGCTTATAAACACATGTTTGCAGAATCGGAATGTGTTTTGCAAAACTTGGCTCTACTGGCAATCTGTCTTCGTAAAGACGCGGAAGAAGGAAAGAGCCTAGGTGAGGAGTTTCCAGTGTTTCTCATGCAAATAGTCTATCAGGGAGCCTTGACCACAATTGAAATGGGTCAAGGGAGCCCGAATGAAGAAATCCAGGAAAGAGTGGCACAATATAAGTGGCTGCTCCAGCACTTACAGTCCAGATGGCGGGTAGCAGGTAAGTTTACATGCAACACAACTTAACATTCCGAACGCTAATACTGTTGGTATAGGTATATATCTGTCCATTTTGCAATCAAAAGAAGCAATAATGGCGTCTATTGCTTAAAATCGGCCGTACTTTGTTGTGACTTCAGGATTTTGAGTATTGCATATACTATTGATCCAAGCATGAGCCTGTATTAGCATTGAATATACATACCCATCTCATCAAAACTGCTTTGGTCAAGTGAGATGAGCCCGTATGCGTAAGGTGATAAATTTCGTCCTAAGTATGGGCTCTTTGTGTAATAGCATACCCTCGATTGTACAAGGATATACAATAAGAAGCGGATATATAATAAATTGTCATAGTGAAAACAATCCTTAGTTTAGAAGACTTGGTGAAGTTTGTATCACGTTTATTTGCCTTGGGGGATCCGTAATAAGTTACCCTTCTAATGTATTCAAGCGCATGCATTCCCTGCAATGGCTTCATGCTTGTATTATTTACCGAATAACGCACTTGACCAAACCATAACACTTGAATCTCCGTGTTTTTTTGTCTAGTGGTATGCTTTCTTCCGCGGAGATGGCCAGTTTACAGATTTTCGTCATCTGCCAAGATTGGGTCATTTCATGCATAGCCTACTCGATATCGAACCACCAACTACATAGCCTACCAACGGGTTGAAAGTCTATCACATATATAGTTTTCTTCAGAAATAAGTGTATCAAAGGAACAATACAATATATTGCAATCTCCGAGCTTCCTACTTCGCCTCAGAACGACATTCTTGTCTACTGCAAAATGCCATCCTATCTCATCACTGGTGCTAGCCGGGGACTTGGTCTAGGTTTTGCTGTAGAGCTGGTAAGTACCTTTATGTAGAACTTGGCCTAGTTATAATTGACAATATTGACTGTATGATAGCTCAAGGAGCCAGATAGCTTTGTCGTTGTGACTGCTAGGGATCTCAATCGTTCGAAAGCCTTGCACGACCTCAAAGCCAGGCACCCAAGCCGTGTTCACCTTATTCAACTCGATGTTTTTAGTGAAGAAAGCATAAACGAAGCTGTGAAAGAAGCAACCAGTTTGCTGCCCAATGGACTGGATAATCTTATTAGCAATGCTGGCATTGGTGGTGATCCGTTCAGTTCTTGGGAAACATTGTAAGGCTCAAATCTCTTTCATAGTGCAATACTAACCTCAGACAGGGACATTGACATAACGATGCAAGAGGTGGCATTCAGTATAAAAACTCATATCTTGGTCATTCGATCTTTTCATCCTCTCGTTCTTAAAAGCCAACAAAAGAAGGTCCTTGTGCTTTCATCAGTCTTGGGGTCAATTGAACTGGCGCCATCGCTTTCTGTGTCGAATGGCTATTCGATTGCGAGAGCTGCCCTTAATATGTAAGTTATGATGCAGGCCTAAAATGAGTTCGATTGCTGAGATGAGTAGGGCTATTCGAAAGTGGAGTGGTGTAATGACAGATGGTGTTATCATGACTCTTCTTCACCCTGGTACGTACCGCTTAACATAGTTGACCTTAAGCTCAGATGTTGATATGCTTTAGGGTACGTGGGAGAAACGAATATTGGAAGTCCACTTTTAGATTTCATGAAGCAGAATGCGCCGCATATCCCAGTCATCACTGTCGAGCAATCCGCCGTAGGGAGCATGAAGGTATTAAAGGGACTTGCACACAAAGATCATGGAGCATTCTACAGCTACGATGGAACAAAGCTGCCATTTTAGACTTAAGATGGCCATTATTGTTGATAATGTGTCATATCATGTATATTATGTAAAATATCATGTATTATATATCATTTTGTCTTTTCCACAGATCAGAACTTTGGGGTCGACTACACGCACTCTTAGCTGCATATGAAACACCTGATGCTAAGCCTGAAGATCATCACAGCGTGGGTACTTCGTACATGTAGTTATAGGGGGAAATGGTCACGTAAATATATATTGTGCCGTCATGTCCACAGTAAGTCTGAATTGTTTATTCATGTTCTCAATTATGAGGTCACCATGAAAAGCGTATGTAGTATTACTGCTGCCTCGATACTAGGTATAATTCAACTAGCGTTTCTCTACCTGTGCATGGGAAGTGTTGGACTGTGAGTGACGAGGGTGACGGCGCATGATGCGGCTATTGTTGCGATTACTGATGACCCGACGGCTGTATATGTAAGTCATCGCCGGAGACAATGTAGCATCGACGTAACCTTTCAGCATACCATGAGGTGCATTTTGCTCATGTCTGTCTGTAGGCCACTCAACGTGTCAATCGAGAAGCCGCGCTGACCAACAAAATGCGTGAGTACCACTGGTGCAAAATTTCCACAGGCATGGGCATCGGTCCCTTGTCACTTTCTACCTTGCAGTGGCTAGGGAAAAGACAGCTCTTTAGAGTCAGTCGCGCCACTTGAGCATCGTGGTCAACAACGGCGCCAATGGCGAACAAACCATCTGCGGGCCGTCCACCCTGTTCGCGAGGAGAGTCGCCAGCGCGGACTAAAATTTCACTCGGCGTGCGATCAACAACTTCAAAGTGGTCTGTCACAACTGTTCCGACGTCATACGTTGAGGCGGCGAGTTGGTCTCGCGTCCATAGCTGCGAGGACGTCTCGGGGCCGTACCATTTACGATGCAAGTACTGTCGTTGTATCGCATAGCCTGTTCATTTGTTAGCACGGGGCTATACTAATACGAGAGCTGAAAACGCTGGTGAGGGGTGCTGAGTAAAAAAAAAAAAGACTCACCCCAGCCATGCCACACGCCACGGCAGAGCTCCAAGGCTAAATCTCCCTCCTTTTGTAGCAATTCTGGACGTATGCGACTCAGAGGTATGGTCTTGACGCAGATGTCGTTGGTAGCTGCGTTTTGATGCGGATTATACTTCTTGTACGAGCTGGAGCTGTACAGCGCGTCACTGAGAGGAATCGGTGTGATGATGCTTGTTGCCAGGTGGAGATAGCCTAGCGCTGCAGCTGTGCCAACAGTCACTCCAGCGGCGGCCTTGCGGATGATGCCCATGATGTGAAGCGGTCGAAGCTCAGGATGTAAAGATATCGAATAACGAGCCTGTTGTTGTAGCGCCGGGCTGAATGGCTGACTGCACACGGGTGTTGAAGAGAAGAACAAAAGAATATGGACACATTTGAATTTTCGCTGCCCTGTGATTCACACACTTCGTGTACCGCAATCTCTTAGCGTTGTTATCATCAGCCTTGGCCCACCAAAGCTTGGCACTTGGAAATTATTGGTTGATTTGAAGGCTTCCGACATTGATTGAGAGTATCAACGTATCATTCACATCTGCCATCTACTGAAATCTACACCGGAGTCAACCACCAAAACTACTTATAAATACATGTATTTAGAACTTGTGCGAGTCACCTACATTCTGCCTTGAGAGATGCTATCCAGTATATCATGTGCCCTCGGGATTTCTATGATAGATGCATCATTATACCAGATAAAAACATATCTGAAATTAAGTACTGAGAATCAAATTGGTCCGAAAGGTAGTGTTGATCCTGCCACATCTCGATGTTATGGCGGGCGATGCTTTCGAAAAGGCTAGAGGCTGTGCAAAGCAGAAGCTTTACAATACGCAGCGTCGGAAGGTTGCATGGTGACTTGAATGGAAGGGCATCATAGGTAGCTGAGAAAAAGAAGACATGGTAAATCAAGTAATCTCTAACCCTGTTTGGCTTCATATTTGTTATCCCAGGATGTGAATGTGATAATATTTGACTACTTCTTTTACGGGACGCACGGTTAAAGCTTGACATCTACAAAATTTGATGAGCCACATCAGACCTCTTCACCATAAAGCTCAAGCCATTTGCTGCACAAGAGGCTGAATCAGACTTTTGGTTTTCCGTTCATATTGAATATTTCATCAAGAGAAAACATGACAATTTTTTTTTCTAAGCTAGGTATACATAATGCCCAGTAGTCTTGCCAGAAGCTTTGCTTCTATAACGGAGGAATATAGCTGTTTTAAGAGATGTTTCCGAGATTATGTTGCAAAAAAGTGGACTGAATAGTAATGTGACGTTTATAATGAATATGGCCTTTTACAGTACAGATCTAGACATTCGGATGGGATATCAAATGCTCCAATATAGCAAACACAGAGCTGGCCAGTATATTTCGTAGTCTTGATCTCTAATCGATCAAGAAGGACCGAGAAAATCCTTCAAAAACCTCTGTATAGTCACCCTCGGCTACAAGCCGTTACTGCAGGGGGCTTGGTACAAGTACAGGAAAGCAAATATCATGATGGAAAGCCTACTAAACTCAGGTTATGCAGTTTCGGGGTGAAGCCGACATCAAGTTATCAAATGGCTGGTGATTCGGGTTCATAGCCCTAGCTGTGATTCTAGGGGTATCACATCTTCCGGTTCGTAGAACGATTGATTCGAAAATATCACGCTTCAATTAGAATGGTCAACTTGGTAATAAAAGACCCCACCATTCTTAGTCTTCACTCTCTGTCAGGTGCCAAACAAAGGGCCCCGTTGCTAGCATTTTAGCTCAACCTGAGTCAACCATCGCATCGGAATGTCTAATATCATGCTTGTATACTTGAACAGGTAGCTTGTCTACGTCGTACAAGTTATAGTAATAGTACTAGTACGTTATACGGAGTAGAGCCAGCCAATAATGCAGAGGGCAGTTGACTTCAAGCTACGCTGCCCCCTCCGCCACAGGCAGTGGCTCTTGGTGTGCTCCAGATACTCCAAATTCAACCACCACTCCAGCCTTCGTTTGCCCCAGGCACAAAAAAATCCGGTGATACGGGGCGCTCCGTGCTCTAACAAAAGATCCGGCTAGGATTGCCACGCGCAGCCTTAGTGCCCGAAAGCTTGACCGACGAATATTTTTTTCCGGCCAACGGGGAGCAAACTGCCCACCGAATATCGGATAGTCTGTGCCGTAGCGTCGTGCTACCATGTTGCTAACCTTCAGTCTTCAGCCACTAGTGCCACTTCCATACCAGCAAGAGTTTGCCCCTGATACAGATAACTTGAGTCCCAAGTTTGATGATAGATAGCCAGAGGGGATTCATTTCATATAGCAAGGCAGGGGAACAGTGGTTAAAGCTGTCGGAAAATGGTTAGACATTTAAGGGATGGCCGATTTGTTACGAGTTCGAGATGTTATTTCACATTCCTCATCTGATCAACAGTAAGAAATTAACAATACACGATACGTGCTACGAAATACTGTGCTGGCCTTCATATCGTGTCTCCACCCCGCATTACCAATGACTAGTGTACGTAATTTGCGTTCTACATTCTCCAGATGGGGCAAGAATCGGGTTTGGTGAGCCGACCGCCTCCAGCAACCAGACCTTCTAACTACGGGAAAGGCAACATGGTTCAGGCTTTGGGTAGCGCACCAAAGATAAGCCTACTTCGTACGACCTTTTGGGTCGCGTGAGATGGTGTACAAAGAGTGCCGCTAAAAAAAAAATTGGTTGAGCAGGGGTATCGCTTCGGGGACTTGTCTTATCTGAAGAGGAAAAAAATGGAATGTTAAAAGCAACTGCTCCGCACTGACTCAAATCCCATCAGGAGGGGAAAAAAAGGTGCACTCTTACATCTTCCTCCTAGGCTTTCAAGCCAGATTTTCAAAAATGGATTACGACCCTGAGAGCGGCCATAGGGCTGCTGGCCATCCTGCCCACGAGAAGGATGTTACGGCTATCGTATCTGACGATACCTCCGGACAGTCGGTCCCTGGCGAGCGAGGGAGTGGTTTGTTGTTTCGGTTGCGCCAAATGGAGGCCCAGATGGATAGGAAGCTTGGCATTGAATCCGAAGCCATCAATCGCAAACAGGAAGAAGACAAAAAACCGGTTCCATGGATAGAGCAGTTGACGATGGCTTTACTATGGGCGAGCGGAACGATGAACACATCTTGCTTTGCAACAGGCTTTCTGGGCGCAGAGTTTGGACTAAGCCTGAAACAAGCCATTCTTGTCACAATCTTTGCCTCGATTCTTGGCGGCGCTGTCACCGGCTACTGTGCAACTTTTGGAGCCGCGACTGGCTTACGACAGATCAGTGTGAGCCGCTATAGCTTTGGCTGGTGGCCTAACAAACTCATTGCGCTACTCAATAGTATCCAGCAGATGGGTTGGGCGGCTGTATCATGTATCACAGGCGGCCTCGCCTTGACTGCTGTGTCTGACGGCCATGTTTCGCTGATCCTTGGTATCGTCATTTTGGCTGTGGTGGCACTAGCCATCTCCTTCATTGGATTGAACGCTATTCTGATCTACGAACGATATGCCTGGATCATCTTTTTCGTCATCTTCATGATTATCTTCGGCGAGACTGGCCGCTTTGCAGACAATACTTCACCACCGACTGCTACAGGTGCCACCCTTAGTGGCGCTATTCTCAGTTTGCTGGCCATCGTGTACGGTTCCAGTGCCTCTTGGTGTACCATGGTTAGTGACTACTATGTTCACTACCCGGCTAATGTCAGCCGCGTCAAAGTCTTTTTGATGACTTCCCTTGGAATTGCGATCCCTACGTCGATTGGCATGGTTGCTGGTTGCGTTGTTGCCTCAGCGCTCAATACGAAGCCCGAATGGAGCGATGCATATGACCAAGGACTGGGGTATCTAATACAGACAATGTTGTATCCGCGAGGATTCGCAAAGTTTTTACTTACTCTGCTCGTTCTATCGGGCATTAACACCAATGTTATCAGTATTTACAGCGCTGCTATTTCGTTTCAGCAGCTCTCACGACCTTTTGCTCAAATCCCCCGATTCATTTGGACGATTTTCTGCTTTCTCTGCATTCTTGCTTTAGCTCTCGGCGGCCGAGAGCAGTTAAATGCCTACTTGCAGAACTTCTTGAGTCTTCTTGGATACTGGTGCACTAGCTACGCTGTTATCTTATTCCAAGAGCATTACATCTTTCGAAAAGGCAATTTCAACAACTACGATCTTGATGGCTGGAATGATCCCGAAAGACTACCCCTCGGTATCGGCGCTTCGGTTGCATTTGGCCTTGGAATTGTCTCCTGGGTCATGGGCATGGATGAGACGTGGTACATTGGGCCTCTTGCGAAAACCATCGGCGATTACGGCGGTGACGTTGCCAACGAGTTTACGTTTGTGGTAACGGCGTTGACTTACGTACCGGCCAGATATCTGGAATTAAAGTTCTTCGGCCGGTAAAGAAACTGGCATGTATATACGATAGCGTTGCGTTTTTATATTGAAAGGTCCATCACTTGAAAAGGCACGAAAAATTTGTAGGCACGATGCACTGTTGCCAAATCGTCCGAGTAAAGATAATGCATTCTCAAATGATGATTTCACATCCTTTCACCCGGCGAGGTAGATTGGCAAGGCATATCGATGGACAACATATTAAAAAAAAAAAATACTATATTTCATAATTGAATAGTGTTCTAGATTTAACCTTGGGTGTCTCAACTAGAGTAGCAAATCTGATATCATTTGTGCCAGTGATAAAATCTTTTCCTCTTGAAGTCTTCTACCGACAACTTGAAGTCCCACAGGACTTCCGTGGTGTATTTCAGGATCGTCTATAATTATTCTCAGGTCCCATCCTAATTTTGTTTTATCTAGGAAAGTACTTACATGATTCGAATACCTGTTGATCAGCAGGATTAGCTGGAGTGTAGTCGGCGTCTACAACATCGAGGTTTCTATCGGCATGCGTGACCGGAAAGGCCACTGAAGTGTAATCCAAGACGTTGATAATCGTCGAATATGTAAGATAGCGATATTCATCAGGCTTAGTCCCTGCGTAGGGAGACAATGGTGAAATGAAAGCCTCAACGGGTTGTCCAGAGCGCGTAAGTTTAGCGGTGCTGTTCCAGTAGTCAAGGTACTCTTTGCGGTATTTGCGCTTGGTGATATTGTTTGCCGCAATTTCGGTGGCCGTTTTCTGCTCCACAGGTTTGGCACCATATCGTCTTGAGATTTGTGAAATGGGAGGTTCGCCCGATATACTAAAGGCGTTATGGATATCTTCTCCGCCGTCATACATCCAGGCCTCTACCTATATAGATACAATTAGTAGCGAAGGAATTATGTTTCGACTATTTTATGAGGCTTACCGCAGTTTCAAGTCCTCTAGAATGAGATGGCGGCTGCCATTCAATTACCTGGAGATGATTTTGTCAAAATTCTTACGTCTATTGTTGACGTAGATAAAAAAACACACCTCGTGACCAGCATTTTCTAATGCTTTCACTACAAGCTCAATAGCTCTTCGGACAGGTGGGCTGGGTAAGACGACGTCGTCTCTTCTCATAACACCGAACGATAGCTTTTCTGAGATTCCGATATTCCCAATCATAGCATGTAGTCGACTCTCGTGCTCGACTCTCCATGGGAGTTCGATGACCATTGGGTCATGTAACCAAGGCTGCTTGCTCAACAGAGCCTTCATTACAAATGTCAAGGATCGAAGGGTTGTACCTAGCGGCCCTACGACGGAGAGAATGCTCTCTTGACCATCCATGCTATTTGGAGTTCCCTCATAAGGCAATCGACCAGCAGATGACCGCAGACCATACACACCATTGAAACTGGCAGGGATGCGGATTGAGCCCCCAATGTCGGTCCCCATACCCAGTGGGCTACCTCGAAGACTGAGAAGTGCACCTTCGCCACCGCTGCTACCGCCGGCGCTTAGATGACGATTTTTGGGATTCAGTAGATATCCAACAATATTGTTATGAGTCTCCGGGGACATCAATGATGGCGGCACAGATGTCTTGCAGTAGAAAACAGCTCCAAGTTGCCGCAAATCTGTAACCAGTTGGCTCTCAAAGCGTCGCTCTTTACCAGTGCCTTTTTGTCCCTCAAAAGTGCCTATCCATCCAACGTATCCCATGGTGGTTTCAGCGCCTTTGACGTGAAATTGGTCTTTCAAGCTTACTGGTAATCCGTGTAATGGGCCGATCGGTTTATTATGTTCGAGGTAGTATGCATCAAGCGTGTCGGCATGTTCTAATGCAACATCGATGAAGATATCAAGCAAACAGTTTGTCTTAAAGGTAACTCAGCGCCTATACTGATGACGATGAAGAGAGAAAATTTGAGATGGGATATCGATCAACTAACCATTTGATGCGCGATTGCTGCTCGGTGGCAGAACGCTTCTGTAACTTCCCGAGCCGACCATTTGCCAGTTGTGGTCTTTTCCAAGATTCCCACAGCATCGGTTTCAGTGATCTCAATCTCGCTCGTGGTTAAAAACTGCTGAACATATTTGCCAGTGATATCGCGTTGTTCTTCAGCAGGTGGAACCTCGATACCTAACCGCCAATGGTCTGGGATAGCACTCAAAATACCCTTAGCCTTACTCTCAGCGATAGCCTCGAAATTTGGAGACATGGCGTATAGTAACCAACTTATTGCTGGAATGACGTGGAAGCCAACTAAAGTGTTGTTGAGGTTATTATTTTCTGGCGAAGAGCGGGGATCGGAAGTTGCATGTGGTTGTTTTGTTCATACCCCGCAACTGGCCATGGTGAACTCGAGTACATGTACATAGCACAGCATTCCTTCGTTAGTCAATGCCAAGGGCAATGCGATACGTTGATTTATCGTTGGTACAGTAATATGAAGAAGAAATTTGGAGGAAAGAGGACGAAGAATGTGCCGAATTTTCTTGTAATTAATACATGCTTTGCACTTTTGACCCCTTCCACGGGGTGTATATTCATCTTCAAGATTTTTGCATTAAACCTCAATCCCTATCACTTTAGCCCAAAATACCGAACTTGCTCAAGAATTCGCTGATACGCAGTTTATATCCAAGAGGCTCTCATCCATATTGGTGCAGATCCATTGAGGAGTCTTGCCGCTTGGATCAATTACCGATATGTTATAGGCAGAAATGTTCAAGCATTTCTACAAAACACTATGTCAATACGGGTTGGCACAATATGTGAACCTTTACTCACCTCAGTAGAGGAACATGTTAGAGTCCCAACCTTGGGGTCATATTTAGTCGATGTCGTTCCCCACATGTTCTTAAATATGACATCGCTAATAGTTATGTTGGAGGGATACTTGTCGCAGATAGTTTGGTTGCTTTGTCCATAACACTGATTGATTTCAATAGCCCAATCGTTGTTGCTATTGTAAAACGTGTCATAAGTGACGTTCTTCACGTATCCAGCTCCCCCGCCCCCTGATAGACCCGGCTCGAATGGTGTGTTCGTACCAGGCCAAACTTTGATGCGGGCACCATCGCTCGCATTGGACATCGAGACGTTGTAAACATAAATGTTCTCCACTATATCGTACTCCGCCGGATATTGGCCTAGGGAGCCGACTGATATTCCATGTGAGCCGTTGCATTGCATACCCTGCACAATGATGTTTGTGCTATTGGGCTTGAAAGACACGCAGTCATCGCTGTTATTAACGTGTGAATCCTGGATAACAACAGAGTCGCTTCTAAATGTGTCCCATCCATCGCCATTCTTGGCGGGATTTTTACTCTCACTCTTGACTGCGATGTCGATATCACTGACCAATATATCAGTGCTATTAGCGATGAGATTAAACCACTAAGTTAGGTTAGTATTTTCTTCGTAGTAGGTCAATAGGAGTTACCCGCATTAGGAGAATTTCGCATCTTCAGGCCAGTCACGGACCCGTGCTCAAGTCCATCTAGAACGAGCAGGATAGGCCGTAATAGAGTAGGCTCAGCTGCAAATGCATCATACCAAGCTTGACCATTTCCATCGATTAAGCCCTGTCCCCGGCCGTAGATATTGACATCCTTCCCCCCAAAGCGCCAAAAAGCAGACGAATTTTGGAAGTCATACTTGAATGAGTTCTTCACCCAATAATCAATGTCATTGGTAAATTTGATAGTGCCAGTAATGGCCACATCCACAGCCTCTAAGAACGTAAGATCAAGCGGAGAGGCAATAGTATACTCCTCATTCAATATCACAGTACCACCCTTATTGCAGTTCTTGAAGGCTTTGAGAATCTCCGGGGTATCGTCGTTCTTGCCATGGTGACCAGAACTAAGACAGTTAGGGACATAGCAGGTCTTGTGGCGCTTCGGAGAGTGAGGAAACTGGTGCCCTGGTGTCTTGGGTCCCCAATGAAGTTTGGGCCTCTCCAGTATGGTCTTGTGAGCATCAATGGGATCCAAAAACGATAAAAGAGCCACGAATAGTGCAAATGTGCTGAGAATAGCCATTGCGATTCTCTTGTGCCAGAAAAAAAGATATATGTCAAGAGAAACCAGATTATCACGAGCTCGGATACCACGATTCGCGTACGTTTAACAAGTTTAAGAGATCGGTTACGGATAGCTACTTCAATTCATCCGGCTACTTTGCCTATTTACTGCCCCAATTGCGGAAAGAAAAGGAAGATCAATCGTAATAGTATCACTGTACGTCCTTCTGGTATACCCAATATTAGGCGCCACTTACTTTGTTCCTCGGTGCTCCGTCGAGAATATGGAAGAAACAGACATGGTATGTAAAGCAGTCGGATGTTCCACCAATAGGAGTATGATCAAACGGTAAGGTTTTCCCCCGCAAGACCATGGGATGAACTACTCATCTTTGGATGCGGGGATAGACACCTGTACAATATCCTGCCAGGTGCTCTAAACGCTTCGCGAAGAGCGGCTCGTGGCCCGGATCCGCCTAGTAAGTAGATCAGTGGTGGATCTCAAAGCCTGTAATGTGACAGAAACCGCGGATTTTGAATGGAGCGGCTATCATATAGGCTAATGCATGTGCGAATATACTTATCCGAACGAATGAAATAGTGACATGGAAGGAATATTGAGGCTGTTAAGTTTAAAAAAAAGGGTTTCCTTTAGTTCTAGCTAGTTCGGCTGTTCAGAAATTACATTGGCCAATCAATGTCTTGTATTCGGTATTTGCTGATGTGTGTTTTCGGACTATGAAGAAAAATCACGGCTCGGGGTAGTTACGGCCGAGATGCAGCCCACTAGTATAGTTGTGTGTATGATGTGCACCTTCAATCTTTAAATAGTAGTATACACTGCAGCCGCGGCTTCGCCCCTTTCTATTGAAGGATAAAGCTAGTAACCTATTACTAGTTAGTCGAGAGCATAGCTCATGCAGTGAGAAGTAATGGCTATGTCGGATTCTTCGCTTGCGGGGCGCGTTGAGGCCCTTCAACTATTCGTTAGTTAGAATACAACTCTCCAGCATCTGTTGCTCTCACATGTTAGCGGTACGCTTTTTGGTGAATCAAGTAACTTGTTTGGCGTTTATAGAGAATGTAGTGTGACAGCCAGTTCAACTGGCTACATATTCCGCCAATTGTTTGTAGGGAAGCAACTCCTGAAGTTACGCTCCACCTGGAAGGCAAATCCTTGTCCACCGACGCAACGGCAGCTTGTCCAAAATACGGTGAATATTAAACATGTGGACCATCCGATTTTCTATGGTATTCATTATTTTCAAAGTCTAGTTGATGGATTGTGAATCAGGAGCTTGCATATTTATTTCGTGTAGTGTCTGTAATAGAAGATGAGTTGGAGGCATTCGGATACCTAATATCTGATACATGCCAGCTCTATGACACTATTACACGACTAGACAACTGGGATATAAGCTATCCAAGTAGGTGGCAGATTCAGCGCTGATCTCAATAGCCACGCGTAAAACCAATGATATGTCACAGTGGTATTAACTCAGCAAAGAGATCATGACCATGCAGAAATACAAGAGAGATGAATGGATATGCGCTCATATATGCCTACAGCATAGTTTTATGGAAGGTTAGATGTAAATAAACTACCACCTGCATTAATCAGTACCCCAGATATCCATTAGCATGTGGGTGTGTCTGAACTTTCTGTATGAGATGGTACGACTCACACAGAACGGAGCTGAGCCTTCTCACACTTACCGTGATTGGATGTATTTTACTGGGGTACTAAATTAGACCAATATATCTATTAAGGTTGCTAATGAAACTTGTATAGGAGAAAATCTCAGGTACAGCCACCAAGCTATGCTTTCGTTCCAACCATGTAGCACACTGGCCAACTTCCATCCGATCTTCTTGCTCATCTCACCGTATGGATGGAAAATTTCAATTTCCGGCGCTAGCATATCCGAGGGATGCACCCAGCGCGCAACTGCGACACTTGGCGGGTGCGTATCGTGGTTTAACAACTGGGTGCCGCAATCCTCTGGGATTCACAACATTCGGGGCGACATTTACGGAGAATTAGCCGCGAGGACCTGGCTAAACCACACCTCTAAAAATGTCAACGGACATATCTATCATTGCGGGGAATCGCGTACCGAAGGAAGCGAGCGACCTGCGCCATGGCCATACTATGCATAAAATTGGTCTTGGCATCTTATAGCAGTAGTTGGATGTGGGAGCCCCAACATGATGACTTTGCCGAACATCTGCACCCCCGTAACTTAAACGTTGAATTAGTTTTCTCATAAAATCCGTTCCGTCTACAATTGGTTTTCCTTAGTGTTCACTCGCTCTTTTTCTTTTACGCCTCGTTTCATCAATTCGATATATCCAGAAACCACCTTTTGGCCCTTTTGCACAATGGCGTCCTTGAAAAGGGCATACAATTGGTAATGCGTCACTCCATATTTCTCTTTGGAGGATACATCATTTGACCTGAATCTCTAGGTATATATCCATGGTGGCAGCAATGTGCATGGTTCTCTATGGATATGATGCCTCGGTGTATAATTCTGTTCAAGGCTCGCAGAATTGGCTGGCATATTTTGATCTTGATACCGTGGGTGATGTGAAGATGGTACTGACTGGCTCAGACTCGATGCTGACGTATCGTCTAGGAACGGGACACCTATATGATTGGCTTGATAAACACATCGTACACTATTGGCGCAATTGTCGCGGGTTTCTTCTTCGGTGGTCCCCTAGTTGGTCTAACTGTATCACCTCCTCAACCTGTACACAAACTGACATTTGAATAGGCCGACTTTCTAGGACGACGATGGGGTATGTGGACCGGATGCTTCCTCACTGTAATCGCCACCTTTATGCAAGCATTTGCTCCCCGACATAACTTGGGCTGTTTCATTGCTGGACGTGTCCTTGTTGGTCTTGGGCAAGGTATTGCTTTGACTTCAGGACCAGTTTACATCGGCGAAATGGCACCACCTCCTATTCGTGGTCTCATCATGGCTTTCTGGCAGCTATTCTACTCTGTTGGATCGTTCATTGCCTATTGGATCAACTACGCTTGCTCTCTCCATCGCAAAACATTGGGCGACTGGGACTGGAGGATGGTAGTTATTTTCCAGATTATGGTTCCGATTATCATCATGGTTCTGTTACCATTCCAGCCCGAATCTCCGCGATGGCATATAAAAAGGCATGGCGATATAGATGCTGCCAAGTCTGCTCTACGCAAGATCCGCGATACTGAGCAGGAGGTCGAGGATGAGGTTTTGGCTATCCGCGAGGCCCTGGAGTATGAAAAAGAGGCCATCAGTAATAATTATACTGCTCTTTTTAAGGACCCTTCGATTCGCAAACGACTTTATCTCGCTTTCATCATTAATATTGGACAACAGCTCAGTGGTCAAGGCACACTAAACACTTATTCCACAGCTATTTACAAGAAGGTGTGGACATCGACTCAGACCATCAATCTGATTAATGCTCTTAATGCAACATTTGGCATCCTGTGAGAATTCTCCCGATTGCGATATTTGTTCATTGAATATAAGATCTAATCATGAGCAGATTCACGCTCAACGCGACATGGACAGCCGACCGTTTTGGTCGCCGGTGGCTGTTCATAATTGGCGGGATTGGTATGGGTGTTTGCATGCGTGAGTCATTTTGTCTAAATGGTTCTCGTTAGTACCATAATATTAACTGCCAATAGTGTTGGTTCCTATAATCGGTCAAACTACACCTGACCTTAACGGCACCAAGTCGAAGCCGGTCGGAATCTCTATCGTGTTCCTTCTATTTCTCTTCATTTTCTTTTATAAACCCTCTTGGGGCGCGACTACTTGGATCTGGACTTCCGAAATATTCAGGTAACTTTTAAACACCAACCAGCAACCAAATCATCTCTGCTAACATTCCATCGCTAGTATGAACGTTCGTGCTCAGGCCATCGGAATGTGCAGCCAGATGCAAAATGTCGCCAATACGATATTCCAACAATTCTTCCCGACATTTTTAAAGAATGAGGGACTCAAATGTCTTTATTTCTTTATGGCAACAAATTTCGTCCTCGTCGTGTTTGTCTATTTCTTCATTCCAGAGACGAAGCAAATTCCGTTGGAGGAAATTGATGTGCTTTTTGGCGGTGCTAATCATGTCGATAAGGGCGCTCAGATACTTGGCGCTCCTGATGTTCAAAATAAAGAAGTTCACGTAGTTGACCAGTGCGAGGATAACAAGATAACAACAGTTTAGGAGAATATCACACTCATAATGGCGAATACCGGTGTAATGCTGTGATGCACGGTCAGTATGTTGGAATTAACAGCTATATCAATATTCTGCCTTGGTTTGATGCAAAAGAAATGATTTAATAGATGTGTGTTTGGTCTATCCTAGCGCGGTGATGGAGGCTCAAGTGGCATGCTTTTTATTAAATAGGTCGTGTTTGAAATGTCCCTAAACCGTTCAGAGGCTATATAGAACACGTAATGACGGCCGGGGTAAAGACCACTATCCGTATTACCGACATTTACAGAGGTGGCAGAAGAGCGCGAGGTATATTGTGTGAGTACTATCCTGATTTGTCATTCTGCGAGCCGCTAGTTCTATTTTAATTGTTAATATCCTTCTATTTCAGCAAGCCATAGAACAAAAGCTTATATCCTGCCCTTCATCTCGTTTCTGACTCATTCTCTTCACTTGTCTCTCTAGAAGAATTAACCGACATTTTGTTGTATCTTCGTGCAAGATTCTCCAATGTCGCCGCCTCCGGATCTTTCTCTCGGCCAACAACAGGTATTGGCCATTCAGATTGGACATGCTCCATAATCAGGAGCTCGTTATCATCTGAAAGGTTCCAATGGACATATCCTTGCAACAACCTCAAATCCTGGGGTGATAAACGATCACGTAGCAGCCGATATACGGCGGAGGCTACGTGGACATGTCGCCCTTGATCATACAAACCCTTTACGCAAAGAACTATCGTTGACATCAAGTGCTTGAAATGTTCATGATCAAGTGTAGAAGCCTTTAGCCCCTCCATCGCGGCAAACCCTAGAGTAGAAAGATAAAAGGTAAGATAGGTGTCACAAAACTCGAAGCTGTGCCTCAGGTAGTAGATGCGAGCTATGGTTTCTAGCCGAACCATAGCTGCTGAAATAGCCTCCTGTAATGACTCATTGTCGCCTGTATTATATATAGAAGTTGATGCAAAGGAACCATTGTTTTCGATAGGTGTTTGCAGCAGCGCAAAAAGGGTAGAATGGTATTCCATGCTTTAAAAGAGCGTCAGCGAGTAAATCCATGAATGCCAGGGTAAGCTGAAGTATGTCAGGACTGCGGGCCACTCACTGCAATTTTAACTGTGATGGGAAAACAATATTACTGGGACGTAATGGTACTGGCAGGTAGGCCAACCAAGATTCCATTTGGGTTCGAAGATCTGACTTTACTTTGGCTGGTAGGACTCTCTCACTGTTCTCTGGCTTGAATAATGCAGTCGCAATGGCATTGAGAAACATTTTCAGTCTTGACATTGCGTGGAAGAAATGTGGGAAATAGAACGAGGTGAAAGTGTTATTGGCAGGATATTTTAGAATGAAGTCGCCGTACCAGGATGGTTCTGAATCTGGGTCTGGTAGAGCTGACATGGGAGGGTATGGAATAGCAGGACATTTGAAGTAGTAATATCCCATTATGCTATTTTGCCAGTCAGACATTGGTAAGTGATGAAAGGGGTTGTTGACTTACGTCTGATAATTATATAGGCACCATGCGGTGAAATCTCTTGCGTGTCTCAGAGTTTTGTTCTGGATATGGCTATTATCCTGAAATAGTTGCAATTGTTCCGCTATCTTCATTGCTCTGTCTAGGTAAGCCAAACCTAGCTTGTCTATGCCATTATTGACATATATGATATTAAAAATCACTCCAGCTTGTAGAGTTGGAAGATCTGTGCTCTCGGACTGTAGTTCCCAAAGTCGCCTAGCTTCTGCTAGAAAGCGATAGCCGATGTTCTCAGGATTCCAAAATTGTTCGCGATATTGGATACCTATATAACAATGCTGCAATAGTTAGCTTGCATCTAAAATGGCTTAAATGCCTTGGTAAGGGTAATCACCGATGCTTCAGCCAAGAGGGCGTTCACAAGAAGCGAAGAACAGAATTGCTCATTGCCGTCTGTAAGGGCTTGGATGAAAATATCTTTCTGAAAGATCGTATATGAAGTATACTCATGGAGAAAATAAGAGTGCAGCAAAGTCCTCATGAGCGTATTATCGGAAGTAACCGCTGTCCAGCGTGATATGTCAACGGTAGAGAGTCGCGTGTTTACAATTTCAGCACTATGATAAGGCTGCGTATAGACGTATTGCGGCGATCCCGTTCTGCTATTTGGGTTTAAGGGCAGATTCAATTGCCGCCGGTTTTCGTCGTGAAAGGTTGACTCGTAGATGAAAGATCTGAGATATGAATTGTTATCAGTTAAGAGGGCTGTTGGCATTGTGGTGACAAATGGAAACTCGTATCGACGTCGCGTTTCAGGAACTAATGACAACTGAAGAAGAAGACTTCCTTCCCTAATCTGCCGCATTACGGCCTTGATATCCGCACCGCGACGGATCAAGCGAAAGATTGCCCGAGAGTCAGTTTCGGGCATATTTTGGACTGCCTCATAGAATTCTTCATAATCGCTACTCTTCTCTTTCGCCTCTCGGAATTTCCGCTTCAGTACTGCTGAATTCGTTTCGGTCGGGTTGGCTGATGTATAGTGACATTCTATCGATTTTTGTATACATGACAGACATTTCGGCCGATTTCCACTACACTAAAATGAATAAATGGCTTAGTTTCAACTTTGTTGCTTTCGTTAGCCTGTGAATACTAGGCTTACTCGTATTTTGCGTTTCCGACAGGCTTCACAGGCGACACTCACGCCGATCCGTCGAGATTGTAGACGGTTTGGGCGCTGGGCGGCAGTAGAATTGGGTTCGGAGATAGGGCCTGGAGCAATCCGACGATGCCCTGCTGCGGTCGCGTGAGACGTACTTTGAGACATCGCGAGGTCAGTACATGTATTAAGCCCATTAATGACAAACGAGTTGGGTAAATGTGATTAGGGCGGAGAGTGATCCATGCCATGGGGAGCAACATTGTTTGATCAAAGTTGCAGCCATCGAGTCCAGGATGGCATGGTCTTTCGACACGTGCGGCTGCCCAATCAGATGGAGTGGAGGCAGCTCCGAAATGCCACCCAGGGCGAGCATGGGCGTTTGGTGCTTGCTCCAGATTGATAACGGCGCAGTTCTGATTCGTACCGAGGACGCCCCGCAGCCGCGTCTCCTCGCAATTAAGTGGTAACCATCCATCATGGAATCAATTATAGCTGTTATTTTGAATAGGCATATCTATATGGCTAAAATCATGCAGTTGAGTAATTTGGAAGTGGAAGTAGATGTAATGCTAGCTTCGAAATTTTAAGACAATAATGCTAAGTAATTACTACGCGCTCATCCTCCTATTGAGGTATTCTGCATCCGTGGGCTGCATTGATTTAGTAATTGATCAAGTCGGTAGTATTGGAGTACTCTTGCTGTTTTATTCCTAAATATCGGAAAAGATGTTGATTAAGATTTTCGCTACGATAGCTTTCTATATAGAATATACCGAGCATATCGAACGCAAATGACTGTGCGGCTCCTGCGAAGAGCTCGGTCAAAAAAAAATATTGGCATTACAAATATAGACCGGCTCAAGACTCGCAGGCCGTGTGCACTTTGGCGCTACACCGACTCTCCCTATTCACTAATATTGTTGGAATCCTTCTCCATTTCGATAAAACAAATATCGTCGGGTAACTCCATACTGCTGAATTTTTCTCGTGGAAAAGGTGTTGTTTCTCCCGTCTTCTGGTATCCTCGACGAATATACCACTCAATAAGTGCCTTGCGCGTCGAAAGTGCGTTCAGTGAGAATTTTTCCACGTTCCAAGCCTGTCGACAATATGCTTCAGCATACTCCAGGATCAATCGTCCAACGCCGCTTTGTTGATATCGTTCATTGACTGCAATCATGGAAAGGCGGCCACAGTTAATGCCGCGCTTACAGACCTCGATGGAAGCGACTAGGATATTAGCGCCGTCCAAGGCCATCAGAACAGCATTGTCAGGGTTGACAATCCTAGGCATTACTTCTTCAACACCGATTCGAAAGTTTGACGCGAGTTCTGTATTCCCGGTCCAATCTGGTCTGCTATCCACCGCGCGAAACGCGGATTCAACAAGTTGCTGGATTTGCCCCGCGTCTTCAGCAGTTGCTGGGCGGAATTGGAGGTTGCTGGGGGCCATTGTCGCTACTGGGCGAGATAAGACGGCAAAGTTGATCTGTCTTTGTCTCTTTTGCGGTGAAATTTTGGTTTGAGTGAAACGGTGACGATTTAATTCTATTCCTTGAAGCACTTTTGGTAATGTTTATATACCATTATCCTCTCCTGGTATTTACGACGTACCAACAAGGCTCATGTACTTGGCGTCGGTTTTCATTTATTTTTAGTAGCTTTGTTGAAACAAGGGCGCTAATGACACCGCAAAATTTCGGTTCCATAGCCTGTAAATCACTCTCTTTATACAGCTGTTCTCCCACAACGCATCCTCTGGACTGCTCGTGTTGTGTCAAGACGCGATATAAAAGGCGCGCAAGCAGCATTGAATAGATGCGCGCATGACCAACAGCGACGCCCTTGGGCTATCTAAAAACAAGTTTTCGTGACATCCTTCCTTGCTATCATGAGTACCTTGCGCGAGATACTGTATGTACATTTGTCATGTGTGTTGAATCTATTTGAGAGACGACTGAATAACCATGCTCCAAGTTGTGTTGCCTCACTGCTAATTTCGAAGCACTTTACTGAGTCTCCTCAATCGCGCCAATTTTACGGGGTGCTATGAGCTTGGTTTCATATGAAGTTTCCTTTCAGAACATGGACTCCGGCCAAATTGTCTCGGCTCCTCGCCTGCGCCAGAATGGCTGCTCACCCCACTGGCCGGCTATTTGACGCGACAATTGCCATCAAGCCGGGAGGCGCTTTAACTCCCCGAAACTGAACAAGCGATTCTAGCGGCGCAGTCATTTTAAATAGTGGTAGAAGCTACTGAACCGCATTGTTTTTCTTTCTCTCCATTCGTCGCTGCAATTCCTAATTCATTCTCTCCATTGTAATCATTTTAGTGATTGAATTTTCTGGCTTTTTTTTTTTTAAAGCATCATGTATGGCAAGATCGCCCTCGAAGAGTGCTGGACGATTCAGGAAGAATTGGCAAACAATGATCCTGGGAAATTCGTCGCAGCTGGGACCGGCTCTCGTTTGACAAACGAGCTACTTGATATCCACGGCACACGCTTGAAGCAGATGGATGAGAACAACGTTGATTTTATGGTTCTCTCATTCAACTCGCCAGGATGCCAGGGCATCTCTGACAAGTCTCAAGCCGAGGCACAGGCTACTCTGGCAAATGATCGCATGGAGGCTGAGGTGATGAAAGCACCAAACCGATTTGCAGCTTTTGCAGCCCTGAGCATGCATGACCCGGTGCAAGCAGCAGCAGAGCTCCGTCGTTGTATGACGGAGAAAAAGGGTTTTGTCGGAGTACTGCTTAATGACTATCAAAGCTGTGGCGAGGATGGTAATGGCATGCTGTATTATGACCAGCCGGAGTATGATGTCTTCTGGCAGGCAGCTAATGACCTTGAAGCTCCTGTCTACATGCATCCACGGCCCTCAAATAAATTGATTCACAAGTTAATGTGGGATGGTCGCCCTTGGCTCGACTTTTCTGCTCTTGGCTACGCTGATCGTCTCAACATGCATATTCTGGGGATCGTCACAAATGGTGTACTGGATCGATTTCCAAAGGTCAAGCTGGTTTTCGGGCATATGGGCGAGCATATGTAAGTTTTCTGTTCTTTTCCAATTCTAAATTCCATGATAAAGCTAACCTAACTTAGTCCATACGACATCTATCGCATCGATCATAAGCTTGATCGCAGCCGGTTCCCCAATATGCCCATGCGGAAGGATAAACTTGTTCGTGATTATTTTGGGGAACAGCTTTTCATTACAACTTCTGGTCACTTCTCCACACCTGCGTTGATGTGCGCTATGGGCGAAGTTGGAGTACAATCTATCATGTTTTCCATAGACTACCCTTTCGAAAGTATCCCTAACGCCTGTGGTACGTTCATTCTATGCACTTGGAGCCCGGAAATGAACCTGTCTAATAATCTTCAATGCAGCGTGGTGGGATGAACACGTCTCAGCGAGCGTTAATCAGCACGATTTCACCAACATGGGCCGTAACAATGTGCTTAGGATTATTCCGAGGCTGACAAAAGAGCCGCATAATTTGAAGCCCATGACTCCACAAGAATGCAGAGTAGGAGGGCTGGCTGCGAATCAAGGCGAAGTATGTTACGGTTTGTACAATAAATCTTGGAACAAGCGAGAGATTAAGATTGTGCCTTTCGTGAAGAATCTTACAGTCTAAGTTAGCCTAAGATAGTATAGCCTTTGCACTCAGAATGGTGAATAAATTTCTTTTTTTTTTTTTTTTTTTGCATATGTACCTGTACCTTCCAAGTGAACCAAATAGGAACTTTATGGTTATACAAACTGGAATTAAATATCTATTACTAGATATACTGAAGAGGGATAGAAATATAAAATTAAAACCAGATTAGATACGATAATAGAGCCTTCCTAGATAATGATGGGCAAGGAAAATATGCCATATTTGTCATTACAGATCCTGGTGAAAAGTTGGCTTGCCGAGGCGTTTCCGCCAATCTGCACCCTTGTAGTACAGCGGGATGAGGGGCAAGAAGAAAGCAAAGGTAATCATTGCCAGCGTGATCCAAGCATCTTGGATTCCAATCATATTTGCAAAAGGGATTGCATAAAATCCAATGGTGAAACTGTACACTTGCCTCCCAAAATTGATCAACGAACCGAGTTCAGGAGATTGTGGTTTATAGCACTTCAAAGCATAGAATGGTTAGCTAGTTATAAATATGACCATAGAAACGGCGGATATGAGCGACACTTACTTCTGCTGTGTATGTATAAACTCCCGTAGTCATAACCTGCAGCCCAAAACTTGCAATGGCAATTCCCATGGCGACTCCAATCCAGTGAGTCTTATTCTGGAGGCAAACGCCCTCGATAATGATGCCAAGAGGTGTTAGTAGAGCCGATGGGATGATTCCCAAGAGTCGATCTTCAGGGCTACGCTCGCCTCCACGATTCAGTGCCCGCTTTTCACTGATCCAGTCTGATATGCCTCCAGCGAACAGCTCTCCAACAAGACTGCCAACCGTAATCGGAATACCCAGTAAGAGACCAGTTTGTTGAGGTTGAAAGTGATATATTTTGCCAAAGAGATTTGCGCTAGTGATAATGAACAAAATGCTGCCGTAGGCGAAGCACAGTGAATAACACCAAGTCGGTATCACAACACTTGGATAAATCATCATCTGGAATGGCCGAAAAAAGTCCACAATGCGCAGCTGCCGCGTGGGATGTGCCCGTCTCTTCATGAGCATATTCGACATCCATGATTGCGACGGACGTGCAAGAGCCGCAGGAGTACGAGAGTACAGTGTTTCGGGAACGGTAAAGACGAAGATGATGAGAATGCCTCCCGTGATGATGGCTGGGACGTAGAAGCACCAGTGCCAACTCAAGTTCTTCTCGATATAACCTCCAATGAGGGGCGCGATGTGACCACCTGTCAGGAAACTAATAGTATAGATACCCATATAGACGCCTCTTTCGTGGGCGAAATACATGTCACAAACAGTGGCACTTCCCAAACCTAGCGGCACACCACCAAAGAAACCGTTGAGGCATCGGAGAGCTATGAGAGTCCCGTAGTTTTTAGCCGCTCCGGAGGCACCGCACATGGCCGCAGCGACGGCGACAGTGCCGATGTATACTGGCCGGCGCCCATAAACATTCGCGATTGGATTCCAAAAAATGGCGGAGATACCACCCAGCAAGATAAATGTGCTTGTCACATAGGCAGTTGTAACTAAGTCGCGGTGGAGAAACAATGATAGAGGAACAAAAGCTGGCGTCTGGAGCAAATCCACGTCTCATTAGTAAAGTCCATGAGCAAATGTACATATCTTCAGTATAGGAACACGTACAATTAAAGAGGCACTGAACAAAGCAAGAAACGAAAAAATGGAGACCTCGGTGAGAACCATCAGCTTCAACCAACGATTCCAATTGAGCGGGTCTTTCGGGTCGTCTGTGGGCTGTGGCGACAAAGGAATACCGCGAGGGTCCAGCTTCAGTGGTCCAGGAGCTTCTTCCTCATGTTTAGCGGTGCCGCTATTCTGTGAGCGATCTTCAGCAGCAGATGCCTCCGCCTTGTCTGTAGACATTGTGGCAGCTATTGTTGGACGAGTCAGATATCACAGACAGAAATTGAAAATGTCTCAAAGGGTTTGAAATAAGTTGGACATTGGTGAAAAATCCGGCTATGCATAATTGAGACTGGGCATGGTCGTTCTGTTCCTTGAAATCACTTCTTCCGCAGCGTTGCATCGTGTGGTATTTATCGTATGCAACTAGGTTGGGGGCTTTGTAATGAATCCCGGGGTCTTGGTAGTTATGCTGTACGGGTTTTCGGGGGGAGTTTAGAGTTATCCCCCACACTGCTAAACGCCACAAAGCCTACGACATATAATACATGGATGAGAGGCCATGCAAGCACACAGCAGTAGTTTGTAAACTAGCGGATAGAGAACTGTGGGGTAGAATGTCACTCAATAGGAGTAAGAGAGCTTTGAGCCCTGATCCAGCGTTGATCAACCGGTCAACGGAAAGTTGGTTTGCACACTTGATGTGATATTCTACGCCAGTCTATAAGATAATAACCACAATACATGGACAGAACAATGGTTACACGTACATATATGTATACACATCATATGACCATTGAATGGATTGACAACTAAACCCGCACTCAAATTTCGAAATCTGCGGTCTCACATGATATGGGATAAGTGAAGTACAAGACAGCTGCTCCAATAGGAGGAGCTAATCTCATCTCGTCTATATCAATGAATATAGTTATCCGGGGATGCCGCTAAGGGCTGCTGGTGGAGATTGCATCAACGACTCAGCACCAGGATTCTCCACACCCCACGACCACGTGGCCGAACCTAGAGTTGAATGGAGTTCTAGCTGAGAGCCCAGGTCCATCGTAAGATCCTGTGTGGTATCCCAGAGAGACCACAGGTCGACACCGCCATCTTCCATCGCCTCATCCGCTGCCATCGTTGTGCAATTGCTGTACATTGTGTTGTCTGCTACCCCCGGATTGCTTCCGGTCATGGCTGTTGGGGGCGTGCTATACCGCTCAAGTGACCTCCGTCTGTCGTCTGGTATTGTTCTATCAAGCAGGCCAAGCAACTGCTGCAAAAAAGCATACGCTCTCTGCGCACAGAGGTGATTGACAGACATTTGACGAATCATGTTAACCGCTTGGTCCAGATGCATCAAGGCACTACGATCATCTTGAAAATCTGGATCAACGACATGGGATACGATGATCAGAATGGAAGTAAACACTAGATACCTCTGTCAGCTGGGATTATTTCTCGCGAGTATTTTGGATCAACCCACAATAATACAAGTTGAACCAACTTGGTCCCATTGCATTCTTGGTCTGTTCATGCCGTTCGGCCACCAGTCGAATCGTTTCTTCGGCGGTACTCACGCAGATCTGCCGACTCCTCTGCAGCATGCTAGTTCGTAGTCGGCCGCCTTCACATCCTTTGGTAGCCGGCGTTGAATGACAAGATACCGAGGACAGCGCACTAAGACCTGACACCAACGACTGTCTATGGATCAGAATGCACACCATGTTGGCACGGAGTGCCAGAATTAGAGCCGCTTCATCTCCCCTTAGAGTAGCCTCTCGAATCCGGAGTCTGTTAGGCACCTCGGCTTGCCAGGTTTCAAATTCTTCATCCAGCCTGACCAAATCTGCCAACGCTGGTTGATCGCCCAGCATTGTTATAGCTTCCAAAAGGCGGTATAATTTGGAGACTTGCAAAAAGAACGACATGCTTGAAGTGGTCTGAACTGAGGGGAATAGCAGTCGTGTCGGCCGAATGCAATCGTCGTCTAAATCCTCTGGAAGAGGGGTCGTGAAAGTAGATGTGGAGGTAGCAGCAGGACGGCCGTATATCATGCTGAGCAATTTATCCAAACCAAAGCATGCGTACCATACACGTTTACGAACCTCTTGTTCTATGCAATCGAACTGCTCGGGATCGGGTGGCCGGTGTAATTCTAGATCATAGGCTATGCGGATTGCAAGTCCCAATACCGTCCAACATTCGTCGCTATAGCTTGAACTCTGCAGGTAGCGGGCACCGAGGAGCAGGGCTTGGACTTTTTCAATCTTCCAATCTGACAAGAGATTTGGCTGCATTAGCTGCATTGCGGTATTGTAATACTTGCGGGAGGTAGTATCGGAATCCCCATGGCCTTGTCGACTGTGAGCAACTGCTAGCGCACAGATCATGTTGAGGATAGCCAGAGTATAAACACTATCACTGTTTCCAGAGGTGGCGCCGTTACTGAGCACTTGTTCGAATTGGGCCATGATGGAAGGAACATGGAAGATTGGAGTAAGCTCGTGGTGAAAGTCGAAATATACCTGGAGCAATTCTCGGACATTGGCAGGTGGAGAAAAGAGGTTATCAGAGCCTCTCACGTCGACAGACCCATCTCGAGGGGAAGAGAAAGATTGAGAGTCGAGCTTGAAAGACGGGTTATTCATAGCATTGAGTATTAGTTGGGTAAAAGACTCGCCAGCTTTGCCACTGAGGAATATATCTGGAGTTGTTGGGAGGACGTTTTGATGCTGGGGTTGCTGATGCTGAGTGTGGTTGGTTGACCACCCAGCAGGCCGAATATGTCGCTGGGTCGGTGCCATTTTTGTCACTTCATACTGACTGGTCGACGGAACGGGAGATATAGTCTGCACTGCAGGTGCAGGCTGTTGTTGCATTTGCTGATTCTGATGATATTTTTTCGCATCTCGCTGAAGATCCTCAAAGTTGCGGACACGCCGTTCCAAGGATCGGATATATCTGGAGAAAAATTAGTATTTTTCAATCTGCAACGGCAAACAATTACTTCATCGAAATCGTACACTTGCGCCGATTTAGTCATACCACGAAGCATCTCGTCGGATGCTTGCGCCGGAACAATGTGATCGCATTTTGTCTTGCGTTGTCGGCAACTGCGGCACGCCACTGTCGCTCGTCGACGCTTCCTGGGACCGTCTTTGCGGTCGGACACAGCGTCAGCTTGCGCGGTCGGATGCGTAGTGGGAGGGCTGTCCATTATATCGCCGCTAATAGGTGAATAAAACCAGATTCTGGGCTCTTTAATGAATTTTGAGGCGCCCACGGTGAAAGGTGTTGCTCAGGGTGTTGAAACCGTCGCGAACCGAGGCGCTGAAGCTCCCTGTAGTCCACAAGCTGTCCTCAGCTAGCTATGGTGCTGGATCTCAATGAGCTAGTGCTGGCTGCGAGGCGGTATGGTGGACATCCATGGAATGGGAATGGATCGAGTTTGGGCAGTCCGAGGTAGCGAGGGTCAGCGACGTTTCGTCCGAAAGGACGGGGCATATTCCAAATTGCCACCCCCAGACCCGCCACCCCCAGCTGGTTGGAATATTCATCTGGGGTGCATATCCGGGGCATTGCGAGATAATACGCCTGGAGAACACCGCTAGTAGTGCTTGGCCTATTAGAGTCTACCGGCTCAATTCGGCACGAAACTGCCCGTTTCTCAACTCATCATAGATAACGGAGGCACTAAGCTGCCATAAAGCAATTCATCTTGTTCAGCTAGTTTAGAGCCCAATCCCCCTAGCTAGTCGGAGAGCTATTCAAAAACCTTCATAGCGGGTGTAATAATCAAGAAGCGCCACAGCGGGGAGATAACGAGGTCGACATACCAGTACGTCGATGTAAGCCATCCCACCAGGATATGTACTTGTACGACTTTAATATGCTATGTGCATTTCTAGACATGAGCGGTTGAATGAAATATCATTGATGATGCTGGCATATAGGTTCAGCAACAGGCTGCTTTCAGCAGGTACCACTACTGTAACTAATAACTTAATAGCATGGATACACAGATATTGACCAGTCTTTATCTTTCTACCTAGAGAAAACACTATTCTTGCCCAACCAACACCGCACGCTCCGTTATAGAGCTTATCATGTTAACATCTTTATATCTTTCACTGGTGTTTTGATCCATTAGGAGTTGCTTCTTCGCCCCATATTCAGCCTCAATATCGCCGGCCCATATCCACTGCATACGATCCTTCAAGCTGTCGCACACAAGCGGCAGACAGTCTTCGTAGGCTTTGCCTTTCATCTCTGCCGTTTGCATCTCATATACCTCTCCAGCTTGGCGAGCTGTTGCCTGAGCCTTCTGGGCGCGTGGAAGACGAACATCTTGGTAAAGTTGCATCCACTTTTGAAGTTCATGGGCATCTCTATCCTGAGACGCGGCAAGATAGTCTGCTATAGCTCTCCCCAAGATATATCCATCTTCAATAGCCTGGCCAGCACCGGCTCCTGTCGTACGTTAGTCGACAGATACAGTGCATTAGAGAATCGAAGAAAGTTTTTTTATGTCCTTACCCTGATGTGGAAGCATCTAAAATTATTGAGATATTAGTAGGCGCTCAAATGGTATGTTGCATGTACTGTGAACTTACTGCATGTGCTGCATCTCCCATTAGCACGATTTTCCCATCTCCGTATACCCATTGGTCCAAAAGCTCGCGGTCGTTCAAAATCCACTTGGACGGATTCTCATTCATGAACGAGATCGTCTTACGAACGGTAGTGTCGAAGGACTCAAACTCTTTCTGAACCTCGCTTCGATGGCCAGTAGCTGTCCAGCTTTCCTTAGTGCGGTCATCATCTGAGTAAACGAAAGCAACAATGTTCAATAACGTGTTTCTACTGATAGGAAAGGCCAGAAAGTGCTTGTCCGGACCCAGCCAGCTTACTGAGTACGAATCGAATGGCCACCACGATTCGAGGTCCTTGATTGGGACTAACCCGCGGTAGCACATACGACCACTGTATTTTGGATTGTCAGAGCGAAACTGAGAGCGAATGTTAGAATGAATTCCGTCACATCCAACTACCAAATCCGCTGTCGTGGTCGTCCCATCAGCGAAACACAACTCCACAAAATTCCCTTGATCCTAGAAGATGTCAATCCAAAGTCTCTTTGTATCTAATGGAATGTTGTGGCATGCTACCTTGAGCTCGATACACTTCTTGTTGATGTGAAGAGTAGCCGCGTTCCGTTGCTTCACATGATCAAATAAAAGAGACAAGAACTCAGCCCGGTGGACAGGGCTTTGCCTAATCTCTTGCCGGTCATCGACTGGAACCGTAACAATCTCGCTACCAGTGTCGTATCGGCGGAACGAAATCCAGATACCATTCCGATGGCCAGAGATTCTATTGAGGTCTTCCCCCACACCAATGCGATGAAGAAGCTTGGCAGCATTTACCCCAATGCCCAAACCAGCTCCAATTTCCTTGTATTCCGGTGCTTGCTCGTATACATCAATAACGATACTGCCATCCTTGGGACAGTGATGGTGAATGGACAGCGCAGCACAAAGGCCGCCAATGCCGCCGCCAACAATGGCGATATGAAACGGGAGCTTTTGACTAGGCATATTTGGAAGAACTATGATTATTCTATAATGTCAATATTGAAGCATCTTGGTTTCTCCGGTATTAGCATTATTTATTGCTTGGCGCCCTCACAATTCAGCAGTTTAAAAAGAGCGTCCTAGTGAACCAGAGCCATCGTTTCTTACCGGTCTCCTCCCCCGGACCGGGGTCAACCGGGTAAGCTGCTTAACTCCCCGACCAATGCTTCTCCCCGCAAGTTTCGTGCGGGGAAAGCGAGTGTGTTTGTTTCCCGGAAGTCGCTCGGCCTGTCGCCAGGCAAATAATCAAATAATAGCGCGCATTGTGCGGAGGTAAGATTTGAAGGATTTCTCAATCCTCCTACGAATAGATTATATTCCCGCCCTAACACTAATACGAGCGCAGATAGCCATTTTTTGTCTTGAAGGTGACTACATGTACATGCACCTATGTTTAAACATTATATCTATTCAAGCTTGAAAGGGTCGATTGAGAATGACTCCCTCTTATTTGCTAGCCAATGGCGCAGTACGTCAAAATTGCGACAAGTATGCACCTGGATTGAGTCGCTATAATAATATGAGCTGTTTTTGTCTGGTCGATATGGAATCGGGGTGAGATCGCCGTGGCATTGTACAGATTCTCGAAGAACATCTAGACAGTGATCTAAGAAATTAGCGAGGCCCAAAGCTTCTTTACAGTGTCAAAATCATACCAGTATGGACGCGAAGAGGAGGGAGTCCTTTTGGATAGTAGAAGTCCGCATCAATGACTTTTCTAAGGTGGTTTATGCAATGTAATAAATGAAATGTATCAAGCCTGTTAAACTTTAGTTACTGCTAGGTTCATCCGCTGTTGAACACTCACTGCACAAAATCAAGATAATCATCAGCTTTATCACCAAAAGCATTCGATTTTTCCTCAGCCGTTAAGTTAAACCACCTCTCTGTTATGTGTTAGATATGTTTGAACACAGCTATGACGAAGGGACGTTCTGTGAACTTACTTTCTAGTATCTCATTCCACGCCTCATCTATTTCTTGATAAGATGTTCCAACATAGGGACGAGTGCTGGCGCCTCCTGTGATCTTAAACGACCCTTCAGCTAATACTATCCCTCCAAATTGCACTTGATGATATTTTATGTCCGTAACCGCTGGTTCTACTACAAGTGAGTGGTTTTATTTTTATTTTTATTTTAAAATGAATGGAGTAAGCATACCGAAATCTGTTTTGGATGAAATGCATTGCGATGGACTACCACCCATGCATGAGGCTTTTTGTTGCAGTAGGAAGAGCAAGAATAAACAAATGCACAGTAAAATTGCAGAGCAAGCAGGCCAAAATTTAGAACACGGGGTTTTATACGGGCCAGAGTCTTCGTTTCCATCATTACCTTGAAGTGGTTTATACAATCTCCTAGACCATAAGAACATGCTGAAAGAAACGAGGAAAATGCCACGTATGGAAGCTTGTGGTAATAGGGTATAATCGTATAGAAAGGGTTATGCTCCTAGAGGCACTTGGACAGCTGGGCTTTCAAGTTTGTTTAATAATGACGATAATAAAATCCCTGTGGAGTAATTAATTTATTTCATTTTACACCAAAAAATTAGGACACCACCTCCGTGGAGAAAACAGGGGTTGATGTAACGACGTTAACAAATTATCGAAGCAAAATGAAATTTAATATTTCCAACCCGTCCAAATGAAGACGCCAAGCTCCCTGTTCAGACATGATAGTGAATCCTATTCCATGTCCTTGGACGAAATAGGCAGCTGCATAATAATTACATTGTCAGCTTACCCCCGGCATTTGCATGGGAAGATCTCGTATCGCCCTGGAGGATGATCCCTTATTCATGGAAAAACAAAATGATAGACTACTCAAGTATGTACCCCGCATCAAATGGCGGATCTATCCTACTTTCGGCTGTAGATTTACTATTTTGTTTTGGACATACATAATCGCTTATTGATATAGGCATTGGTAAGTTGTTGTATATATATCACTATGATCTTGTATGTGTGTCTGATTAAACTAGTAGCATTACAGAAAGGTGTGAAGCACACTAATTCATATATATACTAGATTGATTTAGGACTTATAAGAAAGACATGGACTTAATTGGTGGGATATCTTTATGTGAAGAGGGAGAATGATAACTGCAAGCCACGGAAAACTTGGTAGCGGTATGAATCGCTCACCGGCAAATACTTTGAAAGTCACTAACTTCGGAAACCACGTGCGCTGATTAGATTCATGAAAGATGAATATATAAATATGGCCATTGGTATCATAAATGCGAGTCAAATTATAACCAGCAAAGAGCTTCTCCCTCGATTCAGTTCCTAAACTACTACACCGCTACCAGCAATCTATCACGCCTCTACTCTGATAGCCTTCAAGATGAAGAACTTATTCACCCTCGCTGTTACTCTTGCACTGGCGATGACTGCCGCAGCTGCACCTTCCGAAATCTTTGAGCGCGATGGCATGCTATTCGACAAACGCCAGTGCGGTTGTGTTGCTGGCCAGGAGTGCTGTGTTTCTGGAGATGCAACACTTTGCTTCCCAGGCTGCTAAAGTACGTCTATTCATCCAAGTTACAGGTAAATTTGACCCTAAAATATAAAGTTAGCGAGCAATAGCATTCCTTCGATGGAATTGTAATGCAGATGGTGTTGTCTGGCGGAAGGCTTAAAGATGTTCGGTCGGTTGCTGGATGGATGTCAGAATATGTCAATATCAAGGTTTTGTACATGGATAGTGTAACTAATTATGTTGATTCATGTATGAGAATTCAAATATTCTGACAGTTTCATATTACTTTGGAAAACGTGGTTGCCCCTGCATTCTACCTGGCCAGACGGAATTGATACTACCAAAAGAATCCTAGTTCAATTAAGGTTTGAAATACAGTGAATAATTCAATATCACACTGTACCATCCTATTGTTTCCGTGGAACTGAAAAAGGCCTTACAGGATAGTACGGAGCACGGGAGCTTGGAATAACATTTCCCCGATATATGCCATTGAATGCTTCATCTCATCCACGTCTTTTTTGCCCCTTGGATTAATGTATGTGTCGTGACGCCGACAGGCCTTTTTAAAACAATTTTATGATTGGTGCAAGATTTGATTGCCATGGATCGCTCCGCAAAGCCTAGGGTATCTGTGGCCTGTCTTCCCTGTCGCAACCAACATCTGAAATGCGACGCGAATCGCCCAATCTGTGCACGCTGTCGGTCACTGGGTAGATCATGCTCATATCCGGAATCCCGCAGGAGTGGCAAGTATCGAAACACGTCTTTATGGAAGACAAGATTGCATGGCATTTCTCCAAGTTCCCCGAATCTTCTCAGTCCATCGGCATCAAGATCCCAAGAGGATGAGCAGTCCACTAATTCTGAACCATGCATATCCCCTGCTATGCTTTCCGTCGCCGCATCCGTCACCGCACCCGTTATCGAACCCGTTAGCGAATCCAATATTTGTTCTATGGATGGTCATCTGTTGGATCTCTATTACGAGTATTTCCATCCGAGTCATCCATTTGTATTGCCACGCAGGAGTCTTGACTTAAGGTTAAGAATGGGGACTCATTCTTCGACCCTCCCACAGTTGATCGTCACAATGGAATATATTGGGTCATTCTATCAGCACACTCCCATGGAGACAAAGATATTTCCCACTGATGAAGTCAGCATTGAACTAGATGGATTTACCGTGCAGAATACTCTATTACGCGCGATGGTTAAGAGCATGTGTGACGACAAATCTGGCGCAGAAATGTTATTAGCACATGCTATTCAGCAGGCAACTCTTATTGGTATGCATGAGAAGAACTTTGCTGACGCAGTCGCCGATGACGATTCTATCCTATCGGAAAGCTGGAGGCGCACTTGGTGGATGTTATACTTGACAGATGCCAACTTTTCTGTCACAAGACGTGATTTCGTACCTCTCATCACAACATCATGCCATGACATTGATCTCCCCTGCGAGGATGAACTTTATGAACGCATGGTAAACATATAAACAACTTATTCTCTGTAGCATTGCATGTTAACTGTACGTCAGGATATTCCTCGTCAGACAGCTAAATTACTCGATTACCGTCTCCGCGAATTCGCACTAGACGATAAATCCTTTTCATCCTTTGCGTATCTCATCGATGCCACAGAAATCTTCATCGCAGCATTGAGTGCATCCACTCAATATCAGGACATTATTCAAGCGGAAGTTTTGTGTGGCGACTTAGAGGCTAGAGTCATCAGCTGGTTCTTATTACTACCACTCAGTAAAAGAGAGCTGCCAGTAGCGCCCGGGCGAATGGATCAGCTCATGTTTCAAGCTCACATGATGATGTATACGTATGCTCCAACTTGTGCAATTGGAGTGTTCGACCTCTCGCTGACTTGCCAAAGATCTCTTGCCTTTATTCACCGACCGCTGTCAAACTTGAGATACGACCCAGCGGAAGGTATTTCTACCTGTGGCCCGCCACCGCCACCACTGGAGCAGAGCTCTGGCTATTCCAGGATTGCCCACGGCATACATTCTGAGAAGCTGTTCCAGGCCATTCGAAAACAGACCCAATGTTTAATTCTGTTACCAATGAGAGCGGCACAGCTGTCCCCCTTTGTCATTTGTATGGTAGCATGCTGCACCATCGCTTACCTAGTGGCATCAAAATTTGCTTTCAAGGCGGAAGAAGCCGAAGCAGCTCGCAGTCGGATTCGCATTTCCTTGGCGACGCTCAGGATGTACGAGGAAATTTGGCCACGTGCGAAGAAAATCTTGATGGAATTGAAGCGAATTGCGCAGAGTATTCTGCAGCCGGCGATAGTACCACCAACTCTGTTGATTGACTCTCAGCTACCCACAGAGGAAACCACCATCACGGCTAGTTTCTTTGACCACGAATGGCTACGTGCTTTTGATAACACGGTCTCTTAGGTGAACTCGAGGCCATGTAAGCTGGTGGAATTTATATCAATTTTGTAGATTAGAACGTTGAATTTAGAAGTAAGGCAATTTCATTTGGCTATAGCTGTAATATTGTAGAAGCACCATCCTTTAAATTATGCATCATTATGGCGTGGTTACAGCCGGTTTCAGTTTTACCGATTGGGCGCTTTCATAAGGCTAGATAGAGCTCTGTACCTGGAATGTTTTCTCTCTCGTAGATTTCCCCTATGCGTATGCATAACTTCACATCTTCCGATCGCAAAATACTGATCAATTGTCTACCTAATATGTGGTCAGCTTCCGATACACATCCGAATAGCCTAAGCTGATGTGGGGCCGAATGACGATGTACTGGCAGCGATTTGTCCCGAGCCGAGTTGAGGGCAGGAGATCGCAAGTAGAGAAGAATTACTACATATATATATTCCCAAATATTTCCCCTATAGAACATGCTGATGAATTTGTCGGAGGACGTTATTCTTTGGACAATATGGCAGCACTGATTCGAAACACAGCCCTTAGCACCGCCGTGCGATTTATTTCACGTAGCTCCATTCTTGCCTATCCAAACACATCAAATGCCAACCTCTCAACAAGCAGAATAGCGGCGGGAAAAAATTCGGATGGCCCTAGAGCCATTCAAGATCGTATTGAAGTCGGCTGGTGAGCATAATGTAAATATACTCTCTCCGCTCAATTGTTAACACAGAATCTAGGGCCTCAGATAACGATCCAGAGAACCCTCAGCATTGGAACCTTTCATGGAAGATCTTCGTCAGTTCGTTAATATGGTGAGTAATTATGGCCCATAGAAATTGTTTGTATATATATATTTTTCTGACTACCTCGGAAACAGCGTGTACACGTTCACTGTTTATTGCGGCTCTTCCATATATGTACCGAGCCAGGAGTACGTAAACTTGCATTTCTGGCGATAATCAATATTTTAATTCGAGACTTAGACAGGTGATGAAAGAATTTAATGTTTCTGAAACGGTAGCATCCCTTGGACTAGCACTCTACGTTCTTGGATGTAGGTTGATGACCACCATTTGGCATGTGCACAGCTGACTTCCTGTCTCATTAGATGGTCTAGGGCCTCTCGTTTTCTCTCCTCTCAGCGAAATACCACACATTGGTCGAAATCCAATATATATTATTACCTTTGCCATATATCTTGTTTTTCTTATTGCATCCGCAACTGTTGAAAATTTTACTGGATTCCTTGTTATTCGTTTTTTGCAAGGCTTCTTCGGTAGCCCCTGCCTAGCAACAGGGGCCGCTTCATTAAGCGACATGGTAAGCAGTATTGCTATGTGGGAAAATTTACGACTTACTGATCACAACATTGTAGTTTCCAGTTACTCGGATTCCATATCCTCTCGCTGCTTGGTCTGGTGCCATGTACGCTGGCCCAGCTCTCGGCCCCGTATTGTCAGGCTTCGCCGTTACTGCAAAGACGTAAGCGTTAATTATAGAACAATTTCATTGCTTGCATTATTGTCTGACTATAAACAGATGGAGGTGGGCTATGTGGGAAATGGTCTGGCTCACAGCTATTGTCTTGGTTCTTTTATTCGTCTTTCTTCCAGAAACTGCTGCACCGACATTGCTCTACTATAAGGCACAGCGATTGAGAAAAGAGACTGGGGACTCTAGATATATCTCCGAACATGCATCCTACCAGCAATTAAGCCGAAGCCAAATAATCCAGCTGGCTCTGGTGAAGCCATTCGAGATAACAGTCAAAGACCCAGCAATTGCGTTTGTCAATCTTTACGTGAGTCAAGGTCATCACTTTTTAAACATTTTAACGGAGATCGGCTGACTTGTGAATACGTTAGACCGCGATGACATATGGTATTTACTATTCATTTTTTGAAGTATTTCCTCTTGTGTATCCCAAAATTTATGGTATGAACTTGGGAGAAACCTCCGCAGTTTTCCTCTGCGTACTTATCGCGTGCATCATTGGCACCGTATGGTATTGCACCTGGTACCGATTCTTCGTTCAAAAGCGCTTCGATAAGCTTGGGACTTTTGATATGCAGGAAACATTCCTTCGTCCTGGTTTAATTGGAGTGTTTGGAGCCCCCATCGGCATGTTCCTTTTCGGGTGGGCAGCGCGTGAATCAATTCCCTGGGAAATTCCCACCCTCGGCATTATGGTATACTGCGGGTGTTCATTTGTGGTGGGACTTGGCATTTTTATTCATTTGCCATGCAGCTACGCACAGTATTCCGCTAGTTTGTTTGCCGCAAATGACGCATTTCGAAGCGCATTTGCCAGCGCAGCAATACTCTTTGGACGACCTCTTTACATAAATCTTGGTGTAGGTAGAGGGTGCAGCTTGCTTGGTGGGTTGAGTATTTTTGGAGTCCTCGGCTTCTGGTATTTATTCTTGTACGGCGACAAGTTGCGGAAGAGCAGCAAATTCACCGCACATTAATGAATTCTGGAACCGAGAAATGGTATAATGGCTTAGAGATAGGGCGTATAAATTTAATCTGGCTTAAGTAGAATAAAGCACTGCGCTTGCAAGATGAACACATTCTTTGTTGATGATGAGCGCCACGCTAATCAAATGGCTAGATCGGGGTCGGAGTCGGAGTCGGAGTCGGAGTCGAAACTAGAGTAGAAAGGGGATCAACCATCCACTAGTGACCTAATCCTCGGGTGGAACCAACAAGGGGGGGCTTTTGAATCCAGCGCTGTTGCCTTTCATTGCCATTACACAGCGAAAGGAGTGTCCAAATGTCAAAACCGAGGGGTATATAGATTTGCTTGCACCCTCCTTTCATTATTCTCCCTTTGTAAAACAAAAAGCTTGCACCCATCTTCTCCTCTTCAACATGACTGAATCCTCCGGGACAATTTTGAAATTAAACAAAAGCATCATTCGACGCTATCGCACATCGGATGCCGAAGCTATAGTTGACGGCGCGGATACACCCTTAGTTTCCGAATACATGACGGCATCATTTCCGAGCCCTTACACACTGGAAAAGGCCAGAGAATGGATCAAAATTGCTGGTGAAGAAGGAAGTCTTCACTTTGCCATATGTACCATTGATAGCAATCTTGTTATTGGCGGCTGTGGATTTCAGCATCTCACAGGCGTGGAATCTCGCACCAAGGTTATTGGCTACTGGCTGTCGCCCAAGTACTGGGGCCAAGGTATAATGACGGAAGTTATCACATCATTTAGTGATTGGATTTTTGGGCAGGTTCCAACACTACTGAAATTAGAAGGGAGTGTGGTTGAAGAGAATAGAGGCAGCATAAAGGTTTTAGAGAGGGCAGGGTATCAGCATGAAGGAACTAGGCATATGGCCGTGTGTAAAAATGGAAGGGTTAGCAACTGCATGTTGTTTGGACTGACGAGAGATCAATGGGCGAATGCCGCCTAGTGGAATGTAAACACAGCTAGCTGTTAAGTCTAGCAAGAGAATAAATAATTGGGGGAAGAAGCAATGAACGTTATGCCACATATCGATTGCCACTATGTAGGTATGGAGGATTATTTTAAATTATGCTATCATATCAAGGACAGAAATAGTATGCCGCAATTGCCAGCGTATCAATTGAAAATGCCTACCTTTAACAGCCGACTTGGCCGAATGTTTCCCGTCTTCCCTCGAGTGATCTGTGCCTTATTTGAGATAGTGGAATATCGCATTGGTAGCTGGACAAGCCAAACGCTGATAGGAGAAATTGTCATTGAATACTATGTCAGCCAGCTAAGCGTATCTATATATCTCAAGTCACTGGGATAGACCACGTCAACAACTTTATCCACATTAAAGCTGCTAGACATTTCAGAAAGAGGATTAAGAACTTGATCCAATACTTTTGAAATGAGATTCTTTGCCCTGTAGCAGTGATCAGTACATGGCACCTTGGCCAGCAGCCATTCTAAGAAAGCTCCAAGAAGACTCAGTTGTTGAATGATATTGGAGATCGAAGATGTAGAACCGCCATGAGATTCTATTTGAAGAAGTGCTTCACACAATACAACAGCTGCAGGCACTGCATATCCCACGATGAACCATTCATGGTCGCCTTGCATGCCCACTAGTATGTCGTTTCGCGTCCAGAATGTAACCGTTGCTGATACAATATCTAGACTAGTCTGAATTAGACTATCTCGTGGGAGGGTTGGCTGAGCGTTTTGCAACAACTTTTCAATGAGGAAGAGATTTTGAAGGTGTTCTAAATGGATAAAAAGTTTGGTATATAGAACATGAGGTTCAAGGGACTTGACCTTCGTGTCGCCATCAGTCAGCCGTATATCGCTAGGCAGACTGTCGAAAATATTGACCTGTTGTGACCTCAAAGAACTAGATTTCAAAACTCTTGTTAGTTCGGATTTCTAGATTTGAACTATAGTCATTGAAGTGGACTTACATTAAATTAAGCGCACTTTTTTGCTTTTTGTTCAAAGCAAAAGTTACAATATTTTCTCGAATTTGCGCGATTAACCCTCTTGCTCGAAGACTTGTTGTTGAATAAATTTTGCCGTTCTTATTCCATCCTTTCTCATTTACGCCTAGAGAGTCATAATCCACGACCTGACTGGGCTTCCAGTTTATGAGAATGGTATTGCAGATGTCCAATGGCAATGCTGTGGAGCAACTGTCGGATGGTAAGAGAGGCAATTTACCGGAAAACATGGCTGCTGCTTTATCCAGAACATAAATAGCCGTGAAAAGACGACGTCCAGACTGTTCTGAAATGCGAGGATCCTGTATTGATGCATCGGGCATGATATTCAGGCCCATGCAACAAGCTAAAGAGACGGCTTGTGAGTGAAATCGCCAAAATCCAGTATCTAGAAGTAGGCAATTAGCACTGCTATATAAGGTATTGATGGTTTGGGGGAGTTACTGCTGGGGCCGTGTAAAATAGACGAAACAATGCTTGTGCGGTATAGGAGATAAAGCAGCAACACATTATTAGCGTTCTTGTCCCGGCAGAATTTGATACAGCACTCCATAACGTCAAAGAACTTCAATGCAAGAACTCTTGGTCGATATCCATCAATATCTTCTTTGTTTTGCAGCGCACTTAGTGCCCAGCTGCTAAAGAGCACACCAATTACTTCCCATCTCAGATTTGGGCCCGAAATAGTAGTATACCAATCTTCTGATGGATACCACTGGCTGTCCGGGAATTTTTGTGCCGTATTTGAAAAAATGGTCAATGCAAGGGCCTCCAGATGCTTTCCGTTGCTCTCTTGGCAAAATGCAGAAGCAAAGGTAGTTCTTAGCCCGGCCAGCAGTACTGTGGTGGACAATGGAATCCACCCATCAAACGGATTTATATGAGGCTTAGCAAGTATACGTTCAGCATCAGGGCTTGGTAGACTCGATAGAACATCCAACGCTGTCTGTAAGTCTTCGGTGCTTAACCCCAAAGAGGCGCGTCGATAATACTGTAGACTGAGAATATGGGGTAAAGAAAAATTCTGGGTACTGTTGAGGCATGCGTTGATTTTGTAGATGTTAGAGCTTAACCCAGTCTGTGTCGATCTGTCCGTTGCCTGTATGTTTGATGTTTCTTGTATATATTTAGTCAATGTAGAATCATTTTGCGGCAAGGCAACAAAGGCTATGGCAGAATTGTCTGAATGGATAGCGGACGTTTGGTGATGCTGTGAGCTTTGGCTAAGATACCTGCAAGGATCCTTTGCCCGACTTCGCTTGCAGCGCTGGCATATCGGAAAAGAACGATCGCAAGCGTATTTTCGGCGTTGGCATGGTTCACAGGCAACTAAGCGGCCATTTTTTGTTCGAGGTATAGTTGCGCTATGTTTATCCCGATCCATTGATGGGTGAGACGGCTGAAGAGTAGGTCTGTCAAGATTCTAGACACGAGTGATTGCGCGGTCAGAAATAACCGAAATAGCACGTGATGGCGCTATATTTGCAGTGCTGGGCTACTGGACACACATGGACAGGCATTTGCACGACTAGCACTTGCTGTTGGGGAATTGATTATCCCCTATTACATAGCACTCTGGCTGTCTATTCATACATATATAGCACAAACCGAGACTACGAATTTTCAGCGTCTCGTTTATATCCAGTATTATAGCATGGAGGGAATTGATATCCTATCATTAGTCATTTGCATGGCCCCTGCTAACCATAGTTACCTAGGTACTTGGGAGAGTAATGTGAACGGCAGGCGAAATTGAACGACGTCTTGGTATGTGCTTTTTATCAATGGCTCACTAGATGGAGAAATATAGAAGTTCTAGTGGACTGCATTTCCAATTCCCAATCATCCATAGCCTCAATAGCAATTATCTAGGAGGCATGATTTCCTACCGATTTTGCTTCCAGAACATTCAGAACGGCTGCGGATTGCAGAAGATGTGCCCTCCAGCTAGTGTATTGGGCATATATACCCAACATCACTCTTCACAAGATATCAATTTCTCCAGCCACGGACCTAACACCTCAAGACCATATTCGTCGTGGGCAGGGTCTGATGTGTAAAACATATCCTTGCACCACCCAGGAGTCCCGCAGGACATGAGGCGTTGACCAACTGGTTGGCACGAGCCAAAGTCGATGAGTTTTGGCTCTCCTCCCTCCCCCAGCATGATGTTCGCCGGATTTATGTCGTTGTGTGCTAGTCCGATCGAGTGCAGATGGTCGACAGCCGCCCGTAGTCCTGTCATGATACGGTCCTTGCTTATCAGTCCTTTAAATAGGTCAGGCCGTTGTATAGCAACCGCTAGGTCATGCTTGAGTGGGAAAGTCTCTAGGACTAGACCGACGATTCTGCCTCTTTTCAAACGACAGCCGTAATAACCAACGATATTTGGGTGTGGATTCTGTGCTAGAAATTCCATTGTCTCGGCTTCCTGAAGCATAAGCTTAGGGAGCAACGCGGTATCTTTGAGCTCTTGGTAGGTCGACCAAGCTGTGCGCTTAACATATCGTCCAGAACAGTCATCCGGTGCTGCGGTTAGGCCAGTCGAGGGGAATATCGGATAGATTTCTTCGTCCGGTATAGGTCTGAGGCTCTCTCTGGCAATCTCCACAGTGAGCTGCTGTGCACGCATTCCCTCTTTGAAGCCATGGTAGGCGTTCTCTTCCGAATCGACGAGTGCAAATGAAGTTTGTGGGATCTGTTCTCCATTGAACTCGATTGTCCACTCGCAAATGGAACAGAGATCTGTCAGGGTCGTGACTTCAAGGTCCATAACCAGATCCACAGAGCAAAATAAACCTCAAGATGTGATGTTCATATCAGTAGAAGCTTTGAAAGAGGTGCCACGTTGAGTGGCAACAGCAACTGGTAGTTTGTGGATATAATTTGCAAAGGGATATTGAAATTCTCGTCGTGGAACTAACGTAGGGCTTAGGAACGCTGGTCACCGGCCCCGTTACTTCAGTGCACGGTCAATAATAGGTTAGTACACATACTGGCACCAAGTGACCATAGTCAAATCCCTGATACCAACTGATATTTTCCAGTCATGGCTACAGTTATATCCCGTACCTCTATGACCGACTGGGATTCAAAGTGTCATAATATGCTACGTATTGATGACTTCTATCTCCATAGGAGTTGCTATCATACCTTCTAAGAAGCTTAGGAATCTCATGTTTGTCAAAGTTTCACATTTGGTTTAATCTGGCTAACATAGCTATCTGTGCGATTTTTATAACCGCTCACCATTAATGATTGAATCCAGCATCCCTGCCGTAGCAACCAGTGCTTCGTCCTGGTGCCGGTACCCAACCACCTGAACGGCGATTGGGAGGCCTTTATAAAGGTCTGGCCCTGTATCTAATTGGAGAAAGAATAATCCGTTAGTTTCAGCTCTCCAGCAGAAAATATGGGTAGTCGGTATTCACGCACATAGTTTATAAACTTCGGCGTCATGGGTACCGTTTTTCGCGTTACTGAGATCGTCTTTGGAATCTGAATCTGTTACAACATCTATAGGTATGACTACTGCTGGGTAGTCAAGGTAGTTCCACAACCCTGTGTATGTAATACTCGTCCAAGTATCCAAGGGCAGCGCAGTATGGGGTGCTGGAGGCATCAAGATAGCATCTAGATTGTTGTCACAAAAGAGGCGCAGATATACCTTTGCAGCTTCCGCCCTACGTACGTTCAAGTCGAAGAAGCCTTTGAGAGTTGTTTTTTCTCTTGACAGGAGGCCAATTGTCTTGAGAGATGGCACCACAGGCTCTCCAGTTCGGCTAAACTGTTCAAGGTAATTCTTTTTTGGTATTTTACATCAGCAACCAATTCAAGGAAAAGAGCGATTGATGGACATACCTCGTCTCCCAATAAAGTAAAGTACGTCAAAAGGTCTTCACACAAATTCTTGACGTTTGGTAGAGTCAATGGGATAATTTCAACAGCATTACTCTGTCGAAGTTGATCAACTGCCTTCTTCAGGACCCTTCTCACTGGTGGAACCGGGGTGTAGACACCATCGTCTTCAACTACACCAATTCGCAAGGTCTTTGCGGCTTTGAGATCTATCCATGGCAACGAGATAACAGCGCTGTCATACTTCCATGTACCGGCCTTCATGATTGACTTCAGAAAGAGAACACAGTCTCGGAACGTAGTTGCCATTGGTCCAACACTCGACCTTACTCCGTCTGTGCCTGGTTCAGTAAGGTCACGCGTGCCACCGTGAGGAATCAGGCCTGCACTCGGCCTCAACCCATAAATTCCGTTACAAAGAGCCGGCACACGGATACTTCCGCCTATATCTGTACCAACTCCAAGAACGCTTCCTCTAAGGGCGAGCAGTGCACCTTCACCGCCTGTGCTACCACCGGCAGTTATGGAGGCATTTATAGGGTTGAGTGTCCTTCCAAATACATTATTGTCGCTGTCGGCGGTCATGACTAACTGCGGGACATTTGTCTTGCAGTAAAGAATGGCGCCAAGATCAAGCAACATGGCGGCAATAGCGCTGTGTTCTTCGGCTGGCGCATTGACATAGCAAGCCAAACCGGTTGAGGTATCATGCCCTTTAACTTGAAAAGTATCTTTGAGTGAAACGGGCAGGCCAAAGAGTGGCGGGAGCGTCTTGCCATCCGTTAAATCGAGTCGCTGTTTATCAAGTTGGCGAGCACGCTCGATCGCCTGATCAAAAAAGATTTCTGTCAAACAATTCACCTATTCCAATAATATAATTAATGATAGGATTATGTGACATATAATCGTATGAAACCTACCATCTGATGAGCAATAGCTGCTCGCTTGCAAAAAGCTGTGGTGACTTGCTCAACAGACCAAGTGCCAACTTTAAGACCCATCAGAAGACCTGTTGCGTCGTAGTTGGACGTGATTTCGATCTCAGTCTCGCTTAAGATCCCACAGGTGGGTGGTACATCAAAAAGGTTAATGGAGCCGTGGAGCATTTCTTGGTCAAGTATCCAGGCTGGGGGAATTTTTTGGCTCCTCCGCAGCCGTTTTTCATGGGAGATAATCTTATAGTCTTGTTGGGTCATTTTAATCGTCGAGCAATATCTGCGCAGCGTATGAGTCGCGAGAACTTTGATGCATTAATGCCTTTCTTTTTTTTTTTCCTCTTATGAGAGATATTCGATTGCTATATATACTTTTAATCCGCCTGGCACGTTTGGATAATGATCCCATAATCTCCAATACATTGACTATGCTATCCAACTCAGAACCTGAGAAGGATATCGCCACTCTCGCTAATAAATTCTCCGGTTCCGGTTCCATGATACTTACGCGATCCTTCTCAAAGCAACAATTGCGGACGATTTACATATTCATACCATCAATTGACTTAGGTAATAGTCATTGGCCAGATTTTTAAAGGGCAAATGGAATCCCAACCTCAACAATATTTGCAGCCAGTCAACCTTGTCAAACCCCGCTACCCATGGTTCTATGACGCTAAAATAAGCTGCTCCACAGAGTCTGCAACGTCAGTGAGATCATAAACTTCCGGTCAACCTTCCGGCGGTCAATATTCCACAGTCAGCAAGTGAGACGCTGATTCCTGTTAATGTAGGGTCTTCAAGGTTGGGGAAAGTCACTGTCGAGAATCTATTATCGCATGGATCGGCTAGCCTTTCCTCCCACTGCTCACGATACAAGTCAGGCAATTTACGTCCCCTAGCCTCACTGAAATAGACCAAATAAATGGCGACAATTACACCCAAAACTCGAAATACTCGAACAGCATGCGATCGGTGTTATGAGCTAAAAGAGCGATGCGCACGCTCGGCTATTAGCCTTGCCTGCACAAGGTGCAATCGGCTGCAACTTTCTTGCTCAATAACTCGTCCCATCCGTCCGGTTGGCCGAAGACCAAACAATTGGAATGCTTCAGTTGGTGCGGCTGCATCCAATCCAATCATATCCAGCACAAACAAGCAACGTCAGGTAGACGTTGGTTTTTGGTTTCATGACGGAATCAATATCGACTTCAGAGAAAGAGAACAGCTCAGGTTCCTCTTAAATGAACCCCAAAACTTCGGGTACCACCTTGTGAGCCGTAGTTTCGAACTTACGGAGCATCGATCACTAGTTGCTTTTCTTCCCGCCGCCATGCCACTCCTCAAGGATGCCTTCCTTTCCTATGCAAGTGGACTACAATTTGTTCAGACTGGTGTGGCAGTAGATGTAGATGTAAACGCAAGCCATCGCTATGCGTCATCTGCCATCGAAGTGCTGAGATCGTTAAACGTTACAAACATACAGGAGGCGATCTTATGCCTTACCCTCGGAAAAGTTCTAGTTCTATCTGTGTACTCCCTGATAGGGGTCGGCGCAGCCGAAATATGTCAATACTGCCTGAACACCGCGATGGTCTATACAAATGCAACGATATCCTGGGATCAAGACGTAGTATCACAACATAGCTTTCTTATGTTTATGGAGACTATAGATTGCCTGGTTCACTGTCGGAAGCCAACGCAGAGATTCCCACCACAACAAGCAGCAATTATGGACCGTTATCTTGGTCTGTGCTTGTCCTTATTACCTTATTATTATGATTTATGCGTCATCAACCATTCAATGGTAAACAATACTGACACGTCATACCTGGTTTACCTTTACAAGAAGCTTGATGAAGTCCGGGTTGCCGTGGACGCATGGCGACCACCACCCCTGGGAGACCTAATGCATCATGTCGAAACGGTAGACATGATTAATCTGCTCGCGCAAGCAAAAGTATACCGACTAGCGGCGTTGCTAGTAATCCATCGTCTGCGATACCCGTTTGGCCAACAAGATGGTCAAGCGAATGTCTGGGCAAACGAGATTATGAAGGAATTTGAGCTTGCGGATTGGGCTACAAAACAAGCCACTCGGTGTGTAACAATGCCTTATATAGTCGCAGCAGTCGAAATTCAGGACTTCAGCTTGCGAGTCAGGGCCCTGGAGAATGTTACCAAGTATGTCGACAAATTTACCCCAACGGTTCAACGATCAGCAAGGCAATTTCTCTCGCGCATCTGGCTAGAGCGAGACAACAACATAACTTACTGTTGGTTTCAATCAGTAACTAAACCTTGTCCAGTTCTACAATCCCTCGAATGTTAGACCATGCTGTGATCACAAAAGTTAGTGGTATGGTGTTTCATGCTGAAGTTGTTCTCTCACCATCATGCCAGTTCGAGTGATGCTGGGCTACCAACCCAGATGGTTCAACACTGAAGGAGTTACCGTAACAGAGAATAAGTGGAAATGCTTGGATAGTTTTATTGATTCACAGTTATGTTTTTTCCAATTCGGTTTTGGTTCTATAACGATAACATCTTGTCACTGGAACTGGAGGAGGGTTGTTCTTCACTAGATAGATGCTGTTCGTGAGGGGATGGTAAAATCAGGCATTCATCTATACTAATACTTAGCAAAGATTCTAGTTAGTCAGATGCTACACTACTTGATATAATCTCTACAGTAAAGCTTATGCATGACAATATGAAATTGTCAATTTGGGGTATGTGAAGTTGTTCATATCTCTCTAAAGACGGTAAAAAATTCCGGGATGCATTAGTCATAGGCTAAAATACGTCTCGGGTATGGTATCCTTGATTGTACTTATAGTTACTCCATGCCTAACAGTATCATGGTTGAAATATGAGGTATAAGCGCCAAACTTGTTAAATATGAAGTTGAATTAAGTACTGTAGTGCTGACAAAGAAAGTACAAAAAGCTGCTTTACCACCTCAAAGAGATCGGAGTACGCAGACGCGGTCTCACTACTCACAGACTAGGGTATACGCGTTCCTGTAAGCTTAATACGAAGCGTACCAAGGGTGTACGCATTCTTGTAAGCTTAACGAATCCAGGGTGTATGCATTTCGTTGGAGGAATAAGGCTGGGGCATACGCGTCCCCACCGATATTGTTCTGCTTAAAGATAAATTTGTCATAATGGATGAAGTTAGTCTCATAGCAAAATTCAACCAGCCAATAGAGTCTTACAACACCGGTGTGCTATGTACTACTGCGACGGCAGCTCGAGCCACTGAATTATCCACAGCCTCTCTGCTGGCGTTCAAACGATGAGAAATAGCGATACTCTGATAGGAAGGTCTATTTCTGGTATTTCACTGCCACACTTGGCCGCAACGAACACAAATTGAGAGTAGTAACCGTACAAGCGTAATAACTGGATCGTCTAGGATGTGTTTAGCAATTAATATATATTCAATGATTTGCTCTTGCTAAAACTACCTTAAGTCTACAGCGCTTAAATATGCGTGTTGATCAAATAAAAATACCTTTTTGATTTGAAACATCATGGCCTGGACTCGGGCCATTACGTACGCTGTTTTAAGCTCTTGTCTCTGGCTTCCTGCAGAGGCTGACTATATTTGGCCAAACGCAAAGATCGATGAACTTGACAGAGAGTTATACGAACAAGTTAACCCATTTGACGGTCCGGGGGGGGACTGTTTCCTTTGTTGACGGATGCAGTGGGCCAGCTGAGCGCGCTCTGGGTATAGGGCGCAGCTTTGGTGCTGAGTGGATTAGAAACGCCTATCACGACATGGCAACAGCGGATGTGTTCTCAGGGACCGGCGGTCTTGATGCCTCAATTGTTTTCGAGATGGATCGTCCTGAAAATGTTGGTGACGCGTTTCAGGAGACTCTAAACATTTTCAAGGGCAGCTATAATACTCGAATCTCGATGGCTGATTTATTTGCAATAGCCACAGTAATGGCAGTTGGTGCATGTTCAAATGGAAAAGTCATTGTTCCGTTCAGAGGAGGTCGCGTGGACGCAGTCGGTCCAGGTCCATCGGGCGTTCCAGAGCCTCAGCAAGATCTGCCAACACATACCTTGAGTTTTGCAAAACAGGGCTTTGATACATCTGAAATGATTGCTCTCGTTGCTTGCGGCCATAGTGTTGGAGGTGTGCATGGTGTTGACTTTCCAGAAATTGTCCCAAACCCAGTGCCAACCACTGATGTTCGTATCTCCATCAGACTGTCTTATGCTGCATTGGCGTTATAATCGCGACTCAGTTGACTAACTTGCTCCTTCCCAGATAAAAAACGATAATACAGTGACTTTTGATACAACAACGGACAATTTTGACAATTTTGTGTTAGTCTTTCTTTCACACTGCTGTATTATCCCATCTGCGCTCCACTGAACTGACCTCTTTCTTCCTGATAGTGCTAAAGAATTTGTCGCCAATATTTCTCAAAACCCGCTTGCGTTTGGTCAAAACGAAACAACACGATCAGACTTCCGTATTTTCAAGGCAGATGGTGGCGACATGATCTCGCGGATGGCATCGTCTAATGATTTTTTTCTGAATACTTGCAACATTATGTTTGAGCGCATGATTAATACTGTGCCGCGAGATGTTAAGCTGACAGATATCATCGAACCTCTTGCTATAAAGCCTAGAAAATTGTCCGTTGCAATTAATGACAACGGAACGCTATTAGCAAGTGGAATTATCCGAGTAAGTGCTATCATTCAGCCCAGCAACAGAAGCAGATCTGGAGTAATAGCTGACTGCCTGTTTGGATGCGCTACAGGTTGTTGATAACCTATTTAGTGGAAGCAAAACACAGGTTCTTATCCATTTGGCTTCGCGGTCTGGTGAAGTATTACCCGTTGCCATCGGAACCACATCACGAGGGCTAACTGGAGGCTGCGGCTATCCCAATTGCGGCCCAAGCTACACATATTACAGATTTAATTCTATAATTCCTGCCGAACTGGGAATATCATCTTTTACCGTTGAAACCGTCGATACCGCAACTGGGAAAGCTACAATCCATAATAATGGTGGGGCTGGATTTCCTATGTCCGATGCTATTCTGCCAATGTTTGGTCTGTCTAGTCAGAGCAGGACAACCATCAATGGTGGCGCCCAACTGCAGCTCAACTTAACTGTTGCAGTATGTATAACCCATAATTTACGTGGAGATCAATTTGTATGTGACTAACCATTCTATAATCAGGTTTTAAATGCAGAAATGTTTACCAACGTCTCGCTCATTGTTCCACAACCCTTAAACAAAAGTGCGCCAATTAGCCCATGGAATCAAGAAGTAGTTCATATGGAGCCTTTATATAAGATCTCCGGAACCAACTTTACGCTCTACAGGGGTATATGGCAGAGTAGTGGTCCATTGACGGCAACCTCTTCGCATCCGTTCGATATTATGGCTGAGGGATCGACGCAAACAGTTTCGAGTCTCTTTAACTCCTGGGATGATGTTGAATTTATTTAAGTTCTTTATTTCACATGCATGTCAATGAAGAAAATGGAAATAGAGACTTGAAAAACATTATGAGAATGGTTTGCCTAAATTACTATTCTGCTAAAGAATATGCGGTTCAATGTGGCCCAAGGAGGTTAATCCGTTGTTGTATGTGTGTTAAAGCTCAGGCAATTATTCAACGAAGTGAAGAGAGGCATAAAACTTCAGGAGATACTGAGTAGATCCACTAGACTCGCCCGAAAGAGTAGATCAAGTAGAGTGAGCGTTGTTATCCGAAGGATTAGCACTTTCATCAAACTTCTGCTTGATCGTATGATAGTATTTGCGAAGAATCCGTAATGAACTTTTCGTCTCTTTTTGCAATGTGATTCCACCTTGATGTTTAACAAGACGATATCTGGCATTTGCCCCCTATTTATGATAGCTCTTATATTCTTATGCATTCTACAAATATCTATTGTAGGTTGTAATATCCTCAGAGTAACATCGGTTTACAAATAGGTCGGGCAATAAATATTGAATTTATAATGTACTTTCTGGTGGTAAATTGTAGCAGATGGCAATTTCATGAGATATCATATCACTACGTAGGGTTAGAGCCAATTGCTTTTAGCAAATGCTGGAAAAGGAAATAATAGACGATATACCGAGTACTGGGATTGAAAATTACTATGTATTTAAGGCAATGGCACGTAGATGTCGCCACTTGCCTCCGTATGTGTGAACGAAGGCAAAACCTACTATGACATTGCAGCATATATCTCTGTATACCCTCTTTTGTCCTCTGTAAGCCATCCTGACTGTGGATATATTGAGTACGATGAAAATGTGCAGCAGTAATTTTAACAACCAGATGAAGAATATATCCTCTTGCTCTACCTAGTTCAGTTTGCGCCATTTTAATTTTAATGGAACCTCGGTGTATCCTTGGTGCGCTCTTGTCACCCAAACGCTCTCACATACGTTTATATGTGCTCGCCCTTTATCACATTCCATATGGGTGAACTATTCTGCACCTTCTGTTCTTTCCGAGATGTGGGTAATGGTTTGGCCGCACACTAACAAAGAGGCACAACTTACAAGCGGAGATTTCGATGGAGATAATAATACTTATTTTCATACCCTTCGTCACGTTAATGACTGGTCGCCATGTACAACGCATAAGAAGCTGGTTTTGTTATTCGCTAGTAGTCTGCTTATGCTTTCATCTTGACTATTCTATGACCCAGTTGGCATCGACAGCACTGCCTTGGTTGGTGCAATACTCGCACTTGACCACTTAGATGTGACAGTCTTGAGCTGAGTGTAAAAGTTCACCCCTGGTTTCCCATAAAAAGTACTAGCCCCCCCTCCAGCTACGCTCTTCTTGTTTCCTGTGAAGGAGAACATTGGAAGAGGGACTGGAATTGGAACGTTTATGCCCAATTGACCCGCTTCGATATTTCGCCGGAACTTCTCTGCGACAGCGCCCGAGGATGTGAAAATAGCAGCACCATTCCCATAATCATTCTTGTTAATAAGGTCGATACCTCCCTCGAGAGTGTCGGCAACAACACACACTAGTACCGGGCCGAAGATCTCCTCCTTATAGCACTGCATAGATGATTCGACGTTGGTGATTATTGTTGGGGCAACCCAGTTGCCATTTGGGTACTTTTCTGGCTTATAGCCGCGGCCGTCAAGAAGTATATGAGCTCCCTCCACTTCGGCACTAGCTATAAGTGATTCAATCCTGGCCTTACTCTCGGGTGTCACAACAGGACCAAGATCAGCACCATCCTCAAAGCCCGCATCGACTCGGAGAGTTCTAGCTTTCTGTACTAGTTCGTCAAGCCAGTTTTGGGTTTCACCAACAAATACTGCTACGGACAGTGCCATACAACGCTGTCCCGCAGCTCCAAAGGCAGCACTGACGATAGCATCCAGGGCCGCTTCTTTGTCACAGTCAGGCATGATTAATGCATGATTCTTAGCGCCCAAGTTTGCCTGTACCCTCTTTCCATTTGCGGAGCCACGCGTGAAGATATACTCTCCAGCTTTGTTACTTCCGACGAAACTTATGGCTTTGATAACGGGGGAGTCAAGAAGGAAATTAACGGTATCGTGCGCGCCGTGTACAATGTTAATAACGCCTTTTGGGAACCCGGCCTTTTCGGCTAATTCGGCAAGGATCATGGCAGCACCGGGATCTCTCTCGGAAGGTTTCAATACCAGTGTATTTCCAGTAATAGTAGCGATCGGAATACACCAAAGAGGTATCATGGCGGGAAAGTCTATATGTGTGTTTTTTTTCCTTTTCATTAGAACTTCACTGGGTGTTGAATGGCATGTGGAAGAACATACTGAACGGGCAGATTGCGGCTACCACACCGAGAGGCTCCCTGTAGGTTCTAGTCTCCATGTCTTTGGCGACCTCTAAAATCTCTCCTTTCATATACTCTGGGCCGGCGCATGCGGCTTCTGCTACCTGTAGCCCGCGTAGGACATCACCTCGTGCGTCTGAAAATGTTTTACCCTGCTCCAGTGTGATGGAAGCAGCGAGTCTATCCCAATTCTCTTTTATCATATTGACGAAGCGAAACATGATCTGTTGTCGGGCAATGATTGAGACTTTGCTCCAGGAGATGAAGGCAGCTTGTGCCGACTCAATTGCGAGTTGTAATTCATCACTGGTCATCATCGGCACTCTAGTGACTAAATTATTCGTGGCTGGGTCATGGACTGGAATGAAGTCCTTCGATTGAGACAGCCGGAATTCATTGTCCACAAAATATGGAGTGTCCCTTGGTTCGAATATTTTCTCATGAGTTCGAGGAAATTTGACTGAGGTTGAGCTTAGCAGGCCCACTGCGGTTGGGTTTAAGTCCGCAGTCATAGCTAAATGGCGTCGAGAGATGAATGTTGAATGTTTTTAAGTTATGCGGGCGCTTCTTATTCAGAGTCAAAAGTTGGGAGTCTTGTCGAGGGAGGTTAGTCGTGTTATTAATGATTGAAAGATATTCCCATGATTCAACCCCGCAGTAGTTGAGGAGCCCAACCTGCAGAGATGCCCAGCCTAATCCTGGGGTAATCTGTCGGCTGCTGTGTGGGGATGAGACACGCCGTCTCTGACCAAAGGCCAAAACTCCAAGAATAAAATACACCAGTTGGGAATTTCCGATAGATAAGCACCAGTGGGGAGACCTGATCCGCTTCATGAAGTCTTTTACTGCCTAATTGGAAATGGGAACGTTATTGCGCCTCCAGAATCCTAGTATCCAAAGGGCCAGGCATTTCCCGACTTTGGAAAGAGACCACTTTTATTAGTAGCGTTTGGTGGAGTATAATGATAGTTCCAGACACACTGTTTGAAAAATTGTCTAAGCCGATGTCAATCGGTTACGCAACAAGAAAAGCCTTGTAGATCGGAACAATTTCCCTTCATGAATCGATCACTCCAGAATGTTATCGTATTTCATTCTTGTGCTGCCTACGAAGTATTTTGAAACTTTATTTTCAACTGCTTCATAATCGAGAATTATCCACGCATCCTATGTCTGTTATTACGGAACTGGGAGCAAATACTCTGTAGCTCCAGGGCGGTAATAGAGCTACACCGAGATATTAATTGTCTCTGTCCACGCCTGGGTTGCCATCCTATTGTCGGATACTAAGGTTTTTCATCCATACATGCAAATATATATTAGCTCATTATCCAATCCAGAGACGCTGAATTGTCACTGGCGTCGGGTTAACAAATACTATCCCAATGTAGGAGCCATGACCTCTACAGGGACTCCCACACATGCAAGCAAGCTAGATCATTACATGATAACGGATCAGTTACGTGTATTCATATTATTATGAGGGGTATTTAAAGATGAACCAAGAGTGAAGAGTACTTATTGATCTCCTTTACGCCGTTCACACCGTCCCAGGAAGGCGTGGGCCCATGATGGTGGGAGACAGTCTACCGTGTCAAATATACCGATCATTGCATTCCCGATCTCTTCACGATATATTAAAAATAGTAGTGGGTTCAATGATAGTAAACCTAAATCACCGTATCATCGACTGGTAACTACTGCAAAATAAGATAGCGAAGAACTATGCGTAGCTAGAGCGGAAGGTGTGTCCTGAACGGTAGATAAAAATTGATCGCCTTAACAACCTGCTGTTCAATCAGATGTCCTCCCGTTTTTCCTTCTCTAATTCAAGGGGAAAAAAAAAAAGAGATGCGGCCTTCATTCATGACGTTTACAATATTCTGCACATTGTATTTTATGTCAACAATCAGTCATACTGGAATTAAGAGCTTTAAAAAAAGCATCCAAGTGCATAGATCTGCTTCTGGAAAGAAAGTTTGACTTCTAGGCATGAAAATAACGCTCAGGGGCACGTCACTTGTAAGGGGCCTCGTAATAAGTAGTAGGTTGAACGTTTTGAGGGTTTGAAGATGGCGCCAAAACAGCGCGAACAGAAGTTCCCATCCCATGAGCAACATAATTGTATTGACATCCTACGACCCGCAAAATACTGACTAAGATTGCATTCAGTATTGTATACAAGTGGGTGAAGCCCATTGCATTGTATAGATGCCGAGAGTGTATTATACCTAGGTGGGTCATATTTCTCCATATATCAGGATGTGGCCAACTATCTCTGCTTCAATTTAGAGATAAATTTGTCTCGCGTGGTGTGAGGTTTTCGGATTAATATTGACAGGTGATAATTTGATTTACTATATTTATCTTTACTCAATTGCAGATCAGCACTAGGACATTAACTTTCTATACTTGACACAGACGCGCAAGGCTATCGACAGTGTCCATATTATTGTGAAGAATGAAATGTGCAAATAGTAAGAATTATATAAGCGCTAGTTAGGGGCGCTACAGAACTTGTTAATTGTACAAATGGAGTTTCATTAAGTTGCAGCCACAAAACTCAATATACATATTCCAAGATCAGTCTTACACCTCTTTGCCCTCGCGTTCCACTAAATGCTCACATCTCCATAATTCCCAGATCTATATAAGAATAGAAAGCATTTCTTCCAGTTACTTACCGATTTTCTCTTCCAGATACAACCAACCAAATTAAGAGTAGCGCATATCAACTGCCAAACGTAAAAGCAAGTATGTCCAACATGTCAGGCAAGGGGTACCTTGACAAAGCCAGTTTGCACACGAAGGCACAATGGAGATCGGCACTCTTAACATACCCAGGAAACCTACAGGAGGCTTTGCGTGAGGCTCAGAAAGATCAGAAAAAAACTTTGTTTGGTGTTGCTCAGGGAATCCCGAGCACATTTTTAACAAAAGTCTATGCTTCTACCAGACCTGATTTTGTATGGTTTGATGTTGAGCATGGCATGTTCGATCGTTTAGTGCTTCATGAGTATGACGGCCAAAGGATCCATCTGTTTATTTATAGGAGTAGGCTTGCTAACTGTGTTAGTGCCATTCATGCAACTCAGCACCACTCTGAAGGCCAGACGATGGCCATTGTGAGAGTGCCAAAGGAAGATGAGGTGTCTTTGACTACAGCATTGGATGCCGGTGCCTCTGGTATCATCATCCCCCACTGCGAAAGCAAAGAAGAGGTTGAAGAGTTCATGAAAAGGATATATTATCGTAAGTATGACATATGAAAAACCTCAGAGACCGGAGAAAGACGTCTAAGCCTACCGCTGACGATACTGCTAGCTCCTCTCGGTGGTCGCTCGTTCAGCCCCTGGGTTTTCACACCGGGCATCTCAGACGCGTCTTTATACGAGAATGATGCGTTCAACATGAAAACATCAAACAACCATGTCGCCGTTATTGCACAAATAGAGAGCGTTAAAGGGATAGCAAACGTTGACGAGATTGCATCCATACCTGGAATCTCAGCAATGATGTTTGGCCCCGGTGATTTCATGGCGGATGCGGGTCTGGAACTGACTCTAGGGCAACCTCACCCTACTCTGGCTGCTGCCATGGAAAGCATGTCGAAGGCTAGCATGAAATATAATGTTCCCCTCTTTGGGTAAGTGCCGGATTTTTTCACCAATGAGTCCTACTGTGCTTTGTATTCTAACTCAATATAGCGCAGCTAGGAGTCTTGACATGGTCCCCATGATGATAGAATCAGGTCATCGAGCGATCATGGTCATGTTGGACGTATGGGGTATCGCTAACATGACGAAATCGAGCTTAGACCAGGCAAGAGGGTGCGTTTTGAATGCAAAATAGCAACTCCTCCTTTCGGAAACTCGGCACTGAAGGTCTGATGCGTTCAGGGATACATTTTGTGGGGGTTATAGTATACCATATACATTTTAGAAGGCATCTAGAGTAATATTATTCAGATTGACACCTTTTTATCGTCTTCAATGTTACTCGTAAACTGACATATTAGACAGGTAATTCCCCAAATAAGGAGATTAGTGAGGTGCCACGTATGGATAATGTGGATCGAGATCTGAATTTGATTTTATGATATGTAACTTAAGCAAAACAACAAGCTGAGATAAAAATCAGGGAATAAATAACACAGACGTGGTAACATAAGCATCCCCTTGCAGCTTGTAGCAAACGAATAGTAAGAGCGTAAGAAAAACTTGTGACTTCCTTGAATGAGAAGCCATGCATTTAAAACATCTGAGAAGGTTCATTTAGGGAAGTTTGATGATTTCTCGCCAGCAGATAGCCTTGCAAGTTTCAATGCCAACCCAAGGAACTCGCCCTCAACGGCAACTGAGGCAGCACCGGGAACCTTCCCAGCATGCATTGTTCCGACGTTTCCAAGAATGGCAACGGCAACATCCATTTCTTCATTCCAGAACATACTTCCATTGAAACCCAAAGTACTTCCGTTGTGACCAAACCACCCTTGACCATCGCTAGTCTGCATCTTGAAGATACCATGACCCACCCATATGCTAGGTCTTATTGGTATGAGGTCGAGCATTATTTTCTGCGAGGAGGATGACAAAATTTTGGCATTTCGAATGGCAAGCGCTAGAGTGCAAAGATCTTTTGGATGTGACAAGTTGCCGCCGGCGACCCATTCTGTTGACATGTTCGATATGCTTGCATTTAAGAGATCCGGACGAGATTTAGGATTTGGGAAAGAAGGACAAGCACCGGCTGTTGACAAGAATGTGGGAGTTACCCAATGATATCTACTGGGAATTTCACCTGCTTGAGGCATTTCAAATCCCTCAAGATATGTATAATTCAACCCCAGGGGCTCAAGCACTCGCGAGCGAATGAGAGCTGCGGCTCCGACGCGTGAATGTCCAACTGGCATGTCAATTTCGGGGGAAACGTCCGTTGAGTAAATGGCCTCTGCAATTAGACCAAGGAAAGTAAAGTTGGTGTTTGCATATGAGTAATTCCCTGGGGTAGGCTTGGGATCCGGTGCATGAAGATTCGGGTTGCTCTCGTAGCGGATGTAATCCAGAGTTTCTGTGCTTGTCCAAATCTTATCGGGATCAAGTTCTGACCCACGGCCCTCTCGTATCCATCGAGGATCATCTTCCCAGCTTGGAATGCCCGAAGTGTGGCGAAGGAGCTGGCTTATGGTTGCTCCTGACGCATGAGGGATACCTCGGAGCAATTCCGCAGAGACGTACTGTTCAAGCGTATCGTTGAGGTTGAGTCTCTTTTCATCAATGAGCTGTAGTATTACTACACTCATGAAAACCTTTGTGATGCTTCCGATTCCAGAGACGTGGTCAGAAGTAAACGGTTTTCTGCCTTCTATATTTGCCAATCCTGCCGTGCCTGCCCATAGCAGACCTTGCGAGGATGCCACTGCAGCCGTCAGACCCGGTACACCGATCTCGACGCTGTCTTGGAGGCATTTTTGCAATGCACCCTGCAAAAAATCCTTCGTAGTAGAGATTTGTGTAGACATTGAACGAGATATCTGAATAATTAAACCCTTCAACTATGAAGCTTGAGGAGATCGCAGAATCTCACGACGATGATGAGTCAAACTCAAGTATTACTTATTATTAGTCACAACATGCTGTGCACCGCCCACACGTGATCAAATATTCCGTCATCGGCACTAATGGCAGAAAGAAATTAAAGTGTGACGTCCATCTAGCCGTATAGTGTCTATTTGGTGAACAATAATTTTCTTTCAAATGGCTTTGGCCGAGTTGAAAATGAGGATTTAGAGATATGGCCATCGTCGTGGCAGCATTTGCCATTCGTAGAGATCAAACAAACGTAGAGGAAGCCCCGCTCCTTATTACTAAGCATGCACCGCTCAAGCGGCTTGTCGGTACGATACAACTATGTGAAATTCCAACAGGTGGACCAAAACCTGAGAGAGTGCCTGTTGCCTCGATTTTAGCTGGACTGAGTATTTTTACAAAGACGGTTAGAGAACGATGCTGGATAAATGACTTGATGGCTATTTACGGCAACTTGCAGCGTTAAGCGACGGATTATTCATGCAGTTTGATAACGGACAAGGGGAACATGGCCTAATTGAGCGTCTTGGTAGCGTATGGTAACGAGAAGAACCATAGCAAGTCTCAGTTGGTGATTATTATACCTGCCCTTTCGCGATATGGTGGCATGCATTAGTTTCAAATAAAGATTTATCGCCACATGTGTCCACCTCGTATAAGTTTACTTCACGATCTCGAAAGCCTTTTCCCTGTTGGATATAAGTTTATAACGCATCATAAAATAAAGCTCCCTAAGGCAGGAGGATAAACCTCATAGCAACTACTCACCTTGAATATCTCTATGGACTTATACTGGATAAGCCGTAAAAGGACCGAATTGCCGAGAATCTTCAAGCTCCTTCTACTTTGGGGATTCTTCGTATTGGTGCTAGCTTCAGATCCGTCGGCCACGGCAAAGACGGCAAGCCTTTGGTAGCTATCACAACACAGATTGTAGGATGAATCAAAGGCTCAGAAGTATCTCGACTTCATATTTAGTGGCTTTAAACTGGGACTCTTCTGTATTCCTGTCGTAGACTGCATTGTAAATATCGTGCGATTGAACAATGTCACTCTCGCCTTCCTCCATTGTTCTAGGTCGGTCCACCTAACCTCTGTTGCTGGAGAAGTGTTCATATAAGATCAGTCATCTATATAAGGCAAAGAATCCTCTGTTTGTACTTTTCCAAAAAACATTTTTGAAGCATTGTCGTACATCAACCAATTACAGTATCATCATCTTCAAATCAACCTGACTCAGGAACGAAAACGAAATGTTGTTCACAGCAGCAATACAGTTAGGAATTGCAAGCTTGGCATTAGGAGCTCGTACTGTTGGTTCTACCTCTCGATTGCAGAAGTATTATTATTAACAAGCAACTGAGAAGCCTCGTGCCGCGGCTGTTTCCAATCCCTCAGGCCAGAAAGTTACAAGTTCCGCAGCTTTTAGTAGTGGGGCTGGCAACAACAACAATGCTAATATTTATGATGGAACTGGTAACGCTGGATCGGATACCTACAGTAAGCATTTTGTGTCTAATATATAATCCCGCTTTCACCGTACACGTTTCTAAAACCGTTAGGGTGTTATTATGGCGGCTGGGAGAGCTTTCCCCCGGTATCTGAATGGATTGAGTTCGATGCTATGTGGAATTACTCAAAGAATGCTATGGCCGATTCTTGTGCCAACCTTGGAATAGGCTCTTGCTCCAATGGTGCTGGTGCTTTTGGACCTGGCAATAGCGGAGAGCAAACCGGCTTGATTTGGAACGCCATCCAACAAGTTGCCCAGACCTCCTTAGTTGATCATCGATTCATTCTAGCTACAATTTTGCAAGAGGTAAGACTTCTTTCATGATCCATTAAACCGTAATTATACGATATCTATCTGCTAACATTTACAAAGTCCATTGGTTGTGTCAACGTCTGCCCTACTACAAACCCAGATCCTTCGGCGCCAAATAACCCGGGTTTGATGCAATCTGATGGTGGAGTAACGTTTGTAGGCAATTCGGCCAGTAACTCAGCTCAACAATCAAGCATCACTCAAATGGTTATTGATGGTACCCAGGGAACCGCCCTTGGTGATGGGCTGGTTCAGTGCATAAACCAATACGGGAACATTTATGAAGTAAGTGATAAAATAGGAAACTGATTTAGTGATTCTAACACACAAACATTAGGCTGCTCGCTGTTATAACTCGGGTTCAGTTAACGCCGGAAATTTGAATGATGGCCAAGGAGCTACCGCTTCCTACGTCAATGATATTGCCAACCGGATGACTGGCTGGCTTTACTCCAACTCCAAGTTCAATCAATGTTAGTTGATTGATATCTTCAATATCTCTCGACTTTTCAAGTATATATCTTATCGCTATTAGCATGTATATTCCTGGAAATTTTACTAAGTGCTCAATCAAGATCTGAGTTCAACATGCTTTCTTTTGCTCATGTTGGATTTGAACGTTCCCCAGTATCGTTATTTGACTGCTTACTAATTTATCTAAACCCATATAAGTGTCAAAATCTGTTAAGATTGAACAGATTATACAGTGTGTTTCATAAAATACATACGATGGCAATACGTTCGGAGATTGGCGGGGTATCTCCATAGGCGGTGTGACCAGAGTTGGAGGCAACGGATCGAGTGCCAGGAAGATACGCACCAATAGGTAGGTAATAACTTCTCTCCCAAGCACATAGTAGCAGATGTATTAAGCAGCCAATCTTGAAAGAACCATTTTATTCAAATAGTATATATATGTAGTTATTTGCAAAGATGTACGCTCGAAGCATTTTGCACCCTGGTAAGCGAGATCCATCCATACCCTGTCCCAACGTCGTATTTTATGGAGACACTGTTCTAAATTTTCTTGGCGAATGAACATTTTCTGTTAACAGTTGATCCTTTATATAATGCGACCGGCCCTGTTGTCGTTGTTCGGGGATAGTACGTAGCGTGTAGGCCGCGTCACGCGATCACTGCGATGTCCGTCTCTCGCATTAACGCAGCTTTTTGCATCCTCTGGATTCTCCTCTTCGGGCTATCCTCCATTTTCTCATACGATGATCCGTCCTCCATCTTTTTCAATGCCAATCGAGCCTACGAACAGCGCTTTTCCAGCGTGAGAGCCGCTGAGGCGGACGTATACATCCGTAATCCACCTTCGAGGATCATACCGATCAAACCTGTCGACAAGTTGCTCTGCATCGGCATTCCTAGTATTAATCGCACGACCGAGTCGTTCCTTTCCTCCACGATCGCTACACTCTCCGATACACTCACGCCAGAAGAGCGTGCATCTATCCGTATCGTCGTATTACTGGCAGATAAATCACCCTCGGAGCACTTTGCTTATGGACAAGATTGGCTAGAGCCGCTTGTTGATGAGGTCCTATTGTATGGCGAGCCGCCTCTGGGAAGCACTATATATCGTCGTATACCCCTTGATCTCAAGGAGGGGAATATCCGTGGCGATGGCCGTGTCGAAAACATGAGACTCGACCACTCAGCCCTAGTGGAAGCCTGCAGACAGCAAGAATACCCATACTTTGCGCTGGTGGAGGACGATATTGTTACCATGCGCGACTGGTTTCCGCGATTCAAGAAAGGGCTAACATACGTCGAGCAAAAAACCAAAGACACTTCGAGAGAATGGATATATTTGCGATTATTTTACTCGGAGATATTAATGGGATGGAACAATGAGGAATGGCTGGCCTATTCCAAAGTCATTTGTTTGGTATATACCGCCGTTTTAATTGTGTTTCTGGTGGGGCGTAAATATGTACGCATCGGTGTTTCGACTGCCGTTACGCCACACACGCAGCGTTACCTGGCGGCCCTTATTTTTGGTCTTTGGCTGCCAGCTCTCATTGCTCTATACTTCCTCTCCGGCCGTCTGTTCACTGGCAGATTGAACCCATTTAGCTTGAGCACATTGCACGGAGCCAGGGAGATGCCTCATTACGGGTGCTGTGCTCAAGGACTTGTCCTTCCTCAGCGACATCTGGAAGATTTCCAGGCACTGCTGAGAGACCCTCCATACAATTTTCCGGGTGACATGATCTTGGAAGATTATGCCGAAGCTCGTGGACTTGTCAAATGGGCACTAGAACCAAGTGTGTTCCAGCATGTTGGATTCAAGGAGTCTTCCGATGGAACACGCAGAGCCGAGGTTTGGAACTTCGGATTCGAACGGCAGTATAAGAAATAATCATGAGAACATGCACGTGCATCAGCGCAAGCGATGAAATTTATAGTCTAATACATACAATAATTATAATAAAGATATATTTCTGGCACCATTCATCTCACTCATGACTCCCTGGACATCCACACGGCGACCTAAGAGATCCTGTTTCTCCCGTACGCGCATCATGAGTATCAGTATAAGCCTCTGGTCAGTTAACCCGTCTGCCGTATTGCCGACTGAAGCATCTATGTGCTCTACAGTATTATGATCGCGCCGTCTTGTTACGCCATTCATGGCCGATGCCATTTCATCCATGAACTCCGAAATCCAATCCGCATATATTTCGTCCATTGTTTCGATTCCTGCAATAAAGATGGGTAAAGGCCATAACATTGACCGAGGTATCTTCGTTAGAGGTGCCATCCCGCCTTCACGGTATATGTGCCGGAGCCGTAATGCAATTTTTAGGATACCGCTAGTTGCGATTGTGGCGGTCGAATCACTACGTATATCAGGGTACAGAAATCGTGACCAGAGCACTTTGGCTGATAGAAATGCTGCATAACAAGATAACCACTGCAGCGAGGCTCGATCGGTATCCTGTAATGTGTTTGCAGGCCGAAGTGAATTTAGAGCCAGGCTACCATTGGCAGTATTATTTCCAAGACTTGTGATGATGTTGCGAAGTGCACTAGCTGCAGGGTTCGTCGCTACAGCAAGGTCAAATTCAGTGTCCATGCGTCGTATATCAAGGCTGATCGCAGTCTCCTTAGCTTCTGCGAGCTCACGTTGTTCCGACAAAGCGCCGTTTTGTTCTACTATATATTTCCATGAGCGATAGTGAAGCATTTTGGAAATGAGGCAGAATGTTTCATGCGTTCGGACTGATACGGGTACTTTCTTCTCGTCTTGAGCCAGCTCGTCAGGAGGATATGTTTGACCAAAAATTTCGGACAGGTAGGAGTGCGAGTGAGATAAGATATGTTTGTAATTAGGGTGGCGTATGAGTTCATCAAGCAGTGTAGTCATCGGGATATTTTCTCCTCTGGCGCTGAATGGCATTGGTGAGGAAAATATCCTTAGACGGACATCAATATAACAAAGCCACAGGAGAAATTTGCATGCCAAGGCAGAGAGACAGGTAACATCAAGATGACATGCCAAGTGCTCTTTTAAATTATCCAACCGGTTGAGAATCGAAGTGGCATCGCCATTTAAAACGTCACATCTGCAGAGAAACAGTGCAGATGATATTGTGACCTCGGCTTTTGAAGAAATGACACATAGCCGGGTCGGTGCAGCTGAGCCGGACTCCAAAAAATTATTCGGTTCTCCCCGCCATGGTAGACGCTCAAGACCTTGGACTGCTCGGGTATAGTATATTTTCCAAGATTCGTCGTGGGATGAAGAGGTCGTTGCCAAGTGCTTTGCAGCCCAGGCAAGGACGGCAAACCGGAATGGAGAATCATGACTACAGTGCGCACTTTGAATGTAGTCGAGAACAAATCTCAGATAGTTTCCTTTGCCGTCCTCTTTGAGAGAGTAGCCACAGCTAGCAATCCACCGCTCGAAATGCGTTAGATAAGTAGCGTCCCTATTGACATGTGGCAGGAAAGTCTCATTCATCTTTGGTGGGGAGTCTGTAATTTTGGTGCACTTCTTTTCGAAGGGCTTTTGATCTTCTGTCGGTTGTGTCTGGTGACTGCCTTCCCCAACATCGTCGAGCTGATACTCTAAACCGTTCGTTGAAAGTGTGAAATCTGGCCAGCTGGGAAATTCGATGTCCTTGTCAAAGAATTGCTCGAAACAAAAATTAAAATCTGAAACATCCGAGATCTGAAATCCAGTGAATCCAACAAGATCACTCTCTGGGCGTTGGCTGTCAAGGGTCGTGGTATCATTTGTAGATGGCGCTGTCGGCTGAAGGTTCCATTTAGCCGGACGCGTATTGGATTCGGACTGCCATTTTTCTTCCGGGTCGGTAAATTCCAGCGCAGCTAGGTCTAGATTCCGATGTTCTCTTATGCCCAACCCTGATGCGCATCGTTGTTGATGACGACTGGCGCCTCCAATATCATCCGGTTTCGTCTTGAGACGTGATACTTGTAAATCAGGCGTATGCGAGAGCTGCTCCCGTTGACTGGTCAGGGATGCCGCTAGAGATATTCTCATATTGCTATCAAACGACGAGATACAGGCTGCTTTAAGTCGCACGCAATTTTGGCAAGGGCTGCCTCCAGTGCAGCGGACTTTTCGCTTCCTACATGTCATGCATCCTACCTCCTAGCGATTAGTCTTTCGGTTTTTCGTCACGTTTGCTGTTCAGCGCTTCGCCCATTCCAATCCAACGCAGATTGTTTACTTACCATGAAAGCTTCGGCGCTGTGTGCGATCCATTGCAATGATTTTTTTGGGTGCCCGGGTATATGCGTAGTTGGGTTGGATTAAAGAGAAACGGATGTAAGGCGCGGTCAATATTCTATAGGGGATGGCTGGTGGCCGGTCTACAAATTAGCGCGTATTGAACCAAGTATAGGCTATATACGAAGAGACCACTGAACTACCTATGCCTTACATAGCCTTACGGCGTTGGAGAGCTCTAATCTGGGAGTCTACAACAGCTTCGACTAGAACTCCCTGTACAAGTAAGCCCTTCGACTCTTCGACGAACTTTAAACCACAAAGGCATCCGCAAATGGCTATCGAAAAAGAAGCCGTTTATTACAGTAGAAGCAGCAGAGCTTCGGCTTGCTTTTGCTAGGCATTGGATCCAAAACATCGAAGAATTAATAGCGGTATGTGTAATTAAACTTTTTCGGTTTGTCAAAGGTCTAACCCTAATTTTAAGTCTATATTTTCGGATGAGTCTACAGTCTAGAATTCTAATTCAAATCCTGGAAGTTAAGTATGGCGACATTCCTGGGAAGCTCTACTTCCAAAATATATTAACAAAACTGCACATGTCAAGCCTAAAATCTCAATAATAGTCTAGGTAGCTATCTTACGAGATCGAAAATCTCAACTCCACATCGTAACGGAGAACACACCCAGGAGAAAGCAAGGATTTAATTCTAAGCAGTATATTAATACTCTAAAAAAAGGTCTGCTTCCGCTCTACGACGGGATACATTATTTTCAGCAAGATAGTTCATCTATTCATATAGCAAAAGCAGTTAAAGTATTCTTCCTCAAGCACATAGTTTCCATTCTTAAGTGGCCTCCTTACTCACCTAATCTCAACCCAATCGAACACATATAGAACTTACTGAAACACAGGCTTTTTCAATTATTCCCCTATCTCTTCAATCTCAATAGAAATTTAGCTAATATAGAAGAATTTAAAGAATGCTTACAAAAAGCATAGGCTACTATTATACAGGAGGAAATTCAAAACCTAATCGACTCAATGCCGCACCGGCTTACGGCAGTAATAAAAGCAAAAGGGTAGTATACAAAATACTAATCTACTTTCAAATACCTATTAAATAACATAAATACCTTATTTTTCCTAGTTCTGTAGCTTAAGATATATGTATTTTTATTTATTAAATTGTATTTCCGGGTAGCCTCAATTTAGGTTTGTACGCAGACTTTTGACACCCCACTGTATATGGCGACGATGGAGGCTGCAAACCCCAATTCTGTAACGACTTTGCGGCACTACAAACCGATCCCCTTTATTATATATTAAATCCTAAGATGATGGTAATATTTAAAGATAATTATTTGAATATCATTACGTTTTTTACATGTCGATTTTCTTTAACGGTGAGAATACTCTATAAGCTGACAGCAAATCATTATCATATGCTCTGTATATCAACAACATAAATTCCATAAGCACATATTGTGTTTCTTAATACACACAGAATTAGAATGTCTAAGTCGCTAATAATTTGCAAATCGAATTCCTACTTGTTATATCATAATTCTTTGTCCAGTATTCATCACAGTGACATTGTGAATTTACCAAGCGTATCGAAAATAATGCAGCTCCTTGTCAGTTAGGTCCAGGAAGTCATCCTCCTGTATGGCATCGGGATCAACTTTCCCATATTTCTTGTCGCGCTGTTTGTTTTGTAAAATCAGATAGGTCATAAGGATGAGAGCCAACACAATTAAGGTTACAAATGAGGCAATCATTCCTCGAAAGCCCGTTGGGTAGAGGGGTGCCTCCGAGTCGATGAACAGATGCGGTGCGACAAGATTCCCTGCCGAATAAGCAAGAAATATCCCCGCGGAAACAGCCAACTTGCGAGACATTCCAGCGAAATTAGAAGCGACAAGACTTAATACCATGATATAACTAATGGTATTGGTGAAGAGAATGTACACACCAGCCAAGCGGGTGAGTTTGCTTGACGCCGGCACATAATACACAATCAAGCTGCCAACCAAGGGAGGAATGTTGGATAACGCAATGACGACGCATCGAGCATTTCTTAGATAAGATCCAATAATTCCCCTAAAATTATTAGCCTAATATGGCCATAGCACAGGCGAAGCAGTAGCTTACGCAAGAATAATACTGAAGAGCTGAATGGCGTGCTCTGGCATAGAATATATAGTCGCTTCAAGGTTGGTATAGCCGAGTCCTGTTAGGATAAGTTTATTGAACTAAAAAGTTGACAATGTTAATAATTCGTGTTCTTTATGATTCATTGGACATTTGTATAAGACTGGATGAGCGTTCAAGGTATCCAAAAAATGAAGTTTGGAATAAGAGGCTCGGCTCATGCGCGGCAAATCACGACTGGGGAAATAAGAGACATGAAGAAACTGGTGAATATTGTACTTACGGCTGTCAATCCGCCACCTGGAAGGCATTGTATAAATGCAATACAAAAGAACATCCAAGCCTGGGGATCCACAAGAACAGAGACTGCTTGTTTCCATTGCCAATGTGAGGAACTGATGCCGGTATGATTTGACATTACTCGCAGTACGGCGATTTTTTTCTCTCGTTCGTTTAAGAATTTCATTCTCCACGGGGAATCAGGCAAAAATAGTATGAGCATCACAGACCAGAGGATTGTGAATCCACCGAAAGTGATGAACATGTACTTCCACGGCGATAGCGGCCCATGGCCATGGCCAATCCCGTACGCGATCAAATCCCCAAAGAAAGACCCAACAGCGTTGCCTGCCCACCATATACACGAGCGAAGGGAGTGTTCCTTGCGAGTATAGTATTGGCTAGTGATTAGCACAAATGCCGGGTTCGTGACAGATTCAAAAAGTCCAAGAAAGAATCTTGATGTAGCGATACCTGCAAAGTTCTTGGCAGTGATTCCCAATAAAATGCATACACCCCATCCGAGTACATTGCCAGCGATCCATTTACCCATAGGGACTTTGTGAAGCATATACGCGTTCACTGGCTGTCCAACCATATAGCTGAGGGCCGACCATTAGCTGTTTACTATCACCCGCAAAGACGGTGGATCATACCCGAAGTAGAATATGCTCGCAACCCAGCTGTACTCTTGACCGACGAGATGCTGAAATAACATTAATATGGTGCTTATAAGCTATCACTGCCAAGATATTTACCGTATCATCCTTGAGTCCAAACACTGACGCATTGGACAGAATGCCTTTGTCTAAAAAGTTCAGGGTATACGTCCCAAGTAACTGAGTGGGAGCTAGTCAGTACCCTATCCCTCATGGCTGCATAACCAACAGGGCAATCCAGGGATGGCACTAAATGCGCTCACCAGTGGCATTAACATTAAATCGACTTTCCACCGCACGATAGTCGCTTCCTCGTCTGTGTAGGTGAAGCTATGCTCCACTGCAGATTGGAGGAAATCGAGGGCATCATCGTGATGTTTATGCAGCTTCTTGGTGAAAAAAATCTCCCCAATCGGATGATTATCACCCGATTCTATACGAAGCTCATCGTGCTGGGCTGAGTTTGATGGATTCTTGTCTGAATCCATTGGTGTTTCTACACGAGAAAATGGCTGAGCTTTGCAAAGTTGTGGCTTTTGTAATTTTTCTTGCCGGTGTCATTATCTTCTGGTGATTCATGCCCTCTTAAACACTTTGTTCGTCCATCGAAATGCAAATGGTTGCTGCTTATCTTGGTCACTAATTGGGGGACTTGGTGTACCAATTGCTGAGGTGGGGAAGATATGCATCTCGCCATGACAACCCAGAAGAGTTAATATGCCGACCCCACAAACCACGGTCAGGGGAGCTAACCTCGAAGATGGTTGCCATGCCGAGATGGCGATATGTTCTGGGAATATTCGGGAAGAGACCTTCATGTCGCCCTATATCCGATTATGGCCCTTTCCCGCACTGCTACATTAAGGCCATATTTCCTTTGTTGAGTGCTGATGGTTCCCAATCGTCAGCATTCAGAATCTGCTTGCTCAAGGAAGCCAAGAGGCTAGCATATCTAGCGGCAATCCACTATGTCACCACCATCGAACTATCAGCATATTGTTCTCAAGGGACTGCCATATGATCGTGGTCATACGCATGGAGAACAAGCCCGACTGAAGATTCTTGATAGTCTTGCTCATTATCATGCACCGGGGAAACTCCTTCCATGGTATGGATTGACCTTTATCCTCCCCGGCCCCTGTCTAGTCTCTCCACATATTAGTCTATTCAGGTATCTGTATTTGCTGACCATGCCTAGGGAAATGTCTCTACGTATTATCAAAGAAGTTTATCTTCCAGGAATAGAAAGATACTTTCCTGAAGCGCTACCGGAACTTCAAGGTATCGCAGACGGAGCCGGCGTTGACTTAGATGAGATTCTGTTTCTCAACGCCCGATATGATCTTGCCAGAGTTCGGGGATCAACTATTCGCCCTTGTCCCTCAAGCTCAAATATCAACTCCATAAGGAAAGCAGCATTAAATAATCACAAAGGTCAAAATGGTGCTGATCAAATCCAAAATGGTGTTTCGGTCGATGATCTGTCAGACATACAAGAGCTTCAAGAATGCACCACTGCCGGATTTCTTGCCGAGTCTATGCACAATGGTGACATTATCTTGGCCCAAAACTGGGACATGTCAGCCAATGTGTTCCTTAAAGATACGGCTGTATATCTAGAGATATACCCGGATATCTCTGAAGATTTGCCTGCTATGTTTATTACAACTGAAGCCGGCCAGTTAGGCCGCTCCGGCTTCAACTCAGCGGGACTTGGAGTCTGCGCAAGCTCCCTCATGTCCACTGAAGACTATTTCCCACTCGATCTCTCCTTGGCTCCTGGTATCCCACAGGAACCACTTTTACCAATGTCGTTGGTCCGCCGACAGTTCCTACATAACACTAATTTTGCCAATGCACTTATCAATGTCAAAAATGCTCCGAGACATCTATCGAATAAACTTATTGTCGGAACTGCAGACAATTTTGTCATGTCTTTGGAGGTTACACCAAGCACTATTCATCTGGGTTACCCATCCAATGGAGACAACTTTGTGGTCGGATCGAATCATTTTACCAGCAATTCCTTCCAAGCAAGTCAATGGAACGATCGTTACCCGGGCGGCAGCAGTTGGTTTCGCGCCGTAAGAGTTGCACAAAGAATCCGACCATTGAATAATCAAGAGTTGACGGAAGCCAAAATCACCGAAGCGTTTTGTGATCATCTATCACTGCCTTCATCCGTTTGCCAACATATGGAAGATTGCACGGTCAAGAATGTGCCAGATTACCCGTATAAGGGTGCCCAGACGACGCTCGCTCATGTTCGGTATAACCTTACCAAGAGGACAACGAGTGTTTGCAAGGGCCCGCCTTGCATGGGTGAATTTATGGAGTATTCTCTACCAATTACAAGTAGTTTGTGAGTAACAACTCAGACTAATAGAAATTCAGTTTTTATTTTCCATTCGTTTCCTTTACTGATTACTGCATCACAGAGGCAAGCACGAACACAGAGACATTGGTGTCAGTTACACACTTGTGAATGGCAAACTAAAGAAGTTGTAAATGTCTTAGGTTATACCCATAGAATTATGCTTTCGAAATATATTATCTAATTAAACATTTTCCTGCATCTATTCTGATGCCTAAAGTAACACAGGCAGAGCAATGACATATCCTTACCATGGTCTCTGATTGCGCTTATCTTCACTAGAGTCAATGTTCTGCGCATAGGTGACATATATTAGTGGTTATTTGTTATCACGGTATCAATAAGCATAATTATAGTATATTCTAACAACATCCTATATAAGCTTCCCTCCTACACCTACAGGTACCCTACCTTTTAGGTACCTCTTTATTAAAAAAACCTTACTTTATTTAACTAGCTATTAAATAAAATATCCTTTATATTTACTTTTATTACTTTTACTAAAGATTTTAAGATAATAGTAGTTTTTATTAATTTTTAAAAAACTTAATTAAAAAACCTTTTTACTATTATTAAGTAAATAACTTTTAATAAATAATAAAAAAAAGTTATTTTTTTTATTTTAAAAAAAAATAAAATAATTATTTTTATTTTTATTTTTAAAAAAAAATAATATTTTAATAATAAATTTATAATAAATAATATATTAATATTTTAATTAAATAAAAATAAAATAAATTTTTTTTATTTTATATAAAAATTATTAAAAAAATTTAATTTTTTTTTTTTAATAATATTAAAAAAATTATTATAATTAATTAAAAATATAAATTTTTTATATAAAATAAAATTATAAAATAATTAATAAAAATTAATATAATATATAAAATTAAATAAATTATTTTTATTTTAATTATTATAATTATAAATAAATATTTAATAATTTTTATTATAAATTATTATTTAATAATTTTTATTATAAATTATTATTTAATAATTTTTATTATAAATTATTATTTAATAATAATTAAATAAATTTATATTATATTAATAATTATTTTTAAAACTTTTTTTTTTTTAAAATATAATTTAAAAAGTTTTAAAAACTTTAATATTTTAAATAATAAAAAACTTATTATTTAATTATTTAAAAAATTATTAATTAATATATTTTATAATATAAAAGTTAAAATAAATAAAATTAAAAAATTTATTAAAATAATAATAATTAAAATTATTTTATTTT